GACTTTTGCCTTGTTTTGCCCCCCCCCCCCCCCCGGGAAGTTTATTATTTTGTGATCTATCGATTTCCGCGGCGGTGTAAAGGCAATGGAAACCTGGACAAATGAACATTTGCTCACATTCCAGCGCCTCGATAATATTGCTAGAGAGGGGATAATACCAGGGTCAATCATGGGAAATTACTCAACTAAAGCAGCAGTAACTCTCCACGATACCTACATGCCCCCGAGTTTGCGCGCACGCAATACTATTGAACGAATCCTTATTTCAACCACTTTCCCTAGATAGAGTTATGTAATGACCAAATGACAAAATCAGCAAAATACGGATCACGGGGAGCATGCAGAACGCAGATCGCTCGAGTCCTGGCGTCCTCCGGCAAGCGATCGCGAACTTGCGAGGCCCAGCCTCGATCTGGCCCCTGCATATTGCTCGAGCTATCGTATGGTCTAGCCTACTTTTTTCTATCTCGGATCCAATGTCTTTCGACGCAGGTGCCGCCTGATGCGATGTCTTTCGCTGGATATACGTAACTTCCCGCGCTTCCCGATCGATCGAGACTGTCAAAGTTTATCGTATAATCCTAACTGTGCGGGCGGGTCGGCTTCAATGGACTGTACATGAGTACGAGTGTATACGGGAATGTTGGATGCGAGGAGACGCCAACGATTGCGGTTCCATGGTGCTGGAAGGCCTTTTTTGGGATAAGCTTGAAGGTGGAGTGCAGTAGAGCAAAGTAGTGGGTTTGTTCCTTTCGAGCTTGCCACCTTGACGAGCAAGTAATGTAGCAGTGTGGTGGTGGCTAGCTAGCTTATAGCTACACAGTACTGTACCGACTCTGGGGCGGCTAGTAGTCTACGTCAATGGTTTTCGGGCGACGGTCTGGAGTGTTGACAGGTCTTTACTTTTTCCTTATTGGAAATACCGAGAGGCCATGCTATGAAGCACCGATCTAGACCCTCGAGCTTTGGGGTTTCGTCAAATCTCGGAGCAATCCGTGCTTTTTTGGGGGGGAGGTTCCAGGACATTGTGAATCTGCATAAGCTGACAGGAGTACTCTGTACATACTGTACTTTGGATAAGTCGACTTCAGCAAAAGTACTCCGTACTTCCTACTTTATACAGACAGAAAAATGTACCCTCTCCTCGATGAATGCTTGACTATCACGAGACTGGCTTTTCGGAGCCAGCGGATGGGTAATTTTGGTCTGGGAATATGACCATGTTTCACATTTGGCTTGCTTCAATGGTTTCCCGCCAGTCATTTTGCTTCTTTCTTATTGCCTTGTTTTTTGCCTCGACCGCAGCCCAAGCATCATTCGTTAGCTAATCTGGTTGATTGCGTTGGCTCCTTTCCGAGTTCCAGTTCCTACAGAACTATCGTTGCCAGTTTTCTCTAGCTTCACCAATTCTCGCCTGTTTTGGTGCATAGCTGTTAATAAGCTACCGCGTACCACAGAACGGCACTTTCTGGTCCCGGAAGGGTCATCGACATCCGCGCTCCAATGAGTGTGAGCCGATCGCGGTGTTTCTCATTGCAAGTGGGTAACATGCCCAGTTGGAGGACTCCGTAGCCGCCAGGGGAACCTCGGAAGCCCCCCCGCCTCATTCCCCATTCTTAGCCCCCCCCCCCCCCCCAGGCCCACGGTACCACCAGATGTCAATCGCAGACTCAATTTCCAAGCTAGTACTACTATAAATCCGAAGGTTTCGTAGACTAAATGCTAGTGGATTCAGGACGGTGTAATATTTCATACCGTACGAATAATATTAATAACGAGCAGGTATTTTACTTCGCCCTTCCCCGTCTCGTTTCATGCGGTTCCCCCTAACGTTTCCCCCCGACCAACAGGAAGCCTCCCCTCGTCCCCCACCAGTGGCGACGCAGCCCCATCGGAATGCAGGATCCGGTGCCGCGGTGACGGGTATGAAATCACAGTCTTTCTTCGATGGCGTCCGATGAATGGCTGCTGGAGATGGATGACTGGCTGAGAAATGTCGGGCCCTTGCAACGATATTCCACGCTATTGAGTCCTTCATCGGTCATGTGAGAGCATCTCTCCTTTTTTTGAGGCCATCCTCGTCCACCGTTCAACAGTATATGTACAGTAACTGTACGCCGTACGATGATGACGAGATCAATTTTCTGGAATGAACGGCAAGGACTTGCTGTAGTTAGGGACTTTCTTTTGTATTTCTCCACGCTTGCGCCGTTACCGACCCTGTTTGCCACAGGCCGGTGATTCCGTAACCTGACTCCGTATATTCCATCTGGGCCGACAGAGTGCGCCTTTGTTTGAGGATCGCCGCTGGATCGAATCCATTAGCTCGGAAATCTTTAGCTTCGAATTAGCTCTTTGTAAGTTGCGATGTATCTTTATGCTCCGCTCCACGGATCCAGCGGTGCCTGCTTCTCTGCCGTCCTTATCCAGAAGACTGGGATAAAAACCTGCTTTTGTGGATCTAGTACGGAGTACTTTGGACCGGAATTGACACGTACTTTTCACGGCGCTTGTACTTTGTCAATTTTTCCAGCCCGGCTTTCCGCAGTGCGGGGGCAAAGGCCAGGATTTGCCAGGATTCTGGGCCCTCGGTGGTGGATAATGAGGCGTGATGATCAGTCTGATGAAAAGTGATGGATAACATTTTTCCCCTGCAGCTAACACTTTTTGTCTGTACTCTGGTAGCTGATGCTCTGTCTCGTCCCTGAGGGTTTTGCCGTTACATCGTGAAAGTCAATTGTAGTCTGGACCTTGTAACTTTGCCCCGAATGATGATAGCATAGCAAATGGTGAGTTGAATATGAAGTACTTTGTACAAAGTAGACTAAACCCTTTGGGGGCTGACGCGCAGTTAGATGGGACCATACCTTAAAATTGGGCATCTCAGCTCCGAAGAACTGCCGGCAAAGGTATTCATCGACCTACTGGAACAGGAATTGGACTTTTGAACAAAGCGCCTGAGATATGTACAAATGCGTCGGATGCAGCATTGCTTCATTCCCCGAAATCATCATTCTTAGATTGTCTGATTCGATATGGGTTCGGTTGAACCATCACGTAGGAGATACTGGGTTGGCGCAATATATATTTGACAAAGTTCCACAACCCGTTAAGATCCATACACGAAATGTAGCAGCTCAAAGCCAAATAGTATGCCGTGACACAACTGCCAACATTCAAGTCCTTCGTACGCCAGATATCATGCACCCTCAAACTCAATCGCCTGGAGTGCAGCAGTAGCTTGGACCCAATCTGGCAGAAGTACTCCGTTCGCTGGTACTTTATGTGACATGAACCAAGCTCCCTTTCGGGCTGGTAGTGGTGTGATCAGCTCCCTGCCATGCGTGCCATAATTGTGACAGATAAACACGGATCCCTTGAACTGTGATGAACCGACAACCAGACCAGGATTTTCAGCCAATCAAGCCATTGACCAGGAACATTCATGCCATGCGGCGGTTGCACCATGGCTTTGTCCTTGCTGAATGAATTCCGAATCGAACCCAGACATCGATAGCCTTCGTGGTATATCGGATTTTCCATCCAATAAGAAAGAACAAGTGGCCACCACACCACATTCGATGATCCTGACAGCGCCTTGTTATGCACGCCTCAACAGCAGCTATCCATTATCTGCAACTATGTATATGGCTGCATCTGCAACATGTCAATTAAATCTCCCCGACTGCCGAGATCTCCGACCTAGAGCAGATCGCCTCCTCATCGAGCAATGGGCTGATTGGCGGCTTGACATAGATCGAGTCATGTCAATGGACTCTGGCCAGCGAAAGATCAGTCTTCAATCCCTCTGTGACTCGTACTAATTAAATGCCGTTGCTAAATTGAATACTGTGTCATTCAACAAGTTATTAGCTTCGAAGCAGAGCACAAACAAGGTCAACCCTGTCACTCTGTCCAGACCCTGCCAAATGGGCGTCTCCTGGACGCGTAAGATAGCTAGGCTCCGAACCAGAACAAGGATTAGACGATGTGTTGGGCTATCATATGGGCATACAGAAGCAATATTTCCTGAAATCAAACTGGTTCGAATGTGTGCCGTTCGTGGATGGCTGTAATGGTGGCCTTATTGCCGAAGAACCGGTCAAAAGTACCTTTCCAATTAAGTATCAACGGAGAACGACCTCGACTTTCTGTCCTATTCAAGGTAGAATCTTATTTGCATCTGTCCGGTCTGAGCCTTATTAGAGCTCCGTGCCTGGGTATTCAGTTCCGTGGAGCCGAAACAAGAAAAAAGAGCAGTTTAAAAAAGCAATGAGCATTTTTCGCCTTCAACATCAATACAAGGCCGGCACTAGCTTGCCGAGCGCTTTGTGAATTGTGTCATAAAATTGATCTAACTAATCGAGTTCACTCATTGGTTGACTTCCAACAGCGCTAGGTGGTTTCGGCAGCTACAACGGTATTATACAGCTATCCCCAGGAAAAGTTCTTGTAAGACTGGCTGAAAAATGAGTCTTGAGCTGGTTTTCAGGATAATTTTAGCAGGCGCGGAACGGGAGTGGTCGTGAGAAGCACGGGAAGACGCTGTTCGCTGTGTTGCGGTGACCCGAACAGTATGCCAACATGCGTGCTGATGGAGTTATGTGCATTGTAGTTGTCAAACTTCCTCAATTCAACATTCTTGAAGCATCATGCCATACCCACGGCCCAATTCTAGTCTCGACCGAGTTGGCATGTCTCTGTCTAAATACCGAAGCTCGAATGGCCGAAGCTCGAATGGCCAAAGCGGTTGATTGATAGGACATTATCGCCACGTGAGGATAGGCTTATCGCTTATCGAGAGCTCGAGAAATCCACGACAGCTGAATTCGTCTCTGACCATGCCTCACTCGTGATTTTCCATCAAATCGTCTTGTTGATCTTTGAATTTGCCCTTTTGCTCTCTTTTCTTGGGGCTCTATAATCTTGCGCTGATTGAACGGTTAGAAAGTGCTTACAGCACAGAATGAGGCAGGACTAGCCTTTGACCACACAGCATCATGGCACATCCTCGGGCTTGTCTCAAGCTACCTATAAGGTCTTTCCCCGCCAGCCGCGCCAGGATTTGCTTGAAAAGAACGCCTCCTACGATATATGCGACTATACTTAGCCAAAGATGGCAGAGTACGACCCCCAGCAACGTGCGAACCGATGACGACACCTCTTTCCCCGACAAACCTTCCGATTTATCGCATTTGAATCCAGATCCGGAGGATTACTCGCGCTTCATTTTCCAAGACAAGTGCCACGTCACTGTACATGCCGGTGCGGGTGGTAGTGGATGCGTTTCGTACCAACGCGAGAAATACATTGAAGAAGGACCTCCAAACGGCGGTGATGGCGGCAGTGGAGGCGGTGTCTACATCCAAGCGGTCGAGGGCTTGACCAGTCTACACAAACTTGCAAGAAGGGGTATCATCAAGGCCGGTCGAGGGAGAAACGGACAGGGTAAAAGCAAAGGTGGAAAGCGCGGCGATGATGTGCTCCTTCAAGTTCCGGTCGGCACAGTAGTTCGCGAAGTCGAGCGATACGACCCCGTTGCAGAGGAGATTGCTCGGATGCGAAGACCTAAGACTGAGCCTGTTGATGAGGATGAGATTGAATTCACACCCGTTCGACATGACCGCTGGATGCTTCATCCCGGTGCCAACCCATCTGATTTCTTGACCGTGAAGTTCCCTCGACTCAAGCCACGGAGGCAGGCAATCGCGGCGATGGAGCCAAAAGCACCCATTTATCTTGATCTAAGCCAGCCCATGGACAAACCCATGCTTCTAGCTGCGGGCGGTGCTGGTGGATTTGGCAATCCGCATTTTGTGACGCGCAACATGGGGCGACCCAAATTTGCGTCCCGTGGCGAGGGGGGCATGAAACTAGAACTTGACTTTGAGCTCAAGCTGCTCGCAGATGTTGGACTGGTTGGCAAGCCCAATGCCGGCAAGAGTACGCTTCTGCGCTCCTTGACCAACAGTCGCACCCGCATTGGAAACTGGGAGTTTACTACCTTATCCCCGCATATTGGCACGGTGATTGTCGATGATAACAAAGGCCGACCACTAGTCGAGTCGCAGAGAAAGACTCGCCGAGCCCATTTTACCATTGCCGATATTCCTGGTTTGGTGGAAGACGCTCATCTTGACCGTGGTCTTGGGCTTGGGTTCCTGCGACACATTGATCGGGCGGGCATCTTGGCTTTTGTGCTGGATCTCAGCAACGGAGATCCCGTCCAAGAGCTACAGAAGCTGTGGCATGAGCTTGCAGAGTATGAGCAATTGCGCAGTGCCGAACCTGAGCCTACCATCAAGGAGAAGCCAGGTGTGATTGATTGGGACCCCTCTGGGTCCGGGTTGCCAGAGCTTCATCGGCCACGCAACCGAGAAATTGAGATCGAATCTCCGGATGATGAGGGTTCTGGTCAGGCTCTCAACTATAGATCCTCCGGTTCCCTGCCTCCTCTTCCTATGCCGCCTCTTCACACCAAGCCTTGGTTCGTGGTTGCCACTAAGGCCGACCTCGAGAATACTCAAGAACAGTACTATGCCTTGCAGAAGTACCTGTCTGCGGTGGAGAAGGGGACTGTTGAGCATCCATCTGGACATGCAGACGGATGGAAGGAGAAGGTAACGGCTGTTCCAGTCAGTGCTATCAAAGGCGAAGGAGTCGCTCGCATCCCCAAATTAGTGATGCAATATTTGGAGTGAACAAAGGAAAAGGACGGGAGTGGAATATGTATATTAGGAATATCCCCATGAAGCATTCAATGTATAATACAAAAAGCGCCAAGATAGGCATTATCAAAGTCTGTTGTCTATCAGAAAGATCGTAGGCGGAGAGAACTGAGCCGCAACTTTCGGCCTGTCGGGCATAGCCTTTGCACCCAACAAGAGTTTTCCCCAAATCAAGCTCAAGATGGACATCATACTCTAGAGTTCCGTCATTACTCTGGTATGAATAGGCCAGGTGCCTCACCGGAGTTTTATTTTCCGAACTTCCTTCACTCTTCGCGAGCGGCCAAGTCGCGAAGTCATGAGTCTCCTCTCTGTTGTCAGTAGCGCGTTGTCCACCGTCGCCGCACCAACCTCCGATGACCCCATCCTGCAGTGCACCGATGACCTGCCCAATCTCCTCTTCCATGACACTACGAATGCCCTCAAGCTTGCCGATGCCAAACTACACGTGTTTCCATTCAAAGATGTGCACACCAGCTGGCGACGGCTGTACACTGACGCGTCGATCGTGAAAGCGTGTCTCACAATCATCAGCAACTGCGACCTCCCCGAGCTGCCCAACGAGCAAGCTACAAGCCATAAACTCGACCCATCGAGGCTTATCCAAGCTCTACAAAATGAGAAGAAAGACCTGAAAATCCTCTCGAGCTCGCCATGGCTTCCCGACGTAATTCACACACTGGACAATGCACTCCTGATGACGGGCGGACTTTCGAGAGAGAAGCTCATTGAGACCTTATTTTCCACACTACAGGCGGCCACCTATGACCCCGATTTGCCCGGGGACTCTTGCAACGACACATCTAGACCTCCCTCCAAGCGCCGCAAGATTTCGCAATCACTCTTCCCTCCCGAATCGGTCCCCGCCCCCCGCCTGAAGTACCCCATCAAGCGCGTATCAGCGCCCTCCTTCGATGCCATGCAGGATCATATCCTTGAGATTCGCGCTCCGCTGGTGATAACCGACGCAGTGGACCATTGGCCCGCAATGTCCACTCGGCCCTGGAATTCCCGCGACTACTGGTCTGACCGTACGTTCAACGGCCGTCGACTCGTGCCAGTCGAAGTGGGCAGGTCATACACCGATGAAGGATGGGGACAGAAGATCATGGAGTTCAGGGAGTTTATCGACAGACATATCTGGCGAGGAAAGCTGGACCCCAGTTTCCAGCAGCGATATGAGCGTGATAGCTCTGGAGACGACGAGGAGACCGGGTACATGGCACAGCACGACCTTCTTGCCCAAATCCCTGCTCTGCGCAACGATATCAGCATCCCTGACTGCTGCTACATCGACCCCCCAGGCGCAGAGCCGGGGACACCTGTGTATCAGGCGAAACAACGGAAGCGCGAGGCAGCTAAGACACAAATGGAGGAGAAATCGAAGCACCTGGCATCAGATCAATTGCCTACACCGGCTGAAAAGGACGACAATGAGTCAGATGCAGGCTCTCTCATGGTATTTCCGACAGACCCGATCATTAACACTTGGATCGGACCTTCCTGGACCATCTCGCCTCTCCACCACGATCAGTATCACAACATCCTCGTCCAGGTGGTCGGTACCAAATACATCCGTCTCTACTCGCCTCACACCCCGGCTTCCCAAATCCACCCTCGCGGTCAGGAATGGGTGGCGTCCAAGGACGAGACCGAATCCGGAACTTCGTCCGATGGTGAACCTGCTAAGAGACTCATCGACATGTCCAACACGTCCAAGGTCGATCTTGCTGCCATTGAACTTTCCCCCGCGGAGGAGGAACAGTGGGAGGAGATGTGGCCTGGGTTTCTGCAGGCTGAGTACGTCGAGACTGTGCTGCATGAGGGCGAGTGCTTGTACATTCCCGTGGGATGGTGGCACTATGTCCGGGGATTGCAAGCTGGTATTAGCGTTAGTTTCTGGTGGGGTTGATCGGATTGATCAGCTATGAGATACGACTTCATGGATTATGATCTCTTACTACAAATGTATGGGCTAAATGGATATCAAATTTAATGATTGAGACATACAAATATCTTTCTTGAAGTATAATCTTTTTTTCATCTCTAGACTTTACCTGGGTGTATCTTCGCTGTATCTGTAAGTCACCTACATGGATGCTAAGGACATCGACATGTACCTGGCTCTAGTACCATCCCTCCACTAGTTCACAAAGAGTACTCTCTCCACCCACATTACCAGGAAAGACCACAAATGGCACTCCGCGATGACGAGACGTCGGCTCATCGCACCGCCAAAGCGGCACGCCAGGTGCAGCCTGACCGACAATAGTAGCGCGCTTAACATTTAACCCTTTGGTAGCAGCATCGGAGGAAGTAATTCCGCCCTATACAGAATATCAGCCATCATGTCTATATCATAACTCGCTGGGAACCAAACCCCAAATACGTACCTTCGCAATGATATATCTCGGCCGCACCTCAATCTGCTGCAAAACACTCACAAGCGCCTCCGCAATAACAGAACCAATCTTCAAAGACGACAGCTCATCCGAACCAGTGATAAGTTTCCGACTGGTCATAACCAATGTATCCTGTCCAGCCTGAAGATGAGATTCCGTCTCCCTAACTACCTGTTTCACTGTTTCCGATGCTGTCTCGGGTGACGCGATCAGGTCTTCGACTTTTATCTCGATGATGGCCAACTTTCCCACAGTGCCTAAGCGGTCCGTGAGAACCTTCAATTGCGCCGTGGTCTTTGGCACATATGAGCCCGCGACGATGAGGCCACCAGTGTGGCGGGGAGATGGGAGGTGTAGTTCTGCGGCAGAAATGGGAGCCTTGGAGCGGATGCCGAGTCTGGTAGAGACAAAGGCTGCACCTGTGCGGTAGAGGAAATGTTTCCCTTTTGATTCGGCTGAGAAGAGAGAATAGATGCATTAGTTCGGCGAAGCAAAGCAATCGATGTGGGAAAACTTGTCTGACATACCAAGTAACAGTCCTGCTACAAAGACTTGCATATCAGATTCAGCGGCAGCATTTACAATAACCACACTCCCAGCAGGCGTAGCAAGTAATTTCTCACAGACAACCTGTGGCCCTCCCCGCCGAATATCGTTAATTGTAACCGAATGTAATTGATCTGGCGAGAAGTGGCCCGGTGCTTTCTCATGTACATAATCCCGCAAATTCGAACTCTTATATCCGAACGTCGCATCCTGCGCAAACGGCGTCGCTCCCGCTGGAACGAGGCTATCCCCTTCCGCAACATAATGAACATCATCGATTGTAAAGCGTCCACCCTGGAAAAAGAACGGTGCCAGAACCAGACCATCAGCCTGTCCAAAGACGGACTGTGCGACGTCAGGCTCTAGTGGGAAATGGCCTCGTAGTGTGCTATCGCCTCGGAGGACGATGTCCACCTTGTTACCGGTCGTCTTTGCTGCCTCTAGTACGTTCTCACATATCGTTCGGATCAAGATTTCTGCCTCTGGGGGAGGAAGGGCGCGCGAATTGGTTAGAATGAAGAAACCGGGTGAATTGCTCTGGAATTCGGTGACTAGGGTGGGGATGTCCCACACGGCGAGCACGGAGATATCATGGCAGGTTTGGGTACCGGTTGGATCGTCGTCGAGCACAACGAGGCGATTGATTGACGACGTGGCGAGGATCTGGGAGATTTGATCTTGTGCGTCCGCGGGGGTATTCGGCGGGAAGGCTGGCGATGGTGTTCTCCCGGGGCAGTGTTGGGTATTGACGGGGTTGTGACATGATTGAAGATATTTAATTGGGGTTTTAGGGCAAGGAGGAACGTCAATCGAGAAGAATACGGATCTTGGGAGTTGCTTTTAGTTGTTTACAGGGGTCTTTAGGTTCGGCAACTCGGAGATGCTGCGATGCGATTGCGGGTGCGGGGAGATATGAAAAGCCGGAGAGAACGCCGAGATAAGACAAAAGTAAAAATCCAAGCCAAAGTAAACGTAAAGGTTAACGTAAATGTAAAAGGTAATGTAAATTCATTCAGATGACTACCGAATAATACTGGCTATACTAGATCATAGGAATCGCGCAAGACAACAGCAACAGGAAGAACACCTCAAAACGCCATAGCCCAGTGCAGAGACCTCAGATGCAAGATGCAAGATGATCGTGGACGGATGGACATGAATAAATATGCTTGCAACGGAGTGGAAATATGCAATGCACCTCTCATTCATCATCATTTGGGTCCCTTTTCACTGGAGTCCAGTTCCCCTCGCCATCCAAACCCAAGTTGCTCCATCCTCCATGTCTCCGGAAGCGCGTAAAACAAAACAAAATCAAGTGCAAAATGTCGGGTCGTAGACTGCGTGAATGATTGTGGTAAAGGGGATTGCGAAAATTAGCCCACCACGCTGCGGAAACTCAAGGCCTCGAGGAAGCCGCCCAAGTCATCTTTTTGAACCTCGACGACGCAGTGATCAAAGCTGTCGATGCGGACCCGGGCGTTGGTCTCCTGAACCACTTCCTGGAAGGCGATGCCAAATCGATTGCGCAGTAGATGTTTCTTTCCTCGAGGATCTTCGTCTTCGGACTCCGATTCAGAGGATGACTCGGATTCCTCTGACTCTTCATCCTCAGCATCGTCGTCTTCCTCCTGTTCCGCTCGCTCAGCTGCACGTCGAGCCCGTCGATCTTCTTTTTCCTTTTGCTTTTTCTCCTTGGCGTCTTTCTTCTGCCGACGCTCTTCTTGGCGCTTGGACATGGCAGCGAAGTCAATCACGCCACCACCTCCACCAGTGCCCACAACCACGTAAAGGTCCCGGTCTTCGTCAAGCCCAGCGAGGACGAGAGGAGTACCAGCTGCTCTCTTCCGTCCGATCTTGACAGAGTCACCTTTCTCACGCTCTTGGACTTTGATTGCCTCGGCAATCCAGAGGGCCAACTTGGTTAGCGCCCCGGGATTAGTGAAAAGCTTCACATCAGGTCCATCTTTGACGACAGCAATTCGGAAAGCCCGAAGATGACGAATTTGGTGCTTTGATAGTAGTGATGTACCAGTGCGTAGAATGGCACGGTGAAGATGTTGAGCCAAAGGGAGAGCCTCCATGAGAAGGGTAGGTGAATCGGATGTCAGCGATAGGGCATCGTAGGCACTCCAGAACCGAGGAAGGAGGCTGGCCAAGTCAGACTCGCCTGGACCACTGCTGGTTTCAGTTTCATCGTTGGAGCTTCGTGGTCGTGGAAGACGTTTGGCATCCCACGCCCCAGAAGCTTCATGTGGCCCAACTTCCAGCATAGCGCCGACAATGACGCCCACATCTGTAGCAGATAGACAAGCCTTCCAGCCCCAGCAACGCACAAAACCCCATCCCTCACGGGAGCTGGCGTGCCCACCAGATGGCTCCGGAGGCACCAAACCATCCAGGCCGTACATTGGCGCGTACTTGAGAAGCCGCCCACGCAATACCCGCTTCAGCTCCATATCCATATGCGTATAATTTTGGTGGCACTGAGTGAGGCTGACACCCATTTTCGCTAAAAGCTTGTGAAGGCGTTTGCGACCGTTTTCCGTCCAGACATGAAGCCGTGTTGCCAGGTAGGGACTATGCAGCATACTATCGTAGAGTGACCAGTGTCGAACCAGAAGGAAGCGAGGTTCGGGCGAGAGACGAATCGATGTATCCGTAGGAGACCTGGCAGTGGTTGGAATGACGCCATTGATCTCCCCTCTTATATCGCGGTCCCGTTCCAAGGGATCTGGTGGGTTCAATCGGTGGACTTCATCTCGGAGGATCTGACGGATGTGCTCTCCACGCTGCCCACCCCAGCCTGCAGACCCGCCCGATTCGGATGTATTCGAAATGCCGACACCAGTCATCGTTCGACCGCTGAGTTCCAAGCTTGAGGCACCAATGATTGCAAGCCAGAGAAGATCATTGTCCTCACGACCCAGTTCCGATGCAAGGGAATAGACCAACGACGAAATCGGCTCCGAGTATGACGTTCCTGCGGAGTAGTATTTTTGTAGAACCATCTCGTGTTTGCGCTTTAGTCGAATTAGGCGGCGCTTTAAGGACCGTGCCGATGGCTGTCTCGTCTCCTCTGGTGAGGGTGAATCTGAAGCAGGTGTCGGAGAACGGGATGAGTTGGATGAGTTGATGGCAGTTCTCCTTCGGTGACTCGGAGAAGAGACGAACGACGAGCCCTATATAACGCGTGTCAGTGGTTGATATGGCATGAGAAAGAATCAATTGCGCACCGAATTACTTCGCTTCCGTTGGCGGGGAGGCCCATCTTCATCGTCTGACTCGTCTTCATCCTCGCGTCCTGACCAGGACTTGCGCTTCTTCGAGCCAGAGGTCATGTCGTCATCATCATCATCAGTAGCGCCGTCGTCACTGGCATCATCGTCATCGACCTCGGGCATTTCCAGGAGCGCATAATATGCTTCTCGCTCGTCGCGGAGTTCTTCCTCAATGTCACCGTCGTCAAACACAACAATGCCACCGTTCTTCGACGTGTAGGCGGGTGTGATACAACCTTTCTCCACCCCGCGCGCGCGTCGGCGCGCGTTAACGTCAATTTCCGCCATCGCCTGACCTATTCCAACCAGCCCACCGAAGACATTGGCGAGATTCCACGGCCGGCGCGCGTCAAAGACCCAGATCTCGATTCCGCCCATGTCCTCGACCTCGTCTTCTGGGTTGCTCAGATTTAAGATCTCGCCAAGGTCGACCAAGCCGCCTACCCCGAGGCATACCACGACACCTCCGCTGCCGCCATTGGTGGTCTGCATCGGCCGGACCAGTTCCTCTCCGGCGCGAGTTAGGTCGCCATATCCGGCAACGGGTTGGATCTTATGGGGGATATAGTCGCGTTTTAACAAGGCCGTAAGGATTCGACAGGCACATAGCGCGTCGGGTTCGAGTGCCACAAGAATTAGGACCGGCGGGGAGAGTGGATGGTGAGATCGGAGGAGTTGTAGGTATAGGTGCGAAATGAGCTGCCGTGGTAGATACATGGCCAGCTAAGGAGGAAGGCTAGAAATGCATTCGAGCATGAATATGAATAAGAATAGCAACAACCAGCCAGGTAAATAGTGAAGGGAGGCAATTGGAGGCTGTTGTGGTCTGCAGGGCTTCGTCTGGTCGAGTCGAGAGTCCGGTTTGGAGGAAAGCGGCCAGGCGCGACGCGTCCGAGGCACGTGCCCGAGATTCCATTCCCCGTCGCCTCGACAAAGACGAGCATTTTGCGATCCTGCTTGATCCCTGCCTTATGATCAATGGAAACCATTTAGACGGACTGATTATTTGTTTCTTATGTGGATCCTAATTATTTGATGCAATCCTCAAGGGACCACAGACCTGGTTCTTCAATGCTTGAACGCGAGGGTCGTAACTATACTAACGGACCAATGAGAGACGTGCTATTTAGAGGGGTTTCTTCGAACACTAAAAGAACAGGACTTGATTGGGGACTCAATCACTCATGTCAGAGTTGAGGATATCCTCTCTCCAAAGGAAACTGAAAGCAAAGAGATCGAAGTGTCCAACATCCGTTAGTCAACCTTTTCCTAATGTAGATCTATCTTCTGCAAGGGTCTATCGATATATCGACGACGCAACTGGGCACTTCTTCTAACCACGAAGACAGACCTGTTCGAACACCTTTTGTATGACGACTTACAAAGATGCGGCGAATACTGATAAATAAGAAAAAGCTGAAAGCAATGACTGATGTTTTAATTTTGTCTAGGTTTAGTGTTGTAGTACCGCTCAGCTGTAACCTGGTCGGCTGATGGATCTATACCTCCGCTAGAGGAAGAACTCTCGATCCTTTATTACCCTCAGTCAAGATAAGATCTTCTGTTATACTGTGTCCTCCCCACATCGACTCTGCGTGGGCAAGGGTAGACCAAAATCGAACTGAGTGCCCGTAGACACTGCCCAACTTGTAGCCATCAATGGTCCTTATAGGAATATACAGTTAGGGCGATATCTCAGTGCGAGACTCCACCTAAACCCCCCTCATCAGATCAATCTATATTTACGCCTGAATGGATACTTAGAGCAGAAACGTTCTAGGGCCAAGCTCAAAAGTGTTGGATAAAGCAATACATTACCACCCTGACCAATATCAATCAGAGGTCCCTTTGCGATTCAGACCCCGAAAGTAAAACCTCCTGAATATCCCGTATACCTTCTTGTCGAAGGACCTGCACGCTCAAGTCCTGAAACAAACTGAATGCAACCTCTGCTAGTTGAGACTGGCTGGCGTTGATCCTAGATCGATGAACCTTTCAACTCGATAAGAATGGTGGAATTAGTGAATCGTAGGTAACGGCCCCGCAAAGTGTCTGATAATGTACCAAGTAGCCGCCCTCTTTAGTACGCTACATGCGATGCATATGTTACTATCCAAGTATGGATTCTTGCGTAGCACCCGTAACGATTCGAGGAGTATGAACTGGCAACCGCGACAAATGAACACATAATTATCGGAGGCAGGCGCGGCCTTGTTTGATGTTATGGTTTGAGGATCCTTCATTCTCGTGGCTTGTACGGAGTAGAGTATGACAGAGAATTTGGGTATCAGCCTAGCTTTAGAATACCTTATATTCAAGGGGCATTTTAGATAGGTCACACCTCGCAAAAGTACCAAGTCACCTACATCCTACACGGAACCGGGATCAATTCTACATACATCTGCTGCATGGAGCAATCACGATTGGGCACGGTACGTGTTCGAAAGTGCGTGACACTGGCAAATCTAACCCCCATGCGCTTTCCGATAGGCTAATTTAATAAAAAGAAATTCCTATGGAAGCCATGTAAGTAGATAATCGGACTTGCCCATGTGTGAGGCTAATTATCAAGGCTTGTATTGCCATGGAACACATATTGCCCTTACAACGAGCACAGCCAACTGACACCAAGCGAACGATATTGACAAGGTGTATATGCTGCAATGAATTGAAGACCATCTGTAAGCCGTTATGATAATTACTCAATGTTTTCAATAGTCGAAAGATAATGTCATGGGCAAGATTCAGCCTAAACGCCTTACACCCATAATATGCTTGTATGTACAGAGAAAGGAAACGACTGGATAAGAAAGACGACAGGAAGATGTGAGATCACGACGCTATGGTCTCAGGCTGATCGACCCAGAATTGACCCCGCTACCCATACGGCAGTGCATGCGCCAACCACGGACAAGCCAACCAGGCGCTTGCCCCAGCTGCCATCCTCGGCCATCTTGGTAGCACCAACGGGCTTCTTCGAAGGCAAATGCACGGTAGGTGACTGCGCCCCCTGACTTTGCGACTGAGATGAGTTTCCAAGGATAGAAGAGTATTCCTCGTCTCGCTTGCGCCACTTTTCAACGAGTCGGGCGATCTCAGCCAGGTCTTCCTTCAAAGATCCCGGATCGGTAGCATTGGCGTTCTCAATCTCGACATTCTGCACATTGCCGAAGAAATCCACCACAGTGCGCAGACGGCCTTCTTGTTCACCACCGGGGAATAGGTCCCAGCGAACGCCTGGCTGTGAATGGATCTTGGACATGTCGTATGAGTCGAACAAATCTCCCAAAGTCAATTTGGAATTAGCGCTAGTCACTTGTGTTTCAAGGAATTCTAGCACATAGTAGGTCCATCGATCAATGACCGCGACGCCGACATCGTTGTCCGCATGATGGGAGTAAGAGGATTGGTCGAGCTCGCTAGAGCCCGTGGCGACAATATTGGGCGAGTAGAAATGAGTGTACATCGTGTTGGCCTGGCACGTATCAATCATGAAGAGTAGTTCGTGGTAACGCTTCTTCTCCCACATCTGTCCAAACGCGTCGGCCAAATCCCATGCGCCAATCTCCTCAGCATCTTGGAACTTCAGGAACTGATCACCTCCATGACCTGTCATGTACACGAGGACATTGCTACCGGCATCAGATCCAAGACGCTTACTGCGAGGGACATCTTCATCCAGCCGGTCGGTCAAGAGCCGGATGAAGTTCTCCACCGTCACCTCGTAACCCCTGTAGTCCACCTCAATGTTGTCGCCATAGAGATCCACCGCGCGGTCTGCGTTACTGTAGACAGTACCGGGGAAGGCATTGCGAGGATTACAGGCCATGTCATCGGGGAGCATGAGGATGATTTGCGAGTCAGGAATGCCGAGGCGCTTAACAGTTCGATAGAGGGAGAGGACATTTGCAAGGTGGCGGTAGTTGAACCAGAATCGGGATGTTGAGACCAGCACGGCCCAATTTGATGTATGTTCAGCGGTCGCTGCTCCGACAAGGAACAGAAGCGAAAGCGCTTGCAGCAAGCGAAGGAAAAGAGACATTGTGGTGGCAAGGGGAAGCAGTGTATAATCGAGAAAGGAGAGTCCAGCTCGCGTAGCTGGATATATCGGGACGCAGCCCAAACAAAAGGAAGGAGAGGTCAGATTGTAAGCCTCAAGAAATGCCCCGATGCTATGTCAAAACCATCCTCGGGTTTGTGATCAGATGGGGTGGCAAGCAACACGAAGTTGTCTCGAGACCGTCAGCTATGACAAATGATGCCAGGAACGCATCCGGGGCTGACACCTCAGATATCAGGCATCAACAACATCAATCCTACAAGGTACGGAGTAAATAGTACAAACTTTGTTGGAACATCCAAAAATTCTATGACAAGATATTATGAGCGGGAAAATAACCTGACGCCGTCTTATTCCTCTACACTTCTGCTTTTACCAGCGAGTAATTTCCCCATTACTATGGATTAGCCACTTCGTCACCGCCTACATCGGAATCGGCATAATTGTTTTGCGGATCGGATCATCCAACAGAACAATCCACTTTTTTCTCCTCCACTCTCCTCGCAGTTCATCGAAATTGCTCCAAAATACATCTCGGAATACCCTAAACCGTCAATATGGGAGGCAAGAAAGCACCAGGCGAGAACTCCAAGAAGGCCGCTGGCAACGCTCGCGTACGTACCAACCCCGCCCCCACTATTGATTGCCACCAACGCCATAACATGCGCTAACAACTTCTCCAGAAGGCCGAAGCTGCTGCCTCGAAGAAGGCCGCCGAAGATTCGAAGCACGCTGCCGAAGAGGACAGGGAATGGTCCAAGGGATCGAAGAGCAACGCAAAGAAGTGAGCTTGATTCCATCAGTCAAAGCAATAATGTATGCAGCTAACCGGTATTCTTTCTACCACCTACAGAGATGACGCCGAGGCCAAGAAAGCCGAAGCTGCCCGCAAGAAGGCCGATCGTGATGCCCTCCTCGCCGAAGAAGAAGCCTCCCAGCCATCCAAGGGCAAGGGAGCCGGCGCAAAGACGGCGCAGAAGAAGACCCGCGGCCTCGACCTTTCACAACTTGATGATTCATTCTCCAGCAAAAAGAGCTCTGCTCTGAATGCTTCCGGTATCGATAACGCACTTGACGCCCTTTCTTTGACGAACAAGGAGACTTCCAAGGTTGAGCGCCACCCGGAGCGACGATTCAAGGCGGCATACGCGGCTTTCGAGGCCCGTCGTCTACCAGAGATTGAACAAGAGAACCCTGGTTTGCGCCGACAGCAGCGTATTGACCTGTGCCGGAAGGAGTTTGATAAGAGCGAAGAGAACCCTTTCAACCAGGTGCACGTTGCGGTCAATGCCACCAAGGACGAGATTTCTCAGGTTCGCGATGCGGAGCGCAAGAAGACAGAGTCTCGCCTGGCCAAATAAAATGGCGTTGCCTGTTTCAAGCAGTCAAAAGGAACATCACCCAGAGCTTGAGACTGAATCATCGCACTGTTAGTGTTTCAAGCCAAGGAAGATGTTTTCCGACAACAATGCATCTAGGGTTCGGTCATTTGCAAAACTCTCTTCGCAAGCGACTGCAGACGGTATTTCTCCGTGGTACCTTTCTAACTGCGAGGGACACCCGAAGTCTAAGCAGCTAGTGACGATAGGCCAAGCGTGAGAAGTCTGTGGATCTATGGGCAACGCATTATATCCCAAAAACGCTTCCACATGGACATAAAATTTACGAAATGAAATGATCGATATCCTTACTTCATCCAGTTCTACCAGCCCATATCGAGAAGTCTATAGGCTGTCTACAGACAAAAGCCCTGTTCTCATAACAAAATGTTTATGTCACCTTGAAACATGTGTATGCAAGCTAGTTAATAGATACACCATAGTCATAGATAGGTATGAGTTAGCTAGATCGGCTTGATGAATACATCAGACAGACCGATGAATGGTTCGCGATCATACCATTGATCCTCGCACATCCCACACATAGAGGCTTTCATCCCAACCGACACTAGCACACCAGCCCTCATTTCCGAAGAGACACCAGTCTACACCGGTAGCAAACTCTGTGTGTCGCGCCATTCTTCCGATCTCCCTCCCGGGGACCGGACCCGCCGGACCAGATCGCATCAGATCCACATCACCAGCCCCGCCAGTACTTGACTGGTCATCCCAGACACGGCAAGTCATATCGTAGCTTGCAGTCAGGAGAACGTTTGATAGATGTGGTGACCAGGCCAATTTCTTGATTGCATAGTCATGGCCCAGCATGATGGACAGAGGTCCTTGTTGTGGGGCACGAATATCGAATGTGCGAATGGTTCGGTCAACTCCAGCTGTCGCAAGAACTGTAGGACGATATTTGTTCCAGTCGTGAGTGAGGATTTCCGCTGGTTGCGTCGCGTTCGGGGGGATGCCCGGTGACCCAGGAATTGCTGGTGGCATTGGAGCTGCATGGTTGGGTATCTGGACGACGAGGTGGTTGGATGCGGAGGCTGGGGTTCGTAGATCAAAGACTCGAACATACGAGTCTGAAGTGACACATGAAATGAGCTCGGGGTTGTGTGGGCAGAAGGCGGCGGAGTAGGTGCAGCTATGAGTTGGTAAGGTGAGGAGGGACTGCTGGCGATGAGGTGTCCAGAGACGAACAGTGCCGTCCCAACTGCTGGAACAGAAGCGGTCTTTTGCTACCATGTTCCAATTCACACTAAGCACCTCCCGATTATGTTCCTTCCAGTTCATAATGGGGAAATCGTCGGCGGTCGTGTCGTAGAGCTTGATGCTGCCATCACCGGACGCCGTCAGGACCTGGTTCTCGTGGATTTCAGACCAGGCGAGGTCATAGAGAGAGTCTTGCGTGGTGAACCTGATAGATATAGGAGACACGTATCAGTATATTCGAAGAGGGACGCAGAACCGGGTGATTTGTATGACCGACCGCGGTCCTTGAAGCAGTTTCCCACATACCATTTGACAGGCACAATCCCATTCGCAGTAAGCTCGAGAACATACAACCTGCCATTTCCAACCAGACCGAAATTGGCTCCACTTGCGACGGCCAGGCGGTTATCGAAGAAAGGCGAGTACTTTACCGCATAGCCATTGAAGCCCTGCGTGCGGTAATGGAGCATAGTGGCAGGATGACCGGATCGCCGATCACGGGAGATTAGGAACGATGGCCAGAAGAGATAATTGAAAAAAAGCCACAGTAATTCAGGGTATCACAAGCGACAGGTTGGATGCACCGTCATAGCTCGGCGAGCGCGTCGTGTCGGGAAAGCGGACAAACTGACGGGAGGATTGCGGGGAGATCAAATGCGAAATGAACCGAGGTCAGTTTCGCGGGCGCCCACCTTATCGCCTCTCCCGTTATCGTCCGTTATCGGGTTATCGCTTTATCGGTTATCGTTGTCATTTATCCTTCGCCAGGGGGAATAGCATAAGTGGACATGTAAAGTGCAAAGTCTATGGACGAATATTCCTACATATGTAGCGAGATCTACAAAAACTGGAATTTTGGGCACAGTTGCAACGAAAGCAGGAATGCGAATCGTGATCTCGAAACCATTCATAAAGAGCTCGCAGATAAGAAGAAGAATCTGGGGAATGCTCCCAACTAGATAAAGTCATACCAGCGACCTCCTTGGGATTTACTTTTTCTGTCCTTCAAATTTATATACAAAATTAGTAAATCAGATCTTGCCGTGTTGAACTGCTACATTGGCTTTTTTCAAGAACATTGTCGGACGTCGAGACATCTCACGAAGACATTTTCTGATTGGTCAATTTGAAACCAGTCATGTGGTGATAATGGCTCGCTGATAAATCCTTATCGCGTTCACGAGGTACCAGGCAGGCATCAAGTGGAGGTATCAACTTTCTTTCCCGCGACTTACCAAAGCCAGAGCAGGGAGTGAATAAAGGCAAATATGGATGCATTTGTTTCGAGAAAGAGAAGGCGACTGTCTCAGCACCGAGTGGAGGCTCATGCAGCATCAGTCGAGGTATCAAGCACACCGATTCCAGATGCCTCCGGCGAGGACTCAACAGACATCAAAATCGCCATTTTGCTCTCGCTGTTTCCAGATCTCAAGCAGGAAAGTCTATTGGATATTCTTGTCTCCTGTGAAGGATCTGTAGAGGCTGCTACCTTTCTTTTAACATCCCAAGACTCTTCGTCAAGCTCACCCCTCAAAAAACGCGTTATTTCGAATCCAGCTCTCGGGGCTCAAACGTCATTATCGTCACACGTGCTCTCCAAAGGAAAGGATGGATCTGTTACCACTCTCAGTGACAGTTTTCTTCGTCGCAAGCCGCTGTCCACTAAGAAAGGACAAACTCTACATCTATACTCCCCCGAGGATATTGCAGCCTACACACCATGCACGATTATCCACAATTTCCTTCCCACCGAACAGGCGAATGCACTTCTAGTCGAACTACTCGATGAAGCAAAACATTTCTCACGATACGAATTCCAATTGTTTAACCGGACCGTTCAGAGTCCACATACGGCGAGCCTGTACGTCTCTACACCTGAGGAGTACCAACAACATACCTCCGAGTACAAGTACGGTGGCACGTACCGATCAAACGTCCGCCAAGCAACTCCAGGCCTTCGCTCTGTGTCGCGGAAAGTTCAGAAGGCAGTCAATGAGGCTGTTCAGGCTCACATACGCGACGCTTACCCCGATGGCAAGAAGCTCAAGTATCAGTCGCCAAAAGAGTGGCGACCAAACGCAGCCTTCGTCAATTGCTACGACGGCCCTGCAGAAAATGTGGGGTATCATTCCGATGACCTGACCTATCTTGGGCCTCATCCGATCATTGGAAGTTTGAGTCTAGGCGTGGAACGAGAATTCCGAGTCCGGCGAGTTCTACCTCGGGACGAGGACGATGATGCAGGCCAAACAGGCGCCGAAGATAAGCAGAGTGCGCCCGCAAAAGGAACCAATGACCGAAAGTCGTCTACTGCGCGTGCAGATGCGCAAGGTCAAATTTCCATCCACCTTCCACACAATTCGCTCTTGGTCATGCATGCGGAGATGCAGGAAGAGTGGAAACACTCAATCGCACCTGCGCAAACCATCTCTCCACATCCAATATCGGGCAATCGGCGGATCAACATCACATATCGCTGGTACCGCGACACTCTTCACCCGCGATATACGCCTCGATGCCTCTGTGGTGAGCACGCGGTACTTCGGTGTGCACAACGTAAACAAGAAACCAGGGGCCGGTATATGTGGATGTGTTATGCTGGATATGTACCAGGAAAAGAAAGCTGTTCTTTCTTCCAGTGGGCCGAGTTCGATGATGATGGCGATCCTGTGTGGACCCATAAGCGACAGGAGGAAGAGGTTGCCCCAGCCTTGGCCAATTTCTCAGCTTCTCAATAGTCCAGTTGTTTCTTAACTAGCGGGTTTATTCTTTTGTTGCTCTGATAGGTTCATAGTGATTAGAGCGGAGGGAATCCACAGTGGGCCCCGCAAGCCACCGTCAATGTCTTTTTCATCTCAGTACTCACCGACCAGCTTGTTCATCCCTACGGGCCCTACGGGAGGATCTCCCCAATCTGGGCAAGGTCTTGGGAAATGTTAGCTCTATCGTCGATCATTGATCAATCGATCCATAGAATCTATGGGGTGAATTAACTTTGTGCGGGGTATACTCACCTCTGCGGAAAACTCTCTGGTTCATTCCGCTCCTCCGAATATCCCCCGCATTCCCAGCCGCCGCACGCCTATCTGGTCAGAACGAGCTCACTAGTTACTCATTGGACGAATCTGCAATGCTTAAAAATGTGGTCAGTGCTAGCAAACATTGCATAACTACTATATACGGGGCATCCGTTTTAGTGCTCACCCTCTGGCCGCTTTTGCTCACTAGGTAAAATTGAGCACGCCCTGATTAACTCGAGCTGATCTACTCACTAGGTGAATCTGCCCAGGCAAGCCCTGAAGGCCCAATAAAACGCGACACGCTAGTTCGATCCTTGTGTAACCCTTTCCTCAAGAAACCCTCTCCTTTCCCCCAACAATGAGTTTAGAGTTGTAAATTTGCCCAAAAATTTAGTGATCTTTCCCTTATAAGCGGGATGCGTGAATGAACCTAGTCTTCCGATCCCAGGTTACTGAAAAACTCCTTTACATCTTACAGCCGGATTTGCTTCCATAATCCACGATCAAAACGCAGGAGGAAGGCTGCACTGGAAATATGGTGGGTAGGAAGTCAAATACTGCATGAAAGAAATCGACAATTATCAACTTCATGAGACGGAGGATAGCGGGGATGATGAGTGCTCACGAAAGTGATGCGATACTTACTGTTAACTCCTTTCGTTTGCTAACTTGTACTACCTCTTGTTGCTTTTTACCATGCTTTTTCTGGATTGGAGCTATGGCAATGTTATAAGTTTATAGAGGGTCCTACAGCATTCCAAAAGTCCTGTGCAAAATCATGTATCTGATATTCGCTCATCTTCCATTCCTTTCATTTTCAATTCAATCAATGCATGCATGTCAAAACTATTTGATTGGTTACACTTTTTTCTCGCATCTCCACTTGATGTATACTAGTCATACTGTTCGAATCTTGCTCGACAATGACTTTTTAGAAACAAAGGAATATACCCTAGACCCTAAAGACCCAACTCAAATTCCCAGCGAAAACAATCGGACACCATTGCTTCACACAAAATTATCAGGTTTCAACTGCTTGCATCGTAGACTTAATGCAAGGGATAGAAGAAAGTTGCTTGTGCTTAAGGGCGAGAAGCTGACTCTAGAGCCGACCAGACCCCAGTTCGCCCATCTCGACACTGCTTTCCTGTGCTAGGTGGGAGAAATCAAAGCCTTTTAAAGACACAATAGGTCACGAACTATTAGCAAGAGACAGATTTATAAGCTGGCTATTCTGCGATATTTTCATTTTCTAGCTAGCCATTTCAGGTAAGTTTCCATAAATCGCGTGTATCAGACTGCAGGTTGTTGGACCCCGGTAGAATCGGGGGCTTACCAACCTTAGCATGGGCCGTCGGGAGATTCTTTTGGGTATTTCCCCGCCGCACATGGGGTACAGTATGTCAAATTGCCCTATGATATTGGTTCTTTCTCTTTAATCAATCAAAGCTTTCATCCAAGACTGCTGTCACGTGGTCTACCCCTCGATCTCATTCGCTCGATTTTATTATTGGTCCGTACTGTCTCAGCTTCCTCGGAGACATAACGAAATGGAAAGATCGTGCGTCAATTAGCATTGAGGTGGCTTGTGTTTACACCTTCGATTTAAATAACAGGCTAATTGTAGAACTCAATTGTTGGTAGATCTCAAGAGATCTATACATGCAATTAGCCGTGAAAGGTTGCACTCTCAAATCTATCAAGTCAGTGCGAACTTCCTCGATGCTTCAACGTTGCTTTGGAAGCTGTGATGCAACCTTCCTTTTCGAACTCTAAGCACTTTCTAGTCCTTTGAAATCTGGAGTCTTGCACATGGGTAACTATTGCGTCACATGTATAGTAGAAAAAGGAAGGTTTTTTTTCTAGAGAATAGTACTAATCTAATAATCGAACAATCCGTGGAGACTTGCCTGAAGAGCACGTTTCAATAAACGTTATTTGGCGTTACTTGGCTACCGACTTTTGGCTAAGTTCTTCGGGTCAATCCATCGAACCTGTCATGAGAGAAATTAGTGAGCGCTTTCTTACTCTATGCGAAGCCCGAAGCCTAACTCCACAGTTTTCTCCTTTGAGGCACAGATCATCAGTGAAGTTGTGCGGGGGAAGAGCCCGGAATTTATCCGACCCCCGCCATTCAGTGATCTAGTTATGATCTGCAATGTAACATTAACATATTCATTTCGTTGAAAGGGAAAGCTACTGGAATCACGGCAAACCGGCAAAATGTGTGCAAAGCTTTGACTCGGGTCATGTCCAAAATCTCGAGAGTTAATACCTAGAGACGGTGAATTGAGCCATCGGGAGCTTGTATAAATTGCTTTTATGGCTCCCTCTTCTCCCGCTGCTTTTCAAGGATCATATTCGATAACTCTCCCAGTATAAAACAACATAAAGCGGTGGAAAAAATTGTTATGACTGTTACTTCTAAGTTCCTAAAATGGAGTGTTATCCTCCTAGGGGTAACCCGGAGCGCAGCAATCCCGTCGATTCAGCTGCGGCAGGGCAAATGTCTCCCGGCCTCCAATGAAAACTATACGGCCAGTATATCTTTCATGGGTTGCTACACAGATGATAACTCACGAGTGCTTCAAGGGGGGTCGGCTACTCCTGCTGGTGGCAATACGCCCCAGACATGCGCCAACGCTTGCGGGATGTCTGGGTTCACTTATGCTGGAGTAGAATACGGGTCGTGAGTTTACCCCTAGTCTGTATGTGAATAATATGCCATACTTACAGAAGCTCGACTGAAAATAGTCAATGTTATTGTGGAAATTCTATCGTGAGCCCCGCACAGAAACAGGCTGATAGTGCATGCACTATGTCCTGCGCTGGAAATTCGTCCGAGATCTGTGGAGGCACTTGGCTGTATGTGAGATCCAGAATTCCTCGATATTTGCTGAAGAGTTAGCTAACTGGAATCGTCGATCTCCACAGGGTTGATATATACAATATTTCAAATCCGAGTCCCAACCCAGTCCCTCTTTCGGGATCTGTGAAGCCCAATTGTACAGTCGATCCTTTGTGCAGCAACCCAGTTTGCAATACCTCTCTTGATCCGCTCACCCGCGCAAAAGGGCTGGTCGATGCCATGACATTTGACGAAAAGGTCCAGAATACCCAAAACGGGTCTCCTGGTGCTGCTCGTCTTGGCCTACCTGCATATCAATGGTGGAGCGAGGCTTTGCATGGTGTTGCAGGCTCTCCTGGTGTCACCTTCCAGCCCTCTGGCAACTTCAGCTATGCCACCTCGTTCCCCCAACCCATCCTGATGGCTGCCGCTTTTGACGATGCCCTGATCAAACGAGTGGGAACTGTGGTCAGTATTGAAGGTCGCGCTTTCAATAACTATGGAAATGCTGGCCTGGATTTCTGGACTCCCAACATCAATCCATTCAGAGATCCGCGCTGGGGCAGAGGTCAAGAGACTCCAGGAGAAGATCCATTCCATATTGCTCGCTACGTTTACAATCTTGTAGACGGCTTGCAAAATGGAATAGGACCTGCCAACCCGCGAGTCGTGGCGACTTGCAAACACTTTGCTGGGTACGACATCGAGAACTGGGAAGGAAACCAACGCTATGGCTTCAACGCAATTATTTCCACCCAAGACTTGTCCGAGTATTATCTGCCTCCCTTCAAAAGCTGTGCCCGTGATGCAGAAGTGGATGCCATCATGTGTAGCTATAACGCTGTCAATGGTATTCCAACCTGCGCCGATAGCTATCTGTTAGACACCATCCTGCGTGATCATTGGAACTGGAACCAAACTGGACACTGGGTGACCTCAGATTGTGACGCAATCGGCAACATCTACTCTGACCATCATTATACTAGTTCCGCTGCGGCTGCAGCAGCAGACGCTCTGAATGCCGGTACAAATCTGGATTGTGGAACGACAATGTCAGACAATCTTGGAGCGGCCGCCGCGCAAGATCTGTTCCAGAACGCCACTCTGGATTCCGCTTTAGTTGAACTGTACTCCTCCCTGGTCCGACTCGGATGGTTTGGCATAGAAGAGCCACAATATCACTCTCTTGGATGGTCTGATGTGGGTACCCCTGCATCGCAGCAACTGGCTAACCAGGCTGCTGTTGAGGGGATCGTACTCTTAAAAAATGACCACAAAAACGGTTTACCATTGACTCGCCATGGCCAAACTGTCGCGTTAATTGGACCCTACGCCAACGCTACCACTCAGCTGCAAGGAAACTATTTCGGTACCCCGGCATACATCCGAACTTTAGTATGGGGCGCTCAGCAGATGGGATATAACGTTCAGTATCAAGAAGGCACTGGAATCAACTCTACTGACACGTCTGGCTTTGCTACTGCTGTGGCTGCGGCCAAGGCAGCTGACATCGTCATCTATGCTGGTGGTATTGACAACTCGATCGAAGCCGAAGGAAATGATCGAGACTCAATCGCCTGGCCGGGCAACCAGCTACAGCTTATTGACGAGCTTTCCCAAGTTGGAAAACCACTGATTGTCCTGCAATTCGGTGGTGGTCAAGTAGACGACTCGGCACTTCTCAAAAACCAAAATGTGAATGCATTGCTATGGTGTGGTTACCCCAGTCAAGCTGGTGGCCAGGCCGTATTCGATATTCTTACGGGCCAGTCCGCTCCGCGGGAAGATTACCATTAACTCAGTATCCAGCCAACTATACTAACGAGATTCCCATGACCGATATGGCGCTGCGCCCTAATGGAATGAATCCTGGACGTACCTATCGTTGGTACACCGATGCCGTAATCCCTTTCGGCTTTGGTCTTCACTATACCACCTTTGACGTCTCTTGGGTCAACTCGAAGATGGGCCCTTACAACACTGCGGCCCTTGTTGCGCATGCGGGAGCATCAAAGTACGAAGACACTGCTGTCTTTGACACCTTCCAAGTCAAAGTGAAGAACACCGGAAAAGTTACATCCGACTATGTCGCATTGGTCTTCGCCTCCACCAACAACGCTGGCCCCAAGCCGTATCCTATCAAAACTCTGATCGGCTATGCGCGAGCTTTCTCTGTCAAGCCCGGAGAGACCCAGACAGTCGGTATTTCCGTGACACTTGGCTCCATGGCACGCACTGCTGCTAACGGAGATTTGGTGCTGTACCCTGGGTCGTATAGTTTGGAACTGGATGTGGGCCAACAGTATCCACATGCCGAGTTGACAATTAATGGACCTGAGAAGGTTCTGGACGCGTTCCCACAGCCTCCTTCATCTTGATCTGAACTGGGCTTTGAGAACAGATATTGGTCTTATTATGGTCCCAGTCTGACGAGCTTAGTAGGTAGCAAATGAGAGGGCAATTTGTTATTGCAAACTTATATAGCCAAACATTAAGATCATTTCTAGTCTTTCCAAGTAAGTAGAGCTGATTACACGACCGAAGATGGTACTCATTTAACTGTAAATCTACTAAGCATGGACCGTCGTAGAGAAACCTACTTTCAACCGCTATGCGCTAGATAATTCATGGGTTGCAAACAACTCATCAATATTGTGACACTAAAGGTTATCTGGTAGAATAATGCCACTTGATTAGGCAAAGATTGATTTTCGATGCAAGCAATAAACAGATATTGCTGTTGATCGGAGGGTAGAGGGCACACAGTCTCCTTGATACTTTTAGATCACGGGAAACCATAAAGACAAAGCAAAATCCACTCCGTATAACCCTGGGCACGATGGTCTTCCGTATTTATTTTGCTTATGAGCGAGTGACGCGGTCTTTTGATTACATAGAGACGTCTAGAAAGGGAGGGGCCTCACGAGAATCATTCGAGCGCTATTTCTTCCAGAATATATGACTCTGTGGGGTATATCCTTTTTGGGTATAGCCCCGATCTGATTTCCAATCCATTGATGATTGAGTGCTGGTGGGGATTGATCACAGCCCAGCATGGGCCCGTGCTAAAATCTACTTAATGAGCCTAAGCCTAACTGCTCTCATAAAAGCGGCGGCAGCCCAGACAGGAAAGGCCCATCTGGTAGGCATTACCTATGCTGTGCATAGGCACATATAGTCTAACCGAAACAACGTGTCACTTTTCAAAATCTTCTCCTAAAACGGCAGGTGTAGTGCGGAACTAATACCGCTTATCTCGTATTGCTGGGGGCCACGTCTTAAACGATATAAGCAGCGAGCCTCGGCGTACTTTTCTTAGCTCGTTTATTTATTATGGAAAACGAAACATAGTTTCGCTTGTGTTCCATCCAGTATCAACCACCATGTCCTCTGAAAGCGAACAGACCTATGATTATATTGTGTGCGGGTAGGTCAATATTGCGACGCGGATGCATGCACTCAATTGACAACGAATGTGTACTGTAGTGGTGGCACCTCTGGGTGCGTAGTCGCCGGTCGGCTAGCCGAGAATCCTGAGATTACGGTTCTGCTTCTTGAAGCTGGACAACACAATGTGGATTTGGAGAATGTGCATATGGCCGGAGGGTGAGCAATTAGAAGCCGACCGACCACGGATGGAACTATTTCTGACAATTCAACCCAGATGGTCGAACAACTTCGATGCAGAGACCGATTGGAATTTTATTACCCCGCCTATGGCAGGCGTCGACAATCGTCAGGTTAAATTGAGTCGAGGTCGATTTCTTGGTGGCTGCAGTGGCTGCAATGGCACGCTATGTATCCGCGGCTGCAAACAGGATTATGACGACTGGGGTCTAGAGGGGTGGAGTGGCGAGGAATTTTTCAAATATATGAGGAAGGTAAGAAGCTATAAGTAATCTAGAGAAATTATTTGACATTGAGAACTAATTTCTTCTAGTCTGAGACCTTTCATCCCAAGCCCTGGTTTGACGCCGACAAGGAGAGCCATGGCTATTCAGGGCATCTACACACAGAGCCTCACGACCTGGCCCCAATCTCGAACCTGCTACTTGATTCTTTTGTTTCGGAAGGCATGCCACTGAGCCACGACATGTTCAGCACTGGAGATGTTCCCCATGGCTGTGGTCATGTGCCTCGCACAGTTTACAAGGGAATTCGAACCACCGGTGCTGATTTCGTGACCAACCAGAACAAACGTGGAAATATCACAGTTCAGACCGACACTACGGTCGATAAAGTGATCTTTACCAAACAAGGGGAGCAGGTTCGTGCCTCTGGTGTTGCTACTAAGACATCTGATGGTGCTTCAAAGACCTACTATGCGCGAAAGGAGATCATCATCTCGGGAGGAGCATATTGCAGTCCCGCAATCCTTCTTCGTTCAGGTATTGGACCAAAAGAAGAGCTGTTGAAACATAATATCCCATACACAGTCAGCGCACCTGGAGTTGGAAAGAACCTCCTGGACCACCTGGTAAGCCAAGCCCCGACCAATTAATCCAATACCCTGGCTGACCTTGAAACCACCATAGATCGTCTTCATGTTTTACGAAACCGAAAAAGCCGGACTCACAAACGACTACCATGTCTACCATGACGACAACTTCAACAAAACATACGCAGAATGGAAAGAGAAAAAAGCCGGCTTCCTATCCACCTTCCCCTTCGGCGCTTTCGCCTTCGCCAGACTGGACGAGCGCCTAAAAGACGAACCACTCTGGAAAAACGCACCTCGCGAAACCGGCCGCGACCCAATGGGTCTAACCCCCAAACAACCCAACATCGAGTTCTTCACCACAGAATGCTATGGTGGACCAAAGCAATACGACCAATTCCCCATCGACCATAAGCATGCTTTCTCAATGATTGCGGAGCTTTTCGCGCCCAAGTCGCGCGGCTCGGTTACTTTGAAATCGGTAGATCCGATGGAAAACCCAATTGTTGATTGTAACTACCTTGCTGATCCGCTGGATGTGTTGGTTCTCAGCGAGGCGTGTCGATTTGGCAATGAGATTGTTATGAAAGGGGCTGGTACAAAAGATATTGTTAAGGGATCTTGGCCTGCAAATTTGTCGCACCACACCTACAAGACGAGAGAGGAATGGGTTCCGTATATCAAGGAGCATGCTACCACTTGTAAGTTGAGCTGGGTTTTGTCCCTGTGTGCTAAGTCTGGAACTGACAGTATGTAGGTTACCATGCTGCAGGCACATGTGCTATGGGCAAGGAAGATGATCCTATGGCTGTGCTGGATGAGAAACTACAGGTCCGCGGTGTTGTTGGTTTGCGAGTGGCAGATTGTAGTGTCATGCCATCGCTGCATGGAGGTCATGCCCAGATGCCAGCGTATGGTATCGGCGAGAAATGCGCCGATCTGATCAAAGAGACGTGGTGAACGTGCGGCAATGTCCACAGCCGAATCTGAGGTATTCATTTTGGAAGGAGTATAGTAATTGAATGCATTGATCATCTTTCATGAGAACATACACGCAACTCGGAAGGTAAAACTAGAAGCCCACGCCATAAAAAGTCAAGAAAGCATGCGCCTAAGGATAGAAATGAAAATCAAAGTGTGAAGAACGCGGGATCCAAGAAATCATACGAGCCATGACTGTCAATTCAGAAATTCAGAACATCTCCAGCTACCCCACCTTGCTCAATTACCACGACATGTGATTCACTGGAGTGACGGTTTTCTTCAGTCCGGACAACAGTAAGATGTGTCTTAGCATGGATGGTGTTCGGTGATGGGAGGAGCGAATGCCGATAATTAACTGAAGCGGTCAAGACCGGCTGAGTGATTTCACCAGTGAAATCTTGCAATATTTCATTGATCTGAGCAAGCAAATCCCCGAAAACAGGGGAGTCAACCTCAGTAGGACAGTGGTTGTGCGGAAAGGCGTTTGGGACATTGATTTGAACCGGAACAACCCAAGTTTCGCCAGGACGAAGAGATGTGAGCCGGGTATTATCTATAACCGTCTGAATGGAACAGCCATAACCAGGAGATAGAGAAAGTTTCAGGTCGGATATAGATCCTGGACGTATGCCAGTACGAAGCTGCCGGATGACCTTGGCTACTTTGCGTATGAAATGGGCTCCACGAGGGCACACATCTCCGCTGCTAGTATTGTAAGGAATATGCCAACCGGCCTGGGAGTTCGGCCGAGTCACCAGCAGACAGGGTTGAGGAGTGATGGTGTGAAATCCAATGGCCTGGTCAATCCACGGAATCAACAAATGATCTGGTGGCCTGGCCGAAACAAAGAACAAATGACAAAAAGCGGGTCTGGTCGGAGTTCCAAACATGCTGGTAACCTGCTGAATGATATTTCCAAGATCCGGAGGAGCTCCATATTGTATGAAGTGCTTGCGTTGAGAGAATCTGGTCAGGGTAGCTCGAACAATGTCGAGGGAATGGAAGCCCAGAGGCAGCAGGATTTCAAAACCGTGCTTCGCCGCTGGATCAACACAAGCCAACGCGATCCGGTCATGATTGTGAACCAAATTAGACGCCAGAACAGAGGGACCCAAGGAAATCTGAGTTAACAGATTAACCGAGGGCTGGGACCTGACAAGCAAATGAGCCTATGAGTAACGCAACAGTTGACTCAACGGACCAAAACTCACACTCTATCAAGAAGAATGATTGCATCGAGGGGAGCAAGACCTGAAGTTCCTGGAGAGAAAACTGAGCTGACATCGGCAGAGACATGGACAGTTGTCCACAGAGACACGGGCCCCAGGCCAATCTGCGATTTGCTAGTCGTCGATTTCACATCAACAAAAGCGACGGGTAAGTCCATTGGGAAAATATAGTCTGATTTGACATGAAGATACTGGTTCACCGGCAAGTTTTCGATTTGGGGAGTGAGAGGCCTCGATTGCAACGTCCCGCTTGCCGAGATTGAAGGCACAGGTAGCCCGGAAGAGTCCCAAGACCCCGAGCTCCACCGGACTGTCAATCTCGGGATAGGTCGATATCGATTCTTGGCTTGTTCTACTTGTTGCTCATAGGCAAAGAATCGCGAGTTCTATATCGTCATGTCAACATGGGAACAAAGAAATGCGGAGCAGGGGCGCAGTCACCTTGTCAACAAAGGGGTCATCTGTTGAATTGAGATCGAAGCCATTCGAAAATCGAGATGTTGACGCATTTCTCTCTCGGGTTTTGATAACTCGAATTTGATATAGACTTTCGCAAAGAGATGGCGTTCTTGTTGATGTTGCCGGGCCATCGGTGCCATCGCTCAGACTCGCCGACAATGAAGATTGTCGACGCGGAATCTCTGGGTATGACGCAGCGGAGCCTGTGCTTTGACTTCGTAGCAACGTGAAACTCTTCGCTGTGAGCACTTGGGGCATTGTCCCTTCCATCGTTAGAGAGATCTAAACGTGATCTCGGCTTCGAACGGGCTCCGCGTACTGGAGAGGCGACTCTGAGGCCTCGGTCCACTGCGTATTCGTGCCGCCTTCAGGATCGGAATGGCTTCTCTTCTTCCTGTATCCGTGTCTCCGAGGGAGAAGACGTTCCAGCCAAGCGGGTCTGGTGAATTGACGGCTGCAATATTCGGAGCACGAAAGGGCCACCGCCACGGCCACAAACAAGACGACAATGGGAACCAGGACTAGAGAGATAAGCAATGCAGAGCTTTTGAAATCCAAAGATAAAGTATTGGTCATTTTGTACAGGTGTAGCAAGGCATGGCCGGAGGGATCCATGAATCTCCGGGAGTTGTAAGGTCAACCGAAGCGTTGGCCATGGGGAGGGCCGTCTGGGCAAGAACGATGCACTTTTGGACATGAAACTGGCATTTGCTGGGTATATTTTAAGGCAAGCGCTATCATTCTGTATGCACGTCGGCCACCGTCATCATCATTTCCTTCACTGAGCTCAAGGTCGCGTCGTCCAGCCGCGAAAATCGAATCTGTTTATTTGGTCAATCACCAGCCGCTATCAAAACATGGAGTTCAACCCGCTTACCATTTCATCGCCCCCGCCACGAGCAGCGCTTCCAAAAAGCATTGGATCGGAATGGCTAGCTTCAATCTCATTCCGAACTCGTCGAGCCCAAATTCCATCCCAATGCCAATCCCCCGGGAGCCGTGCCTGCGGACTTCCTCGCTTCAAATCGCCTGGACCCAGCGCACCCCGACGGTGTGCCCTCCATGCATGCCACGCGCCGGGATTTCCTGCCGCCTCTACTGGCAAAGAATCCAGAACCTCTTCATCGTCAAATGTCGAACGAATGTACTCCAACAATTCCGCAACGGGCACAACCGTCCTCGGCTCTGCGAATTGTCCAGCCGCAGGTACTGGGGAGATCCGCGACTTCTCATCTCCCGCTGGAGCCTGCTCCTCCTGGCTTGTGGCAGTAGCCGACCCCTCTGAAGCCACAATGCCTTCCGCCCCAGAGCCGCCCGATGCGGTTCTTGCGCTGGAGACCGTGCCAATAGTATTCCCGCTCACATTTCGAGATGACTTGCCGGAGGCTAGACCACTTCTTTTTGCTCTGCCAAACCAATGTGGGAACCCATGGCGCAGGCTAAACCCGCCGGGCGGCAGTCGCTCCTCGTCGGTCGCGCTGACTGGATCGTCGCTTGTCGAGCTAGTGCTGAATGTGTATGTGGTGAGTGGAACAATCAGCGGGTGAAAGACATCGGTTGCAAAGGTGACTAATGGTGGAAGATCAGGGTAGATATCTGGGAACCGGATTTGAAAGCGCAAGATGGCGGAGGCATAAGGACCTGAAAGGAGGGGGAAATCGTTAATCGATAATCCGTCGCACGGTATATTACATCCACACTCACCTGAGCGGACAAAGATCACCCCATTCCACAGAGTCGGATCTCCAGGCGCGAGGCTCACGTAGACTCCGGGGGTGCAGCTTGTCGCAAGCTTGCGCTACACGGGGGAAGGTCGGGTATGAGTATGTCTGGCCTCCTGAGTGAGTGAGATAGGGAGTGCTCACAATTCAAGATGAAGCTGCTGCTTCCGAATAGACGGAATACAGGGTAACCTGGTCGTCGACATGATTGCGCTTAGTAGAGTGGAGCAGCAGCAGGTTGCACTTTGAAGTTGATCTGGGGAACCTCGGGGGCTCAACAAAACACGACCGTGGCTCTTATCGCCCGAGCTTATCGCCGACCTATGGATCTCTGAGCATCCTGACCTCGGAAGTGTGCACCGCACCAGCAGCGACGATGAATGAGATGCCCGCCAACTGAACAACGCTAATCATAAATGGCTTACTATACTGGGCAATAATGGTCAGCTCTGAAAGCGGGGTCTGAAGAACGATCTTGTGCGATGATAAGACCTGGCATCCCCGCTGATTCCACCGGGAGTACCAGCCTCCATCACAATCCACAATTTGCTCAAAATGAAGACAATTGGGATCTGCATTCCAACCATCGAGGGGGGTGTGGTCTGCCACCAGGAGATTGGTCTGAGGCCATGAGGCGAGGCATTGCCTATTCTCCCATCATCACCCACACCCCGCAATTCGAGGAGATCAATCAAGCTGTCAAAACGGATGATTTCGACTCGCTGGCAGCAGTCCTCAGTGAGTCTATCAACCGGACGGCTCAAGCTGGTGCGGACTTTGCCATCATGCCCTCGAACACACCGCATATCGTGTTCAATGAAACCGCAGAGAAGTCAACGATTCCCGTCCTCAGTATTCTGGAGGTCACAGCCAGTCACTGCGAGACGCATGGCTACAAACGTGTTGGTATACTCGGGACAAAACCTACTATCCGAAGAGCTCTCTATGATGCCCCATTAGCAAAACGGGGTATAATCTCGGTCTATACGTCTGAGTCGGAACGGGACCTGGTTCACGATATCATTCAGACTGAGTTGATCCGTGGAATCTACTCCAAGCAAACATGCGACACACTGGTGAGCATCGCAAGTCGACTGGTCCCGAAATGTGATGCCATCATTCTAGGATGCACGGAGTTACCGCTTATCCTCAACGAGGAGAACTGTGGGATTAAAGTCGTGGATACCACGAGGATCCTGGCCCATGCAGCATTGGATTTTGCAATCGAGAAATAGGGACACATGAACAGTCTTCAGTTGTGTAAATTTCGTCGAACGTGGGAAACATTACATGTCATTGCATCGTATATCTAACGTCTCTCTATGGATAGTGCCAATCTATCAAATTCTAAGCCAGGTTTCAACAATCCCAAATGCATCATGCCTTCGCCTACACCTTCATAAATACCCCCCGCAACACCCTCAATCCACCAGCTGGCAAGATTTCCTACCACAGCCCCAACCCTGCCTTCATTCAGCTTGCAAACAGCAGAGCTGATATTGGCACTACTTCTGCCCAATCCATCCGCCGCGTCTAACGTAGTCGTGACAATCCGCTCGGTGATTCGATGCGATCGTTCATACTCGTATACTTGGCGGAGGAAGAGCCTAAAGTACGGCAATAAGAATCGAATGATAAGGAAGATCTGCACAATACTCGAAGCGAGTAGCCGGTGGAGGTGCGACCTCGGTGGCGGAATAGCTCTGGACTGTGCAATTCCATCCAAATGAGCTATTCGCGGCTGTGAAGAGATTGCAACTGCGTCTTTCACTTGCTCGGGCAGGCGGTGTTGGAGCATCGTTGTTTCGTCGGGTGTGAGATCCGAAGGGAGTGCATCGAGCAGATACATCACGGCACTGATATAGAGGGATCGAGCAAGGCGGCCATCTGCTTGTGGTTGTTGGGCTTCATACCCAGCGTTTCGGAGGAGGTTAAATGCTAAGATAATGAAAAAAAGCATAGCATTAGCCGCTGGTCGCTCTGGCGATATATTCTCCTTGAGAGTGTACAATCTTACCAGGTACAACCCGGTTCCATCGCAACCCCGATTCGGTCTCGTATTTGGTAGGAGAGCCTACCTCTTCCACGGGTGGACTATTGGATTCCATCGATCCGGAATCCAAGGAGCCCAGGTCATCACTCGCCGTCGAAGGCCGTTGCGCTTCAGTCGCCGCTCGCGCCAAAAGCCGGCCCTGGACAGGCAGATGCGGCTCGGACAAGGTGGTCAAATCATTTCGCCAGGCCCCGCCCGGCTTGTTATCGGCTACAGCCCTGTGGGACGAGTAGAGTCGGGATAGCCGACGCCGAAGCAAAGCCGGGATGGGAAGAATTGGGAAGCGGGAGTACTCCATAAGCTGGTAGATGAGGTGGACTGGAAGGATGAGATGGGAATCAGATTCATTGAGAGGATGAGAGAGCGAGGTGATAGAGATAGTGCAGCTGTAGGAGCGTTGGAATGATTTGGCAGATAACGGTCATGCTGGGGGGCAATAATTTCTTGCATGGCGCATGCGCCTAGTAAGAATTGCGTTTCACATGTCAGCGTTGCGCCGTCTGATATGCCGATAAGAGAGGGTGGGGTCGGGATTTAGTGGGGGAGAAAGAGATCACTCGAGTGGAAGAACATGGTCGATTATTAGGTAGTAGATAGTTTCGGGATCATTCTAGATGTTTGCAATTGAGAATCTCGAAAGTTTGATACTAGTCGCACCTCTGGAAATAGTTTTGACGTTGTTTTGGTTCTTGTGCATATAGAGGTTTAGCGATTGAACAGCATCCATAGGCTCATTCCATGTGATTTATCATGAGACTTTATAGGCTCTTTCTTTCAGAACCCTTCTGAGAGATTTACCTGGCCTATACATACGGGCTCGAAAGTATTAGGCATTGTACTTGTGCCATGCCAGAAAGTTGGATATCACGGATTAGTTCACATTCAAAACTTCGGTAGGAGCATCATCTCTTTCAGTTTAGAGTGCTCTAGGAATGTTCAGATAAAGATAAAATTCTATGTATATGAGCACTCAATCTACTCCAACAATCTGATGTAGCATTTCTGCTTCTCAGGATAGCAGCAATGTGTACATTGGATAATTGCTCAGTGACTAGATAGAATATGACATAGCATTCTATGAAGCCCCTAGTAGCTGGTGACGTAAATAGCATAGTAGAGTGACAGTTCTTGTTATCTGTACGATCTGTACGATATTAGTATACCTTGCACAGAGTGTTCATATTCCCTGGGGATACCAACATCTACATGACAACGACAGAGACAGAATTATCTCGATTGTGCTTAGTTAAACTGTACGTATCATTGTTGCTTTCCTTTACTTTTTCGAAGGGACCGAAGAGCCTAGCCCTCATTCCATCTCTGTTATTGCTTTTCAATACCTTTGGCATCTATGAGTTTTCTGATAAAATCGAAGGTATTGGGGGGGTGACATGACTTAAGGTCTTGGTCCACAACAGCTGGATCAAAGATGTGAAATCCTGGTCCCATTTTGTCCACAGTTTTACGTCTTACTATATCGATGCTTTCAATCACTTCCCTCTACTAGAAGAAAGTGAGTAAGATCGGCACGCCTCAAGACGGCTTGGTGGGCTATTGACCATTGTGAAAGACCCGCGCTAGGCTATTGGAACTTTCTCCGTACGTCATAATAGGCCTTTGTCATCCAGCGAATACCCGAGAATCATAAGAATAATGCGTCAACAAATTCCACAAGGTTGGACTTATGGTCTCATGAATGAAAAGTAAAACTGCGAAACGGGTGTGGTGTTGGTTTCGATTGGTTTCTTAATGCCCGGTTCACAAGGAAGTCAGTTTGCGGGTATGGGTAAGCAACACACCAACATCCGTCCTCCCCAACCACCCAACAAATTCATCCAGTTAGTTAGTAGTCCACTAAGCACTGAGTAGTCAACACACCCATACATGAGCTCGACGAAGTAGAAGATTGCATCTTACAATCATATTATAATCATGGCTTTATATTCGGATATTTTTTGCATCGTTATCTTTGTACTTTTCCATGCAATCCTCATCGCTTTAGATTCCTCCGGCTTGCCGATCAATCACCCCCGAAACCGTCACACTGCCGAAAAGCAAGACCACGATGGCGAAAACTAAGTCAGGAGGTCAGAAACTCGCCTCTCGATCATGTTCTCACTGCCTTGATGACGCTAGGCGAGAGCTACCATAACTTCCGCCACGAAGTAAGTATATTAATGTCGTTTGCTTGGGTCGTCGGTCCTGCTGATTTTCCAAGACTGACTGTCGCAGTTCCCATCTGATTATCGCAACGCCATCGAATGGTGGCAGTATGACCCAACAAAATGGTCAATCTGGATGTGGAAGCAACTGGGTCTGGCCTCTAACCGTGTTCAGCAACTGCAGAAGGTGGTTGACCAACAACGAGCCAAAATTGACTGCGGAGTTCCCTTGGAGAAGCTGCCAGTCTTTTCCTGGGATGGGTTTCTGCAAGATGCTCGCAGTGGGAAGGCCCTTGTTGCGATCGCCGGTATGATTCATTATGTGACGGACTGTGTCAATGAGCATCCTGGCAGCAAGGCATTCATCAGCTCTGGTATTGGGAAGGATGCCACTGCACTTTTCAATGTCGGAATTTATAATCACTCCAACGCAGCGCACAATCTTCTCTCTAACATGCGTGTTGGTGTTATCTGCGGTGGTGGTGAAGTTGAGATTTGGCGGCAAGCGCATCCTGAGAAACTTGCGCCTGTCGGAGTTGCTTAGAATTGGTCGAACTCTAACAAGTGCTCAAGTAAGGCGAGTCCAATCCTTCGATATCACCCATCGTTAATCTAGATATAGTTGTGCAATACCCTGCATTGTCAATACACACACGTGACCAAGCCGAATAACGACTACAATGGTACTCTCGAAAACAAGGGCCAATTGCCACTCGTGTGGACTCTTTGCAGTAAAGGTAGGTCAGGGTAGTGACTATTGATAGGAACCAAAGAGAAGTGCCAATGAAACTATGAAGCAGCGGCTTTCTGGTCTGGGTTGTTCGGAAGGCGGCAAGATCCACAAAGAAATTTGGATGGGGCAAAATGGCAGAAACTGGCACGTGCAAAGGCGGTCAAACGTATGATGAGTACTGATTGGTCAGCGAATTGGCCAGAGCGCAGCAATTGGCTGGTACGACCCCACAGATTTATGGACATTTTTATGGCTTCATCAAACCCCCAAAAATTTTCATTGCGACGATTATGGGTACAGAAAAAAACAAAATGTAACTCCGATAGGGGGAATCGAACCCCCGGCTGCCGTGTGAGAGACGGCGATGTTAGCCACTACACCATATCGGACTGAGATGGAAATGTGCGCCAACAAAGCGGTATGCGAAGGAGCCACAGAGTGATTGAGGGAAGGTCTTCAGAGTACTCACAAGTCCACTGATACTAGATCAACATTGCCATGGCCCTGAGTTATTGACTGGGAAATTGAATTGGTTAAATGATACAATAAAACGCTTGAAAGGAATATGCGAAACCCGGTTCAAATTCCAGCCAGAATTAATTCCATGCCAGCTTCCCTTGACATATTCTTGGCTCCACGTTAGCCTGATGGTTCAACAATACCATAGCAGAACAAGGCCTCAATGATCACCCTCGATCAAAATGAACACGTCGAAACCGCTGCAGCAATCGAGCTGTCTTTCGACTGCCATTGGTTACTGCCGCAGCTTCTGCTTCATAAAGCTCGTGGTATAACTCCTCGGACTCCTCGGCGGATATCTCGGCCCAGTGGAGATCAAACCATTCAAGGATGGTCTGAACACATGTCGCATAGCGAATGAGCGACGGGCTTTGTGTTGCTGCGAATCTCAAAGGACTGTATCCATTGTTATCTCGGAGGCGGGGGTCTGCGCCCCGTTGCAGAAGGACATTTAGTTGATTGGCATGGTAATCGGCGATAGCCTTCCAGATACAAGTATACTGTAGTTGATCTCGAGAGTTTATGTCCACACCACTCCTTAATAATGTATCAAGGAACAATTCAGTGGGGCAATCGGAACTCTTGAGGAGCGCGGCTTGGGCGATGCACTCCGGAAGGATATCCATATGAGAGATTGTGATGCCTCGTTTCAAGAAAAAGCTAGCAACCTGAACATTTTCTCGTCGTATTGCTTCAATCACTGAGTATTCCATTTCGAGATAGTGCGCAGTTTTTGGATCAAGTCCGTTTTTGAGAAGGAATTCGACCATCGCCAAACCTCCACGACTGGCGTCTAGCCACGGGAACCCCACGCTATGCCCTTCGATTGAGAGTGGGAACTTGAGCGGAAAGCCTCGGGAGAGTAACGCTTGGGCAAGTGATGGACGTCCTGACTCGAGAACCCGCTGGAGTACAGATTCTTCTTGTTCCTCAACATCGGTAGGGTTAGCCCCGTGGTCAAGTAAGAGCTCGAAGCACGCATCGTGTTCTATAGCCGAAAATAAAAGGTCGTTAAACCAACTTGTTCTTCTAAATTCCTCCAAGTACTTTTCAAGGAGGACTTCGGCGACCTTTAGGTGTCCCCTTTGTATAGCACGCTCCAAAGGCTCTCGATGGTTGCCATTGACACCGTGCTTGAGTAGTATCTTCACAACCGAGTCATGTCCCGCCTCGGCAGCCCATTCTAGGGGTCCTTGACGCCCAAGCTTGAGATAAAGTATCCCTTCTGACCATCCATCCTCTGGATAGCAACCTTCCTGGAGCAGCTTTTGAACGAGTGCATCTTTACCAAGAGTGGCGGCAATCGTCAAGAGTGTCACTCGGTTTTCATGTCCTTCCCGGAGTAAATCGAGATCCATCTTCTCGGCAATGGCTTGTGTCATGGCCACCTTTGTTTCTTTCTCCCACCTCATTGCAGAGTAGATAGGGAGATTTCCGTCACCTGGAGTGGGATTCACATTTGTGCCGTGCGCAAGCAAGACATGGACGATATCAATATGACTTTGGCTGGCTGCGATCATAAGGGGGGAATCCCCATCTACAGACAGCAGATTTGGATTTGCTCCTTGCTCGAGCAAGAGCTCCACTGCTTCCTTCTGACCGAAAGCGGCAGCGGAGCACAATGCTGTATCTTCACTTCTGGTTTCTTCATTCGGATCCAAGCCTACCTCCTCCACAAGATACCTCATCATCGCAAGCTCTCCACTCGTCGCAGCTAATGATAACAACTTTTCGTTTCTTTCAGTAGAAAATTCGTCAATCCCGTGAGCAACCAGGACGCGTGCAACAGCTATTTGTCCACAGGTCACGGCGTTAGAAAGCGGGGTTTCCAAGTCGCGAGATAACAAAGTGAGGCGACCAGTTTCCTGCTCATTATGAATGGAAGTGATTCCACTTTCGATGAGGTGTCCAAGGACTTGATCGTGCCCAAGGAATATTGCCTTTCTCAGTACTTTCGTGGCGGTGGGCTTATCCACAGATGCTAGGATACCTGCCTCAAGGCATTGAGCAAAAGCATCTTCATTGCCCTTGTCGACAATCCACTCCAGCACTGCATTGCTGCAATCGGGAAGTACTTTTTGGTAGAGGTATGTGTTCACAAACGCATGGAGTTGACGATTAGCCACGCCAAACGCCGTCAAATCCCAGCCGTATTCCAAAAAGTGGATGATCTCAAAGAGAAGTTCGTTGGGAAGATCTAGGATTCCCATGATGGGATCTGGCCAAAGGCCCCTGAATAGGTGCTCTATCGATGTGGGTGTGAAAGCCCAAAGAGCGTAAAGCAGAGTAAGCCTTGGGTGCTTTCCCCTGCCAGAGGTTGGTAACGCGGGGACCGCCCCCACGTTTCGGCTGGTAGTTGGGTGGCCTTGTCGAGAATTAGCACCACTCGAGGCTCTTCAGATTCAGGTACGAGAATGCAATCTAGGATGTGCGATCTTGGGCAAAGGAAAGAATTTGGGGCGGGATCTGAGACTGCATGCCTGAAACTACATTAGACGGGGCGAAGCAAACAAGCTGGCCCGCATCGAAGTGGGGGCAGACCCTGCCAAGGCCCACTTTATATCCGCTTCTGAACTATTCACTGCTACCTTGGGGGCCTTTGGATGTAAATAACTTTGTGCTTTAGCCCTCATGAAGTTTTGGGGGGCCATTTCTCTTTCCCATAACTCGGATATTGTCACAGTCTAAATATATCAAATGACTTATTGGCGCTTGTTACGGCCTCATGGGGGCCACGCGAGAGGACCCTTAATCTGTCGTCGGGAAGAATTGCTCGTTGACTATAAAATCAATATTTCACCCCTTTTTTCTGCCCTCGTCTATTGTTCATAAAGTCACGTTAAAACGTTGGGATACCGATTAAACAACCACTGTCCCGCCATCTTTCTTTCAGCATGCGTGTTTCCTGGGCTAAGGCTATTTGCCTTGCATCCTTCTGGGCCAGTTCAGCCACGGCCCTCTATATAGACAAACCGGCGTACGTCCCCCTCGCTTGTTCCACTTTTGACCATTGAAAAGCATTTGGGATATTTGACTAATCAAATAATTCTCAGACTGGAAACTAGAGAAACGAACTCCATTGTCGCTCGCGATATACCGCAAGATTGGGAAGGGTTTGATCAAAGTAAAGCTGGAGACAAACAGAAAATCAGTCAAATCACGCAGGCCTTTAGGGATATGGATACTATGGTATCCCGTGTTCTCAAGGCACTCACAGCCAAAGACTCGAATGATGAGGCCCAATCTTGGGATAAACAAACGGCACTCATAGTACTTGGTAACTACTTTAGTCCCGACAAAAAGACAGCTGGAGGTCCTACCCAGCAGGAAATCGTTGTCGATGTGTTGACGAACATGGTTTACCCCCCTGGCAAGACTCCCGGGACTGGTTCCGCTCTGTTTATAGCTATGACGATTGGCAATGGTCTCGATGAAGAGAGCTGCTCCGCTAAAGATGCTGATGGGAAGCCGAGCAGTGTTGCGGCGTACACGGTTTCTGGAGGAAACTGTGGCACATCAATCTACTTCTGCGACAATGATAGGGTCAATCCGTTCAAGTATCCGGATCTTTCTGGACTACCGACGGATGCGGCCCAGTGCAAAAAGACCTTCAAGGATGGCAAGGTGTCCTATAAAATGGCGCCATTGGCTTATATCCTGATTCATGAGCTGACGTGAGTGATATGAAACCTTTTTGAAATAGTTACGTTGCTGATAGAAAGCAGCCACACTCTCGAGGTCAGCGAACTTCCATTCAAGAAAGCCAAGGTTACGGACAAGCTGCAGGCCACGGATGATCCTGCGTATGGGCCCCAGAAAGTAAGAGCACTCAGGGATAAGCCAGAGAATGGGAGGTACGCTGCTACCAAGGACGTTCTGCTGGGTCCAATTGAAAATGCAGACAGTTACGCGTGGTTTGTTGTTGTAAGTTACCCACGAGACTTGAGTCGAGACCTTTCAGCGCTAATTTGTGGCTCTTATAGGAGGCCTACTTTTCTTTGCTCTGCCACGAGAGATTTGGTGCACCTACCTCGAACCAGATGGCTCCCGATGGAGTTTGCGCGAACGGGCCCGACAAGTGCACCCTCATGTAATGAGATAGGCTATTGTCCTTGATAATAGAAGTTGTTTGACAAATGGTGAAACAGTGTCAGTCATAGAGATTGTGTACCACCAATGAATCGGCAAAAGTCTTCAGGATAGTCAGATTGGAGACCGACAGGCGATTATACAAAACCACATGAATATTGGTTCTGTTTGCTTGACAGGCTTGACATTCCAAAGCCTACCTGGGCTGATGGAATCCCGTATTCCCAGAAAAGGTGAAATTTGTTTAGATATCACTGCACCCAATCAGTATTAACTTGGGTTATCATATATTGCTGATTACCTGCTGAAAATCGTCTGATGATGGTGTACATTCCTGTGACGCATTATCACCATTGTGCTGCTAAGTGGCCATGAAAGTATTTGCTATTGATTTGAATGTTTGGGTATCTACTGATTGACATCCGGGTGCTAGCACCTAAATGAGACATCTCTATAGATAGTTCCTCTTTCCCCCATCATTTCTCTCCGTATTTGAATATGTGATATCATTTTATGGCATCAATACGCTTGAAAATTTATCAGAATGTACTCAGGACAAGGCTATTTGCCGAGAAGTAGCTGTATCCTACTCCTCTTTAGGGCGCTCAGGGAGCTCCTGCTCCTTAGCGGCGCCCGGGTGGCGGGAGCCCCTATCCTTGACCTTCTTTTGCTTCTTTTGGACAACTGGGGGAGGGTAGGCCTTAAGAGTGATCTCTTGCCATTCGGCCGAGGCTTGGTAGGCATCGTGAATAGGTGCCATGAGACGGGTCAGAGCTTCTGCCGCTGCAGGTTTGAGAGATTGGGGGGTCAACTGAATGATTATTAGTAAACGTTCCCTTTTCATCGAATTTTGTAGCATTGATCACATACAATATCGTTTGCGTAATCATCCTTGAGTTGTTGAATGTCGGTGTAGATCAGGGGCTCGGCATCCCGGCGTTCAACGCGGAATTCCTTTGTGCCTGCGAGAGCGGCCGCGGGAAGGAGAACAAATTCAACCAGGGCGATAATGCCGTTGTGTTCAACGATTTTAGGGACCGCCTCAGACTTGCGGATCTTCTTAGCGACCACCTCCGGGGGATCAAGAAGATCAATCTTGCTATCTGCTTGGAGTGAGAAAGGTCATTGTTGCAAAGAATTAGAGTCCTGCTTACCTTCAACACTAGAGCTCATTTTACCTCCACTCAAGCCTGCTACCATTGGCGTGATGAGATGAGCGCGCTAGGGAATGGATTCACATTAGACATTTCCTGTTGCCCAAGTGGACAGAAGCAGCATGTTCTTACCTTGCGGTAACCGAGCTTAGGCAGCCACTCTGTCGCCGCCACGAAAAGCTTGCGCTGGTCGAGACCTACTCATCTGATTAGAAGTGCGACAGATGCAGCAGATATATGCCAGAACATACCACCCAGTTCTGCGTCGACCTTAAGGTACTCCTCATCGAGGACCTGAAGAATGGGGTATAGCAGACCACTCAATGGGGCATTGGTGGACTGCTTCACAATCTCTGCACCAGCCTTCCTGCAATCATGCTCGGAAGTCAAAGCGGCCAGCCGGTAGACGTCCATCACGTAGTCAGAGTTGCGCTGGTAGGAACTGCCGAGCACAAACTCGAGCTTCTCCGTCGACACGCCGACAGCCTCGAGGATTGCCGTGATAATTTTCTGGTAGTATTTGACACGGTTCTCAACCAATTCGAGGGGAGCCTTCATGGAGTCCAGGAATGCGTGCACATCGGCAAGGAGGATGACAACCTCACATCCTGCGGCGAGCAGCTGGGCAATCTTGAGCGCGGCGACAAAGTATCCGGAATGAGGCTTGCCAGTAGTAGCAGTACCTAGAAGCGGAAACGAAGATTATGTTAGTTGGCCATGTAGGTCACACGTTTAAGATAGGTAGTCGTTACCCCAGTACACACGAGGGTTGCGCCCCTCCTTGAGGATACTCTCAATCAGCTCAGGATTGAGAATCTCGCCGAGGTTCTCGCGGATGAGATCAAATCTTTGCTCTGCAGATAACGCCATCTTCACAGGATGAAGGAGTAGGGGTCGACTTCGGAGTGAGCAATAATATGAGGGGTAACCACAGAAAAACGAAAATAGCAGAGAAAATGCCAGGCGGAATCACCCCGCAATTAAACCGGCAGAATCAAAACGGTAGTAAGGGCGGTCAAATATGGTGAGTCACAACCACGTGACATTCGCGGATATAGCCAACGCCAGCCGCAGGCCTGAAGACCTTCTACTCCAGTCAGACTTTTGGATTCATGTATTGTGTGGGTGTTGTGGAAATACGGATATAGAATGGTCTATATTAGATACTTAAAAATGGGTTCGAACACTGGATTTCGCACTCAATATCACGTCAAGTATGGCGCCAAACCTTGACCATGAAGCCGACCCGACTTGGCTCTATCAGGTATTCCGCGTTCCGAGCAAACACTCCGAAGCGTATGTTTCCCTTGCCAACGCTTTTCTCTCCAACCCGACGCTGCTTTTGTGAAAGTGACAAGGACCATGGTCACTTCATAATCTCACTCAGGGCTCAGAGCAACTTGCTCAGTGGTAGTTGCATCGACCAAAGACAGAGATACGATCATTTGAAAGAATGTAGAGCGGGGGTTCAAGACATAGTAAGTCAAGGATAGGATAAATGAACAGGGTTAATCTAAAATTTTCCTGATTTCTCTCCAATGAAGAAACAGGGGGTTCTAAAGCCGAGTGACAAATCGCTGTGGCACCCAGAGGTGTACGAAGAAGTCTTCACACTTGAGTTGTCCTTAGTTAGACGGATGAACTGTAAAAGCCCGTTGAGGACAAAGTTGACTCAAAATATCATACCCGGTCCTGCGAGAGACTCGCATTGAAGCCATATACTCTATATCACAGCCAAGGCCGGCCATAGACGTGATCTTTTAAATCTTTTGTAGTATTATCGCTTGACTGGACGTGCGCTTCTTCTGGAAAAGTCTCACAACGAAAACGCAAAAACGACAGGCCTATTGATACGGCCCTTTCTTACGCATTTCGTACTTTCTTCTCGGTGAAGATACCAAGAAAGCAGCAACCACAAGGTCCATTTTTGAGTCACTGGAAGAACTTACCTGCTTGGCCTTTACATCTCAATTTTGAGCCGACCCGATATAATTTGTATCTAGCAAATAGTGGGATCAGACCTAACTCCGATGCTTGTGTGTTGGTGATGAAATTTGTGTGCGTTCTATGAGAATGGAGAATCACAGGTTGAAATACCCTCACGACTCATGCCTACTATACTTCGAGCACCATGCCTATTCTCGTGACGGTTCATGTGGGCTCAATTGTTCTCTACATTAAATCATGTAACGGACAAGTGGTTATCACAGTCTTGAGGTGGCTATTAGCCAACTTCCCGAGATACAAAAATAAGTTGATAGATTAGGGTCATTATAGCAAACGAGGTTCCCCTTTTTTGATAGCCTCCGAGCCATCTAGCAAGCCAATAGTATCCAAAGGTTGCTTCAAGACTGATTAAGCATTTTAGCGCCTTATATTGTTTTTAGGAATATGATAAAAAAGTGGCGTTGCCTCCAGATATTAATAATTCTCCACTGCTGCTTGACTTCCACCCTCTAGTCAGGCCGAGCTACCACAAAAGGCTGGTCTTATGCTTCAAGATCCCTCTAAAAAAGCTAGTTCATTATTCCTTCCTAACATAGGTGTTTTAATTTCTCTTTCCAAACTATATTCATTACCTTCTTTAGGACAGAATCGAGGAATTATATCTTTAGCTCTTGTGTACTTTGTTTTAAGATCTAAAAGTGAAAGAGATAATCGGAATATAAAGGTTAATAGGTGTATAGTTTCAAACAATGTGTCACTAGTACCGTAGTCTTCACAAATATAGACCAATTTCTATTAGTTATTATTGACATACACATTGATCGACTGCCCTGAACGATATATGCCAGAATGGTTAGAATAGAGGTACCTCTTTTTTTGAAATAGAAAATCAGTATTGGTAGAGGCTTCCCGACTCCTAATAAGTCATGCTCCGGACAGGCTTGACCCTGGCGGCGGTGGCTCCATCTTCCCGGCCCCGAGCCCTAACTCCTAGGCGCTACTGCGATAACTGCAAAGCGGCGGGCCACTCCTTCCACCATCGAATTCTACCGCACCGCGCTAGCTGCTAAGAAAAATAGCGGGAATGGCCCTACCTCTAACCCGACTATGGACTAGAAACCTCAAAACACCGCTATGGACTTCACCTAATACGACGTAGCGGACGCGGCTAACGGCCTCTTTATGTTTGCTAAGGGTGGTTAGGCGAACAATATGTAAATGAATCAGGCTCCGGTGATGTAAAGCGAGACCCGTTTTTCGGCCGCCCAACGCGTGTTATAAAATAACGGTGCTGGTGGTCGTGAGATGAGTGGCGATGGCTCGGAGCAGGAGCTCTCCTAAATTCATTTAATGGCTTTATAATGCATAACAAAATCAAGAGCTAGATCAAGAACCATAAAAAGAATGACGTTGTAGGATTTCCAAGCAAGGGGCCTGGCATGATTGAAAGGAAAGGAGAAGACATCATGCGGGAGCGAGAGACGGGAAGTTAATTTCTTGATAGATTCGTACTCATTCCATCTGAAAATTATCATAGCCCCCAAAGTTCACTAGTGAGATTCAAGGCGAGAGACTAAGCCACACTGAGGAATACTTTCTCAGAACCATGGCCAGAGCCTTTTATCAGACATTATAACCAGTACAGTTTATAGACTTTAACCTCAATTGAGTCTAAGAGAACAACAATGATCAAGATCAAACCCAAGAAAACCGTGATTTGATACTCGATAGAAGGACGTTGGCCCCAGTTACGGGCAATCATCGGAAGCGTACCTACCAGAAGGGGCTTCGATCGACCTTTGCTTTGTTAACTCAATAATTGGCTTTGATCGAGGAGCCTGAGCCGAGGACTTGACTTGGCTGCTGAACATCTGCTGCATGCATACCTGTTTTGAGACTACGGCTAGAAACGGACTTTGGCAGGTCTTCTCGGGACATTGCCGAAGAACTGCGTGATCGGGGTGGAAATGAAAATACTGAAACGTTTGGGCTCCAAATGGAGCCAGAGATGAATATAATAGTTGACTAGTGCATAGTTGCTGCAGAATCATACTGTCGTAGCCTGTATTAGTTGATCACAGCGCAAGTTTTAGGAATGGAGTGCCCGCGATGGCCTCAAAAGGAGAAGTTATGATCAACACTGGTATTGATATGACTCTGAATTTGGGTTTCAAACTCAGACAGAACGGGGATTCCATTGGCCTATCAGATTCTTCACAATAAGCCGCGGTTCTTCTCGAAATCCCGAGAAACAGCAAGTCGATGACTCTTCTACTCCGTTCGGAGTCGAGAATTAAACGCTCACTAGTGGATAGTAGTATGTCCGGTCGGACTCGAGCTAGAATTTTCATAAATGATTCATAATACGAACAAGACGACCCTTTGACTCGACGCATAAGTCTCGGACTACTCCGATATCGCGGGGGAGATGAATCACAACAGCCCGAGCGGGCATGCCAAGGCCGAGAACAAACAGAGCAAACCGACGGAATGGAAGCCAACCGAAGATCCACCCGAGCCCCGCCCCGCGGCAAGCCTTTCCCAATCGGGCTTGGCGTTGTCATTCGAAGGGCGTGCAGGTGCAGCGTCTTCTGATCATCCGGAACCTCGACCCTTTCTCCGGCCCTCTGGTTCGCTTCCAGCCAATCTTCAAAATGACGTTGTCGTCCTTGATCGGCTATCCCGAATCTTGACCCATGCTGCGGACACGAGCGCCCCCTCCTCGTTGGATGGGTAGACACGCCAATCATTACATTTGGTTATGACTGATTGCTTATCAGACATGGCAGGATAGCACGAGCCCTCCAAATGGCCGAAGTGCTGCCTGCATGAGCCTCCGGGGAGGAATGAACCAATATTATGGTAATATCGCTCGGATCTAAGTGGCTCTCGGTGGATTCTTAGCGTGTTAATGGCACATGGCTGGCGGTGCCGGAGCTTTGGAGGTTCAGAAATCGGCTTTGCTGGCCCCACCGCGAATGATTATTCACCCAACCACGGTGGCCTCTCGCCGCTACCCCAGACCAAGGATACGCCCTCTTCGCAGACCGACTCTTTCTTCGCATCTTCAGTCTCTCCACCGTGGCCTGAGCCTTACTTGATTCCCATATATCTCCGAGTGGTTCATTTCTCTTTTCTCTGTGCAACAAACTCCTGGAACCTCACGTCTGCCCTCTCGCCAGGCGCGCAGTCCCAGATGGAGTACTTTGATTTTGAAGGCGCCTCGTTGGCCCATGAATCAATCCATCAAAGCGACGATGTTGCCTCGCTTGATCTTGAATTTGATGAGCCTGAAGAGCGGGACGCCAGATTTGACTCGCTGCTTCAGGACCCGTCGTTGGACTTTCTTGATAATGCCCCCGTGCCGGAGTCGGCCGAACAGTTTGTGGGCGACTCTATCCGCCCCGATCAGGACACCGGAGTCTACCCCATGTTCCGAGCCCAGGAACCCTGTGACTTCTGCCGGCGAATGGGGCTGGACTGCTTTGTCGCCAAACGTGGAGTGATGCAGAATGGATGTACCTGCTGTATCTCGCTCTACCGTGAATGCAGTTTCACCCATGCCAAAGTTCCTGGCAAATTTCTTCAGACCTTACATCCCGTGTCAGAGAATGCCTACATTCCTACAGGTGGCTTAACGGGGAAAAGAGCACTCAAATCTGTCTCGTACGGTGCCTTTGGAGACGATACCGATGCGCGTTCTCGCAAAAACAGCACTCGATTCTCTCGCAGGGCCGTCACGATCCTCAAGGGCTGGTTACGTGATCACAACGAGAATCCTTATCCCAATGAAGCCGAGAAAGACGAGTTGAAGCACAATACGGGCTTAACTCTAACGCAAATCTCCAATTGGCTTGCAAACGCTCGACGACGCGGCAAAGTTCGGCCTCCTACTGGCCCCATTTCGACTGTGCCAGGCGCCGTCGACATTCCTAGCCAGTCGCGACATCCCAAAGATCCAGCTCTCATGACCCCTCTTGAACGTTGGAAGTACTCTCCTCCTGAAAACGAGCCGGCTACTATAAGTGATATTACCCGTGCTTTGGCCAATCCTCCATTTGATCCCTCGCGTCAACGCCGGACCCATCCTGGTCACGTGAGGACCCGTCGCCCGGGGTCCAGTACCAATGAGTCAAGCCACGCAAGCTCAGAACATAAAAGATATACTGCTTCGGCCAGTAGTTTGGATACCAGTCGGTCATCCATTTCTGACCTCTCTTTTGCTTCTGCATTCTCCCATCGATCCTCCCTTTCCTTTGGTTCAATGGATCGTAAGGAACGTCGTCGCCGCCGCAAACCTTCTGTACCTGCCAATACATTCAATCACCAGAAGGCCAAGGCGGTTCGTCCTTTCCAATGTACCTTCTGTACTGATTCATTCGCGGCCAAATATGACTGGCAACGCCATGAAAAATCTATGCACTTGATCTTGGAGAAGTGGATATGTTCTCCTCATGGTGGTGTAACAGAGCAGAATGGTATACTTCGTTGCGTGTTCTGCTCGGCAGCTAATCCTGATAGGGATCATCTTGAAATACACAATTACATTAGCTGTCAAGAGAAGTCTCTTCAGGAGAGGACTTTTTATCGGAAGGATCACCTGAACCAACATTTACGCTTAATGCACAATACCAAGTTTCAGCCATGTATGGAGAAGTGGCAAAGCAGCATTACAGAGATTACCTCTCGCTGCGGTTTCTGCGGAACTGTGATGCAAACTTGGAAGGACCGCGTGGACCACCTTGCCGGTCACTTCAAGAACGGTGCCAGCATGGCCCAATGGCAAGGAGATTGGGGCTTTGAGCCATCAATCCAAGAGCGAGTCGAAAATGCCGTTCCGCCATATCTCATTGACTATGAATGGAGGTCCCCTGATCCCTGGACTACCGTTCAAGCACAAGGAGACGGTGTCTCACCGCAGCTTCGAGTACCAGATGACGCCAATTGCTACATGCGCCTCTCACGTGAACTCACTTCATACATTCATAACCAAACAGCCCAAGGGGTTATCCCGAACGATGAGATGCTACAAACTGAGGCGCGTCGAATCATCTATGGGAATGACGATGACCCCTGGAATCAAACATGCGCCGACAATCCACTCTGGCTCACAATTTTGAAGCGGGAGACCGGCCTCGAAACTCCTGCCAACAACGACGAACTTCAACTATCTGATCTTGGGCTGCAGCCTCCTTTCGTTGGCCACAGTGGTGTGCGCAAACCCCCACGAGAAGCCAATCTTTTGGCAAGGGGAATCGGTGCTGGTGCCCTGCCCAGCCCAGCTGTGTCTAGCCCTAGTCTAAGAAGCCCCACGTATCCCCCAACAGGCTTCTCTTCTGCCGCACCTAGTGGACAGGGAAGTCTAGCAGGGAGCTACGCAGGAAGCTCAGGGATGATATCAGCTGGCGTGCCGGCATTCATCTCTGATTGGAGCAGCAGTCTACCCGGCCATGCTTCGTCATCTTCTGTTCATGCAGATGGAGAGCCACCTGATCCGCTGGTGCAGATGGGGTTCGATCCGGAGTTCCTGCAACGACTCAGCGATAGTTATACCGAGCTTACGCCGCCTGATATGGAGCTGGTACCTTTGGATGCACCTCTTGACTACGAGGGCAAAGGGAAGCAGCCGTGGTTGAATCCAGCATCCCAGACACTGCCACTTATGGGTGTGCCGGCTTCAGATCCCCTCGCAGCCCTTCATTCTGAAGAGGGCTATCCCCACACGTCAGATTCTGCCCAATCTGGACTGCCTGCATTCCGTGATGGGAATTTTTGATTTTTTTTGTGGCGGATACGACATCGATGCATGCCAGGTCAAGCTGAACTGGTAAAAGTTTAATTTTCTTTGGACGAATTCAATGGAAGAGGAGTGGATCTAGTATGATAATTTGATTTCTTCTACAAGGATACTACCCAATCAATGACCGTTTTACATCTTAATATTCATGTTGTCTTAGTTCGTTATCCTCGTGGTGGATGGTTGCGTTGGAAATCGAACTCTCTCATCACGCCCTCTTGAAAACTTTGAATCCCTCATTAGGGCCTCGCCATGTTTCTAATTCGTCCTGGAAAGACCTATACCTGATCCACCATCTACATACACACGTGGTATCATCCGTAGTCCAGGCAGTGCTGAAATTGGACCATTTCGCTGTCTTTTTTTCGTTTCCGAACTTCCTGATTGGTTGACTCAGACCCGATTCAGGTCAATCATAACTTTTTCTTTATCCCCAAATCCAGGATCATGGTTGAATCCTTGTCTGACACGCAGGATGCCGAGACGCACTAACCAGTCGAACCTGAGTCAGACGTTTCCTGTGGGTCAGGCACTTCTTTATTCTAGTTCTTGATTTGTCCTTCGTACACCACCGCTATTAAGCCGAGGTTCATGGGTGGAGTATCCCTAGGGCTGCGAAAGATGCATCCACGCATACCCCCGCAAGTCTCAGCCTCCATCACCTCGCAAACCTGAGTTCATCACGCTGCCGGAAATTCATCGGGCTGTAATCTTTCCGATATCTAGAGGCGTACTCTTTCGTTCTTCATGCGAGCGCTTACCAGATTGGGAGTTTCGCATGTATCAGCAGAGTCCCGCGCTGACGCCACGAGGACTTGATGTTTTCTGATTGGCCTCGTTCCAGGATCAAGATCCAAGATCCCAATGCTATATTGATGATCAATAATGGCGGTCGGATGAACTCGTCATTCCATCTGGTGTCTTCTGCAGGGTTTCGCGACAAGATATCGTCGCCGATTAACGTGTCGGGGACTGTTTCTTTGATGTTTTTTCTAAGGTGGATATCGCGAGCAAAGCTGCTGCTCCATTACAACAGCCTGCTAAGACTCGTAGGGCGTTCACTAACAGCTTTCAGGCAGAATTGGTATGCTTCATTAGCGAAATTCGTATTTTCGAAGATCCATTTTGATCTGATGGTTTTGTATTTAACCGCGAGCATCCCATGAATCGAGATGGTGCAACACTATATTGGATATCTAACCTAATCTACTAAAAAAGAGACTGAAACAATCATGGGTAGCTTGTTTCTGTTACTCCTATGTTTCACGGAGTGGGCATTTGCCGCGACTGTCTATTTTACGGCCAACCTTACCTGGGCCAACCATTCTGTCGCAGGGGTTCATCGAGAGATCATTCTTACCAATGGACAATACCCCGGTCCTGAGCTTCGATTAAACCAAGGGGATGAGGTTTACTTTGATGTACATAACGGTTGTCCGTTCAACGTGACAGTGCACTTCCATGGTGAGAACGACACCTTTTGCTAGTATACCTAGTGCTAAGACAGAGTTTTCTAGGCATCGAACAAATCGGGACACCATGGTCAGATGGAGTTCCCGGTATGTCCCAGACGCCCATTGAATCAAACAGTGAATTTCGTTACCACTGGAAAGCCGATCAGTATGGTGCCTACTTCTACCATGCCCACCATCGTGGCCAATTGGAAGATGGCCTATACGGACCGATCTATATCACTCCATCAAGTGATGTGGCAAAGCCATTTGGTCTGATTACAAGCAATGACACCGAGCTCCAAGCCATGGTCGATGCGGAGAAAAAGACTTCGCCACTACTGCTCTCTGACTGGCGTCTTTTGACGTCAGAGCAAATTTGGGATGCCGAGGATGCCTCTGGTATCGATTCGCTTTGTGCCAATGCTCTGCTGATTAACGGCAAGGGCTCAGTGACATGCTTTTCACAAGATGAGATCAATGCTCTCACAACCCCTGACCAGAAAGGTGCGTTAGGGAATGAGACTCTTACTGATATAGCGTAAGTGATTTGTGTTTTGCTACCAGCCCCTCTTCTCGAGAGCCGGACGTAGCTAATAAGTATTTCTCCTGGCCAGATGCTATCCTCCGGATATTGCCCAAGGCGACTATGCTCATAACATTAGTGCTTTACTGCCAACGATGTTCTATGGTTGCACACCTTCCCAGGGACGGCAGCAAGTCATCGAAGTGGATCCAGATTGTCAATATATCAGTTTAGACCTCACCAGTGCTGCTGGCCTACTGCAACTGACATTCTCCATTGACGAACATTTCATGTGGGTATACGCTATTGATGGACGCTACGTTGAGCCTGTCGAAATAAACGCCATCACCATCGCCAACGCAAACCGATATTCCGTTTTGGTCCCTGTGAACCAGACACCTGGAGACTACACAATCCGCATGGTCAGCGGTAGTGACCAGCAGATCCTCAATACAACGGCCATTCTCCACTATGAAGCTCCCGGCCGGCTGAACAGGACTTCGAACCCATGGATTACACTCACGGGTGGCAATTCCACAGCAGATACTGTTTTCCTCGGTGATACCCAAGTCGTGCCGTACCCGGCTATCGCCCCATCCACCGATGTCGCCGCCACGTATTTCCTCACGATCAGTCGCTATGGGGCGTCGTACCTCTGGACATTGGGAAACAGTAGCTTTAACCTTGAGCTTGAAGAGTCGCAGCCATTGCTTTTCAATCAAACCGCGATTCCCAGTGATTTGATTATTCGTACTGATAATGATACATGGATTGACCTGATTGTTCAAGTTGATTCACCCGCCCAGCCCGCTCATCCAATCCACAAGCACTCCAACAAGCACTATGTGATTGGCAAGGGCTTGGGAACTTTCAACTGGTCGTCAGTTGCGGAAGCGATGCAGTCTATCCCGGACTCATTCAATCTAGTCAACCCTCCGATCAGAGATACAACTACAACGCCGGTTTCTGCCACAGATCCGGGATGGCTGGCTATACGGTATCAGGTTGTGAATCCGGGTGCATTCTTGATACATTGTCATATCCAGGTTCATCAGAGTGGTGGAATGGCACTGGCATTGTTGGATGGAGTCGACGAGTGGCCCACGGTGCCTTCAAACTATCTGAATGATTCAGGGTTCTGAGATCATCATATGACGTATACCTTGGTTACGGGTTGAGAGATTGAGGTGGTAAGGTAAATATGGGGGAGTTGAGAGTTATAAGCTGGTGCGATTACAGATCACCATCTCTATATCGAAAATTACATGTCGAGACGGAAGATGATTGTTTGATCAAGAATCCTTCAAGAGAGTCAGAATCGGCGATTAAAAGACGCATACCGGGTCAATTCAATCCTTATAATGCGTAAGTTTTAAAACAATACAGAGGTTTTAAGCTTAAAATAATACATAGTTTAGCCTCTTTAGATTCTAAATAGGGTCTTATATGTAGAACGAATAGATCTTGTAGAAGATAGTGGTAGTGTTCTAAGGTTAAAATATATATTTCTAACCGTGAACACTGAATAGACCCTACCTTCTATTAAAGCTCGCAATAATGTTAGTTATAGATTTAATTAAAAGTGTAAATAGGTTATATTAGTAGTAAATACCCTATATACGATTAAATTTCATCTAAATTCGAAATTTTAGATAGATGAAATGGTTGAGACCAAAACCATGTTTAATAACCGTAAATAACAAAGATAAATCATTAAATTATGCGTCTAAAAGAGGAAACCCTTGGCAAAGTTATGTATTCGCGGGTCTACGAGGGTCGACCCGCTTCCGAACCGCATAGACCCGCGGGGCGGTGCGGTTCTCAGTATAGATAGGTTGCGGGTCTATGAGGGGCGGTTCGTGGTTCAAAAATTTAGAACCGCCCCGTCCCATCTCGAGGCCTAATCTCCGCGAGAACCTACAACTTAGATGACAATGTTGAGATGGAATGGGCATGCTTTTGGGTCCTTTCGTGGAGCCTGTTCAGTGGGCTCTTCACGAGACGGCGTGGGGGGAGAGGGCTTGAAGTGGGCCAACAACCCCACAAGACTATTTTCGGACAAGTTGATATCCAGGCGTCCATCACCTTCATAGATAGCAAGTTAGCACCAGGTAGTCGAACAACATGACCCGGTATAATTATGTCGTGCTCTTAGGGATGATGCGTGGAAATGGTCATAGCAAGGACATAGATCTCACTTAACACTGTGACACTCGAGTCCAATCTATCCCTCTTGCGCAAGCCAGCCTGTCCACGAACTCTGGAGACGGCCCAGGGCATCTCTGTTGAGGACTGCACAGCAGTTGGCATAGTCTCGGCTCCGGAATGCGCGTATGCGAAATCCCTACCTCAATCCGCCAAGTAATGTTCACTACCTCAGAGAACAAACTGGGACAGGCATATATCAAAGAAAACCCGGATAATGGGAGTTTGTATCTGTACGTCCCAATCAGGCCTGGTTGGCTGGACCTTATATGGGTTATTTGACGGCATTATTGGGCGGTTAGATTTACTCCCACGCGATCACATGGTATCAGCGGGGCAGACTCGGTCCTGAGACGGCAACATATTATTCCATACTTGTTCATTAGAGCTCCAGAAAAAGTTTGGAGATAGTAGTCGGAAATCGAACGGACTAGAACGCCTCTATCGGAGCGATAAGGAAGTCTCGAACTAGAGTAGCGAATTATGGTTGGGCACTGGTCAGTCGAGTCATTATCCATCCGGGAGCAACCTCACTAGCAGCAACCAAAGACACCTGATAATACTGTTCGAACACCGCACATTTGGAATATTCTATTGTCCAAGGTAAAAGGTCATTAATATTGAGATTCTATTCTACAGTAAATGATGCCACTTCGTTCTTACTCGAATTATGCTGAATACCCTGTCGCGAAAAAGAAAATTCCCTTGCTTAGCTGCTGTATGCGTCAAGGATTGATTCTGCGATCTATTCATTCCCCTCGATTACTGCGTAGTCCTTGCCATTCTGGGTACCAATTTGGAAATCGAAATGGGAGGTAGAAAATGAAACGAAAATCCCGAAATAAAGACATGTAGCTTTTGTAATGAATCGAATAACTTTTCACTTAGCTGCGTTTGCCGAAAACTCCCGCGTAAGCCGGTTTTCCCCTGGAGCATACGCTTCATCCGCCTCCTCACGAGCCATGTCGTTGATCCAGCGTCCATTAGGCCGAATGTTCACGCCTTTCGACAACTCCGATGCCAGGTACAGCCACGACAACATGTTGCCCACAGTACTCACCTCATCACTAACGCTGGTCGCCGCGTATCTGCTCATGCGATTATACAGTTCATGATCCATCCAGAGTTCAAAGAGATGGTTAGCTACCGCTTCCGTGTCACCGGTATCAACGAGGAACCCGTTCTTGCCATGCTGGACTTGCAGCGGGATTCCGCCGGCTAGGGTAGCAATTACCGGTTTGCCCATGTGCAGCGCTTCGGATACTTTGACCTCAAACCCCTCACGGATGGAGAGCTGTAGGGCTATCTTTGCTTTGGATAGAAGAGCGTTAAGGATCTGGTCACTGGGGCCGATGCGCATAATACAGATCAGCGACTGGATATGCTCGAGATGCTGCTTGACGAATCTTAAGGCAGCCTCATAAACAATCGAACCGTCTGGATCATCGACGGATCCATGTCCGCAAATGAGCAGTTTAGGGGGTTTAATGTCTGGATGTGCTCCAACGAGACGTTTGTGGAACGCCTCGTAGGAAGCAAGGACATCTTCAATCCCTTTTGAAGGGTCGAATCGCGCAACTTGTATGATGTAGTCCTCTAGCTTAGTATCAGTTCAAGTGATTTCTAGGCAGTTGTGCAGGGAACCGAGCCCCGGAAATAACTCACCATCTGGAAATGCGATGTTCGGCATGTACCGCTCCCGGCACTTCGAGTTGAAGATCCGCCCATAATAACTGGTGATCCAGTCAGTCATTGGCTTATTGAGTCCGTCCAGCAAGTCTGTTGAAGCTGGCAGATATCCAAGCATTCCTGAAGGCACATTCTCCGGGACAAAGGCGCGTATTGGATGGCTGATGAAGAGGTCTGCTTGCTTGATTGCGTCCCACAAGAAGTTCCAGGTCTCGGCCTGCGGTGTGCCAGGCGTGTCAATGAGATCACTCCGAAGCTGGATGTGACTACGGAAAATGACCGGCCGGCCAGGAGTTTGCGCCTTGATGAGCGGAATTAACCATGGCAGCTGCGGGTCGTCAATGATGATAACGTCCGCACCACCCTCCCACGGTGGCATTAAAGGGCCGTTGTTTTGTTGCCAAGGGGGAGGTGGCGGTCCATGTTCCCGGAGTAACGGATAGGCGTAAGAGTGAAAACTCTCAAACCACTGGGGAGCATGAAATCTCGTCCCCTTCAACCAGTACCTTTCCGTATTCTCAAGAACCCAATCATAGAGGAGGTCCCTATCATCCTGAGTAAATCGAGTGCCGATAGGTGCGACACCTTGCAGGATATTATGGTTGTTCTTCGTAATTCGGAAGATACCCGGCCTCGGCTTCGGGACATACCTAGATTGAATAGTGAGCAGAAAGCAGAGATGAAGACTTGGTACTGCAATGGATGCTAGCAAGAACCTACCACCTAAGATCGACACCGAGTACCTTTGCAAACCGAACCATGGCATGGCGCATTAGGGCAACGCCACCTCCTTGTGGAGTAGCACTGAAGAAAGCTATCTTTACCCTGCGTTTCTTTAGATCACTGGCATATTTATTGATTGCCGCCCACGTCGGGGCCCCCACTGTCTTTTCATAATCTCCAAGCCGGGTCAATTTTACGTGGAATGCGGCGTCGACCTCAACAAGGCCTCGGACACCGACCTCTGGAATGGGAGCTTGGCTAGGGCCGAAGAACCTGCCACGCAGTGAGAAAAAAATGAACTTAGCTGAAAGACGAAAGCCTAACCTGATACATTTCCTTGCGATTGATTCGGCGTGTTCGTCCAAAGACTTATGAGCCAAGTTCTCTTCGTATAGTCCCCAGCTTACTTTCTCCTCCGAGCTGTGCAGCACGATCGGGATGATATCTAGCTCAGCCCAAAGGCGCGAACAGAGATCAGGAGACTGTTCGCACAGATCGTTCGACATTGCTAAACCGACGAACTTTTGGCTGTGCTCCTCCTGGTAGTCTCTAACCTTCTCTAAGACGAACTCCGTGAACCCGGCCCAACCATCTCGACGACTGCCACTAGGGAACTCAAATTGAGCAAAGTCCAGCGGGTAGGTGTCATCACGCACGGCGAGGGCAAGAGTCGCTCCGGTCATGAGGTGGAATCGAACTGCCACACCTGCATAGATAGCCTGCGAAGAGTCAATATGCAGTTTCTGCACACGTTAAATGGCTCCATACGGTGAATGGCGGCCCAGTCCAGTCGTCTTCCCGCAGCTGGTCCTTCATCGGGCGCTGATATACGGACGACCGTCTTTCAGCTTCATCGCGGCTTGTAGAGATGGCGCCAGACATGGTGGACGCGCCTAAGCCAAATAGCATGTAGCGTTATCGGTTTTGAAAAACCATGTAACTGTCAATGGTTTTAAATGCAGCTGTCGGTTATGATGCTCCAGCTTACGCAACCGACTGGAGTGTACAGTGGTGTGATCGGTCTAGAATCCTTCATTCACCTGTTCGGAGGGGTAGTATAGCTTAACAGGTCAGCGCTATCCATGGTTCGCACCACTATGTCATTCTTTCCGCCACCCACCTTCAGACTAACTTCAAGTCTAGGCCGTTGCGACTAATCTGACTACTGTATTGAAAATATTAAAAAAAAAAAACACATGATAATTCTGTTGCTTCTCTTGGCGCTCCCGCCGGCGAGTTTGCCCCTCCAAGAACTTCAGACTCGCTCACTATATTTCTGGTTGTTGTGACGCAATGGAATGATCCAGCGTTTTGTGAATGTGCATATTACTCTACTGTGAATAGATATAGAATATTGTAGCATGCCACTACCTCGAGTACTCAAAGCCGGAAACAATATTCTCGTCTGAATGAACACATTGGATACTTGGTAAATCGACTGCCACTTTGAATTATATGTTCGAAATGTCGGCGGACCAGTCTCAAACTGGGAAGGACAATGATTGACTACTCATAGAACTTGTTCAAGATATCGAGCCGACTACGAAACGTATCTATCAATTCCCCAGGTCAACCACGATAGCAGCAAAGTAAGAATTTCTTCATAGTGCAGTTTATTTTGCCACAATTCCCATCTCACCATGACCGGACTTCGCTGCACTTGCTTTCATTATGGTTCCAAAATACTGGCAGGATGTACACGCGCAACCGCATCATCTGGTTCTGGTCAATGGCTACCCACCTCTTAAATATTACTCATCGCCACCATTCACCATTCTTCGTCTCTTTTCTTGCTTCTACTCTAGCGCCCTAGCAACTCGGACCCTTGTCTTGCCTCATTTCTTATCTATTTTTCTGTCCGTATGTCTTCGTCTCTTGAACAGCTTAGAGCCACTGGCACTGTTGTCGTATGCGATACTGGTAAGTCCCATAAATGATCCGAGATGCATTATGCGTGTAACGCTCTGCTGACATGTGAAATTAGGTAGCTTTGCCTGTACATGATCCAGTCAACATTTTCTACATTTCCTACTGTGTCGCAGTTCAACAAGAAGCTAACGTGCGATAGCTATCGACAAGTACAAGCCCCAGGATGCCACCACCAACCCCTCCTTGATCTTAGCAGCTGCCAAGAAACCTGAGTATTCCGCTCTAATCGACACTGCCGTCTCCTACGGCAAGCACAAAAGCGGAACAATTGATGATCAGGCCGAGGCTGCCATGGATCGCGTCCTGGTCGAGTTCGGCAGGGAGATCTTGAAGATCATCCCGGCAAGGTCTCCACTGAGGTCGACGCCAAATTATCCTTTGACACCCAGGGCTCCGTTAGAAAGGCCCTCGAGATCATTATAGTATGTTCGAAACACAATATTGTGAGTAAGAAGAATACAAGTGGACAATAACATCCTGCAGCTGTACGAAGAGAACGGCATCTCGAAGGATCGCATCTCATCAAAATTGCCTCCACTTGGGAGGGTATTCGGGCCGCCCACATCCTGCAGTCGCAGTACAGCGTCAACTGTAATCTGACCCTCACGTTCTCGCTGGTGCAGGCTATTACCGCCGCAGAGGCTGGCGCCTTCCTGGTCTCCCCCTTCGTAGGCCGCATCCTGGACTGGTATAAAGCCACTCACATGCGCGAGTACTCCGCCGACGAAGACCCCGGTGTCAAGTCCGTGCGGGCCATCTTCGACTATTACAAGAAGTACGGCTACAAGACCATAGTCATGGGTGCCTCCTTCCGTAACATTGGCCAGATCGCCGAGTTAGCCGGCTGCGACTACCTGACCATTTCCCCCAACCTGCTGGAGGATCTCTACAGATCCACCTCCACCGTCCCCAAGAAACTGGACTCAGCCTCGGCTTTAGCCTTGAGTATCCCTAAGCGCGAGTACATTAATGATGATGCCTCGTTCCGCTTCGACTTCAACGAGGACGCTATGGCTGTCGAGAAGCTGCGCGAGGGTATCTCCAAGTTCGCTGCTGATGCTGTCACACTCAAGAATCTGCTCAAGGAGAGGATCGAGGCTTGAAATAGGAGGTGAGTTTTAGTTGCCTTTTCTATTATTCTCTTCCTTCTCTCTTATTTGTAAATCGGCAGTTCTCAAAATGCTGGAATCGGAAGATACAAATTGGTGAAAGTTCCACCGATTGCCTAGAGCTACCCCTACATATAAACTTCGATGATACATGTATAATAATCTAGGTACCTATACTCCGGTAGGTGCGGTCTTATTAGGTGGCTGGGCGTCGAACTACATCCGGTAGCCGGTTTTGGAAGCTACTCAGAGGCTTGACACGATAGGCTGCGTTGCCTGTTATATCTTTTCGCCCCCGGCAGAGGTGGTCAGGTTTCTTAAAGTTGACTTATTGAAATTCAGTAACTAAGGTCATTGTGACAATCGTTGAGGAATGAGATTTGCGACGAAGTCCTCAATACTCAACAAGGGCCTGCTGATCAAGTTGACTGTATACATTGAGTCGATAGCACTACTTGGTCTGAATTAAGAATGTGCAGTACTGTATTATGGTTTACGTGAGGTTCTGGGGGTATTTATTCTTCAACGAGCGGCAAATCCCTGGCTATGTTAGACGCTCATGATCAGCTTCAATGGGTGTTCCATGAATATACGTTGAATATAGATCCTAACTTCGGGAAGTCGTATAGAATTCGGTTCGCCCGAATAGGCATGCCGACAGAGGTTAAGATTGAGACATCAAATCGGTGCCTTACACTCGACCCTCAACAACATCATATCATGTACTCTTTGCTAATTTTCTCGTTACTGATATGCGTTGTCCAATTGGTGATAGATGTTTTGCAAGAAATATACAACTTTGCATTTTTCCAAACCTGAGCAGCCCCCACGCCTACAAGTCCTTTATCACAGGAACAATCCAACACGAATCCGTATATCTGTTGAGAGGAGATGTAGTGGAAACTAAAGTGAGTACGCCTAGTATGCCGCACTGTTGGATAAAATTGGCGAGCTTGATGATTTGCCGACCGTCGGGATAGGGTGTTATATCTTTTGTCCAGTGATGATGAAGCACAATATATAGATCATCAACATTCATGACAGCTTTTTCTCCAAGTGGCATATCAAGATTATATCGTGGAGCCAGAGTCTCTTTCATATACTACCGATCTTATGTCAGAATCCAAAATCTGGAGGGAATAAAAATCACCCACGTCATTGATATCTTGGCAACTCTTCGCATGGAGACTTCGTCCAACAGCCTTGCGATAGAGCTGAGACCATAACCTCCAGTTTTCGTGCAGACTGCTGAACTTCTTGATCTCGGAAGTATCGAGTATCCACTCCAGAAATACCATCACATCCCCTTTCTGCACCCCAACGAGGAATAGAAGAGGATCTTCCCCTAAATGGACACAGTGTCTGACTTTTATTAGCTAGAATGAAAGCCAACGCCGGAAGAAAGTAGTACCTGGTCCATCTTCTTTTTATGAAGTCAATATTGTTTTTAGTCGAAACGGCATGCCGTTTTTGAATGATGCCTTTCTCCAATTGTCGGCGGCGTCGTCGATAATACTCAGGGCTAAACACCTGCTTCTTATTTTTCGAAGTGCAGATGTTAAGAACAGTCATAATCTCAGGTATGCATAAGCTCAGATGAGACCATGGAAAAGTGGATAGTGATGGGAATTGGTAGCGGCTGTAAAAGGGAAGATCTGAAGAGTAGGAATGCATAAAGCGCCTCTAGGTTATTTACACCAACAACGGTCAAGGGAAAAGGGAGGGAGAAGACCCTTTAAATATCATTCAGAACGATCCCTTGAAGATGGAATCTAGGATGAGCTGGTTGACAGCACGCCCCAGGGGCTCGCTGTCAGCATCCGCGCTATTAGTTCACTTCTTGGACTAGGAGTTAAAGTAGTTGTCGCACCACAGACGATCGAGCATCTTCTTGCGGTCAACACCAAGCTTCTTGGCGTGCTTGACGGCAAACTAGCGGACAGTGAAGCACCAGCCGTGGAGACGGGAACCAAGGTGATGGCATCGTGGTCGGGGTAGAGCTGGGCATCACCAAGAGCCTTGTCAACGTAGGTGGAGATGATGTCATTGATGGACTCAACCGAACGGGCAAGGCCTAGTACAGATCCTCCCTGGAGACCTAGAGCTCGAGCAGGGGATAGCCGATCTTGTTGATGAAAAGAGAACGGGCTTGATACGCTCGGAGGGTGGCCATGTACATCTTGCAAAACGCCTTTCTCCTTTGCCGAGGAGCGGCTACAAGCGGATATAGAATAGAACAAGCTCTTACGTCACCCTGATCGCCTGCCCTGAGCACAGTGAGTGAAGAGTGAGCTAAGCACTGAGCAAACTTGAGTGCTCAGGGACCGCCCCGGAGGCACTCAGGACCCACTCGGGGAGCACATGGCAAATGAGCACTCGGTTCTATCACGTGACCTTTTACTGACTAAGATTTTGGTAAAAAGAACGCTTAAACTAGCGTCCAAAGTAGCCGTTTTCGGTGACGAATTTACCGTCACCTAGCGTTGTGGTGTAGACTAAAGACAAACTAAGAGGATATATCATAAACCCATCAATTATCCCTTTCAAGATCATCAAATTCACACCAAACGAGAGACAGGGTACGCCCAAAATGATAAAGATTTCGCCAATAGACAACATATGAAATGAAACACAAAGTCGCAACAGAGGTCATTCCATTCGTAAAGGGTTACATTCAAATTTCGTGTTCGTCTTCCCAGATATTTCTGGGTTTATTCTTCGGAGGAGGAGTCAGGTTTGGGTTCTGCGAGATGAGATTCCTCTATAACCTCGGCAGGTTCGGGCTCGCTCGAATAGAGTTCTTCACTAGACTCGATTGGCTCAGGCTGAGGTTCTTCGTGAGGTTCCTCGTGAATTTCCTCCTCGAGGATTTGTTCCGCGACCGCAGCTTCGGGTGTTGGCTCGGGATCGAAGGACACGGTTATGGCTTCAGTTTCGATTGCGTCGACAGTAGATGTTGAGAAGATATCCTCGATTTGAGATGGGGCGACAGATTCCGATACTGAAATTTGGGCCACAACGCTGGAGGTGGGAATAATGCTCTCCACGAAGCTAGCGGTTGAAGTCACAGACAAAGCTGGCACATCCACATTCACGTTAACCTGTGGCACTAGAGGTGATTCTGCGAAGTCCGTATGAGGAATTGAATGCAAGACATCGTGGAGCCGATATGTTTGCGAACCGGATCCGAGGGCAAGGAAGATGACCAGAATACTCATAAAGACCAGTGCAACGTTGCGCCTGTCACCAGCCAAGACGCGGATATAATTAATCAACAGAGTTCGCAGAGCGATCTCATGTTCTTGATTGACTTGCGGTAGGTCCGGCCGCTTCTCATCAGGCTGAGATTCCACGGGGTGTCCGCTACTCCGGAAAGACCCAGCATCGCTGAAAGTTCTAGAATGAGTTTGGACGGACAGTCGACGTGGGTCAATATCCAACTTCTCCGCGTCGTTGAACAGCATTGTGGGATGGGCATGTTCCGTGGATCTGGTCGCATGTTCCTCTGCGAGTCTTTTCTCCAAGGCCCGTCTGATATCCGACGGCAGCCAGACGCCAACCTCCACATCTACCTTTTCCATCTCCTTCCATGCCGCTGCCCACGCACCAGCACGCATGAGCCCATTCGCAGCATAAACTCTAATCTCCCACTTGCGGTTCGTGTCACCATGATGCAGGACACGCCCGCCACAGTCGGGACATTCATCGCCCTGCTCACCGTCTGTCTCACTCTCCCCTCTGTCCGATATCTCACCCTCCGAACCAGGGTCAACTTCTTCATGACCTATGAAATGACCCCGGTGCAGTAAGGGGCGCTGTAGTTCCAAACTCTCCAGTAGTCGTTCCTCCAGCATATCATAAAGATCCTCAGGGTGAGAGATCAACACACCACGATCACGAAGAACACCAGAACCAACCTTGTCCCGTAGTCTTCGCCATCGCTTCCAGTATTGTGGCGGCAGGACCTCCTCGACAATCTTCTGGTTCTGTGGCTCAGAGGCGCCGGGAACAGGCAATGACGGACCAAGAAGCGTACAATGCAGCAATACGAGAGGATATTCTTTCTTAACAGGCGGCTTACTTTGCGACGTCTTGGGCGAATAATACGGTGATCGTTTCAGCGGCGAGGTTCCGGGGGATCGCATGCCCGCGCGACGTCTTGGCGGGGTCAGAAATTCATCATCATCCGCCTCATCCTCCGTATGCATCTGCATAGCGCGTACCGAGCTCGGTTTCCGGAATGCAGATTCACGTTGTCGGATGGTACGAATAGATTGCGGTGGTATATTGAAGCCGCCGAAACTTGCTTCGTCTTCTTCTACCGAGTACCCGACGACTTGATCGTGGATTGTCATTCCGGGTAGTTGCTTTATGTGGTCGAGAGGGTGTATGAGGACTGATGCGGGCACGGATGAGAATGAAGAGCGACTCGATGCTCGGGATTTCATTTGTTCCAGCTCGTCGTCCATCTCACAGCCGAATATGTCGCTCGTCGAATGCCGGGTTGAAGAGTTGGATGAACTGTATTCATAGCTTTGCGTGGACATCTGGCCGTCATCGATTGTCGATCCGGTCTCGCTCGGTACGTGGGCTGTCTCAAGGGAAGTAACGAGAAGCTCCTTGCTGGGAGGGGCACAGGGCTGAGGGCTTAGAATATGATCGGAGGTGTGAACCTCCGTATCGGGATGTTCATCATTCACTCGTGCCATAGGAACCACATTGAGTCGTCAACAAAGGCAAGACTGGTGGCAATTTATGTGTGAATAGTCTTGTGAGCTCCTCCAACTCTACGGTGTGCTGGACTGACGCGTGTTGACAGTTTCTCACCGCCCGGTTGTGCCGGGCAACGAGGCCCGTTGGGCGGCACTTCTCCCTTTGGGCAGACCCCAAAGTATACACGTGACGAGTGAAGTGTCTATATCGGTCGAGGTTTGTCAATACATAATCTCCAAAGTGATGGAGCTCATAGTAATGATATTTGAGGTGTCCTAGAGTTCACTGAATTTTCATGCCGGCGTAACTCTGACGGCGATCTATGTGCCTCCCACGGATATACCCACCCACGATACGCCAGTGACAACAATCCAAAATCTGACGCGCTAAACGACCAAGAATGCAAAAAAGATTTGCCAAAAAAGGAATACATATATATGAGAATGGAAGAAACACGACCAACAAGGCATCACTGAGGAGGCCGAGGCGTAGTATCGTCGGGACTCATCATGGGGAAATTTTGAGTTTCTCCAAAGAAGCTGAGAACATCCGGAGGCAGGTATTCCAGCCACGGGAGGATCTCGCCATTGAAGAAAGGGAATGATTCCTGCTGTTGCAGAGTGTTCATGTCGACGTCGTGACTCTCAATCATCATACCGCCGGTTTGAACATTCATGCTGGAATGCATATCACCGGGCCTGGATCCCAAGTGCGCGCTGCTTGCATGCTGATCTGCTGCAGAAGCCATGGAGTAAGTGTATTGTGGAGTCTGAGTAGACGCGATTCCAAGATTATAGCTCGAGTGGGGTGCTGCGGATGCTCGAGCGTTGGACTCGGAGTACGCAGAGCTCATACCCAGGAAGTAAGGAGGTTCACTGCCAATTGAGTGAGATTGGACTTGAGAGAATTTAGATTCGACTGGGGTGAGAGAAGATGATTTGCTTTCATCCTGGGTCTGGGTTGGTGGAAGGGGACGTGAGAAGGGGGAGCTTGTGCTTGGCGCTGCATTTGCGGGAGCTGACATGGCTGGATAGGCTTGATTATATTGTGACGGGTGAGACGGCTTGCCGGGGTTGGGCCCGTTCTGCAAAGAAGGCATCTGGTAGAGCAAGCTCAGGTTTGGTTGCGAAGAATTGGTGGCTCCAGTGAGGGCCCACCCAATGGCTGTCAATAGTGGAAGGTAAGGTTAGTGAGGTGATAAACAAGAAGAGATAGAATCGTTAATTGTTCTCACCTTGACTGGGATCGATCTTGGGTGAAGATGTTCGATCAGGTACGGTGTTAGCCACCCCGGAAAGTCTTTCGGCGCCCTGAGCTGAACCTGCGGCTTTGCTTCCAGGCCAACCAGCAGCCCCGAGTGTCTGCACCGATGGGAATTCGGCAGTATTTTCCATGTCCTCGGCAGTATAAAGAAGCGGATCGACGATGCCTTTGGCCTTCTGGTCCAGGACTGTTAAAATATACCTCGCGCCCTCCCAATACGCGTCCAGTGCCTTGAGGGCTTTGTAGCAGCGTTGATAGTTCTCTTTGGCAGCCGAGGCAAGAAGAATGTGCTTGGCGGTGGAATTGCGCTCGGAACCATTTGACGAGTCCATCGAAGGCATCACGAACCCGCTCCCTTGGCTGGCTAGTAGTGGTTGTGGCGGGGGCGAGGTAGATCTTGACGAAGGTGACGAGTAATATGAGCTCTCCATCAAAAACGCACAAGCTGCGATGTACATTGGCTGGCTGGTGAACGGGTTGCCGATAAAGCTCTTTCCGTCTACCAGTTCCGAGAAAGAGAGGATATCGGCGATCGTCTTGGCGGAGGACATTGAAAGTTCACGACTGTTGGGATAGAGATGCTGGATTGTGCCGCCAAAAGAATTGAGGAGTGTTGGCTGGTGGAGGAGAACGATGAGAGTATGGAACCACTACCACGAGTTAGCCAGCAAATAGAGCATAGACGGGGGTATTTGGGAATACTAACGAAATGCAGAAGGATGAAGTTGGTTCCTTCCTTGGCCTTCACGTACGCCTGGAAATTAGCCGCATTGAAGTGCAACCTCGGTGACAACCGCTGGTATATGCCTGTCAAATCGCTCTCCATGCCAGCCAGTCTCTTAAGCGTATCCGAGGTGACGTGATTGGCGTCCTGGATCCCGTTGATCAAGTCGGTAACTCTTCCATACAAGTGGATAATCCGAATCAGAGGTGGAAATGGCGCAGGCCAACCATTGGGTAGCTGAGACTCGGATTGAAGTGGGAAGCACAACTCGATATCCTCGTCGCGTAAAGTCACGGGTCGGCCCGTCCCAGACGAGATGACGCGGTCAAGGAAGAAAATGCTCCAAAAGGAGTCCACTCTCTCACGTTCTCGGGCACGTTCGGCACCAATCACCGGCGGAATAGTCTTGGGGCTCTGGTAGACGTCCAAATCGTCGTACTGATCCTCCCGAAGCTTTCCAGCTTGTCCGGTCACAACTGCGCTGGGAGTAACACCCTTTTGGCCATAATTATACTTAAGCCCTTGAAGCTTTTGCAAGCCAAGGTCCTGTGCCATGCGGATCGATATACCAAGATACATCCAGAGACCGCTATCATGATTAGATCCAAACTGCTCATACGCCAGCAGAAGACAAGCTTGGACGGCAGACAAAGTCGGACAGGCGAGTGCATCGACAAGGGCATTCATCGCCCGGTGAGCAAAGGGTAGTCCACGATCACAAAGATTGACATCGGCTGGCGGTTGTGAGCGATCAATCGGGGGCGCTTGGGGGGACCGAGAAGTGGGTGAGGGGAGAATCTGGCTGCCAAAGAACAGACCGCATCCACCAACATTGTATCGATCTTCTTCTCCTTGAGATCCTGCAAAAAGCGATCTCGTTGCAAAAACGGAAAGCTGCAACCAAGATGTACAAAAAACAGATCGCATAGATGAGCAACAAGGTTCGAAACAGGTAGAGCATCATCGCGGTCGTAAAATGGGATCGTATTGGCATCGCGATCTTCGCGGGGAACCAATAAAGTAGCCTCCAGATTGATTGGAGCATCGGATTGCTTAGGACTTCTCAGCGGAGACAATGAATCTAGACAATATAGTTTTAGCGCCTTCGTTTGATAGAACAGCAGACGAATCGTGTCTCGTAAAGCGACGAACCTGACGACATCGAGGGATTGCTTTTCCGTGAACCTCGAACTTGGACGACCTTGACAAAGGGTTAGAAAAAGTGGGATAGTGTACAAATATTGATCATGTCCGAACCATTTGCTTGAAGCCCGGCACAATGGCAGTCGGCCCGAAATATCGAAAGTATGGGACATGAGTGCGATTGCTGGAGCTTATGGAGGTACGACCTGTGCGAAAGCAATTGGTGTCAATGTTGCGATACCAATTGCACCGGCGCAACCACCCAAACTTACCACTCTCTGGGCTATCCCCAGTCGCAAGGAAATCCGCTTCCTTATTGATACGCGACGAAGTTTCCCTGGCAGATATGACCTTTTCCAATTGTTTCGGCGCTTGCGGGGACTTATCGGTTTTGACCCGGGGTACGGGTGTCGGTGGGGGCTCTGGGGAACAGCTCTCCACCGCCTGTGCGATACGTTGGCTGGCTTCTTTAGAACCAGCCAGAGGAGGGGCCTGTGTGCGGGATGCGGAATCGGATTGCGATCGCAAGTGGGCAGTGGAATCGGAGTAGCCGAGGCAGACATGCTTGAACTCCGAGCAAGTCTTACAGACTGTCGCAAGATCGTGAGCGAAGGGGTCCACGGGCGAGTAGTAGATACGCTTCCATGTATCCTACCTGGTTGTTCTCCGGAACATCGAATCTTGCGCCGGCGACATGTCAAACAGCTATAGACAATAAAAGCGCAAATTAGCGTCATCGTATTCCCCTTGTATTTTCTGGTCTAAGTGCGCTTCCCACGTACGCGGCGTTGACTCGACGGCGTTTGGTTTGCGGCTGGCCGTCGGTAGCGACGAAGCGGATCTGTCGTGGGCCAGAAGCATTGCCGCCGGATTTCTTCTTGGGAGAAGGGGGCTCATTGCGAGCGAGAGATTTATCCGTGGTCGCAATTCATTGGGTACCGGGTGATGATGCCCCGACCGCGGAGTGGGCGAGTCGACCAACGAAGCTCCGTTAGTTCTTAGTCCGAGATGGGGTCGGATATCGGGCAGATGAAGCGGCAGGGGAGATCGTGGGAGAGGAGGATCGAGGCTGGCAGCGAAAACTTCATGAGGCTGCGTTGTCGAGACGGAGTGTGGAGAGGAACCTGGGATTCGATCGAGGGGAAGGGGGCCTTAGAGCCCAATAAGAAGGGATAGAGAGCTGTTTAGGATGGAAGGGAGGACGGCGTTAGGAACGGAGGGTGGTGGTGGACGGACGAGAGTGAGGAAGCGGGGAGAAGAGCGCGATAAGCGTGGGCGTTTGTCCTCCGTTTCGCTCGCTTGAGGAGCTGTGTGGTTTCAAGAAAGAAAAAGAAAAGAGGAAAAAAAGACCGCGGAAGTTGGAGAGGAGAAAGCGCTCGGTGTGGTTCAGGGAGTAATCGCTCCACGCCACCGGAGGGGGTTTGGGGTTTGACGGACTTTACAGTATGTGGAATTTGGGAACGTCACCCTTGCCAGATCGGCTACGGAGGATGTAATTCACGATGCTGGAAAACTGCTCCAAGGTATGGTACATGGTTACAAACTCATTACTAAATGTATGGCATATGCACTCGGCTATTGATACAGTCGGAGCACTCCTACAAATACATCTCGAACCTGTATATTCCTGTATACTTTGACCGCCTCTAGTCCCCATACCCCATACATTATTACTATGGCTCTTGAAAGGTGTTCATTCGGAACGCAGTCCCCAACTATAGCAGACGGGGATACTTTCCCCTCTGGATCGTTGAACACAATGGCCATTTTCTATGGTAGTTTATACCCAACACACGACAATAATAAGACTGTACTCGATAGCGATTTTCCCGTCTAACCGGCCTCCAGACTGGTCCGCTCATGAGCTCCAAACGTCAAGATCTGATGGTCATGGGACCGTTTGCCCAGGTGGGGCGTCCACTCGGAGATCCGCTGGGACGTTCGTGGCCCGGACTCGGGGGGTTCTCGAGTTGGATGGTTTTTGTCAGGGTTGTCTGTAGCGGGGCCGAGAATAATTTGGTGATTGTTCCTGCACTAGGGAAGCTTAGGTGTGTCGAGACAGGATAGTTGGTAGAGATCTAAGTATTCGGCGGCTTGGCTATATACTGTCCTACTAGTTACCTATACTTGTACATTTCAAAGCGAGCCCTCGTCAGGGGAAGTTTCCTCTCTCTCTCCCCAACCAATACATCTCCCACGCCCACACGGCTCCAGCTGGGACCAACTGGGTCCTGTCTTTTCGGGAAGTTGGTTCAGGTTGGGGTTGTTTGGGACACTGAACCGGGGTTCTCCCGTCCAACTCGGAGCATCTGCGAGACGGCCTGCCTCCACGACCCTTTTTCCCATCCCAATCTACAGCAACCCAATTTTGCCGGTTATTTCATGAGCTGCCCCATGTTAACATTGTCATTTCTTGGCCTATCATCGCGTGTAAACTAAGTATACAACTCTATTGGCACAATAAGCTTATCCACTCGAGCTTCGTGTTCTTCTTACCAGCTGGATTTATCCGCTCCTTTCGGACGAGAGATAAACCGAGGCCGAGTCAGGGCAGGGATAGCATCGAAGGGTTCTAGAACATAGTTATGTATGGTATGTAGAACAACACAACCGTCCAATTTTGGGGAAATGCTAAAACGACACCCCAAATTACTAATTCGACACCACACCCCCTACAGTTAAATATTTTTGCCTCGGAATTGTATTACTATCTTCAAATACCCTCACGATTGCAAGATTTCTTCTACTACCTACCTCTCTTCTATCACCCTGTATTCTCACTAGTGAAGAATCTTGCTATGAATCCACTATCTTAAATGACCAGGAAGGGCGGATTGAACTTACGCGAATACGCCCGTATGGCGAATGACCAGTGTATAGTAGTAGGAGAGGTGTCTATAGTAGAAATCTTGCAATCGTCAAAGGGAATATCGGAAGGTAGCAATACCATTACGACGCAAACTATTTAACTAACTATGGGATGGGTGGTGTTGAATTAGTAATTTGGGGTGTCGTTTTAGCAATTCCCGAATTTTGTATGTACTATAAACTCCGTACTGTAGGAAACATATTGGCCCTCCTGAGCTTGTACATCATGCATATATGACACCAGCCTCGCCGGTTTTTCCGAGGGCTCTTCAGGATTCTTCAGGACGGTTGAGTGACGCGCCGAGCGTCGGAAGCGCTGCCTTATTACCACGCACGGTGCGTGTGATGATCCGCCCAGTATGCCTGACAATCCTATCAAATCCCTGATTGTGCTCGTGGCAGTAAGCCCCGCTTCGATTGGTAAGTTAATGTGTGCTATGACGTAAGCTTGCACTGGCTGATTTTCAGAGACGCGATGATGGAGAGAGAGAGAGTGAGAGAGGGAGAAAATCGGCGTCAATTGACCATTGACCCTCGATGTATTCGCTTGCATCTGCTCTACGCGTGACTCGGACAATCTCTCTCAAACCAAGGTAGGTGTGGCAGCTGCCTCACCGTCCCTGTGGCATACTCAACACGCCCCTAAGATTCTTGCGTACCATTGTTGAATAATCGAACTGACTTGGATTACATGATACCCAGTGTTGCCTACCTGAATCACACCTCCTTCCAACTGCATCGACCTCTCAGCACCACGCCCACCATGGCCCAACCCCATCCCGATTTCGCACAGCTCCAAGCTTCCCGTCCGGACTTCCGCCATGATGCCGAGGTGATCGTTACCAAGTCCCCGAACCCTACCTGGAAGCAAGGCGATGGCGCCAACGACGGCGGGGAAGGCCTCAAAAAGCACCACATCGAGATCGATCCCCATGCTGACGGCCGATCCGTCGTCTCCAACTACAAGCTCCTGATCTCGGGCATGGTACCTCGGCCTATCTCCCTGATCAGCACACAGTCCGCGGACGGGAAGACGACGAACCTTGCACCGTTCAGTTACTCGCAGCTCGTCAATCACGATCCGCCCTTGTTCGTCGTCGGATTCGTGGGCTCACTGGAGAGAGCCAAGGACACATTGAAGAATCTGAATGAAACGAAGGAGTGCGTGATCAATATCATCTCGGAGCACTTCCTCGAAGCTGCGAATTCGACTTCGATCAACGCGCCCTACGGCCACTCGGAGTGGGAAGTCTCAGGTCTCACCCAGGCCCCAACGTCCGTGGTTAAACCTGCACGCGTGAAGGAATCTGTTCTCGCGATCGAGGGGAAACTCGTCGAGGTCAAGGAGTTTGAGAGCCGGGCGAACCCGGGAAATCCGAGTAGTGTGCTAGCCATTATCGAGGGCGTGCGGTTTTGGGTGCGCGAAGATGCGATTGATAAGGAGCAGAGTAACATCGATCTTAAGGTTCTGAAGCCGGTTAGTCGATTGGGTGGCATCTCGTACGGTCGTACCACCGATGTGATAGAGATCCCCCGGCCGCGGTTTTAGAGCTTTGCATATTGTATAGACACACATCCGCCAAGCAAGGTGGTTGTGAAGGATGCATACAGGAGTGACGCGAACAACCTGTACATATTTCATTCGACGTCCATTTGGAAAGATAAATGACACATCTTCTCGAAGATAACTCCAGTTTTGAAGCTTATCAACTCTGGACAAGTGGACGGAGACGCTGCCACGGAACGGCATCCCAGCATGCGGTATCCCAGCACGCGGTATCCCATATCTGCTTACAACCGCCTCGAAACAATGTCAAAGTGCAGCATGACAAACTTTGAATGACAAATTTTTGGGAATCCCAGGGGAAGTGTAACCTTGACTCCAAGCGCGCCTCGTGCGGAGAGTACTTGGGACGCAAAGCGGGGTCGTTATCATCAGGTCGCAGAACTATAAATGAGCGAAGCCCAGGGATCGGATCTGGCCGAACCAGAATCATTTCCTCTCAACGAGCCTTGAACCAACGAGTATTCAGTTAACAGCGTGTAATAATGTCGCAGTCGGATTATGAGATTTACAAGCTAGGGGACTGGGAGTTACAGAGCGGGGAGAAGATTACCGATGCCCATATCGCCTACAAGACCTTTGGAGATCCCAAGCTCCCAGCGATCGTCTATCCTACTTGGTTTTCAGGTGGTATGTTGCTACCCAACCTTGTCCTTTAGGATCTACAGGAATTTTGGAAAGCTAATGTACTTCTTGTCTTCCTTGCACAGCCATCGCCGACAACTTCTGGTTAATCGGCGAAGACAAGACCCTCAACCCAAAGAAATACTTCATCATCATCACCGCACTTTTCGGCAACGGGCAGTCCTCATCTCCATCCAACCAGCCAACTCCCAAACCCTTCCCCAAGGTGGCGTTCTACGATAATGTCCGCGCTCAGCACGAACTCGTCACTAAGCACTTCGGCATCACCCACCTACGCGCTGTCCTGGGCTGGTCTATGGGTGCCGGCCAAACCTACCAGTGGGTGACTCAGTACCCAGATTTCATGGACATTGCAGTGCCGTTCTGTGGCTCGGCAAAAACATCCCTGCATAACCAGGTGTTTATCGAAGGAGTCAAGGTGGCTCTTCTTGCTGTGAAGAATACTCGATCGGCTGGGTCTGGGAAGGGCGGATTGCAGGAGGACTCTGCAGAGGTTCGGACTTGGAGTGAGAGAGATCGGGAGATTGGTCTGAAGGCCATGGGGAGAGTATATGCTGGATGGTGGGTTCATCCTTTCGTCCTACTCTTGCTTGAATCCGGTCTGAGTAATTTGAACAGGGGCTTCAGCCAGGCGTTCTATCGCCAGAAGCTGTATGAGACGGCTTTGGGTTACAAAGACCTCGAAGACTTCTTGCAGAATCATTGGGAAAAGTGGGCTTGCTCGAAGGGTAAATGCGCAACCCCTTGAATCACGAAGCACTTGCACTAACCGCTACCTCAGATCCTGAGAATCTCCTGGTGATGATGCAGACCTGGCAGAACGGAGACGTTTCCCAGCAGGAACCATACAATGGAGACTTTGAGAAGGCCATGGCTTCAATCAAGGCGAAGACACTGGTTCTACCAGCTCAGACCGATCTTTACTTCCCGTAAGGAGATCTTTATACCCTTGGATGAACCCAAAAGACATTGACAACCCTTCTGTGCAGTCCTGAAGACTCCGAGTACGAGGTCGCTTGCATGAAGCCTGGCGTTGGAAAGCTAGGCGTTTTTCCTTCTATCTGGGGCCGTGAGTACATCCTTATTTTGTGGATTTTCAGTAGGATCAAGGCTGACTCGATCCTCCAGACTGGGCCGGAGGCCCCGGAGATAGCAAGGAGGATGTCGCATGGCTGGATAAGCAGATAGCCGACTTCTTTGCGGCTAACCCGCCAGATGGCGTAGATGCATTAGGCGAGAAGCTTCAAGGCACCCTGTGACCATGGAGAATAGTGTTCTTTGGGAGGTATCGCAAGGATCAGGGATAATAGCATTATTGACGAGAGAAGTAACATTGCGAACGAATCAAGGAGAGGGCAAACAACAAATACGTATGATGAAGCATAATGCCTTCTGAGTGCCTGGAAGACCTGGCAAAGATATAGCTACCCAATCAATTCGTCTTCCTCTCACTTGAGAGATACCTCGACGTAGCATATATAGCTCTACGACAAACGAATCGATTCGCAAGATTGAGTGAAAAGAAATACAATTTCAGAATCGTACATAATACATAGCACATATCGCCCGAGCGCAAGGAAGAGCAGGCGAAGTATGCTCATCGAGAGCCAAAGTACGTGACCACGTGACGGATACTGAGTAAGCGCCGGGGTCCATCCATGGAAGCGCCAACCGGTAATAGAACAGACCTTTGCGCTCTCACTTCACCTGACCCTCACTCTTGACCTCTCATTCATTTGTGGTCGTGCTGCTTCCCCGAGCATTCTTTTGTTTATTTCCATTTCACCGCGCCCTCTCCCTCCCATTTCATTTGTTGCTGAACCCGAACACGCGACTGTGACGCCGACTCGGTCAACTTCTCGCCGTTATCTAATCCCGATCTTCTTCATCTGAACGCGACACGCTTTCGACCTTCCCACAAACCGATCTCCCTTTCCTTCACCCACAATGGCGGCGCCCGGTGGTCGACAGTGGGGTGTAACTCCCCCAATTTCGACCGCCCTTCCCACACAGGATGAGTTGGCTGCGAACGACGATCTCATTGCTGAGCTCAAGGCGCAGAACAACTTCGAGCCGCCTTCGGACTCCGAGCGGAGGTACGTTGGATGGATACCGTCTGGGAAGCAAACGGGGCAATCGGAGACTGACAGTTGACCCGTAGAATCCAAATGCTCCAATTACTCCAACGGGTCGCCCTGGAATTCGTCAAGACTGTTTCTCGGAACAAGGGCCTAACACCCGCGGCCGTGGAAGCTTCCGGAGGCAAGATCTTTACGTTCGGCGGTTACCGACTTGGTGTTTATGGTCCTGGTAAGCTTTGTCCACGGCCTCTGTGTAAAGAAGTCAAAGCATTAACTGCCTTTGTTTCTTAGGATCCGATATCGACACACTGATAGTAGGCCCGAAGCATGTCTCCGGCGAGGACTTCTTCGCTGACTTCCCCCTCTCTTACAACAAATGGCACCTGAAGGTGTGGTCCAGAAGATGACTCCTGTTCCCGATGCTTTTGTCCCTATTATCAAATTGGAGCTTTCTGGTATTAGCATTGATCTGCTCTTTGCTCGTCTGGTTATTCCCTCTGTGCCTATGAACCTCGACCTAAAGAACAATGATTACCTGCGAGGACTGGATGAAAAGGAAGTCCGATCGCTGAACGGAACCCGTGTTGCAGACGAAATTCTGGAGCTTGTTCCCCAGCAGAAGACCTTCCGCATTGCCTTGCGCGCAATCAAGCTGTGGGCCCAGCGTGAGTTGCGACCCCTGCATCTTCGTCTCCCTCTTTCGATCGTTGTACTAAATTCTTTTCTGTGTAGGGCGAGCCATCTACGCTAATATTGTCGGGTTCCCTGGAGGTATTGCTTGGGCGATGCTGGTAGCAAGAGTCTGCCAACTATACCCAGCCGCCTCTGGGTCGGTCATTGTGGGCAAGTTCTTCAGGATTATGAACAAATGGGCATGGCCTCAGCCTGTTCTCTTGAAACAGATTGAAGAAGGTCCTCTCCAGATGAAAGTCTGGAATCCTAAGGTAAGCAAAGCCCACAACGTGATGCGCTTGATAGATTTGGGGCTCACTGGACTTTGTTCCCTCCTATCACAGATTTACCACGGCGATAAATTCCATCTGATGCCCATCATCACTCCTGCCTATCCCTCCATGTGTGCAACTCACAATATCTCTATGTCCACGAAGACTGTGATTCTCCGAGAACTTCAAAGAGGAGGAGATGTCGTGGATAAGATCTTCACGAAGCAACTTTCCTGGAGTGACCTCTTCACCCGCCATACCTTCTTCACTCAAGATTACAAGTACTATCTTAGTATCACGGCCTCGAGCAAGACGAAAGAAGATGAAGCGGTTTGGTCCGGTCTTGTAGAATCAAAATTGCGCCATCTTGTTGGGGCTCTTGACCGCAAGACGATCATTGCAGTGGCTCATCCGTTCCCCAAGGGATTCGAAAGAACCCATGTCATCACGAATGCTGAAGAGATGGAGGCGGTAAAGAACGGATCAACTAAGTACCAGGCTAAGGGTACCACGACGGAGACAACCGACGAGACGAAGGATCCGGCTCACGAAGCTGCAGCACAAAATGGAATGGAGAATGCAACTGTCGCGTCACCCACAGAGCACCCTGAGCAACCTGACCAAAAGCTCGAGGGCGAGAGTCACACGGTGTACACCACCACCTACTATATTGGTTTGGAGTTGAAGGCACTGGAGCCAGGTATGTTTACAAACCTTGCTTGTCTTTCCCCTGACACATCTAACATGGACGTAGGCACTTCGCGTTCTTTGGATATCTCCACAGATTCGAAAATCTTCAAGTCAACCTGCACATCCTGGGCGGGCTATATTCCTGGGATTCACGATCTGGCTGTCACCCATGTTCGCAGGTAAGTTTTTGGAACTCGGCGTGTCTGGTTAGATAACCTGATTTTTCACACATTACAGCTTCGACCTGCCCGATGATGTTTTCCAACCCGGCGAAGCCCGGCCATCCCGACCAAAGAAGAAGGTGATCAAGAGGACTGAATCAACCGGCCAGAAACGGAGACTCGGGGAGATGCACGTAAGTCAAGATGAAGAGAACGGGATTGAACCTGACTCAGCTATGATACCGACACTCGAAATCGCCCTTTTACCTCCTGCGAAACCCGATGCTTTTCTCGGGTATCGACCATCCGGAATCACTAATCTTGTTTTCATCATAGGATTCTTCGCTGGATGCCTCCCAAGGAGCAGCTAAGCGCCAGGTCACACCCAACACGATGGCCAACACTGCGACACCTGCTTAGGTCCCCGGTCGGTTTTCTCGTGTACAACCTGCCAAACGCTTCCACGCCATCCCGCCGGGGCTGGCCCCCAGTAAACTGGACGAAAAACCACAATAGCATCACCACATCACCCGGAAACCAATCCACTCACACACGAACATGAAATCCAAGTTTATGTTCCAACCAATGTTCTGACTCTTGAACCCTCTATTCTGCACGTGTCTGCTGAATAGAAAGCCAATCTTTACGGGAAAGCGTCCCACCAGGCTCATCGAGCACAAGGTTGGTTTTGTTTTCCTGATCCCTCTCATTTACTATAGGTCCGGCGACTAGATGGGGTGTCGTATCTCCCCTCTGCTATCCATCCTCGGAGAAGCCCGAGTGACTTATCTTCTTCCCCCTGCCCTCACACATCTGCAAGTGTCCGGTTTTTTTTTACGCTGTCGCATCATGCTAAGCCGAGGTAGTTCAGGCGTTTCTCGGCGCTGGTGACAGTCGTTGCGCTGTTTGCATTGTACTTATTAGTTCGGGACCTTGCAGATATCTCAGCTAGGGTAGTTCAATCAAGGGGTAAGCTCGTAATATGCGAGCTAAATCGTATCTCTTCCTCATTGTATTGTATAATGTAGACGATAAGCTATGAAAGTAGTGTCTCGGACACACTCCCTCCTTTCAATTTCCTCAATATCTACTGGTCCTTGGCCATGAAGTAAGGCGCCCCCACCCTGTTAAGTATCTTGAACTCTCTGGGCTTCAAGAACATAGGGTCGGTCGCAGCGAAATATTCCTTGTAGTATTCCTTGGTCATTTGTTTCTTGTCGTCGAGTTAGCAGATCGAACATCATGACTCGGGCTCTATGCCTATGAACCAACCTCCATGAACTCCGGAAGGCTCATCGTCCTGGACTAATGTAAGCATCGTGGCTTCTATGGAATTGGTTTGAGAGAATTAGTCCTCGACTTACCAGTCTTCAACCCAGCTCAGAGTTCCAGGGTCCTCCGGGGACTGATACAGCTCGAAGAAGCGACACTCGGGCTCCGCACTCACAGCCTCGTAGACTGGCTTAAAATGTTCAAAGAACTTGGGCACATTGGCCGGGTCAATGTAGATCGTGACATGAAGGCTAAATCCCGACTGAGATGCCATGCAGGTGATTGAAGATCGCCGAGAGAGTAGATTTGAGGTAGGTAAAATTTAGATGGATTGTGCTTGAGACACTGCCACCGAGGATGGAGCTTAGAAGATATACCAGCTGAGACTCATAGGCCTCGCGTAAGACGGTACTGAATTATATACATTTCTAACTATCTATGTACTAGTTTCGATTGGATGCCCGCTGCTTTAGTAGACACAGCCTTGGCTTGCTATAGCCCTGCGGATGCGCAAGACTCCGGAATTTCCGGTTCGGGCTTTTAGCGCAAATAGGCCAGGCAATCAGATCACTTGGACAGTCAATGAAATATACATGTCACCCAATAGTGTAACCTCTTCAGTTGTCAATTTATTTTCCAGGGACTCGAGCGACGCCTCAATTCTTTGAATCCTGTTAAATCCAACAATTTGGACAAAATCCCTTCTGCGACAACCAGCCCATCGCGACCGAGCTTCTTGCACAGCCTCACTGGCGAGCTAGTTCCTCCACTCGACTCACAATAATTTCATTTTGATCCCCAACAAACCATCGCTTGGTCTTCTGGTCTTGATCTCCACGCGCTGACATTTTCTGCCAAGGGCGCGCCAATAGTCCCCGAGCCAACGGACTCCAAAAAGGATTCATCTCCCGCTCTTCTTCATGATAGAGTAGATTGCATAGACCTTGCATACTGATAAAAGGTGTCTAGCAATTCATTTCTGGGATATAATCCAGTCGCGCAAACTCCCAACAGTGTATACTTGATGCCCCCAAGATAGCGAACTTATACATATGCACCAGATCGTGGAGCGCTCGCATGATTTTCTCCGGAGGAGTCTCGACGTCCCAGCGATGCAGTTGTAAGACGTCAATGTAGTCCGTTTAAGTCTCCGCAAAGACCGTTCAACCGCGTTGAAGATATGCTTCCGACTCAGACCCATCTGATCGACCAGCGGCCCGTCATTCACAGCCGGATTTGGTCAGGCGTTTGGATCGTCTTCTAGCACGGGGTTGTAGCACGCCGCTGCGAGGGATGCCTTACTTTGTGCGCATTTTTGACAGAATATTTTCAGATTCTCCATTCGAGTATGTGTTTGCGGTATCGAAGGTGTCGATTTCAATTTCGTAGGCATTTTTGAGTAGTAAGAGTGATTGTTCCTCCTCGAGTACCCATGGCGACCCCCTCCCCATTTAGGATTGCCGTAAGTCATCATGCGGGAAACTTTGAGGCCGCCGTTGCCCAGGCGTTGGTATTGCATTCTTGGTGGCGAGCGAAGTGAACATGCTGAGCATCTGGGACGGCAGAGGTTGTGATGGATTCTGGGGCCATGTTGTACTGTTTAGTGGCTGAAGAAGGAACGGTTACTGTTTTTAATGGAGCTGCTCTTGCTTGGGACAGAGAATAAGATCTTGTTCAAAATAGTCAAAAATATCAAGGTTCATATTACGATAATGTTCCTGAAGGCAAACCAACTTTCCTTAGGTGCAAACAAGGCCAAGAGGTCTAAATCAGTCCCAGACTTAGGGGCCGTATCATCATGTATTTGCATACCCGAAATTGAAGAGTGCTTCTTCTGCATCTTCACAACTTGGGCCAATACTCACTTTCTCCACTGGTACAGTAAGATTGTACCGGCAGTGGAAATTACCCACAGCTTTTATGTTCTTGCATTACTCCGTATATGGATATAAAATAAAGGAGATTGTTAAGGACTGCATAGACTGCTCTACTTCATTTATCTGTAGGCTCGTTGACAATTGAATACTAACCCTAACCAGGTGATGTCCCATTGTAGTTAAGTAGATTTCGACGGACGTGATGATCCTGAGAGGCCATCTTGTTGAAAGAAAGCCTGCAACTTCCCCTATATACATGCTGATCTTTAGACAAATGTATAGGAACCCTTCAACCGCCCAAAAAACATCCTGAATTGTCTGTAGTTTGGTTTTCCCAGGCAATATCCTCTGCAATCTCACATACCACTTGCCTAGATAGTGCCACCGCAATAATCTCCTGTTATTGAGCCCAATCCATACATTGAAACGTCGCTAAATGCTTTGAAGGTGACTGACGTTTCATCACCTCCTGCATCACGTCCAATAAACTCGCAGCTGAAATCAGTGTCCCCGGGAATTCCGCTGTTCGCCCCTTCGCAGTAGCTAATCGTCGCTCCTCCAAAACTGTAGGTGAGAAAATTTCCACTATCACACTTTGCAAATAGTGGGCTTTGGCTGGTGTTGGAGTCAACCTCTTTCCATGCTTGACTGGCATCACTCCTAAAGAGCATCCTTTCTCCCGTAGCCGTGTTCGTGCCTCCCAGGGCAAGGGTAGCTGTTCCAACTGAGAACCTGAGAGCATCGATGGCATACACCTGTGGCAGGCATCCAATCATGCCCATGCCCCAGAGGAAGTTTCGTAGAGCCATATCTTTGGTACAAGACTGTATTAATCTTCAGTCGTGGCGATGGACTGTTGGGGAAAATCTTCAGAGTGAGAATGTGCACGTAGGACCAAATATCTCAGTGGATTGTGCTTGCAGATTTCTTCTATCTAACAGGTGGAGATGAGGCCCTATTTATACCTCATTTCGTGCTCATATTGACTAAACAAATATCCAGTTTACCTAGTTACATGTAATAAACGCATATAATAAGCAAGACTGAATCAGGTAAATGCCTAAACGGGCAAGACAAAGAAGATTCCTGTTGAGAGTTGATGACCATCAGATTTCTAATAGATATGTTACTATTCCAACTGTATACCTGTTTCCGAATGCATATACGTAATCCGTACGCCTGCTTAAAAAGTACCCTAATTATTTATAATTTAACTGTTCTACACTATTACTCTATAGGTTTAATACTTCCTAGGCCCTCACGTACTCAGGAGTGCGTCTACCTGATATGAGAAAACAATGAATGTCCAGTTACACCCTATCCAATATACACACATCAGGACCGGGTACTTCACTCATTAGGATTAGATGTCTAAAATATCTGATAGTACATTTAGTGAAATGAAATTAACTATCTGACCCTACTATCCGGTATCCTAGGCCTACATCTAACTCTTCCAACACACATAGGCTCGCGGAGAAGGTGGATGAACGGTTCGACAAGGCGCCATCTAGAAAGCCAACATACTTAAGGCTTAGATCAGCAGACCACCTGCGGCCGATAAATCTGGAAGATGCATCCCTTAACCACAACCACCAGTACAATCGCCCGGTTGTTCCAGCTATCCGTGTCCCGGCCCCGTTACTCGCTTCCCTCGTAAGTGTGCCACACTACAACGCCGTTTTGACTATTTTCATTAAAAGAATCATTAATTTAGCTAGGATTCAAAGAAATTTAAAAGGCTATCTATATGTATATTATTTGGAACATCTTCCTGACTATTTTTATTGTCATTTGATCTGCGTGGTGTGGTGATATTCTGTTTTGAAGTTTGTTGGCGGTTTGCCCTCCGAACGAACCGCCTGCTCCCTTTCCCTTATTGTACGGTCCTGAATTCGACGTTTCGCATCCTTAATTGTAAGAGAGCCTATCGTAGGAATTCCTCTTCATGATCTATATGAATTTGAAGGGATCTCATCGCGAAGGTGTTGGTGTATGTCTGATTGTAGTTGCGTTGCATGTTGAGTCAGTTTGTTCAGTTCATAAACTTCAGAATTGAGTGCTAGTGAAATACTTGAGGCCGGCGATTCCATTAACTTTCCGTTACTCAAGAAAATGTAAAAGGCATATACTTTCTGAGAGGAGTCACGGAGCTAGTCCAATGCATGATGAGGAGCAATAGTCTTTGAGCTTCTCCCGGCTTTCTCTCCAACTTACTTCATCCAAACAAACCTGTCCAGTTGAGTAGTGGAGCAAACTCCTCGCGAGAGGTTCTTGAGACGAGATTAAAGGCCCTAGATCCTACAATTGTGGTCACTGAACTGACCTTCGACCTAACGTCTACAATGATGGAGAGCATTCATCCAAGACTTTTACCCTGAACACCGGGGCTACAATCCCTGTGATCGGTTCTGGGACCCAGAAAGCTAGCTCTGGCGAGGCAGCTACAGCTGTTCAGGTTGTGATTGAAGCAGGCTATAGGCACTTTGTACCTTGGCTCCGAAGAAATTCCATTTAACTAAACTTACTAATCTTTTGATTCTTCATAGAATTGTGCTCCTTTATATAGGTGCCTATCAGAGGTATATGACCATGGCATCAAGGTAACGTAAACCGTCAGATGGAAATAAAGCAGATATAGGGCAGGCATTCAAGACAACCCAGGTACCACGCAACGAATACTTTATGACAACGAAGCTGTATGTTCGCATTTTACCCAATGCCCACATTTGATACAAAAATATTGACTTGGAAGATAGCTGGTCCTCCAATCATCGCCACGTTCAGTTTTCCGCTCCAGAAATCTCTTAATGACTGTGCCTCGAATATGTGGATCTCTATCTCATGCCTAAACTGGGGAACAGTCGTTTTCCATGACGATCATAAGGCGAACGTGAAAGAGTTAGCAAGTGTCGCGTATCCAGAGTTTCCTTTCAATACTGATAATATCATTCTGGTCTAAAGCTGAACTGGACCTTGGCTTGAGGATGCTTCCGCCACAGCTAAGCGGGACCATAAAAGTGGGTTCTATTTGCATACGGATATCTTTACAAATCCAGACAGATCATGTTCAGTACTAACAACTTCATTTTGGATATTTTATTACTTTAGAATCTTTTTTATTTGGCTTTATCTTCCTACAGCCAAGATAGAATGACTAGCGCTCTGTGAGCTGACCAAGCCTGGAGAAAGGTTAGGTAGCATAAAGTTGATTGATGCATTCCTACAATAAGCATTAGTACTCTAATGCGCTTTGCGACCCGCTTTCGTGGCTTTGCATAACTGTGAACGGGGCGGGAAAGTTACCGACCGAAATGCAGCTTGGCCCGCGAGGTTGCATAAGCATGCAATCTACGCTTACAAATTATCAAGCGAATGCTAGGTAACATCTAGCCTTTCAGTTCGATCGCCCGAGGCTTTTGAGTCAGATAAATACTTCACATTCGACTGGCATTGTTTCATACCTGAACTATCATGATAATGTCGCATAATATCCTGATCACTGGCGCTTCCGGATATTTAGGCGGAACCGTCCTTGCCCGCTGGGAACGAGCCAGACTTACTTCCTACCACACGCTTTACGCTCTCGTTCGCACGGAAGAGCAAGGCGAAGCAGTCCAAAAATATGGCGCCAAACCTATCTCCTTCGACATCAAAGATGAAGTTAGCATTAGAAATGCAATCGTCGAAAACGAGATCACCGTGGTCTATTTTCTCATTGACGCCATGACCTCAGTGTCTCAAATTCCGATGATCAAGGCACTTGCGGAAGTGAAGGAGAAAACTGGAAAGGATGTCCACTTTTTGCATACATCTGGTGCTAAGATTTTTAGCAACCATGCTGGGCTTCCGACGGATCGGCCTATTCTAGACAATGACCCTGAGCTCTATGGATTGCAGAAGAGTTCTATTGCAAAATACGACCTGGTGCAAAAGGTTCGTTCAGTGAGATACCTCATCTCAGACTTCGCTGATGCATAATAATAGGCACTATCTACAAACAATAACGTGATAGACACAGCGGACGCACATGGTGTGAAAAGTTACATCTTCGTCCCGTGCATTGTGTATGGAGAAGGCGAAGGATTTGGGAATTCGATATCTATTCAGACTGTCGCCATTGTTAAAGCTGCCAAAGCTCTTGGACGAGTTTACCGCCCTGATCCCGAAGACTATGTAAGTGCCTTTCCCTGCTTCATCCCCTTCTTTCACGTATTCTAACTTGAGTTCAGAGCTGGCCTGTCAGCCATGTCGCAGACACCGCCAATCTCTATCTGGAAATTCTGAGAGGCATCTTGAGTGGAAAGGAGATTGGGCACGGACGGAATGGCTATTATTTGGGCGCAAGTGGAAGCATGTCTTGGAATGATATTTACCGCGCAATGGCGACTGCTCTCGCGGAGCGAAAGGTGATTGAAACCGACAAGGTGAAGTTGGTGGATGCCCCAGCTCAAGCCGAAATGGGTAAGGCGCTTGGATGTCCGAAGGAAATGGTCCCACTCTTTCTAGGCGGAAAGTGTACCCTCGAGGCTCATCATGGGCGCGAAATTGGCTGGGTTCCTCGGCATCCACCAGAGCATATTCTTGATATGGCTGATGCAGAGGTTGATTTGATCCTTAGGAATATATAAAGGTGCAAAGAATTCAATGGCTCTTTCTATCATTCTATCAGGTGGAAGAAATCAGAACCATGTAGGGCTTCTTCAAGCGAGCTGTGAGATAGGAACTTTCGACCACCAAAATTCAGTCTGTTCTCTCGCCCACTCGTCCTTGACAAAATTAGCAGCAGGAGCTGTAGAGCCTCCAATTAGCTCATTATTTCCTTCTCCAAAAGTCATCACGCTCCGATCATTATGCTCAAAGGCTTGCCATTCAGGTCTTTGTGAGTAGCGGCCCTTGATGGCGTTCGGGCTGCCCTGGGTGATGAAACTAGTCAGATAGGCATGAAGAGTTCCAGATAACTCCTTTTGTGACTCTGAGATCCCCGTGATACCCTTATTATACGATTCGTAGTACATGTTATCTCCGTGGTTTGCTCGGTTCACCACGGTTCTGGGAAGAGCCCAGTGATACAGGTAAACGGGCATACCCTGTGAGGAGGCAAACTCGGCGGTCTGACGCACAGGTGCGACATAGGCGTAGTGAGCATACGCTGCCTCGATACGTTTGTATTGAGAGCCGAGACCATGACCCTCTCTGTCTTCAATATATGGCGACGCTGGGTCCACACTTGGATCGGGGTACAGCCTGTCGATTGTATCCAAATCCGAAAACGACAGTTCAGGAAGAAGATTGTTCCAGAATTGGCGGAACTGCGACGGATCAGACATCTTCTTATCCACATACATACTTCCCTCATTGGTGGTAAAGCCCGTCATGATAGGCACTTTATTCCAGAGTTTGGAGTTCCAAGCATCCAAAGGCTTGCGATATATGATATCATCGTCAATCACGGGTTGGAATGCCCATCGTAGGGAAGGGTTGTACTTGTCAAAGACCGCTGTTTGGGCCTTCGTCACAGTTGAACTAGGCAGTGTCCGAAGGAAAGGGAATATCTCATCCTCAGGAAGGCCTGCAGGACAGCCAACTTCATGTATGAAGTCTTGGAATTGCTGTTCGTGTATCTTCGCATTGTATGGACGAACAGCGCGAGATGTCGGGGAGCCCGATTCCATGATCACCCGGTGAAACAAAGAGGGTGCATTCTCCTTGTAATTCAGGAGATGGTGTCCAATCTACATTTCAGTCAGATAGTGTTCGCTGTGGGGGTTCTAAGACAGAGAAATTACCGAATGCGCGCCAGCCGATAGGCCAAACAGAGTCACATTGCCAGGGTCGCCTCCAAATTTGGCAATGTTTTCTTGTACCCACTCAAGTAGATGAACTTGATCGCGTAACCCGAGATTCAGGACATCTTCTTTCTTCGACAAACTTGAGGGTAGGAATCCTAATGCACCGATCCGGTAGCCAAAGCTCACCCCGATGAATGGCGACTCAGACCATGCAACCATTGAGGCGGTATCATGCATTGTAGCGGACCCTCGATTGAATGCGCCTCCATGGATGTATACCGCAACCGGCAATTTGTGTGTCTCATTTATTCCAGCTGGCCGGAAAATGTTTGCAGTGAGGCAGTCTTCTTTTTGTTCCAGTTTTGGTCCACCGGCGAGCAAGGCCTTGCCTGGAGCAGCCGGGCCATATTTGGACGCATCAATTGTTTCGGTAGATGCTGGGAGCTTGAATGCCGGCCTAAACCGTCTTTCTCCAACGGGGGAAGCGCATATGGAACCCCCAAGAAGGCATCAACGACCAAGGGGAATGATTCGTTAAGTTGGATTCCGATCACTTGGCCCTGAGGCAGAGACACCGAGGGACGAGTGCTAGACTCAGCCATGATTGCTTTTTTTTTTCTTTAATTGACCGAAAACACCAGGGTGGTTGGATTAAAAAGGATGAAGAGCAGTGAGGGGGTTGGGTGGCTATTCTTCGGTAACTAAAAGTACTCCCGTGCGGGGAGAAGCTCTGGGTGAAGGCGGTGGAGACTTGAGACTCGAGCAGCCAAAGCCCTGAAGATAAGGAACTCTCAATTGTTTCTTGAGAGAACAAAGTCAAATCCCCTCTAAATCCATCTTCAAGTGGGTCGTAGTGCTCGCATATTGGCTCACTTATTGTGGTTGCAAAGATATCATTGCCAGCCGAGAGTCATCTTGGCACCTGCTGCATGCTTACTTTGCTTCGCATTGAATTTTTGAAACAATGTAGTAATTTCAAAATACCCAAGTAGATCATCAATTACTGACGCGTCCTCCACGGAAGAGATGGAGATGTTGGATAGTCGTGCAGGAATGCATCAATATCTGTTGTTATCGTCGGTAAGTACCGGTCAAGTTCCGTTGCCTCTGGGCAGCCTTAGATAAGGTCATCTGGAGCTGCGATCATCATAGGAGGAAATACGGAAGTTTATCTCCTGGATCTACGGTCGTCGGACAGAGTCCGTAGCAACAAAGTTCCCCACATGGATGATTCCTGGGCATGGGAGGTCATGTGGGGTATATCAATGAATGCCCATCCTGCATGAGATAGATGGCCACCGACCAGGCTCTCGACAATTGAGGCCTCTATTCTGTGCTACTGATCATACTATCATAATTGCCATAATGAAAGACAAAATCCAAAAGGACTCTTTCAGAAATCCTGAAAATGAAAAAGATCTTCAAGTCGGCACAATCGCAGACCTCGACGAAGGTGGCGCCTTCTTGCACGAGCATGGCTTCACCCATGACTCTCTTCAAGCGCTCTTGAATGACGAAGCACGCAACAAGTCATTGGTACGCAAGGTTGATCTTGTACTCCTTCCACTGCTTGCGGGCACCTATGTCCTGCAGTATATCGACAAGTCAGCCCTGGCCTACTCTGCCGTCTTCGATCTCTTCACGTCAACACACATGTCCAGTAATCAGTATAGTTGGCTAGCCAGCATCTTCTACTTGGCATATTTGCTTGCCGAGTATCCCTGGAACATTCTTGCGCAGAAAACTCGATTGGCAAAAGTCGTGTCAGGGAACATTGTCGCTTGGGGTTCAATTCTGATGGTAACGGCCGCCTGCTCTTCATTCACTGGTATGGCTATCTGCCGTTTCCTTCTGGGTATATTTGAGGCCCCTATTACCCCATGCTTCATGATGATAGTCGGCATGTGGTACACTCGCGACCAACAGCCCTTCCGTGCTGGCATCTTCTACAGCTGCAACGGCCTGGGGGCAATTATCGGCGGTATCCTGACTTTTGGAATTGGCCAAATCCACACCATCGCCGTCTGGAGAGCCATATACCTCATTCTGGGAGGAGTAACAGTGGCCTGGGGAATCGTGATGTTCTTTTTCCTTCCAGATGATATCATCTCTGCAAAGCGTTTCAAGTTCGAGGAGAAAGCTCTCTTGATCGGCCGCAGTCGTCTCGGAAGAACCGGTGTCATGAACCACCAAATCAAGTGGTATCAAATTCGAGAGGCCCTAGTTGACCCTCAAATCTGGCTCTTATTCTCCTTTACCCTTTGCAATGAGATCATCAACGGTGGAGTCGCCAGCTTTGGCAAACTCATCATCAAAGGCTTGACGGATGATCCTCTCAAGACTTGTGCACTGGGAATCCCACTAGGTGCCTTCCAAGTCTTTTATATTCTGAGTGGAACGTTCCTCGCGTCGCGCTTTCGCAATTGTCGCACTATTATCATGCCATTGTACCTGGTCCCGACAATTATCGGCACCTGTTTGATGTGGAAGTTGTCCCACGAAACCAGCAAAGTAGGGGTACTATGTGGATACTATATCGTCGGTGCATATGTGTGTTCTTTGGTGCTGTCACTGCAGATGCCGGCAACGAATCTCGGAGGCTATACTAAGCGATCCACCGGTGTGGCTTTGGTGTTTTTGGCGTATTGTGCAGGCAATATCATCGGTCCCCATGCCTTTCTGGCTAAAGAGGCTCCTCTGTATCAGACAGGCTGCAAGGTCATTCTTGCCTGTGCATCAGCTCAAGTGGTCCTGGCGATTTTGCTGCGGTTGCTGTTGATTAGTCGGAACAGAAGAAGAGATGCGCAGGCTGCTGCGGATCAGGCTGGAGCAGGACCTCAGTCAGAGTATGACGAGCTTGCTGATCTGACTGACTTTGAGGTGAGAAGTGGTTGAATCCAAGTTCATATCAGAAAACATGCTCACATCTTGATAGAACCCGAGATTCCGATACGTGCTATGATGTCGCAGTAGTGTGGAATGTTGGCTTGGAACGTCTCGGACAGCCAAAGTCATGATGTTTTCCCATTTCCTGGGCCCGTTGGTCTATCTCAGACTCGTTTAGCTGGAGCAAAAGAACGTCTGCCTGCCAAATCTAATGAACATTCTGGAACTGCCTCTGCTTACTGGTAAATCACGAGTTGCAAATCGATTGAGACAAAGGAAACCGAGCATGTTTTTGAAGGAAAACTGAGACAAAAGTATTGTACATCGTATCGGCGGGGATGGACAAGGGGGAAACGTGAAATAAAAATCTAAGGGTAGTCTCTATCATCCTCCTCATTCTACAACACTCGCAATAATTTATTTGCCAATCTCGACACCACCAGTGGCACCAAGGACACGCTTGATGTCACCGTAGATGGCGAACTGACCGGCAGTGAGGGAGCCGACCATGAACAGACGGGCACCAATACCGGAGTAGGAGCCACGGAGGCCGAGCTCCTTGCCGATCTTGATGAGACGGGAGATAGTGCCCTCACCGGGAGCACCCTGGGTCTTGTTGATCTTGGAGAGCATGGTATCGGCGGGCTGGGAGACAATGGCGGCAGCGAGACCAGCAACGAGACCGGAGCCCAGGTTGATACCGGTCTTGGCACCGTCGGAGATGCTGTTCTTGTCAACGGAAGCGTAGATGGCCTCAGAGACCTTCTCGAAGACGACGAACTTGGCCATGGTGTAGGGGACCCTGTCGAAGATGACATGTTAGAGCGAAAATTCGCGCGATGCGGAGATATCGGTATCGATATGCACGCAGCTAAATGCCAACAAGGCAACTTACTGCTTGAACAGGATGGGGCCGAATCCGGAGTAGAAACCGGCGACACCCTCCTCCTTCAGGATACGGCTGAAACCACCGAAGAGACCGTTGGCGAAGGAAGGCTGAGAGACGAGACGGATACGGGTGGCCTCGAGAGGGCAGAGGGCAATGTCGGCCATGAACTCAGCGCAGGCGGAGGAGGCGAGGTAGACAGCGGTACGGTTCTGGGTAGCGGTCTCGAGGCCGAGCTGGTTGATGGCCTGCTGCTTGAAGAACTCGTAACCACCGAACTTGAAGGCACCCTGGAGGAAGTAACCAGCGGCGGTAGGGCCGAGACCAGTCAGAAGAGCGCCAGCACCCTCGGTCTGGATGACCTGACGGAAGCCACCGATCATACCACGGTTGTAGGTGGCAGGGTCGAGCTGGATACGGGTCTTGACGCTGTAAAGCAGATGCGCGCACGGTTAGATGATATTCCTGTGTGATTTTTCTTTGTTCGCATCCATGGCCGTCGACTTCGAACTTACACATCAAGAGGAGTGACAGCGCCATGGGTGACACTGCAGCAGACAGCGCCAGCGAAGGCGAAGCGGCTGTACAGGGCAAGGCCCGACTTGGTTTCCTGGGGAGCAGAGACGGCAGCCATTGTGTGATGGATTCACCCGAAAAGAGGGAAGTGGAGGAGAGGAGAAGAGAGGAGATGCAATTGAAGCTTTTGGTGGTGAGAAAGAGAGAAAGGAGGAAAGGATTTGAAAGGGATGGGTCCCCCAATTCCGAAAACTTTTCGCGGACCAATGACGGGCCATTGCGGGTTCCCGTCGGCAACACACGGGGACTGGCCACTTTATGCGTATAACTCCGGTCATCCCCCGGTCAACCGAACAGAGGATGCTCCTCTTAACTATTATTCCTCGTCCTACTACTAAACACTACTCAAATTCTTGCCTAATTATCCTTCGTTCGATGGAAAGGCAGGCATGCACGCGCTCGCGCGGCGGGCTATGATTCGACCATGCTGTTTTCTACAGGTAACATTATGCTAATAGGTATAGGTATCAAAGTGGGATGGCCTCCAGCAAATTCCTACATGTCTCCTAATTATCGGATGCTCACTCAGCTAAGAGCCCAGTTTCACTCTAGGCCTGTTATCGAATTGTCCAATATCAACGACAAGTTAAAGATCATTTGCTACGTCACCAAGTGGACACCTGGCGGCAACGATGGGGCACCGATTTGGGTGACCGCCTTGTTCTGCCCACAGCCGCGCCAAGACCTCCTGGCCCGAAGACTCCGAGAAAAGCCCTGGACTGGGCCTGCGTTCCCGTGCCATGACTATGAATTCCCACAAATCACAGACCGGCTATATTAATATCTGGCAACCCTGTCCCTATCGCAGCCTCTCATTGGCCAGTGGTCATCTTCGGATCTCGGAATCCACATGCTACAGATGGATACATAGGGAACTACAGACTCAAAAGCTGGGTACTAGGAGGCTGAACCAGTCAATTTTGGAGCCTGAATTGTCAATTTTCATGACCCTATTCTAAGTGACAATGTCTGCAATGACACTCTACTCTGGATCCTTTAAATCATTATGCCATGTTTGGGTGGTGGTGGTGGTGGTGTACCCGACTCAATTGGAACTGTTGTGTGGATACCCAATTGTAAAATATATATCCCCGCTGTAAGCTTGCCCAGAACAAAATTACGGGCACGGTTTAGGCCAATGCAGCTGAACCAACACGCGGTTATGGTTTCAATCGAATTTCCCATATCCCTCAACCAAACTACAAGGGCTATAAAGTCGATTGATGTAGATTGACCCATTTACCCATGTCTATCCAGGTATACTCACACAGCAGGGGGTGGCCGTGACACTATTATCAGTCCTGCTTTGAACTTGCTGCTTTCCAGGTCGATATATCGACCATGATCGAAGGTTCTGATTATTTGTCTCCAGTTGATCACTGTTTCATACCTTCAAAGGATTCAGAGTCTTACCTATAGTGTTAATTCTTTGTAGTTCTCGTCAAGGCACAGCCCGGTCAACCCTATGCTGTCTCTGCTAAGTTGCTGTCTGACAATGCGACGGGAGACAAAAAGGTGGCGGGAGATTGAAGGTGAGATTTGGGGCTTTCGAGGTATTCAGAGACATCCCATACGAATTAACCTATCCAGAACCAGAAGCATCAGATGATCCAGAAAAGTCGCTGGCCTGGGATGCTCCGCAGAACACCCTGATGATGCAGGGCTTTGAATGGCACGTACCAGCTGATCAGAAGCATTGGTACCGCCTCAAAATGGCTCTCCCGAGCCTTCTTGATGCCGGGGTAGACAATATTTGGATTCCCCCTGGTTGCAAGGGAATGGACCCTTCTGGAACGGGGTATGATGTCTATGATCTGTATGACATCGGGGAGTTTGATCAAAAAGGCTCCATATCAACGCGCTGGGGGTCAAAGGAGGACTTGCAGGCTTTAGTAGAAGCCGCGCATGATGTTGGTATTGGAATATATTGGGACACTGTCTTGAATCATAAGGCCGGTGCAGATTTCACGGAGAAGTTTTGTGCTGTGAAAGCGAACCCCGACGGTATCATGGTCCTGACAATTATTCAAGGGAGTCCGAGAAAAGCTGACGTTAAACTAGATCGCAACATTGTCATCTCAAAGCCTGAGAGTATTTCGGGATGGGTTGGATTCGACTTTCCTGGTCGCAAGGGAAAATACAGTACGATGAAGTACAGCCATCGACATTTTAATGGAGTGGACTGGGATGAATCGAGAAAGCAACATTCAGTATACAAAATTTCCAAGCCACGGAAAGACTGGGCGCAAGATGTCAGCGATGAGCATGGCAACTATGACTTTTTAATGTTCGCCAATCTTGACCACACAAATCCGGAAGTACGGGCAGATATCTTCAAATGGGCGGAATGGATCGGGACTGAGCTGCCAATCAGCGGCATGCGAATTGACGCAGCTAAGCATTATTCGGTTGCATTTCAAAAGGAATTTGTCGATCATCTGCGAAACACAGTGGGCACTGAATATTTTATAGTGAGCGAGTACTGGAGAGGAGATGTGAGACATCTACTCAATTACCTCAAAGTGATGGAGTACGGTGTGTCTCTGTTTGACGTACCACTCCTTGGACGATTTGCTGTGACGTCGAAGATGGAAGGGAGTGACCTTCGGAAGATTTTCCGCGGCACGTTGGTGGAACAGAGCCCAGCTCATGCAGTAGTAAGATTCTCTGGTTGATTCATGCTACATACATATGCTAAGCTTTGGTAACACCACTAGACATTTGTGGGGAATCATGATACTGTAAGCTATCGAAACCACATATACATTGGGTCATGCTTACATTATGAAGCAACCTGGCCAGTCTCTAGAGGTAATCTCAAGAGAATACGTGTCTTTTCAGTGCCACGTGGGTGCTAATGAGGCTCCATAGACAATGATAGCCCCATTCTTTAAACCAATTGCCTACGCATTAATACTTCTCAGAGCACAGGGACAGCCGTGCATCTTTTACGGTGATCTTTACGGGATCAGAGGTGGTGCCGGTTCCCTTTCTTTGCCATCTTGCAAGGGAAAGCTCCCTACCTTGATGCGTGCTCGCAAGCTATACGCCTACGGAGAGCAGCAGGATTATTTTGACAGAAAGAATTGCATTGGTGAGCATGCGTTTTCAAATATTATTTAAAATGCTGAAGGAATGTAGGTTTCGTGCGGTATGGGAATGAATATTTCCCTGACGGCCTTGCATGCGTTATCAGCAACAGGAGGGCAACATATAAGCGTATGTACGTGGGAATCAGACACGTGGGGGAGGAATGGACTGATGTGCTTGAGTGGTGCATTGGTACTGTGTTTATTGACACGAGGGGATACGGGATCTTCCCGGTGTCTGCAAAAAGCATCAGTGTATGGGTTAATAATAAGGCTAATAGGAGGAGGAAGCTTTCTAGTCCCTTGTGAGTAAATCTCGTACTAACTTTTGCCTCAAGGGTGGCACTAATTTGACTGTTACGATAGTAATACTAATATTTACAGCCTATGAGACAATTGAAAATGGCCCTTGGAGGCTTTGAACTGCAATAATGATAATCAAGTATTGATTCGATCACTTTCCAACCCCTCTTGTCTTCTTAGATTTAGGCCAAAGGGTTGCTACTGGGTACTGCTTACGGTATTATTCTGAAATGCTGGCTTCCCAAATAGTAAAGTTGTTACCTTTCTGTATATCCCAGTCTCGTATCTCCGTCTTTTCGTCCCCACCAAATATGACCGGCGACGCCAATTCCAGACAAAATACCCGAGTCAATGACTGTGCATTCGATTACATGAAGTACATGGATTTGGGTTAGACCGACTTCAGAGTGGAGTAAGTTGCGTAGTCTCGGATATCAAACTCAATTTCCAGGGAGATACTGATGCATTCAGGGCGAATGAGCTAGCTTAGAGTAATCTCGTATATTGTGTTCTATGTTTTTGAGCCTTGCCATCTTAATCAGTCACCCGCAACTTTGATAGAGGAGACCTGATCTTGCCGTGAACACGGTGCTTCATTCCAAACTCGATGACAATGGTCAAGCGGTAGATTCGTGATGTTCCCAAATGATCATACTTTTGCGAAAAATCAGAATATGCAAAAGCTTGAAGTAAGTTGGTGGCGTGCCCCTCGAAATATCTTACAAGTAATCTATTATTTAGGACAACTTATTTCTGCTAGTTATAGTTCGCCGTGGACCGTCGGCACCTGCCGGTCACATGAGCGGGGAGTGGATCCCCCACGCGCCAACGGCCGAAGACGGAGAACCCCACTCTGGCCATGGACTTGTGCTATATCGACTTGGGGTTTCTCGAGATCTACCACGGCTGATTCGTGCCCGCATCCAGTATCACACTCCACTCGGATGTTGTGGGCCGATTTGCTGGTCTCGCCAGCGAGTCGCATGCCCCTGATTTGAGGTAAAGGAACGGTAGCCTCTCTTTTGTGGGCAATGCGCCCCAGAAACAAGGCTTCCGCACCCACACTCTTTATCAATGGGCCAGGCTAATACTGAAGCTAGAGGACTATAAAATCAGGCCGCATCACGCAAACTGCTTGTGTTACACCTTCCCCTGGCATCACACTGAATGCCTTAGTGGACCTCTCTTTTTCCTCACCTATCCTGCTGCGACATTACAAAATAACTTCCTCGTCTTGGAGACCAACCGAAAATGACTACCAAGATCGACAAGATGGGCGGGGCCCATACCGAAGAAGAAGGCCAGGACACGACAGTAGCTGCCTCGAGCTCTGTTCTTGCTGGATCTGATGATATGTTGTCTCTTGGTCGGGTTGACCAAGCTCTGTCAACCAAGATGCAGCTTGTCAATGAGGTAAGCTGCGCGAAAAGACTGTTCCGTCATCAAGCCCATGTTGACGACGCAGGCAATCGACACAATCGGGTTTACCCCTTATCATACGAAGCTTTTTTTTCTCAACGGATTCGGGTGCGTGAATTTGAGCTTCATCGAAGGAAGGTCTACATGGTCCTGACGTATGTTGAACAGCTACGGTGTTGACTCGATGTTACTCTTCCTTATGAGCATATCCGCCGACCAGGTGGTGGCCCAGTACCCTCCGAAGTTTGACAGGGGCGCCCAACTGGGCTTCTATATTGCCTTGCTAGTGGGTGCCTTATTCTGGGGTAGCACAGCGGACATCATAGGCCGAAAGTGGGCTTTCAACTTTTCTCTGTTCACTAGCGCTATCTTTGCTATCACTGCTGGGGCTGCACCCAATTACCCGGCCTGGGCTACTTTGGTCGCACTTTCGGCTTTCGGATCTGGAGGAAACTTGGTGCTTGACACCACGGTCTTCCTCGAATATCTCCCTTCTAACAAGCAATGGCTTCTAACCCTTCTAGCGGGTTGGTGGGGAGTTGGGCAGACCGTGGCCGGTCTGGTGGCCTGGCCGTTCATGGGTGAGATTTTTTTCTTTTCATTTCTGTCACATCTTGCTGCCTTGTCCTGCTAACATTGAGATAGCAAACTATAGCTGCCCTACGGACGGCTCTGTTCCATGCACCAACGCCAACAACATGGGATGGAGATATTTATTCTACACCTGTGGAGCTCTGGTGTTTGTCCTAAGTATTGCTCGAGTACTCGTTATTCGATTTCATGAGACCCCCAAGTTCCTTCTCTGCCAAGGCATGGATGAAGAGGTTATTAAAACGCTCCAAAATCTTGCTCAGAAGTATGATCGCCCATGCAACCTCACTCTGGAGCAACTTCAAGCCTGTGGCCAAATACACAGCGCCCATGCCAAAGATAAAGCCTCCCTGTCTGAGTTGGTAGTACACGTCCGAGGTCTGTTCTCGACCCGAATTATGACCATCTCGACGTCGCTCGTGTGGTTTTCTTGGGCACTCATTGGGCTAGGATATGCTCTGTATTATGTTTACCTGCCCGAATACCTTGCCTCTCGAAACGCAACGGCCGGTGAGACTTCGACCTATCTCACATGGCGGAACTATGCAATCACCAATCTCTGCGCTATCCCGGGTCCTATCATTGCAGCATATATGTCCGAGCTTCCTATTTTTGGGAGAAGATACACAATGGCCATCGGAGCATTCATGACAAGTGAGTAGAAATCGAGCACTTGCACCTTGTAAACTCTGCTAATCATCCCAGTGGCCTTCTTCTTCGGCTATACCGCTGTCCGCACTAGTGCGCAAAATCTGGGCTTTGCATGTGCAATCTCCATTGCAATCAATATGTACTACGCAACACTTTACGCCTACACTGTTGAAATCCTACCGTCCGCGCATCGAGGTACTGGCAATGGCATCGCAGTCGCACTCAATCGACTGATGGGAACGGTATCAGCGTTGATTGGTGCCTTCACATCCACTGCCAGCTCAGTCCCAATTTACGTATGTGCTGCTCTTCTGGGAATGGCAGGTATCCTTGCCGTGCTGTTCCCTCTTGAGTCTCGTGGGAGACACAGCATCTAAAGATATAATCTTCAGTGTGAAACTCGCCAAACATTGCTTGCCATGTTTTGCTTGGGAAGGTGCAAGGAATGGACCGGCAAAGATCTACTCGCAATCCTGGTCGGAGTGCCTCATATCAAGATTGCCTTCAATCTCTCTCTGAATTACACTACTGTATATTCTAGTCAACCTCCACCCCAATCAAGTCATAAATAAGGTTCTCTATGGCACATCCACATTGTTCATTCATCGTTATAAATTTCCAATTTCCCAGACACCCATGTAAGGCCGGTCTTGGTCTTGAAACTGATAGAACGGATCACGAGTAATGTCCATGAAGGAAACGTCACTCTGAAGCCCCGGTGCCGACCATACAAGAGAATCCCGTGGTAATGGACCCTGAACGGCGCCGTTGCTCACTGAAATTGAGCTGCCCTCTCGCCACGATTCGTGATACGAGACGTCCGAGGACTGCCGATCGCGTACTGTACTTGAGTACGGCGGCAACGCTTGACCACCGTCAGAGGTATCCACTGTTCTTGTAGAATTATGGAATATTTCTGTTTCAACAGTTACTTTCTCGTGCTGCTTGTCTCTTGGAGTATCGAAGAACGAAGGATCAAAGAGACCTCGCCCGGGTGAACCAGACGGAGCCTCTGGTGAGCTCTGGAGGAGAATGTCCCACATCAACGCTGTGTCGATTGATATTGTTCTACGTGGTGACCGACTGTTGGTAGAGTTTGGGCTCACTGCAAAGGCTGACTGGATGAGCGTTTGAACCTTTTGATACTGTTCACATCATTAGCTAGGGCATGCAAAGCACATGTTGGGATAAACCGACTATCACATCGCACGTGGGCCATTTTGCGGCCAAGTCACCCAGGAAGTTCGTGCAGGTTTCAACCTTTCGTTGAGCGGACTCTCTCAGGACGGGATCTGCAGCGCGGCAGTAATAGAGATGAATGGTAATCGCAATGGCTACCAAATGACCAATAGATGGATCTGATAGCTGATAATCCTTTTCAGTGACCATGTCAATCAGACGAACCGTCCAGGTCGTATGTATCAGCGCCAGCTCTGACGAAGTCTTCCAAAACGTGTTGGGCACTGCGAGTTGAGCAGATTGTTGAGGTCGCCAGGAGTACAGAAAGGGATGGTTGATCACACTGTGCACCGCATGATACGTGAATTGGAGGTACAGCCATGGGCTCCAATACCAGCGATCGCCATGAAGTTCCTCGACTGATTGCTCTTGAAACCTCGCGGAATCATATCGATGTGAGGTCGGGAAATTTGTTTCAAGATTCATCAGGTGAGCTCCGATGATAGAATACCCGGACTCAACAGACCATGGCGGCGTGAAATACCCACTGGCACAATGTGATATGTAGTGCTGCACCTCTCTCCAAAGTGATCCCAATTGAACCATGTAGACCCATATCCCTCCTCTTGATGAAAGCGAGCCAGTTTCCACGGGGACCTGAGGGGGAATTACGCCCATCTCCCGAGGGGTGTCAATGTTGACGGCCGTGTATTTGGGATTTTGAATGTCTCGTAGAATATTCAGCGACAAACTCCGGGGACCGAATTGCTGATTGAGGAAGTTGATACTCCAAAATAGCCGTCGGCGGGCTTCCAGGGTAGGTGTCGACTGTCCCTCATGCAACTCAATATCAATATTTCCACATTTTGCGAGATTTGTGACGAGACCGATATGAACCCAAGCTAGGTGGGTATCATTGGCTGGATAAGTATGAGTGAAGTACTCTTTGCTTTTAGATATCGATCAAGACCTACCAATATACTCAGCAAGTGCAATCAGACATAGAGCTTGCATTGTGGATAAGTTCACTCTTCCTCGAGCAATTCGAAGCGATATTAGGCTGTGAGCTGCCTCTGCGTATTGTCGACACAGTTGGTCCACCTGCCCATCTGGAATGTGGCTGCGTGAGTAGCGCAAAGCTAAACTTGAAATTCCAAATATCACCTCATCAGGTATATCAGATAGATTCGAAAAGATCTCCGGGTCAAATAGCCAGAGAGGCTGCTTATGACAGTATTGGAAATAAAGCGCGATGCACTTGGAGATCATATCTTTGGGAGGTATTGTGAACGTTGTCAAGTTGGTGGTCATATTTGCAGACTGAAGGCTCAACTCATCATGAGATCCAAACCTCCGTGTTGATGCTTCGTGACCGCCATGTGTAGACCTTGACGCAGCATCTCCGCTGGCACTTTGGCCGATACTGTGTGAGTCCAGTGGTCCAGCTCCGACATGGCGATTTGACCTGACTTCGTCAGCATTTTCGTTTTTCAAATTGGATGACTATAAAATGTCCCCGGTTGTACTCACGTCGATTGTTCCAGCACTAGATTCATCTTCTCCTCGAGCTGGTGCAGTCGATCTTCCTGGTTTCGACTTAGTCAACTGAATCGGTACCCACTGGTCTCGGCGACTTCTAACCAATACACCATCGCTGCCAGCACTGCCTTCCCAGGAGTCATAGCTCCGGCTATATTGGCACGACTGTTTTAGACGAGTGCATGTTGAGCAAGCCGGTCGCTCCCCAGGACATCGTGTCTTCTTTCGCCTTTCCAAGCTCGTCAGCTAGACTCAACTCAAGAGATTGGTGAGATTCAGCTTACCTGCAGTTTTCACAAGCTTGGTGGGATCTCTTAGTGATACGAGAGTTCGCCAGCGACATTTGTAGCGTGATTAGCTCTTCACTGAATAATGAACCCAAGTAATCTCGTCACGGCGCAAGGGTGTGCTTAAAGAAGGGGCAGCGCGGGGTTCTCGGACACAACCCGATGAGGCGCAAAGTTGTGGGGAGGTGGCCCACTGCTGTGATCCACTCCTGGAAACAATAGCGATAAGGGGAAAGGGCCAAGATCAATAAAGTTTACCTTCGTCGACTCTATCGTGGTTAGAATAATTTGGGGCGAACATAACTCCAAGTAAGATCTAGCCTGCGAGAGACAGGCTGAGAAGCAGGTCTTCCTCGACGGCGTCGTACAGATGTCCAGTTGGAGTTTTTGCGTCTTAATCCTGAGCAAAGCATTGGCTGTCGACCCTAACACCATGATTATCCTTTCATTTATTTTAGGAGAGCCGAGAAGAAAAATATTGAACGTCTTCCAATTTATTCAAGCCAAGCTCAGCATCTTCACAATCAATTACTGTCCGAGTATATTGAATTACCAGTCGAGCTTGCTATTACCATCCGCTGAACAAGCCAATCCTGAACAAAAGCTAATATCCTCGGCAGTGGCCGATCCAGCTGAATGCTGACGAGCGGGCCAAATTTCGCGTTGCCCCTTCTGCTCCTCCCTCCGATGATCGAGAAGCAATTTCCGAACCGTGGTTTGGAAGAAGAGGGGTGCGCTCTCTAGCTCAGGATGAAGTTGCCCATTAACGAAAACACCAGCATTAAGATTCTTTTGGGCCTCATTGCAAAGCCACTTATCCTCGGCTAGCACTCTCTTGAAGAAGGAGTCAATGTGCTCAAATTCTTCGTCGGATGCTTCTTTGTGTCGGTAAACTTCGTACTCCATTGAGCAAGTCCCTACGGATGTTGGGACGCATCGCATCATGTAGAAGAAGTGAGGACTGGTTCATCGTCAATATTTGATGCTGATCATTATCTGTCTTATCGGCATAGAAAACTCACGAGACAGTCATGCATGCATTGGGGAAGTAATAGGTGCTTGCATTCTTGATATCGTCATTCACCTTGTCTTGTTTGGGTCGAGAGAAATGTTGAATATGCCCAGGAGTAGACACCGTGTAGTAATACGACAGATCGGCGAGATTCGCGACATCAGGATGGGCCACTGTACAATGATAGCATTCGTTGTAGTTATCGGCGAGTGTTTTCCAATTATAGTCGCCATCCATTTGCCACGTATGGTCGAATTTGTACTGGCTGAAGTCGAAATTCTGGAATCGTTCTTGGGTGTCAACCCCTTTGAAATCCTCTTCCCACGGCACAGGATGAGGCGAAGAGTCGAGATTCACCCATATGAAACCGAGCGCATCCACATGCACATGTACTGGGAACAGTCGTTGATCTTCCTTGGAAAACCCAGGAACATCATCAAATCGCGGAGCCTTGGCGAGTTTGCCGTTGAGACCATAGGACCATCCATGATACTTGCAAGACAGAATCTTGACATTGCCTTCATCCTCTGATACGAGGGGGAAGGCGCGGTGGCGACAAATATTGTGAAAGCCATTCAAGTTGCCCTCGCGATCAAGGCATAAAAAGAAGGAGAAGCCAGCTTCATGGAACCGTAGGTAGTCGCCTGGCTTTGTGAATCGGAGCTTATGGGTGATCAGAATCCATTTCTTGGAGAAAATAGCTCGTCGCTCCAATTCATACAGCTCTGGCGAAGAATACCATGAGGCAGGCAAGGCTTTCGGTGGCTCCTTCGGAAGCTTCTTTTCCTCCAGAATATTGGGTTTGTATCCAAAGAGTGAGGCGACGGCAGCTGCCATGATGCTAGCAAATATCTTCACTGGAGGTTGAATGTTTTGGAGAAAAATTATCTTCGATCTTGTCCATCACCTCTACCGCCGTTTTCGTGGTCGTGGATTTATCTTCTTTGTTGAATGTCTTCGAAATATCCGATCACGCGGCCAACCACGTACAACGCCATGACAAAGGCCTGTGTCGCATTGCTTCAACACGGTCTCCGACCGACGGCGAGCTTACCGTGTCATGTAACGAGTGGATCCACGAACGAACTGATAACCCACCGTTTAAGTTGTCGATTAGAGTTTGTGGTCTCCAACAGAACTTACGCTGTTTTGCTCTTCCGTCGGCTTTCCCCGGTCAGGTGAGCGGTTGTTGTTGCTCTTGATTGCTAGCTGGCATTCTGGTAGCACCGAAAAAGAAGGAAATCCGATCCGGAATCATTAACCAGATTTGGGGCTCTAGTCCTAGAGCTCCGGTTCGGTAATGATCTGTCTCGTGCCCCTTTGATGAACCTTCCATTCACACATCACGATCTATACGAATCAATATCATGTTGTGTCACACTTGATGAGGAATACCTCAAACCCTCCCATAACACGATTTACCCAGCTTTGCTGCCCATTGGTTTGACTGCGTCGGTGTCTGCAGCAAAACAACCACTCCTAGCTTAGAGGATGGGACAGCCGACGGTAACATCGAGTGACACGGTCGGCTCTGGACGTGCTAAGTTTGGCTTCTCGGCTAAAACACGGAGTCCTCCGCTCATGTGCGGGGGAGCGCAAAACGGAGCAGCTCATCATTTCACATATTGGCCCTCGAGGTAATGGAGCGGGGGAACTACTTTGCTCGACGTCTTCTTGCGGAACTATTCTCATTCTCAGGCGTTCATACATCGACACGTACATTTATTACATCGCACCATCTTGAGCACTTCAAACAAAAGACACCATGGGATCTAACGACTCAACTGATCATGGGTCCAAGTTCATCTTGACGGCGGATGCCCTTGACAAGGCTCTGCCCGATATGAGCATGGCCACAAGAGCAGTCCACGCCGATGACTTTGTCAGTCCACACCGCGCCATTGCTCCCGCAATGCACGTTGCGGTCAATTTTCGTTATGCGAGAGATCCCGAGGACCTAGTTCCAGAGGAGAACAAAGATGTGAGAAATTAGCGCTTTGAACAATTCTTGTGCTAACAATGCGAAATAGCCTAATAACCCTCATGATTCGCATGTGTACTCCCGCTACACCGCGCCCAATTCTAATCGACTAGAAGTCTTGCTTCGCAATATCATGGGCGGTGAAGTCATCACCTACTCGACAGGACTCTCAGCTTTCCATGCTATGTTCATCCTCCTCAATCCAAAGAGAATCTTCATTGAGGATGGATATCACGGATGTCATGGTGTTCTCGATATTATGCAGAGGTTGACTGGGGTTCAGAAACTTGATCTGTCGCAACTGGACCAAGCGGAGCCAGGTGATATTGTACACGTGGAGACACCCCTGAACCCAACTGGTGAAGCCAGGAATCTTGCATATTACCGTGAGAAAGCCACCGAAAAAGGTGCTTATCTGACTGTCGACGCTACCTTTGCGCCTCCTCCACTTCAGAATCCTTTGGATCTTGGAGCAGACATTGTTATGCACAGTGGCACTAAGTATGTTGGCGGCCATTCGGATATGCTTTGTGGTCTCTTGATCATTCACCCTGACCGGGTGGAGAAAGATGGATGGTTGAAAAAGCTACACAAAGATCGCCAATATATAGGCAGTGTTATGGGAAGCTTTGAAGGATGGCTCGGCATCCGATCCGCTCGCACTATGTACCTTCGGGTCTCCAAGCAGTCGCAGACGGCAGAGAGGCTGGCTGCATGGCTGCATGACCAGCTCAAAGACCAAAAAAGTCATGTCAGCCAAGCTATAGAACAGGTTAAGCATGCCTCTCTCCAGGCAGATGACTTGAAAGATGGCTGGCTTCGAAAGCAAATGCCTGGAGGCTTTGGACCCGTGTTCTCGATCTGGGCCAAGAACGCGGCTTTTGCCCGACAACTCCCAAGCCGTATGTTTATTTTCCAACATGCGACGAGTCTGGGTGGTGTTGAAAGTTTAATGGAATGGAGGGCAATGAGCGATGCATCGTGCGACGCCAAATTGTTGAGAATCAGTTGCGGTATTGAGGAGTTTGAGGATTTGCAGGCCGACATACTGCAGGGAATCCAGTCCCTTTTGCACACTTGTCACTCATAGCTTCTAAAATGTTGAGTTCAATTCTAGTTCTTGAATTGATCATGCTATGGATAATTGTATCCGTGGAAGATAACACACGATTAGTGAATTATGTGAACATCGTACTGTCTCCATTCTAGTAACGCGCTTGGTTTTGATAGGTTTCTCTCATAGCATGTTAATTATTTTAATTATCCAGAAGCCAGGATTTGAGCTTGGAAAAATTGAGTTCATGGATAGGACATCCATCAGTTCGATTTATCTACAATTTGATCCTTTACTTCTTGGTTGAGCGATCCAGACAAACGATGTATTGGATGAGCTGGGCTACTGGGCCTTCACTACACATATAGAGATTAAGATTTTATATATTGTATCGGAATTTTGTAATACACGGCTTTTGACGACAGTACAAAAAGACCTATACAATAGTTACCAAGTCAGTGCCTGGACCGGTTATTGCTCTATACGAGGGGACGGGCAGATTCCGACCACGTGACCGGGATGACCCGAGGTTGCCAATCGGGTCAACGTCACGAGGCAAACGCTAAAACCCAACGTTGCAGCCCATTTTGAAAGCCAGACCCACACAAGCTCATCTGTCCCCGGGTTGACTGCCCATCTTTGGAGTCTCTGTCTCGATGTATCACAGGTGGCTGTCTTCCGTGCCCCCAATGCACTAGCTTCACGTGGACGGCGACATCCGCGTTGAAGGGTCGTCGCAGGAAGGTCTTAAATCCATGGCTATGGAGCTTATTCGATGAGGTAAACGACATATTTTCCCCGATCAAAGTGGACCGAAACTTTCAATAATAAACGGCAACATGGATCAATTCGACGTCGCGATCGTTGGCCTCGGAGTCCTTGGAAGTGGCGCGGCATACTACGCCGCTAAAAAGGGAGCCAAGGTGATTGCTTTCGAGCAGTTTGAGCTAGGCCATGTTCACGGTGCTTCCCATGATACCTCGCGCATCGTCCGAACCTCGAATTTCACCTCGGAATACGTTGCACTGGCCAAGTCAGCTTACAAGGATTGGGCTGAGCTTGAAAAAACCACGGGTCAAAAGTTATTGACTATCACGGGCGGCGTGGTTTTTTTCCCCGAGGATCCGAACGCGCCCTCTCTCGCGAGCGACTTCACCAAGAGTCTTGACACAAATGACGTTCCCTATGAGCTTCTAGATTCCCAAGAAGTGAAAAAACGATGGCCCCAGTTTCAGATTCCTGAAAATGTCTCTACGGTCTACACAGCCGACACTGGCATCGCCCACGCTTCTCGAACTGTGAGCACCTTCCAGGCACTAGCGCGTGCCCACGGAGCCATTCTCAAGGATCAAACCCGTGTGGACCGTGTGGTACCAAAGACTTCGGGAACTGGTGGGGTTGTGATTAAGACATCAAAAGGACAATTTCAAGCCGCAAAAGTCATCCTTGCGACTGATGCGTGGATCAACAAGCTACTGGGCCCCTTGGGCACACATATCCCAGTGTCCGTGATGCAAGAGCAGGTGACATACTTCAAGCCCACCGAAGCAGCAAATTTCGAGTCTGACCGGTTCCCCGTTTGGATCTGGAATGGCTCGACATGCTACTACGGGTTTCCCTGTTATGGAGAGCCAACTATCAAGGCTGCCCGAGATACTTCCAACAATTTTATGACACCAGAACAGCGCACATATGTTCACTCGCCGTATCTGCTCAATCAGCTTTCGAACTTCTTAGGGGACTTCATCCCGGACAAAGCACGCCAACCGCTTCGCACCGTGACCTGCCAATATTCGATCACACCAGACCGGCAGTTTGTCATAAGTCCTCTGGAAAACCACCCCGACATCATTGTGGGTCTTGGTGCAGCTCATGCCTTTAAGTTTGCCCCTGCATTTGGTCGTGTACTAGCCGAACTTGCAGTGGATGGTACCACAAAAGAAGATATCTCGAAGTTTGGCATCCCGACGGCTGCCACATACAGCAGTAAGCTTTAGGTTGAAGTTTAATAGTCAATCGCTCCCTGCCCAGAAGGAGCAATGCAATGAGTTCCCATCAATGGATACCCATCTTTGTTAAAAATACCATCGTAGTTTGCAGTGGCACAATACGTCTGTGAACCTCCTCACATATACTCGACGGAAGGCCGATACCCCTTGGTTACAGCCCTTGCGTACTATGTGGTCATCGAGTATTTTAGTTTGATGTTAAAACCTGACTCGGGATGATCTCCACTTCCTTGCCCATTGAAGAGATTATTCGTGCTGTATGGAATCTAGGACGTTTGGTATATCTTGAAGCTATTGAACTCCCAGTAAGCGTTTGTGAAGTTCGCTCCGTTCTCTGCCGCAAATTGGGTGCAAGTGTTTGGACAGTTGTTGAGGTCCGTGTAGTATGAAGTGGCACCAGCGAGGTCGCCGCAAATGTCAATATTTGCGATGATACTTTGATTCTTGAAATGCGAGCTGATGTCGCAGTGTGTGCTGGGAAAATCTGCCAAAGCTTCTCCCCACGTCGATGGATCGGGGCTGCTGCTTGAGTTCGAGATGTCTGAGGGAATTTCATCTCTTGAAAACATCCAAACTCGAATTCCTGCATCACGGAGCTCCATGGCGTACACCTAGTGAGACCCGGGTCAGCATCAAGGCAAGAAATCGACTAAACTCTCCGAGGACTTACACCACCGCCATTATCATTGAATGCCTCGCCATATGTTGCAGACTTGCCCTTCACGCTACATCCAGCGTTATCATTTGCTGTGTTCAGGCAATTTGAATATAGGGCTGTGCCAGTCTCTTTGCGCTTCGCATTCATCTTGCACCCGCTGGTAGTGTGAAGGGTCATATCATTTCCAAGCGTTCCATTATTGTTAGACTCCATGACATCGATCTCGCCATGTTCAGGCCAATTAGAGGGGTCGGTAAGCCAGAGTGCCGGCCACGTTGCGCACCCATATGGCGTATGAACGACATCGAAGATGAAAAGCCCGTTGTCGTAGGTGTTTGTCGAAGTAATGCGAACAGATTTTCGACCACTTGTTTGGTTTTGGGTATCGGTATCGACTTTAATCACAGCAGTTGAATCGGACGCATACGTCAGATTCATCATTGAGGCTGTCTGCGAGTCGACATATCTTTGCCATCGTTAGCATATGGTGGGGGAGGGCCAGAATATTGAAGGGAAGACATACTGCACAAAGCCATTCGTTGGATCTGTGGATGTGTAATACTCGAAGTTCTCGAAGAATGATGACCCCGAAAATGTGTCGACCAGCATATAATTCAATTGAGAGTAATTAGGGTACGCATTCGCTTTGACTCCTTCGACTGCACCAACAATGACTGCCACAACCACCACCACCACACATACTCCAATGATTAATTTCTTTCTACCAGACCATCCTCGTGGATCATACCGTGATCTATCCATCACCGTTCTTGCGCCAAAAATCTCCGAATAGCGTGGAGGCTGCGGTGTTGCCTGCGGTACAGAGCGGCCGTAGTTTGTGTGATGGTTAAAACGAGGTGGATTGCTTGTTGCACTTCCGAAGCGACTGTAGTCGGCATCTGGGCTCGCAAAGGGGTCCTCGACCCTCATTATAATACTTGGGGCTATGTGAAAACCAATCGGTCGCGAGGTTGCCAAAAGACAGGCTGAATTGAAATTGAGAATCCAATTGGTTGATAGTCGTATGCAAGAGTACAACGTGCTATTGATTAGAAGATAAGAAGTGAAAATTTGCGCCCGAGAAGGAAAATATCCTTCTTAAGCCAAAAGCGATGTAAGTAATGGCCTTCAGGGATATACGTCTGCCGCGTACGTCCCTCTCGACGCTAAGAGATCCACTTTTCCGAGAATTTTCACTATTCTCTAGCCAAACGTCCGCAGCATGATAGTATTGCTAAACTGCTCTAGAAACAAAAAAATCTAAGCTAAATTCAGTCTACAAAAGAGAAGAACGAGAGATATCCCATTATTTTGCCTCGTGGTGCTCTTAACTTTGGCCATTCCGTTCCTCAGCGGACTCACCTATCAAGACCCTGATTGTTGACTTGTCAACAATTACCTCCAGGCCCCCAAGTTTTGGCTCATGGAATCCTGGTATTTGTAACCATGTCAGATTATTAATGTTCAATCCAGGGGAGGAGATCATGTATTTGCCAAGAAATTGAGCCAGTCCTAAGCCTGGACATGCTGGCACCGCCGCGCAAGATGGACGCGTAACCAGGGTCCCCAGCGGTTAAACAGTCCACAAAAACGGAGGAAATATATTATTCCCACGACTACCATAAATTAGATTTGGATTCACTAGTTATGTAGAGGAGCTTTAGTCACTCATGTCGTGTCTAATCTCAGGAACACCAACATCTGATTACTATCGAGTCATCTTATGAGCAGGGCCTGGACTCTTTCTTGATCCTCGATGCGTTGGGGATCTGCAAGCAATGTCAAAGGATCAGGTTTCGCCGTGCTGACTCTCTGAAATTGAGCTTTGGAATTATCTACAACTGGTCTGTTTAAGACAAGCAAATACGTAGCTCTTGCGTGACTAGCTTGTAAGCCCCTTGACTACTGTGGTTCACGATCTTCAGTAGTTATGCATAAAGTTTCGGACGTTTTCAACATCAGCACAAATTTAGGTTGGAACTATTTTGAAAGTGGCTCATCATGGTAGACTTACTAAGCTACAGTACAGTCAAAACTTTTGGATCGAGCACTGGAATATTCACTTTGATGACCAGGGCCCCAGTCACTCATACTATGACCGCAGGGCCGTAAGGGGAGCTCTAAGACAGTCTCTAAGTAGTTACAGTTCTAACTTACGGTCTGATCGTGTAATTATTTCTATTTCAATCACTGACAGAATGGATCGTGCTGTATATCCCCGAAAGCTCAATTTCGACATCAAAATACTCCCGGACAACTTGTTTTTGAAGTTCAATCAGCGACTCCAATAATTAATTCACTTTCGGACTGTTCGCTCCAGTGGGTTGGTCTCTCTTGCATGAAAATATACCTCTTCGCCATGGCAGCTCGATTATAATTCTGGATCCCCATATGTAGTCCAGAGAAGATAGGTGGGGCAACCAACATTTACCTCGTGTCAAATATCATAGTTCTTCCATGGAACTACGTGCCAGGATGGGGGTACTTTGGTGAGATAAGGTAAGTTAGATCAAGCAGGAGGTCAATGACAGTGAAGAAGGAATCGTTATACATACTGTGCCTTCTGTTGAGAGAGAAATACACAACGAAATCAGGTAGCGATTGCAGCGGTTGCCAAACTCGGTACAGCGCGAGAACCTAAAGAATTTCTCAGATGAACGGGGCCAGCGACGGTCTAGAGTTCGGTTGCAAGTAACCTGGTTGTAGGTAACGTAGGAATAGCGTAAAGACATTGCTACAGAGTACTTCACAAAGAACATGCAACTTAAAGATTGTGCCTACTGGCAGTAAACGACGTTCATTTCGTTTATCGGCTTCATGATCAGAAATATGGGATATGTCTATGTACTTCAAAGGTGCTGGTGTGGGAAACAAAGTTAGATCTTTCTTTGTGTCTGCCTGAGGCAGATATGGACTAACACCAAAAAAAATTTGCAAAATTATATCCATCGCACTCCTCGTAGGCCAGTATTCGCTTCTTGATCCTATGGTAGAAATCTCGTTGGCGCAGTAGTGATGCCCCGAAATCATAGCCATTGATGTAATCATTATTATTGTGGAGGTTCGAAGTATAGCCTAAGGACTGTTCCAGAATACTACTCGCAGAAGCAATCATGATCTCGAGCACGGGCGGTAAGCACAGATCGGCCAGAAGTCCGAACCCACCAACCGGCACCGGTTCGCAACCGGGTTGACGCCGGGAGTTTTGAGTCTTGGCACGCAGTTTCGCGCTCGCCGAAAAAAGCAAAGAAAGAAGGATTGGTATCTTTGATCACCATGTGGCACGAACAACAACAGATGAAACACGGAGCTAAGCTGAATAGCAGCGAGATTCTTTAAGGAATTCTGTTTCGAAGCCAGTACTGTAGTGTATAACCTTGAGGTAATCACGGGTGTTATTGAGAGGCTGTGGAGTCGCGTTCGGCTTCATCCGATTCAATGACTCAATACCCACAATCAATGCGGAATCCCCCCGTACAGTAGTACTAAGTGTTCTCCAAAATCCACGGGGTTGTACCTTGGAACTAAGAAATCAATTTTGACGTCTTGAGATACCCCGCGAATACCAAGGAGCGTCGAGTTGAAAACTGGCCGAGGCTTGGTCTGCTGAGCCATTGCGCCAATCTATCACGAGAACAGTCGCTCGGCATCTCGCCCGATATGTATCACTTTCTGGTTGAGATGTCAATAATGGTAAGCCGGAGCACTAGCTTAAAGCGCTCAAAGATGTAAGAAGTCATTGGGTCGATCTGCATGGTATATGCCTCCCTCTTAAAGTTCCCGAGATGGAGAATGTCGGCACAAAGACCGCGATGCATGCGGATTGTGACAATCCACGGTCTTCCGTTTTCGACACAAAAATTTGCGCATACCTTCGGAAACGACTGCTACAGTAAACAGCCCTATAAATAATTTGTCACATCGGCCTACATTGCGAGGTAACGTTTTAATTTTTTTAGCAGATCGCGAACTGAAGGTATTAATAGGTTGCCACTGAAAACCCCACCGAAGTCTTAGCTTATGTTTCCCGCAAAGTTCGCGTTGCCTGAAAGCCGTGTTAACCGAGGAAATCCTGGTCGTGAACGGATCAACATCGCCAAATACCCCATTTAAGTGGGCCAGGCCAGACTTTCTCTGTGTATTGTCCAGAATCGTGTTGCACACAGACTCGTTTGTCAATTTTAGGGCGTAGGGAGGAAGAAAAAAAAGTGGCAGAGGGAGGTGGAGACCAGAACCCACATCAACGTCGAGTTTGAATGATCTAGATGGAGAATTCTGACTGGGACCGTGAGAGTGGAGCCGGGCTTGCTTTCTTGAATTTTCTCTGTCGCAGAGGTACTGCTGTAGTCCCTTTATAATAATGGGCCATCCCACCTAAGGTCTTCATCTAGCGTAGTCACGTATTCCATTCGAGGGTGATTTCGCGATCACAGTCAACACAATGCCTGACCACTTCCCCATGGAGGAAAACCTGCAAAAGGTCATGTCAGCCACAGGTGAGTATGTTCTGTCTGTCTAGTACTACGTCAGATTTCTAATCCATATTTCATTTTTAAAGAGGGCGCCATCATAGTAACCCCTCATGAGTCACGACGAGATTCACTACCTGATTCACTCTCCGACTCACACTCGGATTCATCAGATCAAGACTCGGAGGGGGCACACGAACCAATCCAGGAGCGATATGAAAATCCATCATATTCTCGTTTTCGAAAGGTAGCTTCAAAAACGGTCGTTTCCTTCGGGCCCAATGACCCCGAGAACCCAGTCAACTGGAAGAAAGTATGTACATTCCAGCAACCTGCGGGCATAGTGGCCCATCCAAGCCAAGAAGAGGCCTTTTCGATCTCATAGAAGTTAACGCGCATGTCCAGGCAAGAAAGTTCCTAGTCCTTCTCGCCGGTGTCATGCAGGTCATGAACAGTACCATCGGCTCGTCCATCTGCAGTAATGCGATCCCACAAATCGCAGAGGAGTTCAACATTACCAACCAACAGATGCTTGTTCTACCTATCTCTATATTCCTGATCGGCTACATCTTGGGCCCTTTGTTGTGGGGCCCAAGCTCCGAATATTTCGGACGTCGACGACCCTTACTTATTGCCTTTATCGGGTTCATGATCTTTACTCTGGCCTGCGCGGTGGCTAATTCGTATGCCTCACTGTTGATCTTTCGACTTTTAAACGGCATGATGGCATCCTCTCCTATCGCTACCACCGGCGGTCTCTTTGCTGACGTCCACGATGACCCAACCTTGCGAGGTCGCCTCATGGCGTACTTTATGGCTGTATGCTATGCTACACCCCTCGGTGGTCTTTGGTGGAAGAAAATTGCTGACAATTCGTAGTGCACTACATTCGGGCCCATCATGGGTCCCTGGATCTCCGGATTTGTTGCAGTTGTTAGTTGGCGGTGGTGCTTCTGGATCGGGCTCATTTGTTCTGGTGCAACTTTGCCCCTGGTAATCTTCATGCCCGAAACATATGCTCCTGTCATTTTGACACGCCGCGCCAAGAAGCTGCGAAAGGAAACTGGAAATTCAAGCATCGTCTCACCCCTAGAGCTTGAGAGCCGCGATCTTCGCAGAATGTTCCTCATCACAATCTCTCGGCCCTTCCGGATGATCTTCCACGAGCCAATTGTCTCCTTGACGTCTTTGTACCTGGCACTGGCATATGCAATCTTTTACCTATACTTTGAGGCATATCCCATCATTTTTCAAGGCATGTTAATCTCACCTGTCGTCAGTTGTGAGATGCCCACTAATATGATAATTCTTCAGATATCTATGGTATGAGTGCTGGTGTTTCAGGTCTGATGTTCTTGCCCAGTAAGCCCCAATCTTCAAAATATGTTCACTCCTGGATCACATTCAACTAACTTGGGATTGTAGTCGGCGTGGGTGCGCTTCTTGCCTGTGTGGTCTTCATCTGGTATGACAACTTTCTCGCTCGTGCTAAAGCTCGCGAAGCAAGCTGGGCCAATATTGAAGAATATCGACGACTCCCGCTTGCCTGCATTGGAGGCCCATTGTACGTCATCTCACTCTTCTGGGTGGGCTGGACGGCCTCTCCTAGTATTCATTGGGTCGTGCCTTTCCTCTCGGGTATTCCATTCGGAATGGGGTATTTGCTGATCTTCATGGCAATGCTTAATTACCTAACCGACGCTTATGAGACTCTATCTGCAAGCGCTCAGTCGGCAGCTAGCTGCACACGAAGCATCGTGGGTGCAGTCCTTCCTCTTGCCACTAGACCCATGTTCGACAACTTGGGTGTCCACTGGGCGTGCAGCCTGATCGCATTCATCAGTCTGGGAGTTTCAATTATCCCCTTCGCTTTCATTCGCTACGGTGATCGCATCAGAAGCAACAGCAAATTCTGCCAAGAGTTGAAGAGAATTAAGGAGGCAGAGCGCCTCGAAATTGAGAGAGAGGAGCGGTTGCAAAATGGCTCCAACACTTTGGAAATCGTTCCCTCAGCCAACACTGCTCAGATCTCTAGAATCGAAACAGCGCGCAGTCATGCGGACAAGGCATCTATTATTTGCTAGGGCATTGCAAATTCAAAGGCTGCTCTTGGTTTGACCCACGAGATCCGACGTTACGACTGCATATTTTCCTGGTTTGGCGTTTCAAAAGTTTTGCTTTGCCTCCGATCTTATTTCTTGTTTTCATGGCGACAATGATGCGGCTGTACACTTGTCTTCTAATACCCTGCATACCCAGGACTCGTGTCGGCTGCATTTGAAGGAAATCTTCCATGCAGAGTCAAGCATATTAGGCGTCTACCCTTGCATTTACCCTTTCAGCCCCAAAATTCTGGCTCTGGAGAAAAACACTAAAACCAGGCGTTACTTTTTTCAGTTATACCCCCGGCAGTCTGTTTCAAGCGTCACTGTTCTAAATATAATAGCAATCCCAAATCTATGAGAATTTTTCCACGCAAAGCTTTTTATCTTTGTAGCACACTAGATTTCCTTTTACTCCCTTTTTAGCCCAACCTTCCCCACCTTGCGCAGGCCCCAAGCACCGATACCAGACGCAGCCATCATCAATGCAAAACATGTCCAGAATACAGCCCGGTATCCGGTCATCAGAGCTTCAGGCGAGCTCTTGTTGATATAAGATGAATCCTGTGTTACGCTAGCCGAGATAATAGCAAAAGTCGTCAGTCCGATGGACGTGCCGAATTGTGCGATGGTGTTGAATACGGCACCAGCGAGACCCTGGGTTTTTGGACTGAATGAATCAGCGATAATCAAGTTGGCGACGGTGAAAATAACTGCACAAAGAGTTAGCGATATTGCCTTCCAATCAAATCACGGAAATGATTACCATCTGCCGAAAGAGGTCCAAGGAGAACAGCCCAGAAGGCACAGTACCACCATGACCACTGTGGATCAATAATCGCCAAAAGCAACGGGGACCCAGCACTGAGAACTGTTGTGACGAGAACTAGATAGTTGGCGTGCAGGCGATGGACTAGCAGCCCAGTAGCAAGGTTCAGGACAATCCCAATAAGGACGTTCGGTAGGAACCGAATAGCCGCCTGGATGGCAGATAGTTCTTGAACCTCTTGGAAGCTATGGTTGAGCAGTTCTTGATAAGCAGGATTCTCTCGGCACCGTTGGAATATTCGCACTTACAAGAGACTCAGAATAGTTTCAGTGCCATTCAGGACAGCCCATGAAAGAAGAACCATCACACAAATTGACGCGAAGGCGGTATTCTTCCATAGAGAGTTTGGAATCAAAGCTGATTTATCATTCTTCTCTCGCCAGCTCATCCAAGCTAAGAAAGCAGGTATCATTGCAGAGGCGGCGCATAACAAGGCAATGTTCTCGGGGCGGTGTATGTTGGAAGGATTATCGGTGATGACACTTGAATCGTGATAAGCTTACTCCATCGCGAGCGCAGTTGTGAGAAGAAACTTACGCAAAAACATAGGAAATTATTCCTAGGCAAGAACTCGAGAGGACGATTCCCACCCAGTCAATTTCGGACCTTAGGCGCTGAAAGGTGAAAGGTTCGCGTGGCTTGTCCTTAGGCAACTTGAAAAAGTTGACCACTGTGAGGATGGCTGTAACTCCAGTGCAAAGATAGTAGCCGAATCTCCAGCCAAGCGACGATCCTTGGAATAGACCACCAAATACCAGACCGACGGAGAATCCGAACGGCTGGCCAAGTCCTAAGCAAGCGAACCCAATGTTTCTCCGCTTTCCGGCAGGCATCGTATCCGTTAGAATACTGAAAGCCGTTGGAAGGCACATCGATGTCGCTATACCTTGGAACGCCCGAAACAGGATAAGCTGAAGACCACTCTGAGCCACACTGCAAGCCAGAATGAAGGCACACAATAGTGTACAGCCAATCAAGTTGATAATTCTGTTACCCATAAAATCTGCCATCGATCCAGCCAGAAGTAGGCAGCATCCATTCGCAAGGCTACGAATGGTTAACTTCTGTCAAATGAGGAACGCAAAGAAAACTCACGAGTAAACTGAGGCGGGCCTTCGACGTCCAGATTCATGTCAGTACATTCGCATAATTGGCAAGCGCTCGAGCCCATGGAAAATAAATCCACTTACCATAGCAAAAGATTATCTGGAAGTTGCAGATCTGCTGCGATCCAAGGAAGACCAATAGTCAATAAGCCACCACTCATACTGCCCACGAACGTGATCCCAGTAAGGGTAGCAATAAGAGTAATCGCCCGGACCCGAGACAAGCCGACATCCTGGGCCTCATAAAGACCACTACCAAGGTCCTGTCCAGGATGGAGAAGGCTTTGGGGCCTTGAATCAGGTCGAGAATTTTTCGATGGCCAATGTACCAGCGGAATATTGTTTGAGTCATCGGCATCAAAGATTGCCGCCGTTGCTCGTGCCGGGGCGAGGACGGTAGTCGCCATTCCTGAATCAAGTGCTGAGCTCTACCGTGTCGTTCACGTCAATTCACTGGTGCTTCGACGAAGTTTCTTACTCGGTGCTGGAGGTACTTGACTCGGCTCAGTTTGGGTTCTGATTGCGGAGAACCCCGTCATGCCAGGTCCTGCTCATTAGTCATTTTCGGGTGGGGTCCGGCTAACTATCCATACACTACTACTCTAGGACCTAAGCGAAGGCTGGATACTAAGTAAAAACATCGTTCTCAATAGAAACGCCTTCATAAATTATGAGAAACATGTGTTAATGAGGATATTCGATCCAATTTGAGAAGGTGATCGCGAGCTCGGTCTGAGGGATCTGGTTCAACGGAGAACACTCGTGCTGTCAATCAATTGAACCCACCCCATCACCAGGACACAGATACCTCCTCGTCATGGGTTTCTCTTAGTAATAGCATGTTGAAAGCGAGGCCCAGCGTTGAAAACAATTCGTCTACAGAGATGCCTGAGCGTGGGCTGGGATTGAACTTTGTGTCCTTGCTGGTTGAGCACACGACGAGCTTGGATGCTTGTTCGTTCGACAGATCGGCTTCATTTTTGTACGGAACGAGCGGTTAGCTGCGGCACTCGTAAGTCTATTATTCTCAAGAGACAGTGCCCTAGGCCATTTTAATCAGGAATTCGTGAAGCCCGAGACTTTGGTTTCCTTACGAGGCAGGGTCAAAGCGAAAGACAAGTTACATCATGCACTGGGGGACAAGGCTGTAGAAGGGCCGAGGAGGCCATGTATTATTAGACATAGATATTACTGTCTATTTCACGGCAATGGCAATCAATTGGGACGAGTCTAATGGCAGGAGAGCAAGAACCGATGCGTGCCGCTCGCCGTGACACGAGTCGAATAGTCGCCAGTAACGAAAGGAAGATTCGACTTGTTAATTACATGGTGCTTCTCGTAGGCCGAGAAACAGAGCCTACATCGTTAACTCGGTACGGGAGCATTATCATACATATCACGAATAGAAGACTCCGTCCGATGTCCTTGAAATTGATTTGCCGGTCTATATTAGAGCATATCCTGCATACGATTGTCCTTTATCTACTGATAAATTTTTGTGGAAAGGAAGCCCCGAGACTAATAGCAAAGATTGCATTTTTCTTCCTTACAGTTAATCAAGTAAGACTCTACTCGTCCATTCTATAGAGATGGCTTAGTCAAAGCACGATCGTACGATCACAGGCAGCCATAGATATTATTAATATATTTTCCATTTTCTCCAGTGAGCCATTGGAAGCAGAAACTAATGCAAAGAATAAAGCACGGTCGTCTTTGGCGATCAATGGGGCAGTAAATCACGGTTACAGTTGTTCTAGATTTGGAGTTTTCCAACTCCCCCATGTATCATAATGTGTCAACCTTGTTAACTTATCAGTTAACCAATGCGAGTTGCTGATTTGCGGACCGACATTAGTCGTAAATAGTGCTTCGAGGCTCTACCTACTGGCAGATCAGTCAAGATCATGTGCTACTTAGATATCTCATCAGTAGGGTGGTATGTTAGCCCACGCAAAAACTGACAGATCTGTTCCTGTGGCTTGATGGCGGCGATTTTCAGATCCCAACAACGTGGGTGACTTGCAGTTCTCCCCACTAGTACTTGTCAATACATCTTAGATCAGAGACTGAACAGAAAGAAAATGTCCCGTCAGGATATTCTCGGTCACGGGTCCCGGTGGGAGTGGGACTGGGAATACCTAGGTGTTATGATACAGTAGGGATGAGATACGTATTCTGGAGATACCTCGAGCGTATTTCGTCTAGTCTCCAGCACGTCCCAAAAAAAGGGGGTGGAACGAAACGAGAAGTGCATTAAAATGACCTCATACTTCTGTCGTATGTATCAAGTGCAGAGGCCAATGCTAATCGATGAGGGGGTCCTACAATATGTCCATTGGAAGGCGCAGGGAAAAAGCAAATATTGGAAAAATCCTTCTGCTGGGGCAGTCTCCCGCCACAGTAGGAAAAAGAAATGAGACGCTGAGGATTATGGTTTGGAGATTTTCGACCCCTGGCGTATTGAGCCATGGAACGAGAAAATAGACCCAGAAAATTGAGGGAAATCGGGTTGAGTTGCAGTTTTCTCGCCCCTAAGATAAGTATGGAGGATGTGTTGAACCATAAAAACAAAGCAGCGGCAAGCGCGCTTTACGCGAAAGGGGGGAAAGCGGTTGCAGCGGAAACCCCAGATGGGTGGAGTACAGTGGGACCGTGGAACCAGAACACAACGGGTACTGTACAATAATACAGAGAATGGAATCCAGACGGAGCAGTTGCTTGCAGTACATCGTGGGGAACAATTGGGGCTTGGACACGATTCTGGACCTGGTGATCACTTCGCTGGTACTGCAGACTCGTGGTGTCAACAATGGCCAGCGGTATGGGGTGCATGAGGGCTGCGGGAAAGCCCATGTGTGCTTGTACCTGCTGCACTTCTGCCCTACTGTATGCCTGTCGGACTTAGAGGATTTCTATTTGCGCCCGGTGGGCTTGGGCCGGGGAAGGTATGGCGCGGTATCCGGTCAGATCAAGTTCAACAGAGTACTGTGGGATGCGCGAGGTATAACCCTGGTCTCCCAGTATCTTGGTATCTTCAACGCCTTGTATGTCTTGCGGGATAAAGGAAATAATGGGCGGCTGTGGAAAAGGAGGATAACTGGATCATAGGCTTAGTAGAACCCCCACCCCTGGCACTATGATACGTCAGGCCCACCCATGTGCCCCGTCCCTGTTTAGTTTATGTTTAGTTCGGTGACGGTGCGATGTGCACTTGGCACTAGATCGGAGCCTCCTGGCCAGTCGGGTCGGCCTAGTTTGAAGAGCAATGCTGCGCTTGGGCGATCCTCAAAGCACCTCAGCTCCCTATGGATCCCCTATTATTGGATCCATGCTGGGGGCTAGGGCCGAGGAGAAAGAGGGTAAAAAAGACCCCTCCATGAGATGACTGCGTGACTCAGATCAAACACACATAACGTTACGTACCCTCAGTTCCCAGCCTGATGCTTATTGCTGGCCTCACGCGGCGCGAATCAGCTGCTCCAACTGATCCGTCCGAGGTATCCGGCCACCCCGTTGCACCACTTGGTTCGGCCCTGTTGAACTGGCAGTGCTGGTCTCGAGAGATGTTTCCCGAATTGCCATTTTACCAGGAGTACTGCAGTTCACGAGGGGCAATGTGCGCACGGACGGTTGACGCGAGCTTGACGATTATTTGAAGCTAAATGATGTACTGTAAGTGCCTAGATCGTGCCTAGCGGTTGGGTCTCCTCCGCCGAGACCCAGGATAGGGTGACCCGTCCTGTCGAAGCGCCAAATCCAAACGAAGTATTCCATACTGCTGGGAACAACAACAAGAGGACAAAGACACTCCAAAAATGGATTGGTCACTCCCATCTTACAGCCTACTCCACCAGACTCCGAGGCACTTGGAGTGGAGAAGGGGGTGACGGTACGTTAAAGGACAGCCTAGACCTTTTGACCCGTCAATGATGACCTGACCCCTAACAGCTGAAGCCAACCGATCATGTGGCTTGCCGCCTATAATACTCCCCGGGGGCGAACTGAGGCTTTTTTTTATTGCGGGGAATCCCTGAGCGTATCACAGCAGTTCCGCAGGCACAGTCTCACTAGATCAGGAATGTGGGATGCAGTCGCGCTGGTTTGCTTTGTGGGTATCCATTTTTTGACTGGATCTAGTGCTGCTCACTTGACCATCAAGTGATCAACTTGATTCTAGTCTGGGTTTGTTGCCTGGGTCCAAACGGGGTCATATCGTTGCCCGTATCCAGCAGAAGAAGCATATTAAGGTAGCCTTTTCGCCGAGCTGTCAATTTCATAGTTCAAACTATTTTCATCTCCTTGTTTTTACTTTTTCCTTCTTGCCCGATACCAAAAGTAGTAATCGTCAAAAGTTTTTGAAAATCTATAAAGACCAGAAAAGCCCACGTTCGTCAACTTATACTTTGCACATCTACCGCATGGAAAAAGTATGACCACCTTCTCTCTGGTGGCGCTTCCTATCGTCGTCGTACTTCTCGTCGTGCGATATTACAAAGAGATTTTCAATTGGATATCGACAACTGCGAAGAGCAAGGGCTTTTTGAAAAATGGAGGTACCCATAGCCCCTCCGACGTCAAGCGCATGGCACCGTACCCAGCACAGCCCATCAAAGGCAGAGAGCGATATCGGGTCATGATGGACATTCGCAAACTGGATGTCCAGAATTGGCTTACGCTTGACAAAAACTACATGGAGGAGCATTCGGTGCGAGACGACCTACTCCGTGAGAAACGAGACAAGGTTTTACAATGTTTGCCCGAGTCAGCGCAAGCCTGTCAGGAGGCGCTGGAAGAAGTCTCCCAATTTCTCTGCGAAAGATACCCCAACATGTTTCAAAAACTGGTGCATGGCGACCGAACCTCCATCCAAAATTGCATGACAGGAGAGCGATTCGATATCGGTGGCTCAGTTTCTGGCGGTGAAGGTATTGACGCGCTTGAGGCGGCTGTACGACTTACTATGGAGGATCTGAGCATTTTGATGATGAATGAAGATGGCGAGTACTATCTGTATGGGTCCAATTTTCTTTTTCCCCTCCTTTTCTCTGGATTTTGCTCTTATCAGTCTCACTGACCTGTTTCACAGCGCCGCCAGCGCAAGTCTTTTCCCAACTGGATGGACGGTCCAAGAGCGTATCGGATGGACGATCTCCCGCCTCCACGGACCTGTCCCTCTGTGGCATCAGCACGTTGCCAATTCCGTGAGCAAGTAAGTGGATCGTGAGAGCGCATTTTTTCCAAGAAGTGCGTCGTTGTGTTCGTATTTTGCGCAAGTTCTAATCTCGACTAGATTTCTGGCGCGGCTGACGCCAAATTCCCCAATGGAGCGGTCAAACTACTTTGTTGAGATCAAACGGCCTGACGAGAATCTGATCGAGATTTTGTATCGGCCGAAGGGACTGTGCGAGAAAGATCTGTCCGATCCGTCTCCCGAGGAAATTATTATTCGCCGAGAGAGACAGACTTTCCGCCGTATGCCAAAAACGGGGACTATCCTATTCGGCGTCAAGACGTATCTGACCACGCTTGATCAGCTGCCAATGCAGGAGCTGGAAAACCTCGCAAAGGAAATGAGGAGCTGGCCTCAATACGTGGGCGAGTACAAGGGCAAAGACGTTTGGGGTGCCAAAGTACTGGAGTTCTACAAAAGTCGAGCTGGTCAGATGGATGAGAAGTTTGAGGTATGATTTGTTGGTTTGTTGATTTGTTGCCAGGATGACGAACTATGTTGCTTTTTCTTCCCTTCTTGCTGTCCCGGCTGGACGTTTTACTTTTTTTCCTTTCTGCGATGCATACTCCCTGGGTTGTTTTCATTTTTCTTTTTCATTGTTCCGTTCATGCGAACAAAAATGGGTTGGCTGTCTGAATACTTTTATTTTTCTTGCAAAAGCTGTTATCCGCTTTGACTGTTCTTGGGCATGATTCAACTTGTGCGAGCCCCATCGATATTTTTTTCCGACAGATATGTCGAAATACGTCATATAGAGATCGGAAATGAATATTTTCAAGAGTCATCAGTGATTGGGTTCTAGTTAAATAAAATAGATTGTCACAATGTGGGGCCCTGGAATCAAGAACACACTAGACCCAGGGACGGTCATGGTAAGGAAAGGGGCAATTAAGCCGAGGTCTATAAGAAACATGCAGCAGAAAGGAAATGATGGGCTGCTCAAGAGCCCAAATATAGCAACAAAGGGTAGTTCAAGAAGGGGTATAGCGAGGGCGTGTTCAGATCTTAGCAAGTGGCGGCTTATCCTGCTTCAAGCGCACAACGCCCTAAAAAGAAACGGTTAGCCATCAGGCACAAGTAGAAAGAAACAAAAAAATGTACTCAACATACCTCTTGAGTACAAGTGGCAATCAAAGTCCCATCCTGTGACCAGATCTTCTGAATAGCCAGTCCACGGCCTTCTCCAGCCCACGGGCTTTCCATCTCAATCAACATCCACTCATCGGCTCGGAAAGCGCGCGGGTTGTGGAAATAAATCGAATGGTCCAAACTGACCATCATCCCGACTTCTTTATGATCCTTAGATTTAGCTTGAGTCGCGTTATCTAGGGCGCCTTGCAGTCTGCGACGCAGGTCAGCAGCCTCCTCCTCCTTCAGCTCTTTCAATGCTTTGGTGATATCCTCATCATCGAGATCAGAGGGGTTCTTCAGTGCCTTGAGAAGCTTCTGAAGTTCTGCTGGAGATGAGAATCGGGGAACATCATGAACTCGCGCGACGGTGCCGATGAAGTAGCTGTCGGTGACGTAGGCAAGTGCCGACAAATGGGCCTGGAAACCACCCTCCTCGGAGATGTGGCCCCGCGATCTGACGAATCGTCGGACTTTCTTATCCTCGGGATTTGGGGAATTGCCTATACTCAGTCAGTGTACGAGCATCCCACGGAGAATCTCAAGAGCGACCTACGGTTGACGATGCCCGCCTTCCTTGACTCAAATGGACCCCCGCCCACATTATTCAAAGCCTGCACGGTCCCAGGCAACGGACCCTCGGGCAATGATGCCTCTGGCATAGTGACTGCGTGTGTAATGGTCTTTTCTCCACCACTGCCGACCCGGCTGAAGCTCAGGGTCGTAGTGAAAATTGGGCGCCCGCGTTGCCGCGCCTGCACGGTGCGGGTTATGAAGCTTCGTCCGTCGCGTACCCGTTCGACGTGGTATAGGATAGGAATCTCGGAGTCACCGGCAAGGACGAAGTAGCAGTGCATGCTGTGGACGGCGAAATCGGAGGGAACGGTTCGCATGGCGGCAGATAGCGACTGGGCGATGGCGGCGCCGCCGTAGATGCCACGGGCGCCGGGAGGATGCCATAGCGGTCGTGTGTTTGTGAAGACATCCTATAGGTGATTTGAGCAGATTAGCATTCGCGGCCTCTGCGATGGGCTGTGAGCAGGAAGGGGAATCGTACGGGGCCGAGGTCCACCACCGGCGTCAAGTCGAGCACATTCTCGATGGGGGCCTTGGAATGATCCTGTGGTGGTGGATCTAGGAGCGTCACGCGTTTCGCCATATTGTCGCACGTCTTAGGCAGTGTCGTAAAACGACTGAGATGTTAAATAGGGTGGAGGGTCGCGATATCCGGAACCGATGGCTTTGCCGCCTCGGACGACGGCGGTTTCCAGCACTTTTAAATCCGGTCGGCGGGAATCTGAGCCGAGGTCCAACGCGGGCTGCGAGTTCACGTCCGTATTCAACAATTATGCTTCATTCATATCACATGGATTACGCTAGCTATTTATGGAAATACAAATCAATTGCAGATGACTCAACACAGATATGTCCGACATTGATAGATATCGTGCGGGTCATGTTGCATCACGTCATAGTTCGACTCAAGCTACTCCAAGTCGTCGACGGTGGAGGGATCAAATGCGGATCCCAATTTTTTGGGGCTGGATCGAGGCCAGGAACGGTCTCGAGCCGATAGGTTGTGTTAATTTGACTAGGGTTTGGTGATGGTGCACCAGAACCCTGCTCTTGTAACAGTCGAAGCAGCTGTCGACGCTGCATCTCCTCCTGGCTCAAGAGAGGGGTGCCGTCCTCGGCACGGTGGCCTTGACTGGGGCCATATTCATGATAGATTAAGAAGGATGCAAGACCATATATGACAATGAATGCGCTTGGGAGGCCGATTCCGATGACTCGAATCGCGCTCAAGGGAAACAGGCTGCGACTGAGAATATTGAATAGCACATTGAATAGTGCGACCAGGTTCACCACTAAAAGGGGCCTAGCAAGAGCGTTAGTGACTCTGGAAAATGCAGCGACGAGGAGATCGAAGCGACCGACATGAACAATGATCGGAGGAGGAAGAGTTTGCGCTTGCGTTGGAAATAAGCGATCGCGATCGAGCCAATATACGATACTCCGATGAAGAATAACGCAAAAACGAGAGACGCGGTCCTATCAATATGCAGTTCTTCATTTGGATCCCCAAATACGACTGCTAGTATCAAATAGCTGTAGAAAAAGGTCGCTCGTCAGCAAAGTTGAAGGCATCAACCCTGGGGCACCATCGCAACGCGGGTGTACTCACCCCAGTAACAACAGGGCCGCAGATAATGATGTTACGAGTCTCCAAGGCCTAGAAACCTGGTGCGCACTCGGGCTCGGTCCAGATTCAGCCCATCTATCTGATCCAGCCGAGAGAGCTCGCATGGTGAAGGCCGATCATCGCATCTCACAGACTCTTGGATAGTCAAGGGGCTGTAGGCATTCAGACACAGACGGAATAGAATCACAGATTCACAGCAGAGTGCTAGTCATACATTGACTGATGCAGGCTCAAAAGAGAGCGCTGAACACACGAAACGAGTGGATAAAGTGGGTTCATGAAGAGGGTAAAAAGTCTCCGAGCCAGGCTCCAAGCTGAAAACAAGGGCGAAGGCAGGGAAAGAAGAACCCCCGCGTAAGAGCCTCAGCGAAACCTGACAAACCTGACAAACCTGAGGAAACCCACCAGGGCACAGCTTGCAGATTTTAGGCTCTCAGCTGAGCCACTCATGCTCTACAGGGGAATCCCAGCCTTCAGAAAGAGAGGGGCCCAGCCTCCAATCATGTCCAGGCTGTCTCTAGCTGGCAGCGGGCGGCCTTGCCCTATTTGCGGCTGATCTGTGCTGGGCATTCCCCAGTAGGCTGTACTGAGAAAGTACGGAGTACACCTATATCAATTGGATTGGACTGTGCTCCCAAGAAAACGCCTTGCATGCCGGCGTGATCCATTTCAGTATCAACTTGATCTTCCCTACTGTATCAACAGATATTCTTCAAAGTCCGCCCATTGGGCTCGGCCTGCAGCCTCGGCTCCACCTCGCTGCCCCTCGTGCCTGGCGCCACTAAGGATGATCCGACATGGTTTCTACCAATAAGTTCTTGGTGATGAGATGCAGGTCGAAAGTGTCAGGAACTCGAAATCTAACCATTGTTGCCAAACAGGCAACCCTGTCAGCCGCGATCGTCTTTGGAGTAGAGCGGGGCGGACTGACTGTACTTCATTGTTGTCCTCGCCTGTAATTTGGCCCCCAGCTGATTTGACCAGCGATTTGAGACTGGTTTGGGTATCAGTCAATCGCACTGGGCACATATGTGAAACGTAGCTGACCGGTCAATGTCTGTTTGGGTGATGCCGTCCTGAAGAACAACCTAGTGAGAGTTTCATTTTCAGAATATCTACCCTTGTTGATCGCCTAAAATGAGTGGAACTTACCTTGTGAAGAGGCATGTTGGTCTATGTAAATTGTATTGCGAAGCAGCTAGAAAGGGTCTCAGATCTCTTGTAGGGTGATGCATGCCCGGTAAATTTCCAGAAGCACTCAAAATCGGATATCGGGAATACATGCCGCCCTTCCACAACAGTCATGGTGATATCATATCCAGGGCATTTTTATCACACTATCTAAAGGGGGAATCTCTTCTAAAATCTAGCTTTGAATTGCGGAGTTTCCTCTGGGGGAATATCGGACGTATGCACCCTCGATTTACTACCTACTTGAAGCTGTATTTTACCGTTTGGCAGGCACCTCGTGCGTGGAGGGAATGTATATATATTGACCCCATTCCGCGGAACACTTTTGTTACTCTGGAGTGACAGATAGGTATTCAGAGCTCTGTAACTAGTTCTTATTTAGTTGACATAATTATGCAATCCTGAATGTCATCAGCATACGTTTCCCCCGAGGGGTCAGAGACTAAAAGCCCAACATGGTAGCATTAACACTGGCCGATTTCATTCTCCCAGGTACTATCGCTGGCACGGCTTTTAGGATCTGGAGAGAGAATTCTTCTAACACCATCCGATTCGTGACCATTGACCAAGAGGGCTGAGCAGTAGGGGTGTCGACGATTGGAACTGTTTCACATAGCATAGCCAAGTGATCGGGGTGATACAGCCCAGTGCCCATAAGAATGTAAGAGCACTGGAGAACTGGGGATGCTAATGGAAAACAAAACATGGAAGGCGATTGAGGTGAACAGCAATTCCATTTGATTCACAAGTGTCGTATTCTAGATGTTGCTATGTTTTGACTTTAACCTATAGCTTTCATGTCAACATTTATTGACCATTATCACATCATTAATCAAGGCTCCGTAAAGGGCGTTCATTGCAGTGCCAAGAAATTCTGCGACAAGCCCAGCCTATCATGCACGGCCACATACGGCATCATCAGTAAGCAGGCGTAAGCAATATGGTGTTCGCAACACTTACTCGGTTTCAATTATTTTCGAGAATCCGAGAATAAAATCTGCATAACCGATGGAAACGAGACATTGTCCTGGGTGGGATTGCACCACAGCCGGCATACGGCGCTCAGCGGTGAATTAATGACAGGAGATCTCCACACACAATTTAACATGCTTAGGATTGGAGACTACGATCGGAAATGACATCAATGAAAACTAAGAAGCGGCGAAGGAAAGAACTCCGATTGATGGGGTTTTGGGGCAACAACGGCCGCTGACAGCTCAAGGGCGGATATTCACTCTCTAGGTTGACGTGCATGCTGACTGACCCATTACTCCGTAGTTTGTCAGATCCTAATTCGGCTAAAGTGAAACTGCAGGTGTCAGGATCCCGGCGGGAGTTCCCGGTGGATCCGAAATCGTGTTGTTTGTCATTCTAAGGACGGTATATCTCCGGTGGCTTGTTCTAGCTACTTGGAGGGCCTAGAGGCAAAAATTCTCGAACCTGCCGCTGATGGATAGTGCAGCGTATGAACCACCTGTAAGGCAAGAGAACGACTGATTTGATGGTATTCCTGTCAGAAGTGTAGACAACATACGCGTTGCTGATAGAACTAAATATCGTTGTATTGAACAGCAAGATACATTGCATAACTTCCCTGGATGTAGAGTTTGAAGTGTCTGACAGAGCAGAAAGCCATCGCCTGTATCTCTGGACAGCTGGGGCCCTGCTTTGAAGTCTAACTCATGTCACTGCTCCATCTGTGTTGTACTTGGACTGCCAAGCCGTGACACGTGCGATAGCTTGCATAGCGCAGCAACAGTCTCTGTGGGCCAAGACAATGTGGATGTGCCATTCATCGCCATACCTGATTCAGGGCAAATTTAAGCGGACTCGAGATTAGCAAACCCTTTGTCAAGATTATCTCTCTCTATGAGTGAAACGAAGGTTGACTTGATTTATGTGGAGGGCGTCGAATATAAAAGCGATAAATCCCACGCTTCCTTGGGTTCTTGTATCCAGAATCAAGACAAGATCTCAAGAACACTCAAGGCCTCCTCAATCTCCCCGATAGTCCGCTGCAATACTTCAAGATGAACTTCTCCAAGATCATCCAGACAGCCTTCCTGCTGGCTCTCTCTGTCCCTGCTCAGGCATGGAACAGACTGGACAAGGATAATGCGGTAAGTCATAAGAAACTGAGCTTGCTCTGGGACCGGAATTGATGAATATTTCAGGCTCTCTTGGTCATCGATCACCAGGTTGGTCTGGCCCAGCTCGTGCGTGACTATGGCACCAATGACTTCCGCAACAACATGCTTGCGCACGCCTCCATCGGCAATGTTTTTGATCTACCTACTATTCTGACTTCCTCTTCCGATTCTGGTCCCAACGGCCTTCTGCTGAAAGAGATCACCGACATGCACCCCAATGCCACTTTTGTTCGCCGTCAGGGCGAGGTCAACGCATGGGACAATGAGGAATTCCGCAAGGCTGTCAAGGCCACCGGAAAGAAGCAGCTGATTATTGGCGGTATCGTGACCGAAGTTTGTGAGTGACCCTACTTCTTTTCCATGGCACGCGAACTTATTCCGATAACATTGCGATTAGGCACCGCCTTCCTGGCTATGTCGCTTATCGATGAGGGATATGAGGTCTTCGCCAACACCGATGCTAGCGGAACCTTCGATGTCAAGCTCGCTGAGGATGCTAACCGCCGCATGGAGCGCGCTGGTGTCACTCTCATGGGCTACTTTGCTATTATCTGTGATCTTATGCGTGACTGGCGAAGCACCCCTGGCCTCAACGAGATCCTTCCCGTCCTTGACAAGTAAGCCTTCCATCGAAATCTGGTAACGAGGCTGCGAGCGAAACTAACATATTCTTAAAGATACCAATTTGCTTACGGTCTGGTTGCCCGCCACCATGCCGGTGCTATTGAGAACGGTACCCTGGCTGCTATTGAGAGCACTTTGATCTAAGCTCATGGTAAAACGCTAATATACGCACTCGGCACGGACTGAGTGCGGAGCTCGAGCGATTCCATTGTTGCAGGGGTTGAGGAGATGAGACAGTAGATGAAGAAAGTAGGTGGATCAGGAAAGGGAGATGAGGGAATCAGCGGAAGGAGTAGAAGATATTAGCAGAAGGAGGAGAGTAATGGTTAACGTATGAGAGTGTATAGCTTTGCCAATCAATCACTATACCACTTGTTGTGCGAAACCTCTTAGTAGAACAATTTCAAGAGCTAGATAATCAGTCACAGCATTTTGTAAGTCCTTGTAGAACCAAGATCCTGGTGTCTTGAATCTCAGAATTCGCTTGTATTTCATGAGAGCTTGGGCGAAAGCTTCTAGCGCAATGAAGTCTATCAGCTGGATCAAGACGTCAGTCAAGTTAAATTGACTCCACCCTCTCCCATATATCCAAAGTCGTGTTGAATGAGCCTGCCGACCCCTGTGATCTAATGCTCTCCTGTCAATTCTTATTATATGGGGGCTAGGCCCTAGCCACGCGGCAGAGGCAATGAAAGGATGGCTGCGCCTCAAGTCCCAGAACCGCCAATCAAGTTGATTCAAACCTTCAGAATAGTCAACTAGAAAGATATGTCATCTTGATGCGAATCTCACAATTAGTTAGTTATTTCCAACATATCAGGCATATAATGCCTCGAAAGAGAAACTTGCACACGTTCTGGTCATCTCGTATTCAATTTATCATGCGAAAGCGACGGAGGACAGAGGACCTCATAATGATCGGCTCCGCATTGTTCTCCTCGCTGACAAACTAGAAACCATGCCTTCTTAGGTAGGTTAAGGTGCAGTAAGATACCCCGCACGGGAATATAATGCGACCTTCCCAATTGAAAGAAGCGAATTCGGAAAGGGGGAGGTCTTATCGTTACCAAGGGGGATCCCGACGGTGCACCGGGGCTAGTTTAATTACAAGATCGGGAAATGAAAGACAAGTGGAGATGATGCCAGAGCTTCCATGTTTATCAATAAAATGACGGCCAATCCCCCTCATTCAGTCATCTCAGGTATTGCAGTAGAGCGACTCTCGTTGCAGCTCAATTCTGTGATTTTTTTTCCCTTTCGCCAATCCATATACTGTCCAAGGTTTTGGTGGCTACGATGGTGCGATATTCGAAGGTATCCGCTGTGGCGGCGGCGTTATTGCTTCCTTACGCCTGGGCACAGTTCGTACCCGCTCCAACCGACTTGATCACCAAGAAGGGGTATGCGGGGATCAACGTGCGATACAAAGAAGTCCCTGCTGGAATTTGCGAGCAAGATGCCAATGTGAAGAGTTATTCTGGATATGCGGACGTCAGTGAAAATGAGCACATCTTTTGGTAAGAAAGCCCTCCCCTGAAAACGTTGGGTGCCAGAATCCGGCAGGCATCTTGTTGTCTGTTGGAGGCACGCCACCTTTTGCGATCGCACTTTGTTGAGGAACGATTGAGTATTACAATAATTCCAGTGTTCAATTGGACCAAGAAGCACCTAGATTCTCGTTTGAGTAAGACTAACATCCGAGCAATAGGTGGTTCTTCGAAGCTAGAAATGAAGATCCAAAGAAGGTAGATTCTACCTCAAGCTAAACGGGAAACAATAGATACTAAATAATTCACTCAGGCACCACTCACCGTCTGGATCAACGGGGGACCAGGCTCGTCTTCCATGATTGGACTTTTCCAAGAACTAGGCCCATGCGGAGTCGATTCCGATGGCAACGCCTACAACAACCCCTACTCATGGTCCAATGCGAGCAACATGGTAAGTTGCGCAACATACCATCAGTAAACCCTCCAGCTAAACCAGCAACCAGCTTTTCATCGACCAGCCAACGACGGTCGGACTTTCATACTCGATTCCCGTCCCCGCATATCAAGATAGCGATGGCAACATCATCCAACTGCCCAGCGAATCATGCCCCGATTATGCGCAGGAGGTTGGCACCTGCGGCACATACTCCAAATCTGACATCAGCCTCGTGCCAAACTCGACCCAAGGAGCAGCCCCGAACATGTGGAAGACGCTGCAGGGATTCATGGGCGCATTCCCGCAGTACTCGCGCAATGGCTTCTCCTTCACGACGGAGAGTTATGGCGGTCACTACGGCCCTGTGTTCAACGGTGAGCCCCCAGGACTTGATAAATGCCACTACTATTGAATCCCAGCTAATCAAAAAATAAGAATACTTCCTCCAACAAAACGCAAAGAAAATCAAGGGCGCAATCGACATCAAGCTCGAAAACGTCCTCATCGGAAACGGCTGGTTCGACCCTCTAATCCAATACCAAGCTTACTACAACTTCTCCGTCTTCCCCGGTAACACCTACGACTACGATCCATACAACGCCTCCGTCAAGGCAGAGTGGTACAATAACCTCTACGGCGAAGGGAACTGCGTCGACAAAACGAAGCAATGCTACGCAACCGGGCGCAACGATATCTGCGCTATAGCGGATAATTTCTGCGCCAACAAGGTCGAGAATATGTTCGATATTTACTCTGGTCGCGATGAGTATGATTCGCGCGAGTTGATGCCTGATCCGTTCCCGTACGAGTACTATGTCGATTATTTGAATAGTCCGAAGGTTCAGGCTGCGATTGGCGCATACCAGAATTTCTCGGAGTCCTCGTCTACGGTGGGGAATGCGTTCTCGAGTACTGGTGACGATGACCGGGAGTCGAATACTATCGAGGATGTGCAGAAGTTGTTGGAGGCTGGCGTGCAGGTGGTGATGTATTTCGGTGATGCGTGAGTGGTCCAATTTCCCTGCTAATGTCCTTTTCCCCCTGGTGTTGCCGGCATGCATGATTATAACTGACACTTTTGCCTTGATAAAACAGTGACTACAACTGCAACTGGCTAGGCGGCCAAGTCGTCGCGGGCGAAATCAACGCCCCAGGCTACAGAAACGCAGGATTCGTCAACATCACAACCTCCGACGGCATTGTGCACGGCCAAGTCCGTCAAAGCGATTTATACAGTTTCGTGCGCATCTACGAGTCCGGCCATGAAGTGCCCTTCTATCAACCCCTTGCCGCACTGGAGCTCTTCGAGCGAGCGCTCGGAAGAAAAGACATCGCGACGGGTAAACATGCGGTTACTTCGCACGGTGGGTATAAGACCCATGGACCGCCCACGAGTGATTACCGGGAGGGTAATAGCACTGTTGTTATGGAGGTGCTTCCCAGTGATGCTACGTATAACACGACTTTGAATGGGCCGAACCCGACGAGTTCGACTAAGGTGCGCAGGGAGAACTTGCAGGGTCGGTCTCAGAGTAAGATGAAGGCTGTGAGGAAAGTGAGGCGGTCGATGAGGGGAAGACGGTTGGTTTGAAGTTGTAGATATTGATGTATATGAGTCAGGCTGTGCTTAGGGCGAAGCCCCTAGGGTATAGTGTACAGAGAGAAGAATGAAGAGATATTTGCGTCGATCAAGGACCCGGCTGGTTAATGCCAGTCCTATCCATGTATAAATTGATGGCATAAAAAATAGATATTCACAAGAAGGTAAGTGTGTGGATGGGTGTGGCCGTTCCACGGGCTGTGAGAGCCTCATTGCAGATGTAGGTAGCTTTTCTCCAAATGAGCTATGACCGGAGCCTCATCTTGACCTTGAAATCTTGAGGCCACTGGCTCTGGACCTTCTGCATTAATATGGCCCATTTCGACCGAGCGATGTTTTGCTTCGATGGGATGTTGGAGTAGTGAAGCTTCTGTCTAGCTTCACCGGTTTGCCTGTCTTTCTGCCTTTGAAAGACAAAATGCTACATGAATCTTAATAACAAGCCACAGATAGCTGCCGTGAGTTGCTCAGATAATACTAGCAATAGTCATACGCGAATGAGCAGAGCTGGACCGTCGTTCCGTCGTATCCGACCCGGCTGACTGGGGCGCAAGCATAGCAGAAGACTCGGATCTGGACTCCATGGCAACATCGCGACGCTCATAGTCACGACGCTGTTTCTCGCCAAATAGATGGGCAACGGTCTTTTCAACCCAATCCCACCCCTCCCATTGCGAGTCTGTCTGAACCGGCCCCGGAACAGACCGCCCGGAGATATTTTCGAGATTCGCTCCAGTCTCGCTACCCTGCCAGACCCAGCTGCCATCTGCAGTTCCCTGCATATCCCCAGATACATAGGCCATCATCGCCTCGTCGTGTTCGGGACTCACAACATCGCCTGGTTGGGAACGATCGAGGAGGCATCGGACGAAGAATGCCAAGTACCGACCACAAGCGGCATTTACCGCGCGATCATCGCCTACGGCAGCGCTGGCCTGCACACAAGCTAATGCTGGGGCGAATTCTTGCCGGAAGAGAAGGAATAGCGCGCAGCGCCAGATATGTGTACAGAGGAGAGTTCCTGCGCTCGAGGCAAAGAGGGTTCGCCAATCCCCAGTCCCCGCGTGACTTCGCATGCAGCGTGAGAGGATATTGGCGGTATCGATTGCTATTGAGACACAGTAGTCCACGGCAGCTATACGGACGCCGGGTTGGCAATATGGAGAGATGTTGTGGCGATGAAGGAGGAGTCGGGCGTTTTGGAGGTAGATTATCGGAGCGAGGGATCGGGGGTCGAGGTCAGTGTCTTGTTTGAGTTGGAGGTGAGCGGGGAAAGTCGTGCGACAAATGGTGAAGTGGCGTTCGAAAGTCTCGAGTGTTGGGTAGCTGATTGAGGTGGAGCGGAGGGTGCGCGTGAGCTGGCCGATAGAGCGAACAACGTGAATGGTGGCGAGTAAGGGGGATGGCGCGTGTTGCTGGTCTTCATGAGTTTTGCCCTGGGCGACGGACTGGTCGTCCACGGGGCAGGGCAGATCGATATCGCAGTCCTGGTCATTGATCAAGACTGGTTTGCCCATTTCGAGAGCCAAAAGTCTAGAATGAGGGAAATGTCAGTCATGTTTCTTTGATCTGCAGGCGAACTACAAGATACAAACCGGTCATAAGTATACAAGCCCCACCAGATGCGTTTGCGCATTTCCCCTTCCAGCTCAGGCCATGGCCCTGACTCAATATGAAGTCCAATCTCTTGCGCGACGCGCACTGCTGAGCCAATCCAGACCCAGCTGGCGGACTTGGAGTTGACTTCGTAGAGGAAGATGCTGGCAAGCAAAGCTGCCCGCACTCGGTCCAGGTTGAACTCGTCCTGCCACACATCGATGATCCCACAAGAGATGCGAACAAACTTCTTGCCCTCTTCTTCTCGATTCGGCTCGACTGTGTGAACTGCACCGCATGCGAAAACCCCGAATAATACCGCAGCCCATTCGCTGGACACTCCCGCCAAAGATCCCGTTTGATACACCTTCTCATACGCTTCAATAAACTCGGGCCAGTGCAGGACCGGAAGAAGCGAGTGAATGCATTGATAATACTGAGCAAGGAGGTGGTCGGCAACCTCTTTTGGGGGTAATTGAGGCGCTGCCTCGCCTGGCACCACCGATTTGGAGCTGTGTTGCTGATGCGGATAAGGAACCTTCAAAATCCCACGGCCATGCTGACGCAAGTTCGATCGTACGTCGGACAAGTCTTGCGTTATGAGCGCCTTCGGTCGTCTGGGTGGTTTATATTCAATCTCGGGTAGCTTGATTATCGGTGCCGTCGATGATTCCTCAATATCCATCATGCCGTCTGGTCGAAGCATACCGGATCGAACTTGTTGGAGCTGCTGCTTCGTCGATTGCAGTTGTTTCTCGAGATCTTGAAGCTGTTTGATCGAGGACATGCGCCGATTCGTCTCCTTGGTGAACAAACAGCGAACCTTGCGGTTAATACACTCCGTGCAATTAGACGTCTCTGTCGCATCGCATTTAACCTTGCGCTCTCGGCAGGCATCGCAGCTAGGGTCTTTCCTGCGTTGCCGATAAGCTCTCTTCTGCTGCAGCGGAGTGGGAGTCGACTGCTGAAGCCCAACCGGGCTCGTTTGATACATTCCTGGGCCTCCCAGTACCGATACCATTGGAGGCGCATCAGGGAGACCACCGCTCTCTGCAGGAGATCCCGAGGCCGAATCATAGAATCGCGCATAAGGTGAAGTTGATGGGGCAGGAGTCGGACCCGGCGCAGACATCTGCTGCGGTGGAGGCGGCGGGAGCGATGCTTGCGCCAACGACGACGCTTGTGGCAATGGCTGTTGAGAGTGTTGGATCGGTGGCATCGGCTGCAACAGATGGGCCATTCGCATTCCGCTGTCTGGTCGACTTGGCGGAGCAGAGGGTAACCCCGGGGCGGGAGGGAATGCGCCAGTCACTGACTGCACCGGAGGAAGCTCATACGAGCCACTCCGGTTAGGGTTGGCGGGACGAAAGGGCGTCTGCTGCATCGTGTGAAAATGAACCGTCATCCAGACTCCACCTTAGCGGGGAGGGACTCAGCGAGTAAGTAACGTGGAGGACCGACAACGTCTTTTGAAATGCAGAGAACCCGGTAGTTCGTCCGGGAAATCGATAATCAAAGATTCACGTCCAGAGAAGAAATAAAATGGGCACGTTTGATGAAGAAAGAAACCAAGGATTCCACGGGATAAATCCAAGCCAGTGGAAAAGTTAAGTTAGTTTGGTGGTGTTGGTGGTGGATAGTGAAGTGCCGGGGAGGGGGGGGGGGGTTCATCCAAGCCGTCGCGGCGCGAGGATTCGACTGGCCACAGGAGAACAGGCTCGCCACCGGCTCAGCTCATTCGATCGCTTGGAAACTGCCGAGCGCCGAAAATCCCACTGGCGGAATGTGAATTGGGGGGGTCATTCGTGGGAGAAACGCAAATCGCAAGCAGCCATAGTATCGAAAGGTGAAAAATAAAAATATCCAGAAGAGTGCGATACTGGGCCAGTGGGTGTTTGTTTGCGATGGCAAAAAGAAGCTTGAATGAGTCGCGCAGACGAACCGGGATTGGTTCTGGGCCAAAAGGAGCGGAGAATAAACAAGATTTAAGCAAAAACGAAGAAAAAAGGGTCGAGAAAAATAAAGGTCAAAAATAGGAAAAAGGAAAAGGTCCCCAATGAAAACGGGCAAGCAAAGGCCGAGGGCGAGCAAAAGGAGCGAATAAGGTCACGGTCAGCACGAATAATCCACGGGATCTGAACGTCAGCGCAGATCGTGGAGATGGTAAATGCCGAGGTTTGGAAAGGGGGGGGGAAAGAGATTCGATCGAATGACGATACCGAACTCGAAGAGATTGAAAGGGATAGCAGTAAGAATGGGAGATAATGATGATCGATCCGGAGAATCAAAAAAAGGATCAGAAAATAATGCAGTAAAATGCAAGATTGGCAGGTGGCCGATTGGGCGATTGGTAACTTGGCAGACCCGAATCCCAAACTGGAGCCTCCCGGCCTGTACTTCCGCGGTGATGGAGGAGAATTGAGAATCACCAGGGGAAGGGGGAAGGAGAAACCAAAAGGAGGAGAAAGAAGAAGAAAGAAAGAAGGAAAGAAAAGAGGAAACGAGAGAAACAAGAAACTAGGAAAAAGGAACCAGATCGACGAGCAGGCACAAACGAAGAGCGGGATTACGATCACCGGTCCTCCATCAGGGTCCCGTATTATTATGATTGCCAGGAAGAATACTCTGGACGAGTCACTGGACAATCTTAATCCTTCCAGTCCCAATCGAGCAGTTTGACTATTGTCGGAGCTGGCTGGCAGGTTAACAAGTGGTTGGTTAATGGTTAATGGTGCAGGCCCAGCAGGAGCGAACCAAGAACCATCAGGACCCGGAAACTGAATTAAGGAATCTTCAGCCGAAATGACACTTTGCACGGGCGACCGCTAAAACTGGGTCTAGCCCTCCTGGGTAGACGGAATATGGAGCACTTTTTACAGTTTAATCATGAGTCGTCTCGAGGTTGTTCTCCTCTGGAATATCTACCAAAGACAAGGAGGATAAATAAAAGTATAGATCTATAAGATCGATTCATGAAATAGCCAGCTATTCCTGAATCTATATAGTACTACTACAACCTATAGCTAAACTATGCATACTCTTGAAGGACTTTAGTATGGACAGCTCCTCCTATCTCTCCTCTCTCTCTCCCTCTCTCTCTCTCTCTCCTCCTAGTCCTCCTCTGCCCGAGATCAGACCTCTTGCGCCCAAGTGGCATCCCGAGATCGGCAGAGGCAGCGTCGATGGATACCTGAAGCAGCTTGAACAGCGCTTGGTCTTTTTCTTTTTCTTCCCCCCCCTTTTCCCACTTTCCTTTTCTCGATTCTTTTTGGATGGACCAGTGACGGCGGCTGGAGGGACAATGTCCAGTGTCCACCGGGGGCCCCACCGCCGGGGAGCCTGGGAATTGGCGAACCTTGTCTCCATTTACATTTGAAGAAGTCATGGCGTTCCTCGATCCGGAGGGAGGGGAGCACGCCGGTAGGTCGCCCTTGAACTCGGCAGAGCTGGCGGGTCCCACTTGGGTCCAGCACGATAACTGAGGTTATCCCTTGTCGATGGAAAGACCTGCCCTTGTGACGCTTCAACGACAGTTCAGATGAAATTGATTGTTAATCACCATTATGGGAGACTGTATATATGACTGTTAGGTACAGAATTTGTAGAAAATGGCCATGTACAAATTCACGATGAATATCTAACACCTCGTGGTAGATCGGAACAGCACCGACCAAAAGGGCTGGTGCGCGCCGCGTATCCTGAACGGCTCGAGGATCGTCGGTGGTGGTTGGGACCGGATCATCGCCAGTCAGAATGTAATCTTACTCTGGCCCCTGGGCAAGTTCAGAGTTCAGCATGGCTGGAGGTGTTTCCAGAGTCGATCCCTGCTCTTTTGTATATTTTACCGAGTACATAGTATGTTCTCTTGTCGTAGGATCTATGGATAGCATTAAGCTCCCGGTATCGGGCTGTTATGGAGCCCAGCGAGGGAACAGCCAAATTATACTTTTGATCCAAATGCTTGCTATGCCAACCAGATTGCAGGAAACTTCCGGCACGAACAGGCTTAATCCCTTCTTGTGCTTTAACCTACACACCTACTTTATCACCGCCATATCGATTATCCCATTGCCTGCTCTCCCAACGGAAGAGCAAGAAAAAAAAAAGGGGTACGTAGCTTACGGTATGTGAGATGAAGATCTCGGCAGCCGCCGTGCCGTCTCTCATTATCCAACGACCCCACAATCAAACTGAACTACAAGAGCCCTAACTTTCATTTTCTCTCATCTGGTTTTGTTTGGTTTGTTCCACCGCTCCCGTTTCGTTTCACCTTCTGCACGGTTGCAAGCCCTGATCGACTCGGAAAGCATTCACCGGACCACATGGAAGCCCAGCCCAAGGCCCGGATGTTGGCCCGGACAGTGGGGACACGCCTCTCCAAGTGGCAATTTGCCTTTTTTTTTTTTTTGTTTCTCGTTTCTCTTTTCTCCTGTCCCCTTTCGCCCATCGTTGGCTAATTTGGACGACCAACGCCAAGCTGCTGAGTACACTCTCTCCCTTCCCCCAATCAGAATGGACTGACTTCATTCATCGCCTGGCCCCATTTTGCGTATCAAAGCGAGAGGGGAGGGGCTAAACACCCCGATCAGGCCAAAGGGTCGGGTCTGCCGAGCGCTGGAGCCCTGACTGGTTGGTCCCGAGTGTTATCCGAAATAAACGTCGTTCGGGTCCCGTTGGGTCTCCGCAAAAGGGGAGAGGATTTTATGGTTAACGACTTGGTTCACGGGAGGTCTACCGAGACGAGGGGAGTTGACAGTATGGAGTTGAAGTAAAATTAAACATCGTTCTCATAATGATACACAATTAAATGGCAAATTCGAATTTTCAACATTATAATGCTTAAACTCAGTCTCCCCTTAAAGCAACTACAATACGGAGTACTCTACAGATTAAACTCGTTCAATAAATGGCCGTGCGTGCCTTTTCCCACGTTGACAAGAGAAAGCACAGGCTGCCGTGCCTCATGCCTCGTGCCCTTCCGAAGTTAACGCCAACCTCTTTGTTGGACTGGACTGTTGGGCCTCCTTTTCTCTCAGCCCATGGCCCCAAGAGCCAGCCGCAGATCCACCTCATATCTGCCATCTATCACGATTGGCCAAGACAGACAAAAACGTCTGATCACCCCCCCCGAACGGAGAATATCTCCCTCACCAATCTGCTTGAGACTGACCTCCCACGGGTTTGAGAGTTAGCGCTGTCGACCTGATCACAGGACCTGCGGTTTCCTGGAGCTGGCGTGCATGCTGTGCAGCAAGCCCCTAGTGATGCTCATGCCCTGGTTCCTAGCTTCAGCCGCTCGTCGCTCATCCCCTCCTTTGGAGAGTTCTCCGGCTGATCCGGTCGGGTGAGCAGCCCCTTCACTCTTTCTTTCGACCTTCCATGCCGTTTTGGACTGGTAGCATCGGATACAACGGGAAGACTGACTTTGGATCATTGGCATTAAGTCAATCATGGCTGATGGAAAGCTGACCTGTATACGTTTCGACGCTCGACACTTCCACGCTCGACGCCTTGGCGCGCGGGTCCGTACCCAATCTTGTCATGCTCACGAGCTCTCGAGCAAGATCCTCCGAAATCATCAAATCATCGAACTCCCACTAGATTGCAGTAGTGCTGAATAGAAAACACGGCTCCCCCCGCACCCTTCGGCTACGCGATAAGACTCCCCGGCCCCAGATACCACCCATCCACAGTTCCACATCAGCCACCATCCAGTGCATCCACCACCGGGATTCGCCTCGCCTCGCGCGCTCTCTCCCTCTCTCTATCTCTCTCGTAGAAATTCACTACTGTATCCGGGCTGGTGGACCATCCATCGTACGCACCAGTCAAGATCCTGCATGAGCCGTCTCAATTGCGCCATCCGCCCCTGGCACGGGACACCAATGCGCGCACCAACTGTCGTATTGTTGTCAAGCTAGCGATGTACGTAGTACTGTAGTAGTGTTGGTTGGACACGAACAAGCCCAGCGTGGACCCCAGTAGAGTACTTCATTGTAGGTCACACGGATCGAGCTGTGCTCAGCTGCATACTGCATGCATAACCTTACCTCGAGTTTCTTAGTAGTTGGTACAGCACTCTATACGCAGGAGTAGCTGTCTCGAAAAACGCATACATACTTGCTTGGGCGGTCAAGCCCTCGGTTCGTGCCGTTGCTTGCCCGGGAAATTTCTCCTGCGTTAGCATGACTAGGCCTGGAAGGGGAGCAGGGATTACTTCGCTTCTGCGTCTCGGTTTCCTTCCTTCCTGCCCTAGTAACCCTCCCGCTACTGCGAGATAAAATCCCATACGCATGGACCTACCTTGCCGATGTATGGTTGGTGGGAGGTGACCGTGTAAACTCTCTTTCTTCCCCGCCATTTTAAGCCATGAGTTGTTTCTTCAGAGCAGGGCGACAGCGCGACTGTACAATACGCTTTCTTCGATCGTCTCTGCACAGATGACATCCCAGTCCTACTGGTGTCCGGGTTCTCGGGCCTGGAGAGAACCGCTTGCAAATGAGAAGCAATAAAAAGAACCAACCCAACCCAACCCATGCAACCACTACTGCAAACTAATATCATACACGTCTTGGCGGTTGTAGTAAGCTTAGTGATGCCCTTCAGCTCCCTCGAGCCGAAGACCGAATTCACCACAAGCGGAGCACTGGTCCTACACTCTTACGGCCGATGGCAACCTGTTCGTCCGTGGCTCTGTGCATTCGAGCATCAGCGTCGCCATGTACGTCTAGGCTTAGCCTCGCATGATCCCCCAGGATTCTTTATTTGTAATGTTTTTTGATCACTGGACATCGGGTATCATGGCAAGACCCCTACTCCCAAGAATAGTCATCCAGCACACCCAGGCCCGAAATTTGTTTCCGGCCCCGAATCTCAGGATTATGGAGATCAACCCATATGCCATAGGCAAACAAACTACCGAATCTGTGAGTAAATCGCCCGAAACAGCACAAGCAAAAGCCAAAAGAGGCAACCTGGCTACCAATCCTCCATCCCACGGTACAAATTTACTCCGTAGACTACAAATCTCAGCAGTCCAGTGTCGTATTACCGGAACGGCACCACATTCAACCCAAGTCCTATACCTGTAACCGTACCTGTACCTCCGATCCTGATCCTTCCAGTCAGCCTTTTCTCCCCTTCAAAGGATTATGCATATCTTCTACGGTTATTATTTTCTTTTCACCGCAGCCCACAGGAGCCTATTTGGCCGCCCCACAGCGGGACAACGATCCGAATAGATGAAACCGCCCTGACCAACAACCGAGCCTTTCCGATTTGCCCCTACCCAACCGCACAGAGGACCGGAGTGCTCCGTGGCACCTAATCTAATGCCTAACGCTATTACGGGAGTCTCAGATTAACCGATTACTTAGATGGAGCGATGACGTAGAGATCGGGCATTGTTTATCGGGTTTGGACTCGGGTTGTGATATTCCGATAAAGCATTTGATTTGGGATGGGATGAAGAGAACGAGGCACAAAGTATGGAGTACAGAGTACGAAAAGTACGAAATGGATTATTGGGGCTCGTTGTGTGTGGGAGGTGCTGTGCTCGGAGTCCGGATGGGTGGAATCTTAGGTTTCAAAGGGCCAGGTCATGGCGTTCGCGTAGCCACGGCACGGGGAAATTTCGTTGCAGCCCAAAAGTCACCCACGGTAGAGACATATGTGATAGATTAAAATCGAGAATCAACTCTAGGAAGGTACAATTCTTGGTGATCAAATCTGAAGCCCATTGTGTTTGTAACCCTCACTTGCAATTAGACCTGACGTAAGGTTGTCTAGTCCTGTTTCACGGCGTAGGTCCGCCGGAACATCTCGTCGACTTGGACGAGATAGTACGTACCTGGCGTCAATGTATCGGCACTGCCAACGGGAGTATAGCTTTTCTGTTGGTACGCTTGCTCGCGCAATTTACACATCTAATTGTATTTAGCGATTGTGTGTCGTGCGTTCAATGCGGGACTGTCTTACCTCGTCATAGAATTCGGGGGAAACTTGCTCGCGGGCTGCGAGGCGGGCGTGGAGATCGATCTTGGATGCGATATCGCTCACGTCGCCTACAACGCGCAAGCTGAAGAGTGTGCTGGCAAGACCACTGCCGAAGCTGTAGACTCCCACTCGTCGGCCGAGTAGTTCAGAGCCGGGCACGTTGCTGAGCAGACTGATAAGACCCGAGTACACGCCGGCAGTGTACATGTTCCCACACAGAGTCGGGACTGTAAGGCTTCGCTGGACTCGTTTTACGAATCTCTCTTTTGAGAGTCTTATGAAGAGTTTCTCCAGTGTCTTGTCGCCCAGGGACTCTTCGTAGGGTTGTTCGTGGATAGAAGAGGGTACGGCATCAGAGCTGCATAATTCGTGCTGTGGGTTGGCGATGCAGTCATTATACAACAGACGCGCGTATGACTTGGAAACCAGCTTGCAGTTAGGTGCATGAAAGACAAAATAGTCAAATTCATCCAGAGCAACTGTTGATGAGCCCATTGGCGTGGAGTGCCCGTTCACGACTCCATTCCCATGCAACATCCCATTCGTCTTGCGAGCAGCCTGCTTCTCTCGATAGCGCCGGTAACACCCATCCAGCGCCTGCAGATAACATCTCGAAGAATAATGCCCATCCACAACCGGATACTCGGATTTAAAATCCGGCTTGTAAAAGTCATATGTATGCTGCATGTACGACGCACGGAGCGGCTCCAAGACCAAGGGTGCATTGGGTCCAATTAGCATGGCCACACAACCCGCACCACCGGTAGGTCTTGCAGAAACTGTATTGTATAGTGCAATGTCCGAGGCAACGACTATTGCGTTCCGTCCATCCCAGGCAGAAGACTCGATCCAGTTCACGGCGTTGAGAAGCGCGCTTGTACCGCCGTAGCAGGCGTTGTAGGTATCGGCGCCTTCGATGTCGTCGTTGGAACCGAAGAGCTGCATAAGGACGGACTTGCAGGATTTGGCTTTGTCGAGCATGGACTCTGTGCCAACTTCTAGGCGGCCGATTGAGTTCGGGGAGATGTTGTATTTGCGGAGGAGAGAAGAGACGGCCGTGAGAGCGAGGGAGTATACATCTGGAGAAGTGGTCAGCGATGGTCAACGGAAGATATGTTTAGCTATCATATCATTGTAAACGAGTGTTTTGAGTTGGCAGTTATTACCCTCGCGATCGTCACAAAAGCTCATTTGCGTCTGGCCTAGTCCAATCGTATACTTGCCCGTGCTGGCACCAAGGAAGGTTTCCAGATCAGACTGAGCCACATACTACCAGAAAATTAGACACAAAGTATATTCAAGAATAGCAAGCGAAATAATATCTCGGCAGAAATAGTGAACTTACTCTGCTAGGGAAGTAAAGCTCAATAGCTTTGATGCCGACGTTTTGGGGGGCCATAATCGAACGCATTGCAAGCTTCTAGGAGAGCTACCTGCCAGTTCTGTGTGAACTTCAAACAGAATTCACTTGTGACTTCCCTCTCTACTTATATTCTCAACGATACACAGGAAATCCCAGACCACTTGGTCATTCTCAGGAACAGCCACCATAACCAAGTGGACCTACACCCACAGCCCATCGTCGCTGGGCCAATCTTGCAGCAGCCTGAGAGTGCATTGCAGCGGCGCCAGGGGGAATTAGGCAAGCTCCTTTCATCCGAAGGAATTGGGACTCTGTATGAATGTATTGCGGTGCCTTAGTGGAAAGGTGGTGGTGGCATTCGGGGATATACACCGTACATCGGATCCTGAGCGAATCTCGGTCTGGTCGGAATTCCTCTAACCAACGTTTTCCTGGAACCCGAATAAACTGTGACTATTATTGGAGGATATCGAGGAACAGGAATAAAAGAAACGGGCCCTAGATAGCTGCGTGTTCAAGGCCGCGGCTGTATGGGCGTGATTTGAATGGGTCCTTGTAAAGTCATTGAGCAGGCCAAGCCTTGATAAGGTTCGAAGTGATATTGCTTCTGCATGGCCAAGCATAATCAGAGACTTTGGAGGTATTTTTCGCAAATTATCTTCACATTCCAAGGAGAGAAATCGTTAAATGCAAGCCTTCCAGTAACGCCATTCTCATAATCCAGACTCCTATATGACCGATGCACTTCCCTAGACTTGTACTCATTTCTGCTTTTGCGCTTCATACTTTTCGACAATCAAATTCACAATGTGCGTTAGGCCCTCCATTTCTTCTTCCACGGTCTGCCCGAGTCCATTGGGGTCAATGCTACACCCAACGTAGACGGGCTGTCGCATGCGTCTGGCAAGAATCCTGGCCACTCGTGTCGTGTATTCAATGCTGGATGGCGTGGTGTAGAGTGTTGTCGAGATGGTTGCGTTTGATGATGTTCGCTGGTACAATTTGTAAGTATGGGATGTTATGGAGGAAGTCGATGAGACATGGATCAAACATGGAGACAACAACACTCTGAAAACAGCATCCAAATAGTGTGCTTGATCAAGGCAATATCTCCTCAGATACGACAAGGGTTCAGTAGCAGCTGAAAACAGAGTGACATATATCCCATCCTCGAATAACTTGGATTGGAAGACTCTTCACAGAGCTTGAATCGAGCTCGAAGATCAATGCACGCAGAAAAGCATATTTGAACCAAGGATTGAAGGCAGATAGACACGACAGCGCAAATGAAGGACACGATGAATAGAATGGAGGACTCACATCAGGCATGGCATACACAAAGCTCCCCATCGGCTTGAAAGACCCCGCCGAGTCACCCGGTGTTGATGTAGCAAGATGAACCATGGCACAATGACCCAAGAAGGTCAGATGTACATGGCCAGTCGTGTGGAGAGCTTTCGGCAGTGGGAAGGAGAGCTCTTGAGGCTTGAGAGTGGGGGAGACCAGCTCCGTCTGTGGGACTGCTGATGGAGCAACCGTCGCCATGATGTGTTTTTTGCTCTTCAATTAGAGCGCAAACTCTGGAAAAGCTAGAGTATGAGCTGGTGAAGTTGTTAAGGCTGTTCTGGTGGTGCGTGCGATCTTCGCGTGTCCGGTGTCCAGCTTGGAGAGGTTGAAGATTCCAGGTCCCCGCCATGCGGCAAACGGAGGCGGTCCACCAATCCCACTTCGCTTTGCCCGCCGCACACTACTCGCGTCCAGGATCGACACATTGGGCTGGTCAGTCCATAGGCCATCGCAGGGCCGTAAGTATCAATCCTAGGGTGTATATTGCCGCTCAGTGGGATATCTCTGGCCATGGCAGCTTCAGAGCAGGGCGTTGGCCATGAGGTGGAGGGGGAGGAGACTTGGACTGGAGACTTTGATCCGTTCTCCGATCCTGAAGAGCGACGGGTTCTCTTTGCCGCGTTTGATTCCTTTCGGTGCGTATGCCATGATCAATGCATGTTATAAATCTTCGTGTTTAGTCTGGCTGTCCTACCGAGGACGCAGATGGCAATGTATTGGTGCCATTTCCATAGCAGGACTAATCTTACGACTACAGACAATACCGGCGAACGGCACATCAAAACACTACGCATCGCCGGCGGCAAGCTTTCTACGCCTTGCCCTCCGCTCACTGGCAAATGCTCTCAGAGCCACCCTTCTCCATCCTAGACACCTTCAACAAGGTAGATGATGCCATCGATACCAACGCCGAGATTGCCGATGCCATCCTGGCCGTGGGCTTAGAGTCCTTTGGACTCCCCGCCAACCCAGACAAGGATGACCCCAACCAGTACTGGCACGAGACAGCCACGGCATCCGACGTGAACAAGGCGCACTCCACCATCCGCCAGTTCTACCGCGACTGGAGTGCTGAAGGCCGCGCCGAGCGGGCCGTCTGCTACGACTCGGTCCTCCAGGACCTCCACACCGAGTTTCAGACGCGCCGAGACGCGGGCGACGAGATCCGCGTGCTCATCCCAGGCGCCGGACTGGGCCGACTCGTTTTCGAGGTCTGTCTGGCCGGGTATGCGGCCGAGGGTAACGAGATCTCGTATCACCAGTTGCTGGCCAGCAGCTGGATTCTGAACCACACGGCCGGTCCCGCAGCGCACGCGCTGCACCCTTTCGCTCTGCATTTCTCCAACTTGCACTCGCGTGCGCAGCAGTTACGGCGCGTCATGATCCCGGACGTCCACCCGGGCACGGCGATGCAGGAAGCGGCACAGACGCAGGCGCCGTTTGGCTCGATGTCGATGTCAGCGGCCGATTTCGTGGTCCTGTACAAGGAGCCGAGTAACCGCGAGTCCTTTGACGCGGTGGCCACCGTGTTCTTCATTGACACCGCGCCCAACCTGATCCGATACATCGAGGCGATTCACCATTGTCTCAAGCCTGGGGGTCTCTGGATCAATGTGGGCCCGCTGCTGTGGCATTTCGAGGAGGGGCATCCCCGCTCAGACGGCAAGGAGATGGGCGATGGCAAGAGCAAAGACGCCTCGGGCATTGGGGAACCGGGCAATGTGGAGTTGAGCGAGGATGAAGTGTTGTGTTTGGTGGGGCGTCTGGGTTTCCGTGTTGACACACGGCCGTATGATCGGCGGCCGTGCGGCTACATTCAGGATGGGGAGAGCATGCTTCAGAACTTGTATCAGCCCTCGCACTGGGTGGCGCGAAAAGTGGCGCAGTAGGTTGATTGAGTATACGGTGCAAGAGTCTGGAAGATTTGGCACGATGAGACGAGGGTTGTTGTATTGGGGGCGGGGGCAGAATGGGCGCAGACAAACCCAGACCACTCGAGATCAGGGTCCAATATTGTTCGAGGGAACCGATTGATAGGAACCGTTCCATGCAGGTTCCGTGTTCAAGGCGAACAGGGCAGTGGCCCTCAGTCCTCAGTGGCCCCCACGTTTAATTTTACGATGATTGGGGGCCGAAACGAACCAAGAGAGGCTGGACCGGCGAGTGGGATAAGCGCGGTTCCGTGGAACGCACGCGCAAGGCACAATACAGTAAATAATCAATCGCGAGGATGATGTACTCGTTCATACCGAAGATACAAGACGATGAAATCACTCCGTCTACGCCTCTACTCCAGATATCTAATATTGGATGATAATCGTAATCATAATGATAATAATATCTCTCCACGCGTCTCGTACGAGGGGCCAGTGACGGAGTCGTGTCGACTCGACTGCGGTTTTCAATATTGGAAAGGAAAGGCACTGCCCACCAGGCATTCGGATCGACACAAAAGGGGCGGGGGGAGAGCCCGGTTTGAATTCAGCTTCAACGCATTGTCGTCTTCCATCTTCCATAATCCGATGGGTTTGACGACTCTTTCTAGCCTCAGCCGCAGTCCACCTATAATTATCATCATTTAATTGTCATCTCATCTGACATCCATCATCTCCCCATATCCTGACTCTGACAGTACTCCCACTGTATACCAGCCTATGATCCCCACGGAGTGGTCTATTTCCTATCCACCATTTTGTCTACGGTCACTGCCCCTCCGGTGGATTCCTGCACCCTCTTTCGTTTAGTCCTATTTTTTGGGGATTCTTTGCTGACAGGTACCACCACCACCACCACCACCACCACCACCACCACACGTTTTGCTCGTTGCCTCGTATTCCCAATTCCCAAGTCAGCCTTGTCTTTCCTCGCCCTCGCCTCACCTCCACTCTCCACTCTCCCACCCGGCACCCCCTCCCCCCTCCCCCCCTGCCTTTTCCTTTCTCTCTCCTCTGACACGTCCTCTCTCTCTCTCTCTCTTTCTTCCCTCTTCCTCCCTTTCAGCCTTTGGGCGCTCGCCACACATGTCCTCCATGAGCTCCCGACTTGGCAAGTTCACTTTCCGACGCGACAAAAAGCCCCAAAATCCCCCCGCCTTCCGCCTCTTCCTCCCCCAACCCCCTCGTGGTGACCCCCTCCAACGGTACATCACCGACCTCACCACCCTCGCAGCGGAGCTCATCGACCACCAGTCTGCCCGTCAATCAGCCTTCCCAACAACGTCCCCCGAGCTTCGCCTCAAATCGACCCACAAGTCCCATGGTCCACGGCCAACTCGCCCAGCACCCCGCCCCGCTCAACCTCAACACCACGATGCAGTACGCCGGCCACCAGCAGCCCATGAACCCTCCCCCGGGGTATAGCATGCAACCCCCACAACAATCCCTTGGCCACCCGATCCAGCCGTCCATGAACCAGTCCCAGTATCGCAACCCCGCCGTCGAGATCGAGGGCGCCAATCGAAACAAAGCGCAGCTCATTGTGGGTATCGACTTTGGTACCACCTTCTCCGGTGTCGCATTTGCCTTTGCAACCAACAATGAGGCCCGCGAGGATATCATCACGGAATGGCCGGGCGCGGGTACGCATACAAAGCAAAAAGTGAGCAGACACGCCGTGTGATGATTTCCTTGGCGAAAGGGCCCATGTATTGACCGTATCCGTTTCTCCAACTTTCTTAGATTCCAACCGTCCTGTACTACGATCAATACCAGAAGGTAGTAGGCTGGGGTCCGGATATTGCGGAAGCCCTTGCGCCGACTGGGTACCCAAAGCCGGGCGTACAAAAGGTGGAATGGTTCAAGCTGCAATTGATGCTGTCGGGAAACACTTATATCGACCCCATCAACTTGCCTCCACTCCCACCTGGCAAATCAGAAATCGATGTGGCGGCCGACTATCTCTTCAAGTTGCGACAAGCCATGCGCGCACAGCTGCAGAAGACTCTCGGTGAGGTATTTACGCGAGAGGAGCGCAATATTCGCTATTATCTGACCGTCCCCGCGATTTGGAATGATGCGGGCAAGGCAGCGACTCGTGCTGCTGCGATCCAGGCTGGATTCCTGCGCGACGAGAATGACAACCGTCTTACCCTAGTATCGGAGCCCGAGGCGGCTGCGCTCTTCTGCGCGAAGACGGGTTTGTTGAACCTGAAGATCGGTGACGCCATTCTCATTGTCGATTGCGGTGGTGGTACCGTCGATCTGATTGCATACGAAGTCGAGGAGGAACAGCCATTCAGCGTGGCCGAGTGTACTGCCGGATCTGGAGATTCATGTGGTTCGACGGCCCTGAACCGCAACTTCAGCAACATTTTGCGGGCCAAGATTCGCAAAATGAAGCTTCCTGATGGATCCCGTACCGCGGGCAAGGTCTACGCCAAGTGTATCATGGATTTCGAGAACCGTATCAAGGCGGACTTCCGGAACAACGGTCAAAAATGGGCGGTCGACGTCGGTATTGAGGCAGACTTCCCCGATGCGGGCATCGAGGAAGGCTACATGACTTTCACCAATGAAGAGATTCTCCAGTGCTTTGAGCCCGTGGTGAACCGCATTCTCGAGCTGGTTCGCAACCAGATTATTGCCATCCAGGCACAGAACCGCTTGCTGCAGGTAGGAATCGTTCCTCTTTTTGCTTTTCTCTTTGTCTTGCTTTGTACTGTGTACTAACCTTAACCTCACTTTCAGAATGTTTTGGTTGTTGGTGGTTTCGGTGCCTCCGAGTACCTGTTCCAGCAGATCAAGCTCCATGTCCCACCACAATTCCAGACCAAGGTGGTCCGGCCTATGGACTCCGTGGCTGCCATTGTCAAGGGTGCCGTGACAGCCGGTATCACCGAGCGAGTGATCACCCACCGTGTCGCCCGTCGCCACTACCTGATGGCCACTCTTCAGCCCTTCAAGGAGGGATACCACCCGGAGCAATACCGGGTGCCCAGTCTGGACGGCCGCGACCGATGCAAGTACACGCGCCAGATCTTTGTGCAAAAGGGAGAGCGTGTCAAGATCGGCGAGCCGGTCAAGGTCAGCTTCTTCCGTCAAGTGGCGCCTGGTGCAACCCTCATGTATGAGGACGTCCTGTACGCCTGTGATGAGGATGTCTGCCCCGAGTACACCAAGGATCCTCGTAAGCCAACAATTTTCCCATCTCTGCCTGTGTTTATTCCGCCTACTGACAATTCATCTACAGGCATCAAGGAAGTCGTCACTCTCACATCTGACCTCTCGCGCAAGAACCTCGAAACCGACTTTGAGCGCATGGACACCCCCCAGGGTATCTTCTACCGGGTGTACTTTGACATCTACCTCACCTTGGACGGAAGTGAGTTTAGTGCTGAGCTGGTTTGCCAAAACGAGGTCATGGGCCGCTGCCGGGCCAAGTTCCGGTAGATGCAATTGGAGCTTCCTATTTCTCTAAACTGATATACCCCGGAGTGTTATATATGTGCGAGCAGAAAAAAAAGGAGAAAGAAAGACAGGATCGGCGTGCGGTAGGGACTCATAAATACCTTCTCTCTCTTGGGTGAGAGGGAAGGTAGAGGTGACCGAGACGAGAAAAAGCAGAGGCTGAGCTGAGGGTTGCCATTTAATGTACACACTTTTCGTTCGATGCTTTCTTTCCCTTGCCCACGCCTGACCGGACAGCACTACTGGAGAATGGGCGTTGTTCTGATGATGCTTTCCACCTTGTTCCCCATCAATCCTTTTGAAGTTCCTACCACGGGCACTTTACCCACCATACCTGGCCCCAGTGTTTTTTCCCTTCGAGTTGCCATCGGTGACATATGATTATTATTTCTTTGCGGACAGATAGCCTGTCTTTGCGTTTTTTGTGTTTCTTTCCAGTGGTCCCCTTAGATACCTCACTTTTGTTTTCTTCCTCCTTTGACTTATCTGGTTTACCTTGAATGAAATTTATGAGTTGTGATCAGATCGAAGCTGAATACGTACATCATTCCGAGCGAACACATAAAGTGGACTTTACCTTGTCTGTCTACACATTTGACACCGCCATTCTTCATACAAAAAAAGGAGCCAACACATCCATCATCTCTCTTTCATCTCTATCTTTAATCGTATACAAAAAGTTCAAAGTCATTACCAACCACTCGAACCATCCGCATTAAGTCTCCAGGTTGATACTCCTTCCAAACCGCGCATAGAGCGAGACCTTTAGCTGCTGTAGCTCATCGCGCAACTCGCCCAGCGAGTCCTCCAGCTTGGACACGTCAGCGTCGATCTGTGCTGTAGAGGCCTCGAGCATGGACTGGGCGTCTGCGAGGGGGAGCTGGAAGAAGGAGTCGCCGATTTTGTAGCTGAACGGGACAATTAGTACTAGACCTTGCAACGTGGCACTAGATGTGAAGAAGTCACGTACGGGACAAGCTCGTCCTCATCGGCGAGTTCGAGTTCTGTAGAGACTTCCTCGAGATCTTCCTTGTCTTTCTGTATGACTTGTTAGAATGGATATGCCAAACTAGACAACGGATATCTTCAGAGCAGATCATCTACTCTGTCTTCCTTTTACATACCTGCTTCGCCTTCAACTGCTCCTCCAACACAGTCTCCCGCTGGTGCAACCGACTGAACCGATTAATCTTCTCCTGGTCCTCGCGACGAACTTCATTCTCTTCGCCGCCGGCCGTGGCCTCGTCGTCCCGTGAGAGCTGCGCGGTTCATGTGTTAGCTTTAGCTTTAGCTTTGCGCGTTGGTTTCTCCTTTTGCCGTGGGGGTTGCGGGGAGCTAGATTTGTTCTTGGTGGGATTGATGGGGCTGGCTACTTGATCCCGTGCGCAAGGATCCTATGGAAGGACGGGGGTACTGGCACTTACCATGCGTGGTTGGACCATTTTGGCGATATCGCTGGAGGAATTGATGTATGAGTGAGATCCGGAGGGGAGCTGGTCGTTTCTTTTGGATGTGTTTGCCGACTACTGCTGGATTTGATGGTGGCCCGTGCGCGGTCTTGGTGGGCGGTGCCTTTTGCGGACGGATAAGAGCAAACAGATAGATGGACAGAATAGAGATTGTAGAATAACAGGTCGACCTGAGTCGCTATTCTACTATGTCATACTCTTCAATTATCTGCCAATTAGCCAAAGCAGCCAAGAGTCTCTCTTATAGAAAAGTCAAGGCTGAGATAGCTGTGTCGGCTCGATGCCTGCTAGGGTAAACATGTGACTACGAATGATGAGCCAAATATGCTGCCTAGATTCGATGAATATGCTTCAAATGTACAGGTTAGCCGGATGCTGCTACAAAAAACAGTACACGCAGCGTAGTATAGCCCAGCTCAAGTAGACTGCTCCCGGCAACAATGCGAATATTCTCTCGGTCGGGTGACATCATCCCCCTCCATACCAGGAAGCAACTCGGGCAGAAAAGACAAAAGTCCTGAGGCTCGAATAGCTTGCAAGACTCTTCCAAGACTCTTCAGCCCGACCTTAGACTCCGCAGGACTCACCTTCCCCTCGATTCGTGGGGTATCCTTTCTTGTGCTGCCTGCAGCTTCCGCCAGTAACGAGCCGCGTCGGAGAAACGAAACACCTCCGCATCCCCCAGCCCTCGTCATCCTCGACAAACACCAGACCAACCCTCGTGCGCGCCACCAGAGCTTGCACCTCAACCCCCCGTGGAATCCCATCATCCGCACTTCGATCCCAGTCTCCTCATCACTCTTTTACCTATCGCACGTGCGCACTCTTATACAAGCCTGTGAGCTCCCTCCCGCGCCGGAATCTGATCCAGTACGGCCCAACGACGCACCCTTTCCTCTCCTCCCCAGACGACACATCCCACATCCCTCGCCATGCGAATACAATCCAGCGGAGTCACACTACTGCTGTCCTCAGTGCTACCCAGTCTAAGCGCGGCACTGACCTTCGACTGCTCCCACATCAATGTCGACAAGTACAAATACGACTTCAGTCCCTTGAGCGGCGTCCACGAGCTATACCACGTCAACGAGACGGAAACCGCCGTGACAAATACGACCTACGTTCTCAACATTTGCAAAAACCTGGGCAGCAAGGCCGCAGACCGTGGAGATGATGGAAAGTGCGGACAGACCAAGCGAAGTACGTCTCAATTCGTGCAACTCTCTGTCACGAGACAGGACGTCCAGGCCAATGGGGGAACTATGAACTAACTATCTACGCTATGTAGTTTGCGGCTTCGTGAACCGACACCCAACCGACGGCAACGGCAGCCAGCGCTTCGGCTTCCCGATCGTCGGTCTCGATCCTATGGGCGGGGGCTCGATGGAGCCAGAGTTCACGCGACTAGCCACGATCGACCCCGACACCGAGGGTGTCCGGGTCAAGCTTGCCGGCGGCGAGTTCAGGGGAGACGACGACGAAGGGAAGAAGAAGGATGCCGCAGCCGTGATTGATTTTACGTGTGACCCAGGCCGCTCTGGACTGGAAGGGCTTGTCACGGAGGAAGACAGCTCGGATGCAGATGAGGAGAAGCGGCGCCGCGATGAAAAATCCAGGGACGGCAGTTTGCAGTTCAAGAGCTTCGAGCTGGGTGAGGATGATACTTATATCTTGAAACTGGATTGGCGCACGCGGTATGCTTGCGATGATTATCAGCGGGGGAAGCAGAATAACTCGAATTCCTGGGGGTTCTTCACTTGGATGATTATCATGTAAGATCTCGCATTTTTCTCTCCTAGCGATCTCGAGTCGTGTTTCGAAACTAACGCTGACAATTTCTTCCTAGTGTCTTCCTCTGCGTCGCCGCCTACCTCATCTTCGGCTCCTGGCTCAACTACAACCGCTACAGCGCCCGTGGCTGGGATCTTCTTCCACACGGCGATACCCTCCGCGATGTCCCCTACCTCATGAAAGACTGGGTTCGAAGCGTGATCAACACATTGCAAGGGTCCGGGTCGAGGGGAGGGTACAGTGCGGTATAAACGAATGTGCCTGGGTTGGCATTCGCATCGGGTGATTTGCAAGTTCTCTTGCTCTGGATCTTTTTGCATCTGAGAGGCTCAAGTATTGTGGTTTTATTTTGGTTTCTGTCTGTCTGCTCGCGGCACTCGTTGAATGGACAGCTTGGGGTTTCTTATTATCATGTACCGTAGTGTGCTCGACGGACAAAGTCTTCTGAAGGCATGGAATTGTTGAGATGGGCTCTTCCTGATTCCTGTTGGTACGGCGCTAGAATTTCGGCCTTGAATTATCGGGCAGGGCCTTTTGTATGCTTGGATGTGAATTATATACGGTTTCGTTTCTTTTCCAGCTCAAGAGCTCAAACTTTGGACAACATCTCCATACTTTTTTTGTTTGTTATCCAGCCTACAACTAAACGTGAATGCTATATTACCTCACACCTATCCATTGGATCATACCTATACGGAATGCTTCAAGAAACTCCAAGCTGAGACACTCTTGTACTTCTCGATCCTGTTGTCGGAACGATGTGCCCCAGTGTAGGTTTGGAGGTATCAAATTGGAAACTTTTAATATGGAGCTTAATCAAACAAATTTTCATGACAGGTTGCTGAAAACCAGATTTAATTATGGTGTAATGGTGTATTTTCCCTATAGATCCTTGAGATAGACAGATACATCAAGGTATACCGTAAGACGCACCGCCGCCAGACGAACTAGCGACCTTGACGCCACCACAAACTACAGCAATAGGCTGAAGATTAAAATCTAAATGCCATCGAGAACACGTATCATATTCAATCTACCAACATACAAAAGACGCAAATCAGGCACAGGCTGAACCAGGTGCAAGAGTCCGATTCAATCTCGCAGCTTAGACAAGGATAAACAAGCAAGGCAGCAACAACGCAAGAGTCGGTGAAGATCAAAAACTCAAGAGTAGCGATCCATGCAAGATCATCAGCAGTAATCAACCAATCCCCACGCAAGGTCCATGATCTCCATCCCGTCTTACAAAAGTTATGGGTGGGTGAAGCACGGGGATGGCGTGATCGGGACTAAATCGTTCTCATCGGGGGCTGTAACATCCAACATAACGAAAGGGCGGGAACCAGGGGTTGGGAACACTGAAAGCCAAGTGGGAATGCAGGGTTGAACATAGCACGGTGCAGTAATAATAAGAATAGTCGTAATCGTCGTTTGGCTGGGGGGAAAGAGTTTGGGAGTCCATGGAATATATGGTCCCCTCCGCTGCCCTCCCCAGAGCTTTGGCCCGGATTCCTTCCTTACTTCTTCTCGCTTTCCTGTCATTCTTCCCCTTACACAATGATCATCTTCTCATCTGAAAGGGTTCATGGTCTTGACTGCGCTCAAGATGAACCGTGGCTGTGTCTACTTCTGCGCAGTTAGACCTTCACGGCAAACTGCTTCAGGTACAGGTAGTCGGCCATGTTCTCGTCAACGGCCTTGCGGATGAGAGCGGCTGCCTCGGGACCATACTTCTTGGTCCACTCGGCGTCAAACTCTTCCTCGGTCTTGCGAGCATGTTTCTGTGAGACCCATGTTAGCATGAGATCGTCCTGGTCATCCATTTCCATCTGCTTTGTCCACACTATGCACCCATATCATCTACCACCCGGATTGAGGCATGCTTACATGAGTTCTCGCAACCAGAGCCTTTGACTCAATCGCATCATTATGGAACCCACGCCACTTCTCAAAGCAGTGGCACGCAAAGTCATAATCCTCCTGCGTATCCCACGTCAACAAGGACGGATCATACGGCACATTGACGCTCTTGCAGAACGCCTCAATTGTCGCCGCCGGAGCATCCAGCATATCATCTGCATCAATAACACAGATCTCATGAACGGTCTCCTTGGCTCCGCAATTCTCAACCTTAACGTCCGGGCGGCTCGCTACTCGCGGTCCGACAAGTCCCTCGCGAACGAGGTAGTCAAAGTGCCGCCGCAGCTCGTCATACCCGGCCTCGCGGGGGTCATAGTTATGGAACCCGGTCACATCGTCCAAGGGTGGGATGGTGCAGCGGTAGTACGAGGGCACACTGAAGTGCGGGTCACGGATGAGGAAGGCGAAATGGAATCGCTCCTGGATCTCGCGCGGCATGACGGTTGGGTTGCCCGGCTCGGTGGTTGTGTCGTACGGGTACGGGGGACGTGAGACCCCGTTGATGGTTCCATTGGTATGCCCATTGGTCTCGTGGCCATTGGCCTCGTGGACTCCATTGGTGAAGCCGTTGGTAACCCCGTTGCTCACCGTGCCGTTGGTGCCGTTGGTCGTGCCATTGGCAACGCCGTTGGTGGACACGGCGATATGGCCATTGGTGTGAGTAGTGCCATTTACAGCACCATTCACCCCATTGACCGGAACGTGATCATCACCGTTTGTCGTGGTGCCCACGCCGCGTTTGATCCGACGCAGCGAAGGGGCTACACTGGCGGGTTTTCCACCTGGCGGGAGCAAGTAGTGGTCGATATCCTTGATAAAGACTCTCTTTCCCTGCACGCACGGTAAGTATCTCCCTCGGCAAGAAAAAGACGCAAGTTACACATGACGGAAAGGGCATGAGACCCTTTGGTCCTCGGTCTTTCCTGGGGCTTTGTATGTGTTTTGCGTACACACGCGACAAGGAGTAGACACGGTAGGTTGTGAATAGGGTAGCCATCTCACGATTGGAGAGATATGGAGAGTGGGAGGAAGTTCAATATCCTTATATCGATCCTTACGGAGATATTCAGGAATGCGGTTTTAAAGGGGAGCAAGGAAACAAGGAGGGAAAGAAATCAGGGACGATTTCGCGGGAAGAAGGGTCGGACCTCTGAAGCTTCACGTTCCAGTCTCTCCAACACAGTGAGATATGTCGACTTGCTGAAACCACTGTCAACACGAGCCTGTTCGTCGTCTTCAAAACGGTCGGAGAGACGCTCTGGACCGTAGTAAAAGGCATCGCCGAACGGCTCGTGGACACACTGGATGGTGGCGCGCTGAGTCATGAAGACCTGTAGAAACGTTGGTCAGTCCGGATGGATCCTCGCGATTGAGATGATCTCTGGGCTGATCAGGCCTCGATTCGGTAACTGACTCGCTCAAACGCCGTCGAACAGGCACGCGGATGCGTCGCGACGAAGATCGGCTTGGTCGACATTCTTGCAGGAGTAGATATGCACGGACGATCTGATGATGATGGTTCGTAGAAGGCAGAGAAGGTAGATTAAGAATTTGGACCCTGCAGAAAACCTCGACGGGTGCTTGCAGGCTGATCAGAGGATGAGAAAAAAGAGGTTTAAGAGCGAGCACACGACAGGAGGAGAATGCCAAAAAGGTAAATGGCAATAACCTCGTGGAATGTGAGCGGCTTGACTCGACTCGACCACGTCAAAATGAGCAACAAGTCAATACAGATCTTGACGGCTCTGCAGATTCCGAGATAGGCTCGCGCGGCTAGGCCAAATTTTTCCAGAAAAAAAATAATAATTGATTATTATTTCCTGGTCGGTGATTTGATCTGCTGCTAGGATTTGGGATCGGGGTTAGTCTGAGCGAGCAGACAGAGTCCCGGGCAGCGTCCAGCAAATTAGAGGGCTGGCAGATGATCTCAATAGAAGGCGCGATGGCGTGAGAAGAAGACCAAAGAAAGCCAGGCCAGGACGCAGGGCTAAAATGCTTTTTTATAGGCGTGTGGATGACATATGCTTTGGCTTTTTTTTAGTGGATGGTGGAGGGTTGGAAGGAGACAAGGTTGGGCAGGCTATTTAATGGGTTTAATTCCCACCATGAATTACGATCCATTAGGTGAATCTCCCCCTAATGGAAATTCATTGACTCCCCAATGGAAAAACGCGAACAAAAAAGAAATAAATCATCAGATATTCATTATTGGATCTTTTGATGTTACTCCATAATTTTTACCCTCCTCGACCCAGTAAAAATCAGGGTGGCTTCGGGGCCAAACCGGGTTTTTCATTCTCGTTGACGAGCCTCGGGCGAGAGCTCTATCTGGATGGTACAGCTGAGCACAGTTGGTATATGCTATACTCTACCTCGACAATCTGAGTAGTGATGAATCTACCATGTCGAATCGAAAAAGGAATTCGGCTTCCGAACCTCGTGCCAGGGGAAGCTAGCTGGTCGAGGGTCCGTTAAACTGCCCAAGGCCCCGTTTGCATCTCCCGTGGTTGCCCTTCTCCGTTGATGTTCATAGGTCGCCCGGCCCAACTCTCGACTGTCGCCTACACTACCATCATGACATCTAACTCTTGTCTCGGACAGCTTCCATTATTTACTGTCAGAAGCGGGGGTTCAGATTAGGATCTACGACCTTGTCGTCCAATGTCCACGCTGTGCAGATTGTACAGTAGCTGATGCTGCAGTACAGACGGAGACGATAATTTTTCGTAGCTTCCACTTGCGTCCAGTAGTTACCATCTTCCAGACATCTCCTTGGTCGATCTAGTTGGCTTAGCTTAGTTTCACCACACAGTAATTACATCTAGCTACAAGCACCGGCCTACTTGCAAAATTTATCCCAAGATCCAAGAATAGAGGCAGAGGGGGGGGGGGCGGTTGTTTCCTCAAGGCAAATCAGAGCAAAGGCAATGCCTTGCCCCTCCCTCCGCTGCCCCGCCGTAGGATCCTTCCGCTGTTAGTCTTTGCGCCATATCCGCGCTGTCGAGGCTGGGCCCCTCCCAAGATGCACAACTTCACGCGTTCCAAAGTCTAGAGGCCACCCTCCCCGCTATGTGTGGGCCAATGGGGAGCTCCGATATGGACAGTGGGAGGCTTCGATCTTCGTGTCTGGACTGTGCTGACTCGGATCAGCCTAATAGGTGTCCACTGGGCTGCTCCACGAGGTCTGGGCTATGCTGCGGGTGGGTGAAGAACGGCTTTCTATTTGCGCATGGCCGGTGGAATGGAGATGTAGGTTCTACCCAGGCCGTTTGCTTCTTCGTGTTATTTTTTCAGTTTATGTATGTTCCGTTCTTTTCTTCTTCGTTTGGCTCGTTCCTTTTTTTTTCTCGTTTCGTAAGTAGACCTGATGCGAGGAAAGTCCTCCAGCCGGAGTGTCGGCGTACTTGTCATGCCTCGGACGGGTTGCTCGAGGTCTGATCCCAGGTCATAAAGTCTGATCATCGGCTGTCTGACTTCATGGCTGGTCGCGCTTGACGTCAAGATCTGGGACAGCCTATCGCCATACTTTGATCGGCTATTTTGAAGGTTGGAACGGGTAAAGTAGTGATTTGTAGTCAGCCACACGAATAGGAAAAAAGCCAGAAGAGGTACTTTTCCAAGCATAGATAATCATTATTTTTCTCATTCTGCAGCGATAGAAGATTATCCTGATGTAGTAAATACACGGCAGATCAAGGACGCCTCATTACTTAGGCTGGCGTCAGTGGCACTGTCAGTCAAATCAAGATCTCACCACAATCCAAGGTTTCCCTGGATTGCGATTGGTATGGCGGAGTGTCAGGGCCTGCGCGCTCCACCGCAGGAACACATGCACACCTGAGAGATTCCGCCAACGGCACTGTCAAATTGACATCGTGTCTTGTTTCGGAGAGTTGAGCAACGTGGGGAAGCGAAACCTTCCTGTCTGACCTGGGTAGAAGGCAGTGATCAGCATCAATATTTGCCTGAGGCAACAAGGCATCAAGGCAACACGGCCCGAAGATATCAGCATTGTCCTCTGGGAGAGCATCAAGTCGTACCCTCTGAGTTATGAATGGACGTCAAGATAAGGCATATTGGCAGCTGGTCTGGTGTTAATCATTGGGGGCACATTGACTAGTCCCCTACCTTGAATTATAACCATGATTATGACAACTAACCAAGGCCTGGTGCTGTGTGTTAGCAAGAAGTAGAACACTAGCTGATCGTGAGGTATATATCAATGCAATAAAATACCATGGTGCAACATTCTACTTGGAATGTTGCTTCCGGTCGTGTAGGATGCATAATTCGCTCATACTGTAATGAAAATGCAGTCTGCTCGTGCCACCGGGTCCCAAAGAACATAGAGCTTTATACAATGCATTGCGACCTCAAATTGCAGTTCCGCCCACAAAATGGTGAGCTACTTCTTCCAATAAAGATCCTCAAGATCCGTGTATGGAGTCGCATGGATACAGGGCCTCGGAAGCAAGCGAATTTATATGAGAAAAAGATGTAGTACCAACCATAGCGGGGTGGTAGTAGTATCACTTTCTTCCTACAGCCGAAGTGGTACAAGAATGAGAGCAGCCATACTCGATCGCTTAAATTATACAAATCTTTTCTACCATATCAAAGAGGAAAACCAAAATGGCCGACCGAGAAGTAAGTTAACTTTTGGCGGCTAAGAGAGGCCAAACGTTTACAGCTTTGCGATAGAGAGTTTCCAGACATACAAGACCATTGAGGCTTGGCAAGAACTTGATGATAAAGTGGGGAAGTGAGTTAATGACCTTGGTAGAAGTCGCGATGCTATATTGATCTTAATCCAGGATCATCCAAGATGACACTGGTAAAGAAATTTGGATCGCCAATAGAGCCCTTCCTCCCACTGGCTATCTCCCGTGAGTCTTGGGGATGTAAATGCGCCTCTACGTTGAACATCTTGACTGGCTCGGCGATGTATGCCAGGGCCATGACCCCAGACAGCATTGAGAAGATCAAAAATCTGAGTGACGATCTTATTGTCAAAGAAGTCGAGGATTGACCACGTCTTTGCTCATGATCAAACCTGCGAATATGGCACCTACCAGGTCCAGATCAACCTTTTGAATATAAGCTGTATGCCCATTTTGTTCCCTTTGAAACCGATTGCTGATTCCGAATCTTTTATTGTTGATCTCTTCGTATTTGAGGCTTTCCGCCTGTCAACTCTCATAACTTTGGGGTTGGTGTATTTATCATATAGGGACCAACCAATAACTCGACATGAGTGGTTACAAAGTAGATACAGAACGAGCCATCTACGCTGTACCGATCCTATATAGCAAGTTGAATTCTATGTCTATGCTTCAAGGAATGTTCTCTTGGATCTCCCAGGTGGAAATCAGAATGGTGAACTTGAACTAAGCTATAGTATTGCTGTCGCTCATAAACTTCGCGACTCATACGTCCATGATCTTCGCTGGTCTGCTAAGTTTGTGTTGAGAGTCTAGACCGGTCAGATTAACTTGGTTGGATGATTCTGTTCCTATCTCTCGGCAAATGAAATCCATCGTACGACATCTAATCAACGTCATTGTTCAGTGTCTGATCTCATAATGCTCGATGGAGCTGTCATGGGTATCACGTGACCTGACAAAGAGGTGGAATGTACGGATGTCAGGTGACACTACTGGCAGCTTCTGGAAGGCGGTGGAACCCACTCATGGCGTCATGACGGTTGGAGCACCTTCGGGCAGCCCACCAGTCTAAGTATATTATCGACTTGCATCACTGGCTGTGTTGTGCCATTTCCCACATCAAGCATCACCTCGTCCCAATCCTATTTCAACTTCTCTCTTCTCTTATCGTCCCATCCCTCTTTACGATCCCACCACCTGACATCATAGCACCCCCCTACTTTCGTTCATCATGAACGGAGCTCAGTTCACAGATCGGGCAAACTCGGCCTTGTTGGACTCCAGCGCTTTGGCTGAACAATATGCCCACTCCCAGATTCTGCCTCTCCATTTGGCAGTCTCCCTCCTCAACCCTTCCCCGGACGAATCCCAAGACCAGCAGCAACCAGCTGGTCACTCCTCACACGATGCTGCCTCGACCCCGCTCTTCCGTCAGGTTGTGGAGCGCGCTCACGGCGACCCTCAACTCCTCGACCGGTCACTCATGAAGCTGCTGGTCCGTCTACCAAGCCAGGACCCCCCACCAGAGACGGTCTCTGTCTCCCCACAACTCGCCAAAGTCATCCGGTCGGCGACAGACTTGTCAAAGACGCAAAAGGACAGCTTCGTGGCCATTGACCACCTGATACAAGCGGTGTGCCAGAACTCGCAGGTTCAGCGTGCCTTGGCAGACGCCAACATTCCCAACCTTAAACTCATCGATTCCGCCATTCAGCAGATCAGAGGTACCAAGCGCGTGGACTCCAAGACTGCCGACGCCGAGAGCGAAAATGAGAACCTAAAGAAATTCACCATCGACATGACATCCTTAGCTCGGGAGGGTAAGATCGACCCCGTCATCGGACGTGAGGAAGAGATTCGCCGTGTTATCCGCATCCTGAGCCGACGGACAAAGAACAACCCGGTTCTCATCGGTGAGCCCGGTGTGGGTAAGACCACCATCGTTGAGGGTCTAGCCCGCCGGATTGTCAATGCCGATGTCCCTGCAAATTTGACTCAGTGCCGACTGCTCTCTCTCGATGTTGGTTCTCTGGTTGCTGGCAGCAAGTACCGTGGAGAGTTTGAGGAGCGTATGAAGGGCGTTCTCAAGGAGATTGAGGACTCCAAGGACACCATTGTCCTCTTCGTCGACGAGATCCACCTGCTCATGGGTGCAGGATCTAGCGGCGAGGGCGGCATGGACGCTGCTAACCTCCTTAAGCCCATGTTGGCCCGTGGCCAGCTGCACTGCATTGGTGCCACTACTCTCGGCGAATACCGCAAGTACATTGAGAAGGACCAGGCGTTCGAGCGACGTTTCCAGCAGGTCCTGGTCAAGGAACCCTCCGTCTCGGAGACTATCTCGATTCTTCGTGGATTGAAGGAAAAGTACGAGGTTCACCACGGTGTCAACATCCTTGACGGCGCTATCGTGGCTGCCGCAACTCTGGCTGCTCGCTATCTTACAGCACGACGTCTTCCCGATTCCGCCGTCGACCTGGTTGATGAAGCCGCCGCTGCAGTTCGGGTTACCCGCGAGTCTGAACCCGAGGCTCTGGACACCCTCGAGAGAAAGGCCCGACAGCTTCAAATTGAGATTCATGCCTTGGAACGTGAGCAGGACGAAGCTTCCAAGGCCCGGTTGGAAGCTGCCAAGCAGGAGGCCGCCAACGTTTCTGAAGAGCTGCGCCCCATGCGCGAGAAGTACGAAAGCGAGAAGCAGCGCAGCAAGGAAGTTCAAGATGCCAAGATCAAGCTTGACTCTCTCAAGGTGAAGCGTGACGAGGCCGAGCGCTCTGGCGACACTCAAACGGCAGCCGATCTCGAATACTACGCCATTCCCGAGACCAAGGCGCTCATTGAACGTCTCGAAGCCGACCGCGCGAAGGCCGATGCTGAACGTCGTGCTAACTCGGGTGAGGCTGGTGAGGCTTTGCTCGCAGACGCCGTTGGTCCTGAGCAAATCAATGAGATCGTTGCCAGATGGACCGGTATCCCCGTCACTCGTCTCAAGACTACCGAGAAGGACAAGCTGCTCCATATGGAGAAGTACCTAAGCAAGGTTGTCATCGGACAGAAGGAGGCTGTTACCTCTGTCTCCAACGCCATCCGACTCCAGCGCTCCGGTCTGAGCAATCCCAACTCGCCTCCCAGCTTCTTGTTCTGCGGTCCTTCGGGTACTGGTAAGACGCTTCTCAGCAAGGCCCTCGCTGAATTCCTCTTCGACGACCCCAAGGCGATGATTCGCTTCGATATGTCTGAGTACCAAGAGCGACATTCTCTCAGCCGAATGATTGGTGCTCCTCCTGGATACGTCGGTCACGACGCTGGTGGCCAGCTGACTGAAAGTCTGCGCCGACGACCCTTCTCGATCCTGCTCTTCGATGAGGTTGAGAAGGCTGCCAAGGAAGTCCTGACCGTTCTCCTGCAACTCATGGATGACGGTCGCATTACCGACGGCCAAGGCCGTATTGTCGACGCGAAGAACTGCATTGTCGTTATGACCTCCAACCTTGGCGCTGAGTATCTCACCCGCTCCATCGACCGCGAAGGTCGCATTGAGCCTCACGTCCGGGAACAGGTCATGGGCGCGCTCCGCGACTACTTCCTGCCCGAGTTTCTCAACCGTATCTCCAGCACGGTCATCTTCAATCGTCTCACCAAGCGGGAGATTCGCAAGATCGTTGATCTCCGCCTATCCGAGGTGCAGAAGCGTCTCGAGAACAACGGTCGGAACGTCCTTATCCGCTGCACCGAGGAGGTCAAGGACTATCTTGGTGCCGCTGGGTACTCTCCCGCCTACGGTGCTCGACCTCTTGGCCGCCTCATTGAGCGCGAGGTTCTCAACCGCCTCGCCGTCCTCATCCTGCGCGGCAGTATTCGGGACGGTGAAGAGGCTCGCGTGGTCATGACTGACGGGCGTGTTGAAGTTTTGCCAAACCACGGACTCGAGAGCGAAGATGGCGATTCGGAAATGGTCGACTCGGACGATGCACTTGCTGAGATGGATGATGAGAGCGGCGACATAGACTTGTATGACGAGTAAATATGTCATGCTTGCACATTCTCCAAAAAGTTCATATTCTCGCATCCCATCATGAATGACGACAACGAACGGTTTTTCTATTCTTTTTACATATTGACGCGGCGTTGGTGTTTTATCTCTTCTGGTGCACATTCTGCCCCTTCATCTGGTTTTCTACATCAACTACATACTTGACTGTCCTGGGACTTGTTGCTCTCTGGCTTGTTCGCACGGATACTTGATATGGAGTTGTTAATAATGATAGCATAGCATAGCACATTGACAACATTCTCAACATAAACTGCTTCTTTGCAATTTCTCCGTACAGAATCTCAAAGCTTAGAAGTATATAGTAAAATTAGACTCCCACCACATGAACTGTAGTCTGGTTCACATAGGATATAACTGAGACTCGGACTGGTCGTCAATCGAGTACGTCTGAATCACAGAGTTCAATCAAAGGCTCGAGCAGGGATGAGTCAGGCAGGATCCCCAGTGATGATGCTCAAGTAATTAGTGGTGCACGCCTCTCTCTGAGCTCATGGTTGTTTTTGCTAATCGACAAAGTCACAGTATACCCGTCCCTGTAATCTGGACCAACACGAGTACGAGTAACTTCCATAAGCCTTTCAGAGTCACACCTCCGTCATGGCTTTTCCTTCGCATTTGATTTGCTCCTACATAGTGAAGACAGTTGAGAGGACAGATCTGCACAGATCCGAAGAATAGCAAGCATGATTGTGTTGGATACACCGTAAGTAGTATGAGACATTATTTACTTCATAATAGTCAAATGGATATTCGGTTACACAACTAAATACCTCCCTGGACAGTGCACTCACCGCGCTATTAGAGGTAAATGATATCGGGACCCTCGAATCACTAATATAGTCTTTCAGGAGCATCGTAGGTAACATACTGACTTTATCCGAACCTCGACCTGGTTAGGTTTCATCTAAGTCGTGCACATTCTATCCACCATGCGGTGCCGCTACTTGACGTACAGATAGGTAGGTCACCCAAGGCGTTTTCCGCCATATTTAGAAGACACAGCAGACCGATTTACTTTGGTAAGATCATTATTTGATACCATCACGCTGGGGCTAAGTGGGGATGGAGATTTTTATCAGGGCTTATTCAGAAGTCAAATGTTCATTCTATTTCTGAGGGTCGACATGGATGTCAAGTCAAGGGACGGATAACAGCATTCAGGTCACTCTGAGCCATTCGCGCTTCATGGGGTTGTCAAAATCCTTGGGTACCCACGTAATATCGTCGACGCACTGGTATGTATCGATTTCCTCTTCCCCAGCGTGCTCTTTTGGCCAAAAAGTAAAGCGGAGGTACCCTTAGCTGATCCCATGATCTGTCCTCTATCAGCTGCTGAATACTGTACAAATTCCAAGTATGCTTATTTTGGATCGACTGCTCTGGATCGCCGCGTTTGACGATGACGATGACTTTATCCAAATCATGCCCTTCTGGTGAAGTCGGGTCCGTGAGGCCATGCAGATTCACTCTCATCCTGGACAACTGATCACAGATCACCCTTTTTTAGAGATCCACTGCTGAAGGGAGATAGATCTCTACTTTCGTGTCGCGTTTTTGCAAATTCTCAGTCCATTCGCTGATTCGGAAACTGAATTCGGAGAGCGCGAACTCGCTTTGGAGGCTTCGGTCGGGGACGTCGCTGCAAACTTCAAATGGACTCAAGGAATTTGTCCAGGGGGTGATAAAGCGAAGCTCCTTCCAATAGCTATCATCGATGAAGAAACCGTGGATATTCTCTATATTCTTGTCAAATTCGAACTCCCACCCTAGTACAGCAATTGTTTCCAGACGTAAACCCGAGAGCAACATAAGTGATGCAGGAAGCTCAAACTGTTCCAGCCATTTAGGATACCGATTGTTCAGCAGTTTGTGAGCTTCGGATGTCGTATCGAGATCCAGGTAGGCATAATGGATACGCAAGTGGCGGATTTGGGATAGCACTGACGAGGGTAGGAAATAGAGTTTCTCCAACATGCTATCAGGCTGCTCAAAACTGAAAGTGACCTGGCTCATCCATAGTCTTTTAGTCTCTTCGTATACCTGGCGGCAGGTAAGGATGATTGCGAAGAAAAATTGTGCTGACTTGATCCGTCTCCATTTGCCTTTGTGAAGATATCGCCTTGCAAAGGACAATCTGGTGGAGGCGAAGAAGGAGCCGTAAATGAGATTTCGGATCTCCCCAGGAAGATCAAGGAACTCACGTCGTGGCCTCAAGAGAGGTTCGAGGCATGTGATCTCCCCTTCGGGGTGAGGAGAAGACCTGGGGGAGTCTGGTCCAGTATCCATAGATGGCAAGGGAAGTTATCTTCCTGTGATATCGGAGAGTAGGCCTGGAGCGAGCAGCAGGAGTCAGTAGATGACTGATCAGGGCCTGGGGAAGTAACAGGTCATGGATGAGGGGAATCAGTAACGAGGCTTGATACTCATGCAAACAGCTATCGCGCGATATCTATTCCCGCGGTTTCATGAGGATATTATATATTCTAAGCGCTGGATGGCAGACCTAGGTGGTGCATAAATGTGGCAAACAGAAGGACTGCATAGGATAAAGACAGCTTTGTGGATAGCAACTGGCGGGATACATGTTGCTATCTACAAACAAGGAAAATTCCTGTCTAAATACCAATATGGTTTGTCCGTTCTGTCTACGTAGTGCCAGTAGGTAGTGCCAGCACTGATGTTATAGGCCACTCTCTTTTCATATACAACCTGATAGAAGGACATTAGTAAAAGGGTACTGCTTGAAAATTAACTGATCAATGCCAGTATGCATTAATATTGTCTGCATCAAAAGATGGCCTCTGCCTATACGACTTCTATCCCTAACGTAAGTCGCTATTTGTGCAATCTAAATTCTGGTAAACGCAACCAAAATTATGTTACCCAAAAAGCCTTACACCCTTTATCTTTGTCGAGAGTGGTTTCACGAATCAGGAAGGGTAGCTTATTCTAGTACATAAAAGGCAAACAATATGGCAGGTAGAAAGACTTGGGCATTTGAATCTTTACTGTTGTTATCGTTTACTTACATCGAACAGAGCCAGAGTCAGTATTTAAACGTACATTTAAGGCAACTTTAGCTCTGATATGGGATTTGCATTAGGCTATATCGATAGGGAAGTAAGTACATGTGGATAAAACTAGTAAAACTATAGGTATATTTCACCTGGGTATACGACATTTCTCTCTTCTATCTCTAGCCCTCTCTCCCTCTCGCACGTGCTCCTTCCATTCTTTCTTCCCCTTGCTACCTAATCCTTTTGTTAGAATACCTATATTGATATCCTCTTGGTAGCTTTCTCGTAAACTAGCTATGACGCTACCCAATATCCGGGCAGGTCGCATATTACACTGTTACAGCTTTGTCTGTTTTGGTTCATCAGGCTAGTTAGCTAAATATATACTGGGCTAACAGGCCACATCCGCACGAGAGCAACATATATAAAGGAATCAAGCTTACCTTATGGAAGTACTCTACCATAAGAATCGCGGTGGCATTTCATGCTAGTCTTTCCCCCTTGGAATTAAAGAGTTGCGAAGCAACTCAGGGAAAATACTCGCCGTTAACGAAACTAGCGAGCTATTATAGGGCAGCGAGTTGTAGATTGGAATTCCCGTATACCGAAGTTGTACAATTGATATCATCGAAACTCTAATGATACTAAGAGTTTCTGCGATTCTTGCAATTAGTGACCTACCTAATATGTACATGTTTATAGAGCTGCCTAATTTGGCAGGGATGGTCAATAGCCGCCGAGTGAGATCCATGATGCAATATGCGCCACGTGGAAATTTTTCACTAGTTACTCGTGGATCTCGATTACCAACAAAAGATCAGCGAGGGCTGGCTCGCATTGCAGAATGATGGGTCGAACTCGTGCACATGTAGCTTGGACCAGGATTACTTTACGTATCCTTTCACCATTGATTGTGGGCGTCTATAGTTGACTTTGCTTCTTGTTTCGGGAAATTGGTTGAGTGTCTCCCCGCCATACCGGAGTAAAGGAGAATTGTCGTAGATCCATAGACAAAGGCGCAACACAGTACACAAGGCAGGAGGGTCCGGGTCCGGGATTTGCAGTGGCGTATTTAGAAATCTAAGTGGACCTGGCACACTTCCAAGAAAACTCGAGCAACAAACTTTCGACGAACAAAGTCAAAGCATTTTGCAAAGCGACAGTTGATCCCTGCAATGCCCTATTCGAGGGTCTCGTATCTCGTACCTTGTTCTCGGTACGAAGGGGCCTCTTGGACAAGCCTTTACAATGGACTGCGAACGGGGCTATTTGGACGACCAAACAATTAAGATTGGCCCTTGAACTTGCCAGGAGAAGATTCAACAGTCCGAACGTGTTTATTCATGGCGATCGTTCCTTCACGTAGGGGTTTCTCTTACTTTTACTTGGTTGAAGACGGCAAGAATAGCGTGTTGACATCTGCATTATTGTTTTTTGAAAAAAAAAAACCGAAGTCGAAATAATACTGACTTATCCTTCTCTTCGGGTTTCAGTTACTTCTCATCAGTGTCATATAAATAATAATGCGACAAGAATAGCAAGACAGTCAGCCTATTGTTCTCACAATCAATTTGATATCGCTTCGGAGTAAGCCTGCGACGACAAACTCCATAAACAATTGTCACACCAGAGCCTAAGCCTAAAAGCCAAAACCGCGTCTGGCCAGACTCGAACCATTCAGCCACTTTTTCCCTCAAGCCCAAAAGGATTAAGAACGATGATTTGGATGACAACGCTTAAGGTTCTGACGCCGTCAGGGGTGAACAGGAAAGATCGGAACTCGGGAGCAACATTCCGTAGCCACCACCACCCCTTCAGCACTCGCACGAGGCTGCGCAGTCGTGTGGGCCAGCAATAGCAAATCAAGACACACAAGCCAGGCCTTGATCGAGACCAGTGCTATTAGCACGACCATTGGCCAATTTCTATCGTGAAGCGAGAGGCCCACTGCTTGGATTCGGCTTAGATCGTGGTGGTCGGACGGAGAGACCCGATCTGGAATGAAAGGAAAGACAGTAGTACTGCTCCTTCGAGCCGTCCTGGCTCCCGACTTTGAATACATACACTAATATATCCGTAGCCCGAACATTGGTGGTAAACTTTTGGTTACAGTATGTTATATGAAGTGACATAGAAGGATTTCAACTATCGTATTAGCGAACCCAGGATTTGGGAGCCGAGTTTCAGTCAAATTCAACGACAATCAATATAAATGGCTCCAACAAGGTACCCCTGACAATTTAATGGTACCGTTGTTGATCATCTGGAGAAATAATAACCACTGCTTTGTCCGCATGGAATAGATCGTACGGAGTAGTACATTGTAAATACATTATTAGACTTGTGGCTGCTGTACGGCACCCTGTCTAAGCGACTTCGGACGATACGGAGGATGGCTGGTCCCGAGCGCACGGAAGCTCAGGTACGGAGTCAAACTGAACATCAAGGTCCTTGTCATGCAGGTTCATGCATCGCATCTCGCTGGATCTTGCATAATATTCAAGAACTTTCTAGGACAGTCATCTTTACTTTTGCTTAAACTTTGAAAAATTTTTTTTTGTCAGCGGATCGCGCTGTACTTGCCGTGGGTCACCGAAACTCTGTTGAAGCTCTGTTAGATGTTACAGTAGCCGGATAATGTGGCCCAACACGCCGTTTTCTGGAAGTTCCAGTTGGAAGTGAAACTGTTTCGTATTTTTCAGCAGACGTTGCATCCTTCGGTCTCACTATCACGTAGAAGGCAATACGTGGAAATAGTGATGTACACTATGTTGCAAGTGTGGGGAAACGTTGGCCAGGAGCGAATACTCGGCTCCCATGATCATTGGAGATTGATAATTGCTTGGCTGTCTGATATTAATGAGTAATAACGCTGATACATAACTTACATACTCCAGACTCCAGGCCCCATATCGGTCGCATATCTCCGCAGGACTGCAGGACAATTCTTGGGAGCAGTGGACCCCGAAGTCCACCCGGAAAATCCATACCTACTATTCATTTGAAGTACCAGGGAAATTTTCCTGGTCTCGGGGGATAGGTTCCATGGCTGTTCGAATGCTGATAGACACAGGAGCCAATGTTCTGTGAGATTAGGGTGGTGCCCGGATGGGGTGGCAAGCCTGAGTGGAGCCCGTAAGCTCGTTTGGCTGAGACAGGATGACTAGCCAGAATAGGCGTTCAACCGTCGCTTGAAAGGGTGACCAGCTTGGAGGGACAGTAGCCAGTAGCTGACGGCCGGAGTTGGAAAGGACAGCTGAACAATTTAACATCCAACGTCTCATCCGGGCACAGTTCTTGATTTGTAGAAAGGAGCGGAACTATTGGATATCTCGTGGACATATTGCGCTTTTAGGCAGGATGAGCATGAACTGCGCGAGGGAACGGGCATAAAACTTGACTCAAAATTGCGAAAGATACCGCATAGAATATTCTACCGTACCAGGTTTAATCATGGTCCAGAGCAGGAAGGATTCGTTGCTTTAGCCCGATTTAGATCCAGACGTTGGATTTTGAGCTCGCGCCCCACGGAAATAGTTAGCGAGACTCGGCGCGCTGGGGGCCGGGAATTGTGGCTTAAGGAATATCACTCGTTGAAAAATTGTAGATTGCAGTCAATGATCTCAGTACACAACAAGGCTTAGCAGGCGGCCAAAAGCCTGAGCCGCCATCAACTTCAACAAACGACCAGTTTGTGACTCCCAAAAGAGAACTGATCAGCAGTCATTGACGCAGTTGACGCAACAAGGCGGGAGATCGGCGGAGCAAGTGGGTGGCCTTGTAACTGGCCGCGGCAAAGATTGGGTTCCATCGGAGGTTCCGTGGGACTGTAAAGGCTCGAATCGCTCGATGGATAGCAAAGATTTGAACATTATTTGGACAAAAGAACGGTGCAGTGGAAGGAAAATTGATACCCGGGAATGAATTTTAGATAGTGTATCGTGTACATAATACATAGTAGTACAGTAGTATATATTCCTTCTCCAAGATTATGTATTGTACTGTATGCCTATTCACGGCGGTCCCGGTAACCCCCATCCTTCCCAGTCCACGACAAGGCCCTCAATGAGAAAAGAAAAACCAGATGTAGGTCTAGAAATGAATATGTACAGGTCGATCGATGCTGAAAAAAAATTGTTCAATAAAAAAGACGATATAGTGGTGGAACGGCGAGGCGATGAACAATAAGGCTGGATATCTAGCCCACCAGGAGTCCGTGAATTCGTAAAACGGTGCTGTATTTCTTTTTTGAAACGGGGGAAATAGCAAGAGGAGCCGCAGCTAGACCTCCTCACGCTCGCGGGATGCTCGAGTGGCATGCACCGTGTTGGATGGATAGTCTACTGGCCGCGAGTCATGCTGCACAGTGACAGTGATATCTTGCCGGATCCGCAGTGCGCGAGCAGATCCATCATCGCTGCTCAAATCCCTATCATCGCTTGCGCCGAGGCTCACATCGGAAACCGCAGCAGCGGTTTTCTGCGGGACCACGGTCGCAGTGTGCTGAATGTCGTTCATGTCGAAGTCGCCGGAGCGCAACTGACTGTGTGGTCCGTAGGGTCGAGAGTTGTTCTTGCTCGTCCAGGGGCCAGACTTGTAGCGATCGGTGCCTCGCTTGGATCCTCCAGTCCAGCTCTTGAGGGCAGGGAAGACATCACGGAGTAGCGACCAGACGAGAGGCAGGTTGGTGACGAGGATCGCAACGGTAGCTTCGCGGAAGTACCAGTTCATATAGACATAGGAAATAAGTGCAGGAACAAGACAGTAGACCTTGTTGAGGACGGCAGCCACAATGACGAAGATACCCATGCCGAACAGAATCAGCAGAATCAGCTTTTGCTTCAGTGGCACACGGACCTGCACCAGCATCGGAATGGCGACAATCAACATGAAAATGTCGGCTGAGATAGAGAAACATCCTTGGACGATCTCATAATATTGATAGGACGAACATTGATCTGATATGCAAAGTCAGGTTGGCTGGAATCGAATGAGCGTAGGAGATAAGTAAGCTCTTACAGTCCGGCGTGGGCACAGCCCAGTAGTTGGTGATCGGGCGACAGATGAGGAAAAGCGACAACTCAACAGCGACAAAGCCGACCGCAACGTAGATAGCGATATACTTGATCCATCTTTGCTGCTTCAGACCCTCCCTGATGATAACCAAGTCAGTACAAGGAATGAAGACTTTCCTGCACGATGGGGTCTTCAACGTACGTGATACGGGAGTAGATCACGAGCATGCAAGCCTTCAGACTCCAGATGCATAGAAGGAAAGCATGCTCAGAGACAAACACCCATTTACTACCCCGCTCTCGCTCGGCATGCGTCTGGGGAGTTAGGTTCTTAATATCATCGTCTGTCATCAAATTTGATCCTCCACCCGTTGCTACCGAGGTGAGCGCAACACTTAGAATTGTATACCACACGACGGCAAACATCATCAAGTAATCGTCAACTTGGAGATTGCGAATACCCAAACGTCGGCAACGGGCGATACTATCGAGCAGAATCAGTTAGTTCACAGTCAGGTGGACACAGTATGATCACTACGTAGTTTGATGAACTCACAATCGAAGAACAGCGCCAAATACGCCAACACCATAAAGCGTCCATGTCTCGCGCTCGAATTGGCGACCGAAGTCACCTCCGAGGCCAGACATAGTGTCGGAATGGGGCCTGTATCGAGACGAGAGGAGGTCAGGACAAAAGGTCGAAGCGAGAGAGCAGAGTCGACCGGAAAAGGTGGACAACCCACATATTATAAAATTAACTGGCGGAGGTAGACCGATATCCGACTATTGAGTTTCTGGTAACGTTCGCATCTGCCGAGATGGTCGAATGAACAGGGGGGTGCCGGAAAGGAGAGTTCGCCGGGCTAAGTGTGATAGGTATGATTGGAGAGTGAGATGCATGAGCAGTATTGCACCATGAAGCGTGGAGGAAAAATGCTTATCATAGGCGAGCGATAGATCTTCCCACTGACAGCGATCGACCAACCACAGAACTGGGTGGATACCTTCCAGCCAGTGTGGAAAGGAAGTTTCCATGGCTGTGGATGCCACAGAGAACCATGGAATTGTGAATTTTTGGGAAATTGATCGGTTCGCCTTCTACGAAGGCGTAGTTCGTCCAGAACACGATTTAGATTTGGTACCTGGCAGTGCTGGTCCATGTAGTATGTATTGTACACCCCGCTCCTCAGCTCCTTCAACAACGTTGTAACCCCCCACCTCCAATCAGTACGCAGCTGCTCAGGGATTGGCGTATATACCTTCCAATTCGGGGAAGGATGTCCTTGATTTGGTTTGACTTACGCAGGCCAAGCATTGGATTTGGTTTGAAGTACGGAGTCGCACCCCCTATTAGGCTGTAGATTATTGCAATTACAGTACAGTAGTATTTGCGAGAAATAATGCCTCGGGATTGGCGTAAAGTGTTTACCAGGTGGACTGGGCGAGAAACTTGTGTTCGCGAATCCACCGGTCTCAGAGGCAACATTGATTGTTCTGACATAAGATAGGAGGATACTAAGTAAGTTATAATATCAATAATGTGTAACCTGGTTGCTAATAGGGGGGCAACTGTATGGAAGGGCAGTGAAGAAGTACGCACGCGAGGCCTGGGCAATTTGGGGCAGCTAAGGAACCTTCCCAGGAAAGTTAAGTGGCTACCGCGGGCTTGTATTGAACTCGCGTACCGTACGGGCGAAACAATCTTGCTGATGGGCTCATTGCGGAGTTCAGTTCCACATACGATCAGCGAATTGCTGCATCGGATAACGATGGCGGCCAAGGGCGTTTTACGGTCGTCGTCCGCCTACTTTACCTTAAGCGGATTGAATGCCTGGGGAAGCGGGCATCAAGTATTTTAATAGACTTTGCGGCTAAGCCGGCGATGGGATGGAAGTGGGCCCGAAGGATCGCAGGGATGGAACAGACTGGGCACTCTGAACGGGCGCCCTTGCGAATTGAGGGATTTTGCTGGTGGAGAACGGGGATCCCTACTCCGTATGGGGAGTTCCAATTTTCTTTTATGGAGTCTGCATTCTCCAAACGTGACCTCAGCGTGGCAATGTACAGGGGACCACCTGTTATGATCTTAGGCGGACCAATGCCAATGGAAAGAAATATTTTCTGGCGGCACAGATGATAGAAAAGGTCGGACTTCATTACTTAGTCGTGATCGGATCTGCACGCTTCTGCAGGTTCGTTCTTCCAAGACCAGGTACCGGCATATCATTGCCTGGCTGCAACACTAGTCTCCAAGCAAATCAAGGTTGATTCCCATGGGAAAGTTTTATCATCGGCAAATATACTTTTTTTTTCACCTTTATGGCCCCCAAATCGATTGCCGTAAAATTTCGAGCCATAATAATAATAATAATAATAATAATAATAATAATCAAAGACAGAAAGATGATAATAATAGCGGTGCTGGGAGTCTGGGACTGTATCTGCTAAAGTGCATTATATTAGCTCTGGGCCTCGGACATGTTCCAGATTCAGATGCACACGCCACACAAATTCTAATAAATTCTTAGATCTAAGGCTAGATCTATGCTGCAATCCACTGTCAGACAGAAATCCGACCAGCTCTATCTATCCGGCTTGGCCAAGACAGGGTATACCCGCTCGCTTAATGTGAGCGGAGATTTCGAGCCAAAGTACACTGTCGCATTGTTGGGGCCCTTGGGGGATGTGCTTTCGGCAACGTAGATCGTGGGCCTGATGCGAAACGGAGTTTCGTGGATTGATGATTTATCTCCAGTACAGTATCATATATGATCTAAGTCTCGGAGACTCTTGACAGATTCGAAGGGATTAGCGGAGCACTGGTATTTCTCACACGTTCACAGCTGATTTTCGTGAGATATTTGTCGGATCCGATGACATTGTCAGGCTCCCAGATGCTGCACTTGCAGTGGAACACACTATCTATGAGAACGTCCTTAGTGTATATTATTGTTGCTCTGCCTCCGGTAGTAAGTCCGTAGTCAGTTAGGTCTGATGTTCCGGAGAAGCCGCAGTCCTGCGAAGTCGCGCAATATTGCGTTAGCGTTGCACTCGGTCAAATCAAAAGCCGTGAAACAACAGCCTGACCGAAGCCGTGATGTATTGAGTGGTGGCTCGTCGCGCAGTATGTCTTACCCTGTGAGCAATTCTCCGTACAGTGAATGGCCGCATTGTTGCTGCCCCTGAGTTTGAGATTTCTGGAAGCCTTGGAAACCCCCCAAAGGGGCCAGCCCTGTGGTGCCATGTGGGAAAGAAAACCATTTGCCTTTCATGGGAGTCCCCGACTGGGAAAGAGAAAAGGCAGGATGGACGTCACGACCCAGAATGCTTACAGACCACATGGCAATGGACAACATACTTTGCAGGCAAGTGTATCTTGAATCATAATATGCCAACCGAAGCAGCAAAGGGCCGAGAACCCCGCCACATGCCCCCGGATTGTCTGGATTCCGTTGCCATAGTTATCTTTGCACTCCGTACTCCGTAGACGGGGACGATAAAACAGCAGATTTGATGGGTTAGGACCTATTGCTCATATAGGATACGGAGTCTGGCCATCTGATCTTGGCGAAGCGAGAATATCGAATAACAGTTCATGAGCAGCGCCAGGAAAATTCAGTCTGCTGAAGCTCCCCTTCTAGGTAAAGCGCGGATGCGCAACTCGCTGCGTCGAGGCTGACTTACCGTTGGAGTTTGGTCAAGTTGCCTCTGCCTGTGCCCAATTGCAGCGCATTCCTGGGCCTGGAGTGCCCCACAACTGCCGAAGTGGCCACTCTGAGGTGCGCTGCCGGGATGTTGATTGGGTGCAGATTGAAGTCTCCGTCGATTAGAGTGGCCAAGGGGAGGTGGGGTCACGAAGGAGGAATTCACGGTTGAGAGGGCGCGGGTGCTGGACAAATCGGCCCTGATGGGTTCGTTGGATGGTTAGCACACTCCCCACCGGCTTTCGGAGTCTTTGCTCAAGATCATATATCACTAGCCCTGGTCCCCAATTTCTGGCAAAACACTTCGGTCACTCCATCCATTCACTCCTTCCCAGCTTCAGGGAGCGCGCTCTTTGTGCACATCCCCTTTGACCTCGAACCTGTCGCGCACGACCCAGCAGAAGATAACATCTATCTGTATTGCTTGGATCATCCCTGAATTCGGTATATAATATTATCTCGCGGGAATCTCAATTTCCCCACGTGGATTTCCTGCGCAATGTCGACCGAATATGATGAGAAAACCAAGGCTACCGAGTCGACGGCTTCGGAGGCTCCCCAGGGCGAAATGATCAACGCGTCCGGTCACGTCCAGGAGTTGGAGCGTAACTTCTCCCTGCTCAGTATCTGTGCTATCGCCGTGACGACCGGTAACACCTGGATTGCTCAGGGTGGCAGTGTGGTGACGGCATTGGGCAACGGTGGTCTGGGTGCCACGATCTATGAATTGTACGACCGACCGACCTCACCTTTTTTTTTTTTTTGGTCGACCTCTAGTAAGCTGACCTTGCTTTCTTGACAGTATCGCTGTATCATTCTGCTACTGGCTGGTAGCTGCCTCGATCGCCGAGCTGGCATCGGGTATGCCCTCTGCCAGTGGTGTCTATCACTGGGCTTCGGTTACCGCTGGCAAGTATGGTCGTGTTTGCGGCTTCTTTGCTGGCTGGTGGAACTGTTTGGCGTGGATTTTGGGTGCTGCCTCCATGTGTTTGATCATGGCCCAGCAGACCGTGTCCATGTATGCGCTGATGCACCCTGACTTCGTTCCGCAGACCTGGAACGTGTTCGTCAGCTTCCTGCTTTGCACTTGGCTTTGCTGCTGCATCGTCTTGTTCATGAACCGTTGGTTGCCCTTCATTGGTAACATTGGCATGTTCTTCATTCTGACTGGTGTCTTCATCACCATCGTTGTCTGCACTGTGATGCCCCATGTCAACGGTACCGGATACATGTCCAACAAGGATATCTGGCAGACCTGGAGCAACGGAACTGGCTACAAGCAACAGGGCTTCGTCTTTGTCATGGGTATGCTCAACGGTGCTTACAGTGTCGGCACCCCTGACTGCTCCTCCCACTTGGCCGAGGAGATCCCCATGCCCAGCCGTAACATCCCCAAGGCGGTGCTTGCCCAGATGACTGTCGGTTTCGTCACTGGCATTCTTTACATGATCGCCCTCTTCTACTCCATCCAGGATCTCGACAGTGTCACCTCCAGTTCCTACAACTTCCCCCTGGCTGAGATCTACCACCAGGCGACTGGCACCCGCGGCGGTGCTCTGGGCCTCCTGATCATCGCCTTCATTCCCACCTTGGTCACCGCATCTGGCTGCTATATCACGGCCGGTCGGACCCTGTGGACTATCTCCCGTGACCGTGCCACTCCGTTCCCCAAGTGGCTCGGCCGAATCAACTCCACTTTCCACAACCCGTTCAACGCGACCCTGACCTGCGGTGTTTTCATCACCATCCTGGCCTGCATCTACCTTGGCTCGACTACCGCCTTCAGCGCCTTCGTTGGCTGCTTCGTCCAGTTGTCTTCTTTGTCCTACTTCATGGCCATCTTCCCTCACATCTTGACCCGCCGCTCCTCTTTCGTTCCTGGATTCTTCTTTATGAACAACAAGATTGGATATGTTGTCAACATCCTGTCTTGCATCTACATCCTTGCCTTCGTCGTCATCTTCTGTTTCCCCTATGCCCTTCCCGTTGAGGCTGCTTCAATGAACTACGCCAGTCTGATGACTGGTGGTCTGACCATCTTCGTCACCATCTGGTGGTTCATTCGCCAGGGCTCGTACGAGGGTCCTAAGCACATCCCTCTGACTGACAAGGCTGTTGCCGATGAGGCCAAATAAGCAACATCTCAAAAGAGAAAACCTGTAATGGGGATGAGAGAGAAGACCGATGAATTGGTGATTTTTGTTTGCATATACCATTTTGGACGCATTTACTATACCTTCTCCTCGCTGATGATCTGCACGACTTATCAGATGCCTTCTTTGATCTGATTATGATGTGCGTGAATCTCTTACGTACATCAATCTTAATGATGCTCAAAGTGCTTGGGCTTCCGTATATAACTCTTAGCATGCAAAAATAATTGACATTGAAATCTTTCAACTGTGCCCCACTTATACTAGTTCATTATTTATTCCATTTTTAAGCTCCTGCTATATTGCAGTATTACCTACAACTCCTTTTTTCATCTAAACTTCGTATGTTTACTTCCTCAATTTTGTTCATAATGACTACGGAGCGGTCATGTGACCACGCGCTCCGCTTCCGCGTCTTCCTGCCACACGCGTCTCTCCAAAGATCCCACATTGCAAGCCGCCATGGTTTTCAAGCCCTTCAAACCTCCTTTGATCAGGAAGCCCGAAAATTTGACTGACACGATCGATGCGAACGACTATCCGGCTAAGAAGCCCCGCTTGGTGAAGGAAGAAACAACGTCGGTACCACAGACAAGGCCTACACCGACACTAAGTAGCCGAAAACCGCTCTTACAAGTCAGAAACATTGGCAAGGACTCTGCGACCAAGACAACAAATGGGCCGGTATCTAAGGAAGATGCAAGCTTTGAGAGATTCTTCAACGCTCTATGGTATGTTTGCTTAGAGCTGCTCCTGGGCCGCCATAAGCATTGAACCACCATCTGACATGACCCGTCCTTAGGAGAAAGCCAACAGCGAAGAAGAACAAGACATGGGATGGAGACGGCATACTGGCAGCACGAGGAGGATTCCTTTACCTACGCGATGTGGGAGGCAAAGACATGGGCCGGGTGGCATACGAGTCAGAACTTGAGCCCGGTAAAATGCTGTACGTTGCTGGGAAAGAGGTTGAGATCGAGTCAGAGATACCACGAGCAGAGTACCTGGCTGGGAAACAATTCCTGAATGATTCAAAGCCAGCGCCAGCGCCCCCATCATTGCCGAAGAAAACCCCCCTGTCAATTCTGCAAAGGAGTGAGTCGCGCAACCGGCCGTTGCCAACTGGTCCTAGCTATACGAGTTCGCTGAAACGCAGCTCGTCTGCTTTGGAGAGCGAAACCACCGCTAAGTCGACAAAGGCTCTTGGCGCATACAAAGCACCGCTGCTCCAAAACACTGTCAACTCGTCAACGAGCTCTGAGGCGATAGTTCCACGACATGATCCACATGCAAAGGGAGCGTTGGTCATGCCTCGTCCGAGATCAATCCCTCCCGGGAAGCGAGTCGTTGATGTTGTTGTTGATCCACTGTTGACGAAGAGCTTGCGCCAACATCAGCGAGAGGGTGTCCAATTTCTTTATGAGTGCGTTATGGGCATGCGTGATTTCAATGGCGAGGGAGCTATCCTCGCCGATGATATGGGTTTGGGCAAAACATTGCAAACAATCGCTCTGCTGTGGACTTTGCTGAAGCAAAATCCCATTCACGGTGAACCTCCGGTGATCAAGAAGGCACTAATCGTGTGTCCTGTGACTCTCATCCACAACTGGCGAAAGGAGTTTCGCAAATGGTTGGGTAATGAACGAATTGGTGTGTTCGTATTTGATGACAAGCGGAAACGCTTGACCGATTTCACCAGGGGCAGAGCTTACAGTATCATGATTGTTGGATACGAGAAACTGAGGACAGTACAAGAAGGCTTGGCCAAGGGTGCTGGTGTCGATATCATCATTGCGGACGAGGGTCATCGGTTGAAAACCTTACAAAACAAGAGTGGCCAAGCAATCCAGTCACTAAACGCCGCGAAGAGGGTCATTCTCTCAGGAACACCCATTCAGAATGACTTGAAAGAATTCTTTGCAGCCGTGGATCTCGTCAATCCTGGAGTCCTTGGCAATTTCAAATCGTTCATTCGAGAGTTTGAAACTCCTATTGTACGAAGTCGACAGCCGGAGGCCACCAAAAAGGACATCGAGAAGGGTGAGTCTAGGAGTGAGGAGCTTCGCGAGCTCACTTCCAAATTCATTCTTCGAAGAACAGCCGATATTCTGTCGAAGTACCTTCCGCCCAAGTCAGAATATGTGCTTTTCTGCAAACCAACTCGCACCCAGGCAAACATTTACAAAGCCGTCCTTCAGTCGCCCATCTTCCAAACTGCCATGGGCAATGCGGAAAGCGCACTTCAACTAATTACCATCCTGAAGAAGCTTTGTAACAGCCCATCATTACTCTCGGCGAAGAACAACGATGACTCCCCCAATGTCAGCGCCCTTCTAGCTTCACTACCCCCTAACCTCCTGCGCCACTTTTCCCCTTCTTCGAGTGCCAAGATTCGAGTCTTGGATCAAATTTTGGATAGCATGCGCACGAAAACATCCGAAAAGATCGTGCTAGTATCGAATTATACGTCAACATTGAGCCTGCTTGCAACACTCCTCACCTCGCTAGGTCTTCCCTTCCTCCGCCTAGACGGAAGCACGCCCGCACAAAAGCGTCAGCCGCTCGTCGACGACTTCAACCGCCTTCCAGCTGAATTATGCTTCGCCTTCCTCCTCTCGGCGAAGGCAGGTGGCACCGGTCTCAACCTTATCGGCGCTAGTCGCCTCATCCTCTTCGATGTGGACTGGAATCCAGCCACTGACATCCAAGCTATGGCCCGCATTCATCGTGATGGACAAAAGAATCACTGCCGTATTTATCGTGTCATTCTCAAAGGCAGCTTGGAAGAGAAGATCTGGCAGCGGCAGGTTACCAAGCTCGGGTTAGCTGACAGTGTCATGGAGAACAAAGATAGCGTGGCACAATTCTCTACGGCCGAGCTGCGCGATCTCTTCCGCCTCGACGAGGAGACCACTTGCCAAACTCACGAGCTACTTGGTTGTGAATGTGGCGGCAAGGGAATTACTCCTGCCCAATCAGGCACCACCACGCCTGGGGACATTAGTGACTCTGAACTCTCGGAGCTAAGCGAGCCCCTATCCGATTACGACGATGATGACGATCTCCCCGACTTGCCAACCCTGATGAAAGCTTCGGAGGTCGACATGGATAAGCAAGAGCGCGAGATTCGCGACAGATCTCACCGTTGTCGGATGGCCTCCAAAGGGGAGCAGGGCAAGGTCGGATCGCAGAAGGACAAGATGCACCAATCACTTGCACATTACTCCCATATTGATCCATCCTTGCTTTCCACTGGCACTGAGGATGACGAGGAAATCGCAGCTGCCGTTGACGATGATGTACTGGTGAAATTGCTCAAGGATGAATGTAACCAAATTGGCTACATCTTTAAGAAGACGAGTGGCGCGCAAGTGGAAAGCCCGGTGGCGGCGCCTGATTCTTGACGGAGGGTTCAATGTACGAACTATTTATTTCCCTTTGGGCATTCAGGGCTTGGAAACGATGTGTGCGAGCAATGATGCGGAGACTTCTAGTCCAATATCTGGTATCAAACTATCGAGCGAGGTGCCATCGATTAATTACAGTCATCTCCCGAGCGAGATATTCCGACTTTCAAAGTTAGGATATGACAATTCAACATCATACCTAGGCACGGTAGAGACTTGACCATTTTCAAGGTTGAGTGCGAAAGTACCAAATTCGGCAAGGGAAGGGACCTGCAGTAAACAGTATGGATGTATTGTACTAGAAGAGATGGAATTGACTACTGCTACGATATCTACTGTTCCTTTGATATGAACAGGTGGCTAATTTAATCGAATTTGGGTTTAATCAATCCGCATTGATTAGATGCTCGAGTTTGTCACAGAGCTGGGGAGATCGGCATAGTAACAATCATCCACCCATCCACACAGCCACCAACGTCTAAATGTACAAAAGAAAATGGGGGGTAATCACATAACGACAGACAAGATCTAGAAGATCAGTGGGTAATAAACATGACAGAGAAAGAAAAGAATGCGCAAAAAAAAAACGAGCTGCTTTCCTCCAATGCACCACATCACAAATGCTCTTCAACTTCGATACTGTGTCTCAACACACGGCCAGGTCTCACTAGCAGCATACCTAATACCGCAATTTACCAACAAGCCCAAAGGTATAAGCAGCTTCGGCTTCAGACTTCAACTGAATCATGTAAATGCGCTGAGTGCTCGTGCCTACACCACCTTGCTTGGCAATGACGCCGCCTTCATTCTCCTCATGCACGGAGACGGCAATACCAGTGCGAGCAACCCGCTCGAATGAACTTTCAGGAAGACACACGTCCAGCAAGACCTCGCCTCGTGTTTTGCCTCGGATGATGATGCGTTTCTCGGGCTCCACGTCCCGGCGTGGGGTGGCTGCACCCGAACTGGGTGGTGAAGAACTGTCGTCCCGACTGCCTTCGCTACGAGCGCTGACGGCGGTGCCGGGGCGAGAAGGTGGGTTCTTCGGTGGCGCGGGCATAATTGTCAACCGGGCAGCACCCATGTCGCGCCACTTGGACGCAGACTCGCGGAGGTACAGGCGAATCTTAGCATTGGAGAGACCGATTCCGTCGGCGCCCTTGATTGCGGCGGCAATACGGCCAATACCCGATGAGGGGGAGGGGTCGGACGAGCCTCCCGAGCCGGAGTACATGCTGCCTTCGTGGCCACTGCGAGATGTCACTGTCGAGCGAGAGATATTGAACATTTTACTACCGCCGCCAAAGCGCTTCAGCGCAGAAAAGGCGCTGCTCATTGTACCCACACTGCTCTCAGAGCCTTCAGCTAGCGAGCGCGGCGAGTCAGAGGCGCGGTAGCTCTTTCTCCGACGAGGGAAGCCGAACCAGCTGTTTCCTGATTTGTCGGCTGGTTGCTCGAAGGTGGGCATATGGTTGTCATAGACAGGTCCGCGGGCATTTTGAAGAGCGATGTAGGTCGGATTGTTGATTCGGGCTTGGTTGATGAGACTGTAGAGAGCGTCACATTCATCAGGACTGCGAGAGCGGAACATAATATTGTTGCTCGATGTGATCTTGGATCGGTCGGTAGGAGGCGAGCGGATGCTGATGTCAATCGCGGTGCCTCGGCGAATTGGAACCAGTGGTGTGAGTTCCATGGAGACGAGAGGTCTCGAAGACGAGTTCGATTCAGATCTCATTTTGAACGCCTCGATCAAGCCGGGGCTGACAATAATCGTGCATTCATCGGGGACTAGACTATCCCAGCTACCCTTGTCAGACCAAGCAAAGATGGATGCAACCGCCTTCGTCGACTTGGTAGGTTGCAGTGGCACAGTACGATAGCCACCCTGAGACGCAGAGTTGGAAGGAGACAAAGAGCTTGCATCAGATGTAGTTGACTGGAAGCCTTTCGGCTTACGAACTTCAGTCACGTCTTCCTCATCCTCTGATGCCGACGAGCAAGAGTCCAAATCAGTCACAGAACGCGAGTATTCAGACGAGGAGTAAGCGTAGTGTCGCACGGTTGATGCATCGGAGTCGGTCTCCGAGTAGTCTGAAGCAGTCGAAGGTTCGTATTCATGCTTCAGTGGCGAAGAACCCCGGCGCTTGAGTCGAACACCCGATGGGGTGAGCACAGGGCTGTTGGACAGGTTATTCGCAGAGGAACTCGGTGAACGATGAGGTGGCGGTGGGGGAGGAGCATCCTCGTGCTTGGACTTTCGTCTGGACTTTCTCCTGCCAGATTTTGTAGGAGTTTCCAGGGGCTCTTGGTCAGGTAGAGATTCCAGTGGTGGGTAGTCTTCTTCTTGCTCAGGCTCGATGGTGGATGGAGAAGACAGGTGAGTCTGGCTGCTGGTACTGCGGATCTTTGGAATCATAGGTAGATAAGGAGACGGAGTTGAGGATACTCGAGCGGACTCCCTCTCTGGAGACTCCTTTTGGCGCGGTGTTTGAGGTGCCTTCTTGGGAGACTTCTCCTTCGGCGGGGCGACCTCTTTAGCACTATCACCGCCACCGTAGAATCTTCCGGGTGTCGGTGTAGGTGTCAGGGGGGCTCAACTGGCTGGTCTGAGATAACAGTCTTGGGAGAGGCAGTCTCGGAAGCCGGGCTATCTGCGTGACGAGAATGTCTCTTTGCCTTGGACCGCTTCAGACCACCGGGGGACTTCTCAGGGCTGACCGTAGATGGCAAGAGCGGCAAACCAGGACGGGCAGCTTGTTTGGCAGATACTTCGGAGCCACCGGTGGTATACTCTGTCTCCCGAGTAGCTGTGGATACGATAGAGTTTCGATTCTCTGTGACAGAGGAACTGACAGTACTCGGCTCGGAGTAATGCTCTTTGGGTGTAAGAGAGCGTCGTTTGGAAGTGGCTTTCTCTCCAATGGGGATGTCCACATCGCTCGGGTGCGCCCTTGGTGGAGAGTCACTGGTATTGGGCTTGCGAGCCTTGTGCTGCTTGGCTCGACTGATGAAGCTCTGGCTTCTGCAAAGTGCAGGAGGAACGGGTTCTTGACCCAGTAATTGCACCCATTCCAGACCAATTTCAACTTCGTCAATATGAAGCGAAATAAGCTCTTGCCAGTACTTCTTCTCTCCAGGAGCATTGCGTAGCATTACAACAATCTCACCCTTGTTCTCGCCCGTGCGGGCAGAGACGCACCGCAGATCCATGGGCGGGAATAGCAGCCACCGGTCCGAGTGATCGATTTCACAGATCAGCAAATCACCCCCGGGACCATTGCTCGATGTGTTGTCTCGGTAGAGGAGTTCGGCTCTGCAGTCAACCAATTGACCACTGGAGTGGTAGAGAGAGAGATTGAAAAAGTCGCGGGCCCGCACGCGACGAGTCTGGTCGACAACAACATTGCTCGACAGCCCCAAAGTCATTGGATCTCGCGCACGAGTGGGATCGATGCTAGCGGCAGACTCATCCTCGAGTCTTGCTCTTTCATCTCGTGCTCGCTTGCGGGCGTCCGCCACCAGGGAAGCATAGGCTGTAGCGATCTCCTCGGCCTTGGCAGATGGTTGCAGATGGTTGATTCCCTTGAAACTCTTCGCAAGGTATTTCAGGCGGACTAGGGGTCGCTTCAGCAGATATGCCACATCGACCTTCTCTCCGTCGGAGCCGATGACATCGCCATGTTCATCTCGCTCCAGGCCTTCGTCTAAGCTTTTCGTCTCGGCATTGCCAGTATCCTCGCCTTCCTCCAATGGAGCCAAGTTCACAATTACATCCTTGAAGCCCAACCTCCAAGCCTTGAGGTATTCGCGATATACTCTTTGCGCACCCTGAGCCCATGTGAGCAAGGCGTCAGCATCATCTTGCGGGATTCGTTTATGTAACGTCTTCAGGCGCTCTATAGCGACACCCATATTGACAATAGGCTTGGAGAAGTTGAGGTCGTCCTTTGGATCGAGCGAGGGTCGAAATAAACCTGCGGCAATGGCCGAGTCGGATCGCGAGAGAACGCATGTGAGCAAGACGGGGATTACTCCCCCAACGAGAGTCTTGAGCTCACGCATGTACGTGGCTTCATCAGCGGTGAGCTCAGCCAAGAGATCGGGAATGGTCGCATTGGCCAGACGACTCTTGTTGGAGCGGATGCTCCTTCGGGACCGAGTACTGCCACTTCGTGAGACTGGACCCGATAACACAGACATGAGGTCCTTGTGCGTGGTCAGGCGACGCTGGAGCTGTGATGCAACCACTGGCAGAGAGTCAGGGTCAAACTGATCCTTCTCTTCAGCTGCTTCTTCCGCCTCTTCCACGGTTTCAGGGGTAGCCTGCTTGGTCACAGGTTTTTCGGAAATAGTGGACCCTTCTGGTAAGGTGCTCAGGGTTTCTACCGATGCAATGGTTGATAGTCGATGGTAGCCAGTGCTTGGGAAAGGCTTCTTACGGCCAAGGGGAACGGGCGCATTATTCCCAGAGACTTCAGAGCCACCGTCTGAGAATGGCTGGAAGTCCGATTCGGAAGGCGCCAGACTGTCCTCATATGGTTTGTCACCAAGTTTCTCTTTATCACGGCGGATTCTCAGGGCAAGTGGCTTTTCACCCTTATCTGTGTCGTTTTCTGGGATCTTGTGAGCCTTTTCTGATGATGAAGCGTCGTCCTGTTCCTTGGACTGTCGACTGTGTGAACTCTTGGGTCGAGAGCCGCTACTCTTGGGACGAGGCTCGCTCTCCTGAGATAGTTCTGACATAGCACTACTCGCTGCGATTTCGTCCACTATGCGCTGGGACCGTCTCGCACGGGCTGATTTAATGTCCAGCGGACCAGGCATATCACTCTTGGAATTGCCACTGTCCACGAAGGGATCCGGAGTTTCAGATAGCCATGCTTCAATCTTTGCACCCCGGTTGCCGGCGGGTGGTGGAGTTGGCCTTGGTGGTTCGGGCTCCGGAAGCTTGAACATTTTTCGAGATTCGTCCAGCATGTGGGCGAAGATACCACCCTTTGGCGGTTTTTGAGGTCCCCGAGCCCGTCTTCGAGACAGCTCCGAGAAATCAGCCTCGCTCTTCGCCCAATCCATGTCGTCGGGAGGAGGCGAGATCCTCCTTTGGTGTTCCGGTATCTCTGACGCTATCGTATACTGTGGGGGAAGGTCGGTGTCCAAATCGCTGTCGGCGACAGACTCGGTGTCCTTTTGCACAGATGGCTTCCATTCCCGAGTTGGCGACTGAGAGGTTTCATGGATTCGATATGCTTTGAACTTGGGAGGTTCTCGACTCTTGTCCAGAACATCTTTCCTGCTGTCTCGTTTGGCTCGTGGCGACCCGGTGTCTCCATTGGTCGTGTATTCATTAATGCGCCTCGGGGCGGCCAAGTTGCGCGAAGGCGTTTGCGTTGTAGATCGATTTTTCCTCCAATGCTCGTCACTGATTACTCGCTTTCGAGGGGTACTGTGACTGCGTTTTCGAACGGCGGGGGGCTTTTCCTTTTCTCTCTCCTTCTCCTTCTCTGACTTCTCCAAACGTTCCAACTTTAACTTGGTCACCTTGGGCTTTGGTTTCGGTCGGTTTTCTTCGTCGTCATCGTCGTATGTACCATCATTGATCGTGATAACGCCCCCGCCCTGTTGCTGCCATTGGCGCACTCGCGAACGAACCGTGTTCGTGTCGTGAATTCCTAGCGGTAGTCCGATATCGAGCGGCTTAGTTGGACTCGATTTAGCACTCCCTCCACAGTTGGAGGGGGAGTCGGCGTCGCAGGGGTCGGCATCGATGTCTACACGAAAGATAGAGAACGTCAGTATGAGTGTGTTCGCCGAGTTTTGTTGACTCGGTGGATAACCGAAACATGTTTGTTGACAATCGTCATCGGTCGGGGCGGAGGGACATCACGATATGCAACTCACCACAGTGACCCAACGGCCTGGTTTGGGTCGCAGATCTCAAACTGACAGCATTTGCTGCTTTGCGACGAGGATTCCGAGGGAATAGACCCAAGGAGGGGAGGATGTAAACAAGGCGTCTTTGAGGCTGAGCGTCTGGATGGTTCAGTCTTATCGAAGCCCACCAAACGAGTCAAACACCAGCCGCTGCCGGGGAAACGACGCACGCTGATCGACCCCCTAAAAGACTTTCTCACACTACTTTGTCCAGCCACCAGTCAGATGCTTTGCCGGTCGCGTTTCTCCTGCAAGGATCGATCCGCCTGATCGCTCTGCGCGTGTGATTTGATCGCACGGCTTTGACGACCAGCTGAGGGCCTCGATGCTCTTGGCATCGCCCGTTATTGCCGTCACGGGAAAAGGGCTGTCTCGAAAGGCTGGTCAGTACTCAAAGGAGCTTCACTGAATATGTGAGTGACGAGAGGGAGCTTTGAAAGAGGACGAAGGGTAGATTTTATTGCCCAGTGGCGCGTCGTCCACTCTGGCTATGTTTCGACGCTGGACTACTATACATAGTATGTACATCAAATTAGTCTGCAGGTTTTGTGAATGCCTGATCAGATTCGCCAATTTACGGCTATGGCTCGTTCTTCTGTCTGCTCTTCCAGTCTTCTAATAGTATCAACAAGTCTCGTAGTCTATACATATCCATTTTCTACCCTAATCTTGACTGTCCCTTGACGCTGTCTTGATCGGACCTCCTCTTCCCCTCAATCTCAATCCGGACCGAGTCCTGGTGTCAACCCTGTTGGAGATTAACCCAGTCCCCACCAGTGCCCACCTGCACATGCCACTATGACGGAAGAGGTGCTATTGGGCTTTACGCCTCGCGCCTGACTCCTGCTGGGCCCGAACCGCAGCCGAGAGGGTGCCGATGCTGTCAACCAGGTAGTCTAATGCAAAGAAGTCAGCCGGTCATCCGCCACTTGAGGACCTTATAGAGCTTTGTAGACTGACAAAAGGGAACGACAATCCAGATAAAGTTCATGAAGAAATAATACAGCCAGAAATAGTAAGGCTCCGGTCGACTGTAGGGCACGTTGTTCACATAGTGATCAAAGAGACTGGTCGCATAGTACAGGGTGTCTCCATAGAGGTGGCTCATACACACGATCAATTGGATTGGGTGGCGCAAGGAATGCCGGGTTGCGGTCAGATATGCAACAACGAAGCAAAGAGGCCCCCACAACAGCTAGAGGAGCAAGCAGGTCAGTAGGAAGTCTTGAAATGGCGGCCTAGCAGCCTCGCATATCGCACAATGTCCACTATACATTGGCTTACCACTGTGATTGTCTCCATGCATAGCACCAGCGTGTCCGAGGTCATGTACCGCGAGTCGGATAGGGCATACTCCTTCCACAGCTGACCGAACAGGTCCTGGGCCGAGGCCATATGGTCATGGTTGATCATGAAATAGCCTTCGAAGAAACAGTGGAGCATTCCAGCTGGTCGACAATCCTGTCAGTTCCCATCTCCAAAGCGCCTTCCATTCCTTTGCTGGAGCGCTGTCAAGGGCGTGGGGATGTCATACAGAGCACAAACCACAAGAGCGCGATCCGATCGGCTATACGGAGCGTCGGTCGCACATAACTGGCCACGGCAAAAGTCAATCCGAGAAGGGCCGCGCAGCCTCCGCCGGCTGTGACGAGTAACTCGATAACGGAGGCTTGGTTGGGCGAATAGCCAACGATATTGGCCCCGAGGGGGTAGTAGGGGTGGGCAGATGTTACCCCCATCATGCCGTAGGTATGGGGCAGGCGAGAAAGCTTTTTTAGGCTGCGACAAATTCTAGATCCAGTTTCGAATAGATTTCAAGTTCGGTCCCATTTATAGAGTGAAGGTTAACTCTCCAGCATACAGTGGCCAGGACCTGGATAGGTATTCGGTGGTTGTTTGCTTAGTTTTGCTCTTTTGTGGTGTTATGCGCGATGATCGCATTGGGTGGATCTTCCCGAGTTCGTTGGGCCAATTGGAAAGGGGCTGTTTGGAGGCATGAAAACACTGCGACAGACTACAGTAGATGAAGTCGCTAAACGCTATAAAATATCACTGTTAATACCCATTTTGGGGCTCCATAGAAAAGCTCAAGGCATCTGGTTCCAAGAATTGATCAACAAGTGGGAATCGAGGTGGCCAAGCTCAATCGAACGGTTTCAACATATCTGATGGCACTCACCGAACATTATGTACCTCGTTCCCTGATGAGTTCCTGTAGCTCCCCTCCACCTGGGAGCGGAAACCTCAGTTACTCAATTTCGATATAATTTCTCGACTACTTCCTCCACTTTGTTTACATCGGGGCTTTCCTTCGACGTTCTCTCCAGTGATAAGGCTCCATTTGCGTCAGGCCATCAAGGGCGTTCGCCTTCTTGTTGTGATTACGATGAATCTCTCACAAAACAAATCCATGCCGAACAGATCCCCTATAGCTCCGTTAAGGTATTTGTAGAGAGAGTTTCCACAAAAGCGAGCTGACTTAGGCCAAGATATGTAGTTAATGCCGTGTATCATTCATACGTTATGAAATACTTATAGGTTGTGTAACGTTAGCCTTCCACTCTTTCTAGGAACGACTCCTGCGAACTGAGAAACTGACCAATGCACAGCGGCCGGTAGCGTCCAAAAATCCGGAAAAGAAATAATGAGCGAGCCGGGCCCAGCGAGGAAGAACTGATGGGCTTATGTACGAGAGTAATCCAATCCAATTCATGTAAACAGCATGTCGCAGGCTAACCTTTCTAGGAGCCACCCGGAGGTAGAGACACCGGTTGCTCTAGACTTCGTTCGAATGTTTTGAGATACGCATCACCCCAGCAGTTGGTAGAATAGGAGATGATGGACAAAGTGACTTCGCATCTTTCAGGGTAGTCGGATCCTAGGGTGCTCAACGCGTGTCTTCAAGCTAAGAACAACCGATACGGCTGCAGATACGGAGACTATAATTATTATTAATTGTTAGGACTTGCGACCCTAACGTTATATGCACTACTTATATCGGTCCCGGTCATGTCAGAACATAGCGTTCTGACATATTTTGGCTTCTGGGCTTGTTCTATTAGTGGGTAAGGACACTTACTGAGCCAAAGCCTGAGCGCCCTCATTAAAGCGGCGGTAGCCCAGATGGGAAAGCTGTACACGGCGGACAAAATCCTGTGCATATAACTTCATATATGTTAGTCGGTTTGTGTTCCATAGGTAACCACCATAGTTCTCATGACCATTTCAAAGCTGTGATCAGATGAGTATTGTGATTCTCTGGAGCAAATCCTTGAGAATGTAGGAGGTCTAGAATCAAGCTCTGTTTGCTTTGGAGAAAGAATGCTGCTCGGCTATGTTGGAGCTATCAAAATGGCATGGCATGAGCGCGACTCGGCCCGACTGTTCAGGCATTCATGGCTTGCCAGGCACATTCCGGATCCACAGGCAAGGGACAATCACCAAGCTTGTCAAGTACGCTCCATTGGTTTCATTGGAGGACCATATTGATCATTGCAGAAAGTTGCTGAACTTGAAGATCCTTTGATTTGATAATCGAAGCCAAAAATCATGTACTACAGTAAGGACTGCTTTGCCCTCGTTGACGAGAAAAGATTCATGTAGAAGATAGACCCCCAATGGATGATTCATACCAATAGGAAATAAAAGATAAGACCAAAAGTCTCTCCTCTACGCTGCCTGGCTACGAAATTTACATCGCGCCTTGACAGTATACCCCCCGCGGTGCATTGGAATTACCAATAGTTTAACTTGCTCAGCCAAAAATTCCAACCGTAGTTGAATGGCTTCTCTGTCGAGGTGCAGATTGGGTCTTAATTCAAATGCTGGCGCCGTAATAGACGGACTACCGTTGGGCTTTAAATAGCAACTTTAGGTGATGGTGATGGATCTAGTCTGTGGATTTTGAAGTCTCTCATATCGCATTGACCTCACAGCCTATTAGCTGCCGAATAGATGGTCATTGAGAAAACATGGTATCTGTTCTAGTTTCTCTCACGAGTCACAATACCAGGCATGAATACCAGTGGCGCACACTAGACATTCTGTGGCTAGGCAGGGCCTGTAATGCAGCGCATGTAGGATTCTGTGGCGGCATAAATAATACATACAGGTCATTGTTGGCTTAACTTGACCAATCACCGTGTTCCCTCGGCTTTAGTAGACGCTGTTACGATCTGAGCGGGACGCAGCATTTTAAAATACTGGATTGGTGATGGGATCATAAACCAATGTTTGGCAAGGGATGAAAATATGCGTCGGAATATTAGCTTGTATCAGTTCGAACTGTCGAGTTGGCGGCTGATAATCTTTAACAACAGCCTTTTCCTCGACTCAACGTTCCATCTTGCACACAAAACAGACATAGAAAATCCTCATTCATTCGCAACTATGCAGTTCATTAATATTGCTATGGCTCTGACCCTCGCCAGCATCGTTTGTGGTGCAGCTATCCCAGCGAGCCCCGTGGGCGAAATAGAAGGTTCTCTGGGTACTTTACCTATCATCGGTGGCTTGTTCAAATCGGGTATGTGAATAAAGAAGAACTACTCCATATTTCTGCTTGAATGACCGCTTTCATTCGGCTATTCATCAGATCTCAACTGAAATGCTAACATACGTATGGTAGTGGCGCCAATGAACCCGGACACTGTCGACTCGGATAGTGAAGGTAATACTCGATTCCTAGTATTTCGCATTGTCACTTTGTTCTCACAATTTCCTAGTTGGCCAATGAACTAGGCCCCAGCAATTCAGCTCGGATTCGCGTGAAGTCAATTCTCTTGTGTGCCAGGATTTCCGAGAATATGTGTCGTCATCTGCATCTCGTGGCGGTGATAGGATCATGGCGTGGTGGTAGACAACCTTAGTATCGCTTGCCATGTGATTTTCTCAATAACTGGAGTCCTAAATCCAGTTTAGTTCAATGTGTTCCACTTGCTTCCTTCGGGCTGTGTTGTTCACAAGTCTCTCTACTGTTTACTTTCTACTACGTATCACAGCGGTGAGTGCCTGATGCCTTAGGCCACAAAGTTCCTCGTATGATTAGTCTCCGACTCTCCGCACTGGTTCCCCCGATAACCCCCTCGGCCAACCGACCTACCGTGATCCCCCGATTGCGTAAATGGCGCCCCAGCATCGATTTACCTCTGAACATGGCGTCCGACACTCCTAGAAAACCCTCCGCTATCGACACTTCGCGCATATCCATGGAGTCGCCTCCAGGCATTGTGGCCTTGTTCGTCATCCGCTTCGACATCAGGACCGGGTAAGTCATAATCCCCGTCGTCGAAGCTCCAAAGCTCGGGATGTGCGAATCACTAATGCGTGTTTGCTGGACAGGTATGTGGTCTCATGGAAGCGAACTGCGCCAGATGGTAAGTCATCCTATCCATTCCTTTGCCGAGCTCCTTTGTGCTCCCCGACGCGCAAGGCTAACCCGGTTCCTCATAGTCGAGGTGGAAGGGGTGGTGGAATACAAGTCGCTTCCCTCTGGACTACACAATGTACACGAGGACCTGATGTAAGTTGGTCAGGATATTTTGCGAAGCTTCATATCGGCTTGCTAATAATTATCTCTCCGCTAGTTACTTCGTCCACGAAGAGTATGCAGGCATTAGCGCATTCCTCAACCAGCCCGCCGAAGAGGCAGAGCGCAACGCTAAAATGTTCGCGATTGGAGTTCTGGTTCCCCTCAGCTCAGGGAGACTCGGAAAAAGCTGGAGACACGCTCCGAGATTGAAGGAGTTGACACGGTACGTGATACCTGGCCTTAATGCTGAGAAGCAAGCTTGTCGCTGACTCCCAATCTTCTTAATAGGAAATACGCCGCGGATATGTCTGACATGCAATCATTGTCCGATTACTGGGATGCTTTCCGAATCGGAGGTCCTGAGTCTTCTGCGCCAGACTCGCCGATTGACTCGCCCCTTAGCCTCCGATTCCGCTCAGGCGATAGACCAGCCGGGCATCGAAACCGCACCTTTAGCGATGCGATAGTACTGGAAAACTCAAGGCCGGCCTTGACACCTTTCCATCCTGCCTCATCGCTTTTTGATTTCATCGAATCCTTCGGGCCCTTGATTTTCCCCCCTATACAGAGCTGCTCTATTACGCAAGCGTATCCTCGTTATGGCCGAGGCACCAGTGCACACACCATGCAACTATGGTATTACACCGAAATCTGAAATTTGAATTGGTCTCCTGCTAATTAGATCTCAGTGTATGACCTGTCATTACTGGCATCTCTCCCAAACTCTCTATTGCAAGTCCTCCCTCCGGACTGTATTCTGCCCCTGCGACCTCGCCCTCTCTTCAATATTGGCATTCATGACATCCCTGATCTTGCCTCATTCGACCCGTCGCGGGCGACCATGGATTCTGAGAAAGATCCCAGCTGGATCGCTTGCTCAACAGACAGCGTTCTGAGCATGAAGCCCGATCTCTACGACGTCCTCATCACTCTCCCTCCACCATACTCTCAGCACGCCAATGAGCGTGTCTTCCCTACGATCAGCTTGGTGGACCGCTCAAGCACTAAACATAATGCGAAACAAACTGTCAATTTGAAAGCGACACAACGCGATGCACGTCGATATGCTATGCTTCGCAGAGGCCTCCGACAGTTCTCCCAGGACCGCTCAACATCCCCAGATACGGCTGAATCTGATGCCGACTCCACATACTCATCCAGTCCGATTGTGGAGCCGCTCTCCTGGACCCGTCTTGCCTATACCTCATTTATATGGTGGGCTTCGGCCGGTGAGAATCGCGACGGCTTGTCCGAAGAGGAGGAGGAACATCAGATTGAGCAAGACGCCAGGCTTCTGGCAAGCGTGGAAAGTCTTGCGTACCCTGGTACAAACGTAGCCCGCCGCTCAATGTATTCCGAAGACCATGGCCAGGAGCCCCCAGAAGTCGCGCTGGTAGCGTACTTCCGCCGTCTCACCTCACAAATATTTTTCACTCTTGCCGGGGCCATTGCGCGGCACGATAGCGACGGCCGTGGTGCAAATTGCTCAGGCGATTCATCCACCGACATTCCGTGCCTCGATGACCTCACAAATGACGACGCAGACTTGTCACTCTCCATGTCTCGACAATCGATCGGTGGCGAGGATGGGAATACGCCGCTCCTCCGGCAAAGATCACATGCGAGCCACACCGACCGCAGATCAACTTGCGAAACCTACGACACAGGCGACCCTATCACCATCACGATTGCCGATATGGCAGAAATGGGTCTTGATGTGTGGAGTGCCACAGATCGGATTTTCGTCGAAGAGCTGGTCTCTTTGTGGTGGGGGCGCTCTGCTTATGTCGATAGCGCCCGTATTCGATGCTGTGGCATTTCCATCTTGTGATGGTACCTTCGACAGCTTCCTCTACGGTCGCCTCCTCGAAGAGAAATGAGGTGGACCTGCAGCCTCGACCAGATCTACTGCTTGAATTCATTTGTACATATCCCGTGTATCCGATATTCTGGTTTAGATGACACTCTATATGGCGAGCCACGAAGTGTATTCATTCCACCTAAATATGAATCTTGTTCGTTGAGCTGATAAGTCTTCATAACCTCCTCACCCCTAGGCTGAATGGAACTACAAACATTCTTTCGGGTGTGGCCCAGGTTCTTTCTGATCTGACTGTTTAATTGGAAATAGGGATGTCACTTGATGAAGCAAATTTCTAGGTTTCTGTGTGAAGTACATAAGATCTAGGTATATCATTCTTTGAAATATAGCATCTGAACTCAAGCTTATTATACCTGTCTCTCGTCCGCTCTTTCTAGCTCCGTCAGACTCATGTAACTCACTCTGGAGCTGACCTTGCAAAGTTCCTCGGGTAGGTAGAATATAGCCCAAGCACTCAGGACAACCACCATTTGATAACCATCAAATGCATATGATGGCCACTCGTTATCAACAAGAAATGCAACCCCACCCACCATGGTCAGGCGCATCACATTACGACCAGCAGCGATAATACACACAGATAGGCCAAAAAATTGGCTCCAGCGTTTCCAATGAGGGATTTTGGTTTTGCAGGCATCTGTTGGTTGACGGCGCAGCCTGATTGTCATGTACGTGTTTTCCGCCAAAGTAAATAACCAAAAGAGCAATTGAATCACGTAGATAGCAATAGTGATTTTGCTCCCAGTCTCAATTATCTCAATAGATGAAGATGCGGTGGACATCGCGTCTCCGACAAGTTGGGCTATCATCAAAATAGTGTTCAGGCTTAGATAGAGCAAGGGCTGCCATGCAATCGGAACCCAGCAGAACCTTTTTGCTTCGAGCACTCGAGCAAATTCTATCTGGATCAAATTGACAGAGAACATAATGAAGGTCGGGCCTAGTAATAATAGCACCGATTGACTTGCGTAGGCAGCTCGATTGCATGTCGAGAATATGCGGACCGTATAACCAGATAGTTGCGCTGGAGACCTTTAGTAAGATAAGTTTATATTATGTGGCGGCCTCACCTACCAACACCTCCAAGAGTAAAGAACGCACTCATCCATGTTTTCGTCTGCATCATACGAAAGGCATGAATCCCTACCAGCATAGAGAAGAAAATGATAGCGACAACCGCCAGCGGAAGACTGGGTGTATATGGGTACAGTTCACACTGTGCCGAAGCCATAGTAGAACTATAATAAGAAGTGTAGAAGAAGTAAGATATATGGGCGTAACAGGGAATACTGGATGATTGATAGCTTGGTGCATTTTCATCAACGGGATCTTATAGAGACTATCAGTTCTAGGCAGTCATATAGCGGTGATGAAAGCCGGGGATGATGAGACCGTCCACACTAGAAAAAGGTAAGGATTAAGTCGAATTGTCTCTTCACAACGAAGATCCTATGAGTGTTTCCCTAGGCTAAAGGTCGACAACTAACCCTAGTTAGCCAAGACCCAGACGGAGTTGAGCGGCTGGTCGAAGAAATCTTTCAGCCTTGGATGGATGCGGCTTGGCGAGGCTGTATAGTGTGGTTCTGGAGTTCGGGCTTAGATTTTTGATTTAAAAGATAGAATGCCGAGTATCACGATAAGCTTAATAGCCTAGTGTTGGCAAATCTTTTTCAGTGGAGGCCCTGTCCTCAAAACCTCCATGTACAACACCTGATAAGATGCCAGGCATGTTCTACAAGCAGAGATTTCTCGGATTAGCTTTCTCAGCTTAAGTCTCAACTCTTTTATCTGATCATTGAGCTCATATAATATCAACTTTAAATTTTTTTTTCGTTCTTCAGTTCTTATTTTTGGGGTTCAGACAAGATTATCGTATTCGGGTTCGGCTTCGAGTTCGGATTCGGGTTCCACTATTGCGTCCCGAAGATTGAATTAGCTTTTAGGCTCCGCCGTCTCAGAAAAACACGATAGAAAATATTCGTGAAATTGAATGCACATCCCGTATATAGAGCTATTGAGAAATGTCGCTGCCTTATAAACTTAGAAAAGTGTTCAATCACAACCCAATAATCTAGTCAGTCGCTCTGGATTAGGGTCCATCTCCGAAAATAAACTCTGACAAATGCAAACAAGAACAGAGCTGCCTGGAGAAAAGAAGCTTGTATAAGTTCCGCGGGTATCTGTGTTTTTAAGACTCAACTCAGACCTCTTTTAAGGTTGACCGCGTTTATTCAAAGGACCACCAGATTTTGCGAAGTGGACTCAAAATGTCTGAAAAGAACGCACTCTTGCGCGCAGAGGAAGAACTGGTCTCCAGCGAGATAGATGAGTTTGATGACAATGACATGGAGGAGTCACCACCTACATACAGTTCAATCTTCGACGAGACTTTGATCGATGCATCATCACCGATACTCGGGGACAATGAGAAGCCTTCGGCAGCCTTTGAAAGTAAGAAGCCACGTAAAATCAGGAGAACTTGGACAAACTTGCCTTCAGAGTTGCTGACACTTTTCACATAAAGATGGCCGTTTTAGCATAGACCTTCGGGCAGGGTCGCGCACATCCGCTGTCTTACAAACATTGGTGATTCCAGCACAGGGCCCAAGGGTAATCAACATCGAACCAGAGCCGAAGCGAAACCCATTGCCAGAAGAAGGAACAGAGGAAGAGTTCGAGAAACATTGTTTTTCATTGGATGTTGTGCTGATGCTTGTGGGTAGTAGAGGTGAGCACTTCTTTTCCGCACGGTAGGCAGAGAACTTCCAATTTTGAACCTTGCTCATGTTTGGGTATTTTCACCCATTAGATGAGATTAAATCATGTATCTCTGTAGGACATGAGCTACAACAGAGAGGCCACCGAATTCGAGTTGTGACGCATTCCATCTTCCAAAGTACTGTCATGAAGCTTGGATTGGAATTTTTCTCTGCAAGCAGTGACCCTGAGCATCCAATTGCTGTGAGTTTAAAATTCGTGATTCTACCTAAAGCTACAGTGAGAATGCTTAGGATCAAAAATAGAAGCAGGATTCGGGCCTGATGCCTGGTTTGGCTAGCCCCAACAAGTCAGAGGTCAAGAAAAATAGCAAGATGCTCTTAGATACCCTAAAAGCGTGTTGGATCGCCTGTACCCATCCGGGGCGGTGGAGAGACAGACCTTTCTTAGCTGACGCAGTTATCGCAACGCCTCTTGCCCACGCCCACATTCATTGTGCGGAGCGCCTATCAATTCCGCTGCATATCATGTCCACAACCCCGTGGACACCGACGAAAAGCTTCGCACATCCATTGGCACAAATGAATCTAAATGACGAGGTCGATAAGGATATTCAGAACTACCTCTCTCACATCCTGATCGAAGAATCTGTCTGGCATGAGTGAGTGATAGCATTTTCCATGGTTGAATATAATGCCTGACAAGATTGGCTAGAATTTACTACGTCGTGGATCATTTTCGGCGCACGACTTTAGGATTGTCACAGATCCTTCTTGATGATGGTGCAAGTTTGCTACGAAGGTTCGATGTTCCTCACACATATCTCGTATCTTCTGCGTTGATTTCTCGACCAGAAGACTGGAGCAATCAGATAGGTAACTGCAATATATGGAGAACATCACTCCCACCAATACTAAACTCTTCGCCAGATATCTCTGGTTATGTGACTGTGAATTCCGAATTCTCCTATACACCCCCTGAAGATCTGGTTCACTTCCTTGAGGAGGCCGTGGCTCCTATTTACATCTCAGTACACATCGATCTACTCAACAGCCCAGAAAGATTTGTATACTTTCTCAAAGAAGCTTCGAACAAATATGGGTTCGCCTTCATTCTACCAAGTCACTTCCAATCTATGAGCGATATCTCAGATTCCAATTTCTTCGTGCTGCATGATGTCCCGATTAGTAAGTGGAGTATGTATGGCATTAGATAATTTGAATCTTGCTGATAGTTCCGTCCAAGACTGGTTGATACCCAGAGTCGACGTCCTTATCACACAAGGCGATGGTGATATGGTATCGATGGGCCTTCGACATGGGAAACCAATGGTCACTTTGCCAGTCATTCGAGAGTAAGATGGGCGATTCAACCTATTGTTGTTCCCTACTGATCATCTTATAGTCAGCCATTCTGGGCCAATGCCATCTCTCAACTCGGCACCGGGCCGCTGCCTATTCACGAAAAAGATCTATCCGCCGAGGCGATCACCCAAGCAATTCGCCACTGTCTGCAACCCGAAACCCGGAAAGTATCTAGCCATATCAAAGAAAGTATCGAGAAAGAAGGCGGCGTATCAAAGGCTGTGAACTCATTTTATCGTCACTTAAAATGGCGAGATATGCAATGCGACATTATCCAGACATCACCGGCGGTATATTACATCGAGAAGGAAGGGCCCGTCAAACTTTCAGCTTCGGTAGCCACAGTGCTCGTACAATCCAACGCGGTAAGAAGATCTGAGCTAAACTTGTACGTGGTTAACCATTCCAAGCCAGACGCCCTTCAAATTTGGCTTAATTGGAGGTAAAAACAGGTTCAAGCGAAGATCTTACGAAGCTGAATATGCCCCGACCGAAGTCGCTCCCAAGGTTGTACAGTCTGAATACACTGCGAAATCTGTGGGCAAGAACTTGGTCAAAGCTATTATCAAGCCCACTGTCAGCCATATTGCCGATGCGTATAATGAGCTAGAAGTAAGCGATAATCATAATGCCCTCGCAGCCTCTAATTCAATGTCTAACTGAAGCACTATCACATGGACACAGGCCAGAGATGACTCCGATACAACCAGCATGAGCAAGTCCAAGGGAATATCGAAGAAGGGACTAGCTGTGGGCGTTGCTAAAAATGCTGGATTTGTGTCCGCGGTGTTTCTGGGGAAGGTTGCCGTATTGCCCTTTAAAAGTGAGTGAAGTGAATGCGCTCAAAGACTTAGTGCACTGTTATGTTGACATTGAATATAGCCGTCTACTACATGGGAGAAACTGCGTCGCATGGGGTGAAAAGCTTACAGGGATCGAGCCGGTCAGAAAAGGAGAAACGCCCAACTGATAAAATCGATCCTTCAATGGCGTCAGAGCTCGAAGCAGGTTAGTTGACCCAGGGGACGCTGAAATAAACCCACCATTAACCAATTACTCACATTGTGTGTACAGAGACCTCCATAGACAAACGACGAACTGAAACCATTCGAAGTCTGCACTTTGAGAAAGGGAGGAGAGACGAAAGGCTTCGAGATCCCGAATTTCACAAGGTCGTTCTGTCGAAATTCGAAGATATCTGCAAGACCAATCTGACCAGCAAGTTCCGCGGCTGAGCTTTCTTCCTTAAACCGAGACTGCTGATGAGTGCCTTATGTGTCAAAACGGCGTCAAGGTGTGAATAGAGTAGGGGGAAAAACATGAGAATTTGGGATAGGTCTACGGGATATAAAAGGCTCTAAATAGACGGAGAATACTTGAATCTTCGCCATGAAACTTGACTTAAACCGCTGTATCCGCGTGGCTAGTGATGGCATCTGTCGATAGGTCTGTGGGACCAACCACTTGCTTTTTACAATATCGTGCCTCGAAGGGTATACTAGTGCTGAATTAGAGAATTGAATCAAATCAATGGCCAAAGTCACAGACAAAATGCATATATACAGAAACGGGACCAAGTCAGACAAAAGAAATGGATAAAGAGGGTGGAAGTAGGAGCGTGAAGCGTGATTTCTGATAACAGGAATGAGAATGTAAGACCAAGAGAGATGCAAGGAGGAGAACAGCATCACATAAAACGCCGAGGCTAAATAAAGATCCCTAATGCAGCGGAATTATTGCCACGCAGCCGCGATGCAAGTAAACGGACAGTGCTAGTCCCAAGGCCAAGAATGCAAGAGAAAAACAATTTGATGCACCTGCGCCGGGGTATTTTGAAACAAAGACGAAGACGAGAACCGGTTGAACAGACAGAACCAACGATACACTCATAGACGCATGAAATCAGACCAGACCAAACCTAGAGACCTCTCCTATCGTCGGAACATCCGGACAGGAGCGCTCAAGTCCCGGCGCTCTGCCAGGTCATTTTCAGTTTTGCCATCTGCCCGTAGATTGGGCATGCGTCTTGGGCCGCGACCTGGGGTCGTGGCTGTGGAGCCAACTGAACGGCCAGTCGCTTCGTTTGCGCTCACCGAGCGCTGCTTGCTTCGTGCACGGTCACGGCGTGCCGCGATCTGGGCAAGGGCGTCTTCCCGGTTGATAGGTGTATCGGGCACAAAGCCAGAAGAACCAGACGTCCGAGAATCAGATGGTTCACGGAGGGGAATACGTTTGGTTGTTGAGCACGTATCTCTTTCGACTTGTCGGGAGGGTCGGGACTCCACGGAGAGGCGAGCGTTCGCACCCTCACTGAGAACGGTCTCCACGCGGTGGACCATCCGAGAAGTCCTCGCCTCCTCTGAGGGGGAGAAAGCATCGGGAGTGTAGTTCGACGACGCACCCGAGTCCCTCCAGCTTTGCATAGAGGGCTTCAGATTCGGCATTTTGGAGATGTGAAATGAATCCCTTTCCTCCCGAGGCAGATCGTTGTCACGGAGAGGTGACGGGAAAGTCTTGAAAGTTCCCGTCTCCGGAGAGAAAGTCACCAATGGCTCTTCAGGCATCTGCATCTTCTCGGGTGGTTCGACTGGCTCTGGCTTCACAGCATGTTCAGGCCTGGGCTTAGGTTCAGGAGCCTGCTCTGGTTGATAGTGGATAATGGCAGGGGGTTCGACGCTCGGGGTATGGCTTGAATGAGGATGGGGAGCCATTTTCTCGGAATCTGGCTGTTGGTGTTCAGTCTGTCGGTTGCGGGCTTGCCGCGCAGCTTCAGCCTCGGCTTCAATTTGGGGCTTTTGATACTTCTCGTAGTACTCGGCATCGTAGATGTATCGTCGACCCTCGCTCTCGGCGATTCGGCAAGAGCAGCGCTGGAACTGACACTCAATATTCAAGAAGTGTACCATCTCTTCCGCGTCAATGCGACGACGGCGTTCAAGATCAATTTCGTCTCTCAACTCCTCCAATGCCTCGTTGTTCACTGACGAGGAGACCTCGGATGCCGTTTCTTCAGGCCCGGCCGTAGTTGTGCATTCCGAAAGGCGTTGACGCTTAGGAGGCGTAGCTTCCGTAACTTCGTCAGCCTCGATTTCAGATGCAGGAGATCTCGCAGATCCTATGGCTGCGCGCTTCGGTCGCCGGGGTGTTGTCAAGAACGCAAGATCGCCCTCGGCTAGAGAGATGCGTCCGAATTCTTCTTTTCGAATCTTATGGACCCGGGCCTCCAAGGTGTTAGAATGATTGGCTGCCTCCATCGATCGCAGTTTGCCCTTGAGCATTTCTAGCTCTTCGGTCAGGCCAGCAAGAACGTAAGCACGCTCGAATGCTTCTTGCTTTGCTTTATCCTTAGACTCGCGCTCGGCAGCGACTTCATCTTTCAGAGCCTTGGACTCGGACTTGGAGTGTTTCAATTCTTCTTGAAGTTTGACGAGGGTTGAGCCCGCTCGGAAAGCTTCTTTGCGTGCTTTTCGGATCTCCTTCTCGAAAATTGATCGTTCGTGGGCTTGGCGCTCTTTGGCAGCATGTAGTTCTTCTAACAAAGACTCCAGTCGTTCACTAATTCGGCGCTCGCGGGATTGGGCCTCGGAGAGCTCTTCTTGCACAGAAATCAAAGCAGACTCGGCTTCTTCGCGGCCAAGGATTGCCCGCTGGAGGGCAGCATTGTTTGTGGCGGATTGCGTGTGGGTGGTGGGACTACCTCCTCGTGAGAGGTTATTGAGGAACGCAACCTTGGCCTGGACTTCGGAAACACCCTTTGCATTTTTATGGTGTAGCGACAACAACTCTGTGGGCAGCGATGGTGAGGCGGGGATTGTTTGTTGATTCATGCGTTCCGGCGATACCGGGTGGAGGATTTTCGTGGGACTGAGGATGGGACGCGTTGGAGACTCCATCGCGGATATTGGCGAGGGAATATGGCGCTCAGGGTGGGATTTTAAAAGATCATGAGGGCGTCGTAGAAAGGAGGAGTGTCGGTCCACGGGGGAAAATCACCGTTGACATTTGAGGAGTGACGCACCCACACTGTTGGTTAGCGTTGTTTATTACCATCTTTGGACAGGTCAGGTGACTGTTGCCCTGGACACCAAAGCACCTTCCCCATTTCGGTTAGATCAGAAATCATGAGGGGCTAGTCATCACGTGTCAATATTTCCTAATCAGGCTTAGCACTAGTGGGAGAGTCGACAGTGGACGTCTGTGCGTCTGTAACGGACTCGACTGTATGAAGCAAATTGGAGAAAGATCATACTGATCACAGGCGGTATCGATCTCAACGATGCATGAAATTGTTACACTCCAGCTGGGTCAGCGGGCGAACTACTTAGCGACCCATTTCTGGAATCTCCAGGTTCATTCAATTCCTTCCGCTCGCCGATATTGAACATTCTTATGTCTGACTGTTCGAATAGGAATCTTATTTCACGTACAATGAAGGCGAAGAATCCCCTGTGGACCATGACGTTCATTTTCGCCCAGGACTCGGGGCTGATGGGTCGGAGACTTACACTCCACGAACCGTCATCTACGACTTGAAAGGTGGATTTGGAACCTTGCGCAAGCATAATGCGCTGTACGAGCTCACGGAAGACTCTATAGCAGGGCAGGGATTGTGGTAGGTTGGACCCCGTACAATGGTCCAATTACTCGGCATGATTTTGACTATTCAGATAGGGATGGTCTGGAGATTGTACAGAAACAAGCACCTATCGTGCAAAGCGAGTATCAAAAAAGCTTGGATTTGGGCACCACCGCCCCCCGTCTGACATCAGAAACGGTGCGATACTGGTCTGACTACAACCGGGTCTTTTATCACCCACGATCTATAGTTCAGCTTAATGAATATGAGTTGAACTCTCAAGTCATGCCTTTTGAGGATTGGAACGTTGGTGAAGACCTGTTCAACGACCTCGACAAGGAACATGATCTCCTGGATCGGGACGTCAGACCCTTTGCCGAAGAATGTGACCAAATGAGAGCAATTCAACTGTTCGCAGGATCTGATGATGCATGGGGTGGATTCGCTGCTCGGTACATCGATAGGCTACGAGACGAGTATGGGAAGAAGAGCATCTGGATTTGGGCTATTGAAAATGGAACGAGAGTGCAGCGAGTCAGTCTGATTATCCAATTCAACCACCAACAGTGACCATGCTTACTTGAAATACAGCACCATCAATTCAAGAGGGACACAAATAAGGCGAAGTCGCTATACTCGATCTCACCTCAGACAAACCTCTATGTGCCACTCGTCGATATCCCACAGAAATTGCCAAGCTACCTGAGTATAGACCGTCATTCCGAATGGCAAAGGTCTGCTCTATTGAGCGCCGCAGTGGAAACAGTAACATTGCCATCCCGACTGCGGCCATACCATGACTTCGAGGCCTCCCTGGCCGGAGATGACGGGAGACACAATATTTACGAGCTGCAATCAACCCTCAATCCCGAGGAGCGAAACGAGACTACCCCAAAATCCGATGAGGAAGGCTCGTCGAAACCTCAAACTAAGTTTGATATTGACTTCACCTATGACAACCAAGACACCGAGACTGCAACTATTTTCAACCAAGTTCAGGTGATGCGAGGCAGCGAAAGCAAGACATCCATCCAACCACCCGAAAGTGGTGACATTGGTCATCTTCGCAAGCTTCGACTGTATAATTCAGAGCCAATGCTCCAAAGGTACGGCTCGGCCAATTACTGAGACAGTCTCAACCATCATCCACTGACATCCGGACGTCTTGTCTTAGTTACTACAGCCCACTTCGTCTGCCCATTCTCGACAGTTTCCCGCACGGCATGTTTTCCGCGTCTCCGTCTAGTGCTGATGGGTTAAGTGTTTTTACCGCATTGACCGCTTCGACTCGAACAGCCGACCGGATCAAGGCTATTCAGGCCACCGCTGCACGGATGCTATCGGTAGATGAGCGAGAGGCGATGGTCAACGGACTGGGCGAGATCCGGGAATGCTATGAGATGGGATGGAACAGTGGATCGTCCGATGACGACGATGATTAGATCAAAAAATCCGGCTTTAAATGTTCATCATGATGGTTCTGACTGCATCGTTCTGCTTGCTGTTTGTTCAGCAACCGGTGAGCCAGCCTTACCAACGTAATCGTTAAAAAAAGTCGGGACCGTAATAATCGACTAAACATGCACGGCTTCCTTGTAGTTAGCGTGCGGCGAATACCTGCCTCTTTACCCCCGTCATCCAATTCCCGAAATAGCGCACGACGCCCTTATCGCCAACCATCGAGCCAGTAACCGTCAGCCCTGAGTCATGGAGTCATAAGTCGAGGTTCTTCTAGAAATCATAATACGAAATCTCCGGTTGCGCCTCTCCGCCTCATCTTTGATCCCCCACGTTTGACTCAAACCTGGCATAATAGGCGGAATACACTTGGTAGTCCGTGCCCAAATACCCTAATCGCCACGGCTGTCTTACAAATTGTACACGACTGCACAGTAGCAATCGGAGAGTTTAAGACACATTAGCTGGGCAGACAAGCCACCTCTACTTTCTCTGTTCTCATCTTCTTTGCTTTGCATTGGCTTCTCTACCCCGTGTGAGACAATGCAGCGGTTTCCACAGTCGAGAATATTGGCGAATCTCTCAAACTCAAAATTGCTTTCCTTTTTTGTCCCCGATCAAGTGACTGGGCAGTAACAGCAGTAGAAGCAACAAACGAGGCTGGTCAGAACATGGCTCACTGTTGGATCTTGTATGCTAGGCCAGTTAATCTAGCTTGTGTGGTTAAAGGAGGAGGGGGAAATGGGGAGATCTGATAGTATGAGGAACTCTATTACCCACGACCAGCCTCCCTTCCAACCACCAGAAGTAAACTGTCGGAACTTCGGACTTTGTGGCAGGCACTAGGTCAATTGAAAATTCCCCAGGAGAATAAAAGCATGTCTGTGGACAAGGATTCTGACTCATGGTATCATGGCAAGTAACTTAGTTAACTCGTTAAGTGAATGGGCTGCTGGAGAGGAGCCATGGAAACCGGCCAGTCATCCGAGACATTTTGCCAGGTGAGGCCCCAACCACCAACAAACCACCACCAGAAAGGGCCGGGGAAAAACATATCCTGACTCGAACTCTCTCGCCACAACCACCCACGCTGGAGCAACTGGACAATCACATACCGATCCTGGACCCTCGCCAACACCACAGTTGCCTGTTTCTGACATCATCAGATGTTCCTGCCAGTGGCATGGCTGATATCGCACCAATCGCGTGCGCCACTCGGGAACTCCCCTGCACCAGCCGCGCTAGTCAATTATTTTTCTGGGCCAGTTCATCCAGCTCAGTGAGAAGGTGAGATCAGTGCTGGTCGTCCACGAGAATCCTCCCACCGCTTCTCGCCGCACCAAACCCCCCCCGGTCCTCAGGTCCCGTCTTAGTGCCCACCTTCCCACTCCCGGGCGTCAGGTTAACATCATTCGCTGGTTCACGATGTCTCTCAAAACTGGGCAGGGCCAACTCTCTGTCATGTAACGTTACCTGCAGCCTGTCCAGGGACCGACTCGATGAATAGCCGTCCCCATTGATCCCTCTGGCTTCTGGGTCCTTTCTCCCCCGCCCGAGCTTTCATGGGATCCACTACCCGCTGTCCCTCCACCGCCAGGCCCCGAGGGGTACAGCATCAGGATTGTCATTATTGCTGTTATGGCGGTGGCGAAAGACGGGGGATAGCGGGTGAACTGCAGAAACTCAACTCGTGGCATGCATTTGGCCCACCTTCGTCCAGGGCCCTCAAGACCCTGACAGAGAAGAAAGAAAAACATTGACAACAAAACAAAACAAAGCAAAAAGACAAAGAAAATCAATATCGACTGCATCCATATTGATCACAACAGGAAAATTGATGGGTCTAGAACTACCCACTCCGCGGGGATCACCATCGTCTGGTAGGTCTCTTCTGTTTACCGAATTGACTCTGCCTGACGGCAACTCAAAAAACTCCAGTTTTCCAATAATACCTCAATACGTCGACAGTACACCCAAACGGTCGTAGGATGCTTCGCTAAGATCCCTTTTCCAGCCCAAGTGCGGTAGGGTCTCTGGACTACTCTTTGGCGGGAGACGCTTCGATTCCCGGCGCGCCTTTCATTCGTGAGGTTTCCCCACACAAGCACTCGACCCACGACCAGCAAATGAAACCCATCATATCTATTTCCGGGTCTGCGAATGGCAGTCCAAGCTAATAATCCAGCAAACACAGGAACTAATTTGAAAGGGCGGGGGAAAAGGAAAGAGCAGATGGGCACTGGGACCTCGCCACGTCTCACTCGTGTCGTTCGATCTTGTGACGTACAATACAGCCATCTTCCCAATTGAACGAGGAAATGATCCAGGGACCATCACAACCCCAGCCATCAAGCCATGATCGTGGCCGAACAAAAAGGGGGGGGGGGGGTTGAATCGACATGGATTCCATGGCCGCCGTCCCCCAGTCGCAGCCTCATCCCACTGAGTCTAGGGATGATGAGTGGGTAGAGGTCCCAGTGGAGCTATCTACCCATTGGGCCTCCGCCGCCGCAGTACCAAGCTAGAGTATACATCGTCGGCAGTCGGTTGACTCGATCTCACTTCCACTCGAGCGTCGGCTCACTCGACGCTTTGAGCTTGGCAACGACCTTCCTGGTCCTCTGATTTCTCTTGATTCAGCGAACCAGTCGCCAATTCTTCGGTTCCGGCCGCCCTCATTGGATACGTCCGATTCCTTTCTCCAGAACCTAAGCACAGGTCACCGAGCCAACTGGTACGTGGCGTGCCACTAACTTTGGCCCTGCCGCTAGACCCAGTTCACGGTACGATCGTGGTCTGGCGTGGACGATGGAAGGCAGCGGAAGGTCTCCATCTTGGCTGCACCTCCGAGGTCTGATTACCCTTTCTAGCTGTATGCCAGTTGTGGGTCTCGTTGGGTATTATTTTCGTACCACCGTCGTACGGATTGACTCTCACGATGGACGAATTGTGACGATGCGGCGTGATGGCTGCACGCATTATTGGGCCCCGGGAAAACAGAGAGACGTGGAACGAAGGAAAAAAAAACAAATCTTGATGGCTTGATCGGTCGATGGGCTTGTCCCTCCACCCTGCCTCCTCGGAGTCGGACTCCGGTCTGCACTGAACCCTGCATCTGGGATATAAATTGACTCATTCTCGTCATCCGCCCTAAGATCTTAGTTCTACTCTTTTGGTCTTGGAAGTAATCCATCCTAGGAACTCTCTCGCTACGGTTCCTGTGTCCTTCGTTTACGAGGAACGGCTCTTCATATACTTCCTATTTAGGCAATTATTCAATTGCCTTTTGGATATCAAGCCTTCTTCAACTCTAGCATAACCCTCGCTCTTCTGCTAGACACGATGCGTGGCGTTTCGATTCTCGTGCTTTACGCCGCCAGCCTGGTCTCGGGTAGTGTTCTGCCCAGGGAGGCGGCTGGCAACGTCGACATTGTTGCCCGTGGTGAAGGTGGAGGCGGCGGCGGCGGCGGTAATGAGGGAGGATGGGGAGGAGATGGCGGTTGGGGAGGAAATGGTGGTTGGGGAGGAAATGGTGGTGGTGATAATGGTCATGGTGGCCATGGCGGAGGTCATGAAACTACCACTCCATGCGAGACTACCACTACTTCTACCTCTACTCCTTGTGAGACTACCACTACCACTACCTCGACTTCCACTCCCTGCGAGACAACAACTACCACTACCTCGTCCTCTACTCCTTGCGAGACTACCACTACCTCGACTTCCACTACCTCGACCTCTACTCCTTGCGAGACTACCACTACCTCGACTTCCAGTACCTCGACTTCCACTCCCTGCGAGACAACAACTACCACTACGTCGACCTCTACTCCTTGCGAGACTACCACTACCTCGACTTCCAGTACCTCGACCTCTACTCCTTGCGAGACTACCACTACCTCGACTTCCAGTACCTCGACCTCTACTCCTTGCGAGACTACAACTACCACTACCTCGACCTCTACTCCTTGCGAGACTACCACTACCTCGACTTCCACTACCTCGACCTCTACTCCTTGTGAGACTACAACTACCTCGACCTCGACCTCTACTCCCTGCGAAACTACCACTACTTCTACCTCTACTCCCTGCGAGACTACCACTACTTCTACCTCTACTCCTTGCGAGACCACCACTACCCCAACCTCGACCCCTTCTAAAACTACTACTACTCCTACTGGCCCTCCCCCAACTTCAACTCCATGCGAGACTACTACTCCCCCCCCGAGAGCACCACCACTATCACCACCGTGTACACTACGACAACTTGCCCTGGTATGTTAAAGCACCTTCCTTGAAATATTCCATTGCTAATATTCGCAGTGTCCTGGACCACTGTTATCAGTGGCTCGTCCACTATTACTCAGCCCGTGACTTCCACCAGCACTATCATCGTCACTTCCGTGATAACTTGCACTGAGGGCTGCGAGCAGCTAAGCACTACTGTCGTTGTTCCTCCCTTGAGCCAGCCCACGGCACCGGCTCCTGTTGAGTCCTCTCCGGCTGTCTCCCCAGTGACCAGCCCGGTCCAGACGACCGCCCCGGGAGCTCCTGCTACCACCAGCCCTGCCTTCAACGGAGCTTCTTCTCAGTTCCAGCGATCTCTGACTGGATTCATCCCCGCTCTGGCTGTCGTTCTGGCCTTTATCTAAGATTTCAAGCAATCCCTTGATTGGCATTGTGAGAAGTGATTGAATTTCCTTAATGTGTTATTGTCACAGGTAATTTACGGATTCTTGGAAGAAGGAGTGAACTGGAAGGCCGGGCAACTGAAAACCGAAGAAAAGAACCGCAAAAAAATTGCATTCTTGGCACCTTCGGGCATGGTGTAGAATGCCTGAAGGCTGTTTCTCTAATTCCTGCTATCTGCACCCTGGCATGGTGGCAGCATTATATGAGGTCTGATTTATTACTGACGGACGTTCCTTATTACTATATTTGATGCACGGCTTAGTTTAGTTTAGTGCTGCATAAAGTAGTTCACTAATTCAAATGGAATTTGATTTACCCTATACTCTCCTACCTATCAATAATTCTCAAGTGTCCCATAAAAAAGATCGATATCTCTTATCTTCTTTCTCGAAGGATATCTCCTTGTATGTTCTGTTATTGTTGGTCATCTCCGCTGGCCATCGTTGGTAGTTCAAGGCGGGAGTCCTTTTTTAGGGCTCTTACATAAGGTTGACTCCAAACAGTGCAAACATGCCTCTATCGTAATCGGACCCGTGGCCTTAGATGCGCCTCGTCTTTTCTATTGACAAGTGGCCACAGCATCCCCTCGCGCCCGGATGGCCTGGATTTAGTGCATTCTCTTATTCCTTTCCATTCCTCAACCTCCAGATACCTCGATTGCTGTCCCAGGGCTTCATTGTGCCCCGATTCTCCAGCTCACACAGCTTCCCGTTTGGCGCCAGGCCAGCGTTCCACCAGCACACCTCTTGGCAATTCGGTGGTGCAATTTATTCCAATCTTCAATTTTTATGTCTATATACTGCTGTCTTAATGTGTGCCGGGCTCCTCGCTTCTAATTTGTGGCTTGCTTGGACAATTTTAGCTGACTACTGACTTACAGTGCCTAGCTTACAGATAGACCATGGCTCTACCGGGCCGCGGCCGGTTAATTACCTCGCCGTTCCTTTCCCTCGTGATCCTTCCATTCTTGCTTTTCCTCGTCAGTTTCACCAGTCCAGCTGCTGCAGCTGGATCAGCGGTCATCGGTCTCGATGTCGGCACCGAGTATTTCAAGGCCGCTCTGGTGAAGCCTGGTATTCCGCTCGAGATCGTGCTCAGCAAGGACTCTAAGCGCAAGGAGTCAGCTGCCATCGCATTCAAGCCGACAAGAGAGAGTGATGCTCCCTTCCCTGAACGGTTCTATGGTGGCAATGCGCTGGCCCTGGCGGCTCGGTTCCCGGACGATGTATACATCAACTTGAAGACACTTTTGGGCGTGCCTTTCAACGATGGAAAGGACGAGGCGGTTAAGGCTTACTGGAGCCGGTATCCAGCATTGAACCTTGAGACCGCTCCCGATGGCCGTGGCTCTGTTGCGCTGCGCAGTAACCGTCTCGGTGAAGAGCAAAAGAAGGACGCGTTCTTGGTCGAGGAGATCCTGGCTATGCAATTGAAGGAGGTCAAGTCCAACGCTGATGCGCTGGCTGGTAAGGGTTCTGATGTCCGCGATGTGGTCATTACATACCCTGCTTTCTATACGGCGGAAGAGAAGAGGAGCCTGGCCTTGGCCGCCGAATTGGCCGGTCTGAAGATTCAGGCCCTTGTCAGCGATGGTCTGGCCGTGGGTTTGAACTACGCAACTAGCCGCAAGTTCCCTAGTGTTTCTGACGGCGAGAAGCCCGAGTATCACGTTGTTTTTGATATGGGTGCTGGATCAACAACCGCCAGCGTGTTGCGCTTCCAGAGCCGCAAGGTCAAGGACGTCGGAAAGTTCAACAAGACCGTCCAGGAGATTCATGTTCTGGGTAGTGGCTGGGACAAAACTCTTGGAGGAGACTCTTTGAACGATTTGATTGTCAACGACATGGTTGCCAAGTTGGCGGAAGACAAAAAGCTGAAGGACAAGGTTACTCCGGAGCAAATCAAGGCCCACGGAAAGACTATGGCTAGGCTCTGGAAGGACGCAGAGAAGATTCGCCAGGTTCTCAGCGCCAACACCGAGACGTCTACTACCTTAGAAGGACTCTACGATGAGGAACTCAACTTCAAATACAAGCTTACTCGTGCCAACTTTGAGAAGATGGCCGCCGAGCATATAGCCCGCGTTGGCAGTCCCCTCGAGCAGGCCCTTGCGGCCGCTGGCTTGAAGCTTGATCAGATTGACTCCGTCGTTCTCCACGGTGGAGCTATCCGTACTCCGTTCGTTCAGAAGCAGTTGGAGAAGATCTGTGGATCGTCCAAGAAGCTGCGCACAAATGTCAACGCCGATGAGGCGGCTGTGTTCGGTGCGGCTTTCAAGGGCGCGGCTCTCAGCCCCAGCTTCCGTGTAAAGGACATCCGCGCCAGTGACGCGGCCACCTACCCCATCGTCCTCAAGTGGAACTCTGATGGCAAGGAGCGCAGCCAGAAGCTTTTCACAGCAGTTTCCCAGGTTGGCCCCGAGAAGCAGGTGACTGTGAAGAATCTTGAAGATTTCGAGTTTAGCTTCTATCAGCAAGTCGACGAACAGGGCCTCCCTGTTCTGAGTGTTCAGACCCAGAACCTGACCGCATCTGTGAACAAGCTGAAGGATACTTTTGGCTGCACTACTGCCAACATTACGACCAAGTTCAACATTCGTTTGAGCCCTGTTACCGGTCTCCCTGAAGTCACCAGCGGCAATGTCGGCTGTGAGGTCGAGGCTGAGAAGAAGGGCAGCGTTGTCGAAGATGTCAAGGGCTTCTTTGGTCTCGGCTCCAAGAAGGGCGAACAAGAGCCCCTTGCTGAGGATGAACCCAGCGAGTCAATCACCCTCGAGCCCGAAGCTGAATCTTCGACTACTGCGTCTGCGAGCTCTTCTACGACGACCACTACCAAGGAAAATGCCAAGCCGACTAGCCAAACTAAGCTTGAGATCATTCCCATCAACCTGAAGTCGACCCCGTTGGGAACCCAAGCCCCATCAGTCGCCGAGCTAGCCCGTATCAAGGGTCGTCTGGCTGCTTTCGATGCTTCTGACCGCGACCGTGTTCTCCGCGAGGAGGCTCTCAATGAGCTTGAGTCCTTCATCTACAAGAGCCGCGATATTGTTGACAATGAGGAGTTTATTCAAGCTGTCAAGGAAGACCAACTGACTCTTCTCCAAGAGAGAGTCACCAAGGCCAGCGACTGGCTCTACGAGGATAGCGACAATGCCAAGACAGCCGATTTCCAGTCGAAGTTGAAGGACCTAAAAGCCATCGTCAACCCTGCATTGAAGCGCATGAAGGAGTCTTCTACCCGTCCCGCTCGTGTCCAACTCCTTCAGGATATGCTCAAAAACGCCGAGTCCATGAAGCAGTTGATTGAGAGTCAGATCGCCAACGATGAACAGACCTACTCGTCTTCGCTTTCGGCTTCGAGCACATCCACTGCTGAGGAGTCGGAGACCAGCACCAAAGCTACCCCCGCCCCCTCCGCTTCGGATGATACCCTGGATGACCTCGATGATGACTCGTACTCGACTTCGACGTCCTCATCGAAGACCTCTACCAAATCTTCGGCCGCGGCTAAGCCCACCGGCCCGACCTACACTCTCTTCACTCCCACCGATCTCGCCTCCCTGACCACAATCTACGAGTCAACCAAGCCCTGGCTCGAGACGCAGCTTGAGCTGCAAGAGAAGCTCACCGAGTCAGATGATCCCGCTCTCACTGTCTTGGAGATCGACTCACGCCTCCGCGAGTTCGAGCGCGTCTTGAACCGCATGTACGAGCGGATGACTGCCGCCGCTGGCCGTGAGGCAAAGAAGAACAGCGGCAAGCAGAATAAGAAGAAGACTACCGAGGAGAAGGGCAAGGGTAAAGAAAAGGCCAAGGAGGAGAAGAAGAAGGCGAAGGAGGACACCAAGGACGAGCTGTGATGAAGCCTGCTCTCTTCCACCTCTGCATCTTATCCTGTTCATCTTGCATTTTGGGTATTTTGTACACCTATTAAAGTACAGAGCATGGTTTTCTTTTTATTGTTTACACTTTTTCATATCCCATGTACCATGCACCAATGTCATCTTTGCAACAATAGAGAAAAGAATCGCAATGGAGTTTTGGGTTGGAGTTCCTGCCTCTTTTGACAGTTTGAAATTGTCCACGTTCAGGCTGAAGTAGATTAATACTGTTACCGAGAAGAGCAATTAGTCTAGGTGAAGGGAAGTCCACCTGAACTCCGTTCGTCGGATGAGATCGGTAGTATTCCAACGATTTGAAATAGTTCACAACGACGGGCACGAGGAAGTTACACAGGATAGAAGCACTCGTAACTAGACACAATTCGTCGATCACGCTCCACTCAGCGCGCTTGAGATCAGAATCCTCAATTCCGCAATTCTATCCGAATTATTGTAGGCGTAAACATCCTTCCAAAGTGAGTAGTTTTGACAAGCAACATCACTCGCAGCGCAATGTATTGCCACTAACATAGAATTCACCACTGCTGCATGCACTACGACATTTCTCTTCACTCTCACAATTCCACCCATGCGCACCAACCTTGGCTGTTCTCATAATCAGACATTATAACTGAAGGTCATTGTAATTGCATAGGTATACTTACGAACAACTTGAGCTCCACTGGCTGGTGATACTGGAACAGATGTGGCTCCTGGAAGCTGAGGTTGTGGGACAGCTGCAACCACAGACAGCAGCCCGACGGCGCAAAGGACAAAAGCAGTCTTCATCTTTTGCAGAGTATACTACGTGTATCAACATTAGAAAGGAAATATATGGAGCATATCAGCAACTCACGGTGTCTTGACTGGATCGGCCAGATATTGTTGTGATACACAGCGACCTGGGGAGCTTCAGACGAAACTTCTCACGATAGGCTTTTGGTATTTATCCCTTCTACAGATCCCAATTTTGAGGGGTTTCATGCCAGGTACTGTATGTACACAAGACAAGCAAGGGGGCTGTTTCTCCACTGTAATCGCCCTTCCCGCGAGTTGATTGGTGGCGCGTTGCTTCTATTGTTGGCCGCGATCCTCAGCCGCAGAACAAGCAATAGCTCTAACAAACTACTAGCAGGCTGAGAAACTCTGAGAGTCAGTGGCTACTCTGTATACGTAGGATAAGTCAAGGTCATGCAACACCTACATGTATACTCTATAGTCGCTTATTAGAGAGGTTCGAGTCACGTTCGTTACGCTCTACGGATGCATAAAGTATAGTAGGGTTCCATAAGTTTGAAACTCCGAGGAAAGTCCAAAATTATCTCATCAGTCATACTCCAAAAGGTAAATCGAGAGATATGGTTGCATCCGATATTGATAGGGATCATTCAAAAGACAACCGCAAAGACTTTTCAAAAAAGTCACCGTCATAGCAAAGGATTTCACCGGTTGGTCTATTTGCCGTCCTGTGTTTCATAATTCAGAGTCTGCGCTGTGCCTTCAAGTTCACAATCAGTTAAGTTGTGATGGTCAGGTTATCGAGATGGTCACCCCATAATCACAGGGCCATCGCTATCATATTGCCGATGACGAAAGCTTAACTTTAAATATCAATTTATTCACTAATTGAGTTTGTGTCGAACCTGGAACAATATCTGCGGCTTTTCCGAAGCGAGATTCTAGATCTGGCCGCGTTGTGGTCAAGACGCCGTGAACGCACAGCCACCGCAAATGCGGTCGGCTAGATTCTTGGCCCTCGTGTTCCCATGTGATCATCATCTTGGCCAGCATAGAACTACGGTAGTTGTCCTTGAGTTGTAGGCTAGCTGACTGCTGTGGGTACATCAATTAGGACACTATTAATAAAATTCCAAGCCTATCAATGTTAAATATGCACCGATATCTCGGTTCTGAGAAAAAGGATAGCATGTTTTTCATATCGGCATATCAAGTTTCGGTTCAGAGAGAAACCATCCTAAAGAAACCTCCTGCAATGCCTTTGTCTCTTCAAGAAATCCAAGATGCCCAGAAGTAAGGACATATTGCGGCGGTTGTGGTCTAGGTAAGAGACTCACTCATGGCTGGCTATAAGACTAAAATTGACCCAATTACCATCTTCTTCGAGTCAATAGAACATTAGGCAAGGATAACGATAATATGGATGAACAGCCACTGCCAGATGACCTATCGACCATCAAAACATCCAAAATATCGCAGGCACGAGTGGAAAAGCGCAAACGAGAGCTAGGCCCAGAACATCCCGACACACTTGTCAGCATGAACAACTTAGGCTTCTCCTACTGGAAACAAGGGAGATGGAAAGAGGCTGAAAAGTTACAGCTCCATGTGGTGGAGAGCCGCAAGCGTGTATTAGGGCCAGATAATCCTGTTACTCTATCCACCATGGCCAGTTTGGGCTTTGCGTACTGGGACGAGGGACAATACAAGGAAGCGGAAGAGCTACAAGTCTACGTATTGGAAAGATACAAGCGTCTACTTGGACCAGAGCATTCCAACACTCTTGAGATCATGAATAACTTGGTTTGTACATACCTCGACCAAGGCCGATTCAGAGAAGCCGAAGCGCTACAGATTGAGGAGTTTCAGCTATCGTCTCGGGTACGAGGGCCGGAGCATCCCGACACCCTCGTCAGCATGGGTAATCTAGCATCCACCTACATGAAGCAAGGGAAATGGACAGAAGCAGAGTCCTTGCAGACGAAAGTGATTGAGACATACTCTCGCAGCTTGGGACGAGAGCACCCATCCAGCTTGGATAGTATGGCCAACCTTGCATCCATCTACCGGGAGCAGGAACGCTGGAAGGAAGCACTTGATCTGAGTTTTGAAGTGGTGAAGGCCCGCAAGGAAGTCCTTGGGCCAGACCATCCCGACGCACTTGGGGCTATGGCTAGCATGGGATCTATCTATCGTGAGGAAGGACGATCGGAAGAAGCCGAGAAGATAGACGTCCAAGTGGCGGAGGCCAGTATGGAGTTGTTTGGACCAGAGGATCCAAAGACATTGGTCTCCATGTCTAACCTGGGATCTACCTATCAGGGCCAAGGGCGCTTTGATGAAGCGGAAGGCATACAAGAACAGGTTGTACATATCAGCATTGAGGTGCGAGGACCTAATCATCCTAGCACTCTCACCAACATGGCCAACCTAGGATGCACCTATCAGGGCCAGAGTCGATTTGAAGAAGCAGAAGGGCCGGAGACAATGGTTGTGGAAGCCCGCCGGCAGGTCCTAGGACCAGTCCATCCCGACACTGTGACAAGCATGAACAATCTTGCTTTTACCTACGAAGCTTCTGGCAAAAAGGAAGAGGCATTGCAGCTCATTGGTGAACGTGTCGAGATCTTGAATCAGACTTTGGGCCGTGACCATCCGAGTACCATTCATACAGCTGCTGCGCTTACCGAATGGCGCAAGGCGGATGCCTCTGGATCCATCTGAAAGTATGAGCTACCAATTCACGGAGTATAATGAAGGGTTCATGAGGTACATTTGCTCATCACCACCCTTCCCCATCAATGCAAGACGTCCATATAATTTTTTTATGGATATGACAGCTTCACAGAAGGCCATACGGCCTCGCTCAAAAATATCACTAAAGATAAATCACGTTTCTCACTCTTGAGGCAACAATAACCCTAGGAATGCTCAAACAGCTAGAAGCGACTACGGTTTTCTGTAGTAGACTTGGTGTAAGCGGGCGTAGTCATTTATCAGGGTTCTGATCAAATTTCGAATCTATGGAACTCTCTATAGTAGAGGTTTCCGTGTGCAAAGTTAGCTAGATGGGGCAATGTGGCAGTTGAATAGAAATTGAATTTTGTGCATTTCGAAAGAGCTAAACCAATGGATTCTGGAGAAAGCAGGAGAGCTGCTGTAGGTGGAGATGAGAAACCATCGCTATCACATCCCAGACACGTACGGCGTCGAGTTACCACTTAAGGAGTAGACATTCCCGCATGTGTCAGAGAGTCGTATTCACCAGCGAATGAGCGGCGTGAATGTGTCCTATTGCAGGATCTAGTCACCATACTTGCTATATTAGCACTCAGGTCACTGGCTCAGGTGATCAGCGAGCCTCTCTTTTTGTTGGCGGAAGTCAGGCTCATCGGCAGTTGAAGAGCGAAACAGATCCCGGCCAGAGTATCAACTCCCCCCGGAATCCAAGCCCAGCTCCAACGCAGCCCCACGTCGCCCCGCGACCCAAAGATGTCTAGACCCCCCCGCATTCCCATACCCCAGAAGCCAGAAGTGTACGATGATGCACGCCCCCCGACCGGGTATCCCGGCTCAAATGTCTGCTCAAGAATGGCATAGAATTTGTCTAATTTGTCTAACCCTGATGATACTTTCAAAAAAGGGGTATATATGACGAAATTCTCGGCAAATAGCTTTCGGCGTTTAGGCCCCCCTACTCCAACCAGGCATCGTCTGAGAACAAGAATGAAACCTGATTGGACCTAATGAGCGGCATGTCTCCCACATGCTGGCTAAACCAGGGTCGGCTCCGCGATGGGGCTATCATGTCCTGGATGATAAGCCTTGGTCCAGGTCGTCGTGGCAAGTTCCACCTTCCAACTATTCTGGCAGGGCCCGGTAGTTAGCAGGAGGAGTGACATGCCGATTTGTACTATATCTTGCAGTGGGATATCACTTTCTCTGGCTGTCTGGTCATTTTCATCTTTCTTTGTCTCCAACAAAATCTCCAAGGATGCATGGACTAACGGATCACATCCTCCGCATCCTCTCCCAGCATTGGATAGCGGTATCTTTGACGGCCCTGGCGTTGTGGCTAGTCAAGAATCGATATCACAATGGCCTCAATAAGTATCCAGGTCCGCTATTAGCCTCTCTCACAGACTGGTGGCGCTTCTTGGACGTCTATGGTCGAAGGCCTGAAGTCACTCATCGCGCCCTGCATAGGAAATACGGCGATGTCGTTCGTCTTGGCCCAAATACTCTTTCATTTTCGGACCCTCGGGCTCTCAAGTCGATATATGGCTTGAACAAAGGGTTTATCAAGGTATGGATATTCTATCATGCCTTCGACCGCATGCCAAGACCATTGTTGACATGTCTGTATAGTCTGAATTCTACGTTGTCCAGCAATCCATTGCTAGAGGCCACCGCTTGCAGTCGTTGTTCAGTTCAACAGACAACGACTTCCATGCTAGATTCCGCCGTTGCGTAAACTCGGCATTTGCCATGTCAGCATTGGTTCAATATGAGCCGTTTGTCGACAATACAACCAAGCTGTTCCTGGAACAAACAAGAAAATTCTATGTCAACAACCCCGAAGGATGTGACTTTACCCAGTGGCTGCAATTTTACGCCTTTGATGTCATTGGAGAGATCACCTATAGCAAGAGACACGGTTTCGTGGAAAAGAACAAGGACATTGATGGCATTGTTGCGTACCTGTCATGGCTGTTTCTCTACGTTGCACCAGTATGTCGCTATCTCTCATCACTGTCATACCTATCACTAACGTTTCTAGATTGGGCAAATTCCTTTCCTTGACCGTCTTCTTCTCAAGAATCCAATCTACCTCAAGCTCTCGCAATGGGGTTTCATCGATGCTACCTTCCCCGTGGCACGATTCGCCAGCAATCGCATGGCCGAGAGACTCCCAGAGCTGTCTCAAGGGAAGTCTGCAACAGAGCTTGGCGTCAAGTCTCCCGACCTTCTCTCCAAGTTCTTGGCTGCACATGAGGCCCATCCTGAGTTCATGAGCGAGACATTGGTCCAGACCATGGCTGTGAGCATGGCATTTGCAGGCTCCGAGACCACGGCTATCAGTCTTTCAGCCGTTTTCTACTTTTTGCTCAAGAATCCCGACGCATTGAAGCGTCTTTTATCTGAAATCGATGATGCCGCTCGCGCTGGAGCCTTTGGAGACTCCGAGACAGGTCTTGTCACTTGGCACGAGAGTCAGCGACTTCCTTACCTGGATGCCTGTGTCAAAGAAGCTTTCCGGCTACATCCTGCCGCAGGACTTCCCCTGGAGCGTATAGTTCCGGAACAAGGCGCAGAGATTGCCGGCCATTTTGTTCCAGGGGGCACGATCGTTGGCTGCTCTGCTTGGCTGATTCATATGAATAAGGGCATATTTGGTGATGATGCCGAGTTTTATCGTCCTGAGCGTTGGCTCCCAGATGAAGAGCTTAGCAAGACAGACAGAGGAAAGGAGGCCGAAGATCGTCGCATCAAGGAAATGAATGGGACAATGTTCCAGTTTGGAATGGGCAGTCGCACCTGCATTGGGAAGAATATCAGTTTGCTTGAGATCTACAAGCTCGTACCCAGCATGCTACGGCGATTCGAGGTGAGTTTTCCTAGTTCTATCTTAGAGTATTAACCGTTCTAACGCTGCTATAAACAGATCCAATTCCAAGATCCCTCTCAAGAGTGGGAATTGATCAATGCATGGTTTGTTAAACAAAATAACTTTACTACGACATTCAAGCTGAGGGAGATTGTGAAACCGGAGGGCAGCTCTGCCTCTTGAGATGAAGTCGTTCTGTTGATCATGTATTTGAGCGGTCTAGCATAGCAATAAGCAGTTAGAATTGTATCGATGCTATTTCTCACACCAAAATTCCGTCCAATCCGGGAAACCTTCCAATTTACTTAGACTCTCCATAAGCTTTTCATGATGGGCTTCGTTCAGCATCCCATTGCTCAGGGCGAGTAGCAAAATCAAGGCAAATATGGAGCAGACGTTCAATTGCTCCATATCATCAGAAAGACCTATTGGACGCTTGCCTTCATCTATTCGAAAGCACAATCTCTGTAGCTGGAAAATCCATGTGAAGATAACCTCCAGCCCTTTGGATGCATAAATTCTACCGAGTTTTATCTCAATCCCCCAGTTGAACAGCTACATCGCTTTCGCCTCCTTTACGGGCCTCTCATCGGCAACCCGCTCGACGTACAAAACCAGAGCTCCGCATTCTGCTTTCTGTTTTCACGTACATCCAATTCGGGCGCAATCCACCCTTCTGCATCGGTATCAAGACACTCCTCAGCAAGCTCCCAAATCTCCGGCCCAGTTCGGTATTCGGCAAACTGACATTCATGTGCATCAAACTCAACCTAACTATTCAGGTCAATTTATGCATTAAACTATTTAGATACGGAAGGTCTACCGCAGAAGTCTACACGGCATGCTTATCACCTCCACGATATGTTCCGCAATGCATCGCTTTGGTGGAATATTTCAAGAGACATTCGCTAGAGACACGCTTCAGGAAAATTAACAACAATACCACGGCAATGGTAACGCCCACAGCTAAAGGACAGATCAAAGGGTTCGGTGGATTTTATGCCAACAGAGTGCGCAGAGTGCTTTACTTCACGCTGCCTTTTGACATGATCTCGGACGGACTATCCGTCGAACTGGGGAGTTCCGGTACCCGATACACATTATCTAGTTCCACCGGGCGATTCCTTCTGTCTCGCAGGTTCGTATATGGTCCGCCATATGGTGTACCCGCAGCGGGATGCATTCCTCGTCCCTTTAATGCTCGTCGCCGCTCGAATAAAGCCCATACTATCGAGAGCAAAGCGATCACACCAAGCGGTACCCCGACTCCGGCGCCAATTGCTGTTTCATGACATGTGGAGCAAGTAGCTGTTGACCCTGAGGAGGAAGATGACGAAGAAGATGTGGTGGGCGAGGTCGAGGATGAGGATGAGACAGAGGCTGTCGCAGACGGTGAAGATGTTGTTGCGATCGCGTCGAGTAGTGTTGAGTTGGCTAGCAGTGCGCGACCGGGAATAGGCCAGCCTGTAGGGACTTCGAAGCCGGAGGTAGGGTTATCAGGGCAGACGATCTTGTCACCATCAATGATCGGGGTGCCGCAGCAATAGATTGCAGTGTTGTTATAGAAACTCAGGTTGATAATCGAAGCGCCCATGCTCGGGGTACTGTTGGCTAAAGTGCGTCGTATCGGTTAGTCACATTTGCCCTCACTCTGTTCAGAACTTCAGGTGCATCCCTATCAATCGCATGGGTGTACCTACCACAATAGCTCGCGCATCCCGAGCTCCAGTCCGAATTGGTGCATGCCCCCCGTGATAGCACATACGGCTGGTGCGCAACGTTCAAACAGAGTCCGTTCGACAAGCAAATGTCTTGCGACCCACAGCAAGTGGCACTTGTGTCGTCAGAGCAAGGAACGTTCCCTTTGGCGATATTGCCCGAGGGAAAGTAACAATATCGATTATCGGCAACCATGTCGCAGAGGTTGGACAGATTTTTTGGGAGCTATGGACAGGGACATTGGGTAAGAGTCCAATTTTTCCCACTATAAGAACTCATATTGCAGTCGCTGGCTGCTGATCGGGTTGAGCAATGACTGTACGCGGCCCCACTGGGGGCGGGCTCACGCTGACCCTGAAGGGAATTGGTTTGGTTGTTATGAGAGTAATGAGACCTCTTTGACGATATGATTGGCAGCGGAAGAATTAAAGCGTGGCCCCCAAACTTCTGCAGCCCCCAAATGCGCTAACTCTTCGCGGTTGCTACTGGCAAGCTTCAGTGTCACCATTTTGAGATCAGCCCCCACTGCCGCTGCAGAAAGGGCTCCCGTCGAAGGATTCGGATGGCCCCGAAATTTGTGTCTTGCCGCAAAGAGGCGTATTTCTCGCATATGGATAGGTGGCAGGGTCATCGCAAGGCGCCATCCTCGGGCCGTCGTTGCGACCGTATTTTCCGTGTCCTGTCAGGGTCAAGATCAACTGGGTGCTAACTTTGGGCTCCACTTTGCTGCACGGAGATGGCTCGTGTGTGATCTTCCCCAGCCACTTACGGAGGAGAATGAAAGCAGTGATTGACATGAGCCTCGGCGAGAAGCATAGAAAGAGACAGGTTCAAATAGTGATTCGCACGCATATACGGCGGGCGGTCAATTTCAGGATAATGATACAAGCAATGATAGTACATGATCTGAACAAAAAGTGGGTATAGGTACAAAGTAAAGAAGACGAAAGCAAGTATTGGTCATACAGGTCGATAAGGGCAAAGGACAGGTGAAAAGGAGTTCAAAGGCCAAACTCGGGACGGTGGCGAGTTTCGCCAAGTCAAGTCAGGTCTTCTTCGTGGGCCATCCAGTAGTAACCACGGAGAAGCAATGCAAGCAGGAGGGTTTGAAAGGATACTAAGCAAAATCCATGCGCATGTAGTCCGAATCGACTTCCTCCCGCTGACGGAGGAAAGACGCTTCTTCGAAGTCGTCCAGGTCCATCTTGGGTTGGTTGGTAATGTGCTGAACCAACAAACGGCGTCTTGGAGATAGAATGGTTCGTCCCCGAGGAATATCCTGCCCAGATTCATTGCCAAAATGCTCATCGGCATATACATTATCCTCGAAGTCGAACGATCGTTTCTGACCGTTCAATGCACTGGCATATGACCCAGTTGATGAAATGGATTCCTGGCTGCTGGGAGGGAGTGAAAACGCATCACCGTCATCGTTGTAAACTGAGTGCGGTTCGCTGATGGATTTGGAGAGGCCAGAAAAGGGAGTAAGCTCCGCAAGACGAATGTTGCCATGATAAGGTTGAGCCGGGTGACTCTCAGTTGCAACGACTGCAACTTTGGATTTCTCAGCTTCCAGCGAAAGCTGAGTCTTGTATCCATCTGCAACGGATTTGCGAACCCGCATTCCGACCGAAAGGAGTGAGGCCTGCACCTTGGCTGGTACCATCGGGGTTGCGGAGAAGGTCGAGGCTGAATAGTGGTTGTGTGATACGGCGTGGCCATCAGCGGTGTGTGACTCTGAGGAAGCCGAAGGGAAGAAACTTGTAATTGGAGTCTGGAAGCGGCGCCGCTTGGAGAGTGTGCTGTTGGAGGCAGGCATGGTCGGGTTGGTGACGATCGATGGCATGATGAAGGGAGTGGAGATTGTAACGAGGACGGCAAAGCCGAGCGAAGGAAGGACAAACAACGGCTGTAATTTGCTGGGGAGTTACGATGCAAATGCGCAAGGGGCGAGTGAGTTCCTCTAGGTACGGTTGAGGGGTAGAGGAATGGATGCGAGACCGGAGAGATAAGAAATGGGGTGATGCAAAATGATGCGGCTGGGAAACGCGACGCGGAGAGACGCGCCTGACACGTTTTCCATTAAACCTATTTTAGTTAGGGCTTAGGGCTCCGTGCGTCACCAGTCACGTGTCAATGTTTTCATTTAAAGTTATCTGCAGTCTCGTAGGACAGATCTGAGTTTCGACGAATGATCGATTGCAGTATGTTATAAGGTCACAAATGACTAGATATATGGTGTGGTTGATCTTGACTTACCAGCTACTATCATATTCTGGACTCTTGCACTATGATGGATCCATATCGTTTCAAACCATCAGAAGAAATGGACCGAATATATATCTCCGGGATCCACTTGCATACTATCTCCATTCTGGACGCTATATTTGTGAACGAATGACTATGACGGAGGGATTGGAACCGTCAAGAGGAAGATGAAGGGAGAGTATGTCGATAAATGCAATGCAGAATAATACTATAAATAACGTTTTGGGTCTCCTAGATAACTTGCGGACATCAAATAGAACAAAAATAAATCAAACGCCAATGCCTCAACAGATCAATGGCCATTATCTACAACGCGATGCCCGGAGCAAATGTATCAAGGCCGAATATAACAAAGATGGACTTTCAATCAGTTACCAGCATTGCCACGCTTGCCGCCTCTCTTCTGGCGGTCGTGGTGTGCCTTCAGCACAGCTCGAGTCTCCACAAGACTGCGCTTGTTCTTGCTCTTCGCTTTGCCCAGAGTCATGAGGAAGTTCTTGCGGCGGGCTTTCTCCTTGTTGGTAGTACTCTTGCCTTGCTCCTGCTTGCGCTCTCTCCGCCTTCCTTCCTTGCTCTTGTGCTCCTCACGATCCGGCTTGCCCTCGCGTGCATGGGCAATACGTTCCTCACGCGTGGCCTTCGCCGCGGACAAAGACGCCAGACCCTCGATCTCTGCAGCGGTCAATGGGTCATCCGTGTGGCGGGCAGCGGGCAGAGCAGGCCGGCGGGATCTCGAGCCATTAACAGCAGAATCGACAGATGCCTGAGCTCGCAGCTCGGCGAGCTTCGCAAGATCGGCTGGGGTCAAGATTCGTGTGGTGGCAAGGGTGGATAGCTTAGCCTCCTGGGCCGCATCATCCTTCTCCTTCTCCTTCGCCTCTGCTTCATCCTGCTTGGCTTTCTTCGATGGTCGGTCCTTGCCTTCGTCCTCAGAATCACTGAGTTCAATTTCAACATCGCTCTGGACATTGATCCATTCACCAGAGTCGTCACTATCGTCATCGTCCTCAACGTTCCAGGCGGCCCAGTCATCTTCCTCGTCCTCGTCATCCTCGGCGTCAGAAGGCAGGCCCTTCTCTTCACGTCTCTTGCGACGCTCCTCTTCCTTCCACTTCTCCAACAGTTCAAGACCCTCAATTCCGCCAACCTCCTGCTGACCGAACCGTCTCTGTTCTTTCTCCCCAGAGCGGAGACCCATGGAGGCCTCCTTGCCGCGATCCCGCTTCTTGAGCATCTGCGCTCCAACATCCCGGTAGAGACTGAGCAGACCCTTCGAAGCCATCATCACACCCTTATCTTTACTCTTCTTGTACATGACAAGGTCCTGGAGCAGGGTTTCATCCATGGCCAGAGGCTGTCTGACACAGATCTCTCGGATCGCATTGAGACCAGCAGTGGCAACTTCTCCTGCCGATGCTTCCGAGACGAACTCATTGGCAATCTTCTGAATGAGGGGTTCAAGGACATCAGGAGGCACCAGATCGTGCGATGCCTGGGCCAACGAGGCCAAGAAGGAGGTGACAGAAGGCTGGCGAGGAGTAAGGAACTTCTGGAAGTAGGAGTAGAGGGACATGATATGCAGCTTGTGCAGGCCAACCAGGCGCGAGACCAGCTGCAAAACAAGGAGTTTCTGCTCCAAGTTCAGCTTAGCCTTGCTGTTTTGCAAATGCTTGGTGAACAGACTGTCGGCGAATCCTTGCGGGTCATGGAGCAGATGTAGGGCTGAGAAGTTGAGAGGGTGAGGCTGGTTCTTCTTGCGCTCCTTCTTCTTATGAGTAGCCATGGCCTTCTCGGCAACACGGGCCTTCTTCTTCGACTTTTTATTGATCTGCAAGGTATGACGAAGACGACCGATGTCGAGAGTCTCTTCGTCACTGCTCTCATCCTCCATTTCCTCACGCTCCTTATCACCGCCGAGGAAGAAACGGACTCCACCACCAATCACCTTCTCATTCTGGGAAAGCGAGGCCTCTTTCATGACCTCAACAGCCTTGGCGTCCGTCCAAATCTGGCGCTTCCATAGCTCTCGGGTAATTTTGATAGCCCACAGGCCTTTGGACGACGTGCGATCAGATGTGACCAAGTTGAAGAGAACAGTCTGCATTGTCCGGTTGAGCTTGTGGTTGGTGGTTTTCGAATTGGCCTGGCGGAGCTCTGACAGAATCTTCTGGAACAGGAGAGCGCGAAGAGTCTTGCTGGGCGTGGTGATGAGAATTGGGAAGAGGGTGTGAAGCAGCGTAGCTGAGTCCAAGAGGTCCTTCTTCTTGAGAAGCACGATGCTTCCAACGATTTTCTCCCGAAGTTCCGGCTCCAAGACCAAGTGGTGTTGCATCAGCATGTCAATGAGCTGCTGTGGGAAGTCCTTCAAGATCTCTGGGTAGCAATCGGCGACATGAGAGATGAAGTCAATCAACTCTTTCAGAGAGATAATGCCGGTGTCCGTTGCCGCAGAGGGCGCCGCCATGAAAATTTCTCGATGCGACTCATATTGGTAGTGCTGGGCGCGGAAATCCTCGATGTAAGACCTGAAAACAGCAGAGTATTGGTCAGAACTGGGCCAATTCCAAGAAATTCACAGAGACAAGCACTCAAGCCACTTACTTGGGATCCCTTCGAATCTTGTGCTGCAAGTTAGGCCTGCGAAGGACAGAGAACGAGTCAATATTCAACTTCACAACGTGGTTACATCCGGGCGCACTGCAATTCAAGTGACAGTAATTACTCACAGATCAGCCTCAACCTTTTCCAAGGCTCCAAGCTTCCGTTTGACCATCTTGAAAGCCTCTGGTAGATGTAAAACAGTGGTGGAGGGAAAAAGAGGCTGGGGGTCAGTTGCGCTCCGAAACTTTTTTTCCGCCGTATCGATAAGCGACTCAACTTGGAGAACAAGCGCGGGTCCCTCCATAAATCCAGCCTACGAATCGCCCGTCGCTGATCAAGAATCAAAATGATAGGCCGCTGTTTCTATTGTTTTATTCAGGTATTTTATATTATTACAATGAAGGAATCCTCGAAATGTCATCTGAAAGAACTCGTAGACTACTTTTGAATGCTACAGAAAATCCATAATCGCATGATGTGAACAGTAAAAAAATTTTGTTTTTTCACTTAAACTTGGCCATTACCACCCAAGGCCCTTGCGACCGCATCACAACTGCTGGAAATGAAGCTATCCGATTGTGTTCCCATTTTTGGACCCTGCTTCCTCCGTGGCTGTCTCAATCCATGTACAGCTCGTGCAGTTGTATGTCAATCATCCGAAACCCGGTGAAAAACACTCCGTTCACTCCAGTATCCATAAAACACATAGGACCAAACGGAGAATGCATCCAGTACACCCTTTACCGGTTAGACTTGGCAACACGCTCCAGCTCGTCCTTCTTCTTGATGGCGTAGGAGTTGCTGCTGCCCTTGGCGGCGTTGACAAGCTCCTCAGCTAAAGGGAGATGTTAGTAAAAAAATTTCTCGACATATCCATCAACGATTCCTCAAGGGTTGGGATAGAACGAACCCAGGCACTCAGAGATGGACTTGACGGAGCGGAAAGAGCTCTCGCGGGCGCCAATGGTGATCAGAGCAATGGCGGTGTTGACACGGCGCAGGGGAGAAACATCGACGGCCTGGCGACGGACGGTACCGGCGGAACCAATACGGGTGGAGTCCTCACGGGCACCGCAGTTGACGATGGCATCAACAGCGATCTGGATGGGGTTGGAGTCGGTGGTGATGTTGATCTATTATGGAAGAGTTAGATGCAGATCATTGAAGATGTGATGCCAGTGGTGATATCAGGGCGGAAATTGAACGATTGTCCGATTCTTCGCAACAGATGTCTCCAATGCGGATTGTAGGCATGAGGGTGAAAACGTACGATCTCGAAAGCGTGGGCGACAATGCGGACAGCCATGGCCTTCTTTCCGTTGTTGCGGCCGTTCATCATGATCGAGTTGGTCAGGCGCTCGATGATGGGGCACTGGGCCTTGCGGAAACGCTTGGCGGCATAGCGACCGGCGGAGTGAGAGGTGTAGACCGGCTGGCGGATCTGGATGTAGTCGCTGTTGGCGGGCAAGAAAAGAGGTTAGCCATTCGAATTCTTGCATTGGTGAATTCGACATTTGGTTCCTCCAGAAAAATTTGTCCCGGCGCGCGCCATATGCCCACATGTCCTTTCCCACGTCTCTTGCAGCGTCAACTCGCTCTCTGCATATAACCCCCGGGACCAAATCCATCCAGAAAAAAAACTCGTTGCCGTTCGATTTGAGGTAGACTCACGTCAGGGAGATGTCGCGGATCTCGACATCCTCGTAGCTCCACTTGCCGAAGAGGAGAACGGGCTGGTTGTCGAGGTGAGCAATCTCCTTAGGCAGCTGAACGGCCTGAACGTCCCCGGAGTCGGACATCTTGATTGTCGAGGGGGGTGGTGGGAAACGGTGACCGGGTTGTCGAGGGTGGTTGAACGATCAATCGGGATGGCTATCCACACAGGAATTTGGAGGTGGTCTCGCTTAGCGGTGTGTGGTGTGTGGGTGGAGTCACATGAGGAATTTTTAGGGCAATCGTCTGGATGACGTAAGCAGGCAAGGACAGCCAGTCATGTGATCTGGTTTTTCTGTCGATGGCCTTAGGCCTCCAACATTCATATCACGGACCTTGTCAGTTGGGACAGCCGGCTTGGCAGAACTCCTTTGACAAGTGCCACAGTTGCAATGGTTCAAAACTTCCCCGCCATTGCATTTTGCCATGTCTTATATCTGCGAATTCTGTTCACACGATGGCATTTGAATCAGTGCCCTTCCTTTCTAATATGCAATAACATAACACATTCCAAAAGTGCTTCGTAGAATTATCTTCATGAATGGATAATAACAATCAAGCCCTGGTGACTGGTGACTGGGGGCTGAGACAGGACGCCCACTGGTACCTGAGAAAGCCACAGTTTCTATCATGACCACATGGTACATCGTATACTGTACATAGCCCCTGAGATTTCCAACATAGCAAAACCAATCTTGCTCCTCGGAATCATTCAAGCCCTTTTCTCCATAAATATAGCACCAATTGCCTGACTATCGCTATTTTGGCCAGCCTTGTCTCAGTTGTACACTCGGCTCGTCTGACCGCCTTTGGGGGTGGGTGACGTTGTGTCCAGCGCGGAGGTCGGACACTTGAGACCAGACAATTCGCTGGTGGTTGGTCAACATCCCCAGGGAATACAACAACTACTACATTGGACAGGGGTCTCTGCAGGTCACCCCTCTTCGTCTCCCACTTGTTGCGCTTCGGGGAATTCCATGGGATGAGGCTTTCTTGACTGACTACTTTCCCATCCCTCCCCCGCGTGTTCGATCCACTTGCCTCAAATTGAGGCCCTTCCCGTATTCTAATGGCGGAGGAGAATCCAGAGTTCCAGTCCGCTTTGCGGAAACTGGACAGGGAGCTGGAGGTAAGTTTCGCCCTCTGACGATTATGATGTCTTCTTGCGCTTACACAAGATTTGTTCAAACAGGAGGGCGATATCACCGAGAAAGGGTAAGCAGTCGTCCTGTAACACGGCAAACCCGATGAGCATGATTATGGGGATTACACTGATCACTCACGTGGTCATCTGAGGTCTGCTACACAGGAACGGTGCATTAACGTCAGTACAGGTATCAAAAGCGACGCACCCTCCTGCTCTCCCAATTCCTCGGCCCCAATAAGCCGCTTGAGATTGGCTCTCATGCGGCCGCAGGCTATGGGGGCCCATCCGAAAGCTCCCATATCCCCCCACCAGCTATATTGAGCGTTCGACCGCCGACCGCCGAGTCCTCACAGCCGACCATCGCTTCTCCAACCTATGCGGGCGCATACGATGGCATACACAACGGCGGAGGATATGGGTACGCCCGCCGGGTCAGCGTGGACGCACAGAATCCATCTCCGGCTCCAGCCGGATCGAATGAGCGAGACAGTACGGGCATGATACAGGCTCTGGATCGAATGCCATCGTCGGCCTCGTATGATTCGCTTTTCTTGCCCAAACCTCCGATTCCTGGTTCGCAAGGCCAAGATGGATCGCGCACCGCGACTCTGATGAGCCAGAACTACGCTTTTAACCCCGAGTCACAGGCGGAATATGCGCACCCCGAATACGCCCAAGCCGAGTACATGGATGATGGCATCGGAGGCTACGATCCCGCTTCGGGTGGGGTCACGCGACAGTCGACAATGTTGGATTCCCAGCAGGGCTACTTCTCAGACTTTGCTGGACAGCAGCATGATGATTACAGGGAAAGTTATGGTGGTGGCTTTCATCGCTACTCTCAATCAGGCGAGGCCTTTTCACCAACGGCGAACATGGCGCCGCCCTTCATACCTCCCTCCGAATTGCCTCATGGCCCGGCGATCGAGCACCTCTTACCCCTCGAGCCTCGAGATATTCCCTTTGCCGTGAGCGACCCTCATGACAAGAATATCCCCATGTCAAATTTTGACAATATTCCAACGGTTCTGCGACATCGTGCACGAGTCCACCCGAAACAGCCTGCATACTGGGTGCTGGATCAGAAGGGAAAGGAAATTGCTTCAATCACATGGGATAAACTGGCAAGCCGCGCAGAAAAGGTTGCGCAGGTGATTCGCGATAAAAGCAACTTGTACCGTGGAGATCGTGTTGCGCTGATCTATCGCGAGGCTGAAATTATCGAGTTCGCCGTGGCCCTCATGGGTTGTTTCATCGCAGGAGTGGTCGCCGTTCCGATCAATAGTCTGGATGATTACCAAAGCCTGAATCTGGTGCTCACATCAACGCAAGCTCATCTAGCCTTGACTACCGAAAACAACCTGAAAGGGTTCCAACGTGACATCACGGCGCAAAAGCTCAATTGGCCTCGTGGGGTTGAGTGGTGGAAAACCAATGAATTCGGCAGCTTTCATCCCAAAAGGAAGGACGACACACCTGCCCTCGTTGTACCCGATCTAGCTTTCATCGAATTTGCGCGGGCTCCGACTGGGGATATGCGCGGTGTCGTGATGAGCCACCGAACCATCATGCACCAGATGGCCTGCCTGAGTGCCATCGTCTCAACTGTCCCTACGGAGTCTAGTAGCAGACAGTTTGCGGCCAAGGGTGAAACCATCATTAGTTACCTGGACCCAAGACAAGGGATTGGCATGATTCTGGGAGTTCTCTTGACCGTTTACGGCGGTCATACAACGGTCTGGCACGAGGACCGCGCGGTTGAAACTCCCGGTCTGTATGCTCATCTGATCACCAAGTATAGGGCGACCATTATGGCTGCGGATTACTCGGGACTGAAGATCGCCGCATACAACTATCAACAGGATCCCATGTCCACTAGGCACTTCAAAAAGAACTCAGAACCCAACTTCAGCAGCGTCAAACTTTGCCTCATCGACACAATCACTGTTGATTCGGAGTTTCACGAGATCCTATCAGACAGATGGCTGCAACCTATGAGAAATCCACGTGCCAGAGAGATTGTTTGTCCGATGCTTTGTTTACCTGAACATGGCGGAATGGTCATCAGCGTACGCGACTGGCTGGGCGGCGAGGAGCGAATGGGATGTGTCTTGACCCATGAAATGGACCCGGCAGGTCGCCAGAAGAAGGAAGAAGACGGAAAACTCGAGAAATCGGATACCAACACCGGCTTTGGCAGCAGTCTTCTGGGTGGTGGCTCTCGCATTTCCGCTCCCAAAGAGACCGCAAAGAACGGCCTTGGTGAGGTTCTTCTCGACAAGGAGGCCCTTAAAAGCAATGAAATCGTTGTGGTGGCGATGGGAGAGGATGCTCGTAGGTATGCTAGTACTATGCCGCATACTGTCCGAGTAGGTGCCTTTGGTTATCCGATTCCTGATGCTACTCTTGCCATCGTCGATCCTGAGACCAATCTCCTATGCACACCCAATGTCATCGGAGAAATCTGGGTGGACTCACCGTCGCTCTCTGGGGGCTTCTGGGCGCTGCCCAAGCATACAGAGGCCATCTTCCACGCTAGGCCTTACAAGTTTGAAGATTCAAACCCTACTCCGGTTCTTGTGGAGCCTGAGTTCTTGCGCACTGGTCTGCTTGGCTGCGTGATTGAAGGCAAGGTCTTCGTGCTGGGTTTGTATGAAGACAGACTACGCCAAAAGGTGGAATGGGTTGAGCATGGTCAAGATATTACCGAGCACCGGTACTTCTTTGTTCAACACTTGGTCATCAGCCTCCTAAAGAAGGTGCCAAAGATCCACGATTGCACGGCATTCGATGTGTTCGTGAATGAAGAGCATCTGCCGGTCATTGTTCTGGAATCGTATGCTGCTTCGACGGCTCCTACAACCTCGGGTGGCCCGCCACGTCAACTTGACTCTGTTCTTCTTGATTCGCTTGCGGAGCGTTGCATGGAGGTCCTCTATCAGGAGCACCATCTCCGAGTCTATTGTGTTTTGATTACTGCCCCCAACAGTCTTCCGCGCGTGACCAAGAATGGTAGATTGGAGATTGGCAACATGCTGTGCCGCAAGGACTTTGAAGCTGGTTTGTTGCAGGCTGTGCACGTCAAGTTTGGGGTGGAGCGGTCTGTGATGAACTTGCCCGTTGGTGTCGACCCCGAGGGTGGCATCTGGTCACCCCTGGCCTTAGCTTCCCGACAAGATATCTTGGCCTACCAGGAGAAACAATATTCTGGCGTGGATTACCGGGATGTTGTCATGGATGACCGAACCTCTACTCCACTCAACCAGTTCAAGACGATCGTCGATCTTTTCCAGTGGCGGGTCTCACGCCAGGCTGAAGAGCTTGCTTATTGCTCCATCGACAGCCGTGGTAAAGAAGGTAAGGGCATTACCTGGAAGAAATTCGATTTGAAGGTCTCCGCGGTTGCAACCTACCTCAAAAACAAGGTGAAGGTTCGACCTGGTGACCATCTGATATTGATGTACACTCATTCGGAAGAATACATCTATGCCGTCCATGCCTGCTTCTGCTTGGGCGTCGTCGTCCTTCCGGTGGCTCCCATTGATCAGAACCGTCTCTCTGAGGATGCTCCTGCATTCCTGCATGTTATCAACGACTTCAATGTCAAGGCCATCATCGTCAACACCGAGGTTGACCATGTCATGCGGCAGAAGCTTGTCTCGCAGCATATCAAGCAGTCTGCGCAGGTTCTTCGCATCGGTGTGCCGGCCATCTACAACACTACGAAGCCTTCCAAGCAATCACATGGCTGCCGGGAGCTCGGGTACACCGTGAAGGATACTTGGCTTCAAGGTAATCAGGCTGCCCTTGTTTGGACCTACTGGACCCCAGACCAACGACGAATTTCCGTGCAAATCGGGCATGATACTATCCTGGGCATGTGCAAGGTGCAGAAAGAGACCTGTCAAATGACTAGCTCGCGACCAGTGCTTGGTAGTGTGCGCAGCACTCTGGGTCTTGGTTTCCTTCATACCTGTTTGATGGGCGTCTACGTCGGCGCTCCTACATACCTCGTCTCTCCCGTCGATTTTGCCCAGAACCCAATGACATTGTTTGTGACACTTGCCCGGTACAAGATCAAGGACACCTATGCCACAAGTCAGATGCTGGACTATGCCATGAGCACCATGGCTGGAAAGGGCTTCCAGCTGCAAGAACTCAAGAATTTGATGATCTCTGCTGAAGCCCGACCCAGAGTCGATATCTACCAGAAGACACGACTCCACTTTGCAACAGCTGGCTTGGACCGAACTGCAATCAACGTTGTCTATTCCCACGTCCTCAATCCTATGATTGTCACGAGATCATACATGTGCATTGAACCTATTGAGCTTTGCCTTGATCTTCGCAGTCTTCGCCGGGGTCTTATCTACCCCGTCGATCCCGATTCGGACCCAACGGCGCTGTTGGTCCAAGATTCTGGAATGGTGCCCGTCAACACCCAGATTGCTATTGTCAACCCAGAAACCTGCACGCTAGCGCATGTTGGGGAGTACGGTGAGATTTGGGTCCAATCGGATGCTTGTGCCAAGGGATTTTACAGGTCTACGAATGAGTTTGACGCTGAAAGGATGAATGGTCGGGTCGCAGATGGCGACCCCAACGTACCCTATGTCCGTACCGGAGACCTCGGTTTCTTGCACACTGTTACTCGACCCATTGGTCCTGGTGGGCAGCCGGTGGAGATGCAGGTGCTTTTCGTTCTTGGAAGCATTGGCGAGACCTTTGAGGTTAATGGTCTTAATCATTTCCCCATGGATATCGAGAACTCGGTAGAGAGATGCCACCGCAACATAATGAAGGGAGGATGGTGAGTTTTCCAAAAGTGTGATGTATCTATACACTAGCTAACCATCCATCTACAGTGCCATCTTCCAAGCAGGCGGCTTGATCGTGGTCGTCGTCGAGGTCACTCGCAAGTCGTTCCTGGCTTCTCTCGTTCCTGTCATTGTGGACACAATCCTGGGTGAACACCAGGTGGTCGCAGATATTGTTGCATTTGTCTCCCACGGGGATTTCCCTCGCTCTCGACTCGGTGAAAAGCAGCGCGGAAAGGTTCTGGCTTCTTGGGTGACGCGCAAGCTGCGAACGATTGCTCAATTCAGCATCCGCGATTTGGACGAGGATCATCCATTCAATCTCATGCAGCACCGTGCTAGCCGCGGCTCCAAACCTGGAAGTACCATGGGACACAGCGTCCGGCATTCTAGTATTGTTCCTGATGCCGACATGCCCGCTGTGCCACGATCCCCAGCCACTGCGGTCCCTGAGGACAGGGCTGTCATCCTGCAAGAATCTTACCGGGAAATGCCTCCTACAACTCTGCCGGAGCTTGACACTCGCACCGAGAATTTTGTTTCCTCAACGCCCGTCCCTGCACCGACCTCTGCTGTACCTCACATCCAGGAGCCTCAGTCTGCAACGATAGTGACCGAGGATGACGACCATTTCGATCATCATTTTGATGATCAACGTTTTGACATGGTGGAACCAGCTCACGAACGCGGTCCTGGTCCTACCCGCGATTTCCGCTTCAGCTTCGATATGATCAATAGCCCCATCGAGCAGCTGCCGCATGATCCTGTACCATCTGGAGCCGAGTATCACCAGCCCAGGCAGAGCTCGCTCCCTGGTCAACAGGCGGCCGGCTATCACGGTGACAATGTAGGAGTTCCCGTTTCTGGATATCAACAAACGTCACGTCCTGGAACCCAGGAAAGCGGCCTAATCGATGACTGGCCCCAGGAGGCTCTCATGTATCAGTCCGCCCTGGGTGGAGAAGATGGCCAGCGAAAGCCCTCCAACGCTGGCAACCTCATCTGAAGTTGAGTCATGAGTCATGAGTAATGAGCCTCCAAGGCAGGCTCTGTACATGGAACGTGCTACGTGTGAATTTTCTAGAGTAAGAAGAAAGCGCATGACTTTGAGACTTGTTAACGACGCGATTGTTGTTTCAATTGTGTGAAATTATTGTGGACTGCACCCCCTTTTCCTATTTGACTCAGTTTTTAGCATTTGTTATGTCTTTTTTTGTCTGTGGAAGATTTCTTCTCATCTCCATAAATACCTACCCTGCGCCATTCCCTGCCCTGCATATGCGCTTTTTTGTACATAGCAATCACATACCCGAACATTTCACTTCCTTAGAACCACATTCCCATAATTTGGCACTATTCTCAGACACCACTGGACTCGGACTTGCTAAGGAAAACACTGGAGGAAGTATATCGATGGTTATTTATTCAAGCAAACTCGATTAGGTTGCATCAGATGATCACCAATTCAGTGTGCATGACATTGCTAACGAATATTTCATCGTCGAAATACTTAGAAAAATCCCTTCTTATGCCAACAACAAAATCTCAAATAGATATCGGAACCACTATATGTTTCAAATTGAACTTATAACTATGCATTATTTGCTACACCTGCCCCTCAAAATGGCAAAGCATCAAACTTTTCGGCAGCTTACTGCTGCTCGGCTTGCCGGGTCAGACCGTCAATGTCGACCTTGGCGCTGAAACCACCATTGGCAGTGGCAGTCTCTGAGGAACCAGTCAGCTGCTCAAGAGCCTCGAGGTCCTCGTGTGTAAGGGTGTTGGAACGGATAGGGCGGAAGGGAGCTGGGGAGCCGGCGCGGGAGGTAAGGAACTATAATAGACGGGAGGTTAGTTTGGCTGTGAGCTGTATTGCTGGGGATCAGTTGCGTTGAACTTACGGAGCTGGCAGCGCTGAGCAGGGCAATCAGGGAAGCCTGTACCACATCGGCGTGGATACCGACACCCCATACTTGGTGCTTGCTGCCGGCGGCAGTACATTGGATGTATGTGGCGGCCTTGACTTCACGACCCAGACCACCCTCGTTGCTCTGGCTGATAGAGTGCTCCTTGTAGTCCACAACATCGAGATCAATGCTCAGGGTGGACAGGGCGGCGGCAAGGGCGGAAATGGCACCGTTACCCGTGCCAGTGATAGGATGCTGAACGCCATCGATCTCAATGATACCAGTGAAGCGACGCTTGAGGTTCTTGGTGTTGAGAGCCTTGCCAGGCGCAGGTGGCGCAGGCGACTGCGATCGATCGGTGGTAATGTTGTAGTCGATGAGGTTGAAGCGAGGGTTTGACTTGAGGTGGTAGGCCTCCTCAAACAGGGTGACGAGCTCGGATGGGCGCAGCTCCCGGCTGAGCCTCTCGGTCTCTCGTTGCACAACCTTGCTGAACTCGACCTGGAGACCGCGGGGGAGATCCAGCTCCAGAGTGCGCAGAATAATCCAGGCAGCTCCACCCTTGCCGCTTTGGGAGTTGACACGGATGACAGCCTCGTAGTTTCGTCCGATATCCTTGGGGTCGAGGGGAAGGTAAGGCATCCTCCACTCTTCGTCATCCGTAGCACCAGCCTTCTCGCGCAGCGCGAAGCCCTTCTTGACAGCGTCCTGGTGACTTCCACTGAAGGCACTAAAGGAGAGAGGAAAGTTAGAATGTATGTAGCATACAATGTGAGCGAAATGACTAACCTCGTGACCAGGGCACCACCATAAGGCCAGCGCTCGTTGACTGGAATCTTATTGCACTCCTCCACAAGCTTGATAACGGAGGGGATATCGGAAAAGTCCACGTTAGGTGAGACACCTTGCGTGTACAGATTGAGAGCGAGAGTGACGAGATCGACGTTACCCGTGCGCTCGCCGTTGCCGAACAGAGTACCCTCGACACGCTGGGCACCGGCCATCTGAGCAAGCTCGGCCGCAGCAATAGCACAGCCACGGTCGTTGTGAGGATGGAGGGAGACAACGAACTTCTCACGCTCGGTCATATTAGTGCAGAAATACTCAATCTGATCGGCGTAGACATTGGGAGTGGACATCTCGACGGTAGCAGGCAGATTGAAAATAATGGGGTTCTCAACAGTCGGCTCCCAAGCAGCCTTGACAGCCTCGCAAACCTCCACAGCGAATTCAGGCTCGGTATCCGAGAAAGTTTCCGGGGAGAACTCGAACTGCCATTGCGTACCGGCCATGGAGGGGTCATCCTTTGTAATTGAACGAGCATACTTGGCGCAAGCAACGGCCTTCTCCAGACTTTGCTTCTTGTCCATGTTGAACACGATTTGACGGAAGCAAGGGCTGGTCGCGAGGTAGATGTGCAGAATAGCCTTCTTAGCGCCCCTCAGAGAGTCGACAGTGCGGCGGATGAGATCCTCACGGCACGGAGCGAGGACCTGGAGCCAGACATCGTCGGGAGTGAGGCCAGGCTCTTCGACGAGGCGGCGGGTAAAGTCAAAGTCGATTTGAGAGGCAGAGGGGAAGGAGACTTCGATTTCCTTGTAGCCGATTTCCACGAGTTTCTTGAAGAAGCGGTACTTTTGCTCGCCATCCATTGGGTCGGGGAGAGACTGGTTTCCATCCCGCAGATCCGTTGCGAGCCATCTTGGTGCTGACGTGATTTGCTTGTCTGGCCAAGTCCTGTTGGGGAGGTTAAGCGGCTTGTATGGCTTATACTTTTTTGAGGGATCTTTGAGCCTATATGAGGGAATCGAATGTTAGCATTGGATCATTCAGTTGGGTCTTTGTCAGGGGATATGCAGCGTGTAAAGCTTTCGCGAAAGAACATACATCGGCATTTTCGCGGTTGGCGGGGTATACAGTGGGGGGGGAGAGGTGATAAGAGGCGATAAAAGAGAAGAAGAGAAGAGCGACTTTCAGACGAGGTGCGGTCTGGTCGGAAAGGAAGGGTATAGATGGTACAGGGGGATTGAGGTATGAAGTCTCTTTTAAAATCAGAGAACCACCAAGACCAATGGAGAAAAGGGAATTTGTGACTCAATGGCAAGGGCGCGATCTTGATGACGCCGAGTTTTTCGGTGCCGACAGCGGAGTCACGTGAGAGGCACCTTTCCGGCGACGCCCTGCGAGTTAGTGGCGATTGGCAGTTGACTTTTGATATGAAGACAGACGAATCATAACAGGGTCCCTGATTTCTTAAGCTTTTCTACCTTCCCATTCATACATTCGAGGTTTCTGGCTGTAGCGAGCATATATTCTCTTATATCCTGCTCGTCAGCTGTAGTTCCCATCTCCCCGATCTCGGAGCCCTTTTGGCCTGAGGCGACACATTTTGCCGAGGCTAACCGCGTTCATAGTGGATTCGATTGCATGGGCTGACTGTGTCGAAGATGGGGGTACACATTAAATTGTTATACATAATTGGGAGGCTCATGAAGAACATGGAGTATATGGTACAAATGTGGCGGTGGCAGAGACGCTTAGAAGTATGATCACAGGAAATTCCTCTCGAATTGCACCAGCAATGGATGCACCTCGTTCAACTTGAGTTTCACCGCGCGGGGATTCTTCAGTGCGTCGTCTCCTAGGCGAGACTTGATCAGCGACTGGAATTGCTGAGCTTCGGGGTCGGTCTTGCTCTGCATCTGCCCGGTGACGTCCACAGTGATGCCACCTTCAGCAACATCACGCGAACCAAGGATAAAGATCATGTTGTACTTCATCTGCTTGGCTCGCTGGATCTTCTTACTGAGTGTCTGCGCGCTGGTATCGACATCAACCAGGAATGTGGAATCGACCGAGGAAAGAGGGCGTGGTGGTGCAGCAGTGCCGTCAGTCTGGAGGACCTTGAACCCAGAGAACAGAGCCGCAGCTTCCTGCGCCTGGCGAACCACAGCATCATCCTGGTTGACGGTCAGGATAATCCCCTGGCGAGGCGACAGCCAGAAGGGCCAATGGCCACCGTGGTGTTCAATGAGCAAGGCCAGGAATCTTTCGAGGGAGCCAAAGATAGCGCGGTGCACGAGGACAGGAGTCGCAAATCCAGGCGTCGCCGGGTTATAGTCCTCTTCGCCCTCTGCAACCTGATACTCCAGTCCAAATCGCTGAGGCAGGTTCATGTCTAGCTGGATAGTAGACAGCTGATGATACTTGCCCGCCTGATCCTGGAGCTGGATATCAATCTTCGGCCCGTAGAATGCACCGTCGCCCTCATTCAATGCCCATTCACGCCCAGTACTATCCAGCGCCTCGCGCAATTGGCGCTCTGCATTGTCCCACATTTCCAGTGTCCCAATATAATCCGTCTCTGGTCGTGTAGACAACACCAATCGGTACGGCCCAAGTCCGAACGTGGTCATAGCCATATCGACAAATCCCAGCGCGGACGCAATCTCCGACTTGATCTGTGATGGCCGGCAGAAAATGTGTCCATCGTCCTGGTGGAAGCGTCGAACGCGCGTGAGACCCGTCAACGAGCCCGAGACTTCATTCCGGTGCAGCGGGCTGAAATCCGCATAGCGCACTGGCAGCTCACGGTAGGAGTGGTTCTGCGACTTGAACAGCAGGCAGTGGCCTGGGCAGTTCATGGGCTTCAGACCGTACGACTCATCCTCGCCGAGTTCACCCTCGGTTTCACCGGTCGCACCCCGGCCGGTCACCTCGTACATGTCATCCTTGTAGTTTTGCCAGTGGCCGGAGACTTCCCACAGAGAGCGTTTGTAGATGGTCGGGGTCAGGACTTCGCGGAAGCCGTATTGCAGGTACTGGGTTCGGAGGAAGGAGATGAGCTTGTTGATGACGTGAGTACCATTGGGGAGGAAGAGAGGCGAGCCGGGACTGTAGGTTGACGAGGTGAAGAGCTCCTGGCTCGTGCCGAGAGCTCGGTGGTCGTTTGGTGGAATTGAGGGAGCTTGGGCATTGGGTCGACCGTTGGCAGCGTCAGCGCACGAACATTGGCGAGATGCGGTGGTCGATAGCCATTGTAGCCTTGTAGAGGGCCATCGCACCGGGTGGTTGATCGCAGGCCGCGAGATGAAATGTGGCCGTAGCCGAGTGACTGCGCGCATGGTTGCGTTGCGGAGGACCGACTTTCTTCTTTTCTCCGCCGCAAGTTGATTGTCGATCCGGACTTTCGACGGGCAACAGTTAGCGGCCATCCCGCAATTATCGGGTTAGCCCACAACATCTTACTAATTCTAGCTTCACGATAGGATAAGACTATCATGAGTGAGAATATAGACGTTCCAAATTGACGGGGGAATCATACTGGCCTTTATAGTTGAATTTCTTTTGCTTCATGGCCCTCTAAGCCCTAGCATTATATGGCGCGTAGTTTATAGCGCCAACATTGGCTAGAGATCTCTAAAAGCCATGGAGAATCCGAATGCATGGATAAATGATGACGTTTATGTACGATTCAATGTCAAAGTACTTAATCTTCCACAGCGAGACTACTAGAGTCCATTAGCATATCCATCTTAGCATGGCAAGTGCGTCCCGCCAGACGATGCTCGACTGCCCCACCGCTTTGCGCGTGAAACCGTCGCGCTTCGCTCCAGCATCCCTTGGGCCATTACATGATCGCTAGCAGAGTCGCGTTTAGCAAGAGAGTACTGCTACGACTTCCACGTCAAGCTCTACAAAGTACAATTCAGCTCTGCCGATCCGCTATCCGCCCGTAGTGCACTGCTGTCCATCGCGACATGTGTATTCCGCCATGTCAACAGAACCACCACGCACCCCAGACCGCTCGGTGCTAGGCGATTCCTGGGTTGTCGCATCGACGACATCACTTAAGGAGCATCACTCCAGCTCTCCACCTCGCGCCGACCCTACAAGCCCGACGCCAGCTCCCAGGACAGAAAAGCAAGTTGATACCGCCAAGCCAGCAAACAACACCACGAGCCCGAAGCCCAGCCCGGACTTAAATCAGATTCAGAGTCGAAATCAGACAAAGCTATCAGAGTCGCTGACCTCGTCCACCTCATCATGGAGTATGCCTGGCCCGGAGCTCGTCATGCCATCCATCTACGAGGTACCCATCTCGGAGGCATCATGGGTCGCGCCGCATATGCGATCCGCAGACAACAAGTCCCCGCATATGAGGAAGCGCCGCAAGATCACACCGGTTGGGAAGCAGCAACGACAGTCCAACACCAACCCTGAAGCAATCGACGCAGGCTCGTCAGCTCCAGGCCTCGGAACCAAGAAATCCAGCGTGATCGCAAAGCTCTCGTCCCTCTACCACAAGCAGCGCATGCTCCTCCGCACGGCTATCAACACCCTCCTCATCGCCTTGATCATGCACCTCCTCATCCTCCCCGAACTCATCTACCAAGCGCAAAATCTATGCGCCTTCCCAATTATACAATCCACCTACCCAGCCAGCTGCGTCCCTCTCCACCCACAAGCCCTCCCTTCCAACCCCTTCCACTCCACCGGTAGCCCCATCTCCCCCGAAGAAACCATCATCGCCGCGCAAAATACGCTCCAAGCCATCTTCACCAGCACCCTATCCACCCTCACCCCACTCGCACAAACCCTCAAAGACAGCGAATCAACTCTCTCCACCCTCCAAACAACCCTGCAAACCAGCCTCCCGGACGCCCGCAACGCACTCGCTCTCGAATTCCAGGGCAGCGACGCCGCTCTGCGCGCTGCAGCATGGGAATTCGGCTCGCTGCGCGCAGACCTCCGCTCCGCCATTGACAGTCTACTCGCATCCCCGCTGGCATTGGAGTCTGGGGGCGCCACCTCGATCGCCCGGGATACCAGGCTAGCGGCACAATTGCGGCGGCGCGCGGAGTATCTCGATCGATTGCGGGCGCAGTTGCGGAATAAAGCCGAGTCGCTGGGTGGACGGTTCGCCACGCTAGACGACCATCTCGAGGCAATCGACGGGATTGTATCCCGCGAAGAGCGACGAGCGTCGATTTCGAACGGTGGTAATTACCACGGAGATGGAGCGATGCAGCGCGGTGAGGGCCTGCTGCACTCGCTATCGAGCTATGCCAGATTCAGCGCGCGGCTGTTTGGTGCCGGGGCAAGCTCGAGCTTGGACTCTGACTCTGACTCGAATGCACACGATCGATCGGCGGACCCATCGTCTGCGCCGTCGTCTAGCGCAGACCCGCGGCAGCCCACGAACACCCTTGCATTACTGAGGCTTGCAGCGACACAGCATCGTGTCGTGGCGGACGAGGTCGCCCGGCTGGCGAGGGCGCTGCGGGATGAGCAGCGAGCTCGATTGGGGCCCACTTGGTGAGTGGGTTTATGTCCACGCGAGAGTTTTTGCGGCCTCGATAGTCGTTTATTGTGTGGATACCGATACGGGTTTGGTAACTTGGGGTCCCATTCGAAGGAACCTCTATTTGAATTGCCTTTGAAAGGGAGCTTTCCTCTGGGATCTCTGGCGGTAAATAGGTTTTCAGGGGTACATCACTACATGAGTGTGCTGTGCTGTGTTCGTTCAAAGTTCGGGAGGCGTTCAGTAGTGTGTTTTTTCGGAAGAACTGGGGACACTCAATACGAGGGTATGAATAATGAAATGACTATAGCCATGAAATGAAATACGATACACGATTTATTTTCCCTTTAATCTTGGATTATCGAATTGAATTGACTTTGATCCAAACATCCCACACCCATAAACTTCATCTATTCTTCCTGCTTCCACCATCCATCCTACTGTATAGTCGTTATCGTCATGTTTCTATGAATAACTGCAGTGGTCCCCTCCTTCTGACCCAAACTTCGGTCTCCATCCCAGCAAACCCATCCAATCGTTTTGGACCCTCTTACCAAGCCATCCACGGTAGAACATCCAAAAAGTAACACGGGCACACCAATAGCAACACAACTTGTCTAATACACTGTGGGGAGCTAAGAAAGCTACGAGCTCACGGGATCGGGAAAAAAACGGGCTCGGCCGAAAGTGCTGTTTTGGTGAATGGATGACAATTACATTGTACTCTGTGCCCTGGATAGGAAATATCTACTAGTGCGGAGTAATCCGTAGTTTGTGCCTGACTGGGTCGGGATGGATCCGACTGAATCTAGATTTTTGAAAACAACTCCTTCCATTCATTCATCTTCCATTCCACGGTTGAAGCGACACAGACTCGAACAGTGACATAAGAGATTAAACCAAAGTTTAGTCCAGGACGTTCGATAGACCCAGAGATAGACACAGTACACACCGTAAAGTACGGAGGACTCGATAATTAAAACTCAAATAACTATGACACTTGAAATCGGCAGTAACAGCCGAGTGGCCCGTTGATTGTTACACGAGACTTTTTTTGCTTTTGCGTGTTGGACGGCATTGAGGGCGACATGCATACGGGCGGTAGCTATATGCATGTATGTATGTACTCTGTACAGGAGATACCATGGACATGCGTATGTATAGACGTAGGCATCTGCATGAGACCAAAAGAAGCAAACGTTGCTGTGGGGTGGTTCAGCCTTGCGTCGAGCTTTCTCAGTTACAGGGTTCTAGACCAGACAGCCATCTATACAGTACTGTATACACAAAGCCAGGGAGTCAGGGAGATAAAATCATATGATCAGTCCCAAATATGGGAAGATTAATCTAGTGATAAAAGTATGGGTGGTGATCGTGCAAGATCCATAGATACATGTCAGAGAGGACGTGGAAAACACCAGGCAGATCCGAAACCAAAGCTCGACGAATTCCCCAAAAACAGCTCGATTAGAGCCGTGAAAAGAGTCGCGGAGAGCACGTTGTAGACCCCAACTGGCCTATGTAATGGAAAAAGGGAAATAGTAACTGATGAAAAAAAAAGCAAAAACATAAACATTCAAAGCATTCCTCATGTCCAAGAACCCGGTTCCAGCCCAGTATGCTTCATATGTGAGAGTAACGTTATTAGGTGATGTGCGCGAAGGGTCGGAGGAAACGTCAAATAGTCAAAGGCGAGCGTAACTTGAGGGGTTCGTAGCGGGTATCTTTTACAGCTGGAAGAAAGCAGTGACCAGGCCCAGGAGGGAGATGGGGGCAAGGTAGTTGGCAACCACGTTGGCAGCTGCGTTGAAGGTAGCGCTGGTCTTGGGGGCAGTGCTGGAAGCAGAGCCCGAGCCGGAAGCAGACGAGGTGGTGCCGGAGCCGGAGCTGGTGCCGGAGCCGGAGCTGGTGCTCGAAGAGCCAGACGAGGTGGAAGATCCAGAGGAGGTGGTGGAGGAACCAGAGCCCGAGGTAGATCCCGAGGTGGACGAGGTGGAGGTGGATCCAGGAGTGGTGGGCTTGGCCGAGGTGGAAGTCTGGGTGGTGGTGGCCAGGGTGGTGTGAGTAGTGGTGGAGCTCTCAGTGGACTGGGAGCTGGTGGAAGAGATGGTCGAGGTGGAGGAGCTGGAAGAGCTGGAAGAGCTAGAAGTCTGGATGAGAGCACCAGCACCGCTGAGCTTGATGCTGTCGGAGGAGCCCGAGTTGTCGCTGTAGGTGTACGAGTCGGCCGGGTTGGCGTTGGCGATCTGCACCGACTTGACGTACATGGAGAAGGGAGCCTTGGAGTAGTCGGTCTGGCCACCAGCCCACTCAATGGTGCCCTGGCCGTTGTCGGGGTCACCACCAGCCCAGATACCGATGCGCACACGCATGGGGGTCTGGGGGTAGCGAGCACCGCCCTGGGCATCGGCGTAGTTGAGAGTGCGAACGGGGGTGCCGTCAATGGACCAGACGGTCTTGTCCTTCTGCCAGTTCACCGTGTAGGTGTGGAAGGTGGACTGGGGGTTCGCCACGCCGGGCCAAGTGTCGCGGTCATAGGTGGTAGTGTCACCCTTGCCGAAGTAGTTAGTCTCGATCTGGGCAGTGTTGCCGCCAAGAGCCTCCTATAAACGATTGTTAGAAATCAGAAAAGACAAAAGAAAACAGGCGGGATGAGACAAAAGTCCATGCTTACCCAGTCAATCTCATCCAGGTCATCAGACTCAAAGACGATGGAGCTGACAATACCAGTGCCGGGAGCAGCCTGCATGGTGACCGAGATCTCACCGTAGAAGATGTAGAAATCGGTCTCAATGGTAGGGGCATCACCCTTCTTGTTGATGGTGAAGACGGCACCGTTGGAGCCGGTGCTGACGGAGCCAGCAGTGGTCTTCCACTGGCTGAGGCCGGAGCTCTGAGTGAAGTCAAAGTTCAGCTGGGACTGGGTGGAGCCAGCATCGGCCGGGCAAGTCTTCTGCAGAGGATTGCAGTCGGTGTAGGTCTGCGCCGAGGCCAAGGGAGCAGCGGCAGCCAGAGCCACGGCGGCGTACTTGAGGATGGACGGCATCGTTGAGGAGTGTGTGAGGATGCGTCCAAATGGGGGAGCTAAGTAGGTGAAAAGAAGAAGTGGGATGAGAATGAGGATGAGGCTGGAAACGAGCGTCCGAGGGGGCAGAGCGAAAGTTATAAAGGCCGCAAGGCAGGCAGTAGCGAGTGGAGCTGAAGTTGGTCCAGGTGGTTCCCCGAGTGGTCCCAAGTGGAGTCTTTCAGAACAGTAACAGCAATCCAAGCAATCCAAAAGTAATCGAATCCGCGAGATCAGTACCAAACGAGTTGTGCGCAAAGTCCGTGGTTCCGAGCAGGAAAGAGCTCCCCTTTTGTACCTGCCTCCGCCACGGTGCTTCCTCTACTTTTGCCGTCCTATTCTTGGTACTGGACTCGGTCTCCGTACTTGGGTCGCTCTCCTCCTCCGGTCACATCCAGTCGGTCAGAGACATGCTCTCCTTGACTCACGCTAGTTCCCCCGGCCACCAGGCACCAAGCCCAAAAAAGAATAACAGAGACACAAAAAAAAAAAAGAGGAGGCTGACAATGAGCAGGCACGGAAGAGCCGAGCATGGGGATTGGCTGTATGATTCATCGCATCCTCGAACAAAGCATCAACATTTCGCTGATTGGATCCTCCTCGTGGCAAGGCCCCTAGTGACCCCACTCGGGGATCGCAGTGGAGCCGCCGCATGAGCTGCTGGGGGAACCCTCACTGGCGGAGTCGTGGACTGGGTGAGACACCCGTCTATCAGAAGGGGGAACCAGTGAGCGCAGAGCGCAGAGCACAGAGCACAATACACACTTGACAGGCGAGAAGAGAGTCATCAGGGAGCTGAAGACGGGGGATATCCCCCTCGCTGCCCTTTGTTGTTTCACCCGCAACGCCCAGTCTGTCATATGTCGTATTGCTACAGTCGTCTCTCCCTCCCCTCGCTCCGATCGCCCGATCATCCCGGCCGATCATGTTACAGCTTCTGCTCCGTAAAAGTCAAAGTCCGAAGGGGGGGGGGGAAAGCCCCTCCGTATACTGCGGGACTAGAATAAATGAGCACTACGATGAAGGAGGGGCCCCAGCCCCAGATTTTTATGCTCACCCTTGGCTGATGCATCAGAGTCATTATGGTTAGCATGACCGTCATTACTATCCTGATCCGACAACGGTACTATTACTAAGAGTACTAATTAACTATACTAGAGACAGTCACGACTCACCAGGCCACCCGTCGCAACTACGATAGTAGGCTCTAACATGCGAACTGAATGAGGTACCATGTACGAAATAATAATATGCTACAGATACGAAAGATACTAAGAATACTCAAGTCAACCTAGCGGGCCGTCCAAAGTAAGCGAGGGCTCCCCAATACGAGACCATGACCCCGACCTGAGACAGGCAATCCTCGGAATAGAAAAATACAGATGATTACAGTACATCTGAGATACCTGAGACCTGCGAATACTGACACTTCGCCTCATCATGTTCGCTAACTAATCAACTTCATAATTCATTCTACCCAGACTCCTCGGTAGCCTCCAGTACGGAGGAGGCCCTGATCTTCATGTTGCTGCTCATCGTTTCCTGGTATATCCTCCTCTGATACAATCATGACATCGTCAGGGTCCATCCTATCCATACTTCGTACACTGATCCAGGAGTCTCGATGCTTTTCTCCTTTGGTACTGTCGTCTCTGGCTCTCGCTTCTAGTTACCCTTAGCCCCATCCATCAACTGCCCGATTGTTCACGAGCGGCCCGTGCCCATGTCTTTGTGTCTCCCACATGATCGAGAGTACGTATGCCTCCTGCAGTCGACTCAATCACCTCATCCTGGCCACTTTTATGAGAATTAATAATATAAAAATATATAACTACTCTAGATATTAAGACAGACTAGTTATAACTACCTACAGGATATACTAACAATCTAATCTACTGAACATACTATTCCTCCAACAAAAGAATGATCCTGACCCATTTCAAACCGCTGGGCTCAAACTAGCAACTAGCGCCCTATCCAAATGCGACCGTCCACTGCACCCTTCGCCCGCGGACTACACTTGTCTTGTCAGTTGTCACTACTCTCCGCCCTACGCCCCCACCCCTTACTGAACCACGGCGTCCCCATCATCCGCGACAGAATCTTCTGAATCACCTGCACAGCAAAAAAAACTAAAACAATCCCTCCACACGCTCAGTACTACAGTATGTATGTACACTGTGTACTACGACTGTACGGAGTCCCCGTATATCCCGTATATTAATAGAATTTTCAGCCCCCCTCGCTTCCGGGGAAAATTAAACGGCCCAATAATCATCCCCTTCCACAACCTTACCCCCATTACTCGATGAGCGATGCCACGGCCAGTCTGCCCGAGCTGGTCACTGGTCAATTCTTTTGGGTTGGGCCCAACGCAGGAACAAACGCTTGGCTCTCGGCCAACTCGGCAGACCACTGGATGGATCACACAGGACAGTCGTAAATCCATGGCACTGGGTTTGCGGCGGTTTCCCCATAAACTATCCTTTGTTTCCATATTTAATTATTCCTTCCCTACGGTCGACACTCGACAGCCATGTGCGAGCCCTACAGTGGATAATGATATGTCTGCTTTTGTTTCCACTTTCCACGTCATATTAACGGTACACTATTTGTCGACAAAATCGACAAATAGTTAGTTACCATCTGCTATGACTACTGTTACGACCGAGTGGTTAACGAGAGAGATCTCCGACATATACTACCTCTTGGCGGTTTAGGATTAATGCCTGCTCCCCTTGTTATCTTATTTGGACCCGTTAGGTTCGTCCTGGGGAGGAAACCCTGGCGCTAACTCTATTCATATGCGTTTTTTGTTTTTCGGATTCCCCTTGCAATATTGATCACAAAGGAGGGACGGAGTACGAGGTAGAAAGTTTCATATAGTAGATAGGTAGGTTCGCCCTGTTTCCCAGGAATCAATTATTGGCTACGGTACCGTACCGAATCTCTATATAACAAATTTCCTTTGTCAATTCTGGGCTTTCCCCTTCCAGATTGGTGCTCAGACCCTCGCTGCTTCTGTGCACTGATCTGCTCACTGATGCTCAGCTGAGCACTCGGGTTTGCTCAGCATTTATCATTTCTTGCACTCGTGATACTTAATAACTTCCGTAGCTGATGCCCCGCGATATCAAGAGCGATTCAGTGATATATTGCGAACGGAGATACTTGCGTTCCTCTCACTTAATTTTTTTGTTTCTCTGTTGCAATGAGCCTCTCTGTATCACAATTGGTACTTTGTGGTCGAGTTCCACATTAGTAGAGGCAGGTAGGAGGTTACCTACCGGTGTCACTTTATTTTGTTGAAGTCAATGGAGTTAAGTATGGAAATTCCCATCTCTTGAACAATAATTATCGGAATAAAATGTTAACATTGTTTGGTTAGATCTTGTATATCTGATTTGGATGAATCGATAAAGGTAGTGAATATGATGCTAGAAGTATTCGGCCATCGCTTAATCACTACTTATTATTATGATAACTTCGTTAATTTACCTGGCCACTTGAGGATTATACTCCCACTAAAGCAACTTTTTCGTATAAAGGCCAAGAAAAGACCCCCTCGCTTTTATCTATAAATCGGCTTATATCGGCTTGCCCATCGCTCCGGGGAAAACCTCCTGCATAAACAATTAGACGCCGGTGAAAGTTGAAATATTACTCTGGTAACTGGTAACACCATCCATGTTCATTGTGGGATCCACGAGAACTAAAAATATTGGCCGTAAACGAAGCCATTTCGGGAGAAAGTGATTGAGAAACAAAATAACAGGCCAAGTCCAATCCAGAAGAAACTCCACTTCCCGTAATCACCCAAAGCCCATTCACTCTAAGCCCGCCATCCACATATCTGGTCTGCACTACCTTAATCTCACCCTCCTTCCTACAGATTTCTTGTAACTCGACCAGGAACAGATGATGTGTACTTGCCCTTAGCCCGTTTAGCAAACCAGGAGCTCCTAGAAAGAGAGTTCCGGTGCAGATGGAGAGAATGGTTCTTGGTTACTCTGTATCTCTGTGTTGTAGTTGTCCAAAATCCCTCACGATCTGCAGCACGTCTGAGTTGCTTTCAACGAGGGAGGTGAAAGCAAGAACCCCAGTACACTTCTGGCTATCGAGATATTTGCCTGCTGGTAGAAATCATTACGTACATTCACGAGTTACTGGGAGTTTCAATTGAATCAGATTGAATTTATTGTTGTAAATGCCAAGCTGACACAAACCCTGCATCTGTGACTGGATTCTCTCCTTCCAATCCAACCACCCGCCAATTCTAGAATCCCGTCTTGATGTTCTAACGTATATTACACATCTTGACCAAGGTCTTGTAGTTTACAAAAGAAGGCCATTGCAAAAGAGCGCCCCAGCCACTCCCATCCAGAAAAAGACCGGCTTGGTGATCGTCACTGTTTTTTCGCAAGAAGCCGTTAGATTCATCTGCTTATGGCCGCTATAGGCAACCCGTCTCGCATGGAAAGTGGAGCGGAGATAGGAACAGATATAGTAGAACGGAGTACTTACTTGTGGATCCCGAGGTTTTGGTTGTCGATGGGGATGCAGGGGTTGTTGCCGTCGTCGTCGACGAGGACTCGATAGATGTTGCCGTTGAGACTCCCGTTGGGCTTGAGCTTGGGCCTGAGCCTGAGCTCGAAGAACTCGAGGAACTTGGGGAACTTGAGGAACTCGAGGAACTCCCCTCAGCCGCTGAGCACATACTAGCTAGTCCCTGTAGGGCTGCTGTGTTACTGCCTGACCCACACTTCGAAGAAGAGCACTGGAGTGCAGTGTCTCCCCCAGTCTGAAGGTTTGCTTCCATTGCATTACAAACACATTGTAGGTCAGACAGCTTGGTGCTGGAGGCCGCGTCACTGGCGCAGGAAGAACCCACGCTGCTGGAGTAGAAATCGTCGAAGCATGGTTGAGCACAAGAGGGGATGGTTTGTTTCCAGCTGTCAAAGGAGTTGGGCGCTGAGTCTGCGGCAACAAGGCCAAGCATGAAAGTGGCCGTGATGGAAAGTAAGGAAAAACGCATCTTGGATAAAGTTAAGATTGTCCGGGGATGAAGTCGCCTGTTTGTTTTTCGAGCTGTTCATCAGCTCTTATATGCTCAATAAGGATTATCCTCATAAAATCATTTCAAAAGTAATCAGTCAATGCACTAAGAATGCTGACAAGTTCAAGCTTGTGGCCTAAAGATAGCTAGTACGGCCGAAAGGTCTGCCTTTTGAGATTCTGGAATTGCCCTATCCTAATGTGGGAGATACATCCGATAAAGGAAAAAGGTATTTCTCATTGGCATTTCTTCGCGTCTTTTGTTTTGTCGCTAGTGAATAATTTTAGTTTTTTACGTCCAGTCTGTAATTCATGATGTCGATCTTGATAAAATGAAGTATAGTTTGCAACAGAGGATTTTTCGAGGGCTAAAGAGGCTGACAAGAGCATTATACCTCATGCAAAATTAGTCAAGGGGATATTATCTCCCTACCGCGCAATCTTGTTCTATTTTGCAGGTTGTGTGATTAGTTGACTTAAAGTAGAGGTATTCCCGTCTGTAATAGGAAATCATGGGAGAACTGGAGAACTCCACGACCATAACCTCCCAGTGGCCGCAAATACCTCATTCTGCTGTGACGGTATCTGTCACTTAGAACATATAATCTAGAGCCATTAAGCGAAAATAGCGAGAAAATGGGAACTAATGATAGAAAAATAGGATAAAATACATATTGTTTCATTGTGCGAGATTAGTCGACAATCACTGGTTCGGTTCAGCGATTAGCTACTCGGACAAAGGACTATTCAAAGCACACATAACTCGTAATTACCGTCCTTTATGAGATCTATAGTACGGAGATATTTCATTGTTTTTCTGTAGTGGCACACCTTGAATAATGAGGAATGCTTCGTCGCTAACCGCTTTACGGCCATAAGAACGTTGGAAATAGGAAGGATTTTGTCCGAGTTACGGGAACTTTCCCTCTCAATATGCCCCGGAATGCCAGCAGAATGATAACACAGCCCTTAGCGCAAATCTCCGGATAAGTATAGTGGTGTTTCATCAGTCTTCAACCACCTCCGCTCTACCGCCTAGTCTTCCGCCCTCAGTGAGAACTTTGCCTGTATATAAAACGCCAAGAAAATGATATGAGATCTTGTCCTCCTGTTCTTTTATTTGAAATTGTAATCAAAGTCCATCGACCAACTCAAAAATATGAAATACTACCTTGTAATTGAAGCAACAGACAAATATTTTGACTGGCAAAATATTATGTCATCAACTGAGACTTATGAAACAGCACTGTACTACCCGGGCCCTTCTGTAAATTATTATTTATTTTGGACCCTTATTTTGGACCCTTACTACGCCAGGATCCACTACCCAAACCTACAACCGCACAAGATATGAGCTAGATAATAAACAGCACTAACGAGATCAGATAGATCGGACGTCTTCTGTAGAACTTATAGTACCTACTTAGCACGCCAGTATACTTCTATAAGTGGTAGAAAATGACATCATATTTCAGACATACGAGCTATAAACATAGGCCTAACTCCCATTCCGAGAATAAAGACAGAGAGTCCGGCCGTGGTAGCAAGTTCCAAGACCTAAAATTCCAGGGTAATTTGCTCGTATGGAGCTAAATACAGTGCGGATGTATATATATTCTGCAATAGGACACTAAATTAGCGCTAACTAAGACTGAATAGGTGGCAAGGTAGCATACATGCAAAGAGAGCTGAATAAGACAATGATTACCATCACCTATTTACGCCACGCGACAAAGTTTTTTAGGTTATTAGGATCGTCCGACTAATCCACCATTTGATGCTCAGCCGAACCAGTTTCGGCCACGCTACTCCTTTTCACCATGATTAATGCTGCTGGCCTAGTAATCGAAACAGCCTAACGATAACTAGCGTTGACCATTTACAAGAGACCATTTCCATTCACAGTCTGTTTCTATATAGAAAGCCGCCTACTGCCTCATTATCACCCCCATTGGGAAGCAACCAAGATCGATAGAGTTCAGATGTGATTTATAAGCTGGTGGAATTAGTTATGCATAGTCAGGAATTCGAAATCAAGAGAGAAGGAAGACACCAAGAATAATGGCATGTACAAAGGATGACTACGCGTTTCGCAGGTGGTAGCCAGTCCTGGGGAGATCCACCATCCATATGGTTTCTTTTGCGGCTGAGGTTGCACTTGGGCTGTGTTGAAAAGTCTTAGGAGGAAAGGCGTTCGCAAATGGTAATGCACATCAGGGGTCAGCTACTCTAAGGGTACTTCGCCATGTGGATCTACACTGTACGGCCGCAAGGGCTGGTGGGCTTTTAAATCAGCTTCGGGTGCGCCAAGCCGAATCATCCTTAGTATGGGGAAGTCAAATAGCGATAATAAGGAACCAATGAAGCTCGAGTATGCAAATAGTGCAATCCATCATCAGATTCTGAATCAGGGGCGATAACTACGGAGTAGTTAAGTTAGTACGGAGTACCCTTGACCCCATTAATAATATAACCTTATCTAACTAACTATAGGCCAGTGCGCACTTCATGACAGATATTTTCCCCAGGTATACGAAGTAGAAGGACCCCAATCACTGCGATAGTCCTGAACATGCACAAAATACTTCAAACAGGTCATCTACCTCACACACGCCTCTTGGAGCCTCCCTCCATCACACCTGATAACCGTGCTGGTCGATATGGACGGTCAAGAGGTAGACGCCCTGGGCATCGAAATACCTAATTAGCAGATGCCATAGGGCTACCAGACTCAGACCTAGTCTGGGAAGAGCTTGGTGCCGGCCTTGTTCCGGTTGAACAGATGAGATACTATGTTCCGAAAGTGTCCTCTGTCCTGGCGAGGTGACAGGTGGCGTGGTTGAGAGAATTCACAAACTGGCGTGAAAGACTCATGGCTATCTTCCAGGTGTGTCAGCTTGTGGTAGAGCGGTGTACTGTCTTTCGGGGTAGTCAACTGCGGCAAATTTCCGTTCGTTTGGCGTAGAGAAGGGTCGAGATAAGTTCCTTGTCCAAAAGAAGGGAGGCGACGCCCGTTCAGGGTCCAGGCACGAGGTAATGTGTTGGCCGATGTTGAGGTAAGTGAGTGAAGGCACTCGATTGAGGCTGATAGGAGACAAACGATTAGCCTAACGTCCAGGAGGAACGAAAACGGTGATAGTAGTTGGTACCCACGTACATTGCTCAGAGGTTCTATCAGCTCTGATCTTCTCCGCGATTTCGCTTACCGATATAGTCAAGGTTCTTACTCTCCGAGGTAATTTCCTTTTATATCTTAGAACATCATCGGCTCTATTCCAACTTCTGTAGCTATATTAAAAAAGCCCACTTCGTGTGTCAATACTAGCTAGGTTTTCTTGCAAATAACCCCGAGAGACAATCAGTGCCTAGGGAAGAGCTCTATAATGGATATATCAAATATAGGCTGCTATCATTCCGGGATATAGTTGATGTTGGGACACCACATATACCCGTATAGACTGAAAATGTCGCTCATGAAGCATTTTTGGCCTAGCGATTATCCTGCATCGTCATCAGTTGAATGTCTGCACGGTATAATAGCGAAGCGTGAACCACTTTTCCAGTGATGAAGCCATACACTATACACTCACTGAGCGTTCATTGGACCGCACTGATTCTCACGTGATAACATTGAGCAGCTCAGTTAGTCTGAGCGCAGGCTGAAATTTACTCAGTATGGTAAGCCTAACTCCGAGGGCCCTCGTAAAAGCGGCGGCGGCTAAGATAGAGTGTCCTAGGTACATAGTCCTCGCGGGAATAAGGGAGATTCGAAAGAAGAAAAAAATTCAATTATTGATCGTGATTCATTATTTTAATCCTTTCTTGCTCCTGCTCCTTGCTCTTGTCTCCTCTGGTTCCTATTTTTAGACCTGCCAGAGACACGTGGCAGGGGTTAGTCGCCCCAAACGAGATGCTACCGACCGAAGCCCTAAGGCATCGTCTTACCCGGCCCCCGATCACAGCGACAGTAATAATCAACGGAGTTAACCGTCGCACTGCCCCTCCGACCTCGTCCCACTATGAATAATCCCCAGAGCCAAGAACAAGAAGCCAACTAATAACAGAAAAAACGAAACATCAGGGTATTCGTCGTATCCATTTGTCCCCTAAACGTCAATCTCCACAGGCCCGGTCAACTCGATATCCACCTTCTTGGTGATACTGTGCCGAGCCGCATTGTATTCCACGCCACGCTTCTGCTTCCACGGCCGGTTCTTTCCCAGCACGGTCACAGACTCGATTACCACGTTGGCCTGGTACCCGAACTGTCCGCGGATAGTGAGGTGGCCCCGGTTGTACTCGAACTCGATCTCACTGCTGACCGTGTTCAACGACTCGCCGTCATCCAGGTACAGCGAGCCCGAGGCGTAGCCGCTCAAGTTGGGCGCAACTAGGATCTCGAAGGGGCGGCGGCGTAGCTCGGTTGTGGTCATGGCGCTCTTTGCGCGCAGTGGGATCACGCTGCCGCCGCGGATGTGGATGGGGATTTCGGTTACGCCGATGTTGTCCAGGTGTACTGTGGCTCCTTGGCCGTGGACAGCTGCGCCCGTGTGCCAGTCGTAGAAGACGTCGTTGGGGAAGTAAGCGTCTACGGAGGTTTGACCGACTTCCTGCACTGGGGAGATTAGCAGGGAGTCGCCGTAGAAGAACTGGGCCTCGTTGGCGAAGGTGTTTGCGTCCGAGGGGTAGACGTAGAACAATGGCTGCAGGAAGGGCTCGCCGGTCTGCGTTTGCTGGTGGAACGCGGTGTACAGATAATCCAGCAGGCGGTAGCGGATGTCGATGGCTTTACGGGCAGCATCGGCGACAGTAGGCCAGCGGTAGAACTCCTGGGAGATGGAACCGAGCTCGTTGTGGTTACGGTAGAACGGGTTAAAGGCGCCCAGAGTGGCCCAGCGCGCGCACAGCTCCTCAGTCGTGTTGCCGCCAAATCCGCAGACATCAGATCCGACCATGGGAATCTGGAAGATCGAGGCAAAGGCCAGCATCTGCGAGATGGAGACGCGATACTTGTCCCACTGGCTAGGGTTGTCGCCGAGCCTTGTGATAGTGGTTAGCAATGGGCTTGTGACACGTTGAAAGACCCTTCTAGAAGGACTTACCAGTGACCGACGTGAGCACCTGCACCAGCAAAAGTGCTGCGAGTAATCACCAGAGGGCGCACTTTGGGGCGACGCAGAGTCATAGCCACGCGAGAAGCGGAGCTCATCACTGAGATCAGGGTTAGTATGCATATTGAAAAGAATGTCAAAAAAATGGATTTCTCCGTTATTATGATGACTTACTGGTACCATAAAGGTTGTGAGTATCATACTCCACAAACGAATCACCACCATTGTGCACAAGATCAGTATCGATAGTCTTGTTGCTCAACGACCCAGCCGCATTGGCAATCTGATAAGGCGGCGAGATCAGGTTCCGATCAGGCAAGCCGGCCTTAGTACCCTTTCCACGACGAGTCTTGCCCGAGGCAGACCGCTTGACGGTTGGAGGGTTCTTGGGCTGGAAGTCAGATGGGAAACCAGGGATCGGACGCGGGGAGGACTCGCGAACAGCTGGAGCAGCTGGAGGCAAGTTGTTCTCCTCTGCGTAGGCAGCGGGGTTCTTGCAAGGCCAAGGACAGAAATTGGCAGCCTCGTTCATGTCGATCCAGAGACCGTCGATGTCGACGCCGGTGGAGGGGTCGAAGAACCGGGCAAACTCACCATCCCACCATTCCTGTGTGCCGGGGTTGAACCAGTCGGGGTAGACGGTGACACCGGGCCAGACGGCGCCTAGGTTAGAGTCAGACCAAGCAGAGGCAATAACATGCATGTTTTTATTTACCTTGGTAGAGTTCCTCGCCGCGTGTAAGGAAGATGCCTTGATCTTTACCACGGTTGGCGGCACCGTTGTCTATACAGGTCAAGGGTCAGCATCTTCAAGATGTCTCTTCTACAACAAGAGTATGTACGTACCACTATCACTAACTGCAGGGTCCACCATAACAATGTAGTGCTGGTTATTCTTGTGCAGGTGATCCACCAGCTCGCGCATTTTCTGCAGTGGGAAGCGCTCCGGAACCAGAGTGAACACCCGGCGACGATCCATGTAGTCGATATCAGTCCACATAGTCTCCAGTGGAATGTGGGCATGGCTGTAATTGTAGACAACCTCGGCAACATCATAGACATCCTGGTATCCGTAGCGGCAGTTGTGGAACTAATGAAATAAAGTCAGCCTATCAACAAACCGCAAGGTCGTTCGAACAGACGTACACCAAAGGTCCAGTAAGCCTGCATCGCAGGCAGTCCCACAACCTCCGAGTATTGTTTGGCAACATCCTTGGGGGTCGGACCAGCGAGGAAATAAAAGTCCAGCACGCCACCAATGGTATTGTACTCCAGATACTGGCGACCATCATCGGTCTGATCGATCTTGATATCCATGCCATTGGAGTTCAAGAAGAACACGCCGTGAGTACCATCATCACCGCGGTGATCCACGTAGACGGGGTGGTTGCCATACAAATTGGTGTTCTCCGGGATACCGTAGGCATCGCGGCTCCAGAGAGTGCGTGTGTAGTTCTTGTTCGGCAGACGCAGAGAATCGGTGTGCTCGCCCAGACCGTATAGGTATGGGTCGGCCGGCAGCCAGGTCCGCAGTCTGAGATACTGGTTCTCAAAGATCAGGTTGGTATCAGTAGTGTCAAAGAGTACCTGGTCACCGCGCAGGACACGGAAGGAGAACGGCTCAGCCTCGTAGTCAAAGCGGATGTTGGGCTTGCTGTGGTGGTCACCGTGGGCTGGAGGGCGAGGCAAGACAGAAGTGGGAACCTGGTAGACGTCCTCCTCGAGATCCGCGATGAGAACGTGAAGACGGTCATCTGTATGATTATAGTGTCAATATAAGCATAAGAGCTTGTTTATTTCTGGTCTGGAACACGGTGATACGAACCAGTCTCGTACTCGACGAACAGCTTCAGGTTCTCCAGGTCGATGCCATAACAGTCACAGTGGTCGCCCGCAAGAGTGAGGTCTGCCTCAAAGGAATTACCCTGCTCACGGACGTTCACAACCTTGTAACCTGGACAATCGTCGGGGCTGCCGAATCGAGACGCCGAGACAGCGGCACCGACGAGGGACGCCAAGAGGAGGAACAGAGATCCCCGCATGTTGAGATTTCACCTGGAGAGGCGGTTGAATGCACCTCAGAGGGGAGGAGGGGGGGGGGGGGGGGGGGGTTAGGAGGGGGTTTTAAAGCTGACCAGTGGTGATGCAAAGGTCGTGGTGAGTTGATCGAGATAGAAATTGCGAGTTGCACAAGGAAGAAGATGGGAGGAAGAAAGACGGCGAGTGGGAGGGTGGAGAGAATAATGTCCGATGAATGCGCGAAAGGTGAAGTGAGGAGACAAAAGCTGCGAAATTTTGTCATACCAAGACTTGCCAAGTGAGGCCTGAATCGCAGTTTGTGTAGCTATTGCCATGTTTTACCGCGATCTGAGCTTTGTCGTTGGTGCTACCTTCATCTATAGACCATGCCAAGGCGCGGGCAATTATCGGAGAGCGTGGCTTGGCCGATCTGCAGGGTCCATCTAGGTTGCATTCTTGTACATTCATGGCAATTGGTGGCTTTTTGTACGGCTAGGAGCCGAAATGAGGAGTAAAACTAAAGCCGAGATCATCAAGATAGCTCTGCTTGTCGGTAATTGCCGAGAGGGAGGTAAAGGATGAGGAGTATACTTGGCGAGTTCACTAGGCCCGGCAAAAGATTAACCCCAGTCTCATAGATTAAGTCTAGTTTTAAGAGAACTTAAGACCATCACGTTGATAAGTCTGCGACCAGCTTAATCTACTTACACTTGTTTCTTTTCCTCGAAAAATCTAAGTGGTTATCTTGAATCGTCTAGAATTCTTTGCATAGACAATATCCGTGGTCAGGGCTCAGCTTGGACTTCAAGGAACTGTATGTCTGAGGTTTTCACATCTAGAACAAGTTCAACGTGAGCTTTTGCTGTGACTCGAAAGCATTGACAACAATAAAAAAGCAAGGATTTGCGTGAAATCTCCTCTTCCGAAGCTCTTGTACATGCTTTGGGGTATACTTCGGGTGGCGGGATGTTTCCGGACATCGATACGAAGGGCCTCCTCAACCTGACCCGCAAGGTTCCTCCTAAAACAAAGCTAATTGCTACACTCGACACCTACACTTTTGGATTCAGAGACTCTCCTCAAACACACAAAGATTTACACAAAAAAAAAAAGGAAATTCATTTCAGGGTCTCTCTATAGTACCCAGTGGGCATCTCTAGACATCATTCGTGTCGTGATTAAGAAGTTCATCATCTGGAACCCCCGCTCTGACCAGTATCCTAGGGTCACGAAAAGGCAATCGTATCCTCCTCAAACACCATGAACCAATCCATTCCATCCATCATCCATCACCAATCCTCGCCTCTTCAGATCTTCTCACCAGCCGAGGCCGCCTTGACATCCTCCTCCGAGCTCATAATCTGCACCTTGATAGCGCCAGTCTTGGGGTCCGCCGCAGTCTCAAAGGCCTTGAGGGCATCCTCCAACGCGAAGCGGTGGGTCACCAACTTGCGCAGGTCAATCACACCATTCTGCACCAGGCGGATAGCACGCGGCCAGGTGTTGCAGTAGCGGTACTGGTACTGCAAGTCGATCTCCTGGGTACTCAGACGCATGAAGGGGATGGTCATCTCGTTCTTGCCAACGCCAATCACAAACACCTTGCCGCCGAACTTCATACTCCAGATCGCCGAGTTGACACTGCTCTCGACACCGGTGCACTCCAAGCACAGCTTGGGTCGCAGGGCATCCGGGCCAGAACCCTTGCCGTCGTTCAGGGCATTGATGATGCCCTCCGCACACTCCTCGGCCGACTTGCCAATCTCTACCGTATAGGTGCGCACCTCGGGGACCAGCGACTTGGCGAAAGCCAGACGGCCCTCATCAATGTCAGTGATGACAATGGGGCACGCACCCGCGGCGCGGGCGCTCAGCAACGAAATCAGACCGATGGGACCGGCACCGGTGATGAGGGTGGCGTCGCCCAGGCGCAGCCCGCTGCGCTCGACGGCCGCCAGAGTCACGCTCAGTGGCTCCAGGAGGGCACCGTCCTCATAGCTCATGTCACCGATCTTGTGGCACCAGATGGCGGGGTGGTTGACATAGCGGCGCAACAGGCCGTCTACGGGGGAGTGGACAGGAAGGCGACTTTCTCGCAGCCGTTATACCGGCCAGTCAAGCAGGGCTCGCACTCGTTGCAGATCACGTTGGGTTCAATTGCGACGCGGTCGCCGGGCTTGAGCGAAGTGACGTCGGGGGCGACCGCGATGACCTGACCGGCAGACTCGTGGCCGAGAATGTGGTCGTCAGTGACGATCATAGGGCCGATGCAGCCCGCATGCCAGAAGTGCACGTCGGATCTATAAGAGCCGGCGGGTGAAATTAGCCTATTTGGTTCTTGCAATGTAACACTGGAATGCCTGTAGAAAGGATTTACGGCCTTTGTCCACCGCACCTCTCTTCAAAGCTGTGCTTGGCGTGGGGGAGTTCTCGACCGGGGGGGGGGGAGGCGTCTCTTACCCGCAAATTCCAGTACTGCGCACCTCGATGGTCACCTCGCCGGACTTGAGGGTCTTGCCGCTGTGGACATCCTCAACTTTAGGCTCGGCCTCGGCGATCCACAGGTCATGCTTGGGGTTGGTGTAAACCCCAATGTTGGTCTTGGTGACGGTTGTAGCGGTCGACATGGCTAGGCTGTGAACTGTGAATGTGGGGGTAAGGGAGGGAGGGAGAGAGAGGAAGGGCAAAAGAGAGACAGATCAACACGCTTCTCTCTTGTCATTACGAGGCGCGAGCGCAAGTATTTAAATGGTTCGGGCAGCCAGGCAGGTGATCAGATTCAGAAGGAGCCCGCATTTTCTTTTTTTTCTGAGTTACCCCATCGCGCGGTCCATCGACCAGACCAGACGTGGAGAAGACGCGGAGTTAGTCCTCCAGGAGTTCCCCCTTGTAACCAGCAACCAGCCAAAAAGCTCCGAATTCTCGCGTCGGCCAAGTGGAGTGGAGGGGCAACTTGATTTAACCGCGCGGGGGTAACCTGCCTGGAGGGCGACCAACGGGGAATCTGGACCCGCAGGTCCAACCGTCCAAACCGTCACAGGATGGCGTTAGTCAGGAATCCTCGCTCCTGGGGCTCTCTGGTTCACCGAGTCCTCCGTACCCGGGCCGAGTCCGACTGTCGGCTATCGGGTAAATTCAGTTGTAGGCCTTGACAGTCGATGACGAGCAAATATTCTTCATTTTTATTCTTGCAGCAAAACCACCGAGTATGGAGGACTTGCTGTGTAGCATTACTGTCCCGGATGAATGGAGTCTGGTCATTCGGGGCAATGCTGCACCACTGCAACGTAGCGGCCATTCTAAGCACCGCCTGGTTCTTCCAGAAGCCTTCCACACGAGCCCCCAAAGTGGCAATTCTCCGGTGGATACTCGTTTCTGGTTGATGGAGTTTTTCGACGGATTCGGGCGGCCTTTTCCCGCTGCCGGCTGACAAACAGGACAAACACGTTAACTAGTTAGTTACAACGGAGTACTGGACTGTCGTATGTACTACTGTGGGGAGTATGTACTCTGCAGAGAACCCTTGTATATCCATTGGATCAACATGACAATGCTTCATCCTAAAATATCATTCACTGGAGATAGCTTGTTTCCTACATCCTTGATCCTGGCTTGATGTTCCATCGACTGCATGCGACTGTCACGTCCACAAAACAGATTCTCCCCGAGCCGTTCCTTAGTGAAACCCCCTGGACAGCATCGCAACCTGAGGAGGCCAGTGTCGGTCCAAAGGAGTTTGACCAAATAATGGGAGAAAAAAATAAGAATTGCCATTGAATTTGGTCCAGTCGTTCTATTTTCGAGTATAGGGTGATTGAAAACGACAGAATAATTACTCATGCCCATGAGCACATCATCCCCTGTGCTGGAAATTCATTTAAGCAGCCTATCGAGACCGATCGGGCGTACTGTGAGGATAGCTCAGGAAGTCAGTCTAACCTTAACACAAACCTATAACTAGATGACTCGCGTAATGCAGATCATTGCACAGTGTACCAGGACTGTCTGCTTGTATCCAATCTTTGGACTAGCCTGAATGGTGTTCGGTGCAATTTACCCGAACAACCGCCACCGAGATCCATACAGTGCGGTCCTGTCAGGATGTGAAAACTGACTCGAGCGTTATCATCTGATAGGAATGGAGTTCAATATATCTGACTGTCGCCTTCTTACTATCCCTGATACCATGGGCAAATATAGCCATTCGGAAAACTGCCAGTCTATTTGTACCTACATAGAGCGCCGTTTTCGCTGGATATATATCCGCTCATCTTGTAACCGGTTTCTCAGTGTGTCCAAACTACGGGTTCCAGAAGTCAGGAAGAGTGCCATCAATGTTATCTGATTAAATTCAAATCATGGACCCAGAGACTAGCTCAATGCCCGACAAAGATCTAGGCATATGTGGTCCCGGTTAGTCCATTCTCGGGCCCGATGCAGGTACACTTCGGGGGACATCTATATAATTGCACTTTGACCATCTTTTCTCCCCATATCAACACATATCAGCTGTTTGGCTCACATATTCATCATATCTCCCTACATAATTTCAAAATCAATTATATTCCCCTTTCAATGGCAGTTGTTTACTCACAATTCAGGAACGGCGGAAGCCCTCCTCACGTGACCCGCATTCCCTGAACTTCCCGAGTCTCCAAATCCGCAGATTCTGGTCCTGTCGTTGCGCAAGACGAAAACCGCCATTGGACTTATATCCCCCCGTCCCCTTCCACCAGCGATTGTCCCGGGTGATCTGTGCTTGGTCTCTCTTCACATCCACTCCTTCCTCTTCCTCCTCGCACTCTCCAAGATGCCCGCTGCCACCCGTGCCATCCTGCGGCAATCGCAGTTCCTGACCCGGCGCACCGTTGTCAGACACGCCTCTTCCACCTCCGAGGCTGCCTCCAAGGCTGGTCAGACTGCCTCCAATGCTGCTTCCAAGGCCCAGGAGGGTTTGTCCAAGGCCACTGCTGCCGCTGGCCCGGCTCTCTCCAGCGCCGCCTCGGCCCTGCGGAAGGTCGGCGGTCCCGTCGGCAAAGTTGTTTCGTTCGTTGACTGTAAGAGAACACCCCGACTGCTTGGGATAAATCAACTCCCTGGATTAGATGGAGAGGTTATGGACAGTCAGTGCAGAAGGACACGCACCTTCAATCGCCTCGATTGGAGTTGTGCCGGGCGTTCCTCGGGACCTCCTTGTTGACAAATCCAACCTTGATATGCTCTCCGATCGCTGGTTCATGACTGACTCTGATATTTGCGATAGCCATGATTCCCCCGACCATCTACTACTCCCGCGTTGGCCTCGAGCTCGGCAAGCTGGTGTTCCGTGGCCAGAAAATGTCCCCTCCGTAAGTCACATCACCCGATCCCATTCACTACTCTCGACCAGAGTACCGGATCTAACATCCTACCTATTCCCTCCAGTACCCTGGCCACCTTCCAGTCCTACTTCCAGCCCCTGACCAACGTCCTCCGCAACCCCGCCTACATCAAGAACCTCAGCGTGCCCTCTCCCCAGGGCTTCCTGAACCGCGTTCGCAATGCCAACGCCAAGGAGATCGCTTTCTTCGGTGTTACCGCCGCTGAGGTCATTGGCTTCTTCACCGTTGGCGAGATTATCGGCCGCATGAATATCGTCGGTTACCGGGGCGAGACTGCTCACCACTAAACTTGGAAAATGCTCGTTCTTTCTTTTTCTTTAAACAACACCACCCCCATTTTTCCTATGTGCCCACCCATTATTTCCGCCCCGTGTTGTGCTCTGTATGATAGACGATGGAATATAAACTGTTGTCTGAGATAGAATCATTGTCTTTGCAATTCATTCCAGCCTGGTCTTCCGGGTATTGTGACCAAATTCTCTATCGTCTTGTAGTAGGCTGTTTAGCTATGTCAGTCATGCAACCACACACAACTAATTTTGACACAGCCATTCCCGTAGGAGTAAAGTAAAATTCCCTTCGCCTCGGATTTCTTGGTTCTTATCATCAAGTCTAGACCTTCAATCAATTAGCCTACTTGATATATTCCTGGCCCTACCGTCCATTTGCGTGGTGATCTGATGAAGCCACCGAACAACGCTGATTGGTCCGGGCGGGGAGTGCGGATCATTTTTTTTTCTGCCAAAATATCAAAGTCCAAAGCTCGAAAGTTGATCACGTCCTAGTTTGCCCTACTTTGCCACAGAATTTCCTCCATCCAACATGGATGCTTTCAAATTGTTGACCCGGTCAACAAGATTCAGCAAGTCGGCGACTGCGCCGGCTGCAGAGTCGACTGCTCGTCTGCCCTCGACGGGCAAGGCGGCGAATCCGCAGCTCTTCCGAACCGCCGCGGGCGAGAAGCTCGAGTCGGAGAAGAACAAGAAGAAGAGAAAGAGAGGCGCTGCTGCTGCTGAAGAAGATGGCGAGAATGATGCGGCCGAGCTGGACTTTTTCCAGTCCTCTAAGCGCTCTGCTGCAGCTAAGGCGGAATCTTCTGCCCCCGCCAAGGGCGACGAGGAACATACCTCAGACCAAGATGATGAATCCGATGAAGAGGATGAAATGGATGAAGTCGAGCGTCGCACAATCCTAAACTCGCATAAGATCAAGGTGACCGATCTGCGGGACCTGGACGAGATCCAGCCCCAGCCTGCGGCTACCACAGATTCCAAGAAGAAAAAGAAGAAGCAAAAGAAAGAGGAAACGCCCGTTCTCAGCAAAAAGGAGCAGAAGCGCGCGCGGCGCGTGTATCCCCAGCCTCTGACTTCGTTCAAGGAGCTGCGCACGAGGTACAAGATCTCGAGCCGGTTGGCGGAGAATGTTGCGGAACAGGGGTTTACGGTGCCTACGGAAGTGCAATTGGGAACGTTGCCTCTGCTTCTGGGTGATTCGTCTGTTTCAAAGTCTAATGAAGAGCCTGATTTGCTCGTCGTGGCACCAACTGGCAGTGGAAAGACCCTGTCGTTCTTGGTCCCGGTGATCAACAAGATTGTTCGACACCATCACTCTTCGCAGTCTGATGAGCATGGCATCTTGTCCATCATTGTTGCTCCGACTAAGGAGTTGGCAAGTCAGATTGTGAACGAGGGGCGGAAATTGGTGGCTGGTACGGGTGTTAAGATTACTTTGATGAAAAAGGGCATGCGTGTGGTGGAACGCGATGACGAGAATGAAGCCAATGTCCTTGATGAGGATAGCGAGGCATCTGGGTCCGACGACGAGGAGGATGATGACGACAAGCCGAAGAAGGCGTCTAGCAATGTTCCAGTCACCAAGAGCGATATCTTGGTCACTACACCACTTCAGCTTGTGAACGCCCTCTCGGAGCATCAGACCAAGCCCATGGCTAAATTACCCCTGGTGCGCAGTCTGGTCCTCGACGAAGCAGATGTGCTACTCGACCCGCTCTTCCGTGAGCAGACCCTCGACATCTGGCGCTCCTGCATCCACCCAGACCTACGCGTGAGCCTTTGGTCGGCAACCATGGGCTCTAACATTGACGACCTCACCCGGTCAACGATCAAAGAGCGGCAAGCCGACATTGGACAGACAAGCACCACACAACACCCGCTTGTCCGTCTCGTCGTCGGTCTGAAGGACTCTGCCATCCCTAACATTGAACACAAACTCGTCTACGCCGCTACTGAACAAGGCAAGCTCCTTGGTCTACGCCAACTCCTCCGCCCAGCCGCCGCTACTGCTTCAGACGTCCGTCTCCGCCCCCCATTCCTTATCTTCACTCAAACTATTCCTCGTGCCATCGCCCTGCACTCCGAGCTTAAATACGACATCCCCGCCGAAGCAGGCGGCTCGTCTCGCATCGCCGTGCTCCACTCTGATCTATCAGACACGCAGCGGTCTGAAATCATGCGTGATTTCCGCAAGGGCGAGATCTGGATCCTCGTGACAACTGACCTACTCGCCCGTGGCGTGGACTTCCGCGGTATAAATGGCGTCGTAAATTACGACATCCCCAACTCCGCCGCCGTCTACGTGCATCGTGTGGGCCGAACGGGCCGTGCTGGCCGCGAGGGCGGTATCGCCGTGACATACTACACCAAGGAGGATATTCCCTACGTCAAGAGCATTGCCAACATCATCGACGTCAGTGAGAAGCTGCGCGGTACCGAGGGCGAGAAATCTATTCAGAAGTGGCTGCTGGACTCGCTACCTGACCTGAGCAAGAAGAATAAGAAGGAGCTTAAGAAGCACGGTGTCAAGGCGCGACAGGTTTCTAAGCAGGTGGGCGAGGGTAAAGAGGGTGATGGGAAGGGCTTGCGGAGGATGAGGATTAGTACGAAGAGTGGCTTTGAGAGACGCATGGAGAATCGGAGGAAGGGGGCTATTGAGGCGAGTCGCAGTCGGAAGGCGAATGAAGAGGAACGCGGTGGTGATGTGAGTGATGCTGGGAGTTGGAATGGGTTGCAGGATTAGATGAGGGCTTTTTGGATGCATTGTACAGGGCGGGACTATCGATTGTTGAAGGGATTATATACCAGTTGTAATTATCAACATGTTAACGCATTCAATCATGAAATCATTCATCGTTACTCTGCCTTTTTGGGCTCTTGACTCTGTCCTTGACTTGAACTTTCCCCCTGGGAACCCTGTTGAGGCCCTGGGGGCGGCGGCGGCTCCTCCGCAGGCCTCCTCACCAACTTCACCGGCACAAAGGCCTTATCCAATTTCCCCTGTTCCTCCAAAATAGCCTCACAGTCATCCCCATCTCCATCAAAATAAAGCGCCCACTCCCCCTCCTCCTCTTCCACCGCCACAAAATTACTACTCTCCTCAAGAGTAATCGTCCGCTCGTCTTCTGTCCAATCCCACGGTCCGACAATATGCGCCACGCTCTGCGTGCGGTTTCCGTATTTCATCTCGTGCGTGTTGACGTCCGCGTAGATCCAGTTTAGTAAAGGTGGATTGGCGGATACGTAAGTGGGTAGACCGAGGCCTCGATCGAGGTTTTTGCTTTCGTCGAGTTCGGGATATTCGATGTAGAAAGCGAGGGCTGTGAAGGCTGGGATGGACCGGTCTGCTGGGTTTGGGTGGTCGAGGTAGACCTATAGAAATCGCCGTCAGTACTTAGGTATGCGCAAGTTGAAGACCATGTTTTGGACAAACCTTGTCATTTCGAACGACCAGTCTTCGCCCATTAATGTCGCGATCATCATCTGTGTCACCATCACATTCCACGTCGATGTTGAATTTGGCCATTCGTCGCGCATCTTCCTTGCGCTGGTTCGCTTTGCGCTGCTCGCTGACTCCGAATGCCACCCCCGTCGTGGTCGGGATGGATGTGAGGATTAATAAGCCGATGACCATGATGTATGGTTGTTCGAATCGAGCTTGTTGTGATAAAGTATGTCGAATATCTAGGCTAGATCGCGCTAGATTGAATATTCGTATCGAAGGAAGGGTTCGGATCGCAGTGTCGTCTTCACTCGTGTGGCGAATTGCAAATACCCAGTTCCGCTGTTTTATACATTTCACCCTGTCGGTAAGATGTATTTTCGCAGACTCTGATGAGATCCCATGAGGAAAGCAGAAGAAGCATGGATTGTAGTTGGCAGAGACTGGACCAAAATGTTGAACGCCATCTCTCTTTGGCGCTGGAGGGAAGAACAACCATCGACGTCATCGCCCCACACGTGATATTGGTCGCGTGAACGTTCTTCCTTCGTTGTATTGCATTCTTCAACCTCAACTCCCGCTGCTCTTTCTGATGCTACTTAATGTCTTGTCATCGAGAATTGATCATTTCGAGAGAGAAAAATTTTCTATTGAATCTAACAAAGACCTCTATTCTATGTCTAGGGTCATGCTAATCTATCGTGTATCGTCTATTCGTGGTCTCATGTGGCAGTGACAGCAGCGGCGCTGGCCAATCCAGGGCTACTGTCATACTTGCTCGCTCCATCCCCAAACGGACCACCAGCACTTCACAGCAAGTGCATCGCCATCGGAACTCTCCCAGTCATCGTACCCGATCTCTTCACCCTCTTCAACGACTGCCAAACCGAGATCGGTCATGCGCTGGCGAAACTCTTGCACCTGCGGTAGATACGCATCGCGCAATGGCATCTCTGCGACAACGCGAGCATCTAACCCCTTGCTCAGCCAGGGCGCGATTGTGTCCACCAGCCACTTGGGGTGGTTGGGTGAGTACAATGGATCGGCCGCGAGGATCACGTCGAATCGCTCTTCCGCGGTGGGCAACGGTGTAGGCGCAACAGACCAGTCCAATATACCGGTGGTCACAGTACCCTCGGTGTTGTTAAGCAGCTCGACATTCAGAGCGGCATTGTGAGCCAAATTCGGCACGATCTCGGGGAGGTCGGTCAAATGGACCGTGGCTGACTTGCCCTTCAATGCTGCAAAGGATAAACCCACCAGACCAGTTCCCGAACCAAGTTCAAGAGCTCGAAGTGGCTTCTTTTCTTGAGATGCCCCGGTCGAAGGGCCAGTCGAGCGAGCGGGGACGAGTTCAGGCGGAGACTCGAGCAGTTTGTGCAGGCGGCGGGAGAGCAGGTAGGACGACACCCAGGTCTTCATGCCCAGGTTGTCCGAGGTGAGAGAGGGTTCATGCAAGGTGAGGGTATAGTCCTCACCAGAGGACGTGGGAATACTGAAAATGCGCGACATGGCCGGCATGGCTAGGCGGAAAGCAAAGGGTTGTCAGCAAGAGGACACAGGGTGGAGAGGAAAGAGCAATCCTTACCGGTACGGCCAGAGCGTTCACTGAGACGAGCTCCCGCAGCATCCCACACGGCCTCGCGCAATTCATCGGTCTCCAGCCATGCCAACGGACTGGAGATGATCTGGGTGAGATATCTCGTCACCCCCGCCGGCTGGACCGAGGGTCCCTTGACAGCCTCCGCACTGGTACCAAACGTGCGTGGCTGTAAAGCCAACAAGGCGAGCGCCTTGAGGAGATCGGTCCCCGATGCCTTCTGGTAGATCTGGGGCAGATCGAGCACTGTAAATATTGGCGGTCTCTTATCAGTTCCACTATCTCGGAAGTCGGTGGACCGGGTATATAGGCGTAGATCGTAGACATACCGTGAATTGGCTCGTCAGTTGTGGTACCGATCATGACAGGCGAGATGCTGAGCCCGTAGGCCTTGGAGGCTTCAATGAACAGGAGAGAGCCTACCTGACAGGCCGAATAATTGGGCGACAGTCGGATTTATCTGCGGAGCCCAGCCTGTGAAGGCCGCCGCCACGCGGGAAAAGAAAAATCCCAAAGAGGAAAGGTTGGCTCCGGTTCCGCGGATCATGTTGTGGCCTTATCGCCTGACATTTTACGCTACCAGGAACGATCCATAATTGATTGGAAGATCGAAAGTCCCAGGTCGTCGAACCGATTCAGATAATTGGAATTTCAAACATTCGATAAGTATCATGCGGAAATGCTAATTCCCGTAGATGCATAAGACGGACTCGAAAAACAGTACCAACTGTAGAACAGGTTGGGTTATGACCTCCATCACCCTCAAAACCAACAAAGCGAGGGATTCAACGCCGTGGATCAAGCCTACTATATCATTTTACAATTACATTTTTCTCTACTTCGTCTGCTTCCGGGGACGTTAGGAGTAAATTCAAGATCCTGCGAATTTCTCGCTCTGCAGTCCGAAATTCTTCACCAAGAAATCCCCTATTGCTCTTACCATGGCTATCGATGAACGTTCTGATATGCCTATGTCCATTGTAATTGAAGAATGCCCAGCCAAGCTAAAGTCGAGGGGGAAAAAACCTGGCCAGAAATCAAGTAAAGGTATGTCCAAATCCGATAAACTTCTCATGCAGAAAAAAACAAAGTTGCTTCGAAGCGATAAAGTAAAGTGGTATCTATCAACAGTCCCATAATCATTGCTCAAATTGAACGCCATTCCAAATGCATGCAGCAGGCTCAGTTTAATGTTGCCTTGAAGCCTTGGTAGGCTTGCTCGATATCAAACGCAAGTTCCCGTGCCTGATCCTCACTGAGCTCTTCGGTGGCCCGCATCTGATTAAGCGCTATCAACCATTGAATGATCTTGCCACGGTTTTCAAAGTCTCCATCCGTCACTTTATTGACTGACTGGATTACCTCCGACAGCAATGGATGTAACGCATCCTTCGAGACCATGTTCAACTTCAGCGCATCGAGGAATGTGATGAAGTTCTCCGTCGCTGCAAGGATGAGACTACCCGATGCGCCTCCAGCAGCGCCTCCAGCTCCCGCGGTACTAGCTTGTGGTGCGCCGTGTGAGGCTTGTTCAACAGTCGCCGGAAGACCGATGCGAAGTCGTTCGGTTGCGCGAGGACACTCCAACTGAGCAGGATATTAGGAGCAGGCACCAGGGATACGGAGGAACCAGAATAGACTCACACCCCAGGTTCTCTTGAATGTTTCCAGATCAACGAATTCTTGCGACACGGATTCATCGCCCAGACTGGACTTGTATTGCTTCAATAGCCTCGTGCATGTCTCAGTATACTCCGCCTCGGTGACCACGTCCTTGATGTAGGCCTTTTCCAGTCCATCGAGGGTAATTATGATGCTGTATATTTCCGCAAGTGATTCGTAGAGATCACGTTCCCCTGAGCTCGAAACCAATTTCACTTCCTAGGGTCACGTAAGTATGGGAACCTCACGTTCATGCCACCAAGCATACCTCATCGAGATTAATCGTGGCCGATCGGGCCGGATTTGGGGTGTAGCTGTAGGGGGTCGGGGCATATGACAACGGGCGCTGTGAATACATCTTTGACAGAGATGTGCAAAGTAGAAAACAAAACAATGTCAGACTGTATACCCCGTCAATCGTCCAGTAAAGTCGTCCGTCGTCCCCTCATGACTCGCCGAGGCGGAGCTTGTCCTTATCGGCAGCTCCCAAAGGCGGTCACGAAGGCGGACCCGCCGATAATTCCCCCAGCCAAATTTTTTTTTCTTCGGTCCGCTGAAACTGAAGAAGAAGCGCGTATATCTACAGCCAAATCTTTCACCATGGCCGGCGCTAAGAAGTCGACCAAGAAGTTCGAGAAGAATCATCTCAAAGATACTCTCGAGCGACGCAAGGCTTCAGCCAAGATCAAGCAACGTCACCACCTAAACGAGAAGCGCAAGGCCAGTCGCCGAGATGCCGAAGCTGACGACGAGCCTGATACTGAGGAGGTTAAGAAGCAGAATGCCTTTGCGGAAATGAATGTTGATGACTTCTTCGCTGGTGGCTTTGACATTGCCGATGCGACCGACGGCAAGAAGAAGAAGAAGGCTAGTAAGAAGGACGTTACTCCCACGACAGGAAAGCGCAAGCGCTCCACCAACCAGGAGCAAGAGGACGAGGCCAGCGAAGGCAGTGCTGCTAGCGATAACGATGATGACGACAATTCAAGCGATGCCAATGATTTCGATGCGCACAAGGATCAGCTCGAGGCATTGAAGGAAAAGGACCCCGAGTTCTACAAATACCTGAAGGAAAATGATGCGGAGCTACTCGACTTTGGCGCCCAAGGCGACCTCTCGGAAGTGGATGAGCTGAGCGAAGGAGAGGCTCCTGAGGAGGAAGGTCCCGCTAAGAAGAAAAAGAAGAAGTCCAAGAAGGATGAAGAAGAGGACGAGGAGAAGGTCATTGAGAATACCCTGACAATCCCTATGGTCAAGAAGTGGCATAGCTTGATGGAGGAGAAACATTCGATTCGGGCTATGCGCCAGACCGTTCTGGCATTCCGCGCCGCTGCCTCTGTTAATGATGCTGAGGCTCCAGAGCAGAAGTACACCATTTCGGACCCCAATGTCTACCACCAGGTTCTGGTCACGGCGCTGAATGTCGTTCCCAAGGTTCTGGGCCACCACCTCCCCGTCAAGGAGACTGCTGGGGGCAAGATTCGGGTTTCTCTGGACTCCAAGAAGTTCAAGACCTTGACTCCCCTGATCAAATCCTACACTTCTTCCGTTCACCAGCTCCTGGTCAATTTGTCTGATGCGTCAACTCTGAAGTTGACCCTGTCGGCCATGGAGCCTATGCTTCCCTATCTGCTCCAGTTCCGCAAGGTCCTGAAGACCCTGATCAAGACTGTGGTCGGTATCTGGGCTGACGTCTCTACCGCTGACGCTACTCGGATCACGGCATTCCTCTTGCTCCGCCGCCTCATGGTTCTGGGTGATCCCGGCATCAAGGAGACCGTGCTCAAGGCTACATACGAGGGTGTGGTCAAGGGCAGCCGCAACACTACCGTGCACACTTTGGCTGGTGTGAACTTGATGAAGAACTCCGCTGCTGAGATCTGGGGTATCGACCAGAACGTTGCCTACACGACAGGTTTCAGCTTCATCCGTCAATTGGCCATGCATCTGCGCAGCAGCATCACCAACACCTCCAAGGAGTCATACAAGACCATCTACAACTGGCAATACGTACACTCCCTTGACTTCTGGTCGCGTGTTCTTTCCCAGCACTGTGACGGCCTCGTCGAAGCCCAGGCTGGCAAGCAGTCTGCTCTGCGCCCTCTCATCTACCCTGTCGTCCAGATCACCCTCGGTGCTATGCGCCTCATCCCCACGGCACAGTACTTCCCTCTCCGCTTCCAGTTGACCCGTGCCCTGCTGCGTGTCTCTCGTGCCACCGGCACCTACATCCCCCTTGCCTCCTCGCTCATCGAGGTCCTCACCTCGGCCGAGATGCGCAAGCCCCCCAAGACCAGCACCCTCAAGCCTCTCGAGTTCCACACCGCCATCCGCGCACCCAAATCCTACCTGCGCTCGCGTATCTATCAGGACGGCGTTGGCGAACAGGTCGCCGAGCTTCTGTCCGAGTTCTTCGTCCTGTGGTGCAAGCACATCGCTTTCCCCGAGCTGTCTGTCCCCGTTATCGTTGCCCTGAAGCGTTGGCTGAAGCAGGTCTCCGCCCGCAGCGGCGGTAACAAGAACGCCAAGATCAATCAGATGATCCTGCTCCTTGTGCAGAAGGTTGAGGCTAATGCCCGCTGGATCGAGGAGCGCCGTCTGAACGTTTCTTATACCCCCCGCCAACGGACTGAGGTTGAGAACTTCCTCAAGGACGTGGACTGGGAGTCTACGCCGCTGGGTGCTTTCGTTAACACGCAGCGGAAGTTGCGTGAGGAGCGTGCTACTATCGTTGAAGAGGGCCGTCGTGAGGAAGAGAAGCGTCGTGCCGAGGATAAGAAGCGCGATGAGGATGAGTTGATGGAGGACTTTGGCAGTGATGGAGATAGTGATGAGGGTGAGGATGAGGAGGAGATGGAGAGCGAGGAGGAGATTGAAGATGAAGATGAAGAGGAGAACGAGGATGAGCTGGAGATGGAAGAGGAGTAGTCCTCTTTATTTCCCTGCTTGTCTACCCTGTTCTGTACATTCCATTATAAAAGAATTCCGGCGTCTATTTGGCTTTCATATGCAATGCATGAATTAAATATCCTTCTATCAAACCTATTCACGCCATAGAGCAACCTAGACCATGGAGCAAGAACAGATATCTCATCACCCTCACTCACCCCGTAATAGCAAAAAGGCATATCCAAGAATCGACACAACGCGATGGGTATCTTCTGCCAATCAGACGCTAAGTCAAGTCGCACCAAAATCAAGTCATAGTTACATTATTGTATCATCCAAAATCAGACGGAACCAAGAGGCATCCGATCCAAGCCCCAATTCCTCGTCCGCTCCCTCCTCAACGCAGCATCCTCCTCCTCCGCCCACGCCAAAGACTCATTCGGCAACATAACCGCCTTATCAATAGCAACGGGCAAACCCCGATGCCGTCCCCTCAACGCCACAGCGGCAAGAATCAATTTACTAATCGTATGCCACGCCCCGCAAAACGAGTAATTCTTGCCCGGATACCCCACACTAACGCCCACGCAGCCGTACGCAGAAACAACCTCGAAAATGATGTTGAAGGTGCTAAATGCGACTGGTTGGTCGGTGTAGTGGTCTGATTCGGCGATGGCGATGAAGAGGACTGCCAGGGCGATCCACCAGATGTCGTGGCTGAGTTGCGAGCGGACTTGTTGGTGGACGAAGTAGCCGCGCGAGGATTCGGAGAGGCTGGGGCGACCCATGTGGTGGCGGACTAGGTCCATGAGGACGTTGCTGCGGCTCGTGTTGGCGCGGGTTTCGGGGGTTTCGTCGTCGGCGTAGATTCCGAGGGAGCGTTCTTCGTAGACGTTTGTGTTGCTGGAGGTTGTGAGATTGGGGGTTTTGGTTGGAGCGCTGGTTTGGATGGATGGACTTACCGAATTGTCACCAGCACGGGGAAGGCGGAGACATACTAGCTAGATGTTAGTGGTGGGGTCGTGTTGTATCTAGGTTGATACTCGAGCTTACCATCATGAGGACTAAACAAGATTTTGTTAGTACATTGCTTGTTGATATAGTGCGGCATAGATGTAGATATGGACTCACCGTAGAGGACAAGAAGCCCCTGGCGCAGATCAGCAATCGTCACCACGTAGAAACCTCCAGCACGGACGGCTATATAAAGAGTTAGCTAAATTCAGTCTCATTTATCAGCGAGAATACTTACCCAACGCCTGGAACAGGCCATCAAGAACTCGATACTCGGTCGGTAGGGCCTCGATCTCCTTGTTGCCAATTGACAAAAGCTCAAACGCCGCCCAGTCAATCCCGTTGAGGACAATGATGGTAGCAAGAAGATACCATGTGTGCCGTGCCGGGAAAAGGTTAGTATAGACCCTTCTTGGATGGTCCAGGATAAAATCAAGGGTCACCCGCCACGACTTCCACGACGGCGAGTTGGGCAGCATCAGTCGCATGGTCCAAACGATGAACCGTAGGAAGCATGGATAAAGAGTATTACCGGCGAGAATAAGCATGCCGAGAGTGAGAAGTGGGTAAGCACTGGTGAACTAGTCAGCATACCATCATAGATTGGATAGGCCGAAAATCATACTTTAATTGCAAAGCAGTCATGTTCTCATCCAAAAGAGACATGCCACTGTTCACAAATGCAGAAACTGCAAAAAACGCGCCGGTCCAAAACGGCGAAAGCCCATTGACTTCGGAAACTTCGGGATGATTCGCTTCAAGCCATACGCCCATACCGATGATGCCGAGAAGCAAAAACATGATAAAGTATAACGAGACAATTACCGATAAGAAGGAGACCGCCTTGTATTCGACACCGCCGAGTTTCTCGCGCTCCACAGATGTCAAGCCGTAGAATTGCGAGTTGCGTGAGATAAAGCCCTTGGAGGAAAAGTATTTCTGTGTACCGCGGATGATTCCCTTGAGTCCGAAGGCTGAGGAATCGTCAGTATACAGAGGCAATGGTGGAACATCGCGGGGATGGTTGTTGAGGTCTGGTCGGGCGCCCACGCCAGCCATAGGAAAGACCCGGTGGTGGTGATGGTGTTGACGGGTTTGAACATCGCCAACGGTGATTTGATCGTCATCCACCCATTGAATCTGATCATCACGGAGGGCCGAGCATCCAGCGGGATTCTCTCGAACCTCCACCGCCCCTTTCGGCTGAACCTGGCTGTCTCCTTCATCGAGAGGAGCATCTTGTTCCGGCGTGGAATTCTGCAATTCCAGGGCCGAGGGACGACGAGACGCTTCACGCTCTTCGGAGACGTGTTTCAGCTTGTCCTCAAATGCCTGCTTACGCACCATGAGGACGGTACTCGAGATGAGAATGGCCGATCCCAAGATCAAGAGGATGAACAGGATAGCTTGTTGGAAGGTATTCAAGGTTGACAGGTCCACCTATTGCAGAAGATTAATCTTATACTCGTTGGGTCCTTGGAGGGCTGCAATGTAGAAAAAGGAGGAGAAAACATACCGTATTCAAACCCGCACCAGTCATGGCACTAACACACAAGAAGATGGCATCGACATAGGCCACACTCTTCCACGGGGTGGAAGTCAAGTAGAAAATGATGCTGGCCACCAGACACGTCGCGATGAAATAGAGATAGTGCAGCGTGAGGAAATTGCACGGCGGCAGCATTGCCATGATAGCTCGGCCCATGGGTGCTCGCCATTTGCGAGCTACACACAATCGTTAATATCATCATAACGCAAGCGGGGAGAGTGGTTGACGGGGGGGATTGTAAACTAGGGAAGCGGTATAATTGGGTGTAAAAGATGCGATAAAAAGAAACGAAAAAGAAAACATACGGATCAGCATCGCGTGGAATTTCATTCTGGCAGGACGATATTTTCGAAGATATGCCAATGACAAGAACGGAACGAGACCAATGGTACGAGGTCGGTGTCGGTGTGCAATGCAGCTTTTCTTGCGTTGCACCGTAGCGGCTATCACTTCAAGTCGATAGCTCGAGGAAGCTCAAGTAGTTCAAGCAAAGCTAAGTAAAGCTCCCTTCCGCTACTTGGCTAGTCGTCGGACCAGAATCCAAAGTACCCCGTAACGAGTTTAAAGGCGCGCAACCACTACAGGCGGCGGGCGTGTTGGATCAGGATGGCGAGGCAGCGAGGGATCATGGCTTCAGTTGTGTGGCAGGAGAGAAGAGGGGGAAATTGACAGACCGCACCACTGCACGTCCTGCAAGACTGTGAGATGCACGGATCAGATGCCTGGCTGCGCGCGTTGTGGGTTTTTTGGGCTTGGAAGGGATATTTTTTTTTTGGATCAACAAGTTGCCCCACTTGCGTGAGGGTGTGGCGGACAGCGGACCTCGGGAGGGAAAAGGTACGAAGGAGGGAGGAGGGTCAAATGGAATGTCCTTGGTATGATGAGTATCGAGAGACGATTGAGGACAACTCATCAAGAGTAGAAGGACGTTCAATAGAGAACATACTGAAATTGGAAGTAGCAAAAGACGGTGAAGCGGAGAATTACTGTAGTCAATTCCCGTTTGGGTCTCTCGCGTTCTTGGCGCTGCGTAGGGCTGGACCGGACTGACAGCCTTGAGGATCTGAGACAATCTAGACGGGATCAATATATTCCAGTAGACATGGAATGACTGTTACTTTTTCTTGGAATAAATTATAAATACACAAGCACACGTTGGGAAAGACGAGAAGAGCTGATCCAGCAGGGAAAGATCTCGTAAATGGTCATAGTAGTGGAAGTATCCAGCAGTAGATCTCTGTAGTCCTCGAGCAGGATCTATAATATGCAAGTCTGAGCCTTACTCTCAAAGGAAGTCGATTCAAACCAGATCTATAGCCTTGCTACACCATTCTTCCATTTGGTTACAAGATATCTTCATAGATGATAGTCCTTATGGATGATAGTCTTCATAGATGATAGTCTTCATAGATGATAGTCTTCATAGATGATAGTCTTCATAGATGATAGTCTTCATAGATGATAGTCTTGTATCAAATCACTCCTACTCCTCCCTCCTCCAATGCCCACTCTTCCCCCCAACCTTCTCCAACAACCTCACATCCCCAATAACCATCCCCTTATCCACCGCCTTCAGCATATCATAAACCGTCAATGCAGCCCCCACCGCAGCAGTCATCGCCTCCATCTCCACCCCGGTCCTCCCAAAACAACTCACCGTCGCCAGAATCCGCATACACCCATGATCCTCCGCGCTCGCGCCCGCAGGCCCGTCCAGCTCCACGCTCACCTCCACCCCCGTGATCCCGATGCCCGGGTGACATAGCGGAACCAGGTCGGGCGTCTTCTTAGCGGCCATGATGCCGGCGATGCGGGCGACGCTGAAGACGTCGCCTTTGTGGGTGCCTTGGCCTTTGCGGAGGAGGGCCCAGGGGCGGGCGTTGGAGAAGGTGACCGTGCAGGCTGCGGTGGCGATGCGTTTGGTTTCGGGTTTGGCGGTGATTTGGGTCATGTGCACCGTTTGAGATGGGGTGAGGTGTGGGAGGTCGGGGTCGGAGGCGGTTGGGAGGGCGTGGGATTTGGGGGTTTCGTCGGGTTTATCCGAGTTGGTGTTTTGTGAGGAGCGTTGGGGGTCTTGAAGAGTCCCTGTGCTGTGGTAGAGACGAGCCTGTGGGGAGACGGGGAAAGAGGGAAGTATATGAGGAGGAATCTTCGACCACGGAGAGGACGAGGTGGTTCGGGATCTACTCGAGAATCCTAGTCCTGCCAGCGCGGGCTTACTATCTATTTGCCTAATCAGCACGGAAGACTAGAAAGATCGAAAAAGGACAGAACAAGCCCGAGATCAAAACATGAATTTGATAAATACATGGCACATGGCACCGAATGGTAAAATGCGATAATCTGTGAAGGCCGTGACGACAGAAAGGTATCCAAGCCAAATTCCCATGGACATATACAAAGGTCGTGAAATCATTCCAATCATGAGTGTGGACAAGATGAAATATGGGAAAGGAAAAGAAGATGAAGAGAGAAGAAAAAAAAGGGACAGGCCTACCCACCGATGAGAATCATGGGCCGGTTCTTCATATTCTCCAACTGGCCCATTCCGGCGTGCTTGGCCTTCTTGCGTTTCACGGCCATACCGATGATGTCGAGAATCTGGCGTTCTCGTTCATTGACCAGTCCACCCTCGTCACTCAAACGAGCAGCGGCCTGGACTGTCTCCATAAGCTGAAGCTGGTTCGCGGCGGCTTCATCGATAGGTTGTCCATCATTCTCTTTACGGATGATATCTCGCAGCGATACCTCCGCATTCCCAAATAGACACACTTTCAAATTCCCGTCGCTGGTAAGTCGCAAGCGGTTGCATGTGCCACAGAAGTTATGGGTCATGCTCGTGATGAATCCGACCCGGCCCTCGAAGCCGGGGACTTGGTAGGTTTTGCTAGTGTCGTTCTTGTGGTCTTGCACTTTTTCTAGATTGGGGTATTTTTCCCGAATCACCGCCAGCATCTCCTGGTATGAAAACATCTTGCCCTTATTCCACTTGTTCCCGTCAAATGGCATGTACTCGATGAACCGCACCTCGATGGGCTTCTCACGGCCCAGCTCGACAAAGGGGACAATCTCGCGGTCATTCATCCCGCGCATCACCACGCAGTTGATCTTCAACTTGATGCCTGCACCGGCCTTGTTCATTTCCAGAATTCGGTCGATACTCTTCATCACCGCATCGAAGCCCTTGCGCCGCGTCATGATCTGGAACTGGAAGGGGTCTAACGTGTCCAGGCTGAGGTTAACCCCGGTCAGCCCGGCTTCGACCATAGGATCGAGCTTGCGATGTAGCGAGATTCCATTCGTGGTCAGGCATAGCTCACGCAGGCCGTATTGCCGCAGCTTGCCGATATCCTGCATCAAGGGCACGATGTCCTTGCGCACGGTCGGCTCCCCGCCCGTCAGGCGAATCTTTGTCACACCTTGCGAGACGAAAAGCGATGATAGGTAGACGATTTCCGGGGATGTGAGCAGGCGCGCGGGTGGCGACAGCTCGATCCCTTCCTCTGGCATACAGTACAGACACCGCAGGTTGCACCGCTCGGTGACGCTAATTCGGAGGTAATCATGTTGACGATGGAAGGTATCGGTCAGGAACTCGGAGAATGGCTTTGCGGACTTGAGTGCCGTGACTCGAGAGGAGGACGAGGAGGAAGCATCGCGGTGCGGGTGAGGCGGAGGAATCTCGGATGGCGCGGGGTCTGCTCGTGTCGAGGTGGATGCTGCTGAGCTCTGCAATCGAGTCTGCGCCGCGACCGAAGCCCACGACGCGGGGCGAATCCCCGTCCTGGGGATGGACAGGACCCGTTTGCACAGCATACCCGCCATGTGTTAGAATCCAGGAACTGACAGGATCATGGCGAGGGGGGGTGGTATTGGATATTAAATATATAAAATCCGTGTCCAAGGACCGGAGGTGAGGGGCTCCTTTGGAGTAGTACTACTGTAAGGAGTGGACAGGAAGTGGCAAAGCGTGGAGCTTATCGCGCAGCCCCCGCTTGGACATTCCTGGGGCGGTGACTTTGTTAAGTAAGAAGTCGGCGCCCTCCGCGGAGGTCACTCGTGTCCTGGTCCAGTGGCGTTTTGGCACCAAATCAGCGCCCGTAACTTGGTCACTCATCCACCCTCCGGCAGGGAGGAAGGGATAACAATTGGCTGGGCTAATGTTTACACAGGTGATGATTCATAAAGATTTCATACAGTACAGTAGTAATTATATCTACTGTACTCTATCAACTCCATACAATGACCGAGATCCCTCATTACTGCTTGAGTAGCTTCTGCACCCGCTTAACAAGGCTCTTCTCAAACTGCTCCACTCCATTCGACTGCTCGTTCAGCTTGCCCGCCTTGAGCACATACACTGACCGGCGTCGCGGGGTAGATTCTGTGGATTCCTCCTCTTCAACGCCCTCAAAGTCCTCATCAAGCTTGTGCTCCGTATCTCGCTTCCCTTCAACCACAGATCGGACCAGGAACCGGTCGTGCGAAACGAGAATAATGGCCCCGTTGAACGAGGAAAGCGCGGTAGCCAATGCGGTCACGGTGTGGAAGTCCAAATGAGTGGTAATTTCATCCAGAACCAGCAGCTGTGGTGATGTCCAGACGATTCGTGCTAGGGCAAGCCGGACTAGTTGTCCACCAGACAGTTTGGCCACGGGTACATCGGAAACAATGCGGCCAGCCAAACCCATGGACGAGAGCAGGCCGCGAATGGCCCCTTCATCGAGATGGCCTTGTGTCTCGGCCGTCAACAATCCCAGTGCGGTCAGATGAGGCTCACTCCGACCGCGCTCCTGCAACTCTTCGACTGAATGCTGGCCATAGTAGCCCACCTTCAGTCGTGGATGGGTTGAGACCTTGCCCTTTGACGGCGGGATCTGGCCGTTCAAAATACGGACCAAAGTAGTCTTGCCAGACCCATTGAGCCCCATGATACCCACGCGATCACCGATATGCACCACGAGATGCACATCATCTAGAATGAGCCGACCGTTCTTCTGATATGAAAAGTTGATCCCTTCTAGCGACACCAAGGGCCCAGGAAACCGCAGATCCGTCACATCCGGCAGCGCCATCGATGCGCCTCGCTCATCCTGTGGCACCTCGATCTCCGCGCGGGAAGTGAGAAAGTACCCGGCCATATCACGATTGAGCTTGAAACGATGTCCATTGGCACTGACTTGCAGACCCATCCGATCATCCACTTTCTTCTGTCGGGACTTCGCTTGCCGGAGCTTATTATCGTCATTGGTTTTCTTCCCGGCCTTCACGGTCTCGCGAATACTCGCCTCCATTTGTGCTTTCTGTCGCTCATGTGCTTCCTTCATGCGTCCCCTGTAAAGCTTCTGCTCTTCAAAGTCTTGTTCGTAGGCAGCGAGATTGCCTCGGAAATAGGTGAATTTCTGATCTCGTAGAATCACAATCTCCTCGCAGACGGCGTTGATGAAGTCGCGATCGTGCGAGACTAGAAGGATCGTTGTTTCCGATGTCTCGCGTAGTTGCTGGAGATAGTTCTCGAGCCAGATCACTCCTAGAAGATCCAAATAATTGGTCGGTTCGTCGAGAATCATGATGTCCGGGGACTGGACCAGGACGCTTGCGAGCAAACATCGCATCCGCCAACCGCCTGATAGGGTAGAGACCTTTTTCTCAAAGGTTTCTTCTTTGAATCCGAGGCCTAGAAGAATCCGACGAGCTTCTTTGTCCATGTCTGCCAGGTTCATCTAACTGAGGTAAGCTTGGGGTGGTTGGTGCTAACAGTATTGGGCAATTTACATCTTCGATCTGCGATTGCAAGGTCTGTAGTGTCTCTGCCGCGGCTTGTGTATCCACCTGAACGGCGTCTGCATCAATGTTCTCGGGGTCTTGAGAGAGTCTGTAGAGATAGAGATGAGCTTGGGCAGTTGTAAATCATGAATCTCATGTATCTTCTCGATTCCGTACCGTTCACTAACAGACTCCATATTCGCCTCGGCAGTCTTAAGATCCTTTCTAGCCTGAAACCCCCTCGCCCCACTTTTCAGATCGGCATTCTTATGAGCCAGGAAAAGATTCAACTCTGCCTGTTGATATTGAATCTTGCGAATCGCCTTGACAGGTTCCAGCGGATCTTCCGTATCGAAGCTTTTAGAAAGGACTAGCTCTTCGTCAGTCACGAGCGTTTCGATGTGAATAGAGGTATATGTATTCTCACATTCTGCCGTGCGCACAGTCTCATTTCTGGTTTCATCACTGCTGAGAACTGCATCCAGGATGGTCCTGTCTAGTCTCAAGCTTCCGTAGCCTCCAGATTCATCTTCCACTCCTGTTTGCTGGAGAATTGCAACGCGGGTCACATGAGGGATACCGGGGATGAGTTTATCTGCCATTGCTCTCAGGAGGGCTGCAAGTGAGAGTTAATAGATGTACCGAGATTAATCGGGTGGTTGGCGCGTACTGGACTTTCCCGTTCCATTGCGCCCGAGGAGACCATAGTGAACACCACCTTTCAGACGAAGATGAGCGTCGGATATAAGCTCTTTTCCAGATGCCTTCGCCTTGGACTTCCCTTTGATCTTTGGTTTTGACGCTTCGTCTGTGGAGTCTGCTGCAGCAGAGGCGATAGTAATACACAGACCCTCTACATCAATCTTCAAGGGGATAGGTTCAAAAGATCAGAGTTGGCTCTCGGTATGGGATTAAGCGCGTCCGTCGCACACACCTCGGTTGATGGATTCCCATCCAGCAAATGAAACCGCGTCTGCTTGCACGTCGCAAGGATAGTCGGGGCCGAAGTCATGATATTTGTTTGGATTCAACTCGGCTGTCAATGATGATTGACGATTCGTTGGCCGGGAACGTGACAATTGTGGCAGAGACAAACTTCATATAGAATTGTGGCGCGGATAGGCCTCGGTCGCGATTAGACTTCTCGCCACCAGCGATCGGTTGATTGAGAACGAAGATCCTTCAGAAGAGTCATTGCCAAGCCATAAGAAGCGAGAACAATCCACAATCATTCATACTTGATGCACACTTGCGACTGTTGGTTGTCGCATTTTCTGGGGTCGGGGTCCCGAAATGGTTTAGTCTGAGGCCTCAGGCCGTTTCGACGCATTCCACGGGTGGTGGAGTTTGCCGCCTTCTACCCAAGTTCAGTGCATAAGACATGTTGGGATTGAGTTATTTGATGTGTGACTCTTATACCAAAGACCGCTTTTAAGTTGTTCGGATATTATTCTGTGAGTCAGAGCGCTTCCGACTCCAGTAGTTAAGTGGGTCCGTATATGTATATGGTTTTGAGACTGGGTCTGTAATTTTTTTGCTTAGAAACGCACAAATTGTCCTATAGTGCTGTGATCAGACCTTGCTTTATGACTATGCATTGTCTTCTTTAAGCCACTGTGCTAGAATTACCGACAGCACCACGCTACTTTTCTCTTGGCAAGAATAAGCTAAGTTTCTAATTTTGTAGAGGACCTCAAGGTTCATACCGAAGGAATCTACTTGCCCAGGTTATGTACTACGATGTTTGTACATATGTGGTTAATAATACTTTAAAAATTTACATATACAGGGTCATATGATACAACTCACTAACCCCCCCCCCCCCCCCACTTCACCCCAACGCAGTCTCTTCTAGAAGAAAAACACAGTGAGCAGCACAGCCGCCACAGAGAAAATTGTAGAGAATTGCCCCATCTTAGCAGCATCTCCGGTAAACGGGCTGCCAGGTGCGCTCGTCGTCACGGAGGTTGTCTGTCCGGAGACAGTATTCATCGTTGTAGCATGAGTAGCACCCCGAGCGGAAGTAAAGGATACGACGCCAGTTTTCCGGGCGTCGGACGATTGTGCGTGTGGAATAGTATAGTTACCACTTAACCCATTGGCGGGAACATCGAGCTGGGTAACTGAGAGACTGGAATCTGTCTCTGTGCCCTGAGCAGAAGTAGTACTGGTAGTCTGAATCAGACCCGTTTGAGGATTGATTGGGATTGTTCCTGTAGCTTGGGGAGCTGTGGCTTGAGTACCCTCGGGACAAATTGTTGTAACATATGTGACTGTCTCGGTCGTCACGTATGTTGTTTGTTGGTGTGCAGGGCAATTAGTGACCACGGCAGCACAAGAAGTGATTGTATGAACCTCAGTCGCTGTGACAGTATAAGTCGAAGCACTTGGTGTGCTCCCACCTGATTCCTCCGAGGACTGAGTCAAAGGAGATGATTCGCTCGGCGCCACGGTTGTGATAGTAAGCGCTGTTGAGCTGGCTGCAGGCTGTCCCGCAGTCGGAGTTGGAGATGCTGATATAGACAAAGGAGATAGGCTAGAAGCGCATGATGAACTGCTCGGGGACGCGTCGGGCGATGACAAGCCCGCAGGAGATGAAGAGGGGACAGAACAGGGGACAGAAGAAGAACCCAAAGGAATGACGTCTGTAGAGACGGAAGATGTAGCCGTACGAATCAACGGAGTTGACGACAACCATGTAGGAGAAGACACCGGGCTGGATGTCCTGGAAGAAACTGAGGTCGACGACTGGATTAGTGGTGCCGAGGAAGGCGTTGAAGACGACGGTACTATGGAAGACGGAGAATAACCCGGGACAGAAGGAGAAGATCTCGAAACAGAGGACACCGACTGGACCGGGGAGGAAGTGACAATAGCAGACGAAGACGGAATCGGGGTCGGGCTCGAGGTCACAGTATAAACAACCTCGCCAGTTGACGTGGCTGAGTAGGTGTCTGTAACCAACCAAGTCGAGACGCAAGGACTGACAGTAGCCGCATAACGGAGTACTCCCTGATACGGCCCGCCAGGTGTGATAGTCACATCGCCTTGGAGCAGATAACAGGTAGCACCATCCCAAAAAACTGCACTACAGGCAGATTGGACTGCACAACCTGATGTACAAGCCCTCAGTGAAAGGCCTCTGGCGGCCTCAATGAGACTGCCACCACTGTATGAGGCTGCACAGGTCTCCTGCCACACTGCCCCATATGTGTTATAGTATCCATCGCTACAGGCGATCTGCATGGAAGACGCAACAGTGCAGCCAGCGATGGCGGATGAGGAAGTGGCGACGCTTGAGGTTGGGAAGACCGTCGTAAAGGTACTGGTGATCTCCCTGGCAATTGACAATGGAGCTAGGACTGCCATTACCAGAGCAGGTGGAAGAAGCTGTTCTCTCCACCGGCCCATGTTGTTGAATAGTCAAACGAATGTAGAACAACAATTTAAGAGAGAAGAAAAGGGGCACTTGCAATGATTCAGATGATATTTATTCAACTGCTCGCTATATTTTACCCTGTTTTCCATTTTGTGTATGGATTCTATCAAGTCCCTGCAGCAAGAGTAATACTTGCCGACGAACTCTACTTTAGTGGGGCGATTGTAGACTAGGACTACTCCGTAGTAAGTTTTCAATGGTGCGATCGTCAAAACTCCACCTGGCGCACGACGGACTGTTTTTTCCAAGGCATTTTATCCTGGCTAAGTTGGCTCTGATCTGAAGAATTAGGTGCAGAGCCAGTCAAATTGCGAGAAATTCAATGTCTTTGTCGGCTGAAGCCGCAGTTCTCGGCCTCGCCGCCGCAACAACTTACCCAAGGAGATAGCTCTTTTCTTCCAGAATTCATGGCAAATTTGGCACCTCTCTTCTCTTGCCTGGATCATAGCACAGATACATTGCCCTCCATTTATCTCTTTCATACCAGTGAAACAGCCAAGCTGCCTTATCATCTCCTATGTGCAAGCTATATGCCAATGCGAACGCAAAACTCCTCGACTATGTCTGTACCGCTTACAAGAGAAACAGAAAATCAGCTCAAATTTACAATCTCAGTATAGCATTGAAGTTTCTTGAAACCTGGGGACCATTCGCTTAAGTCGAGTCCACTCAAATGGATGTAATACGATCTGCCTTGATCTGCCGTCTGGGCGGGTGTCCCATCCTCTGTTTTGAATGAATCCATCCCATTGCTACCTCGTAGTCATCCACACGCCGGCTTCTACTTGACGTGATTGTTACCCGACACGAACTCAACCTGGAAACTCAAAATACCACACTTCCAAGAGCCTCAGCATCACTCTTTTCCCAAGGATACTGTTGCTCTAAGGACTGAACAAGCTCCCGATGCGTCTCACTTCGAGGAGAAATCGACAATTCGAATGGAGCCGGGTGGCTAATCACACCTGGCAGGAATTTCAGAGGCACATCTTGTATCTCACCATTGCGTATCGGCTTTGAGATATTGAAAACTGCCAGAGACTGTGCAACAGAAAGGAACACATTTGCATCTGCCAAAGTACGCCCTGGACAGACCCAGCGGCCAAATCCAAACACAAGTAGGTGAGGGTCTCGTTCCGGGTGTGGGTTCTCGGGTGTGACGAGGAAACGTTCTGGTTTGAAGGCCATGGGATCAGAGTAGACCTTTTCATCATGCGTAAATGCCCTGGAAGATGGAATAAGCGTCTATTGATCAAAATATGAGGGCAGATACACACCATATATTAGCAAGAATAGATGATCCCTTGGGGATCAAGTATCCCTCACAGATATCATCCTGGCTTGAAGCGTGTGCAACGCTCATCGGAGCAACCGGGTGCCATCGCAGTACCTCTTTCGCTAAAGCATTGATGTACGGAAGATTTTCACGGTCCTTGAACTCCGGTAACTGATTTCTCCCAACCACCATGTCAATTTCCAGCTGCGCCTTGAGTTGCGCTTCCGGGAATAATGCCATGGCCAGGAAGAAGCTCGCAAGAGAGGATACAGTCTATTATCTTGTTAGCAATTCACGAAGCAATGTCGTTATTGACTGGTACTCACTGTGTCCGCTCCTCCGGCGTATAATGACCCAGCCGACCATTTGAGAATATTTTCATCTTCCGATCCTGGCTCCACGGGGTTGGTCTCGAGAAGGTTGGACAGAAATGATGGTGTAATGCATCCGCTTTGCATTTGTTGTCTTACAAACTCGAATGGAATACCACTGAACGCTTTTACTCGTCTCTTATATGCCTGGGCTGTCTTGATGAACCCCGCGCCAGGCAGCCAAGGAGGCAAATATCTCACTAGTCGAGTTATTAGAACAACTGAATAAATTTGCTCCGCTTGTCCTAGTCCGGTCACTCACACATTGGGAAGAAATCCACGGCCCATGTTGCTGGGAGCAAGGCGTATGAGAATTCCTCCATCGCTTTGTCGGCCAGATCCACGAGGGGATCCTTACGATGAGGCTCAATGGTGTAGCCATAGCCAATCTTTAAGATAATAGCCCCAGCCTCTCTATACATCATTATTATTTACGCAACCATGCAGTATACATCGGGATAGCGAGAAAATATCCACTCACTTACGAATATGCTGTTGAAGCTTTTCTGGCGTGTCCAGGACTCTCAGTAAAAAGCGAGCGACCTCGGCTTGTTGAACTTCGTTGAAGGAGGATACGGATTTGTTGGACCCGATCTCCTGATAAATATTCTTTCGGGTTTGTCGAACATGCTCTGGTTTTCGGAGTGCTCCGAGAATCTCGTCGCAGCCTGACCTATGGAAATCAGCTTAATGTCATCGTTTGCAAAATTCCCCTTTCATCTTACATGTCAGCAAATGTCTGTTGACGGCGCAAAGAGTGGATCGCTGATCGCTTTTCCAGGAGTTGCACAGCCAGTTGAGCATCGTTCAAAATGATAATAGTTGTTCCCAGCACACTAAGGGAGCTGATGGGTCCTAGACAGAAAAGCTCGGCCTCGAGTGCTTTTTATCTTATGGAGTCACGTTCTTACCAAATAGTTTCTTATGTTTAAGCCAATGCTGCCAGACTTGCTCGTCTGGTGTAGGCAGGTCCATCAAATTACCAATGATTGGCTTGCGCAGAGGGCCGGGGGGAGAGGCGGAAGTCGTCTTTTCCGCCCCCGGAGGACAGTGAAGCCATATAAGCTTATTAAGACTACGGATATACTGATCCATAAAGCAGACAACATGGTCGATAGTACGATTTGAGAAAGATGGAATCAGTCAGAAGAGGGGAAGTTCTGCGGGTTGAGCTGCTTTTAATACTCTTCGGAGGCGCTGACATTGGCGTCAGCTCTTACTCGCATTGATTTTTATTGGTATCGGAGGCAGGCGATTGAGGGTGGCATTGCAGTATACTTGCATTGTCTCAGACAGGTGAATTCATTTAATAGGTGGTCTTGCTGCAGTTTTGTGGGGCTGCTGTAGGGGTAGCAGGCTGTTATGTGTCAAAGTACATACTTGCAAAACGGCCGGGTTGGTAGAGGTGGACCTGCCCCTCCTATATGGTTCAAATACTACAAGGACCTCCTTCGCAACAACCAGGCACTTCTGTTGGATCACGTAGCCCACGGTACTTGGACCATCCTGGCCCGAATTGTTGATCGCATTAGCCAAGTGATAGAGCAAGTATTAATCTTGCCTAGAAGCCCCGTGTTTGGGATAGTAATGCTTATATAGTTCGTTGAATGGGTTGAACCTGGATGTATATAATTTGCAGTGCTGGTCCAGTGATTATTTTTTTTTTTTTGTTGATCGAATTAGTGTCATACTAGGCGAGTAATTAATGCGAGTCGATACACCATTTTTGGAAGTGCTTCTATGTCTGGTGGAACCCAGGCGAGTTATATATAACCATCAAAGGCGACAATGTCCAAACGACTGCTATAAACGCCAGGTAGGTAGGCGAGTCCTTCAATATGAAACATTTCCCTTCAAACTAATATATTTGTATAAAGATACAACAACTGCTAAGAGTAAGACTAAATGCCGTTAATAATACAGTGGCAGTTCAAAAGTCTGAAACCAGGGACCGAGAAAACAGGCCGTCAAAATATGCCTCGATTTTATGTTTTTAACAGATCTTTCTGAATGTCCTTTGGACCCTCTTTCTAGATATTCCCCCGGCATCTGTGTTTCAACTTGTCTTTCAAAGTATAGCTGATGAGATGGGTTTGAACTTTTTTGGGTGTTGCAAACTTATGGATCTCCACTGTAATTCAACGACGCGGGATAAGCCCATTCAGGTTATTGACTTCATGTATTATAGTCCTAGAATATCAAAGTTTGACCAATCGAAAGCACTAGTGGTGTAATGGTTAGCATGCATCCCTTCCATGTACAACTCCGTACCAAGGAGGCAGGATGCGTTCGGGGTTCAATTCCCCGCTAGTGCATTCTTTTTCCTTTTTCCTTTTTTTTATTTTTAAATCTTGTTTCTTTTACGACGCTGCTTATCATCATCGTAAGCGCAGAATTCTACGTTAGATGTATGTCTAGGATGTACTCCGTATATATATATATATATATTTTAGGAATACTAAAAGGTGGTGACACGGTCGCATGTTATATGCCATTGTAATCATCACCGCAGGATAATATTTATTTGCAATTTACATACCTCGCCCGTGGGTATTAGTTGAACATCTTAAGGATTCCACAGTAAACTACATGAGTCAAAACATTGATAATCGTACATCGACAGCACTAGTGGTGTAATGGTTAGCATGCATCCCTTCCATGTACTCGGTACCGAGGAGGTAGGATGCGTTCGGGGTTCAATTCCCCGCTAGTGCAACGTCTTTCTTTTTGAATCCTTTTAGGCCACTCGAAGGCCCCGTCTGTTTTTCTCTGACCAGGAACAGAGTGTAGAGATCCACCGTCAAAACGTCCAGAGAATTCAATAATTCCCTCGTCGAAACAAGCATTTACGCGGGATTGAGCTTGATTTCGTATACCCTTTTTGGGGGTGTTACGTACAATGAGCTACCTTATAACTAACTAACTTAGTTAGAGGCTATTTTATGAGTAATGTACTGGATCTACATGTTTAGAAATGCATATTTTCTTCTACTTCCAAAAGGTGCATCTTTTATTTGTTCAAATGTGTATCCGGGTTCGATCAATCAGCTGTAAAGTCACCTCGGACAACAAGTACCTAATTCGGGGTGACCCGGTAGCTCAACCTTACGCATACAGTCCAAGATCTAGGATCTGGCTTCTGGGTCAAGCTTAAGCCTACTTTCTCAAACATCGTCTCCAATAATAAGGGTCATTGTCCGTAGGTCCCATAAAGCCTCAGGGGCGGCGGGGCTGAAAGGACTTGATATGTAATACGGTGCAGTGCGCGAGGTAGCCACCTACAGAGATCACTCACTACTGGAGGGTAAGACGGTCAAGAGGAAAGGGATCAAATCTCACGACTTGGTAGGGCTCGTCTCTTCGGCTCGCTCACCTGAAAAATGATCACTAGCGAACTAACTATACGCCTAGTCCACAGAGTGTCCACAGTCCCCTACAAATCGAATGGCACCACGACGGGGCGCCCCATCATTTTGCAGGGCCCAATAGCCTGGTTCCCGCCACCCGGAGTTCCAATCATTCCCCCCGTAAATCCCTCCACTCCAGCGATCCCAGACAAGAATAATTATTATTCATACGACCTGCTCGTCGAACGTTATGTGTGCTTACAATCATAGTACGGACGTAACAACCTAACTTAACTAACTAGAAGATGGCTACTGACTAATACAGGCGCTAAACTCCGGATAAACGATTAACTACCAACTCCAAACTCCGAAAAGAGTAGTTGTAAGCAAGAGAAACAGAACGAGAATGTCCCACCTCACGTGCCGGGGTGGAGCCGCTTTTTGAGTTGAGGAGGGGACGTGGGATTATGTCACCGTCAGCGATGCTTAATCTTTCCCACTCCTCCTGCCCACATCCGGTCGCTTCTAGCGCCTCTTTGGGATCACTCCTCCTGCTTCTTTTCGTCCCGACCGCGATCTCAAAGTTTCCTTGACTCTCTCCTCTCTCTTTCACAATATGCGTTCTGCCTCTCACCCTTGGATGGTGAGTCAGCCCCACGGTCGCCTGTAAACACGGTGTGTGCCCCACAACCTGAGCACCCTGTCTCGGAAGTTCTGCTCGGTCGCAAAAACCCCGGATTTTTGATCGCCATCATCGAATATCCTGGACTCCCGCCAACCAGAGCATTATTATCATTATTATTATCACTTGGGCTGGAATCGTCGACCTACAGAGATAGTCATATGTGCCAAGTGGGGGATCAGCCAACTATGCTTCATCCGATCTAGACTTATTCTGTCTGTCATTCGACTTCGATTCCGCGCCACACAGTCGCACAGGTTGGTAATCCTGGACACCAACTTTTAAGCCGGCCCCTGGCATTCGCAACCTCGAAACGTGACCGACACACCCTTCAAAATAAAAATGGAGGGAGTTCAGACTGTGGATGTGAGCTGGCTTCATCATTCACAGAGAGGCAAGTCGCAAGTCCCGCTCGCTGCTGGCCGCCCGCGGGTACATCCTCGGAGGCGGAATCCGGCAACTCTGGTCGGAGGTTGGGCAGCAACTGACGTGCCTTCTTCAGATCATCTCTCGCGAACCAAGTCAGTTCCGTCGACGATCAGCGACAAGTCCTCCACCGAGAAAGGGCCGACAACTACAACCTCCACCTCACACCGAAGATCTCGTTCGAATAGTAGTCCAGCTGTCCCGCCTGCCTCGGATAAACCGCAACCTGGGCACGACCCTCAAAATAATGCTGGCAAGGTAGAAGAGACAGGACAGGCAAGTGAGAACACGACAGAGCCGCCGAAGCAATTGCCGTCCACACCGTCCCCGACAGTACAGAAGAGTAGCCCAAAGCCCATCGGCGGGCGGCGAAATTCATGGATATCTAGTCTGAGCTCTAAATTCTCCTCGGGGTCGACCCCTCCGTCGCAGTCCAGTCTAAAGGGAAGCACTGCGAGCCCCAAGGCAACCCCTCCGCTTGATGCTCACAACCCCTTTGGCGCGGCCTATTCACCAAAGGACCGGGAAGATGAGAAGAAGGACGACCAAAGTCTATCTAGCTCTACATCGCCCAAAGGTCCCTCTTTCATCCATAATGCGTTGCGCAAGTTCTCATCCAACTCCGGAGGTCTCCCCAAGCTACCGGCTAATGGCGTTATTTGCCCGCGACGGGTGATGAACCTCGATGAGGGTCGAGACCGTTGCAAGATATCAGAGCTGAACCCAGCCAAGCTGAATCGCGTGGCATTCTGTGTCGACGTGGAGATTGCAGGCATCTCTCATCGAGATTCCGATGAGGATGCACCTCCAACGAACCAATTGCGACAGTCTCTGCCCGAGTCCAATCGCCAAAAGTCGAAAAAAGCCGATGCTAAAGAAATGGGCAAAGAGGACGCCGGAGCATCGAAGAAACCTCAACCCGTCGTGACTGAAAAGGAAGCACCTCTCCCGCCGATTCCGAAAGAGACTGCTTCCCCAGACACTCAATCTACAACTCCTGCAACTGAGGTGACTACCCCGAAAGCTTCCGCCGATGGAAAGCCCAACGGAGAAGCGAAAGATCCGACTCGGAAGCAGGAGAAAAAGAAACGATCGGAAGAAGAAAGAAGGGAACGCAAGGAGCGTAAGCGCAGGCAAGCCGTGGCAAACGGTTCAATCCCATTACAGCTCGATGCGGAGCATGACGAGGATGAGAGTCGTGCACCAGCAGCTGGAGTTTCTCGTCCAAAGACTCATAGTCACCCCACCACAGATCCTGTGCGTATATATCGCCGGTGCTGCCAGCTTCGTGAAACGCCAGTCCTTAAGAGGATTGTCGATGAAATTTCGTCCCCTTCCTCAACGCTGGCCGAGTCTCCCGGCACTGTCGCAGCTTTGGATTTGAGTAACTTTCCGATGACTGGACAAGATATCGCAACATTCAGCGATTGGCTCGCAATTGTGCCCGTGCGCAAGCTCATTCTCGAGAATTGCGCCCTCAACGATGATTCTGTGCGAGCCATTCTTTCCGGGCTTCTCTCTACCAAGACGGTAGAGCAGATGCGACACCGACGGAGACGGGCCCGGAAACCAGACTCTCTCGTCGTCAAGGACGGGCGATGGGGCGTCGTGGAAAAGCTCTCGCTTAAGAATAACCCGAAGATTGGGCATGAAGGATGGCGTCACATCAGCTTGTTCATCCACCTGTCCAAATCTCTCAAGGCCATTGACTTGTCTGGTATTCCTTTCCCCAAACCCCGATCATCCTCTGATAGCTCTACCGGCTCCACAGGGCAGCCTCAGACGCACCCTGTTGATGTTTGCACTATCTTCGCGGATGCTTTGGGAGAACGCTTTGGTGGCGAGCATCTTGAAGAATTGTTGCTTAGTGAGTGCATGCCGTCAATGGATCAAGTGAAGAAGATCTGTATTGCCGCCACCAGAATGAAGTTGCGAAGACTGGGCCTGGCGAATAACGGTATCACTCGGGAGGGCCTGGAACATGTGATTGAGTACCTCAAAGATGGCTATTGCGAAGGGTTGGACTTGGGTGGAAATCTTATCAAGGACGATCTCGATCTCATCGTGGATGCAATCGAGCCTGAGCTGCCTCTTTTCGCACTCAGTCTTGCCGATTGTTCCTTGACGCCGTCTGTGATCTGCCCGTTGCTCCAAGCTCTTACCCGACTTCATAATCTTCGCTTCATGGACGTTTCTCATAATCCTGCGTTGTTCTCTTCGCAACCCAGTTCTCTCGGAGCATTCCGACGATTCCTGCCCAAGATGCCTTCGCTCAAGCGCATCCACCTGGCGAATGTTGACCTTTCGCCCGATCATGTAATTGGTCTGGCCGAAGTTCTCCCTGAGTGTCCCAGCCTCTGCCATTTGAATATTCTGGAGAACCCCCAGATCGCTGCAGTAGCTTCTAGCACGGATGCTGCTGCTCAGGAAGAGGCATGTGCAGTCTACGCTTCTATGATGGCAGCTGTTCGCGTTTCGAGAACGATCATCGCGGTGGACATTGAAATTCCTACCGCCGAGAACAATGAAGTCGTCAAGGCTTTGGCATCCCAGATTGTCGCATACTCCCTTCGAAATCTCGAGGGCGGTGCAATTGCCGAAGAACTTTCTGAATCGATTATCACCTCCCCGACCAGGGATGTCCCTGTGCCCGAGATCTTACAACACATCGTCGGCCATGCAAACGGTCCTGAAGAGCCTTGTGACGAAGATGATGATACAGCTCCTGATGAGGACTATGTCATTGGTGGTACAGGCGTCGTGAAGGCACTGGGTGTCTGTCTCGGCAACTTGAACCAAGATGGCAGTGACGCCCTCGGAGATCAATCAGCTCCTCCCAGTGGTACATCAACCCCCCGACGCCGTAAGTCTCGTGGCGTTGTTGGGAAGCGGCCTCGTGACATGTCGAAGAACCTATTGGAATCGGCACGGAATATTCGAGCTCGGATTCAGACAGCTCTCATTCGCGAGGACCGAGCAGGTAACGACGCGAACTATAGTGAGTACATGGCAACAACCCGTGTTCGACTATATGCTAACTCTTTCTACTTACAGGGCGTCTGCAATTCTTGGACTTTACTCTTCAACGAATGATCCAACGCTTCGAAGACGAGTACCCCGAGACTCGTATTGTGCCTCAACCTGCTCCTGTATCAGCCGCTCCCGACAACACCTCACAGCACTCCGGTGAGGATGCAACTGGACAAAGCGCCGCCGGAAACTTGAACGGTATTGCTATTGACAACGAGAACGCGATCGACGATGAAGAAACCGATCAATACGCTATTCACCTCTCACGCACCAACTCCATAACCTCCTTGCATGCTCGCGCCATGACCTCGGAAGAAGGCCACCTTCACCGACTAGGCCAAAATCTCCGCCGTGACTTCCTCAACCCACCCCTAAGCCAAGGTGACCCCGATGATGATGCTGCGGCGCATCTCGTGGCTTTGCGGGAGAGACTGGAGCGCATGCACGAACAGCAGCCCCAGTCACCCTTCGACAGCGCCGAAGCCGAACAGGCCTTCGAGAAGCTCGGTTCGACCGTCGACGAGCTCTGGGCCGCTCAAAGGCAGGATGCAGAGGCCTTTGAAAAATTCAAGCAGTCCCAGATCGCGGCACAGATCAACAGCGGCCTGCGTGTTGCTGCGTCCATGCCGGATGCTAGCAGCGAGGAGTCATCCAAGAAGAGTTCCAGTGACGACGCCCAGCAGAGTTCTGAGAGCAAGTCTCTCTCACCTCCTTAATATCACCTCTCGAACATCCCCTCCCATATCGATACGCATAATTTGTGGTATAATTTGTGGTCGTGTATATGTCCTCTACTCTCCCTTACTGTTTGAAAGCGTTGCTGTTGCACATATTGCCCTTGTATGTTCAAATATCATCGATCTATTTTATCACCAGCATTACCATTACCATCACCATTGTTTTTATCATATTCGCTGCTACCAATTTGCTTTTCACAGTCATTATATGGGTCTTGTACATATGTGACCTTACTTGGTTGCTTCGGCAACGCTCGCCAGATACTATGTATGGCTCAGTACCCATCTCACTGTCATTTTCACAAATAATCTTGTTTTTCATCCCAGGATGTGAAGGTTTGCGGATTATGTCAAAGTCCAGTCCAGAGAAAAAGCATTATGCTAATGTGAGGGCTAAGCAGATACTTATCCTGAAATACATATTGTTTACCGTCTCCATTTCATGTCGTGCAGCTAAGGACTGTTGAATTCGAGATAGTACAGCACTCCAAATATCTGGAATTGAACCAGTCTGATTGGCGTAAAGGATTTAATGCTGTTAGAGGCATAGTGACTTAGAGTGAATGGTCATTCAATGATTTGAATTCCAAACATCCTCTTGGGATACTTTAGCTATTTATTTTATAACAAGCCAACTCCAATTATGGCAGTTAGAGCCAGAGAAAGCAGGAGCAAAGCAAAGAACGATCATCACGGCACCCAGAGTCCAACCCGCCAGCGGGAACTATGCAACAGAAACAAAGTAAAAATACAGGTCATGACGGCGTCCATCATCCAATTGATGCTAAGTACCCGGCACTGCAGCTTCAAATCATTCGGGACTAGAAACGTCCTTCAGAATCTCCCAGCCATATTCCTGCTCTGGCTTCTCGGGCTCCATTCCCAAAGCGTTGCGGTATGCCCGGACTTCGTTTTGTAGACCAGAGATGATGCGGATGGGTAGCTCCTCTTCGTCTGACCTGAGTTGATGTGCATTGCGAATCATTTGCGCGCATTTCATTGTTTGCGTGTGCCAGTAATCCCGGTCAAGACGGCTCTCCAGATGTGCGTCTCGCTCGGCTTGTAGGAGGTTGTTGTAATGGGATTTTTGGTATAGGAAATGCATGTTGTTGTTTTGGCAATAATTGCGGATTTGCTCTACCATGGTGCCCACGCTGGCTTCGTAGTCACTGATCAGTTTGGTGTTCTCGACTTGTTCACGCCTTAGATCTTCGACTAGCCGTTTTTCCTTGGCGAGGGCACGTTCGAGCTCCGAGATGCGGGCAGCTGTTGGACTAGTGTTTAATGAAAGTTGATTTGTATGAATGGAGTGTGATTCCGATGACATACCGGTGATCTCGCCGTTGACCTGTCGCATAACAGCACTTGCATCCTCCGAATTGCCATGTTTCTATCTCTAGTGTTAGCCCGGTTCTCCTATCACCTAATCATCTTGTCCAGAACATACCATAATATCTTCTGCACTTGAGACAATGCTCTTCGTTACCTCTCGGTTGTTCTTCAGCACGTCACTCAGCTCCAGCACCATCTCATACAGGTGATGTAAATCCATCTGATGACCCGCATTCATAGACATGCTGGCATTCATCGCAGCGCCCATCCCACCCGAACCAGCACCTGCACCGTTGACTTGTGGAGCGGAGTGAGGATATGCAGGAGAGGGTGGTTGCCGTGGCATGCTGCCCATGTTTGGAGTTGGTGAATTCTCCGTGTAATTGGAAAACATGCCCGGTCCTGGATTGTTTCCGCCAGCCATTCCACCAGCACCGCTGTTCATGGACATATCGGCGAGCTCAAAGGCACGATTCAATTCCTCGAGCTGGGGATCGTAAGGATTGATGGGGCGCGAGGAGCCGTTTTCCTCGTCGTACCAGGAGGCGCGATTTTCAACGCCTAGGACCTCCTTTTGAAACTTCTCAAGGTCACGGCGAGTAACGTGGGTGGAACGACGGCGGTGCCCACGTGTATAAGGTGCCTTGGAAGAGGAGGAAGAGTCGGCGCCCTCGATGATGGCGGCGCACGGGTCAAAGAGGGAGGGATGGTCGGCGCCGTGGCCAGTCGCGGGGGTATTGTCGAAGAAGGTCTCGTAGAGCGGCTGATCGGAGTGGTCAGAGTAGACGGGGCGATCACAATGCACGCGGTACTCAGATTCAGATTGATTGATGCCGGAATAGTCAAAGGACGTTAGAGCAAGATCCGATGCGAGTGGTGGCTCATCAACGAGCTGGCGCTGTTCGCGGGAGTTGGCGCCATTCCCAATCTGGTTAGTCATCTTCACCGCACGACCTTCGCTGGATGTCGGCAAAGCCATTACTGGACTCTGTTGTTGTCCACTGCCCCCTTCTAGCCCAACCAGTCGTTTCATCCGGTCAAAAGCATTCATCAGTGCATGAGGTATGGGGAATATACAGAGAAACTTTTCAAGGACGAGTCCAGCATTGTTGCCCTGGCCAACCGAACGGTTCCGCGACCCGCGGGGTGTAGGTGTAATGGATGACGGAGAGGATGGAGACTTGGAGCGTCGACTTGGAAACTTGCAAGGAACCAGCAAAGTTTCTCTTTTCCTGTTCGACTTTCCTGAATCGTACCTGCTGCAATAATAAGCTTACACCTAACCATGGACGGTCCTTGCTGCAATTGCCATTGCCAGTCTTCCAAGGTGAAGTCCAAAGTCCACCTGCCGTCCCTTGCACCGATCTGGCCTGGGTCCAGATGATAATCTATATAGTCCAGGCAGCTGGTTTTCTAGCATACTCTCGGGATCTGCATGTATATGAGAAGTAGCAGCAGATTGAGTTATTGGTTCAAGTGGGCTAGTGGGAACTGCTACGACTGGCTTACAAGTTTCTTACAGTACCGCAGTGCTAGATCTTTCATTCATCCATGTCGTATGGACAAGGGCGAGTTTCAAATTCGGTGTGGATGTTCCATGTAGAATTAAGTGGTCGTTAAAAAGTCATGACTCCGTATCGAGCAAAGCCCCCAGTCTTGGACCGGACCCTGGTAGTAGATATTCCTGACCCTCCTGGGAATTGAGGCGGCCTTGCTGCTGCTGAGAGATTCGCCCTCCAACCCGCGCGGCCAGCATTCGCATCTTTTCCAATTCTTGCACCAGCTCCCCATCTCGGGTGACAAGGTTCGGTTGTATATCCTTCTGGGGATCTTTGAAAGGTCCGAGCAGGCGCTGCAAGTGTCGTAATTGGTCGAGTCGTCGTTGACGATGCAGACGCTGCTCGTCCAACGTGACCAGTCGTTCTCGGAGCTCTTGGTATCTGTACAACAAGGTTTAGGCAGGCGGAACTCTAATCAAGGGAAAGCTCAGGCACATTGTAGGCTGACCTGCTATTTGCCTCCTCGCTTGCACCCTGTGATTCGATGTCTAATGGTAGTTTCGTGATATTCCTTGAGAAAGTAAGCAGGGATTCATGCGGACTAAGGGAAGAGCCTCGAAAAGCGCAAGGAGAGCTCACATATGCCGGGACAAGTCCGCTGTCTTCTCTACACCGTCGGCAAAAGAAGCTCTGTTTTGTGTTTCTTCATTGACCGAAGACCAATAAAGACTGGCAATCTGATGAGCTACATGGTGAATTGCCTGTGAAGAGTAGACGACGCGATGGTGTTGCTTGGCTTCCATGTTGACTATAATGGGTCAGCACTCAATGGAGATTGCAGCAAACCACTGTAAAAAAAGAGGGACACAAGCAGGGCCATCTTGTAAGCATCGAGAGTTGATACCTTTGTGCAATACATCCCCGATCACCTTCTCAGGCAAATCGCCCTCTTCCGTCTCCACTGCATAGTTCTTCCAGTCCTCGGGCGGCTCAAGACTCTCGGATAGAATGCGAACCTGGCTCCTGATGAATGATGATTTCAATTCCGATACGGTTCGAGTTGAGTCCATCACTCCGACGTTGTTGGAGGAAACCGCATTCTTGGTGTTCGTTACTGACAAGCGGTTTGCCTCTCTCGTCCTCGGACGCGTCCACTCGCGCTCTTATCGATAACAAGTCACGTGGTACCCCCCCGGGTGGGAGGTATTGCAAGAGGATTGGAATGAGTCGTCAGTCTGCGCTGGAGACCAATAGGTGAACATCGTGGCTCATTTGTGATGAATAAACATCTTGACATGCCGAATATCTCACCAAGTACAGGATACTATTCTACAGAGTATCTATTGACATAGGCTCGTATCAAGGCTGGTGGTCGCTCCCTCGGTCTCGAACCGCCAGTACCTCGGCAATTCAGGGCCGCTTATTAAAGAGCCTCGACTCCTTCGCATCGATCTGATAATACAAGCACTCGACAATATCACCTTCCAGGCTGCCATATACATTGTGGCTGGTCACGTCTGGTCATTTGCGACTACAACAACCATAGAATGGCAGAGACCAAGCGGCCGGTAGGCCTTCTCTTCGACATTGGGGGAGTTTGCGTAAGATCACATCAATTTGTCTATTACTCGAATCTGAGAGTAGCACTGACCCTCTTGCAGGTTGTTTCTCCATTCCAGGCTATCTTGGACTATGAGATTTCGCAGAACATCCCTCCAGGCTGGGTCAACTTCAGCATTTCGCGGACATCGCCCAACGGGAGCTGGCATAAGCTTGAGCGCGGGCACATCCCAATGGATGCCAAGTTCTTTGCCGGATTCAACGATGACCTCCGGAATCCTGAGCTGTGGAAGGAATTCCATGAGCAGCTAGCGAAAAAGAAGGGCCAGACCCCAGGTCCCGTTCCCCCACTGCCGAAAGTGGATGCAGAGTGGCTCTTCTGGGAGATGATGAGGATATCCCGCACCCCGGACCCATACATGTTCCCGGCACTTCAGAAGCTGAAGGCATCAGGGCAGTATCTTATGGGTGCTCTCTCCAACACCGTGAAGTTCCCCGATGGCCACGCATACAACAACGACGTATCCGGAGTGCGATCGCAGTTTGACTTCTTCATTTCGTCCGCACATACCGGGCTTCGCAAGCCAGACCCGAAGATCTATCAAGTGGCAATTCAGGAAATGAACGCTTTGGCGAAGCAGCGCGGGTTGCCCGAGATTCAGCCGTCAGATATTGTCTTCTTCGATGATATTGGCGAGAACTTGAAGGGAGCTAAGAGAGCTGGCTTGCGTACTGTTAAGGTTACTCTGGGCAGAATCGAAGACGCCGTGAAGGAGCTCGAGAAGATCACTGGTTTACCATTGCTCGAGGGCGACGGTCGAGCCCGACTGTGAGGCACGAGAGTACAGTATGAAATGATATAGAGTACCAGAGATTCCCCGGCCTGGACTTTTCATCTTTTTGTGAACTGCTACCTGTTATGCTATGACTAGTATACTATTAGCTATAGAGCGGAGTAAATCGGAGAGATTTAAATCATCTATGTTAGGGAACTATACTTTACCGTAGTGCCAAAGATATGAGATTGGCAGAGTAATTGGATACTGTATTTTCGTGGTGTTGGCTAGTGGGCACCTTAACATTACAAAGACAATACTGTACTTGTAAGTTTGGCCGCTCGTCGCCCACCCCCAAAGTCTGTCGTCGCCAACCGCACTTTTGGTTGCGGGATGCAGCCCGCTAAGCGAAACTCCCCACAAAGTCACCGCCAAATTTTCTCCCTTCCTTCTCTCTTCCATCCGTCGACCACCAGGCTTCAGCTCCGACAACCGTCAACATGGTGAGTGTGTCTGCTATTGCAGATGATTGAAATTATCAACATTCTGCTCCCACGCCTTCCCTCCGCTCGTTCGGAGCCGGGTCCCTGCAAGATGCTTCGGACGACATTCTGAAGCGCAAATTGCTGACTCGCGATATCTTCTTGTACAGCCTTTCACCAAGAATGTCAAGAACGATGCGTACTTCAGGTAAGCCAATTCAATTAATACAGGCTAAACCATTTCGTGAGATCATTTCTGACTCTTCTTTCACGTTTAGTCGCTACCAGACTAAGTACCGCCGCCGTCGCGAGGGTAAGACCGACTACTACGCTCGCAAGCGCCTGATCACCCAGGCCAAGAACAAGTACAATGCGCCCAAGTACCGCATGGTCGTTCGCTTCACCAACCGCGACATCATCACCCAGATCGTCTACTCTGAGATCTCCGGTGACAAGGTCTTCGCTTCTGCCTACGCCCACGAGCTGAAGCGCTACGGTATCACCCAGGGTCTTACCAACTGGTCCGCTGCCTACGCCACCGGTCTGCTCCTTGCCCGCCGCACCCTCGCCAAGCTGGGTCTGGCTGATCAGTTCACTGGTGTCGAGGAGGCCGACGGTGAGTACACCCTCACTGAGGCCGTCGAGACCGATGACGGCGAGCGCCGCCCCTTCAAGGCCTTCCTTGACGTTGGTCTCGTCCGCACCTCCACCGGTAACCGTGTCTTCGCCGCCATGAAGGGTGCTTCCGACGGTGGTATCTTCATCCCCCACTCCGAGCGCCGCTTCCCCGGTTACGACATCGAGTCCGAGGAGCTTGATGCCGACACCCTCCGCAACTACATCATGGGTGGCCACGTCTCTGAGTACATGGAGACCCTCGCCGATGAGGATGAGGAGCGCTACAAGTCCCAGTTCACCAAGTACATCGAGGAGGAGATCGATGCCGGTGACCTTGAGGAGCTCTACCAGGAGGCCCACAAGTCCATCCGTGAGGACCCCTTCAAGAAGGATGAGGATGAGGGCCCCAAGAAGACCAAGGAGGAGTGGAAGGCCGAGTCCAAGAAGTACAAGGTCGCCAAGCTCACCCACGCCGAGCGCAAGTCTCGCGTCCAGGAGAAGATCCGCCAGCTCGCTGCTTAAGCGCGTCGCTCGGCTGTTTCCTGACTGGGTCCTTCGGTTCGCTGCAAAAGCTTCACAAAAAGTTCCTCTATCAAAAATACAATGAGGGAATTGGCTTCTGCCAGTCGGCGTTTCTTTTTCTTAATGCGATGTAGATGATGGATTCATGGGCTCATACCACTTTTGTTACTGTTAAGGGGTTTCTTTTCAAGGTTTTTTTTCGGAGCAATTAGTTCGGTGTTTCATTCAAGGCAATCTTCCTTTCACAGTTCTAACTGCTCCAAATGCCCATGCAATCTCATCGTTCCCTCAAGCGCTTTTTCGGTGTCCTTGATTTAGAACAAATGTAGACGGGATCGTAGTTTTGTTCCCCCACTTGCCCAAATGGCCGCAGACACAAACACGTGACTTGCCAACAAAGACGGAAGCAATCATGCATCACAATTCTTGACAGCAACCATGGCAGACTCCGACGTACAATGTCTATTTTGAACCATGAGAGTCTATCTCATTCGCCATGGGGAGACTGTCCACAATGTCGCACAAGCTTGGTGAGAAGCCTCCTCGGTATCACCATCATCCTCGTCCACATGCTGACCCATACTCTAGGGCCGGGACGACTGACTCGGCATTGACAAACCATGGGATGCTACAGATAGAGTCTCTCGCTCAATCATTTGCAAGCAAGCCCATAAATTTTGACTCCGTGTTTGCATCTGATCTAAGCCGAGCACGCATCACCGCGGAAGGCATCTGTCGCCTGCAGCCTTCTAAGAAGGATGGCGAGCTCGTGACTCCAATTCTGACTTCAGATCTACGAGAACGGGACTTTGGCTCATGGGAGGCTGTTCGTTGGCAGTCATCATCTGCACAATCTATCGATATGAGTCCCTCGCCCACTCGTTTGGGTAGAACTGCGTCCAAGGAAGTCATTGAGAAAGAAACTACAGTCTCGATGCGCCAACGATCGCTCTCGTTCCTCCATACCCATTTCCTGCCGCTTTTATTCGATGATCCGACTTCCAGACGTAAAGTTGCCATCGTTGCTCATGGCATCATTCTTCGGGTACTCTGGAATTGTCTCGTGGAACTCTTCCACCCCATGAGTATATCACTGATGTCTGGCATCGCCGCCTGGGACGGTGGACCTGCCGCTCTTCTCTCCCCAAGTTGGTCCAACGCAGGCTTCATGGAATTGTCGATCCGAATGAAACAGTCGCCATCGGTATCACCGGCACAGCAACAACTCACCTCTCATGAATTGCGAGTATCACGCAACTCAACTACATTCAACGAAGTACCATTACCTGGCAGTCCTGCTGAAGATGTCCTTTTGCAGGGATGGTCCATGAAGATCCTAGCTGTTGATAACAAGGAGCATCTCGCGGGCCTACGTCGCACGCGTGGTGGCATTGGAAGCGCCTCGCATGATAGCCGACAGAAGAAGATAGACCAGTTCTTCAAATAGTCTTTGACCATGAATATTTTGGCATATATGCTGCTATGTACATTTGGGCATGAGGATCACACCCTTCAATCAGTGTAGAAGACCTCGTCCAGCACCTTCCACCATCCAGGACCTTCGGCACTGCCAATGGCGCCGGGAATAGGGCTCTCCTTTAAAGAGATAAAGCATTAGTATTTAGCAGTCCTGAAAAGAATTGTATAACACCATACCTGCATGCCATCAGTCATAGCCCACCACTCCCGAACCTTGGGGTTCGCCCGCATCTTCTCCATGTCAGCATCGAAATCTGTGCCAACATATTTGAAGGTAGCGAATAGAGTGCGGTCATTGTCGAAGAAAATGGAATCTATTTGACAAGCAAGTCGCTGATCAGCTCATATATCCCCAATTGAATCCGTTGGAATGCCGAGATCATACAATCCTTGATGTTACAGTCCTTGATCTGCTGCAAGACCTCGGGCCAGACATTGGCATGGCACTCCTTGTATGCCACCACGGCAGAGGGCCTGAGGTGAACGATCTGGGCAATACGGCGAACTTGAGACATTTTGTGCGTGGTTTATAGGGGCAAATATTGTCTTGGTCTTTCAATTTTCAGCCTCTGAAGGTGGTTTGAGTGGGGGTCGGGAACAGGTCTGGGGAAGAAGAGAAAGGGTCTCACCAAGTGGATGGAACAACACGTGCAGTGCAAATTGAGTATGAAGAGGGAAAGACCAATCACTGGATTGATTCAATAAGTACAATAAGTAAAGGAAGAGGCCAAGTATCTCCCCGCGCTTGTCGTCTGCGCCCCTCGTTTGTCGCCACAGTGCGAAAGCCCACATTCGGGGTGTGCTAACCCGAGGCCCGTAGCTACTGAGCATCGGGATACCGAGGGCTACTGGATACAACTTTAAGCGTAGAGAATGGCCATGGGACAGTTTGGGATGAAGAATGATGATTGTATTATAAGAAACAGAGAATGTTCGCCAATGAAAAAACTCCTCGCTAAGGAAAAAAAAGTATCTAATAATGCAGTCGTAACAATGCTCACTCCCGCGAACTAATGACGGGGTTCTTGGTAACCGGCCGAATCCAACTCACAGCCAAGTTGGCACCCAAAGAGATCGCGCCCATAATCCACAGGGACTTTCCATAATCAGATCCGTGGTATCTGAAGATGATGGCAAAGATGATACCTCCCAGGTTACCGAAGCCACCGACGATACCGGAGACGATACCGTTGGCATAAGGGTGCACATGAGGCACAACCGCAAAGTTGGCACCGTTGCAAGCCTCTAGGAATAACGCCAAACCGGCTACAAGACCAAACATGGTGCTCTCGCTGGTGGGGTTGGTGAAACCAATCGCCAACTCGAAGCCTCCCATGATGAGACCCAGAGAGGACAGAAGCAGCTTCTTGGACCAGACACTGCCGGTGCAGCGGTAGAGGACATCTCCCAAAAGACCGCCAATAGGACGGAACACCACGTTCAACAGACCAAACATAGCTGCCCACTGACCCGTCTTGGTTTGACCCATGTGGGGGAAATTCTTTGCGTAGTAAGTTCCAAGAATGGAGTTGATAGCGAGCTCGGACCCGAAGGAGCATGAATATGGGATTGCAACGGCCATGGTGGACAGGCTGAACACAACCTTGAGAGCTTCCTTGCGTGTTGGGGCAACCACGGTGTCTTGTTGGAGAGTATCGATTTGGCCCATCGCCGAGGCATCCTTGTCAACAATGCGAGGAGTCATAGCGCCCTTCTTCTCCACATCTTCCAAGCCCATGTTGTAAAGAGATGGTGTAGTAGAAGGTCCACTGGAGGAAAATCCGGAGTTGATGTCGACAATGTTGCCGTGAGAGGAGGATTCAGGCGAGGGGGTTTCCTTAGCCCAGAGATGGCGCTCCGACCACTTACCGGTCGGGGTATCCTCGCACAGGAACAGCATGCCCAAGGCAATGGAGACAATGATAATGAAGGGAACAATGTAGGCGACGCGCCAAGCCTTGTGGGGAGTCATTCCCTGGGCGGAGACGAGGGAGTCGAAGATGGCGGGCATGACGAAGCTAAAGTACAAGTATTGTTAGCGAATGGATTCAGACAGTAACAGTCCTGGGAAGCGTACTAGGTGATACCACCACCGGAATTTCCAAAACCAGCAGCGAGCGAGTTGGCTGTGCCCACGATTTTCTTGTCAAAAAAGCCAGTGCACCAGACCTGGCATGGGACGAATGTGCCGCCCAGAATGCCAACAAAGAACCGCAGAGCAATCAGGCCCTTAGGAGTCGTGACAAGACCAGCCATTGCCGTTGGAATAGATCCACTGAGGAGGAGTCCGACGAAGACCAGGCGAGGGCCAAAGCGATCACACAGCGGGCCGGCAATAAATCGGACGAGAAAGCTAAAAATTCCATCAGACCATGTTCGATATATTAGGAAGAAAACATTGGACTTACGTAGCCAGGAGCGCAACAATGTTTGAGTTGGCCACATCTTGTTGAGTCATATGCAAGTCTTTTTTGATGGTCACCGTCAACTATAGAATTGGGTTAGCGGGCCAATCGCGGTTTGAGATACTCGGAGCAAGAATTGCATAACTTACCAGTGGAGGGAATGCATACCACGACAGGAATGCGACCATGAAACCCATCCAGGCAAAGAAGAAAACGCGACCATATTTGTCGAATGGGTTCAAGACAGGAATCGAGACGGCTTTCCTGTTGGCAGGGTTGATCTCTGGCGAGGCGAAAAGAACCTTGAGAGCAGTGATAGCCATTGCGGGCTCACGAAGCGTTTGAATCCGCTTGAAAATATGGGAGTTGGCGGTATAGTTGCGACGAGAATAGCAAGAAGGCTTCAGAATGAGAGGTCGTTCTAGAATTGGGTCTGGTGTAAAGGCCAATAATGTATTGAGATTGAATTGTTGAAGTGTGTGAAGCTCAAATTTAGCCGGCCAACCCTAACATCTATATAGACAGAGACGTTCGCAATAGACGCCTGATTCTCGTATACCAAGCCTCATCCCATGATGACACATGCAGAGCCACAATCACGGTTATCGCGGTGCCTGGGGGAATGCCATAGCAGAGCACGAACTAAAATCGGGTGGATTATTCGCAACCAAAAAAGCAACAAGACAGATTATGTCCACACGCGCTGATTCGACGAAGATCTTTCTCTATTAGCAGATCATAAGGAGATAAGGAAATCCCCAGACGCGCACAGGCTGACCCAAGACCAGAAAGGGACACTGGTCTGGGCCAGAAACCCGGCAAAGATAAGGAATGCTTCGGAACAGCCTATGAAAGCGCGGCCCGAGTCGCCAAACCCTAAAACAATCAGGCCCGATAAGCCGCCAGGGTTTTTTAGAATTTCATCAATTCAATTCACAACTCCGCGGGTTCAACCATGGAAATGGAAGAGATCCTTCATAGCCACCGCCTAAGGACATCGAGTCCATAAGCATGTCTGGGGTTGAGGCGGTTCGCTGGAGCCAGGGTCTGTCAGGCCCACCAGGCCCGGCATTGATAAACGCATTGCCTCTCATTGGATATCGAAGTCATCAGAAGATAGCGATGGAGATGCGAACCACTTTTAAGTGGGTCGGAATGATCTTAATCAGGTCGATCTGACCTCCGCGGAAATAGTTAAATAAGAGTTCCTGCCCTTGTAAAATTCGCTTTCGCCCTGGCCTGATGCTCGTCAAACGTCACGGTGGCCCATCGACTTGTTGCGGCGCAGAGTACTCCGGACTTACTATCAACATATCGCATACACAATGGAGAGATTGGGAGGAAAGTCTTGAATAAGAAGAACCGTTCTCCGAGGAACGATGAGCCCAAGAGATCAATGGCTTGCAGAATGCATGAGATGCAGTCTTCCTTGGATCGATGAATTCATCATCTATACGGATCTATGTTTTCATCTGTGTGTGCTTTTGAAACCCTGACATCACAGAACAACTTCGCTAAGCGAGAGAATGAAAAAATTCCAATCAAAACTGAGCTCCCATATTCAATTTAGTTAACCTGGCGCAGCCATCATTGTACTAGCTTGTTATACAGTCCCACGTTGATTACCGTGATTACCGTGCAGGGAAAAATTCGCTAGTTTTTCCACCTCACTAGTAATTTCCGGATCACTTTATACGCTGTTGGGTTTAGTAGATTACAGAATACCGTACTGGCACTTATATGCAGTTGCTATATTCAGTGATTCATGCCATTTCCTCAGATCTCTGTGAATAAATTGGTGAATTGTATTGAATATCAAAATGGAGTATGAGTATGTGCATCTAAAATGGAGAATCTCGCTATGAGGTAACCGAAAAACAAGCCGGCCCAAACGCCAAAGTACCATCCCAATCATGAACATGAGCCATTCTGCAATCTCTACCACTCGATTCCCTTCGCGGGCTGAGCTAGTGATTTGGAAACGCCTTCACCCTCAACCACCTTCTTGCCCTTCATGCCCTTGTATCGCTTGTCCAGTTTCTGGAACGGGTCTGGAGCTTCGCCCTTTTTGACCTTCCACTTCTCGGTTCCAAGGACTGAATCTAGCTCCTCGACGGGAGGTAGCTTGACGTAGACCCACCCATCATCCCTCTCCTCTACAGGGAAAGTAGCGATATTCAAACTCTCATCGCTGGAGCACCGCCCAGCTTGCTCGCCGTTCAGCTCGAAGTTGCGCTTGTGGTACGGGCAAGAGACCCAGTATTTACCAGCGTCATCGTCGCCGACCAGACCGTCTGAAAGAACGAATGCTCGCTTGTGAGGACACATCTGCTGGGTCGCATAGTACTTGCCCTTGATCTTGAACACCGCGAGTTGGGTATCTCCTCGCTTAACATTCGCAGACGAAACTTGTGGAGGCTCATCCGAGAAATGATCCGATTTAACCACGGGTTGCCATGAGACGCTAGACCACTGATGACCCTTGAAGTCTTCTTGCGCTGAGGTCGCAGGCCAGTATGTGGGGCGGCTTTGGGCACGTTCTTTGATTACTTCGACCGTTTCGACCGTTTCGTCTGTGTTGGCGAATTGCTGGAACGTCTTGCGACGCTTGGGATCTCGGACAGTCTCAGTCCATTCGCAGAAGTAGCTGTCGACGAGTTCCTGCATCTGTCGCTCCATGTCGGCGCAAATACCCAGCTTGTCGTCGATGATGACTTCCTTCAAGTAGTTAATTCCACCCGGCAAGTTCTCGATCCAGCGGGCAGTTCTTTGCAACTTGTCGGCAGTTCGAATGTAGAAGATCAAGTAGCGATCGATAATGGGCATCACCATCTCGGGGGGTACATCCGTAACGAGCAGCTCAGAGTGGCGAGGCTTTGCACCACCGTTACCTCCGACATAGATATTGAAGCCTTTGTCGGTCGCGATAAGACCGAAGCTGCAATTATGTTAGTACTTGGCTGGTCAAAACGTTACTAGATGATAAGACTGACTCTTTATTCTGCGCCTCGGCACATTCTCTTACACAACCCGACACAGCGGCCTTGAACTTGTGAGGAGCGCGAATACTCTTGTATCGCTCTTCCAATCGAATAGCCATACCAACACTGTCACCGACACCGAATCGACACCAGGTGGTACCGACACAACTCTTGATAGCACGAAGAGCCTTGGCATAAGCATGACCACTCTCCATGCCAGCATCCACAAGCTCAGTCCAGATGTTCAGAAGATCCTGCTTCCTTGCTCCGAACATGTCGATACGCTGAGCGCCTGTGATCTTGCAGTACAGTCCGTATTTCTTAGCGACTGATCCAATGGCAATCAGCTTATCCGCGGTGATCTCTCCACCCGGTACTCGAGGCACGACGGAGAATGTTCCGTTTCGCTGAATGTTAGCGAGGAACTTGTCGTTGGTGTCTTGGAGGTCGTTGTATCCCTTGTCCATGACGTGGGGGTTGTATAGACTGGACAGAATAGAACCGATTGCAGGCTTGCACAGTTCACAACCCAAAGACTCGGGGTTCTTGCCGGCGGCTTTCATTACTTCGGGGAACGTCTTCAGCTGCTTAATGGCGACAATGTTGTAAAGATCTGCACGGGAGTAGGGGATGTGTTGGCACACTAGTGAATAAAGTCAGCACTTGCACAGGGGGCTTGAAGATGCCAATAAATCTGTATACTTACAATGGTTCGACACCTCCTGTCCCATTTCAAGCATGGTCTTGTTGAAAATGGATTGAACCAAAGGCAGACAGCCACCACAGCCAGTACCAGCCTTGGTGCAGGACTTGATTTCGCCCATAGTCTTGCATGTCCCGTTCTTGACCGACTCGACAACATCACCCTTGGTCACATTGTGACAAGAGCAAATTTGCACGCTATCGTCACTGTAGGAGAATGTTAGCGAAACGGAAGGCAATAAACCCGAGAAAGACGCTTACAGGTCATCGGCGTTCTCCTCGCCATCGCCCTGTGCACCAAGAATGAATTGGCTTGGTGGGACTTCAAGTTCCTTCTGGCTCTTGACCATCTGGTTCAACTTGATGTAGTCCTTGGTATCGCCGATCATCATACCTCCCAGGAGGAACTTGCCGTCCATTGTGAAGAGATACTTCTTGTACACTCCACCAAATGGATCCTTGTATGTCAATGCCTTGACAGGAGGCTCTTTCTCACGAGGCGCTTCTGAGTTTGCACCGTCGATGACGGAGGGGCGCCGACCAGGAAGGAACTTAGGTCCATCTCTGTCGGCAAAGAAATCTCCAAACGAGGCAACATCAACACCAAGCAGCTTCAGCTTCGTGCTAAGATCTGGGCGAGTGAAGCGCTTCTGTTCCTTGTCGGTGTTTGTAAGGTTGTAGGCGAGAACATCGGCCATTTCGATGCCGGGCGCAATAATACCGAATGTCTGGTTTTCCCAGCTGGCACACTCGCCCACGGCGTAAATATCTGGGACGGATGTTTGGAGGCTAATCATGTTAGTGCAATGGCTTTTTTTGCAAGCATGAAAGCATTTAGAGTTGAATTACCTTTCGTCAATGACAAAGCCTCCTCTTCCAGCCGACTGGATACCAGCCGATTGGCCCAGTTCGTCTCGGGGTTTCACACCAATCTATCCCAGAGAATTAATTATCGCCCCCAAAAAGGTTCGAAATGGCATGGAACTTACCGCAAAGCAAATGCAGCAGCATTCAATCTCCTCACCATCCTCGAATGTAATACCCACCACGTTGTTATCCTCATCAGTGTTCACGGTCTTTACCCGCTTCTGGTGGAGCACATCGAGCCCCAACTCCCGAATCTTGCGGGTCACCAAAGAGCCGGCGTCTGCGTCTAGTTGTCGGGCCAAGACCCACTTGTTGCGATCAATCAATTTGACATGGCCGAAATCTTCCAGATCCGTCATGGCCTTGGCCGCTTCCAGGCCCAGCAGACCTCCTCCGACCGTAACGGCTGTTTTGCCCTTGTTTTTAGAGGCAAAGTCAATGAGGCGTTCGAGATCTTGGATGGTGCGGTATACGAAGATGCCCTTGGCATCATGGCCAGGGGTGTGTGGGAAGGACGGCATCAGAGCCGGTGGCAAGCACGAGGATATCATAGGAGATTGTTTCTCCGGTTGATGTTTGAACAGTCTTGTTGTTGGAATCGATTTCGGTGACTCGGGTGTTGAGATGGTGATCAAAAGCTCGTTGCTCTTTGAATGATCCGTACTATACTATCGTATTAGGATCAAACATACCTTCCAAGACTCATGGCCTCTTGCAGTAACTTACCCATTCTTTCGGATTGAGGTACAAGTCCTCAATCTTACGGTGCTCAAAGTATGATGAGAGTCCTACACGGTTGTAGGCGATGTGCGGCTCTTCTCCAATGACAAGGATATCGTATCGGCGGGTTGTATCTTGTTTGATCACTTTCTCGCTGGTTTTTGTTAGCACGAGAATGCATCCGTGGTTTCCTTGCAAGACCTACATGAAGGAAATAGCTACCATTCCCAATCCGACCACTACAATCTTTTGTCGCTTGGTAGTAGGCTCGGTATGGAAACTAGGACTGGCGCTGCCGTCGACTGGCTCGCCATGCCGAAGCCCGTCTAAAACTGGCATGGTGACGGATAGCAAGTGTCAGAGAGTTAAGACAGAATGAACCGCAGTACATTACAAAAATCTGGCTACATTCTAGTTTTAAGAAAACCGATATTTACGAGTTACGATTTGCCTGCACACCCTTCAAGGTCGCGAAGGACAAGCAAAAAGCAAGACTTCGGGAGAACTAGGGTCCACTTCGGTGAGAACCATTCGAGGACGATCGTTGATAAGCAGAAGAAGCGCGGCCTGGGGATTACTGTAGTGTCCACAGGTTCCGCGGAGATGCCTGCAAAGACTAAACGTGAAGGTGCGATAACAATCTCTCCGCTCTGATTGGCTCCGATCTATGGCCAGATAAGGGCTGAAAACATCGTGTTGACGAACCCCCGAGGACCGACTAACCAGCCTACCCCCCATTTCATGTATTTATGTCGTAAGAGATGCCCCTCCAGACCCGCGGAGATGCTGCTGGAAACGTGGGTTGCGGTGGGTTGTCGTGAGCAATCTCGGGTCTGACATCGCATAGACGTTTCCTTTTTACTAATGGAGGGTACTTTCGGCTATCGACCGTTATTAGATGGATATTGCACCGTTTGGCCTTATCCTTATTATCAGTTCAATAGTCCATTGCAGATTCCGTTGAGTATTACATTACTATTTTGTCAAGAAAGTTCCAAGTGTCACATACACGCTGTTGTTGTACATTCGTCATGGCGATGACTACTACCACACAAGTTCTTGTCAATAGTGACAAGTTGTCATTCAAGAAATCACATATCACATTTCACGATCTTCCAACACCACAAGAAGTTGATCTTCCGCTACCACCGCCATCATTCAGCCCGACCGAGATCCTAGAAATCGACAAAGGCACCCCGGATCATCATGTGCCACGCGATTCCAGACTCATTCGACTAACGGGCGTGCATCCTTTCAATGTAGAGGCTCCCCTAACAACATTATACAACCAAGGTAAGGAGATAAACAATAAGGGAAATCTTGGAGACATCCATCTGATATTCTCATAAGGATTTCTCACACCTCCCGAATTGTTCTATGTCCGAAACCATGGCGCGGTACCCCAGGTTCACGGCGAGGACATCCCCGACTGGCAACTTAGCATTGAAGGGTAAGTGTGGCATTTATCAATTGATTCTAATACTGGAATATATTAAATTAATCAATAAATGTTGTGTACAGCCTCGTCGAAAACCCGATCACTTTGAGTTTTCGCGATATTCTCGAGAAATATGATTCAATCACGGCACCAATTACTCTCGTCTGTGCTGGCAACAGACGCAAAGAGCAGAACACAGTCCGAAAGTCAAAAGGTTTCTCATGGGGCCCAGCTGGACTGTCAACTGCTCTATTCACAGGACCTCTGATGGCCGATATTCTTCGCAGCGCCAAGCCTCTCCGACGAGCCAAGTTTGTATGCATGGAGGGTGCCGATAAATTGGTATGAGAATCGTTGCCAGCACAAGAATATTTACAGACGAACATAAGATAACTAACTCGATATATAGCCAAACGGATACTACGGGACTTCTGTCAAGTTGAACTGGGCTATGGACCGCAATAAATTAATCATGCTGGCCTACAAGATGAATGGCGAGGCACTGACCCCGGATCATGGCCGTCCTCTGCGGGCAGTTGTGCCTGGCCAGATCGGAGGTCGAAGTGTCAAGTGGTTGACCAAGTTGATTGTGACCGATACCCCCAGTGATAACTGGTATCATATTAACGACAACCGGGTACTGCCGTAAGTCGTGCTGGAAGAGGAAGACTTGAATTCATGAACTAACATGTTGCTAGAACCATGGTTTCCCCCGAAATGTCCGCTCAGGATAAGAAATGGTGGACTGATGAGCGATATGCCATTTACGACCTTAATGTCAACTCGGTCGCAGTATATCCAGAACACGAAGAGACACTAGACCTGACCACGTGCGGGAAAACATATTACGCGAAGGGCTATGCATATGCAGGTGGTGGTCGACGGATCACAAGAGTTGAAATATCTTTGGACAAGGGCAAATGTACAACACCCTGATTCAATGGCTTTGTGAAATCTTGCTAACATGTTTTGATGATCCACAGCATGGCGCCTCGCCGATATCGAATACGCCGAAGACAAATATCGAGAATACGAGGGCGAGTTGTTTGGCGGAAAGGTCGACATGTGGCAACGCGAGACTTGTTTTTGCTGGTCATTCTGGTCTCTTCCCATCCCCGTCGCCGATATGGCGGATAGTGATGCATTACTTGTACGATCTATGGACGATGCAATGACCGCTCAGCCGCGCGACATGTACTGGTCTGTTCTCGGCATGATGAATAACCCATGGTTCCGTGTTGCCATCACGAAGGAGGGGAGCCTTCTCAAGTTCGAGCACCCAACACACCCTGTCAAGGCTGGAGGCTGGATGGAGAGGGTCAAGAAGGCGGGTGGTGATTTAACGAATGGCAATTGGGGCGAGAGGCACCAGGGTGAAGAGCCCGTGGAGCAAGAGCCTGTGAAGGAGATCAACATGAAGAAAGAAGGAGTGAACCGCCAGATCAGTCTGGAAGAGCTCAAGGCAAACAGCAGCAGTGAGAAGCCTTGGTTTGTTGTGAATGGTGAAGTGTATGATGGAACTGGGTTCCTGGAGGGTCATCCAGGAGGAGCAATCAGTATTACATCCTCTGCAGGACTCGATGTGTCCGAGGACTTCCTAGCAATTCGTAAGTTTATCAAAGCCCATAACCTCCGGCCATCTGCTAACTCTTTACAGACAGTGAGACCGCGAAGTTGATGATGCCCGATTACCACATCGGCACATTGGACCCGGCATCTTTGAAAGCACTCAATAGCAACACTGCATCCACATCTGATGAGCCCCGTCCAAAATTCCTCCAGTCACGTGTTTGGTCCAAACTCAAGCTCACGGAGAAGAAGAATGTCTCCTGGGACACCAGGATATTCGTCTTCGATCTGGAACACGAAAAGCAGACTTTGGGTTTGCCCATTGGCCAGCACTTGATGATCAAAGTCAACGACCCCGACAGCAAGGAAGCTATCATCAGGTCATACACTCCAATCTCAGACACGAACATGCAAGGCAAGATGGAGTTGCTGGTCAAGATCTACTTCCCAACCGATACTGTTCCCGGTGGTAAGATGACAATGGCTCTTGATAAGCTTCCACTGGGAGCAGAAATTGACTGCAAGGGTCCTACTGGTCGCTTTGAGTATCTTGGCAACGGTCGTGTGCTCATCAGTGGCAAGGAGCGTCATGTCCGCTCTTTCAAGATGATCTGCGGTGGAACTGGTATCACGCCAATCTTCCAGGTCCTGCGTGCTGTGATGGAAGATTCACAAGATCCCACGAAGTGTGTTGTGCTTGATGGAAACAGACTCGAGGAGGATATTCTGTGTCGATCGGAGCTTGATGAATATGTGAAAACAGACAGTGAAAAGTGTACTGTCGTGCATACCCTCACAAAGGGACCAGAGAACTGGACAGGCCGCAGGGGCCGTATTTCAGAGGAGTTGATCAAGGAATTTGCGCCTCCAGAAGAGGAGAGCATGGTCATTCTGTGTGGACCAGGGGCCATGGAACAGTCGGCAAAGAAAGTGCTTCTTGCCCAGGGCTGGGCCGAGTCTGATCTCCACTTCTTCTGATGGGAAGTGGATATGCCGCGCTCGGTTTGTTCTGCTACTTGTATAGAAACGATATCCATGTATAATGAAGACAATTTGATGACTTACAATAATTTCCGAATGGCATTAGCCAATTGACTTTCATTCTGATAGTATGGTACACACATATTGTACAAAAGCAGCTTCAAGCGTTCACCGACCACCAATAACACATCCTCCCACATGACATCTGACTCCCTCCATAATTCCTTCGATGTTCGTCAACGAGATTAGGACTTTTTGATCACACCACTGGAATCTTGACTTAGTTAGGATAGCAATTCATCGAGGAAAGCAGAAAATCCAGGCGGGTCTGGTGGGGTGTGAGGCTCCAGCAGATCTTCTCCAACCTCCTGTTTGTACATCTCAAGCAGTATTCCCCACAAGTCCGGGTCATCCTCGGCAAAGATTCGATCGGCCATATCAGTGTAAGACAAGCAGATCTCCTTCTTTAATGCCCCACGCTCTTTCAGTTTGTCCATCACGGCTCTTGCTTCTTGGGTCTGAAGTTCGAGCTCAAGTTGTCGGAGGCGGGACTGCTTCTGCGCGGCGGTTGCGATTGCTTGACGGTGATCTTGAATTTGCGGCCATCTCTCTGAGAGGAACTTTGAATCCACATCCTTGAGCCAGGCAGGTGGAGAGGTCGAGGTTTGGTTAGGGTCAGCCAAAGCATGCTGTAGAGTCCTGACGCTGTGCTTGGCTTTCCGGACATCGTGGGGGACATGGCTGAAGAGCTCCTCGCGGTGTTTGGCGGCTTGTTGGGCAGGTGTTAGGGCCGGATCACTGGGAGAGATCATCAATTGAGCCGCTGGTCTCATCAATCTCATAAAGAGATCGCGGGCCAGAGGGTTGCCCTGGTCCACGGACTGAGGACTGGGGGTATTTGCCGTTGGATACCCCGCGGATGTTCCACGCGGCGAAGACATTGTAGGAAGGATAAGGAGAGACTTGATCTCTCCAGAGATTGAGATTGAGATTGAGATTTTTGATGAGGATGACGGTGGTGGTGACGATGATGGTGGTAGGATGAAAGAGTGGGAATTGCAAGAGGTCAAGAGAAATGTTGGATCAACGTGCCTGGAGATATCGTTCACGTAGCAAGGATAACGACGAGATGGACAATGGATGAGACGTGACGAGCGTGTTGAAATGGGCAAAATTTCTGATGTACACTCAGCAGATGAATAAGGTCTAATTGAAATCAAACAAGCCCATGCCTAGCTATAGTATAATTGGAACTGTATGCCATTTCTACTCCATCAAATACTTATAACCAGTGCGCAGTGTATAGATAGCTGCTTTTTATCCCCTTTCATAATCTCAGTGACGATATATGGACTCGAGAAGCTCAAGGCCCGAGGGATGGCCATGAACCGATGTATTCTACCATGAAATTGGCGATGTTATCTTTCTTGGAAGGGTCAACACTCGACGCGCTTGAACGCGTTCGAGGGCGTCAAGTATTGTCTCCATGGACGACTTGGGTTGTTTGATCGCGTCCAGCCTCGTGAATATAAAGGTAGGGAACTGCGTGATGGTCAAGCGCGCCATCGCTCCTGCCTCCACAGATTTTGTCGATTTTTCACTCCAGCATTGGCCTACGAAAAGCAATCAGTAGAATTATACCATATAGCAGGAATTTGGGGTCAAAGAAAATGCCTGTCAAAGGCTCTCAGACAACGACGTACAATTAAATAGAAATTTAATGCACCAGAGGCTGAATAACGCCTACAGCTTCAGCACCCAGTCATGAAAATCCACATTATCCAAGGACTGCAACGTAGAGACTGCCTAGGCATTCGAAAAATTCAAACACTGCATGACACTTTAAATCTAAAATAAACATACTTCATTATTCTAGACACATGGAGCATCGTCTTTTGCGTGATATTGTGCACAGAAAAAAATCGAAAGGCCCAATCCGGGTGAAATTCAGGAGATATGTTTATCACGTTTGATAGATTAATAAAATCAGGCTGGATTTATTCTGACTATGATTGGAAGGAAGTAATCCTCACAATTGTAAATCACGCTCCTTCTTCACGGCTGAACAATCTCCGAGACCCTGTCGTATACGTCCTGTCCTCGCCGTTGCGGAGAGTCTCGTCTGGGCTTCTGCCAATCTGCGACGCCGTAATCAAGAAGGCCATCAGAGTCGAAGTCAGATTTTAGCTTTTACGAGGTGCCGTAGACCAGGATGAGAACTTCTCCAGGTGTCAGCTAATACAAGTAGGTTATTATCACTCACGTCGAACATGACTCAACTAATATTTATAAATAGATGCTTACTTTAACTCGCGGTCCATATTCCGGTCTTCTAAAGCAGCCAGAGGCCCTTATCTACGTTCCTCATCAGACGCTTCCACCCCTTGTGGTAGAGGCTGGATTCAGCGAGTCTTATGACGATTCTACTTTGCCTGCCAAGATAATCTAAGAGCCTTTCGAATTTCTCTGTGGTCCCAGGGAAGTCGCCGAGATTAGTCGAGATTTTTTTGGAAATATAAGTTCGAAAGAAGGTCGATGGAAAAGAATGTTGCCAGTAATAGGCATAACACTAACGCGGTTCATGGAGATCAAACCTCATGGGGAATTGGCTGTACTATTGGAGTCCAGCTTGTCTATATTGACATCTATCACTTAACAAGGCTTTTCGACCGAGCCACTGGGACCCGTATGAATATTGAGACTCTCTGGGGCACAAAAATTTGTGGAAAGGCGGAAGTTTTGTGTGTAGAGGTGCAACGGGAAGATGTATCGGCTCAGGTGCAATAATTATACATAAGACGAGTGCTTCGTGGTAGTGTATAATGGTATCACCAGGGACAGGAAAAGAAGAAGAGAGCAAGCAATTGAGAGAAAAGGAGAGACAACCTACAGAGTAACAAAAACTCCGCATATTGAATGTAACCATCTTAGATGTTAAAACCCAGTTCCAGTCTCTCCCACTAACCCTCCACCTCCATAGTCCAGTGGTATAAGAAACCATGGCTCTTCGGCCAAGTTTCCCACTAGACGGGCCCCTTCCAGGAAGGGGTCTTCCAAGAAGGGAAAGTTACTCCCTTTTTATGCTGGCCCTAATACAGAGGCCACCACCGCGGCCAAATTTTTTATACTTTCAATATGCTTCTTATATCAAAATAAACCTTAGATTTAGGAGAGTGTATTAGTCTCTTTTTGAAGCCTTTAAACACTATTAGTGGCTGTATAAGTGTAGTATTTTTTGGGTATGAGCATCGAGGCGATGTATTTGAGCATCGTTGAGTGTCGCGAAATGTTTGTAGGTGATACGGAAGTCGGGGGTACGATTCAAGAGTCTGGAGGCCCTTTTCTATTCTGGATCTTTGGTCTGAGATTCATGTCTATTAGATGCCGGACAGTCTATATACTGGATAGGACCTTTGACACAAAGAAGAGTTGTTTGTACGGAACTACAAGCTTCAGGAAGCATGCAAGTCTTCCAAGCATTGCGGTATATGGGGCTTTCATTAATTTCATTAATCATAACACATCATCGAAAGCCTTGATCATGATTTCCTTTGTCGAGATTGCATCAAATACATGCCGCTTTCTCTGAGAATTCAGTAGTAATCCCTTACATCTAGCCTGGCTCGCAGATGCTCGAAAACACTGGTCGTATCAGTCCGGGAGCCAAGCAGGGATTCTGATTTCCCCATAGATTTTGAAGATGCCTTGCCCGTGTCCAAGCTACGAAGATATCCAACAAAGGCCGACGTTTGTTTGCGGAAAGTCGAGTATAAGTGAAAGACGGTCCCTTCGTTTTCCCGGCGTAGTCCACTCAACCCATCCGCCTTAGACAGGGGGCTAAAGGCCAATATAGTCCCGAAGATAGAGTCCAACAACTTAGCGGCCTGTGCGTGTCGTTTGCTGAGGAAGAATGCAAATAGCATCTGGTCAAGAATGTCTTCGTGGAAGTCACGCAGGCGCGGGACGGAATGAGCAGCTTCAATTGTCCCGTCGATGTCACCGCGGTCGAGACAACGCTCGATTCTCGTGAGCGTGTTCTGGAACTGGTCCCAAATGGATCCGATACCCACATGAAAGCAGTAGTCGCTAATTGCCAGAACAAAATGTTGCGCATCAATTCGAAACTTTTGGAACACGTTTCGTATGTCTCCTGATATGGAGCCGCGATTTGTCGAGTCGTGGATGAGTCCCTTGACCACCGACACCATTCGCAACAGGCGGAGCAAGTGCTTAAAGAGACGATCATACCGCTTTAATGACTTTGTTGTTATGAGTGCTTCGAGAGCTTCGGGTGGTTTGTATTGGAGACGGAGGAAGTCCAGGGCTTCGATAGCGTTTGGATCTCTGCATCGCTCAATCTCCTCGTCTGTCAACTCACGGATAGCAAAACTTAGTCCACCTGGGAGCTCATTGTCTTGCTGGGTTGTTGGCTTTTCTTTATCGGGATCATCTTCAGAAAAATAACAATCCCCAAGGAGTCCGATGAGAACCAGTCGCAGCTCTGAGCTCGCGGGAGGCCAGGCATCACGGCTGCCCAGCCGTAGCCCAGTATGAACAACACTTCGGACTACGCCCTTCTTGCGTTCTCCGCTCTCCATCTCGGGGTCGAAAAGAGAATGTGTGAGGCGGGAGGTAAAGGAGCCGTCTCCGAGCAACTGAAATCGCCATTGAAGGTTAAAGTGGTGCCGGACATTGTGTTCTTTGAACAAATGGTGGAGGTAGGAGAAGTCGATCAGTTGTGCCTGGGAAGAAATGACCGGAGCAAGCGAGAGATAGAGCGCAGATGATAGCTCAGGACCAAAACGACTGGCGGCATCGACAAAGTCGGAGGCTGGCTCTCTGACTTCGTGAAGTAATTGATTGACCTTGTCGTCGGCAAGAACCTTTCGATCTAGTACAGATCCCGAGATATTTCTCTCATCATCCAAATCGAACAATTCATAAGTATCTTCCAAGTTATCACTCGACGGTTCATTGCTTCCAGCAGCGTCGGTTTCTGCTAGTTGCAGAGGATATTGCCCTCTGTGATACCGTAGAATCTCATTGCGGAGGTTGGACTCATACTCATTTGCTCGTTTTTGAATTCGTTCGATATCACTCCACGTAGTTGCACAGTGTAAATGAATGTTTCCTACGCGAGGAAGCACGTCACGACGTGCAATTGGGTGGTGCGGGTGTGATCTCTTCAGGAGTCGCAGACTTCGTCCGCTCTCAAAGATAGTCCGGGCTTGGTCTTTGGGAATGAAAGAAGGCATATTGGCACCAAGGTAGGTATATTCAATCCTCTTGAATCCGGTCTTGAACTTCGTAGGGTCCTCATAATGCTCCAAATGAACAAACATCCTTCCACTAGCCACCAATTCGTTGAAAGCACCCTCCTCAGGACGGAGCCCTATCCAACGTTCGACAAATTCAAACCAGGGGTTGCTTACTCGGACGACGATCTCCTGCAAGAGGTTCTCCATCCACCCAAACATATGGGTAAAGATTGCTGCTCGCTCAATAACAGCGGATATGACTTGGGCGTCTGAGTTGGCCTTCCCCGCCACATGGACGATATCGGCCAGCACGCTTATCAAGTCCCCACACCTTTGGAAGAGGGTCATGACCTGCAGAACTGACACGATGCTTTGGGAATATACGAGAATCTGTTGTTCAAAGTTGTAGATGATGATTGCAATGGTACCGCGCAACGTGAATAGAGAAGACAGATCCCTGGGCTTGGTGGGCGCATTTCTTGCGAAAGCCCGTATATGCTGCATGTTCGTACCGCACTGCAGCACACTTGAGATGACAGTATCGAGCATTCCGAGGCTCACCCCGGAAACGCGCACATCGTTCAGGTGTCTCTCGAATGTCCTTGTCCCCTCGTTGTAGCGGAAAAATAACGAACTCCAACCGAGTCCAAGGCGAAGGAGTGCCCGAATGAAGATCTCATCTCGAACAAGGCGGCCCGCGATTGACTTTCCTTTTGCATTTGCTTGGTGTGCCAGTGCAGCATCGAATCCTTTAGCGCCCGATTCAGTGAAGTATGCTGACACTGGTTCGCAATGTAAACGGTCTTGGTATTTCTCCCATGTCTTCGGAGGGGTAGTATAACCGGGATCTCTTTGTAAGGAATCGAGTTTCCAGATATCATCATCGTCTGCAAGATCTGGGAGCGGTTCTGATGGCGCATCAGATTGGGCATCGATCGAAGGGTCGATGAGTGAATCCGCCGTAGACCCGGGGCGTTCGAGGTGATTTGAGAAAAGGTTGAGCTTCCAAATGGGGTCAGGTGTGTCAATTCCATCGATTGAGGGTTGGAAACATGCTTTTGGAATCGCTATACATCAACAGAAACGTCATTAGCCAGAAACATACCCTTGGAAGCGGGATACATACTCGGTAGGTCCGCGTTCCATGGTAGATCTTCTAGGGGCTGTAGAGCCTCAATACTGAACCTGGAAAGTCTCCATAGGCTGTCACTGGAAAAGGGATCAGGCTCATGGTCAGCCGAATCCATCCTGATCCATAGCCAGCAATAAATGCTCCGTAGTGTTGTGGTGGACGCGTTGGAAATTCATGGGACAGGTCCCGCGATGGGAAAGGCTATCGTGCACGGGCCATCCGATAACAGAAACCCGCGACTGGCAGTCTTGAAGCTCAACCTTCTCCAATATTTGCATCTCGCGCGCCTCAATTTGTCCTGTTCTGCTGTATGATACTGACTAATTGCAATGCCACCTCGGAAGAAGACCAAACGCGCACACTCCACCACACCTCCTGAGGATACAGCGGCACAATCTAGCGCGGACACCCCCGGATCGAGCGATGGCGCCGAAAAACCTGAGCCCGAATATGACTTGATTGGCGATCCCTGGACAGATGAGCAAGAGACGGCACTGCTGAAAGCGATAATCAAATGGAAACCTGTCGGTGAGTCCCGAATTGGTGCATTTGGACCATGCTTTGGGGCCTCTGGGAGCTAATGGAGCTGGTCCTATACAGGCGTTCACAAGCATTTCCGTATGCTCGCAATTGCAGACTATTTGAAGAGCCAAGGATATGCGCCATCGTCGGCAGAGCACATGCGCATCCCCGGGATATGGAAGAAGCTAGGTACCTTATACAACTTGGAGGCTCTAGATGAACGGGTAGGCAACCCTCGACCTTTCGCTTGCACTGGGCATCTCTTGCTGATGATTGCTGATAAAACAGGAGGACGCGGTGTTTGCGGATACGAACGAGGATGATGAGGAGGAGGAGGAGGAGGAGGAGGAGGAGGAGGAGGAGGAGGAGCCGAGTGAGATGTACTGGCCATTTGAGCTTCCCTACGACGAATATGGCGACCTCATGTTTGAGAGACGCCTGGCCACAGAGGGCTCTTTATCACCTGTCACGAGTCGCCACGCCGAGTCTCGACGAGGGAGCACAGTAGCAGATACTGACGGTAAGTTGTAACCCTTTCCTCCTGAGGTATGTATCAAAGTCAGCCAAAGCCACCAACTGACCCAATCGCTTGCTGTAGAACCCCGCTCATCCCCTGCTCCATCTCGAGGTCGTAAATACAATCGTGGTACGCGCCAATCTGCACGTGAGACTCGCTCGACACGACTCCAGGTTGAAATTGGCTCCGGCAGCCAAGGCAAGGCATCTGACGAGGATGCCGACTCTGCAGAAGACTCGGATGTCAATGATGAAGGTGAAGAAGAAGAGGGTGAAGAAGGTAGTGACGGCGGCAAAGACAGCGAGGATGAGGAAGAAGAAGAGAGTAGTGACAAGGGAGGGTCAAGAAGCACGAGGGCAAAGGCATCACGGTCCAAGCAGAAGGACACCAAAAAGGCTTCAACAAGCACCGCAACCCGCCGAACCGGTCGCCGACGTTGACAGTAAACACGCGTTGTTTCCTTGATCTCAGTTTTACATCTTGATACCAGCGGGGTTCTGGAAAGGCGTTTTGGTTAATGTTTGATTTGTTATGTATGACAACAGGGCTCATGTACTTCTACAACTATTTCCATGAATTTACTTCCCATCAGAGCGTGGCTCAGCAAGCGGTTGTGTATATAATTTGTGACACATGAGCGTAACCACAAAGAGGTATATTTCGATCGCTATAGGAAGTCTAAGGTCGTTCGAGGGTACAAAACAAAGAGATCAAAAAGGGCGGGGGTCATAGTACAGAAATCCAAGTAGCGACTTTAGTTTACAGGCGCTTCATAATGGCGTCGGCGTAATCGTGAGTCTTGGCCTTGCCACCAAGGTCACCAGTGAGGGTCTAAACAAACATTGTCAGCCTTTCGTTCTAATAGGTACCAGAGAATATGGGGGCGGAAGAACGTACCTTGCCCTCGGCCAGAGTGTCGAAGATAGCCTTCTGGATGCGGTTGGCGTGGTCGTGGAGACCCATGTGCTGCAGCATCATGATGGAAGAGAGGAGCAGAGCAGTGGGGTTGGCAAGACCCTTGCCAGCAATGTCGGGGGCGGAACCGTGGACGGCCTCGAAGATGGAGCACTCGTCACCGATGTTACCGGAGGGGGTCAGACCAAGACCACCGATCAGACCAGCGCACATGTCGGACAGAATGTCACCGTACAGGTTGGGCATGACAAGGACCTTGTCGTTGTAGGGAGTGGGGTCGGTGACGATCTTCAGGCAAGAGTTGTCCAGCAGCTCAGCGTCGAACTCGACATCGGGGAAGTCCTTAGAAATGTCACGGGCGGTGTTCAGGAACAGACCGTCGGACATCTTCATGATGGTGGCCTTGTGCACGACGCGGACCTTCTTCTTGTTGATCGACTCGGCGTACTGGAAGGCGAAGCGCAGAACGCGCTCGGAGGCCTCCTTGGTGATGAGCTTGATGCTCTGGACAACACCATCGACAACGACGTGCTCAATACCGGAGTATTCACCCTCGGTGTTCTCACGGATCAGGACAGTGTCGACACCGTCGTAGGGGGTCTTGTAGCCGGCAATGGAGCGGCAAGGACGGACATTGGCGAAAAGGTTGAAAGTACGGCGCAGAGTAAGGTTAAGGGAGACGTGACCCTTACCAACGGGGGTCTAGAGGATAGAAAGAAGCGTTTAGCATCACCAATGGGGCAGGGCCGTATCGCCGAATGCGCGAAGATGGAAAACCTACAGCCAGGGGACCCTTGAGCGCGACAAAGTTCTTCTGGACACTGCGGATAGCCTCATCGGGAATGGCGGTCTTACCATCCTTCAAGATGGGAGTAACGTCGACGGACTCCCACTTGATGGGAGCCTGGGATAGTGTTAGTATCCTGATTGAGCCGCGCACTCAATGTTGCGACAAGCTCTTACCTTGGCGGCCTCGAAGATATCCTTGACTGACTGAGAAATCTCAGGGCCAATACCATCACCCTCGATCAGAGTGACAGTGTACTTGCCCTATCGTGCAAAATAAACTTGTTAGTATTCTCGCGATTGTGTCTCGTCTTTTGATGTGGAGAATTCGTCCGTAGGTTGCAGCGCGCGGTTGGCGCCGGCACCGTGAGAAAAAAAATCGCATTGGCTGGGGGGCAACACGTACATCAGCGCCCTTCTGGCCCTTGAACTTGGCGACAGCATCGTCGGGGGAGGAAGCATAACCGCGCAGCTAGAATTCGAGCAGAGGTCAGTCAATTGATGTTGTTCAGTGGGCGACTCGGCTTCGGTGGACGAGAGGGGATGCAGGTGTTGGACGGTACCTGCGACACGGGGGTGACGAAGCTGGGGGCCATGCGGGCCGACCGCAGGCACTGGCGAGCAGCAGAGAAGTTTCTGGCGGCGAGCATCGTGAATAGATCCCGACAATCGGCTGTTTTAAGGGGAAGGTGTGATGGTGGGGAGGAGGAAGAGAGAAGGGAAAAGGGACGAAAGAATCGAGTTTCTCGGCGCCGCACCGATCCGACCGGGCAGACCGCATTGGTGGTTTGATGGTCCTCCGGCTACCCGAAAGTCCACTCTGCTGCTGGTCATTGGTCTGCGCCAACATCACCACCTTCGGGGATCTGGAACTGCCTCTGGAGCTTCATACTGGGCTACGGTCCTACAGCTGCCATTGACGACCACCATATTAAGGATTTGCAATTGCTGCTTCGGTTGACTTCTGCCGTCTGCAGTCTCCTGCAGGAGACTTCGAGTTGTGGCCTCTGCCCTCCACCCCGGACCCTGACCCCGAGGCAACGCCCCCCCCCCATTTCGATTCGTCCCGTCTCCACCCCAGACCAGCATACCGTCTAGCCATCATGTCCGACCTCGACGTCGCGAGCCATTACAATCTACCCTCGGAGTTCCCTGACGAATGGCCGGTGGCGCTGGACGAGGCCGACCAGTCCGACGAAGAGCCCGTCCAACGATCCAAGACGCGCCCCCGCAAGTCGCGGTACTTTGCGCTAGAACGCACCCCCAGTGACTGGCGGAGCAACTTTGGATCTCGTAGAGGGAAAGATGCTAGAGAAACCACGCAGAATGATGAGCCGGATCCATTGGGAGGAGGTGACAGTATCCTGCGCACACTGAAGAGCCGTGGGGTCCGGCTCGAGGATGACGGGGGGTAAACAGTCTCGGTTCCTCCTCTCGTCCACATCCTTTTCACCCGCTTTGTTTTTGTCTCAAGTCCACCATGATGCTTCGATAGAGTCGCTGGTGGCTGGTCTGAACAATCTATCGAACTCCATTGACGAAAAGTCAGCGTCGCTGAAGGTACTGGTGGAGGCGAACTTTGAGCGCTTCGTCCGCGCGAAAGCAACTATCGACAGCGTCTATACGGAAATGAGAGACCAGGGAGCGACAAAGGAGCAAGTCTTAACCCCGCGTCGATCAGGGCACTTCCGGAATTATTCAGGCCAACATCGAAGCATATCGCCTGCTCCTATGGTAACGAGTGGGCCCAAGAAGAACGCATTGACTAAGGAGAGCGAATATGGTATGAAGGGTATTCGAGGTCCTCTGGTGGAAGCCTCAGTGAAGGCCGAGGAAGTTTGGGGTCCTGCGCTGGGAGGCCGAGACCGGGAGCAGATGCTCAAATCGGTTGTGGAGACCATGGAGAAGCACCGTGACGTGTACGAGATCGGAAGTCACTTGTCCAAGTCCATCCAACAGCGTGATTACGATTCCGTCTTTGAACAGTACACCAAGGCTCGGACATTGGCAAACCGAGCGAAGAACATTGTGGAGCAGGCCTCCAGCGCTCAACGACAATTGTCCGATCGTGAAACGCATACGATCCTGGCTATGGGGCGAATGTGGATGGATGTTGACCAGCAAATCCAAAACTTCAAGCGGGATCTTTGGAGACGATTGAGTGATGCATCCACGACTTCCACTACCAGTACAGCATCCGGTCCTGTGGAGGAGCACATGGAGCTTATTGGAGCATTGTTGGAATTGGGCGTTGACAACAACCCCATCTGGACTTGGCTTCTCAGCCGCTACGAGTTCCTCATGACCAAGATTACATCGTTCTGTGATCGATGCAAGGTGGAGATTGAGATTTTGCGGCGGAGGCTCGCAGTAGAAGAGAAGCCTGCGCCCCAGGCCACTGCATCTTATCTGCGTCTTGCTCCTCGAGATGGGTCGGCCGAGATACCCGAACGATTAGACTCTGATCAAGTCATTGAGCTTTGGGACTGCGTTCAAGCTTTTTTAAATCGGCTCCTGTCATCGCAGAGCGGACTGCTAGGTGAAGTTCTTGACTTTTGGGAGGTATCACAATCCTTCATCGATGGCAGTCGCCAGCGACTTCTTCCTGTTGGATTTGAGGGTGAAAGCCGCAAACACCACCGACTTACACCTGCCAATGTGACGCAGCTCGAGAAAGGTATCGTGGAGCTGGTCAATCTCATTCGAGAAAACGTCCTGTCTCTCTTCAATGAGCCTCCGACGGAGGACATTTCCCTTCTCGCCTCCCCCATCCCGCCCAGTCCAAGAAGTCCAAGAAGTCCAGCCTCGCTGGGCGTCACTCCTACCGAGTCTAGGTTCAAACTGGACCCTAAGAACCTACCCTTACCCGTTCCAAAATGGGGAGAGCATTGGGAGGACTATGCATTCTGGCCGCCCTATTCCAATTCTCTCAGTGGTGTCCACTATCTCAGCAAGTTCCTTGTCATTTTGGGCACGGCTGCCAGTGAGATGGCGGCACTGGGCCCCGTTGGTAGTGCTGGACAAACCTACGATCAACTGAAGTCTCTTGTTAGCATCGCACGGGAGCGTTCTGCTCGTGTAGCATGCTCTGCGTGGAGCAAGGACGCGGAGATTTGCAAAATGTTAGAGGATTGGACTCGTGATTCAGAGAAGCGGGATCTGACGAAAATGCCTGGCTTATTTGTGGCTTTCGAGAGCGCTATCCTTGGAGGCATGCAGAAAATTCTCTACATCTCCGAGGCTATGGCGAAATCGGGCTCCGTTGATGTTGTTACTCAACCGCCTGCCAAATTGCTTCAGATGGTTCGGGCGCAATTTGTGTCTAGTGTCTACAAGGCTTTGAGCGGGCTGGTTGAGAACGCAGAACGCCTCGCGCTCTCAGAAGGGGATAATGAATGGGTCATTTCCAGACCACTCATAGCCAGCCAGGCAGTCGATGCGGCTCTATCGGTCCTCACTGCAGACTCCGTCGATTCCCGCAACAGAGTGAGTGTCACTGCGCCGTGCTACGTTATTATAGTGTTCTCATCGCTAACCTCGGCAGAATGTACGGATTCTTCTTACACTTTCGAATCTCAAGGCCCTTCAGGCCGAATATGTGCCGCAGCTGATTGCCAACTTCGAGACTTCATTCTCGGTCAAGTTGACGGAAGAGGGCAAGACCGTTCGGGATGTCTTGAAGCAAATCGAAGACCGACTCTTCCAGTCATACACCAAGCCGACTATTGCCACCTTGAATGAAACAATCTCATCCGGCATCACGGCCTCCGACTGGGTGCCTTCCACCGATCGCCCAGATCAAGTTCGCCCCTACGTCTACAGCACCATGCTCACTTTGGTGCTGGTGCATACCGAGATCTCGACAACCATTCCATCAACAGTATCCCCAAGCTCCAGTCGCTCATCACCCAATGCCCCAGCTTCATTGCTGGCCACCATTTTGACACACCTCCTGGTAGAAGTGTCCTCGTCATTGCTTTCAGCGTTCCGATCTCGTCCCACTTTCTCCCTAGCTGCCTTGATGCAGGCCACGCTGGATACCGAGTTCATTGCGCAGACCTTATCCCAGTACTCGACCGATGAGGCATCCAACATCCAGAGTCAAATCTACGTGGAATTAGATCGCCGAACCACCAACGAGGCTCGTACTAAACTCCAGGCCGAACTGGGAGAGATGCGGGTCGTGCTCAAACGCCTCCGAGACCGGACAAAGGGCGAGTTTGCCTGCTTTAAGAAGCCTCGAAGCGGTGGTTCCAAGCCCTCCACTTCGACTTAGCATAGCCATATATCTAGTTCAATGGAGAAACCCATATAACATCAAGCGTTCATGAATTCCTTTACTCACAAATCGAACATGGTATAAGTAACAATCGGGTATCACAACTTTTTAGTTTCCTTCTCCCATCTTCCAATCTACCCTCAAGTCTGGCCAACCATCCGTTGCACCCGACTCAAGAGCACATTACTCTCTCGCCCCAACCGCCTCTTCCCAAACTGATCCGGGCGTTTAGCCCGCGCCATCGCCTCACGCTCCTTCTGCTTCGCCTCCCGCTCTCGTTGTCGAGCTTCCGCGGCCTGTTTCCGCTTCTCTGCAATCTCAATCTCCTTGGAAAATGCCGAAGGCTTCGCTTTCCGTTCCTTCCTCTTCCCATCCATGTTGCGGGGGCGACGCTCTCGCGGTGCAGGTGCAGGTTCGGGCGACAGCTCGGGCTCGTTCATCATTGCTACCCGATCAGGATGCAGTTCTAGCGAAGCGGGTTCGGCCTTGTCTCCGGACTCTTCTTCGGCGGTGGTGAACATGGGTTTTGGCGCGTTGGTGGCGAGTTCTTGGGCTTTGATCTTAGCGTAGGCTTTCTTGACTTTGGCCTTTTGGATCAGGTCGGATTTGATTTTTTGAGCTGTAGAGAGAGATATGGTTAGACAGATGTGATTAAAAAACAGATATAAGAATATTCACTTACTCTTGCGACGATATGTGCCATCGGGGAGGTTTGCAGGGCCGACACTGAAGCCCTTGCGCTTCTTGACGGCAGGCTCAGGCCGTGATTCGGAGGGTTTGTTCTCGCCATCGCGAGTCCGTTTGGGAGCCATGACAATTCAGTATTGGTCTGAAAAATCTCAAATATGACTGGGAGAGAGATTTGTTTGGCGGTGGGTGGTTTGTTGCCGTTGGAGTTGGAGAAGGAAAAAAAAGCGGCGATCCGCGGCCAAGCCTCGAGAAAAAGTTATGGTCTGGATTTCCCCCCATAAAGTCCGGAGGACGGGGGGAATAGCAGCACTCGAGTTCTCGATTGATATTAACTAAAAATCCGATATATCTATTATTTGGTATTGTTCCTTTTTTTAAATGTTTTCTTGTTGGGTAGTAATTTTCTCTCACCCAAAAATTGGACCATCTTGTTTGGATGAAACAAAGGCCGCCAGTCATCGTGATGGAAACCCGAACTACTCGCCGATGAATCATCGCCAGACCCACGACCTCACCTGACGAGCATGCTCCGCTGTATATCGCTCGCCTTATCTTTCCTCGCTCTCTCCCGGACTCCTCCTCCGACACAGTTCTTCCTTCCCACAACAACTCTTGCCAGTATATCTGAGACCAGAATTTTACTGTTATATATTGTTCGTGCGGAGGACCATATTCATCCGTGCCAATCACCCCATTCCTCGGAACCACTGACGGCATACCCGCTCACACTGCACCTCACCGCATCTCAACCCACCCCACCGCGGCACTGTCGGGCCTGATTTCGAAAGCGCTTGCCCCATCGGTGGCCTCTTGCAATGTTCAACTCGCCATTTCAGCCCTCATAATCTCCCCAACCTCGCCAACATGCCCCTCTTTCACGATCCGGATCGACGGGCCCAGCACCGTTGGTCGGGTGACCATAGCGAGTCCGAACCGCCTGCCCCAAGGTCCCCTCTGGATCAGGCAGGCGAACATGACGAGCGTGGCCACTATATAGTCGGATCAACTGGGAGGGCTATGGATCCCACGTCTAGGGAGTCGTCTCTGCCCAAGTTTTGGGCGAACGACCGGCAGGAGCTCATACAGCGAATTAAAGAATCATCGCCTTGGAGGTCGCAATATCAGGTATGTCGGGCTGCTGTTGGGCCGAGATAGTACTTCTTGTCTTTTATCGAGAGGTCTTTCCAGTCATAATTACCTTGCAGTTAGAAAGCTAACCAAGTATGAAGCCGCAACATGCCAACACTGGCGAATCCTATATGCCTCATAGTTCTATACCGCCCCTTAACTCGCAGGCCGACGAGCGGATGGTAGAGCAGGCCTCAGAGAACCAATATCGTGTGGAAGACAACGAAGAGCTAGGCTCACCTGCCGAAATTCAGCGACCCAGATCTGCATTGCACTCTGGTGACTTTAGGGAAGGCTCCCCGCACCATGGGGAACAATCGCCGCAGCCTCGTTTTGCGGAACCCAGCCCGTCCTCGCCATTTCTCCGCCTCAGCACTTCCCCTACGACTCCATGGTTTGGAGCATCCGTTTTTCAAAGCAACCAAAGCCAGTCGGATCTATTTGCCAGCCGCAATGAACGAGAACGTACTTTGCAAACACGATCCAGGGCACCGTCGCTTGGGTCATTCTCGTCGAGTTACGTTCTCAAAGCGCCGACAAGCCCTCTAGTCTACCAAGCCAACAACACCGATCTAGACTTTTCGCCTCGGGTTGATCCTGCCGAGCCACTAGAACCACTGGAAAGGGCTAATCGACGACGAACTCTTCCCCCGGAGAGCTTCAGACATCTGCACTCTACGCCCCCTAATCGGCGGACGATTAATACCGGCAGTCCATATCCCCAAGGCAGACACGATGGGCTTTTCCAGCCTCATCATTCCCCACGTCGATCGCTTGCCTCGTCGTATAGTCTCCAGCTTGCTTCTACGGCGATCACGCCTGCGTTTCGAGCAAGGAGACCTTCTCTTGCGTCGGAAATCTCTCCAAAGCCTCATGCACCGATGGTCGGGTCCTACGAGGAGTCCATCTTGCGTGGGCGAATGTCTATGAACCCATCTAAGCCGCTCGACTTCACAGCTCAGATCGGCGTTCTAGGCAAAGGCAAATGCAAAGGACACCTCAGATGTCCTCCTCATGTGACAGTCCCTTTCCCGGCCGTCTTCTACAGCTATCCGACTTCGGGGAATGGCCGATCCATCGCCGACGATAGCCCCAGTCCCTACGTCGGGCAAATCGATCTGGAGAATTCGCTACCCAAGGATGGATCTAGCTCAGCTCGGCGTCGCAAACGGCACTTTAGCCCATCCAGAGCCCCGGAAGAGATCGGCGTCGACGAAGCGGGTGCTCATCGAGTCCCAGACGCCGATTCGCGGCGCCGTCGGGAGAAAAAGAACCGCAGAGCGGAGTCTCCCAAATGCCCCCCTGGTGGGAGCTACCGGATTCCACAGCAAGGACAATTACAGATCATTATCAAGAACCCGCATAAGACTGCGGTGAAACTGTTTCTAGTTCCGTACGACCTCAGTGACATGGAGCCTGGTACGAAGACGTTCATTAGGCAAAGAAGTTACTCGGCAGGTCCGATAATTGACATGCCACTGAGCGCGCGAAAGAACTACGGAACTGATCGCCCAGAAGCCTCGTTGAGCACCGCAGAGGACCCACAAGATAAGCCGACCCTGCGGTATCTTGTCCATCTGAACATCTGCTGTCCGTCTCGAGGTCGCTTCTATCTGCACTCCAGCATTCGGGTTGTTTTCGCAAACAGAGTCCCAGATGGCAAGGAGAAGCTTCGCAACGAGATTCAACTGCCAGAGCCTCGATACAGCCCGTATAAACCCGTGCGTGAGCATCCATCATTGTCCACCTCTGCCAGTGCTCGACTTGCAATCGAGAAAGAATCTCGCCGGCGAAGCGCTGGTCAGGGCGGATTCCCGGGGTTACCGCCCTATATCTCGTCGCCAACCGATGCGCCTCTGCATTGGGATGCAGCAGAGCCAATGGAGCTTATGGAGCCTACGCAGACCTCCCAACAGTCTGGTACTATGTATAACAAGCTCAACAAGGGCGATGTGGGCTACGGAGGTTATCCTTATGCTTCTAGCCAGAATGGCTCTGAAAATGGTGAGAGTTTGCTTGCCAAGCGGCTTCGCGGCCTGGATGTCCATAAACATGAGACACTTGACAGCAAATAAGCCGACTATTGGAAAGAACTCTCAACATCGATAGTCTCGGCATAGGTCTCGATCTGGCATCGTTCAGCTTAGTCTCTGAACATGTCGTTTGCGGCATGAGGGACTACTGTGTGACCGAACTCGTGACTGTCAAGGGTACTGCTGGTATACTGATCGAATTTTCTTTTTGTTTCTTTGTTGCAGTGACTTGTCTGTCCATTTTACTCGGCAATTGATCACAGGGTGCGACGGCCGCGCCGGTCTGCAGGGTGATCGATACTACTAACCCATACAACAGTGACCGGTCCTGTGAGATACTTCATCTGCAGGCGCAGACGCCGGCTTATTTCATCTCCACGCGGGACCTGGTGCTTTTCATTCTGGTATTCGTTTCTTTTTTATTCGGCCTTATCGTACCATGGTAGGCCAAGCGCTTGGATTTTCAGTATATACCCCCTGTTCTATCTTTTGTTACTACTTGACCATCACAAGCACATAATCCCCTACATTCATTACAGAGCCTTGAAGGCATGGGACAAGAGTCATATCTCTCGTGATGCTTTCTGGTGGCGTTGTTGACAGAGTATTCTCATCTCGGCTGGTCTTTTCCTTGATGTTTTTCCTTCGTCGTTTGAACTACTTGACTATAGCAGATAGCCATGGAAAGAATATAACATATCTCGGAATTGATGTCATTACTTAGTAGATTGGTGAATAGGTATGAAAGTGGCAGACCTGTATTCTTGCAATATATCTACAAAGGGCGCTAGGTACAGCAAGCAAAGATTAAAAGGGATCCAAAATAAGAACAGAGTTCTACCAGGAGAAGGACTCGGTAGACGTGAGTGACACAAAGGGGCCTGTCAAAAAGTTTCGGCCGCGCCACTCACCCGGCATCCACTGGGACGGGTTTAGCCAGCGTGCTCAACAATCTCGTTGACCAGCACGCCGTTCTTAACGTAGCTCTTGATCTGTTCAGGGATGGGGCATTCCTTGGTGTCGTCGTCGGTGCCCTCCTTCGGGGGAAGCATAATGTTGATGGCGCTGCACTTGCTAGTGAAGACCTCAGTAGCAAGGCTCAGTTGGCCCAGGTAGACGGTGGCACCATCGACCTGATCCAGGAGAACAGTCGGGACGATACCGTCAATCTGCAGAGCAAATTTGGGCGACTTGATGACATCCAGGCTGCTGACCAGGGAGTCGACGATGATAGAGAGACCAGTGCAGTTGTCAATAGCGATGGCATTGGCCTTGCCAGAGACCTTGACGATACTCTTGTTGCAACGGGTAATGAGAATGGACTGGTTCTGCTGCGCGGAGACCTCAATGATCTCATCAGAGGCCTCGAAGTTCTCAATCAACCACTTGTTTCCTTCCAGATCCTTGCGTGGTGGTTTGCGGGAGCGCATGCTCTCGGGTTTGGGCTTCTTGCTCGGCGCAGGTGACTTGGCCCGGGGAGAACCAGAGCTCTCTGACATTGTCGAGCCCGCACGCAGACTGGGATTCTTGTGCGTCATCTGCGACTTGTCGACCTTGCGAAGACCAGATGTGATCTGCTCGCCTTGGTTGAGCTGGTCAAACACAGCGGACATATCGGAAGCAGGAGCAGATGGCGCTGGGGCTGGAGGGATGCCAGGTGGAGGGGGAGGGGGCGGGACGCCGCCAGGGACATTGAGAGCAGGAACAGGAGGAGGGGGAGGGGGAGGGGGAGGAGCAGCGCCACCAGCTGCTGGAGAGCCACGCTTGATTTCTTTCAAAGCATCCAGCGCACTGAGACCAGATTCGTTGTTCCAAGTCAGGCCCTTAGGGTAGTGCTTCTTGAGATAGGCCGAGAGGGCCTTGAAGTTCTGGTAGTACGCTTGAATGTACTCAACGTGTGTTCGGTCCCTGCAAACATGTCAGCCACTGGTGTGTATCTGTACCTCGCGAATTGTCTTACTTCTCCTTGTACTCCTTGAGCACCTTGTTGCCATAGTATTCAATACCACCAATCATCTCAGAAACAAACTCCGCGGGCTTGGTCTCGAAGAACCAACCCAGCGCAACGATACCCTCCGCAACGGCACTCAGGTGGTTGAACAGCGGCGACGCACGATTCGACTCCTTGATGTTGTTGATACTGTCCGATGCCTTGTGCAATTCCGTCATGAGCTCTGGAGGGGGCACATCAGGCTTCTTGGCTTTTGTCGAGACATAGAGGAATGTACGCTCGGCTTTGAAGGCTTGCAGGACTGCTTTCGACTATTCAATGTGTGCATTAGCAATGGCAAGGTATTTGAGCCACACTGGCAGCATGGGATTTCACACCTGCTCTGCAACAAGTCCGCCAACTTTCTCACCCAGGTTCACAAAGTTTTGGACGTCCCCCTTGATCAATGCGTCGAAGTCTTGGATCTGCGGGGGAACTTGCGGCGCAGCAGGAGGCGCTGGGGGAGGAGGAGCAGGCTTAGGAGGTTCGGGAGTCGCAGGTGTAGCTGCAGAGGGACTGCTCAAGCCCTTCGAAACGTTGGGGTCGTCGAGGGACATCGCCATATCCTCCAAGCGTGAGGTCGCCGCCTCGAGCCTTTATATTAATTCCATAGTTAGCATTGACCACACCCAGTATTTGTGGCACGACTTAGGCAAACTTGAAAAGCAAAACCAAACGGACAAAGGACTATGCAGCTACCACTAAAGACCATACATACCGCTTGATGAGGGTGGTGAAATTATGCATATGGCTGCCGCTCGCCATGTTAGGCAACACGTTGCTCGAAGAAGTCGGAAAGGGGCGAAAGGAGCTCGACGAAAAGGAAAGAGTGACTTTAGACTAAGAAAGTAGACTGGAAAGACAGTCGATCCGGCAGTTGTCAGTCCTTTGCAATCCACAAATCACCAAAAGGTGGGAGTGTCAAAGGGTCAAAGGTGGTTCGGAGGCTAACTGAAGCTCCTGAAGTCGCAGCTCCCAAGGCCCGCAACGGTACGTTACGCCGGGGTAGCGGCACCCAATGACGTTGCTTGGTATCTTTGGTATTTCACTTACATAGATTGTAACAACCACAACCGAACCGGTCGACTGGATACTCTGCTTATTCTTTCTTCGTGGATAGCCATTGAGTCTCGGTTTCCTGGTGAAGATGGCCGAGCTTGTTCCAGCCTTGGCCCGACCGGGCGAGGTTGAATTTTGCACTTTGGGAATGTTCATTTTCGGTATGCTTATGCTTATCGCTTCTCTTGGAACCCCGCGGCCTGGATGCTCACAGTGCATTTCCGCGCAGATGACATTGATTTCGGTGGTTCCAGACCAGGCGTCAAGAACATCCTTGGAGGTGCAGCTTCCTTCGCTGTCATTGGCGCTCGCCTGGTTTCAGGAGCTGCGCATGCACGATCTGTCAGTTGGATCGTTGATGTTGGCTCCGACTTCCCTCCCGAGGCACTGGCTGTGATCCGGTCCTGGGACACCGATTGTGTCTTCAGAAAGGATCATAGCAGGCTTACAACCAGAGCATGGAACGGGTATCATCCAGATGAGAAGAGGGGTTGGTCAACAGTCTCATTCGACAGTCGAAGAACCATCGCTGACAAAGGAGATATAGATTTCAAATATCTAACGCCGAAGCTAAGACTAGACCCTTCTATGCTATCAGACACACAAGTCTGGTCTCGTACGTTTCATATGGTCTGCTCTTCATCTCGCTGTATATCCATCGTGAACGGAATATTGCAGCGGCGGGATGAGCTGCATCAGGCAGGTCAGGCCCCCTCCCCCGAGCATGCGTCAACTCGACCCATCTTTGTCTGGGAGCCAGTGCCAGATCTTTGCACACCGGAAGAGCAAGAGAATTTCTTTGCAGCTAGCAGAGTTGTGGATGTGGTGAGCCCCAATCATCAGGAATTGGGTATGATGTTCGGGCAGCCTGGGTGGTCACAGGAGAGCGAGGATGGCCAGCAACTCGTCCAAAGAATTCTGGCCTCTGGAATCGGTCCTAATGGCGATGGGTGCCTTGTCATAAGAGCAGGTAAGGAGGGAAGCTACGCGTTCTTGAAGGCCCAGAAGTTGTGGCTTCCCGCCTATCATCAACCGGGGACGTCGGGTGCTAGGACCGTTGTCGACCCAACAGGGGCAGGCAATTCTTTCCTGGGTGCATTGGCCCAGGGAATGGTGTCTGCGGGTCGTGAACCGTTCATTGTCATTGAATCTATACTATCGACCTCTGAAGCCTGGAGAGAATCTCTCGAATCCTGGGGACTTCGCAGTAATCTGCCCATGGCCCTGATCTGCGCTACCGTTGCTGCAGGGTTCGTGATAGAACAGATTGGTGTTCCGCATATTTCTATGTCCGAGAACGGGGGGAAGGAATTGTGGAATCAGTCTGAATTTACGGAACGAGTCCGCCTGTACACGCAGCGATTATTTAGGACATTAGACGAGTCTCCTCAGAGACACCTGTTGACCAATTGATCAAATGGTCCATTCAGGAACTCCCTTCTATTGTCTTACAGCCACGGGAAATGATGAAATGATAGTAAAAACACGATATGAAAATGTTCCGTCACGCTGCGATCCTTCCTCCGGCTACCATCCACGGCTCCGTTGTATCTCTTTTATGAGGGGTTCTGGGCAGCTTGCTGCTTCTCATGTTCGCGAATCTGTCGGCTCCAGCTGGGGAAGAAAAAGAGAAGGGTCAGTACTGGGAATTCAAGAGATGTCGGGGTTCAGGGCAGACGTACTACCGGCTGGGGAAGAAGCGGCCGGGCTCGGGCATCTTGTCACGGTACTCCCGGTCAGCGCTGATGCTGAAGGCGACGGCAGAAACACCGATAATAAAGGCGCCCATGATCGCAGTGTTCGCCTTCCAGTTGCCCGGCTGACCGTACCAACCACCAGAGGGGGACCAAACTTCCTTGGGGTACCTATACAGCAGAATCTGTTAGCCTCCAGCCACCAATTGGCGGCGATAGTGAAACATACGGGATCTTTCCACCTCCACCCATTGTGAATGAGATGTAATTGATGGAGTTGTTGAGTAGAGAAAGGAACGTCGGGCTGGACAGTTCCTCGCAAGCGGGCTGAAGCCGAAAGGGCCGTCAATCGAAGGTCGAGTGCCAAGCCTTTACTGCCTAATGAGGACTAGTCTCAGCTCACACGACAGAGCGATCCCGTGACCTGGCGAGACAATTTCTCTTTTCTCTCCCCGTAGATTTGGCCGCACGCCTTCCGAGCCTCGCCCCGTTGACGCAGCGTGGATTGTTATTTTCTCGGCTTTCCAGTTTGTTTCAAGTCTATCCCACAGCCGCCCAGATGAAGAGGGTACAGCTCCAACGATGGAGCAGTACAGTCCTTTCGCCACGGGCTCGAACTGTTAGCCGGCTGCATCAACATGTGTTTGCTACCGGATCGCGGTGCCAATCGACCGCATCTCCTCTGCAGGCCGAGTCTAGCGCTCAAGAAGGCCCTGGAGATGCGGGCTTTGAAGATGTCGAGTTGATGAAGCACGTCAGGAGTGCTCACAGGCGCAAGGACATGCTCAAATATCCCTCTCCTCCGGTCGATGCCGCACTCAATTCCGCCAAACTCGCTGCTCTTCACGCTCGACTCTACCTTCCTTCCCGATTACCCCCTCAAACACTCGCGCGAGCATTAGTCGACGCATCTGCGGACCCCAATCCCGATTTCAACAACGAATCGTTGGCCACGCTTGGTCACGACCTCCTCACCTACTACACCACCGAGCACCTCCTTTGCACCTACCCCCGCCTTCCTTTGACTGTCATCTTCGCCGCCATGTACGCCTACGCCGGTCCTAAAACACTCGCCGCGATGGCCAGAGAATGGGGTGTGGAACATGCTTCATTGCCCGGTGGAGAAGTTGACCCCGGCCTGCTACAGTTCCGCAGGGTCGCGCCTGGCAGCGACTTGAGTGTCGCTACTTATAACAACCGCACACCTCGTCCGTATGCTGCGCAGAAAGCATGGAGGATGACGGTGACATCGAAGATCTTCTACGATGACGAATTTGGTGACGCGATCAAGGGCCCAGCAACCTCGGGCGAGGGCGTGACCGCTGAGCTGGCCAGTGCCACATTTGTCCGCGCCGTGATGGGTGCTATTTACCTCCACGCTGGTCGTCCAGCAGCCAAGCGCTTCTTCGAGCAGCACTTCCTCTCCCGACACCTTAATATCGCCCAGCTGTTCAACTTCTCCCAGCCCGCCCGGGACCTGGCTCGCCTGTGTGCCCGCGAAAACTTCGAACTCCCAGTCGCCAGAATCATCAGCGAGACTGGCCGGAAGAGCAGACATCCTGTCTTTGTGGTTGGTATCTTCTCCGGCAAGGACAAGCTGGGCGAGGGCGCTGGCGCCAGCCTGATTGAGGCTCGGGAGCGCGCGGCTCTTGCTGCGCTGAAGGGATGGTATCTCTACAGCCCGCTCAATGTCCGCGTTCCTAGCTCTATGGAGGAAGAGGGCGCTGCGCCCTGGAAGCCCGTTTATGTTGACCTGGGCGAGGTCATCGTCTAATACGTGCTTTGAATTTGGGCGCCTCGTCGAACGCTTTACCATATTCCTTCATCTCTTGTTTATTACTGACTTTTTTTTATTACCAAATTTTCTCGGTTCTGTGGTTTCGCATGGGAGGCAGGCCAGTGGGAAAAAAGAGTCATTTCTTCCTGTCTTTTTGCATGACTTGGATACTGTATAGTATGGGAATTGTGATTCCTTCGATTCATCTGGTGTCTTTTTGTTTACTGGAACTCTTTTTTTCTTATCTCGTTATTTTTCCCCCAAATCATTGTGTTCTTTGTCTCATGTATCTGGCTACGCCCCCCGCTCTTCTCCAGCGAAATTTGGTTAACATAGGGCACTGAGGTCGCATGTCTCGGCAGTGGTGTATAGAGGTGACCCTATCAAATGTATTCTAAAAAGAAAATCACATTCTAGACATACCCATTCATTGCTTTTGCATCATTTCCATAGCCATCGAGACGACAGGTCGAATTGGTCTGGAGGTAGCATGCCATCACTGACTTGTACTCTATAATGGGTTGACAATCTCTTCCTCCCAGTTTCCTTTGGTCTTCTCACTTGGCTTCTCACTGTCATCAAGCCACTGGCCATACTCGTCCCACAACTCCGAGACCCCAGCTCCAAAGAGACTCTTCCAGAAGCCCCCTTCATGACAATCCTTCTCATCCTCCCCTAGATAACCAACCCTATAGAGTCGATCATTCAGCATACCAATCGCACCCTCGCCAGCCCAGACATCTTCAATCCACGCCAAAAAGTACGCCGTATGCTGATATCCAGCGTCCCATTTCTTCTCCCGCTGCGAAGAAGACGTAGGCCGTGTCCAGTGCGGCGGCGACAAGCCAGCCTTGAGACGGACAAAGTCCGCAATGCCTTCAATCACACCTCCTGGCGGACTAGGAATATCCTTCCCGCCCTTTGCAGAGTCCGGGGGCGAGGTGTGCTGGTAGCAGTGGACCAGCTCATGAGTGAGTACGCCTGTCAGCTCATGCACTGGATCAGCCTTCGCGGCAGAGTTCTTGCAGTGCGTGATGTATGGCAGAGAGAGGTGGATTTCTTTGTGGTCGTCGTCCAACTCTGTGCCTGTCGTATAGGCTACGCCGCCGAAGTCGCGGAGGAATAACGTCACTGATCGTGTTGGCGGAATGAAGGGGATAAAGTGAGGCCGCTCGCATTTCGGTGCACTTGTTGCTTCCTCTGGGGACCCGTCCCCCGGAGACGTGTAGAGGTATTTGACGATATTGCTCAGAGCTGTGTCGAGAGTCGAGGCCACATCTGGGATGTAGATAGAGAATGAGGCAGATTCTGGGTGACGGAGAACCTCGGAATGGAGGCGATACTTTGGCTTGGGAATCTGGATTTTCTTTTCTGGGGTCGTTTGTGCCTGATCTTGATCTTTGGCGTTTGATCCCTGTGCCTCGTTGGGCGGGCTGGCCTTGGGAATCGCAGATGCAGCGGCCGGTTGGGCCGAAGTAGTCGTCATAGCTAGTTCAGTCATGCATATATCTAAAATCCTAGACCTTGAGAGAAGATCGGATCAATTAACCGGGGACGCTTCGGTGACTTTGCTGGGATTTGCGGTCAGTGGGAGAGCTGGTGATCGATGCTGAGGCTGAGTCGGAGCCAATTAGAGCTATTCGAGGTAATCAGTTCTGTTTCGCCGAAGGTGGGGGAGCTGGCCTTGCCATCCACTCCACGTACTATTTTTCCTTCACATCCATTGTTAGTTGCCTTTGTAGATCAAAGAGCTGAAGATTTTGTAGTATAATGCTCCATCGCGATTGAGTAGGCATCATCTCTGGAATCTGTGTCGTGGCTAACTATGGCCTGGGCAACGTACCTATGACTACAACTATATATAACCGTGCCTTCGTCCGGCACGTCAACGGTTGATGCTCTTCGCTAGTGGAGTTTGGATCTTTTGTTGATTCTATGAGCCGAATTAGACTAACACTATACATTATTCAATCGTACGGAGAAATCGTGAAACTCCCAGGGCAGTTCTCTGTTCCCCACCAGCGCCTCCTATTGATTTTGTAGGCCAGCAATAATGCCGCCCGATCACGTGATCGATGTTTATTGTTGCACTTCGTACCGAATAGTGAGGCTAGACAGTTGGATGATAGTATATTCGACCTCAGAAATTTCCTGGACCTTACACTCTGTATAACTTTTCAATTGCTAGGTCTATTCTGGCGCATCCGTTTGGGCTGTACTACACCGCACATGGTTGCCCTTTGCGACCGCCAGATAAACAAACTAGCCTTGAAAGTTGGGCGGGGTTTGGGCACAACCACGGTTGATCAACCACCAAGATTCAAATTGAAATTTGGGGGAAAAGGATAATAACAATCTCAGCATTCCAGATCGCATATTGAGCCCTTTGACCCTAGAACCTCCTTTGTGTAGTCCCTTTGGGAAGAAGATTGTCGCATCAGTGGAGCCGCTCGCGCTTATCCGCGCTTATCGCCCCTTGACTCCGAGTTTCCGTCGCCTTCGTCAACATCCCACCATCCACGGTTCGCGCCCGCTCACCTTCCTGTCCTCCCTTCTACAGTCACATCTTCTTTGGTGAGTGCTTCTGATATTGTGTTGCCCTACCCTACGACCTAGCGTTGGTCTTGAGTGCTATCATACGCTACTTCTGTTTGAATCTGCGCCGCAGTCATCTCCGAGCCCCAGTGCTACGCGCAGCCCCCTGTCGTGATCTGTCTTATTTGCGCGCCCGACTCCTTGATGGAAGGGAATTGACACACGAAATAGGCTGTAACAAGCTTCTGTACTCCATTATCCGTGCTACCGGTCCCCTATCGTTCTGATCGCCCAAAAAACCCATCGACTTCGTTTGCTCACCCCCGAAGCGGTGGTAGCTCCTATGATTCGTGCCTGACATATCTTGAAAATCCTCTGTTGGCGTCCAAGATGGAAGCAAAGGCGGCGGAGCTCCTGGCGGCCTTCAACAACCCAAATCTTTCCGTCGATGCCAAGGTCGCCCACCTTACGGCCATCAAATCCGATATCAAGCAGAAAAATGTCCCCGAGGGCGCTATTCCAACCATTTTCGACACTCTGCGACTCGCTCTAACCTCCCAACACTATTCAGTCCTCGGCGCAGGCTTCTCTACGCTAGGCCACTTCTTGAAGCGGCTATCGATTCAAGATCAGCAGCAATGGATTGTGAGCCAGGCGAGGAACTTCTATCCCGTCCTGATGGAACGACTCGGCGATCATAAAGAACGTGTACGAGCGCAGGCCGCATCGATATTTACTGAGATCTGGTCTGTGGCGAGCAACGAGGTTGAATATTATGTGCTGGAGACTGCGTTGACGGGCAAAAACCCCGAGCTAAAGAAATGAGCATGCTCTGGCTTTCCAATGTGTGTCCACGCGCTGCGTAGCCTTTAAACTGGCCGCTAACAGGATTGTTTGCAGATGACAAAGAACCACGGTCTGTTGTTCCGCCAATATGTCCCTTCTCTGGTTGCATGCTTGGAGGATGCAGACAGCGCTGTTCGAGACACAGCAAGATTAGTTGTGGTTGAATTGTTCCGGTATGTACAATTCTATTCTTCAACTCAACTTCTTGAGACTGACCTTACGACTCAGGAACGCCCCCGCACGAGCCAAGTCTGATCTACAGAAGCAGCTGGTTGCTCGAGGCGTGCGCAAATCCATCGCGAGCGCTATTATTTCTGGCATCGGACTCGGCGACTCAGAGCCTGTCAGCTCCAATCGGCCCATTTCTCGTGCTGAACGCCCTATCTCGGTGATGTCTTCACGTTCGCACGCCAGGGAACTAGTCGATGATGGTATGATTGCGAGTTTAAATTTACCTTTATCTGAAGAGAACAGGGCTAATCAGTGTCAAGAGTTAGAGCCTACCAAAAGCCAACCAGGATCTTCAAGAGGCCACAATGACCGATCTACACCTGCTCCCCAAGAAGCCCCATTGAGGCCCAAGACCCCGGCGGAGCCGCCTGCTATGCAGCAAATATCTCAAGAAGATGACGGCATCGAGCCCTTCCTTGTCTCATCGGCCCGTGACATTGACGATACCGTGCGAGACATGCTTCCCTGGTTCGAGGGCAAAGAATCCGAAGACAATTGGTTGAAACGTGAGAAGAACGTTATCCTGTTCCGCAGACTCACTCGAGGTAACGGGCCTCACGACTTTCCTCAGAGCTACATCCAGAGCGTCAAAACTCTCCTTGATGGAATCTTCCGTGTCGTGAATTCCTTGCGAACGACTCTTTGCACCAACGGTTGTCTTCTGATGCAAGATATTGCTCGGACTTGCGGCCCCAGACTTGACCCCATGGTTGAGATTATCATGCAGAATTTGATCAAGCTGTGTGGAGCCTTGAAGAAGATTTCTGCCCAGAGTGGAAACGCCACCGTCGACGCTGTTCTTGGGAATGTAACGTACAACATTCGCCTTCTGCAACACGTCCACTGGGCCTCACAAGATAAAAATATACAACTGCGTCTGTTCGCGGCAGGCTGGCTTTGCACTCTGATTAAGCGCCAGGCCCATCAAAAGAGCTCGGTTGAGCACGGCGGTGGCCTGGACCTTATCGAGAAATCCATCAAGAAGGGCCTGGGAGATGCCAATCCTGGTGTACGAGAAGCTGTACGCAGCACTTTCTGGACGTTCTACGGTGTCTGGCCCGACCGAGCTAATGCCATCATGGCGACTCTCGATGCCAAATCGCGCACACTGCTGGAAAAGGATACCTCAAACCCCAATGCCTCTAAGGCCTCTTCTACGCCGACAAAGAGTGCAGCTGGCCCAGGTGCTAGCCGCTCTGCCCTGAAAGAAGCCATCGCAGCCCGCAAGAGGGCGATGCCGCCTTCTCGCCCAGAGTCCGCACAGTCCGCATTTATAGATTCAGATCCTGCTCCTAGACCCTCTACTCGGAGTGTACCCACGGGAGCACCGCTTTCTTCCCTTTCATCCGCACCCATGCGGCCTGCTATGAAACCCCGCCGGCCAGAGATCAGTCGTCCGGCAACTGCGGACCCTTACGCTCGTCGGCCCGACTCGAGAGCAGCTCGAGCTACTAGTAAGCCGGTCAGCTCCCCGAGATCAGTACGAGCCAAGGCATCTACACCATCAACTAAACCGATTAATGCCCCTCGCCTTCGGCCCCACGATGCTGGACAAACGGGCACCACTAGAGGCAAGCCTAAGAAGCTTGACCTTTCAAAATCAAAGTCTCATGGGGACCTCAATGCGGCGAGTCGTGCCCGTAGCGACTCTGCTGACAGCGTTGCGCATCAGTCCTCCGTGCATGCCTCCCATGCCTCCCATCTAAGCGGATCTGAGGGTCGCCATTCACCAGCGCCTATTGTTCTGGAAAGTCCTCCACTTTCTGCATCACAACCGATACTTGCTAGCAGTCAACAAATTAACCATGGTAATATCACCCTGGAGCATATTGAAGAACCACAGTCTCTCTCCCTCGCAGAACCTAGCCCTGTGCGAGCCTATCCGCGTGTCTCCGAAGCTGAAAGCGCAACTCCATTGCGCCCTGCCCATCCAGTCGCTGAAACTGAACCTACTCCTAAGGCCCAACCGGAAGAAATGGTAATATACGAAGACCCTGCTACGCCGGTTGCAGCGGAGCCTACGACACCAAAGATGTCTCCAATCCAGCATTTTACCCATCAGAAGTCTCCTCGCCAGCCCGATGACGAAGGGCTTGCAGAAGCCCCAGTGCCAGGTACCCCGGTCACCTTTGAGACCCCTCTCAAGAACCCTGTGCCGGAGCTGGCTCCTTACCAAGAACTCAACAATGATGGGGCTAATGAGCCCCGTTTCCCGTCCCCCAAGAGGACACCACTTCGGGGAACTCCTTCTCCCACTAGAAATCGTCCTCACCCCACGCCCTCTCAAAATATTCCCACTTTGGGTTCCACGTCAGCACCAAAGCAAGCTGTGGCAGATACATTTGAGAGCAATGCCAATAACGAGAATGCCACTGCGCATGTTATGAAGGCGGCAGAGCTCACTGCGACGCCACGATCCGCAGCTAAGCCTGGTGCACTCGAGGAGGTTCCCTTGAATGAGTCTATCTCACGTCTGCCTACGGAGGCAAGAAGCCGGTCCTTTGAACCTCCGGTCCAGCCAACAAGCGAGGAACCAGCATTCCGTCGCAGTCGGAAATGGGCAGAGCGGCACCGAAGCCCGAGCCCTCGATCCAAGGATCCTGCCAATGCGAGGGAAATGCTGAACAAGGCACTTAGCCGGATCGCCTCCCACACCATGGACATCTCTGGATATAGAAAACTGCAGGGACTGTACCAGTACCACGGCGAGGATATTGTTTCTCGCGAAGAGGACTACTATGCTATGCTTGAGGCCCTGCTACGCGAGCTCGAGGCGGCACCTACTAGCCGCAAGGATCACGATGTTAAAACTCAGATTCTGGCCACCATCCGCTCAATGCTTCTTCGAACCAGCGAGCTTTTCCACCGATACGATGTGGCCACAATGGCTTCTCTGATCCGAGCTCGCCGCCACTATGAGTCCAGCTCGCACTTTGTAACCTGCTTGGAAGAGGTTGCCGAGCAATTGGTTTCGCTGATCTCACCGCAGACAGTTATCGAAGGTGTGCTTCAAGGAATGGATCTGGATGAGGCTACGAAGAGCGAGGATTCCTATCGGTCTATTATCATGGGACTAGCTACTGTTCATCAGGCACTGTCTCAAGGGCCCATCGAGCTCTCGGACGATAGCTTGGCCAGCGTCGGCACGGTGGTGAGCCAGCAACTGGGCCATCCCCGACCTGGCGTGCGTAAGCAGGCCACTGAGCTGTGTACCCTGCTCAACCTCAAGTTCGGTCTCGACCGCGTACAGAAAGTCACCCCGCCCGCTGGTGAGGGCTCGCTCAATCTGCTCACCTATTTCATGGCCCGCCGGTCCCAGTGAACTGCTGAGACCGACAAAACGGGGAGATTGCTCTGACCCGACCATGTGAATAGCTTCCCTGTGACTTTTCTTCTTTCTATTTTTCGATTCTCTGCCTTATCTCTTTTGATCAACGTGATTTTGTAATTATCATGACGCGGTGGCGCTGATTCTGGTGGGACGTTTCGGTACATAAAAATTATGAATTCATTCTGCATGGCCCCACTGTAGCGATTTGTAGGGTAATTTCCTCTCGATCGACCGGCTGAATGTACCGCGCGATGTCTTGGACCTCATGGCCGGGACAGGCGAACCAATTATGAAAGTACGCAGTCAAGCCTGCCGAGCAAATGCTCCCCGACATGTGGGACGGTGAATGGTCGGGTGAGGCCGGCTATGCTGCAGGAGTTGCAGGATGACGGAGACTTGATCGGATGGAGGTGGACCATCCCTTAGCGTGTGTGGAGGTTAAACATGCATATACAGTAATGGTATGTATAAAATACATGAATTAGTCGATTTAAAAAGAAAGGGAGCAAGTCCAAAGTTTGCGAGTCACCAAACCTTGTTTGAGTGAGATGCCCCCGAAAAGGAGGTCTGTTATCGATCAGATTAGATCATCAGATAAAATTTCCACGAGGGGCGCTGGGCTTGTCGGTCATTATTATTTTCACTCCTCACCTACCTTTTCCTTGGAAAAAACCATGAAACAGAAGACCATGAAGATCCTCTTACCATGGAAATTTTCCACGTCGGAAATATGCGCCTGTTAATACCCTAATTGTGTCGGTTCGTGAAGATGAGACCCGCCACGAGCCTGCACGGCGGGTTATCAGATGAGGGCGTGCAGCGGGCAACTCACCATACAACCTAACGAGCCGATCACAAGTCACCCTATTGGACACGCTTAGGCCTCCGTCAAACTCTGTCGACTCCTGACTTGACCCTCGCAGTCTGCGAAAGGACGGCAGGGAACGATGTGCAGGGTCTGGCACTACGCGATCGGGAATCGATCTTCAGCTAGTGGAGTGGAACTCGTTGTCGCGGTCTCCGCTTTTTCCACTACGCATGAAGTTGACTGGTTCGCTAGCTAACGGATTTATCGAAATTCTCCATAGGTCTCCATGGTGGATTCGTGGCGATGTCCATTTTTCTTCTTCTTAGGTCTTAGGGATTGGGGGTTGGGTCGCATTATTCGTGGTTTGTGCTTGAGACTCCTGCTCCACGGGGGTTTGGCAAGGTCCGATATTGCGTCAACGCTGCTATGGCCCGCTACCGGACCCATGGATTTGCTAAAGAGTGTTTTATTACCGGAGACACCGAGGTTGTTGGGGGAATTTATGGAAATTGGTGGTTTCCTCTGGTCCTTGGTGTTTTCGAGTCTCTCCCTGGGTTTATACCTGCTGTCATTGATGCGCTATGAGAAGATGCTTGCTCAGTATTGATAACAGGGGAACTATCAGGGCCTGAATAATTGGCTTGCATGCAATCGCCTGACTCTTTTGACAACAAGAATCTCTGGGGTAACCCTGAGATTGGAAACTCCGATACAATTGCCTTCGAAAGCACGCCGGGGTGTGTGCTTTCTGGATGACAACCTCATCAGTCATGCTGGATAAGAAAGAAACAGATGCGCCAGAGATCACCAGGAGAACTTCAATGGTTGTTCTTCCAAAAGAAGATCACGCAAAAGATCACGTATGCTGACGTTGGGTATAGACCAGGTACTCGAACAACTGTGTGCTCTCCAAAGGAGGCCTTCGCAAACCTTTCTCCTATGTCCGCCTCCTCTTCTCTCTCGACTATACCAAGACCGATGTTTTCCTCATAATTTGCGGCGTCGTCTTCTCCATCGCGGCAGGACTCCCGTTCCCTCTTCTGGGTATCGTCTTTGGCGACTTGATTAACGATCTGAACACGGCTACTTGCTCCCCATCCACACAAACAAATAGCGAGGTTGCCGATAGTGTGCGTCAAAAAGTGCTCTACGTGATTTATATCACCATTGCCAACTTTTGCTTCATATACATTCATTGCGGTTGTTGGAGCTATATTAGCGAGCGCATTGCACGACGGTACCGGAGACGATATTTCGAGAGCATTATCAAGCAAGAGACTGGGTACATTGAGAGTTTACCAGCAGGTGATGTGGTATCACGGTTGGTGAGTGATATTCAAATCGTGCAATCTGGCACCTCGGAGAAAGTAGGCCTTGTTATTTCCACAGTGTCCTACTTTGTAACGTCATACGTTGTGGCGTTCATCAAGGTGCCTGAAATTGCGGGTATGCTGGTCTCTGTTGTGCCTTGCTACTTCTTCATGTCTTGCGTCGGTGGACACTACATCAAGAAGTATGGAAGCCAAGTCAATGAGAATATCAGCGCGGCTACGTCCATTGCCTCTTCAAGCTTGTCACATCTGGCACTGGTACATGCGTTCAACTCCAATGACCGACTGGAAAAGCTATATGCCGATTATTTGGCTGACTCGCGAATGGCTGCACTCAAGAAGGCAGGATCACATGCTGTGCAACTTGGGCTGCTATATTTCATTGCATACGCTGCGAACGCTTTGGCCTTTTGGGAGGGTTCTCGATTGATCGCCGATTCAGTGGATAACAATGGCGATGGGACATCTGTTGGGGCTGTGTATACAGTCATTTTTGTCTTGATTGACGCTTCGTTTATTCTCAGCCAAGTCGCACCATTTGTGCACGTATTTGCAGCAGCAGCAGGCGCATCTGAGAAGCTTCTAGAGGTCATCAATCGCGATTCCAAGATAGACGGAACTGCCGACTACGGAGACAAGTCTGCATCATTTGAATCGGAAGACATCGTGTTCCGCGACGTGCATTTTACCTATCCGTCTCGGCCAGAAGTACCTATCCTACAAGGAGTCGATTTTGCGATTCCGCCTCGCAAGCATACCGCAATTGTTGGTCCCTCTGGAGGTGGGAAGTCCACCATTGTCGCTCTTCTTGAACGCTTCTATGACCCTGAAGCCGGACAAATCATCATAGGTGAGCAAGATTTCCGAGACCTGAATGTGCGGTTTCTCCGTGGGAAAACCGGATTCGTCCAACAGGAGCCATCTTTGCTGGACCGTTCCATTCTCGAAAACATTGCCTACGGACTGGTCAGATCCGCAGCTGAGCAGCATCAGAATCTGGCTCCATATATTCTCGACTCCACACTGGCCACATTGGTGGATTATCTTCGATTAGGTATATCAGAAAAGAAAGCCCTGCAGGAATTCGACCCTCATGTCGCCAGAATTGTCTTCTTGGTGCGACAAGCGGCAGCTAACGCAAATGCTTTGACTTTTATCGATGCGCTTCCCCACGGGTTTGCGACGAACGTGGGCCCTTCTGGGAGTCAATTGAGTGGTGGTCAAAAGCAGCGTATTTCATTAGCTAGGGCCCTTGTGCGTGAGCCAGCTCTTTTGATCCTCGACGAGGCGACAGCAGCTCTGGACTCAACAAGTGAACGGTTGATTCAGGATGCTCTCGCAAAGCTAGCTGGACGTGTAACCATGGTATCGATTGCACACCGTTTGGCGACTGCCAAAGACGCCCATAAGATAGTGCTTGTGCAGAAAGGCCGAGTTGTCGAGGAGGGCTCCCACACTGAGCTTGTTGCTAGACGTGGCTCATACGCTGAGATGGTGCGACTGCAGAATCTTGGAAAGCTAAGCCCAAAATTGACAACCGGAGAGGATAATATTCGTGAAGCTTGCCAGGGTATTCTTGGCCATCAGACATTCACAACTGAGACCAAAGAGTCGTTCGTTGATGTGACTGGCACCAACGTCGCAGATGCTACAGACGATGCGCTTCCTCCATTTGCCACGGAATCGGAAAAAGAAAAAGAAAAAAAAGGTGTCTGAAGAAAGAGCTGAAGGAGAAGAAAGGATGCAAGCGCACCAGATGGTTCACCATGAAATTCACATTCTCTCTATTGCGGCCCAATCTGGGCTATGTCATGCTGGGCCTGGCTATGTCAGTCATAATTGGGGGTAGCTATACGGCCGAAGCGGTGATTTTCGGCCACACCATTGGTAGTCTAAATCCATGCATTGGAGCAGATGGTATCAGAGATGCCGGCCATCTGTACGGATTACTGTTCTTCATTATGGCGCTTGTCGAATTATCAGCCAATATTGTCGGCGGCTGCGCATTCGGTTGGGCGGCCGACAAGATTCTCTACCGTATTCGCGTGCTTTCTTTGAGATCTCTCATGGGGCAGACCATTCAATGGCATGGAATGGAGGATAGGACCCCTGGGACACTCCTCACTTACATCACCGGCGATGCAACTGCTCTTAGCAGTATCACAGGGACAACCATCGGATTGTTGTTAGCCACAGCAGTCAACCTGGTAGCTGGACTAGTGGTATCCTTTGCGATCGCCTGGAAGATAGCTATCGTGCTACTACCCACGATTCCTGTCCTGCTAGCCTCAGGAATGATGAAACTTCGGACACAGGCGCAATTCGCTGAACGCCACCAAAAGGCTTTTGCCCAGGCGACTGCCATTACAGTGGAAGCCGTGGATAACATCCGGGCTGTATCGGCATTCTCGCTGGAGCAACAATCATGTGCGGTCTATGAAAGAGCATTGGAGGAGCCCTATCAGGAAACTTTGTGGTCTATTGCATTTGGAAACTTTTTCCTTGCCTTGGCTTTCAGCATCAGTAATCTGGTTTACGCTCTGGCTTATTGGTGGGGTACCAAACAGATTGTGAATGGTCTATATACTCAGACCCAATTCTTCATCGTGCTCCCCGCTCTCCTGTTCAGTACACAGTCCTGTGGTCAGATGTTTGCTCTTGCGCCCGATGTTTCCAAAGCAGGCTTGGCTGCGTCGAACATTACAGAGCTACTCACCACTCATTCGGCCGACGAAGAGCTGAATTCGGATACCTCCAACAAGCTCAAAGGTTATGATAGTTATCTGCTCGATGAGAAGCATCCCGACCCCGAAGCAGGCTATCTCGGGCCAAAAAGCGTGAATGCCTCCGTTGTACCTCCAATGGTGAGCGGAATTGGAGCAGAATTACAGAATGTCCACTTCGAGTATCCATCGCGCCCAGGACGACCAGTACTGCACGGACTCAGTTTGAGCATTCAACCAGGCAAATTCTGTGCGTTAGTAGGTCCCAGTGGGTCGGGAAAATCCACAACCTTTGCTATGTTAGAACGATTCTACCGGCCTGAATCTGGTGCCGTGATAGTCGACGGTGTCGACATTACTCGACAGCTTGGCACACAATTCCGAGACGATATCGCACTCGTACCCCAGGAGAATGTGCTCTTCGAAGGGACAGTCGCTTTCAACATCGGTCTGGGCGCACGGCCAGGCCACCAGCCCACTCAAGAGGAGATTGAAGAGGCCTGCCGCATGGCCAACATCCACGAGGTTATCGAGGCCTTGCCAGAGGGTTATCATACCCAATGCAGTCATGACGGCAAACAATTCTCTGGAGGGCAGCGACAACGCCTGTCAATCGCGCGAGCTCTGATGCGCCATCCCCGAATGCTGCTGCTGGACGAGTCGACAAGTGCCTTGGATGTTGAGTCTGAAAAGCGTATTCAAGAGGCCCTCACCACACTTGCCGGTCGCACAACCGTTGTCGCAATTGCACACAGACTTAATACTATCCATCGTGCGGACTGTATTTACCTCATCGAGGATGGACGTTGCGTAGAGCAGGGTACGCATGAAGAACTCATTGAGCGGAGCGAGACATATCGGACAAGCGTCATCCACCAATCTCTCGAGACATAGAGGGTGGCTTGGCGTCAATTTAAAACAGGCGCGTGACTGCATAAGATACGAGATCAATGAGAAATTCAAAATAAAAGCGCTGTTGCTCTTGTGACCCTGCATGCGTAGCATTGTACCCCCAAGGTGCTTGGAGGGTGTAATATAGTTTCCTGTTATGGCACCTCCCAGCATTCCCGGGAAACCCCAAAGCAGTAAAAGTGCCTGGAATTCCCGATTCTGGAAGGAAGCTGGAACAATTCTCCGCTGATGCGATCGGTGAAAGCCAAAAAGGCCGAAATCGAGAACCCCAGAAAGAAGAAACAAGCGAGCGATCGCGAGATTTTCCAAATCGAGCGATGATTCTCGGCAAAGTTTCCCCATGTTTTGCTCGGAGTTCAAGCCGACCTTCCTCCCCACGGTGCGGGGACGTGGAATGAACCGAATTAACCGCAGGAAAGCTGAATTATGCTGAGATCCTGCAGCCAAATGGGGTCTTCTGACTTCGTTACTTTCCCCACGCGGCCCCGTCTCGCGTCAAAGTCGACCGAATGTCACTTCAAGGTACTGGCACCATGGGGAAGAACAGGGTATTTATAGCGAGTTTTGCTCCCCGCGAATTTGGCGATCGAAGAATTCCGGGGCACTCTGGATATTGTGTATTTCTTCCTTGCAGAGTTGTTATCACACCTCATCCATAATGGCAACGACGTTGACGGGTGGAAACCCGCATATTATTGAGCTTCCCAAAACAACGAGCAGCGCACCGCCAGATGCGCGGGCTGTGATTCAACAGTGGCTTGCAGCTTTAGAGACAGCTTTGTCGAAGCCAGCCACCCTTGACATTGCCTCGCTTTTCCATGAAGAATCATGGTGGCGAGATATGCTGGCTCTTGACTGGGACATGCGCACCTTGCACAGCGCAGCTGAGATATCCCAGTTCCTTGGCACCCACCAGAGCAAGGCAAGGCTGTCGGGGTTTCAAATTCAAGAACAGGGCAAGTTTCAGCCACGCTGGGAGCAGGTAGTTGACGGGTTGAGCTGGATATCCAGCATGTTCTTTTTCGAGACTGCCTTTGGTCGAGGCACCGGGATGGCGAGGCTTACGCAGGGAGACGATGGCTACTGGAAGGCGTATGCGATGTATACTTCTCTGCAAGAATTGAAGGGAGCTGAGGAGCCCCTCGGCAAGAGACGGCCTGAAGGGACGACAGAGAGTATGCTTGGTGGACTTGCAGCGGGGACGTGGATTGAGAGGAGGGAGAGACAGAAGGAGTTCTTGGATTCAGAGCCCACGGTGTTGGTCGTTGGTGCTGGTGAGTTGAATGACTTGCGGAGAGATCACACCATTCGTCAGGCATTCTAATGTGACTACCATAGGCCAAGCCGGTTTGAATATGGGTGCTCGTCTACAGAACCTGGGGTTGTCCTGTCTGCTTGTTGATAAGCATGAGCGAATTGGTGATAATTGGCGTAAGCGGTATCGCGTGAGTAGGAATGATTTTCTCTAAAGTCCTCGACTGATAATTGATACCTTGATGCTGACCGGTATATCCTCTAGACACTCGTCACCCATGACCCTGCCGAATTCACCCACATGGCCTATCTTCCCTTCCCGCAAAATTGGCCGCAGTTCACTCCCAAAGACAAGCTAGGTGACTGGTTTGAAGCTTACGCTAGTATCATGGAACTTAACATTTGGATGAAGACCTCGGTTACTTCAGCCGACTACAATGATGATACCGCCCAGTGGACGGTAAATGTGACCCGCGGTGATGGATCCAAGCGCACACTTCGGCCACGTCATCTCGTCTGGTGTACAGGACACTCCGGTGAGGTACGCATTCCGAGCTTCCCAGGGCAAGATTCTTTCAAAGGCACATTATATCATGGTAGTCAACACACCGATGCGTCTGACTACGACGTTCGGGGCAAGAAGGTCGTTGTCGTCGGCACCGGTAACAGTGGCCACGACATTGCCCAGAACTACTACGAAAATGGTGCAGACGTAACAATGCTCCAACGCAGCGGAACATATGTGATTACTGCCGACAAAGGTGTATTCATGATGCACAAGGGCCTTCACGAAGACGGCGGCCCGCCCACAGAAGAGGCCGACATTGTCTCAGAGAGCTTGCCCTTCCCAGTTCAATTCGCACTCAGCGTGCACATGACCCATCGCATTGCAGATGCCGAGAAAGAAACATTGGATGGTCTGCGCCGTGCAGGGTTCCAATTGGACTTTGGACATGATGGAGCTGGTATTGCTCGAGCATACTACACGCGCGGTGGCGGGTATTATATCGATGTTGGCTGCAGCTCGCTTATTATCGATGGCAAGATCAAGGTGAAGCACAGTCCACAAGGAATCACTGGCTTTGGCCAGCGTGAATTGAAACTTGCGGATGGCACTAACCTGCCTACTGACATTGTTGTGCTCGCAACTGGATATGACAACATGCGGACGACTGTGCGGAAAGTACTGGGTGATAAGATTGCGGACCGATGCTTGGATGTTTGGGACTTAGACAACGAGGGAGAACTCCGTGCGGTAAGTTTGTCATGAAATTTCTGGCTACCGGTGAAAATGGGATGCTAACGTTGGCTCTAGATGTGGCGCCCAAGCGGCCATCCAGGATTCTGGTTCTTTGGTGGCAACCTTGCGTTGTGTCGGATATACTCCAAGTTCCTGGCGTTGCAAATCAAGGCTATAGAATCGGGAATCAAGACACAGACCTGGGAGAAGAAGATCTAAGAAGACCTTAATATAAAAACTTGAAGATTGGATGGAATAGAACGCTTCAATTGACATTTTAATGACATCTTTTTTTCATGATCATAGACTAGGAGAAGGATGAGTCTACCGGACTGGAACGATACCACAAGGCTAAGCTTTCAATCACCTATCGCTTCGACTTCAATAATTTCTGCATTGGACTGAATAGCCATGCTGAGAAATCAAGGTTTATTGCTGCTTATTTCTCTTACATTTGTGTATCATCAAACCAATCGTTCACTATTTTCATTGCGTCCCACTACAGTGTTCACGCCTTATCATTTAGGTGTCAACGCCACGGAGATAACGGCGATTGGCGGCGGAACAATATGATTGGCCCACATGAACTATGCTACAGTCCAGCGTTTGAGGACAACGTTCGTCCACCGCAAAGTCCGAAGTCTCAAAAGTATAAGGCTGAGTGATTCAGCACTCAGAATGGTTAAAAAAGCAGCTCAATTTCATTACTTTACAATTCTCCCTCACATCATCAAATCGAAAACCCAAGACATGGCGGCGTTCAAGACTTTGCCTTCTCGTCCTCTGGGCCGTAATGGGCCTCTTGTTCCCAGACTGGGACTTGGTCTCATGGGTGCTAGTGGAACTTATGGTCCATCTCCCTCTGATGAAGAGAGATTTGCGCTCCTCGACGAGGCATACAGAAGAGGGGAGCAATTCTGGGATACGGGTAATCATTCCATGGCTTCTTCATTTCGAAGAGCAATTTTCCTGGCCGAAGATACAATGCTAATGTACCAAAAGCGGACAAATACGGCGACTCTGAAGCTCTTCTCGGAAAATGGTTCGCGGCCAATGCCGAAAAACGGAAGGACATTTTCCTTGCGACCAAGTTCGGCATCAAACCGATCAAAACTTCCCCGGGGTACGCAATAGACTCGTCGCCAGAGTATTGTCGCGAGTGCATCGAAAGGTCCCTCACTAGGCTTGGGCTGCCATTTGTGGACCTATACTATGTCCACCGCCTGGATAAAATCACCCCAATTGAGAAAACCATGGAGGTGATGGTGGCACTCAAGAATGCCGGTAAAATCAAGTACATCGGGCTGAGTGAGTGCAGTGCCGAGTCCCTGCGGCGCGCTCACGCGGTGCATCCGATTGCCTGCGTGCAGGTGGAATATAGCTTGATATGTACTGAAATCGAGTCGCCGAAGAGACGCCTGCTGGAAGTGGCCCGCGAGCTCGGCGTGGCCATCGTTTGCTACAGCCCCATGGCGAATGGTTTTCTGACTGGGACGATTCGTTCGCGAGCCGACGTGACAAAGCCGGGCGATTTCCGTGGTATTCTGCCGTGGCTGAAGGAAGAAAACATTCAAAAGAATGTTGCGGTCCTTGATCGGATTGCCGAGATTGCAAAGAATAATGGTGTGACCCTGCCGCAGTTGGCTCTTGCTTGGTTGCTTGCTCAAGGCGATGATGTTTTCCCCCTTCCGGGATCTTCAAATATCCATCGCCTGAATCAAAATCTTCAGAGTCTCGAGGTGGCACTATCGGCTGAGGATGAACAGGCGATGCGGCGGATCGCAGGAGAGATGGTTGGTGAACGGTTTCAAGAATTGACCGGCTACGCGTTCGGCGATACTCCTGCCTTGGAATCTTGAGGAGTGAGATCTTCTTTCTGGGTAAATTCGATCACACCCACTCATAAGCCACACGATGAGCCGCATAATAGAAAGTTCCCTTCTCTCCCGGATCTAGATCCTTATGTAACTTTGCATTGATCTAGCCCTAGTACGTTTCTTCAAATGATGGCTCATCTATGGTCAAGAAATTTTCTTCCGCAGCAGTAAGCCCAACCGGGCTGTTAATAAGATCCGGAGCGATATTCGACAAGGCGAAGAAGTCATACCTGGCAACTTCGGCACGAGGATTATGGCGTGCGTGTCGTGAGATATGCAAGTTTCCACAGTAAGGCACCAATATTTGAATGTCATACAGAGTATTTTCAGCATCTCTGGCCCCACTTGCATTTATTTCATCTCCAATCCAAAAGTAGTAAGGTAGACCGTCCGCTGCAGAGGCCTCAGCCTTCAAAAGCTCGCTGAGGGTCTGTGATCGTGTCGCAGCAAGAGGATTCTCGTTCAGAACGGAGAGATCCTTCATGAAGCAGATCACCCGTTCAATGATGCCTATGTCATGGCATCTTTGGTGCTCCAAAACATTCATGATACTTTGACGGTGGCCATCCAAGTGGGCAAATAGGAGGGTAATACAGGCCAAAAAACACTTGTCGTCCGTAGCCCGGGAAGATGGAGATCGATGGTACCCGCGAAATTGAAGATAATGCGAGATCATTTCACGACTCGCAGAGGCAGCAGCGAGTGTGCTGTAAGTACTTTCAGATGAAATTTGAAGACCATCGACATGGATGCCAGAACAAAGCCTCTGAATGAGATACGGTTGATGCAAAAGGACTAGAAGGTAGTGCTGGTGCATTTGAACCAATAGCCTTCCTGTACTTTCAAGTACCTCACCTTCCTGAGTTGCATGGTTTAGACCTGAACCCAGCCACCAGTTCGATGGAAGAAGCCTCGTGGCTTTTTTCAACTCTTGGTCAATGTCTCTCGTTTCGGTGAGTTCATCATGAGATGTCCACGGCATTTCGCACGGCATGTCACGCCTTTGCATGCGCATGTTTCGGGCAATAATTCGCCCCGCAGCCAGGACATGGACTTGCTCCAAGCGTTGAGCTGGCGTGCTGTTGTTCTTGCAGTCTGTCCTTTCTAAGTAGTCCTCTGTAATTGCAAAAGGCAACCCAAGCATAAGAGAAAGAAAGCGATCGCTATAGACCAGCTGGAACCACACAGAGTCTGCATGGCCACCCATGGTCTGTGCCAGTAGGGGGATTCCCATTGTGGATGCGATGCTGGAGGCCCGTCGATGGATGACCCACGCTTTTCTATGATCTCCGATGGTGATATAGTAACGCCCTTGCAGCATCAGAGTTTGTAATCCCTCGAGAGAGCATATCAATTCGTCATGAGACAAGACATAACCACATGCAGCATCAAAGTAGCGACTTGCTGCACTGGTAACGGACTCATTCAAGTGTACTTGAAGCTGTTTGGAAGCTTCAGAGTCAGAATGCCGTAGGCAAAGGGCAAGTTGGATCAGCTGCCGAGCGAAGAGGACTGGATGCGCGGATGGTGGAAGGGCCAGATCGCCATTGAGACCTTCTGGGTCAGTGTGTACTGGATGAGGTTTTTGGTTGATCTGAAGAGGCGATTTGAACAATTTGCTGTTGCGCAGAATCATCACAGCAATGGTAGGATTGGGGAGAAGAGATTCCAAAAAGCTCGTTAACGACGGGCCCCGCGACATTCGTTCATGATTCACTGAGTTCAACGTCGGAGGTTGCAATCGCCTGAGGCTTCTTGATGTCGCTGTTAGAGATTTCAATTTCTTCTGACTCGGCTGTCCGTTCCTTTGCTGGACCAGCCGATTGATGATTGCCTCAACTCGATCAAGACGTTGCCCGGCATTGCGACTGTGATTATTCGAGTTATCTGCGAACTCTTGACTGGTACATGGCAATTCATGTTGCTGACAGAATATGCATGAATTAGATCCAGGCACTAATTCGCAGCGCTTCTTGCGGTGTTTGCACTCCCAACAACTAAATGTGCCTTTGCGAATCCTCCGTCGTTTGAGAATGTGCTCCGAAGCCGACGGAGCATTTCCAACGGTCGGAGCAGGGTCCTTCGAATCCATAAAGTCTCTCTCAGTAGACTTGGCATATCAATGTTGGAGACAATAACCTCTCTAATTAGACGTGGGCCATCAATTTTTCTTACAATGACCTGGATTTGAGATAATTGATTGTCTCAAGTTGGGAGCCTTGCGGCGCAAGTTCCATTCATCGCGTATAACTGGTCACCACCAGCGTTGTTTGCATCCCGCCACTCTCTACATCATCGTGAAAGGAAGAACGGAAGAATGGAACTTGTTCGAGCTGTTATCTACCTTCTCTGCCTATGGGAACTCAGAAGAACGAGTTACAGATCGAGAATATCTTACCTGCACAGAAAGCTTAGCTTATTTTTATGCCCAAAAATGTGGCACATATCAAAAGGATAAACTATATAATGCATGAACAAAAGGCAGAGTAAGATGTCGAATTTGATTTAGCCATTGTTTCAAGCACACTGCATTAGATGAATAAATCTTGGCGAATAATAGAAATTTGAGGTTAATTATGAGTAACATACATTCAAAGGGTGTAAGGGCGATAGCCAGGTATGGATACAATAACCTTGATAGACATTCATATCAAACTGCGATGGCACTAGCTGACTCTACTTTGGTATAGACTCCAGCTTTAATATCAGTGAGCAAAGTCGGCCCAGTAGGAGTCCATCCCAGCTGCTCCTGAGTCTTCTCGCTAGACGATGGGTTGTCGGCGCTGATGACAAAGCCCATGAAGTCGCCACCAAAATGCACCGCAGCTTGCTCAAATGTCTTGGAAGAAGTTGGAAGACCGGCCAAGTTGCCAATCGCTTCCGCAATGTCCTTCATCTTCACACCTTCCTCGCCCACAGCATGATATCTGGTGCCTGCAACGCCCTTTTCGAGAGCGAGGCGGAAGAGACGTGCCGCATCGTGGCGATGAACGGCAGGCCATCGGTTGAGGCCCTCGCCAATATAGATTGATTCTCCTTTCGCGAGTGCCACTTGGGCAATCCGGTAGATGAACCCATGATCGTTGTCTCCGTGGACTGTGGGTGCAAGTCGAACGGCAGTCGCACGCACGCCTCGAGACGCAAGTGTGGCCACTTCCTGTTCAGTCGATGCACGAACATTCACGGCAGAGGTCATGTCGGGGCCCGTATCCTCAGTGACGAGCTCACCCTTTGGCAGCATCATAGTGCCGGATGCGAGAACCATGGGACGGTTAGATCCTGCCAGAACGTCGCCCATGGCCATGATAGCCGCGTACTCGACCTTGGCATTCTCTGCGAATTTGGTGAAGTCGTGGTTGAAAGCGAGATTGATAACACCATCCGACTCAGAGGCACCCTTCTTGACTGCCTCAATATCTTCAAGAGAGCCTTGGATCACATCAGCGCCCTTGGACTTCAAAGCAGCTGCCGATGCATCTGAACGAGCCAGGCCGACAACGCTGTGGCCAGCGTCGAGAAGCTCCTGGACCACGGCTTGGCCAATGAAGCCAGTTGCACCAGTGACGAAGACGTGCATATTGAGAGGTGATTGTTGTTTTATTTTGTGTCGCTTGTGGTTATCGATGGAGTCTGTTGAGATGCGAGACAATGCTAGCGCCTAGGTCTCAACTCAATATATAGTTGAGATCGGTCGAGATCGATGCTGAGTCCCGACGGACATAAAGAACCACCCTAATTCCATGATTCCACCCGATGCCATTCTGTGGAACATCAATTCAACCGACTATACGATCCTAGGCAAGTGTTCCGCAAGCTCTTCACAGCATCGGGATCTACGACAGGAACCAAGGCAGATCTAAATCCGCTTGAAGGTGCCCAGCCGCCGCAAATAATACGACGGAGGGTTAGCGCGAGTCTGAAGGCAACCAATGAGACCTTCTTGGGCCAACCTCCGGAGTTAAGCAGTGGGTCCGCCTCAACCCCGTCATGACATCTTTCTCTTGATCCCTCTTTTTTTCGTTCACTAAACTCCACCTGAACTGGTGATGTGAAGATGGCTTCACGCAAGTCAAGTCCCGGTGAAAACGGTGCTCGGAGGCGCCGAGCGCATACTAAGTCGCGTCGAGGTTGTCGGAACTGCAAGCTCCGGCGTGTCAAAGTGAGACTCGTGGATCGTTAATCCTTGGCTTCTATCTGATGGTCTGGCTAACGCGATTTTGAAGTGTGATGAAGGCCAGCCGCAATGCAAAAAGTGCCTAGCGTTTGGAGTCGTTTGCAACTACAATACTATGCATGGCCAAGATCTGCAACCTACACCGCTGGATCCGCCTAGCAAACCCCATCTAGAAAGCTCCTTCGGGCAAGTTGTTTTCAGTGCATTCCCTCGACCTCCATCAATCTATTTGCGCCCGGCGACGATCATTGGATCTGGTCAGGGGTCCTTCCAATTGGACGCAGAAAGTATCAGTCGCTTAGATCGTTTCTACCGTCGCACGGTCTACACATTTGCCGGCAATAACAACTATGCGATCTACCAGAACCATGTTACTAGCATTGCTATCGAGGTAGGTCTTCGATATACAATCCTTACCACTATCAGCGGATCTTTTCATATTGTCGTTACCGATCCTGACAATCAATACCTACAGAACCCGTTCCTGATGCATGTTATCCTGACATTAACAGCAACGCATGATCGAATTCTATCGGCATCAAAAGATAACGCAAAGCGTTCTATTGCAGAGGCATATCACTGGTCAAAAGGAGCTGCACTGCTCAACAAGAAGCTTTCGTCTCCAATCCGGCCTGAGGATCGCGATGCTCTTTGGGCCGCCGCAGCCATTCTCGGCCTCTTAAGCATTGCCGAAATTGAAGCATCGACCCCATGGGAAGCATGGCCTCTTAAGCCTTCTGACTCGTCAGATTTAGGTTGGTTGGACATGTCTCACGGCAAAGAAGCAGTCTGGAAAGCAACGGATCCAATGCGGTCGGATAGTATCTTCCATGCCATGAGAGACGACTATCGTACGCTTATGGCCAGGCCACCACTGAGCGAAATACACGATATGCCAAAGGAGCTCGTCGAGCTATGTCAGCTAAACAAGACTATGGAACCTACCCAAAGTCCTTACTTCACTGCTGTCTCTCTTCTGACTCGATTGTGGCATTTGAAATGTACCCAAGCCACGATGGCCAGGTATATGCAGTTCCTGGGCTTTATGGACCCGGTATTCAAGTCCTTGTTACACGAGAAAGACCCTCGTGCACTTTTGATTCTCGCTCATTGGTACGGGCCCATGTGCGAGTCTCTGTGGTGGATCGCCAGGCGGGCCAAATTAGAATGTCAAGCCATTTGCTTGTACCTGGAGCTTTTCCATCCTGATGAAAAGGATATCCAGGTTTTGTTGGCACGGCCTAAGGAACAGTGTGGGTTGATCACCTAGATTTAATGATGACTTTATGAAGAATACGAATCAATGAAAAGACTATGATTTCATGGGCAATGAAATTCCTCGTAAAAGCAAACGAAAGGAGAGAAGCATCATGTCACGTGACCGGAGAAGGATTACCCGACTGGTTGGTTCGTCACCGTCTCAGAGAAATGACCAAATCACGACGACGACCTTCACATCACAAGAGTCATTCAACCTGTCAACCAAAGCAGAGACAGAGAATGTCAGCAGTGGTGGTCATCGCTCAGAAACCGACCAAATCAATCCACAGGGGCACTAACCGCAGCAGTCATGAGTGAGCGAGGTTCGGAGATTGTGTTTCGGGCGGAGAACATTCCGATCCGCTTCTTTAAAGCATGCCGGTGGTGTCGCAGGCAGAAAATGCGCTGTGATGCGCGTACACAAGTCCCATGTTTCCGCTGTCGCTCGACTGGGCGCGACTGTATTCTCGACCCCATTGAAGACGCCAGACGGCGCAGTGATCGCCGTAGGAAGACGACAACACCTGCGCGGTAAGTTTCATTATTTACGACCAGAGTGTTGCCCTTCCTAGGAATATAGCTAATCATGTCTAGATATAGCGGCTCGGCAGTGACTTCTCCACTTGATCAGCGAAGCGGCCTTCAAACACCTGTATCAAGAGAGCAAGAGTACTCTCCGATTACGGGAGGGGATGCTAGTTTTGATGCCTCGATTGATTCGTTGCCCGATTCATCATCATTTGGAGACTTGCGCAGGTCTCAAACGGCTGATCATCATGGACCCGAATCACAGCATTTAAGTCCCAATGACATGATTGCTCCAGCATCAGCCGTTCACTCCATGTCCGTAAATCTCCTCGACAATAACCATGTAGGTCCAAACATGTCGATGAGGTTGTTCAAGAGAATCCCCCACTGACCAATGCCATAGATCTTTCTAGATAACTCGACTAAAGGCGATGGAAGAGGGGATATCATTGCTCGTGGTATCGTGAGTGAAGAGAATGCTAGAATCATGTATGAAAGGTAGGAGAGAAACCAAGCGTTAATTACTCTGGAGAATTACAAAAAAAGGACACTAACAAATGGCAGATTTGTCGGCGGAAGCAAGAACTTTCTGCCACTATTTGACCCAATACGTGACACGTTCGACTCTATCAGGTCACGTTCCTTGTTTTGTTTCACGGTGATTATCTATCTTGCGAGTCGAGCCGTGATGGATTTACGCGGCGACACACACATGCAGCGCGTATTGCAAGACGAATCGCAGAGACTAGCAGAAGACAGCTTTTTTGAACGTCCCACTAAGCTTGAAACTGTGCAAGCGATGGTCCTTCTAGCTGCCTATTCAGAGAAAACCTGGTTCTCAACCGCGCTCATACTGCGCACGGCGTTAGACTCGGGATTGGAGAAATCGCTAGATACACTGTTATCTCAAGAAACTCTCCCTCGCAGTTCACTCTCTGCCTCCATGGAAGAGCGCCAGCTAGTATGGGAAACACGAACGTGGCTCATTAGTTTCACGTTGGAGCTGGACGTTGCGTCTGGGACAGGTCGCAAATCCCGTATTGGGGAAGTGGATGTCATGAAGCTCCGAAGGTTTCTAGACTACCCCCTCTCCTTGCCTTGTGATATGCGAACAGTGTGTATCATTGAGCTTCATCAACTTCGAGGTTTGTACGGCCAACCTCGGTTTCGGCACACTAGCTAACTTCATGCAAGGCCACTCGCGCATTGTCATCGACAACTCAAGTTCAGTTCGGGAAATAGTATCAACAGAACTGCCAACAATCATGACGAAGCTACAGAACTGGTGGACTACTTGGGATGAAATTCACAACAGTAAGTCCTGGCCTACCCATGTTAAAACCCCGGAAGAAACTTTGAGTAACACCGAACAAAAAGACAACGGCTTCCACGCTGGCGCTTTTCAACGAAGCAGTCTGAAGCTCATGCTGCTTTACGCGAGGATATTTGTCCTTTGTGCCTCTTTGGCGAGAATTCAAAAATTACAGCCTGGTTCGTCCAACTTTGAAGCAGAGGGAATCGACCAAAATGTCATGGGACTATGGCAATCTCTCGTTGCAACGATTATGGACCAGCTAGCATTCTTAATTGGCGAGCCAGCCTATCGCTGCCAATTCCCATGGGCACCAACCTACCCTGCATTGACAGTCGCCTTTGTTAGTAAGTTGATTTCCTCAATCAATGTACCTCGCTAAACGCGGGTGCTAACCATTAACAGCTACTTTTGCACTTCGAATCGCCCGTTGGCGTCCTAATCTGATCGATCAAAGTCTCCTTCTGGAACGGGCCGAAAAGATCTGCGACTTCCTGAAACAGCCACCATATCCGGATATCCACCGCACAGTCTCTATCTTCGTGAACTACGCCCGTGCTCTCATCGCTAGCCAACGTCCGCTCAGCAACGATCGACAGAGTAACGACAGCACGGACGCAACCCACATGTCCGAACAAGGCGATGGGCCCGTGCCTTCATACAGGGGTCCAGACAGTCCCATGCAGAATGCCCCTCCTTTGGCACCACTCGAGGATCCTCGGTATAGACCCGGCGCGGCCATTCCGAGTGATAAAGATACAAACATGGTTCCAATGCCAGGTGGTGATGCAGCTGCAACAACCAGACCGCCTCTCCCAAGGCTGCCTGACACAATGGATGCTCCAACCTGGACGGTGTCCAATTCCATCGCAGACTCGTTCGGTCTTTTCGAGGAAGGTCAGAATGATATCTTTGACTTCTTGCCTATGATGCCTTCTTTGCCTTGATAGAATACCCATGCAGCATAATAATAACACTCAAGATCCATCAAACCTCTTAAGATACTGTTCCAATAGTAATAAGATCTTTTATCAAGTTGTTCTGCAGTAGTTAGTTCAATATTGAAAGTCTCGGCCGGCTCGAACGCTAGATGGAAGGGTAACGAGAGACGATCACAAGATTGGGCCGCAAAATGAAGTCCACCGACCACAATCCACATGAATTTGCACGCTAATGACCAAAACTTATACAGGATCGAGTCAAAAACGTGCAATGGCAGGAGGACCAGGCGTCGGCAGCACCCGTCAACAACCCGGACCCAGGCCGGCGCCGTATGCCAGATGGCCCTAAAACTCGGCCCCGGACCGGCCCCGATCACTTGCTCAGAATTTGAACTATAGCAGCCACTTAATTGGTGTGCTCAATTGACTCCAAAACTCGTAGCTTGGAACACTATGCATGGTTGCGGGAATCTAGACTTTATGACTCCAATTTTCCGATGAAAATTTGGACTCCACTACTCGCAGTGATCGATCATGAATTTGTTTTATAAAACGCTCAGTTCCTTGTCTCCGGAGATTTCTGCGTTGGCAGATATGGTCTTTGGATATCCCTTTACGTATCCCCTCTCAAAATTCATTTCAATCTACGTATAATTATCATGCATATAGGTTGTTCAATCTTGTCTCGAACCATGAATCTCCTTTTTCCTTCAGGTGGGATACAACCCCGCATATCCGGCCTGGTCAACAAAGCCTCTAACTGTTTCCCGCTTCTAGATAAGCAGCCTAGTTGCAACGAGGAGATCGTGTCAGATTCAATCAGGCACACATCAAGTACCACAAAAGATGAAAATTACACCCTTGTTGATTTGGCCCCTGAAGGGATATTGGTCGAGTTCTCAGAAGACTCATCCGCAGACCCCACCAATTGGACGCTTGTAAGCTGATTATCACAAAGCACTAGGCCAATCGGAAATTTCCAGAACTAACAGCAACCCCAGAAAAAGAAAATATACAATGCAGTTGTGGGGCTATTTATTGTGCTCAATAGTGGCGTGTCATCCTCCTTGCCTAGCAATGCAGTCCCCACTATAATGCAGGACTTCGGTCTGTCAGGGGACGGCCAAAAGGTCTTACCAACGGCTATCTTCTTGATTGGATATTGTGTCGGACCCTTGGTCTGGAGTCCCTTGAGTGAGACAGTTGGAAGGAGACCCGTTCTTTTCTGGACCTTTACTGTCTTTGTTCTTGGGACACTTGGCTGTGCCGTTGCCCCGAATTGGACAGCCCTGCTGATCTTTCGTGTCATCTGTGGTACTATGGCTGCCGCCCCGCAGACTGTTTCTGGCGGAGTGTATGCCGATATGTTCTCAGATATGCGGAGTCGTGGCCGCGCAATGGCTTTGTATATGTCGGTATGTTACGATGCCTCGACGGAACTTCAATTCAAGCCAAGCTAATTCAAACAATAGGCTTCCAGCTTTGGACCAATCATTGGACCTATTATCTCTGGATGTTCTGTCCGATATGGCTGGAGGTGGACCTTCCGTATTGACTTGATTCTCTGTGGTATTACATGGACAGCTCTTCTATTCTTGTCAGGTAAGGAGCGAACTTAGTAAACCTCTTCATTTAAGTCAACTAATTTGCAACGTACAGAAACATTTGCGCCCGTCTTACTGAAGAAGCAAGCTAAAAAGCTACGTAAAGAGACTGGACACAACAGTTATTTTGCTCCACAAGAACTGAAATCAGACGCGGCCTTTACTCTCGCTCAGACCATCACGCGTCCACTCACAATGCTTGTGTTTGAGCCCATCATTCTTTTCACTGCTATCTATGTGTCTCTGGCGTGGAGCATGGTGTTCTTCTATTTTCAAGCATATCCCATCATCTTCGAAGGTATGTTTTCACGAATGTCCCGGAATGAAGGAAACAAAGCTGAGGCCGCAAAGGAACATATGGTTTTGATGTCGCAACGACTTCTCTCACATACCTTCCAAGTGAGTTTATATCCTTCTCTAATTAAAATGGTCGGCACATGTCTAATTTTGAACAGTGGGCATCGGCGCTGCATCATCCTGTCTCTTTGCTCTATACTACGACATGATTTTTCAGAAAGCCAAGAAACTCGGGAAGCGCTGGGCCTCGGGTCCCGAATATCAACGACTTCCACTTTCTTGCACAGCTGGTCCTCTCCTAGCTATCAGCATGTTCTGGCTGGCCTGGTCGGCAAAACCGAGTATCCACTGGATCGTCCCTGTGCTTTCAGGGTTAATCTTTGGACTCGCATACCAGATAACCTTCATTTCACTTCTGACATATGTCACCGATGCCTACAAAATTTATTCTGCTAGTGCACTCGCGTCCTCGGTCATTATGCGCAGTATTGCGGGAGCGTTGTTCCCTCTCGCTGCTGATCCGCTGTACGCCAAACTGGGTGTCCCATGGGCAACCTCAATACTTGGGTTCGCCAGTATCGCGTGCATCCCTATTCCTTTTGCATTGTTATACTTTGGCCCGTCGATCCGGAAGAGAAGTCCGTTCTGCCAACGATTGGAGGAGGAGGATATGACTAAACATTCAAGTGGAACGAGAACTCCCGACGAGGCTTAAGGTGTTGCTTTGTAGCATACGGAAGACATGATGAGACCACGAGCTGCTTCTTAATTTGCGTTCATGCTGAGCATTTGCATTGCATAAACAAATGGTGTTTTTGGACATTACTGGATTTAACATCATATTAACATCATGAGCACCACACTTGTTTAATGTTTAACTTCAATATACTTCATTCTTAACATCCATTGAATACTTCCAATCTCCCCCAAATGTTCCTTATTAGCGTTAGCCTCGTAATTCCAAATTGCAATGTTCTAGATAGAATGCTTATGCGAGGAGCTGACGACTTAAAGTTAACCGGTTGGGGGCCAAATTGAAGCTGTTTCGTTTGGCCCCCTAGACGTATTTGCGTCGTACGTACGGAGAATTTTCGCTTTCTTACCCCATAATATTGCCAAAATTATCACTAAGCATTAAAGCATTGTGTTGATAGAATGAGGAGCGGACAGACTGGGTATAAGTATAACAGACCAGGCACCCATACGTTCATCACGTTATGTGACGTGACAGTCACAAAAATTCATCTCGCCTTATTATTGATAAATATATGGCCGGAGGCGCAGATATTTAGAATAATGACAGGTCAGCTTACCCTTTCGGCCCCTGTGTCGCAGTGCCTAATCTCGACCATTTATAATCTTGTGAAAATCTAAGCGTATCGCGGAGTGTTACTTGTGGTGTAAGTATTTGAGGCTCTTGATTCGTTGCATTCAGTCTTTCTGAGTCACCCCTGAACGAACCCAAGTCGATTGTTCAAACGAACTTCAGATGCAGCTTGCATCATTTGGTCACCAAGATGTCACTTCTTCAACTACCTGCGGAGCTACTCACGCAAATAATCCAAGACTTGAGTCTCCAAGATCTCAACGCACTCGTTCAATGTCATCCTGCTCTATACTACAGCCTCAATGGTTATCTCTACGCCCGCGGCGTGACACACAACGAAGGGTCCGCATTATGGTGGGCTGCAGATCGCGGCTCTTTAGGGACTCTACAGCGACTTGTTGATGCTGGAGCAGATGTATGCTGGAAGTCAAACTATTGGTCGTGTACAGGGGCTTTCCCGAGAGCCAAGCATCTCCGGTACCTTAAGCTATGTGATGGACCGATCCCGTTGGCAAGGCACCCCATCTCGAATGCTGCCAAACAGGGTCACACTTCTGTTGTGGGCAAGTTTTTGGACTATGGAGTTGATGTAAATCATAAGAGTCGCTTTGGTCGGAGCCCGCTCGCATTGGCAGCAGGTGGTGGCCACTTCGACACTGTCAAGATGCTTCTGAGCCGTGGCGCCTCTCTCCTTTCAGTCGACTTGGACTGCCGTCGACCTATCACGTACGCAGCGCGCGAGGGCCATAATGAAATCGCAGACTATTTGCTTGACCAGTTTCGCAGCAAGTTCCCTCGTCTAAAGTTAACCGCCAAAGACGACATCCAAATCATGCTACAACACGCTGCGCGGCGTGGGGACGAGACGCGAGTCGTGCATCTTTTGTTCAAAGAAGGTGCCCAAATTAACTTTCAGTTTACCGTGGAAAGTCGGACTCCGTTATGTGACGCGGTCCACAGCGCTCCTGTCAGCATGGTTCGGCTTCTACTTGAGAATGGATCCGACCCAAATGCCCGAGAATCACCTGGCAAACTAGGAGATTCCGGTCGGGGTTGGACTCCGTTAAAATTGGCCATTGACCGCGAGGACAGTTACGAGGTCATTCAGCTGCTACTGGAGTATGGCGCTGATGCCGCAGCAGACAGCGATGTGACTCTTGAAGCTGCAGCACGAGCAAGGAAATCAGATGAATTTCATCTTTTGGTGGAATTTGGTGCAGATATTGAGAATCCTCAAATACAAAACCTGTTGATGCGCGCGGCGCGACGGTGCAATTGCGAGCCCATCGTACGTTCGCTGCTCCAACGTGGCGCAAAGCCTAACCCACCTGCAAAAATCTGTCGTAGGCCAGTCTACCAGTCACCCGAGCCAGGATCGATGAAAGCGCTAGAAGACCAAGTTCACCGCGAGCTGATCAACGCCATGTTTGCTAAGCGGTATTGGAGCGACACTTGAATTTGACCTGGTGATATTCGAAGAGTCAAACGAGGAGCTCTCAGTTTAGGCCATCTACCTTTCGCATTCTCTGTCTATAAATATCCCCTTGTAGATAGCTCGCTCTTTGCTTATTCTGCTGAAGATATCACCTGTTTCTATTTCTCCTGAAGTGTCGGACTTGGTATCTGCAATTTCTGCCTTTGATTTGGAAACTCTTTATTTCCAAACTTTTTGAAGAGTATTTCTTGAGGAACAGGTAAAATATTAAAAAAAAGCCCCCACAAAATTTGCCCCTTACCAGAGCTCCCCACTATGAGGGATGTATATGCGTGCCTCAAAAGAAGAAATATCTGTACCGTATCGTGGCTCTGCGCGCTTCTCTTCGGGCTCCTCGGCCTCGTCGGGACTTGAAAAGTATGCACAAAGCAGCAGAATTCACTCCAAATATTGGAATATACAGGGTTGACGCCTTCCAGTGGGGTTGCAGTAGTGTGTCGTGCGTATATGAACAGCAAATAGCAACGTTCTCTAATGGAGATTAGTCAGGCGGGGAATGATGTTCTATTTTGTATGGAAAAATTCTTCCACGTGGTTCTGGCCACGCGAATAGGGCGATTGCTCCGATGGAAAGTTGAAGGTGGCGGCGCTAATCCAGAAGAGGAAAGGGTTGACTCGGAGGTTTCAGACAGATGCACTTCACGATCCAAGGTTAACGTGGAATTGAAGATAGGTAGGTGGTGGGTGATGGTTAGCGAGGGGGCTTGCGTGCGGACACTGCGGAGACCTGATCTTGAACTATCATTGCACACGCGATTAGATCATCTTCACACGGACCTCGTTTCTCCACCCTCGTTTTGTGGTCGCTGCAAGGGCATCGGCAAAATGCGTCGTCGCAGCAATATTTGCCTCACATAAGATTGATGGAATCTTATGTTTTTGAGACCCAATAGGCGCATCTTCCAGAAAAGCCACGAGGGGTCATCACGGTACTTCCTTCAAGCCGAAGAGGAAACTCGCCACGAAACAAAAAGTACTTCTTAATCTTCCCAATCTTCCCCAATAATATTCATACTTAAGCGTTGGCTTACACCCCCAAGGACGGAAGGAGCACAAGGCAGGGCTAGCCCTTGAGCAAGCTCAATGGATCTGGCCGGATCTTTCGGCGGTTCTGGAAATCTGACTCCACCTGGTCGGACTGCATTCCATAGGCCCGACGCAGTACAGTTGGAGCAGTTGGAGCACTAAGCCTTTGGATCTAGTGGTTCGATTCTCCACTTGGGGAAACTGAAACCAGATCCGTTGGTCAATGTCCGCTCGGAACCGAGAATTTCATGTTCAACAGTTCCTGGTTGATGTGAGGGGACGGGGTACCTAAATATGTCTGTCTACCCAGCGAGGTGATTTCGATCATCATTGCCAGCCTTCCCGTCATGGGCCTGCACGAGAAATTTCCAGCATATGGGGGTCGTGGCCCTGGCGATCTCCGCCTGGGACTGGCATTGGGATCAGTGGCCACCTTGTTCATGATCTTACGAGTCTACGTGCGACTGAGAGTCAACAAATTCGGCACCACGGCATTGATTCTGTCCCTTGTCGCTTGGGTATGAGCTTGGCCTCCATTACACGATAACGCAACAAAATAGTCGTACTAACAAGAGTCAACAGCTTCTCACTACTATCACGCAGACCTTTGGTGTCATTTCTATTCTCCATGGACTCGGAAATCATATTGAAGTCTTGGTGGAGACTGGCGCGCTGGGAAATTACCTCCTTTACACGTGGATCACGGTCTTCTTCTTCAACATGGCCATTCCAACGGGAAAGATCGCTGTGGCAGCGTTCCTGATTGAGATGAATGCGCAAGGCAGTAGGTTCCATTCCCTATTTCCGGTTCAGCTCCGAGGCAACTTGAGTTTCAAGATTTCGAGTATATTCTTGAACTGCACTCTGACCTCGATTGTCTTACAAAGACCTCAAGATCCGCCGTAGTCTGATCGCCGTTGCCGTGCTTAATATCGTCCTCAATATCCCACAAATCGTGCTCGCCTGGTTCCAATGCACCCCTCCCAATGCGCTTTGGGATCCATTGCGTCAAAGCCAGTGTGATCACCGTATGAGTGTACACTATACATACTTCGCAGGAGCTGTCGCGGCCCTTTCCGATTTCTATTTGGCCATTATCCCGATCACGATGTTGGCCCCACTCAAGATCGATCGAAAATTGAAATGGGGCTTGAGTTTCCTCATGGGCTGTGGTATTTTTGCCGGTGCGGCAGCCATCGTGCGAACATGGGCAGCCAGCTTTATTCTGAGCGACGATCCGTCATGTGAGTAGACTTTCTATGCTCCCAGCGAGACCCTGATCAATGCTAATATTGTTGAATAGACGGTGTCGGGATTCTGTTCCGTTGGGGTGAGGTTGAGGAATGGGTCGTTCTCATTTCCATGTCGATTCCACCTGTCTGGCCGCTGTTCCGACCCTTCACCCGTCGGTTCATCAAGTCTCATGGACAGTCTCGCAGTATACCTGCATACAAGGGCTACAATCAGTATACTTCGTCCAGAGGAGATCTCACCTCCGGGGCTGCTGGTCCTGTCATTACCACCACTATATCTATCTCGTCGACTAAGGGGGCGTCCGCTTCAGCTGAACCAATTCGTGCAGGATCTTCAGCGGGCTCTTTCTCTAGATATGATGAGGAAGAGGCTGAGATCCCTCTTACGGTTCTGAGTAGGCCGAGCAACCCGGAGGGTTGGGTGGAGGTGTCTCGCTACAAGAATCATCCTCAGTGATGGTACTCGTCAGTGGGAGCAGTCATATTAATATCTTTCTTATATGTTTAAAAAATATTGTAATAACAACATTTCTATGAGTGCGTTTTGAACTTAATCCATGACTGATAATGCGCCTTTCTATTAGAAACGGATGATGAATCGGGTCAAATTAAGCTTGTTCACTGCCCTGAAGTTCAGAAAGACTAATTTCGACTCTAAGCAAAACACGTTCGTGATGTGCCAGACGTACATGTGGAATGGAAGTCTCAAAAGAATTGGCCGAATGAATAGAGAGGCTGCGCGGCCATTCAGTCCCGCTTTGCTTTGTTCGAGTGATTCATGCGGAGGATGCTGAATGAACGGTTCGAGAATCTAAGCAACCAACGTGATCTCTCAACGCTGATCGGGAGGATTGTCACGCCCTAAATACGGAATTCACTTTATTTGAATCAAGGATAGCACGTGGGAGCCACGTGGTTCAAATAAGCTTATCTTGTTTTTGACTGGATGCATGGCATGGCAATCGGTCGTGCTGTCTCAGAATCTCAGGGTTGCTGTTTATTTGAGCTTTTTACCTCAACAGCGATGCCTCAGATGAAAGCTCCTTTTTTTTCTTACCGAGATCCGTCAACAGCAATACGATATTTTCGCCCCAAGGATTCAAAATGATACCTCTCGCGTATCGGTCGTTCAGGACTCCAGGGGATCCACCATGAAGTAGATGCGGCAGTTCACGAATGACCGACCTCGCCGAGCTCAGATCCAATAAGTCCAACTCCTTCCCAATGTCTGGGAGTTTTCTTTTACTAGAAACAAGCATCTGAGGTTTGAGCCTCGTTGAAGGAAATCGGAGAATCGGAGAATTTCTTTCATTGCCAGATATGTCTGCCTCCGAAGCCAAGATAGCGCCGCCCGAAGGCACGCCCTCTGGTGCCATCGCCGACCATAGTGCTGTGATGAAGGAATCCGATGCTGGGCTTGAAGTTCAAGATGCCGAAGCTCCAAAGAACTGGTCGACTGAAGAGCCTCCTCCTGATGGAGGTTTACAAGCTTGGCTGATGGTGCTAGGCGCATGGTGTTCGTTGTTCTGCACCTTCGGATGGATCAATAGTATGTCCACCATAAAATTTTTATCGGACATTTTTCAAATGCAGTATTAACTCTCTTCTATTATACCAGGTGTTGGAGAGTTCCAAAGTTACTACGAGACAATTCTTCTTTCCAAGTACTCCGCGAGTACCATCGCATGGATTCCATCGCTTCAAATCTTCTTCATGTTTGCAATGGTGGGTCAATGAACTGAGTTGAAAATATACCGTGACAAATGTCAAGATTTACTAATATAGTTCATCTCTCTAGGGACCTATCGTCGGCCGACTCTATGATAACTTTGGACCTCGCTACGTTCTCATTGGCGGTTCAATCCTACACGTCTTCGGCCTCATGATGGCATCCATCTCGAAAGAATACTACCAAGTGCTTCTGTCCCAGGGCGTTTGCAGTGCAATGGGAGTATGTGCCATTTTCCAACCATCGATGAACTGTATCCCAAGCTGGTTCGACAAGAAGCGCGGTGCCGTGTACGGAATTGTCTCCACTGGATCCAGCTTGGGCGGCGTGATCTTCCCGATTATGGTCAGCCGCATGATAGCTGAGGTTGGATATGCATGGGCAATGCGAACTGCTGCATTTCTCATCCTTTTCCTGTTGAGCATTGCGATCCTAACGGTTCGGTCGCGAGTGCCGCCGAAGCCTCAGAGCCTAGATAAGGCCAGCCTTTTTCGGCCTTTCAGTGAAATCAAGATGCTGCTCATTTTCACGGGATTCTTGTTATTGACTTTCGGTATCTTTATTCCCATCAACTACCTAGTGATTCAGGCCATGGATGCCGGCATGAGCTACGCTCTGGCCCAATACTTGGTTCCGATATTGAATGCAGCAAGGTAAATTTTGCTTTCTAGCTCGAATTTTCACAGACTAACATACCCTACTACAGTCTCTTTGGCCGGATGGGTGCTGGTATTGGCTCTGATAAGCTGGGTGCCTACAACATTCTCGTCAGCGCCTGCATGCTGGCTAGTATCCTAGTTCTCGCTCTCTGGATACCTGCCACGAGTAACGCCGCAATCATCGTCTTCGCCGCTCTCTTCGGGTTCGCTTCTGGTGCCTATGTCTCCCTCGCAGCGGCATTGGTGGTAAAAATCTCGCCCTTCCCGGAGATCGGGTACAGAACTGGCTTGTTGTTTTTGTTCTCGTCGTTCGGTGGTTTGACGACCAATCCTATTGCAGGGGCTATTCTCTCTCGAGACCACGGTTCATATACGGGCATGAAGGCTTTTGCCGGGGTTTTCCTTCTTGCTGGAAGCTTTTTCATCCTGACTACCCGACTTTATCACACTGGGTTGGTTTTGAAAGCCAAGTTTTGAGCGAGGACTGGCTCAGTATAACTTCTGCATGAGGTGTGGTGTATATACTTGGAATATTAAGAGTGGAGGCAAATAGCTACTAGCAGAGATACAATCTTCACTCATCAACATGTTGACAACATAGTCATTGGTCAAAATTTCACACATATGCCGCACCATATCCCACCCGAGCTCTCTTCCAGTATGGTTGCTTCTCCTCATTTAGCTCTTGATGCCATCCAACAGTACAAGGCTCATCTTCCTCTCGATTCCGTCCACAACACTTGAACGTGAAGAACTCAGGGTACTGTTCACGCGCTTCCATCGAGTCAGGATCCGAAGGACACGTGGGATTATCTTCATAGAGGCACTCGTCAGGCTCGTCTGCCACTATAGGACAATTAGCGAAAGCTCCGAATCCGGGACTGGGGTCATGATGAAGATGGGGTGGTGGATATCTTACTAGTATGGTATAGACAGCTAGTGCTTGTGTTTGTTGTCACGTCAAACTCCTTCTCGCAATTCCCGCAAAAGGCGTAGCGTGGCACGGGTCGTTTGGTGCTCTCTTCTTTGGCCAACGCATCTTTGTCCTCTTGTCCATCCTCGTTCACACGAGGGCCAGGCTTTGCGTCTTTAGTATCTGCAAGGAGTAGCTCCTCCGCATGCTTCTTTGCTTCAGGGCACACCTTGCAAATTGTTTTGAAGATCTGGCGCAGCTTGACAACAGAGATTGTATCGATTGTGTGGCCGAGCAAGTCGTCGACTTTCTCTGTCTGTACTGCAGCCATGCTCGATAATTTTCTGAGAGAAAGGTGTTAGGCAAATTTTATGAGTTGTGCGGCGCTACAGGCTTTGTGTATTGACAACTTGGGCCCGGAGCTAAGACGTGTCGGTCGACACGACAAAAAGTGGAGATTTGATCTTCGCCTTAACGTGGTTCCCGCATGACCGGGTCACCCAGTTGAGCGGGTCACCCCAAAACACCATACTAAATGCAATATTTCACAACTTCAAATTCCAACGCTTAAGGCTAATTATATGATCTTATGGTCCCTCAGTATGAAATATATCCTACTAGATATTTTTATAAGCTCGAGAAATATTTTAGGGTGTGATATTATGGATATATATATCTACATCGCTCGATCGGAGCGTATTTTTGGTAATATATGTAAATAATCATTTTCTGAATATATAAGCTGTGCGATACTAATTATTATATTAGGAGATCATAGTATACTTAGAATCAAGCAAAATCATATTCTCGTTGTTGATATATTATGACTTGAAAAATCGCGTTTAGTATGGAGTTTTGGGGTGACCCGCTCAACCGGGTGACCCGGACATGCGTGAATTACGTTAGTGGGCGATTGCTTATTACTTGGCTGATCCACTTATTAGTCTAAAAGGGAGTACTCCGTAGATTTGAGATCTATCAACATTTTTGCGACGATTCAAATACCTCATTGGATGAAATGGAATGTCGATGATGAACCCCCTGTTCCATGACCAGCGCCTTCAGATGGGTCCACTTTTCCCTGCGAGAATTCGACAGATCCTACCCAGGACACAATTTCTCTTTCCCTTTCTCACCAACTTAGAAGAGTTATATAATACTTTAATATAATACTTTATTTTAAAGACGATCTTCTAGGGCGACTTTAGAGAAATATTTACTATCTTACCGTCGCTCCAGGGCCTAACCGAAGGTGAATTATCTTACAATGGGCCTCAGAAATTTACACTGAAACTTCAAGGTATTACTTAAATAGCTAATTAGATTATAGATTTTAATTTCTAGGGCTTCAACGATTGTTGTTGTTGAGACACTTGAATTTCGATATGAAGTACCTTTTATATGATTTCCCTAACAAAAGATACCTATAGAAGCAGTATCGTTTGGGTGGCAGAGTCACTCGCACCTAGCGCCCCGGTACGGTGCATCCAATCAACAGGAGCCGGGATGGTGGATGCCTAGTCGACAACCTCCCGAGCCTCAATACGACGACCACGACGTCGGATCGCCTTTATCTCTCTCTCTCCATCTCCATCTCATCTCATCCTGCCAATAAACACAATAAAATCAAACAGTGTCACACACTCTATCAGTACCACCATGGGCTCCTCCACTCCAAACGAAGTAGCCCCGCCCTACGAAGAACTATACTCACAGCGGCCATCAAACCCACTGACAGGCGTACGTCATCACCCTTCACATCCCCTCAGAAGAGCATCCCCCTGTATGACTGGGAGATTTTTACGACACTGAGGTTCATAATCATTTCTATGAGCAGTACTCCCGCGTCGCCGCCGCCGACGAACTCGATCTCGAGCGCGACGCACACCAGCACGATTCAACATCTCACGATGAACTAAACGAATCCCAGCTCAACTCTACCAAGCCGCATACCCACTGCGAGGAATGCGATCGCCAACTTGAACGGCGGGAGAGACGGCGCAGCAAGGAACATTGCTGTACTATGGTTTCGCGGACTTTTATCACTATTGCGTTGTTTTTGATGATTTTCGGCGTTGTGGCTGTGCTTGGTTTGAGGAAGAAGCATTGATTATTGATTTGAGGATTTGGCGTTGACTTTTGTGCGCTGATGGGATTTTATATTGTTATGGAGGTAGTACTGAATCGATCGATGATGGAATGCTCATTTTGCGATCTTTTATTCAAAGTATCAAAGTAAGATCATAAAACCAGGAAAGGTACATCAAAGGGTATTAAGTACTAAACCCCGAAACTCCGGTCTATCGCATCATTATCAACAATACTCCCTCTAACCCAATCCCTCTACTCAACCAACTGGATAATTCCCACCCTCCTGCCCCATAACCGCCAGACTCTGCGCCAAATAATTCCAATCCGGAAAATCCACCCAATTCAAATCCCACCCATTCATATCAAACAATGCCTCCGCACTCTGCACAAATCCCCCCTCCATCCCAATCCCAGCACCTGCATTCTCAGCCCCAGTACCAGCCGCAACCACCGTTTCCGTTCCAAGCCCAGCGTTACCCACCCCGGCCGCCGTAACAGGGACATTCCCCATGTTCCCCAGCGCATTATTCTCAGGAATCACCTCCACGGGCGGAACATGAGCCTGGCGAATCTTGTACGCCTTTGCCCGCAGCCCGACCAGGACGGGCCACTTGGGTCCGGGATCTGGCCATGAAGGATCATTCTCTGCGAGATCGAAATGGCGATTGATGTCGCGCCAGGCACGGGCGACATGCGGGCCAGTCGGGTACACGCATAGATGCCACAGGACATACGTGAGCAGGTGGAACTGGGTATATGTCGAGGTTAACCAGCGCGTACCGCGGAGTAAATCGTCCGAGTACATGTCCAGCCCGAGCTCGAGGCCGTGGCAGGCCATTGCGAGCAAGGCCGAGGCGGCCTCGGCGTTTGAATCTGATTCCGCGGCTGAGCGGCGCTGCAGGGCTTTCTGGCGCATGTGTACTTCAAATTTTGACAGGAGGACTTGGGCGACCATCACGCCTTGTCGTTGAATGGGGATATCCATATCCGCGTGCTGCAGGTAGCGTTCGTGCAGGCGGGTTTTCAGGTCTGAGATGAGGGATTCGGCGTGGGCACCTGCGCGGGTGATCGGCGCCGACAGAGCGTTTATTTCGGAGAGGATGAGGATGAAAGTCATTTCTGTCCAGCGGGCGAGTGGTTGGGCGGGGGTTGTTTGGGTTTCTGTGAGGTTTTGGTCGTCGGTGTTTGTGGGGAATTCGGTGTCGGCGCCAAAGTCTTGTTCGGAGATTGTGATGCCGTGGTCTTCGGCCATGCGGGCGTCTGTCGTGCAAAGCATCCACCAGAGGCGCCGGCGGAGTTCGCATTCTAGTGGTGGGAGTTTGAAGTTTTTGCCGTCGCGGTGGACGCCGATGGATTGGGCGGCACGGAGGGCGAGGCCTCGTAGTGTGAAGCCGGAGCGGCCACTATTAGTGTAGCGGAGACATGTCTGTATATAGGTTTTAGATGAAGTTCGGTTTCTGAAAGGGACTTTTGGTGGTTCTTACAAGGTAGATGGCCATTGCTTGCAGTGAAATCAGAGTAGGAGAGTCCAGGAAGCAAGAATTGTGCATGGCAAGCTCCAATCCTTGTTGATATCGACGTAGATCTTCCCGAGTCCCCTCATTAGTAGGATCATCCGAGACCAGTGCCGTGGTAGCAGCGAAGAAGACCGCAAATAGCAGACAATGCACATCCGGTTTCACCGCATCAGGCCGATTGATAGCCGTGAAAAAACGCGGCGTCGTCGTCGGAACATGAATCACCTTCAAGACAGGGTCCACCCTGCTCAGAAATATCTGCCAGAGCACCGTAGCCTGCCACCGAGTTGGACACAATGCCTTGAAATCCGCCTGAAACAATCTGGGATTGGTGATAATCCCGTCAACCTTCAATGGCGGCGGTTTCCTCGACGACGTATTCTCCGTATTCGGTGAGCCCATAGCACTCTGTAAATCCTTTTCTTTCTCCAGCACCCGTGACAACAGCGGCTCGTCAATATAACACCCATCCTTCGACAAGAACCCATGATGCGGCTCCTCATCTCTGGAAGACCGGATCCCCGGACCCGCCGCAGATTCACTCGACGACGACACCGGACTAATCCGGGCATTCGAGGCCGCAAGCGCTTGATTCACCTGCGCCGAAGTGCCAGCCATCTTGTTCCCCGCCAGCGTGGTAATTGAGCGCTCAAGCTGCTCAAGCCGCGTCACGACATCCGTCACCGTCGTCTTGGGTGGGCGGCGCTTGGCTCGCCTAGGCCCGGGGTACTGGCAAGGCACATTGAGGCGCACGCATTTATTGCACGGCACACCCTTATCGCAACGGACTTTCCGTTCGTGGCAGCGGAGACATGAGCGCTCGACGTTGTAGCGGCGAACGTGCTCCATAGTCGATGATGATGATGACGAGTACGCTGGCTCGGTCATTCAGAACATTAATACATCCGCTCGCGAGGATTGTGTCGGTAATATAAGGGCCCCACGCGCTGTTTCGGGCTCGGAATTTGCGCTCTTAGGCTTCTTCTGCGTGAAATACGCTCGAGATTTGCGCTGCTTTGTGGAGATGATCAATTACGATAAAGGCTCGGTCGTTCGGAGGTCGGGGTTTGGTGAATTGCCGATAACTCTGTCCAATCAGGGAGTGGACATGTGGTGATGTGGATTCCAGGTGGGTCAGGGTCCTGGATAGAGACCACGCAGAACCCCATGAAAAACCCGGGGAAATGCACTGTGATGACGGTTGGCCTTTATTGATTTGAGTACGGGCCAGAGTTGCGGATATTGATAAAGGTTGACCTGTTGTCTGGCGTCATGGGGTAGCTGGAATATGTATACGAGAGCCACGTCCTTAGCAGATAGAACTATACAGTGGTCTTGGCGCCGATCATCCGCTACGCCAATCCGTCTCTATGATACACTCCCCTGCCTGCACAAGACTCTCCAGTAGAAAAGAAAGATTGAGCAACTATATTGTCGACCAATAAAGCACAAGGTCTTATTTCATCACACGTAAGACTATTTCATTCTTTTGACGTTCCAAAAATTACCAATTTCAAAGAACTCCCCAGGATATAATCGCTCATCCAACACCTCGCACTAATTAGACTCTAAAAGAAACCAAAGCTCTTGTAAACCCTCCCAACGCCCGCAAAATATCACCATGAAAAGTAAAGCTCAGAAGTACATAACACATGACAGATCCCCACGATCTATGAGATCAAAAGATCCCGCACACTCATGCCCTTCCTCCGCTGCGAGTCAACACTCCCCGGCCGTCCTCTGGCGTTGCCAGTGCTGTGCTACCGGGGAAGTGCTCGCTGATTGAGTCTGCAGTCCCCCGGCGGTCCCGCGTCAACATCAGCAGCGCAGCGGATGCTTCGTGATCAATGCCTTGGAGTTCATGGAGTTTGTCCATGGACAGGTGACTAGGACCCAAGGCGGGACTGGGCAGGATTGAGGGAGCCTCTGGGAGAGTGTGGACAGAGGGCATCCTTGTGCGGGGAGAAAATGATGGAGATGCGTCATAGATGTGAGTGTTTGGGGGTAATATTTCTGGAGAAGCGGCAGAGGAGGCGGAGGAGTAGTATGTGGAAGAGGGAGGGCGTTGGGGTGCTTGATACATGACTGTATCTGTGCCAGTTTCGGCAATGAATTCGGGGGAGGTGGGAGATGGGGGCGCGGCTGTGGGATGGGCACTGCCGGCGGTCTTGAGGTCCTGGATGCATTTTTCCAGGTAGTTGACGTAGTCGATGCTGGCCTGGATGATTGTCAGATTCGGAGTCCTGGGATGGTATTAAATCGAGAATAAGATAGAAGGATGTACCTGAAGGATGGCCAGTTTGTGCATCTCCTGGCCTCGGCAGGCGGGAATCATATCCTTCAATGTCCCAAACTCCTCATTCATCTTGGACCGCCGGCGGCGCTCAATCAGACTGTGAGCAGTCTTACGAGCAATCTTGCGACCCGCCGCACTGGTTGCACTTGGCTGCTTCTTCTTGGAGCCATTGGTATTGGCATTTGCTGACTCAGATGCAGTTTGAGCTGCTGCTTTGGTGGATTCTTTGGGCTTGGCAGGAGACTTGGCAGTTGCGGGAGATTTGGGCTTCATTTGAATGATCTTGCGGGTGCGAGTCGGCGGCGGAGGGAGGTCCAGATCCTCCAGTGGTCGCTTGGATGCTGTCCCCGACCGAGCATGTTGGGATGGCCGTCCCCGAGCAGTGAGCTCGGGGGATGTCGGGGATGCGGGGACGTAAGTTGGGTCTGATCGCGAGGACCGTCGGCTGGCTGAGTCCCCCTTGGCGGGACCCAGAGCTGCCGGGGGCAGAGCGAAGGAGTCGGAGGCGTCGACGGGCTGATCCTTGATGATCAGTTCACCGGACATGGCTGGTGTAGGCGGGAATCGAGGTCGAGACATGGAGAGAGAGAGAGGAGATGGGAGATGAGGAGGAGGAGAAGGGTGAAAGATGCAGGTCTCCTTCGCCGAGAGGCAGAGGCAGAGGAGCCAGCATAATTATAAGGCCGAGTGGTGGTGACCTCGTGGTATGGAGGCGTCCCTATAGAAAGCTGGTGTCGCGTGCTTTGCGCCCACGAGCCACAACGGGGCCCGCTGATTGGCCGGGGATCCCCGTGGCCCAAGGGACGACGGGCATTTGCTGGGCGCTGCTGGTGGGGCCAAGAGCTTATCATCAACCGCAGACTTGCCCTGGACAACGGACTTGGTACTTGCCGGTGATCTGATGGGTACATGATGGATACTCACTAATGTCCAAGTATCTAAAGTACCTCCTCCAAGTCCTGGCAGTACCGAGTACCTCCACTCTTCTCCCCCCCTCCTCCGATCCAGAGTGGTAGCCCAGCACGTGCGCCCTGGACTCGCAGGCAATTGCTGGTGCTCACCCACGGACTACGGCAGGAGTATGCCTGGACGATCTGGCCTTCGCCTTCGTCCTACCATCTCTGTGGAGGGATCGTCGGGGCTACGTTTGCGTGGAGACCAGCCAAACCTACTTTTTGCGACCCCTCACCACCCTCCTGGACTCCTAATAGTAGTACTCTTATAACGAAGAAGATGATTATTCGGAACTGTTCCTGGCAAACCAGGCAACAAAGTTGTATCACTCTACCAAGGGTCCAGGCGGGCACATGGGCTCCTTCTCAGTTTTGCTTTCCTCTTCCATCTCCCAGGGAGCCCACGTGCCAACTTCATTACCATTACTCTGGTTACTACTGTACTATATAGGCCTGGTCTCTATTCCTCCTGACGTAGTGAGTCGTGACAGCCTGGAACCCCTGATGATTTACAATTCCAACTTAGGCAAGAGGATGCACCAAATCACCGTCGCGCAATTGACTGTGATGGTTTCACGTCATCAATGGAGTAAGCACAAGCACATTTCCCGTATTTTGCAGAGCTGAGGATAAGAATCTGACTATTCAAATCGCTTTGATGATCATCACTAATTGTGCCCTGAACAGGTAATTGGAGTCCAGCGCTGACCAACAGCTCACATGCAAGGATCACTTCCGCACATGCAGATTGCCAACGAACCAGTTCATTCAGCTTATACTTGTCCGATCATCCTAGATGCCTCTCGAAGCAAATCCTTATTTCAGATTCAGTAATGACCCTCGACAAAAGTTCAGGGCTCAGTGAAAAGATCAAGTCGTAGGGCAGTACACATAGAAGGGGCCAGTGTAGTATCACGCGTAGGAGTGTGTACTTCACATTGTCATTGATCATCATCAAGAGATAATAGCAGGGTCAGTCACATGTTCCTTCTCCACTGCAAGCAACGGAGGTCTCCCGCTCCGCCAGATCCCTGGGCATACCGTTTTCCCAAGCTATACCGATAGCCACGCTCAACGTAATAGGTTGCGGCAGAACCAACTATCATCTGCCAGATCTTGTATTCAATTCAAAAATCGAAAGGCAATCAGCACCATAATTCGCGATCGGCAGCCCAATTCCATCCCGGATACTTGGTAGTCATGTACTAGTGGTATCCACCTAAGGTCTCAAAACCAAAGCTCTGTGGTGTAAACGCGAGTCGGATACCAGATCTAATATCCTTGGCATGAACCAGTTCCTGCACCTTGTATAAACCAATTGGGCCGTAGGAGCAGGGTTAAGCCTCTTTCTGTGCTTCCATCTCTAAACGGAAGTAGCACTAGAAGGACATCCGCGCGAAGTAGGATTTGTGGACAGCACCAGAAAATACAAGTTGCGAAGTCAGGCGTTTTGTGACGTTCTCGCGATGAGCCGAAAGGTGTGATTGGAATCATGTAGATGTATGCATTGGACTTAGGAACACTGGATGCCAGGGTTTAGGGTAGTGTTTCACTTAATTCTTCTTGTTAGAGACCGAAGGACTATACAGGTTACATACTACCGCAAACATATGAAACCAGAATTCACATATCGTCATTAACCTGGAGGTTTTTATCTACCTATTTACTTGACATAAAATTCACATACCCTTCCAGGCCTCGCGACTTTTTCACTAAAAATCATCGGGTCGGCATCGGTCAATGCAACGCAGATACGTTTGCCACGCAGGGAGGCCCAGGCATTTTGACAGCTTTACCAGGTGGATATGGTCTAGAACAAAAGATCTCTATTCATTACCATCAAGATCTACTCTAGCTATACCATTCACATCAAATCATCACCACTCTAACCGAAAAGCTTCTCAATGAGGATCTTTCCAAATGTCTTCTCCGCGGGCGACACATCCATGCGATAAATACGGTTACCAGCACGCTGGCTCAACCAACGGCCGTGGTCACTCGAAGTCTCCTCGTCACCCTCAATTCGGTGCCGGCTACGCCGGTCAACAACGCACATTCCACGAGTCCACTGGCCCGTCGTCTCGATACGAATATCCTCAGGGGAGGTGGCTGTGGGCGCCCAGTGCGGGTCCTCAGACGTCAGGGCGTACCACACGCAAACCGGGTCGTGCAGACTGAGCTCCGCATCGTCACCCACGTGGCCTGGGTGCAGTCTTTCCAGGGTCTGGAAAGTGTGCGCCATAAAGGCGGAGACCCATTCGGCGAGAGGAGAGCCAGCCTCGACGAGGGGGGCTACGGCAGTGCGGAACTCACCGCGGGACAGATTGTGCCGCAGAGTGATGTCCAGTGGGAACAGGCGGAGGGTCAATTGACGGCTCAGTTTGGCGGGATAAGGTGGAAGTAGAGAGCTCTGGGACGGTGGCAGAGTTGAGTTGGGGTTGGGCGATGTTAGTGCAAACACCCGTGCGGCGGCGAATGCATCAGCATAGGCGTTGAACTCGCCAACTGGGGTGACCTGCGGAATCATTAGGTCAGAATCCAGCCCACGCTATGATCCCGAGACTTCAACTCACATTGCCGGGCTCGTTCACGGCACCACCCATGACCACGACCTCCTTCACCCGAAGGAAGGTCTCGGGGTCTTCGGCAGATGCAAGAGCCAAGTTAGTCAGTGGGCCGACAGCAACCAGAGTAACCGTATCCGGCTCGTTCTCGCGCAATACCCGTAAGATCTCCTTGTGAGCAGGGAGCTTGGACGGGATGAAGGAATGGTCTTCGGGATCGGCGCCAGTCTTGACGGTCTCGATACCCTGGCGATCAACCGCTGGGTCGAAGAGGTGCTCCCAAGTCTGAGTAGGAGTAAGGTGCGGGTGCTATATCCATCAGTTAGAAACTTTCATGGCATGGGAACACGCAACTTTGCGCAATTGGGGGTTAGATGTATGGCCATACACTAGCATGGATGCCCCCGAGTCCATCCGTTCCATCTGCGGGGTAATTCTTAGAAAAGCACTTCAACGAAGGTAATGGAGCTGCCAGCAAGCCAGATACATACGGAAATAATCAGCCAGCATCTTCTGGTCCTCCAGCGGATCCTCTGCACCCACGGCGACAACGGGGCGGAAGGCACGCATAGCGCCAAAACCTTCTGGGCGGCCTTGCTGGCGACGCCATTGAACCTCACGCTCGAGGATGTGGAACATGGAGACCACATTTCGGAGACAGCTAAAAGGTGAGATTTAGATATTGGGGTTCTTGGGAGGGATTGGGTTAATTTACTTCTTGACCTCGATGTTGCCAAATGTCAACGAGATAAGCAGCAGCTCGACCTCTTCTGGCTGGGCGGACAGCGCCAGCAGCAGGGCGAGGATGTCATCGATGCCCTGGGGATGTCAATATCCGGTGGGAATCTGCATGCTTAGGAAGGAATATGGCTTACGGGATCAGTATCGATAATGATCTTCTTGCGAGCCATGGTGGGATATGTCAAATTACTTGGAGGGATGAAAGTGGGAAAGAACGCTTATCGCCGGTGGAAGTCACTTGCGCAGTTGCTATCGTCAGGGCTGCTTCCTCAGGCATCAACCCCACAATGAGAACTACAGGAGCTTCTCTCCGGAAGTACGTTGACTAGCGACTCTACACGGAGGCACATTTGGCTCCGACTCGGATCATTGACTTGTTACCCCTTACAAAAATAGACATGGGAAATGAAGAATATTCCGCGGTTACTCACACAACACCATGCCATACCAACGATCATGTTCGTGTCGTCGATTTGAGATTTGACCAATCGGCCAGTCTCCAGCCACCCGCTATCTCGCATAGAACCTAGACTCTGTGGTGCATTATTCTGCATGTTGAGACCTGTCAATCAGGGGTTCAATGTCATTCGTCATCAACACCTCCCATGGCGTTCAATGTGTCCAAAAAAGGAGAGCAGGGGAAGATAGGAGTTGATCCTGCGCAACTACTAACTATTTTGACCCTTTCTCGGGGATATACAAACATTCCACAACAGTTCTCCGTCTGTGACTTTTGAGGTACATGATATGGTCTTCTCGAATGTATCGAATTCCTATGGAAGCATTATGGTAAGTACTCCTAATACCGTAAACAACTCATGCCGCTTGATATGTTTAGGTAATCAGATAACGCGGGAGCACGTGAGGTCTACATCTTAAGATATAAGATAGGTGGCCATGAATCATGAGTCCTGTAGAGCTCCGATAGATCATTAGGAAATAGTTCATGTTTCAGTGATGAATATGTGTTTACATTTGATACGATTCATCAGCAGTTCATTTCCGCCCCTCGTGGCGGGGGCGTGAGGGTGGCTGCAAGGGGTCGACCAGATCCCCTGCCGGATCGACGCGAGAGCTACTGATGGGCGGAGTATGGACGCTGAGTGGGTGGACCAAAGGGGACTTGTCATCACGTCCAGGGGGTCGCTAGACTGGTTTAATTTCAGGGCGCAGAAAGTCCAGAGTACACATATTTATGAGTACTTTCCCTAGTATACACTGTACGGAGTACAGTCTGTACATTGGAGCAGCGGAGTGGAAATGAGACAGCCGTGGAGGAGACGTGGCCTGTTCGCGGTCCCCCAGTTGTAGCTCTCCAGCTCTCCACACCCGGTGGATTCGCAGCTCTGCGTTTTGCAGGGCCACTCTGGTGAATTCCCAGCAGCGCTAGTCCATTAACTACTCCATAGCCAACCATATCAGGGACTAGTTATACTTGTTAGTGGTTGGTGGGTGAGTCCCGAGTCCGAGTCACAAGGGGAAGGCTAGCCTGGGCGGGTAATTTAAAGTTACCGGCGGTGTACGAGAGAGGAGGTACATGGATATTGATCCCCTTGGTACAGCACTGACCAGTCTGGAGTCAATTGGAGGGATTCATAATGCTATTCAACGTCTGATCGAATATTGCAAAGCCTATAGCATACTTTTCTGGAAATACCACGTTCTTGTTCGTATACTTTCATCGCTGAAAGCCTTTCCAGGGAGTGGTGCTCAACCCCGGTAAAGTTACCAATACGCTGCTGTGACGGGGAATTACCCGGCAGTACTGTCCCGTCGAATTGGCTCAGCGTGTCCTTTTCTGGCTCGCCCTCCACCTCCACCTCCTCCTCCTCTTCTCCTGTCCCTCGACCTTCCTTTGGCGCTGTTTTTCTTTTCCTTTCTTTCCCACCCTTCTTCGCTCTCTGCGTAGCTTCGGTATCCATGCCATCTGCCCGCTGAGCACAGCTTCTTGCGTTGTCTTTCTTCCTCGCCTCCCCCGTCCGAGCGCAATCCACCCCCAATTTCCCCAAATTGAGCGTGGCCTCCTCGGATCCCTGTCTCCTCGACACTCTCCCCATCTCTCATCGCAGACAACCTGCGTTGGGCTTGCGAGCTGTGTCCTCACTAGCAGTGCAATTGAAACTCCGATTGCACTTTGCCAATCGATTTTCCCAGGCCCCGACAACTTCGATGTTCGACCGGGTCCTTTGAATTTCCCCTCGAACCCCTCTCCGACAACCCGCTCCCCTTTTCCTCCATTGCGGCGAGCCACCAATTCGCCGTATACTTTCGCGTGCCGAACAGTTCGTGTGCGTGAACCGCTGTCCTACCTTGGAAACTTGTGACCCGCGCGGGCCACTAGTACGACTTCCGTCCTCGACCTCCCTGCCTGAACGGCTTCTTCTCAACTGTACGTTCTGCGCTCAAATCGTATTATATATCCGCAGGTAACGGGTGACAGACACTGACGCTGAACTTGGCAATAGCTCAATGACCATGAACCCCTATCTCAGCTGGGCTATTCTGCTCGTGGTGGCAGGTAGTCTCGGCTGGTACTACACCAATGGCTCGACCCCGAAGGCCAAGACCGCAGTGCGAGCTGCTGTGGAGAAATCAGAGGCCGTCGTAGCACCCAAGAAGCAAAAGCGCAAGCCCAAGGCACCTGAGCCGGCTGACGCCAAGAAGCCCGAGGTGAAGACTGTGGTCTCACCCCCGACCACCGAGGACGACCAGCCCGATGAGGATGTTGACCGTAAGGAGATGGCCCGCCGTCTGGCTGCCATCAAGAACGGCACCTCCCCCGCTCTCGCGCCTTCCTCCAAGAGTCAGAAGAAGAAGGCGAAGAAGGCCGCTCCGCTCGAGAGCGGCTCCCACGCCTCTTCGACCACCGGTGCCGACGCAGATGACGACCTCTCCCCCGCTGCTTCTCCCGAGGTTGTCGCTACCGTCCCCTCCGCTGGATACATTTCTGATATGCTGGAGGCCCCTCTCCCGGCGCCTCGGTCCTCCGCGTGACCGGCAACATCGAGTCTGAGGCTAAGAAGCAAAAGGCGCAGAACTTCAAGCAGGTGGAGACCAAGAAGCAGCGCCAGAACCGACTCAAGAACGAGGCGCGCAAGCAGCAGGTCCAGGAGGCTGAAGTGGAGCGCCGAAAGTTGCTGGAAAAGCAGCTGCACACCGCTCGCGAGTCGGAGCGTCAGGAGGCTGCTCGTTCCAAGCCTCCTACCAGCAACGCCTGGCAGACCCAGGGCGCAAAGCCCGCAGTCAACGGCTCCTCTCAGCCCGCTGCTACCCCTGCTCCTGCTGCTGCCCCCGTGCAGCTCCTCGACACCTTTGAGCCCTCCACCGCCTCTCCGGCTCAGAAGAAGTGGGACCAGAACCTGCCTTCTGAGGAGGAGCAGCTGCGCATCCTGGGAGCCTCCAGCGTTGACGATGACTGGACCACCGTCTCCAGCAAGAAGGTCAGCAAGAAGAAGGGTGGCAAGGCTGACGAGAGCGTCAGCGAGGCTAGTGCTTCCGAGTCCCAGCCCGCTCCCGTGGCCCCTGCCCCCATTGAGCCTCGTGTGACTGTGACCCCTACCTATCTCCCAGACATCCTCCGCTCTCGTGAGAAGGGCCACCCACTGGACTCGGACTGGGCCGCTTGATTTCCCTTACCACGCTTCAAGCCCGTCCATACCTCATATCTTCCTTCTTCACCTTTGAACTCTTTTGACCCTGTACCTATTACCGATTGATTTGGCTTTGGCGTTTCGGGAGTGTGGCCCAGTGGGCAATTTCCAATCCTCGTCTGCCCGACTTCACCCCTTCGTGACAGGGGGCGGGCACGAGTGGCTCCAGTGCAAACTGTGTGAAAATCGCCGCTCTCCCTCGGGGACATCGACGTGCGAGGAGAGCACAAAAAGCACACCTGGGACATCTTGTGTTTTTTAGTATCGACTGTATCACAATGGAAGCATGCTTTTTTTTTAGCATTTAACTGTGAGCACGGTGGATCGTGTAGAGAATGTAGAGGCCCCACGCTGATGAGAGATAAGAATGTTTAAAGAGGATCAGAATGTCTAGAATGAATATACATAGAATGCGCACCCCATGTTTGGTTTCGTTGTCGTCACAGTAGCCCGAACGGGACTAGCGCCGAGTTCCGGGCATCGTGGCCTGAAGAGGACCGCTTTGTATACTCGTCTCCACCCTGTATTTACTCCCTCGAATCCATCCCTCCCTGCACCACCTTCGACCTTCTCCAACCCTCTCGGAAGCTCCAATCTCCTCTCGAAAACCCTTCACAACCACCTCTCCTCTTCGAATTCCTTCGCCATGGCCCAAATCCGTGGCACTGCGGGCTACAACCTCGGCCACCAGAACCCGTTTGGCGGGCCCGGTAGCGCAGATGCCACCAGCGACCCTAGCCCCCTCGATGCGATCCGCGAGCAGACTAGCAAGATTGAGGACTGGTTGGATTCATTGGCAGACCCTGTCAAGCCGTACGTGAGCTCCTGGATATAATTCGGGTCCAACATGACCATTTTGTCGCTGCTTGTCAGCTTCCTCGGCCCCCCGAAACCCAGTTGTGTCCCCCAAACAAGGGACCTTCAGGCATGCGCTGACACCGTGTTCTCTTGCTCTGCAGGTATCTCCCTGCGATCGGCCGGTTCCTGATCGTGGTCACTTTTATCGAGGACTCGCTACGCATTCTTACACAATGGAGCGACCAGCTCACCTACCTACGTGATTTCCGGAAGAGTAAGACACCCTGAACCTCGGACCCTGGATTCTGTCCCGCACGAGCTTCCCCCCAGTGGCTGGTGGGCGGCTTGCGCCCAACCCCAGAGGAATCAGGCTTAAAATAACTCCAACGCGACAAATTTATCTAACTCGTCTATTGTTGGATATAGTTCCCTGGGGAATCACGCACATGTTCCTGATCGTCAATGTTATCGCCATGTCTGTCTGCTCGTTCCTCGTGATCGCCCGCAAGCGCACCGAGTACGCCGTCGCGGGTCTGTTGGCTGTTGTTATTACTCAGGGACTTGGATACGGCCTCATCTTCGACTTGAACTTCTTCCTGCGCAATCTGAGTGTCGTCGGCGGTCTGCTGATGGTGCTGTCGGACTCGTGGGTGCGCAAGAAGTTCGTGCCCGCCGGCCTGCCCCAGCTCGACGAGAAGGATCGCAAGATGTATGTGCAGTTCGCCGGGCGCGTGCTGCTGATCTTCCTCTTCATCGGATTCGTCTTCTCCGGTCAGTGGAGCTTCTGGCGCGTTCTGGTTAGCCTGTTCGGTCTCGTCGCCTGTGTGATGGTCATTGTCGGCTTCAAGGCGAAGTGGAGTGCTATCATTCTCGTGGTGCTGTTGAGCGTTTTCAACGTGTTCGTAAACAACTTCTGGACGGTATGATTGGAACCTCTCATTTGGTGGTATTGGGACTTGTCTCAGATTGACTGACTATGAAACAGCTGCACCCCCACCACCCACACAAGGACTTTGCCAAGTACGACTTTTTCCAAATTCTGTCGATTGTGTACGTCTCCAGTTCCCTCGATCTATTTTTATTCAGTCTTCTAATTTCTGAGTCAGCGGCGGTCTCCTTCTCCTGGTCAACATGGGTCCAGGCCAATTGAGCATGGACGAGAAGAAGAAGGTCTACTAGGTTGGAGTAGAGAAAGACAATTCTGCTTCTCTCTATATATTCCACGAGCTCTTACATCCTGCAATCAATGGCAGACCGAGAAAAGACCAAGTGTGGAAGATGTCCAAGAAAGCCGGCTCTCATCTGACCTCTCACTCTCACCCGCAAAACTAACACAATCCCTTGCCTCTACTAGACTGGCCCGGGGAGGTTAGTCAACCACTCTTGTGCCAGCAGTCTTTCATTCGCCATCTAGGCTCATTGGAAGAGCTATCAGATTCCATCTTTCTTTCCGCCATTTTGCATGCACTGACTTTCTGAACTGCTTTCCTTTTTGTTTCTCAGTCCCTCCCAATACCTCAAGGGAACTGAATCGGTGTTCCCTCATGTCCCCTCCATACTCTTCCTTCCGGGCCCTTCTGCGTTTTCCTTTTTTTTTTCTCACCTTAGCTTTGTTCCGAGCAAAAAGATATGTCCCTTGCATGCCATGATTGTAAGTCATTGACATGGACTACCGCCGAATCTATCATGAATGATAAGTTGCATTGAAGTCATAAGTATATTTGTTCTGCGCCTGAGATCCTCGGACTGTAGGGTATAGCATTTTTAAGCTTTCCTCTTATTGACAGGGCTTTCGCTACACGAGCGACACCTATTTCCATCTTATATACTATAGAACCTATTCGGTGATTTTGAAACGTTCACGAGGCCGGTGTTATTGCTTTTTATGTTCAATAGAGGACTTGCTGGCAATTCAGCAGGAGACCATCCTTTGAGCGAGGAGACATATTACAAGATTCACTGCGACTTCACCTCCCTATCTTGGTTATCCTTCTTGTCTACCCGATCAAGATGCTGGTTGGTCTTGTATGGTCTGACATCAGTTTAAGGTTCCGAGCCTGCCAGTGGTGGCTTAGCACCTATATAGTTACCAGATTGGGAACCCAGTTAACACCGCCCTACAAATCTATACATAGGTACATCCGGGCACTGCCTAAGGGTAGGTCATTACTACTCAAGGTACTGAATGCAGGAGACTCCGTCAGTCTAGATATACAGAATAAAGAGCTGAAATGATTCAAAAATCCAAGTCCAATTTTTCATCATGCTATGTATGTGCTATGTATGTACCAGAACGGAAGAAGGTGATTATGATACAGGAGAAAGAAGGGCGAGGGCGATCTAGAGGATAAGCCAAAGGAGGGTACAGTAGCTGAAAAGGCCAAAAAAAGGATAGTTCGCCAATAAGAATAGGTAAACAAAGAGGGGAAGGAAAAGGATAATCTCGGTGTTTTTGAGATGCGCTTAGAAGGAACAGTAGGAGGGTCGGGAGGGTAGGTAGAAATGGGTGTCCAACATTTGATAGCTGGGAGGAATGATATAAAGTAGTTGTTTTCTTTTTCGCCGCCCTGTGGAAACAATTTTCTCGTTCAAGCCAACTAGGACTTTTTGGTGACATCCGTCGCTGCTGGGGGGCATCTGGTCCAGCCGTGCGGGCCCAAAGGAGGGATGGTCTTGCTGGCTGGGGGGAAAGGGTGAGAGGGAACCAAATGATAACCCAGGAATGCGCTGTGCTTTTCGTCAAACAGAAACGTCTTGGCGCTAGAGAAGAATTCAAAGATGTCGAATAGGGAGAAAGGTGGATGGTCGGGGAGTATGAGATTGAAGGTTAGGTTAGGTTAGGTTGCGGATGAAGGGATGGGGATGGCAAGGTGGATGAGATGGAAAAAGGGAAGTCGCTAATTATATATCCATGCTCCAGCGCCACGGGCGAATGGGTTCTAGCTGGCCGACAGCGACTTCGTCTCGGTCATCGTTGATCTCTAGGTGCAACAGGTGGACCTTGTGCTTGGGGCCATCCGGTCGTTGCAGGGTAGACAACGTCTTTGAGATTTGTGGACGAGGTGCCTTGATGCTGCCTTCGGTGGAATCGGAAGCTGGCCGTGTCGTAGGGGTGTCGGGGTACTTCCACGAAGTGCTGAAGGATTGATCGTCGGCAATGGAGAACATGGAGTCGGATCGGGAATCCCGAGGTCGATCAAAGTCGTCGCGAATAGCACTTTCAAAACTTGCGCGGACGCGAGATACGGATGGTCGACGAGGTAATTGTTGCTGGACGGCGGTTGTATCAACTGTGCCGTCCTCAGTTTCCTTGCTGATGTGTTCAGCCTCCTCCTCCTGGATGGCGCAACCCCTGATAGTGCGGGATGGCCAGTCGTTAAAGCCACCCATACTATCGCGAGGAGAGGACATATCGAATCGTTCTTTGCCAGCCATGACCTTCGCACTGGGCGGTGGTTGGAGCATCCATCTCGTTTCGGCGCGGCTGCGGGGCCCACTCACGATAGGCGGATGTAGATCATTGACAGGAGGTACATGCGCTGCATAATACTTGGGCGGCTCCTGATGATCGGTACGACCACGACCCGAGAAGCCAATCGACGAACCCCGAACTTCCTGACCCCAGAGAGGCTCATCTTCACGTTGGTACCGCATAGATTTCCACCGATCGTTAAGAGGTTGCATGAGGCCGCCACTCTTATCCTTCTTCGACAGCGAACCTTGATCCGTATTCCCACTGTTCGTCCTCGCATGGTTGCGGTTTCCACCTCGACGAGTCGGAGGCCCAGGTCCTAATGATATCTCCTCGGTCCACCCTTCATTAGTGCTGAAGGCGGTCGCCTGCGGAAATGGCCGGGGTTGATCGGTAACGAGATCGGCCGCGGCCTTCTCATTGAGACGCTGGATTCGCGCGGCATCCTTCTTGCGCTTCCGACGGTCGATGCTCATAGCACATGGTGTGCAAGTCACGTAGTAGAAGACCGCGGACTGCGCGCCCCGATAGAGCCACATCGCCGACGCGGGGGGAGGGGGTTAACCCTTTCTGTTTGTAACGATGCCCTTCTCTAGTATCTTGTGTGGTAGAGGGTGTTTGAAATAGTCCGGACACGCTTCACGACGGGGTCTCAGCCCGGGAGAAGTGTTGAGTCGAGCCCGGTATTGGATCTTTGTTTCGTTGTGATACTAGAGTCCACATGAAGGGCTGAGGTAAATCGCGGATAGGGGGCGGAGGGCGGAGGGTTGGGTAGCGCAGGCAGAGTCGGAAGTAATTGAGACGCCCAACGACCAGCGGAGGGGGTTTTGGTAACAAAAAGATAGGAAAAGGTAGAAAGTAAGAAAGTGAGAGAGTCAGAGGGGAAGAGAAAGCTGAGAGAGTGAGGGTTGGAAGGGAGGAGGGGGTCAGGATGAAACGGTCAGGAGTCGGTAGATTCTGAGGGGAACGGGGGACTGGGGGGCATTGGGGGCGGATGGGGCGGATGGTACGGGAATTACCGAAATTACCGAAATTACCATACCACTGTGGACGGGTGGAGGACTCCGCCCGCAGTGAAACCAAGTTGAATGCTGGACTTGTGGCCAGACACCACGGACTCCATACCAGTCCATACATTTATGACACACCCGCCATCCACGGTTCTCCCCAGGTATTTCGCATACGACGGTAGCTTGGGACCCTCAAACTGGCCAAGGACTGCTAAGAAGTTAGTGGGAGTACTGATTCCCCTCTTCAATATTCAATCCTGATCCTGCTTGCGGTAGGACCTATTCAGATGCTCAGTCTAAGGTTTCTGACTGGTTCTTCACAGACGAATGCGTCAATTCAACGTCCGATGGACACCTCATACACCCAATTCATCAGGGAATCCATGAGTGATGGCTATGAGTGACCACGTCGGCCTAACTCACTACTAAACCAACCAATCTAACTACTTCCAACCGGCAAATTGACCGCAACCAAGTCCCTCCTAACAACCGGTTGGCGCCAAGAACCCGCATAGCGCGACTGTACGATTCCTGCGATCGGGCAACAATAAGCCATCACCTCGACGGGCCAGATCTCAATCCCTGTCTGGAACTGCTCTCTCCTCAAAGGGATCCTCAAGGTTCGCAATATTACACATTTCAAAGTGCTCGAGAATTACACTGTCCGCCATACGAGGGAATGTAAACGTTCATTCTGCGCTTGGCATCAATCCTGCGTCCCGTGTGTGGGGGCACTGCGCCGCAAACGGGATAAAAAGGGGCAGGAGAGTTGATCAAGGATGATGACAAGTTGACAACAGTATGATTATTATTAGTATTATTGTACAATTCTGCACTTCAGACAACGTGCTCCCTGCTCCATCGAGTTCGTGTCACATCAGCGCTGTGGGTCGAGACTCCATTGAGGCTTCGTTAGGCAACAATTCATGTCTGTAAGACTCGGATCAGGCCCGCCTGTCAGGTCAGACATTCGATATCGAATCTGTCCATATAGAGACTTGTATATGATAAGGATCATACTGCGCCATTTGGCGGTAAGTCGATTATGCTTCCACGATATCATCTGAGGTGAGGCCTTAACATAGATGCTGCACCATACATGCGGTAAGTACAAAGTATCCTGGGCATACCTCGCAGCCACACGTATCTAGATGATTCCCCAACAAAAGCCCCATTCCACGCCCGGATGGCCTTCCCCGCCCGATTCTAAAGAATTGCGGAATGTTCCTCTCGAGACGACCCATAAGCTTCTTTGTCCTCTGGCTGTTCGTATTTCTCCAGTATTCCTGTATCCGTCGAGTCCGCCTCTGCCTATGTCATTGTTCCCTCTCTCCCGACTCCCGTGCCCAAAGCCCCGACGTGCTGTAGATCCCTGCATGTTTGCAGCCAACCGCGTGAATGCCAAGCTCCAAGGACCTAGCACCGGGCATCATCGCATGTGAAGTCGAAATGTAAATGTCGGGGCCTATGTATCACGTCCAAATCAAATGCGTAGTAGCATACTCGCCAAGTCGGTGCTTGTCACGCGATTGCGACTGAAGAAAAGAACATGCTCGGCCTAGGCAGACGAACACGAAAAGAAAAGAGCCAGTTGTAGGCGAAACCAAATCGACCGTCTTTTGGAGATGCATGGCGTAGGCACACGATACAGACACCCAGCAGGAGCCCAGCGCATCCCCCAACAGACCAGAGTGCTCATCTCCTCGGCGCATCTCATGCAAAGAAAATAAAAAAGAAAATGTCCCAAACCACCAACGCCCAAACGCGTGCAAATCAAACCAAAGCCTCAGCCATGCACATCCCGCTCATGCATTCTTCGTATCCCGAATAACCTGTCCTTTAACCTTTGACCAGTCGATATCCGCATCGATCTTCTCATCTACCTCGCCACAGACTACCACATTATCACCCCGAATAAGGTACAAGCCGTGCTCGACCTGCGCTGAGGGCTCGTCGTCGTCTGGGGTGCGGATGATGCGCTCGACCGTGTTGGTGAGAACGATGTTGGTGAGTTGATCGGTGGAGAGGAGGGTGCCGAGGAGTGTGCGGCCGTCCACGGTGAGGATGAGGACTTTTTCTGCGATGAGAGTAAAAGAGTGAGTTAGTCTTTGGTGTTTGTAGTCGGGATGTGGCTGTAGGATTGGAACGTACTATTAATGAGGGACATCAGAGGGAGAGACATGGTGGGCGAGGTTGTATGTCGACGAAGCCGGGTATTCAATTAATGCAGTGAGGTACTCGGGTCGGTGTGTCGCTTGCGCTGCTGCTATTGAAGCTCGAGACAGGCCTGCACCGGTCTATACTGCGGCCAGCGATAGCGATTTTGCAGCTTCTCGCAGCAAAGAGATCGAGGTTGTCTTGCAGCGCGCTTGTTGTCTATTGGAAGACAAGAGATATCTTAAATTTTGCAGAAGTCTGCGGGTATCCAGAGTCCGAATCGGGCTTGAATGCGGCAAATTGCGTTCTTTGCGTGTGAAGCTGATGCCGAAATTCGCGGTCCGGGAGCACTCGAAGGTTGATGTTGATATCACGAGGCCAGGCCTATGAGGGTGAGAGCTGGAAGGTATCGGAGGGATCGGATACCGGGGCCACAGATAACAGAACCGTAAGATTGAAAGCTCTTGTTGAATTGGAGGTGGGATTGAGAGTGACTATCTCGGAGTTCTTTGAGGTTGTTTGCACTGATTGGCATTGAAAGGTCACGTGTTGGAGCTAAGCTTCATGGGCCATCGCATCGAGACAAACCCATCCTCGACACAACAATGAGATTGACCTGATATGGAATAAATGCAAGTAAAGTTTATACAAAAGCATATACGTAATGATCTACATATTGATCCGGAAATCTTCTGTTGTATCAAACAATTTATATGTATAACAATCCCTATCTGTGCACGATATCGCCCGCAATGTCCCATGCACTCAGCCACTCAACGCGCTCAAATCCAATGGTACACTACTCCCTCGTCCAGCTCGGTACCTGCGTTCTCCACCAGTAAAAGGCCGAGGCTTGGGGAGTAGTCCATCACTCTGGAACTTGAACCGGCTGTCGTCTATTCGGACTGGACCGTGCGTGGATACGGTGCGGGAGCCATGTGCAGAAGATGAGCCACCATTGGTAAGTGTGTATGCACTGGGATCTAAAGGCGTCTGAGGCTCATATGAGATCGGACGCAAAGGAACTGGAGATGGGCGAGAAGGGGGCTCGCTGGGTGGAGGGGCGGGAGCTGAGACTGGCGGGGGAGGTGGTGGAGGAGCTGCTGGAGCAGCAGAGGGTGGTGGAGGGGGAGGTGCCGCTGGGGAGCTGACGGAGCCAAGTGCAGCGCGAGCTGCTTGGGCAGCAATTGATGCGGGAGCCCCGGATGGGGGAGGTGGAGGTGTTGGTCGACCAGGTGCAGCTGGAGGAGGTGGTGGAGCCCGCGAAGAACTAGGCGCAGGTGGTGGTGGAGGAGGAGGAGCCGCTGGACCAGCTGTGGGAGGAGGCGGCGGGGCTCCAGAAGGCCTTCGCGTTCCTGGAGGTGGTGGGATCTTGACTCCCCCCGGGGGGTGGTGGAGGAGCGCGAGGAGGGGGGACGTCTGGCGCGCCCTTGGCGGAGGTTGTAGAGATTGTAGATGATGGCCTTGGTGCCGGCCGTGGGGGAGCCTTCTTTAGGTTGGCAATCAACGGATTGAGAGCGGGAGCAGGTGATGACTCTGAAGAAGGCGGAGGTGGTGGGCGTGCTCCAGGAGGACGAGGAGCTGAAGGAGGTTTGGGAGCTGGTGCAGTTGGAGGTCGCGTGCTTTCACCTTCGGACATGTATGGTGAATCTCGGTTGGCTCCAGTGTCGATTCCGCCGCGACTGCGTAGTTTCGGCATTCCACCTGCAAAAAGACCTCCTAATTGCGCTGCCGGACCCCTGGCTCCTCCATCTGACCCAGATACTCCTTCGCTGTTGCTTCGTAACCGATTCGCAGCGGGACCTGACGGAACGGGTGGTGCAAGCCCTGAAGGTGCCTTCATCCCAGGAACTGGTGGTGCGCCACCGATAGGTGGTGCAGCTGAGCCTCCTCCAGAACTTGCAAGTTGTGGTGCTGATCGATCATTGGTGACGGCCTTCTTCAATCGAGTGCCTTTATGGATGTCTGATAGCAACGCGCCCTACCCTCTTGTTAGCCTCTTTCTCCCAGAAAGTCAAGCACCTCGCTGATAGACAGCTCTGGAGTAACCTCAAACATACCCGACCTTTCACCTCATTCTTCGAAGGCCTAGCAGGCAGGCTTCCTCCTGGAGGAGGCGGCGGGGGAGGGCCACCTAAACCTCCGGGCGGCGGCGGCGGCGGAGGGGGAGGAGGGGGAGCAGGCATATCGACGACAGCGCGTGGTCAGTTTATGGTCCTAGGTAGATGTGGCATGTAATATAGGAAGGGATATGAAGATGAACAAGGGTGGTCTCCTTGACCAGAAGGAGCGGCGTTTAAGGCAGAAGCATAGACGTCAGTGTAAGGCGAGTGAACGGGCCCGAGGCCAAGTCTCCGCCTTTGGAGCCTCCTATCAGAAAAAGATAGCCGCCTGCATCCATCGCGACCACAGCCACCATTTGCGCGGCCTTGCGATTACCCAATTGCCATGAACCGAATTCCTTTGAGAGCCCGCCGGGGCGCTCAGCATCACAGAGCTGCAATCTGCCAGTTCTGTGAATTCTCAACCTCGACATCGCGCCCTGCCCTTCCCTTCGCTCGACTGGCCGCGGACCCCCAAAGTCGGGCTTCACGTAGCAATCTCGGATTGCAACCGTCGCGCCCGAATGGACCACGGCAGTTGGCATCTCCGCTTGCTGCCACGCGGTACAAGTCACGTCTGGCTTCTCAAAAGGCTGGGAAGCCCGTGGAACCCGAGTCGAGCTCAGCCGAGAACCCGAGCGAGCAGCTTTCTGGCACGAATACCGATGATGGAGTCAACGAAATGCCTCACTATTCTCTTGAAGATCTCGTTAAAATGACACGGGACTGCGAAGCGGCGGCATTGAATTTGTTAGAGTCTAGCGAAGTGCCTGCCAATAAAGACGTGGAGGACGCCCTTCTCAAATGTGAAGAAACAGTGAAGTCACTCTCGCCATACTGGGATTTACGCGATGACAAGTCAACGAGCGGTGATGGGAATGCAATTTCTTCACTATTGGAGATGGAGGAGAAGCAGGGATCCGCGACGCAGCCACACGAGGTTGAAGAAGCCCTCCGCGGACTGGCAGACCGAGTCTCCGATAGCATGACGCAAATAATCAAAGACAAAAAGGTCTTCATCTCCCCCACAGCACTGGAACGTTATGTTGGGGCCCAATGTGTCTTGAATCGGGCCGAGCACCTGCCAGAGGTGTTCCATCTATACGCCAACAAGCCGATTCCCGAGGAGAAGAGTAACCCGCCTAAATTTCACAAGGCAAACCCGAAGGATGTGAACAGCGCTGTTTCCGCGGAGTTGGCAAACCAGGCCATCGACGTCGCTATCAAGCAAAAGAATCTCCCGCTGGTACTCGCAATGATCGATAACACCTTTTGCGCACCTGCTTTCCATCGCGCGAAGGTCTTCCGAAAGGCTGCCGTTCCCTTGGCTGGTCTGGCTGCTGCTCCGGCCGCGTGCTTCACACTCGCATCGTGGGCAGCAACGTTCCAAAACACTATGGATCCTAGCACGGCAACTGGTATTGCTTTCGCCGCGTCACTTGCCTATGTAGCCGGTACCTCTTCCATGGGCATTTTAGCCATTACTACCGCGAATGACCAGATGAAGCGCGTCACCTGGTTATCTGGCGTTCCTTTGCGGCATCGATGGCTCCGCGAGGAGGAGCGCGCTGCATTAGACAAGGTCGGTTGCGCGTGGGGATTCCAAGATCCTTATATGCATGGAGAGGAGACGGGCGAAGAATGGGACAGTCTGCGCGAGTTTATTGGCATGCGGGGTATGATTCTGGATAAGACAGAGTTGATGGAAGGTATGCAGTAGACGGAGAACTTTTTGTACTATAGTCATCTTTACATCCTGCTACTATATAGCCTGAATACTTTCGCGTGGAATATTGCAAGCATTGCTTCCACGAAATTTACCTATGATAGTCTATACCAAGTACGAAAACAATATTTTGAGACCGTGAGATTCATATTTTATTTTTTGTGGTCACTAAACTATGACGCCCTCACTTCTCAAACACTGACTAGAGATCCAGCGCAATGAAGCGACGGAGCATCTAGTAGACGCGCTTGGGGGGAGACATGGTAGCCTTGACGACAAGGCTGCCAACGTTCTGCCAGCCCTTCTTGAGGAGGGAGACGAGGTAGTTGATGGCGAGCATCAGGTTGGCGACGAGCTCCTCCTGGGTCATGCCGACGTTGCCAACGGCAACACCAAGGCAGAGAACCTTCTTCAGCTGGAACTTGATGGTGGACTTGACATCGGTGACCTTGGCGGCCATGTCCTCAGCGTGGGAGATGGGGGTGGGGAACTTGCCGGCTGGAGGGGGAGTAAAGTTAGCATTGGTGATACACAAGAACAGAGTTTGTGATAATCAAGACATACCCTTGGACAGACCGGGACCGAGGAGACGGGGAATCTGCTTGATCAAAGCCTCGGAAGCAAGGAAGGCATCGTACTTGCGAGCAAGCTTCTTGATGAGCTTCTTGTTCTTGTTCAGCTTCTTGAGGTCATCGGTGGACATGGCATCGATACCGTGGTGCTTGGCACGGTCGAGATCGTGCTGGTCACCGAGAATGCTATAATTTTGACAGTCAGTCATCGCTATCGTAGATATGAAAGTTCTCTCCAACCCCTTCGCTTGTCGGTCTCTTGTTGTGATCCGTCACAGAACGTCGCAGCAGCAATTCGACTCGACTCGACTCGACTCGACTCGGGGTGGACGACAGAGATTTGTAAAACGCACCAGATGCTCATGCCAGGGCGGGGGACGGAAGGCAGCTTGATGGTGCCAGAGAAACGCTTGTCACGCTGGGGGTCATAGTTCTTCAGACCAATCTGCAGCTCAACGGTCTCGAGGAAGTTACGCTTCTTCTCGTTGAGAGAGTAGTTGAGCAGCTCATCGACATTCTGGCGCACTCCGGCTGAGAGGGAATTAGCGGCGAGTCTCAAGAGTGAAATGAGAGGGACAGAGCGTAGAACATACCGACTGTGATCTTCGACATGATGGCGACAGTCTTCCAAAAGAGAAACTTATGGTGTGGCTCTACGCTGAAGTCTTGAAGAGAAGAAAATGTTTGTCGCGAATTTCTCCGCTTGTGGGTGGAGATTGTGCGACTAGTCCCAAGGAGGCTTAGTGCAGCCCTCAAACGAGAAGATGACTCAGCAGTCACGGCTTCCGCTCATTTGCGGCTTGGTGCCTGGGTGCCTGAGGATCTAAATCTACTCCGTACTGAAAGTGGAAATGCATTTTCGAAACAACAGAGGCCATATTTGTCTGTCTCACCGTACTTTGGATCTTCGGTCTTAATCACATCTTCAAGAGGATTTCGCATCCAGAATAGACAAATCAATCACCATCTCCAAGCACACCACAGTCGACTTGACTCCACTCCGGTTTTTAATCTCTACCTCTTCATCCACCACCTGGAAACCCACTCTCTCATACAATCGCTGTGCACGGAGATTGCTAAATTCGACCTGCACGGTTATGCTAAGTTTGTGTCCTCCAAGTACGCGAGCTTCCTCGGTAGCAGCTGCAATCACCGCCTCCATTAGACGCTGCCCGTGTCCTCGTCGCCGGGCTGTAGGCGAAACAAACATGCCCACAATCAAGTAAACCAGGTGTGCGCCGCTCAGATCACCCAGCTCGGATGTGACCAGTGGAAGTTGGTACTTGTTGTCCTTGATGAAAACCTCGTATGGCTGGTTCAGCCCTGTCGTGATGCCTTCGTTTGGCCTAGAGAATACCCCTGGACCCATCAGCGTCACGATGCCTACCCATTCTTTCCGCAATAACCTTTGAAGTGTATCTTTGGCATCATAGTTTGGGACACGTGTTTCAACTGTGGATGTTTCTGGCTGAGTGTCGGGCGTTGTCACAGCGGCAAAGGTCTTGCCAACTGGGTTGTGGATGCGTGATAGCCATACATCATCGGAGAACTGGGATTCATCCTCGTAAGTTGAAGAGAATGATCGAGGATCGACTCTCAGGCCATGCAGTCGCAGCTGCTTGTATCTGTCCACAACTGCTTGCTCGAATGTTGCGGGAGAAAACGTTTTGGGTACGAGGATAACATCGTTTGATTCGGATTGAGGGGCTGCCATCGCGATGGGACGTAGCGGGGTTTGATGTAAAATGCTGTCCCTCACACTTACGGTTCAAGTCGAGCAAGAGCTACCAAATGATTGTTTTGGAGAATGATGTATAAATAGTCCAAGGAAGAGTCATGGCAGGTCGTGACTCAACTTTATAGTGTGATGCGACATTAGGGCGGATCATTCCGTCTTCACGAGGGGGCCGCCCCAAGCCACCTTCACAAAAAGCTTCACCTATCTTCCACCAAAAATTAGAGACCTATCTCCCGTGAGTCCAGATGCCGCCAAATGGTCTGAAATTTCACGCCAGGATTATGTCTGTGGGCAACATTAAGATTACTCTTCCTTCTACTAGTTTATTACTTCATTTTGCTGGTAGTCTTTTACGAAGAATGACATTGTGAGTTCCTAGAATAGCTATACAATTGACGCGCTCGCTTCACGAGGAAGCTGGATCTCCCCCTCATACAGGGAACAATGTCAAGTCAAGATTTTGCCAGTCCCAGATTTGATCAAACTGGCCGACGTCCAAATTTGAAAAGTCGCCCACGCTAATGAGCGGGGGTGTTTCCATGCCTGGTACCGAAAGGTCTAAAGAGGCAGGCAAAAAGATTTCATTCGAGTCCAAAGAACCCAGAGATGAGGATAAAGATTCCGTGGAAATGGTATCTGAAGGAGGGAATGAATCCAGCTCTGTCTCTGGTGAGGGCCCAGCACCGTTGATTTCCCGATTAGAGACTTCGCCATTCATACCAGCAAATGTCGTGGTTTTCTTGGATGATTTAGATAGGCTCTTCGCAAGTCGGGCAAGAACTGGGTAGCAGATTGCGCCTGTTTTGGTGACTTGGGCCAGCTTGTGCATGAGAGAGCATGCAAGACTGATTTTTTGAATGATTTTCTCACGTTGTGGAAGGCTGCTATCCTTGTCATGAATCATGGCAGAGCATAAGAATGCAGCAGTGTCAAAAAGTAAGAAAGTGAGTAGATGGAATTTAGCATTCAGCGGATAGACATGGTCAAATAGTCCATGAGAGACGTCGATCAGGTGTAGAGCAATCTCGACGGCGGTGCTTCTTAGTGCCTTGTCCGTCTCGGAAGTCTTACTGTCGAATGTCTTGGTGAGGAATACTTTGAATGGTAATAGCATCGTCATATATCCGATCGCCCGCAGTTGGTGACGCTGGAGCGGCACGTAAATATGTTTCTCATCCCACTGGATGTCTGGGCTCGCTTCTCGGTAGGCTGGTGGAAGGGAGGCGAGCCACCGATCTATATCTACCTTGATGGCATTGGCTTGACTAGGTTCAGTCGTGCCACCCATGGTAGGCGGCACCCGAGAGATGATCTTGCCAAGTTCGCACTGGGAAGATATATGGGAAAACGGGGAGGGTGGGCCCGTTTTGGAGTCATGACATTCAAGCTGCATGTTCGGAAGCTCGAAAGGATAATAGTATTGATTGATGATGAGCGGGCGAGAAAGAAGTAAAGCCATTTGCCTGGAGAGAAAATCAGTTCTTCTGTACCGCCCAGAAATTGAGAGATCTCTTACCAGTCCCAGACATATAAGAGACACCACATTCGGCGTCTCATTTCAATATCGAATTCTGACAAGCCCGCCCGGGGAGCGCTCTTGTGCATACCCAGTTCCTGGGCCTCATGTATTGCGCAAGTCAAAGCATGCCAGGATTCAACGAATAACGACTCAGCCTTGTACCAACCCGCCGTGAGAAAAAGTTGCTGAATTTGAACGAGCCCTCCTTTTCCGGGCGGAATCGCGTTGCTTAATTGTTTAGCAGCGTGATGATAGCTTTCTGAAAGGCTCTGTACAGATTCACCCAGCTCGGACTCGAGTTTTTGCTGGATCTCAACGTCCAAGTACTGAGCTGAGCATGCGCACACTCGAATGAGCAGACAAGTAAATTCCGGTGTTAGTGGCTTGCCATTGGCTCGATCGGACCACCATGCTGCGTAATCTTGTGAGAAAGTAGGCGGATAGAGACAATAGTATCCATAATTTGTGACTTCCAGGTATCGCTCGATTAAGATGTCTGGACTGCCATTAGAATGGATTCAATTTGTGATGATGATGGGGTTTGCGAACCTGTGTAGGGCTTTGGAGGCAAAAGTTGCAACACGTTCCTCATCTCGGGAGAAAGGCTCGGAACAGTTTGATTTGATGCTGAGTGTTTTGACTTCGGAAACTCAGCTTGTTTTCATTGTACAACAACTGGGGAGGAGAAATACCGTGGGCGCCGCATTTCCGAACAATAGATTTTCATCGTCGGGCAGATACCCCAGGCCACGAAGTTCATCTTTCTCAGCGAGAGCCGGAAGATCCGTAGCTTTAAGCTCAGGCTCTTCCGCTTTGACATCAACTTGGATATCACTATTAGAAGATAACTTTCTGTAAACCTGCGTCAGTCAAGCGCGGGTAATATTGGGCATTGTACGCACCTTGATCCCTCTACCGCGGCCTTTGCGCCGATAGATGGTTGCTTTTGAGGATATCTACATAAATGAGGGATCTTCCGCGCCTGGCAATGGTTGCAAGGCCATTGGCGGCTGCACTGTTTGAACATTAGACAAATGCTAGAGGCAAGATCGAGTAAATTACCTTCTGTTTGCGCCTCTGGCATTCCGTGCACGAGGCTGGTGATCGACTAGTCTTTTCCACCTTCGAACCAACCATTGCGAGCACCGGTGAAACTCAAAGCTGACATGTAGGGGAGGCGGCAGATCATGGGGAAGTGTAGGTTTTGGAACTTGGTAGGAATGCATCACTTGTTTAGGCCTTGATTATCAGGCCAGGGTCAACGTCACATGCCCTGCGCTAGGCCCTTTGCGGGTAAGTGCCAGTGTCCCAACATTACTAACTGGTTAGGCAGAAGTGGTTAGGACAACTCATATGGTCTTCGGGTTGAGTACAGGATACGTGTATATGCATGAGGCTGAGGTCAATATTAGAGTGTATGAACGAGTTATACTTGGCCTAAGAATCGAGAACCAGGTTACATGGTGCAAGGTACTGCCGTTATTCAGCGTACCGGAGGCGATAGTTATATAGTTAGTTCCCGCTTTATAGGTACTCAGATGGATAGTTACCTATTGGTAGAGAATAACTTTTAGCACTTTGAAGGAACGGGATACAGGGCGAAAATACAACTACGTTCAGTTGAAGGGAACTACCAAGGTACACCCACTAAGTAATGTTTGATATCTCTACATGATCCTTGGCAAACCGAACAAACCAAAACAAACATCAAGTATCATCGTTTCAGGTGCTTAAACCACTCATCTATTTACTTACAAGTCTCCCGCTAACATTACCCTTACAAAGTCTCCGTCAACCTTGACAGTACTCCTTTTCCAACCCTCATCATACCCCCCATCTGACCAGCCCCGTCCATGTTAAGGTAGATCTACAGAAAACAACATCCCTGTGACCAAGCTTCCGCTAAGCAAACTGCACCAGACCCCCTCAAATCAAGCCTAGTCCACACCCAGCGGGTGCAGCATGTTCCACCACAAAACTATATTTGGGGGTTGAGCACCCTGAAACGGGGGTTTAAGCGGCCCTGCACTGCAGCTGATGCGGGCGCTTAAGCGTGACCTCGACCAGCGGCAAGATCAGCCTCAGATGACGGTTGCCCCCTTTTGGCAGGGGCGTAGTTCGTATAAATCTCGGCCTAATCCTGCAGGGGCTATTGCTGTTTATTTCTGCCTCATCTGGATTTCTCTTCCTTCAGAACGCTGCTATAATTGATGATTTCCTTCCTTCCAGTGCCCATCCCTTTCCCCCCGCAATACACTACCACTAGCGGCCGTGTTTACGTTTAACTACTTTAACCACGAAAGTTGATCTTCTCCCGCCTAGCTACGCGAACTTCGCGTACTACCCAGCATACATTAATCACTATTTATCTAACCTACCATGTCTGAACCAATCTACGCACGCAAAGACCCTCGCAGTCCGGAGGAGTACTATGCAAGTCTCCAGGGCGCACAGGGCTCATTGGAGTCCAAATTCAAGAATATTGACGACGAGACGAATTTCATGGATTATATGCAGCGGCTGCAAAACGAGCTGACGAGGAGTTTTGTGCTGGAGTTTGGGAATGACGTTGCGTATTGTGCGACGGATTTGAATACGGGAGATTTTCGGGGCTTGTTGAGTGGTCAGGTATGTTCGATGTTCAAAGTTCGATGTTTAGAAAGGGGAATTGGGTAGGTGGGATGATTGCTAATTTAAATCCTTGCCTTCGTTTACAGCGGGCAAAGTATTTTGGGACTAGGTGGATGTAAGACGACTCTCATGATCGGTACTCGGAGGAACCTTTGGGGGTCCAAGGGTTAACACTGACTCTTTTCATTGCAGTCATATTTGGTATCCAGAGCAGCAAAAAGATATAATTAAAGTGAGTCGAAATCGACATTTTCACAGAGACTATTGAGACTAACAAGACTAGGCTATCACATCCCATTATGGAGTCTCCGAACGACTACAGGGCATGATGTATACCGAGCCCTTCCACGCTGCGCCGCCCTCAGCCGCAGCTCCTCCCAAGAAGCCAAAGCGAGTGTCTGCCCAGACAGTCGACCTGGAACTCGATGACATCGAAAGTGAACCTGCCATGACGAAGAAATATCCATCCTCCTCATCGGAAGGCATCACGTTCGGGCAAGTCACCGACCAGATCTGGCATTTCTCGTCTGTGGACTACGGTCCCCGATGTAAGTAAACATAACGACATAAAAATATAGGCACTAATGGGGGACAGATACGTGTGTCGGGTACAATACACTATTTGTAGCACCCGATGTACCCGTGGCAAATGGCCAGGACCTGCCCGAAGGCACGCGACTCTGGTCGTGGCTGATCCTGTGCGATGATGGTAGGGATTCTGGTCATATAACAGACTGCGCAGCCTGAACCCCTGCTGATTGCTGTTAGGGACTCTTATTTCGATCCAGGAAAATCCCTTCCCGCAGATCCATACGCTGGCTCAAGAAGAGCAGACCGCGGTGCTCAAAGTCGTACGACGGAATATCCAATTTATTTTCTCCGGCATCTCAAAGCAGCACGCCAACAAGTCGCAGAGCGAGTCGCTGGTGACGGTCCGAGTCCGAAATTTTCATGATGTTGGACCGGACCCGACAAACATCAAGCAGGAGGATGGGCCAAGTTTGCTGTTCTACTATCTGTTTGACGACTGGGTGTCGAGCTTTGGGCTGATCGCGAAGCGCCAGCACAAGTACGGTGTTTCTTTGGAGACATTGGTAAGTATTGCAAGCTACTGGGCCAGATTCTTGGTTTAGTTTGGTCCTCAAGACAGCTGACACCCAGATAGAGATCACAAATGCTGGATCGACCCATGGTCGACCTCGTCGATGAACTCCACTGGCTGGGACGACGGCTCGGTGTTCTTAAGCGACTATATCAGAGCTATGAGCTCATTATGCGACGCCTGCTCCAGCGACAAAGGCTGTTGCGTGACGAGGCTCGCTCCTCCAATCCTCCGCCTATGTCCTTTGGAAACACTTTTGCAGAGCCCGACTCTACAGATCTCAGGCAAGGGAGTATCGTCAGCGATGGCAATCGGTTTGGAACGAACGATAAGCCCGTCGGTGTGGCTCTGAGTTCGGCGGCGGTGGCCCGGTTCGAGCGGCTGATCGACCGGATCAATCTATATTGTTTGAGCGAGATAGACACCTGCCTTTTGGAAAAGGAGTCATTGACGTTCTTGGTAAGTGTCATTCTTTTTGAAAGACACCGTCTCGACTGTCGTCGATTTCTTATTAACACGACCCCCCTTTTCTGTTAGAACTTCAACTTGATCGCGCTCAAAGACTCCCAGGCCGTGGAGAAATTGACACGGATCACCATCTTGCTCGCCAAAGCCACCATGCTGTTCCTGCCCGTCAGTCTCATGACGGCGTATTTCTCCACGGAGCTCAATGGTGTCAAGGGCGGGTACAGCCAGGCCGAATACTGGGTGGCATTTGTGGTGATCTTTGTGGTGACCGTTCTGGTCCTGACCATCTTCGGGTACGCCAGCGACACTGTGGAAGGCAAGACGATCTATCGGTCGCTGGTGAAGACATTCTTCCGACGATCACGAGAAAGGATCACTGGACGTGGAGGACGCCGGGACTGATGCAAGAGTGTGAGTGTGCCAGATATTTGCCGATGGGAGAGTTGTGTGTACTCCGTACTTGGTACTCCCGTCTCCAAGCGTATTAGAGTTGGAAGCGCACGCGATCGCGATGGTGTCATGACGCGGCGGTGGACTCCTCGGTCCCATGTGTGTCCCGCTGTCCCACTCTCCTATTATTGGGGGTGGCCGGTGCAATGGCTTGCGGCGCATTGCAGAGCGGTATTGGCGTGCAAGGCACGAGACTGGGGCGATAAGTCGGGCACGAGCCTATCAGAGGGCATCATATGGGGGGTCATTGAATCTGGGTCGAAGGGGGTCGAGGTCGAGAAATGAGTGGGCGGGTTCAAGTGGAGGGTCCCAGAAAGCGGTGCCAAAAGAGCCAAAAGACAGGCTGGCTCTGGAGGGTACGGAGTCCTGTCGTAGTACGGTTGGTGACCAGGCCGGCCCTTCGGGGGCGAGTCCCCTTTCGCCTCTTTCCGTATTTCACGTACGGAGGACGGGCAACACCGTGTCCTCTTGGAGATCAACCACCTCGAAGTATAGGCACTGGCCAAAGTATGGCTTTTTCGAGTATCAACATAGAACACCCCATTGCACCTATTTCTTATTTTGCTGCCTACAAGCATCAACGCCTGGTATAGCCTCATCGAGGACCAACGTGGCAGTTAGCTCTCTTGTCCTGGGCATAAATACTTAAGTTCGGAGACTCCTCCAAAACCCACTCGAAGCTGCCACCCCCCAGGACAGGAAACATTACCAGCCAAGAATCCTTCTTTACCATACCATACCCGCTCCGTCCCTCCACAATCGGGACGGCGACTACGCCCACCGCCCACGGCCGTATTTTGGTATTCCCAATTCCAACCAAAAAAAACACCCCCCTCCCACTGGCCTTTCTTTCTCAAGTCAGCCTAACCTAACCTCCATCAATAATCATCATCACCACCTTCTTTCCTCTTCTCCTCTTCTTCCTCCGATCAACCCACTCTTCTCTACATCCATCCCTCTTTGCTACCGGTAAGTTCTGTGTCCAGTCGATCATCCCTGCCGCATTACTCACTGCACACCCCCCGAAAACCCACTCCCGACCACCCCTGACCGCAGAGTCCACAACACGTTTTCCCACTACCACCACCGTCCATCACCCACCACCACCCACCCCCTCTCTCTCCAATCTCCCCTTGTTCCTTCCCCCCTCCTTCGTATCTAACTCTATTTTTTTTTTGCTCCCCGCTACTAGGCTTCGAGGCTCCGTCAATATGGGTATCACTTTCTCCAGGCTGTTTGATAGACTATGGGGTCGCAAGGAGATGCGAATCCTGATGGTCGGTCTCGACGCCGCCGGAAAGACCACCATCCTGTACAAGCTCAAGCTCGGTGAAATTGTCACCACCATCCCCACCATTGGTTAGTCCGCTCCCGCCCTTGATATATCGACCATCGCCATTCAAAGAGATTCGAGGCTCCAACCCTCCCTACTCTATTCGCACGCATCCGGCGACCAAGGCTGACTGGAGAACGTGGCAGGTTTCAACGTCGAGACCGTCGAGTATAAGAACATTCAGTTCACCGTGTGGGACGTCGGCGGTCAGGACAAGATCCGTCCTCTGTGGCGCCACTACTTCCAGAACACCCAGGGTATCATCTTCGTGGTGGATAGCAACGATCGCGACCGTATTGTCGAGGCCCGTGAGGAGTTGCAGCGCATGTTGAACGAGGATGAGCTCCGGGATGCTCTGCTCCTGGTCTTTGCCAACAAGCAAGATCTGCCGGTATGTACCTGATGAGTGGTAGCTGCAACCAACTTGTATCAGATGGAATACTGATCGCGTCTCTGTCTAGAATGCTATGAGCCCCGCCGAGATTACCCAGCAGCTCGGCCTCCAGAGCCTGACCCGCCGTGCTTGGGTGAGTTTGATCCCTCTCGTTCTCCTCCGAGAGCACCTCGATCCCCGCTTCTATACAACGCTTGTTGCTTACTCCTCTGTCCTTCCCAGTTCATCCAATCTACCTGCGCCACCACCGGTGACGGTCTGTACGAGGGTCTGGAGTGGCTCGCCGACACTCTCCGGAAAACCAACCGCGACTAAGCGGGTATAATATGGTGAATGCGAGTTTCCAAATCCTCTTTTCCACTTTTTTTTCACTTGGGAGACGACTCGGGGACGGGATGCGTGTATGTAGCAGGGCGAGAGAAATACCACGACAAATCTGCAAATGATGGATTGATGATGACTACGGCGGGAGTTTCTGCGCGAGGCCAATCCCGGATGGACCAGTGAAATCTCCTCGGGGGGGGGGGTTTTTTCTTCTAGGTGCTTTGTGTGTTTGAACTGTCCACGGCTCTATTTCTCTTCGCTATGCTATTAGCCTCATTTGTGCTTTTTACTCCTGGCGCCACGTCAAAATTGCGGTTTTCTCCTTGTTAGGTCCTTGTGTATCACCATGTAATTTCTTGAGTATGCGGTGTGTTTGGGGGACTTGAAGTACTGGTGCTATGACTATGCCTCAGAATTAAGGAGTCTATTTCGATGGCCGAGTTTAACATCTTGGAGTGTAACTAGTGTAGATGTCCAAAGTAGAAAGAACCAAGTAGAAAATAGAGAGGAAAGAGAGAAGAGTATGGAGCAGTAGGAGGAGGGCTTGGGGGATATAGATTGTAGGATGGAACCATGAAGACAGATAGACTCGTGGAGAAGACTCCTTCCATTTATGATGGTAGCGATCATCGGCCAGAAGTAGCAGTGGACATGCGTAATCTCCCAGTTTGTTGGCCGCGAACGGGGTCTTGGCATTCGTTTCGTCCAGACTTTCCGTTTGTTGTGCTGCTTTCTGTTGCTGACTCGACGGAGGATTTTGTGTCCTTGATTTTGTGACACTTTTTTAAGTCGCTTACCTCCCTCTCGTGAGTGTTTCTCTTCCAATTCTAGGTCTGAGTCGCGGTGTTGTGGTGCTTCTTTTCCCCTGACGTCTCGGACCACCCCTCAAACTTGGAATTGCCTGGCCGACGGTCTGCCAACTCTCCGCGCCACTCCAGCCAACATCCACGCAGTTTGCCCTCGCGCCTCTTTTCTCAACACTCCTCCCTCCCCCTATTCTCTCCCACATTCAATTGCGCCTATTTCAACCCGTTGGCGGCGTCAGTCCTGGACGACAGATGTACTCGCGCAATTCTTGATTGAACTAGTTCCCGTTCTCCCCACACGTCAAATGTTGACGGTTCCTCGACCGGCATCATGACCGTCCAGGTTAGGAGATCCTCCACAGCCTGCAGCAAACCCTCGCCGTATTCTACACGGACACAGATGCAAGAGAGCGACGTCGAAAAGCACCCTCTCAATGCCCGTCAACATTATCACTACCACCACCATCATCATCTAAGCGATGGCGATGACGAGACGTCCGACTCCGGACCCGACCACTCCTCCACGTCCTACCCGCCACTTAACGGCGCGAGCATACGTCGCGCAAGACCACCCGTGGGCTACAGAGTGCCGCAGCGGATTATGCGATGGCTGTGCTTCGCATTGTTGGCGTCGCTCGTGCTTTTTATCCTCGTCCTCTTCCGTGTCACAATCTCCTCCTCCGTCTCGCCGGTCAACGTTGAGCTACCAAAAGTGAAACCGACCAAACCTCCACTATGGGAAAGCTTCCCGTTCTTGCAACGCTACCAGGGTGGCCTCAGCAGCCTAGTGAAGCGCAGCGAGAATGTACCTGAATACCCCGGCGACAACGCGGACGGATTATTGCTACCCGAGGAGCAAGTCGCCAATGAGGAAGCCAACCACTTGAAAAAGAGAGATTTGAAACCTCCAATGTCGAGCAATATCTTCGACCCATACCCGGATTACAAGTCTGCGGAATACATTCAGAAGTACGGTGAAAAGATCGAATGCTTCTTGGACAAGGAGGACTCCATCCGAGTCCCCGGAGTTCAGTCATACCCCGGTGTGCCCAAAGGCTTCCCGGACCCGGCAATCGGTTCTAATACCATGTTGGGAATTCGCGACGATATGTGTTTTGACCGCCTTGGCCGACTGGGGCCATATGGATTGGGATACGGAGTCAAGAAAGGCGGCAGCGGGGCTGGACTGGAAGGCCACCGCGATGGAGCTGAGCGTGTCTGGGAAGATGTGCCGCCTGTGGATTTCCGCCATGTGGACTGGGCTGGTGCCCAGCAGCGCTGTCTGGCGGCGAATCGCCATCGTTTTAAGGACTCAACCGAGCCACGTCTGAACCGATTTGTCTCGATGCCTGTGGGCGTACCCAAGATCAAAATTCCAAGTACCGAGGACGACCGCAAGACACAGCCCGAGGTTGGGTCGGAGCGCTTGTCTCGAACTGCGATTGTCATTCGTACCTGGCATGACTTTAACTATACCCCGGAGGACATTCTTTACCTTCGCTCGGTGATTTCCGAGCTTGCACTGATGTCTGGCGGCGAGTACATCGTGCACTTCCTCATCCACGTCAAGAACAACGATCTTCAAATCTGGTCGGATGACGAGACCTATGAGAAAGTGCTCAACGACGCCCTTCCTGAGGAATTCCGAGGCATGGGCACGCTCTGGACTGAAGCCCAGATGTCTCTAATGTACCCCGGCCTGGAGGAAACGTTCACACGTGGCCTACCCATTCACGGTGTCTACCGCAGCACTTATATGCCACTGCAGTACTTCGCCTACCAGCATCCAGAGTATGATTACTTCTGGAACTGGGAGATGGACGCTCGCTACACTGGCCACTGGTACCACCTGTTCGACAAAGTGGGCGACTGGGCGAAGCAGCAGCCTCGCAAGGGGATCTGGGAGCGCAATGCGCGCTTCTATGTACCCTCGGTGCACGGATCGTGGGAAGACTTCCGTCAAATGGTCCGCGTGCAGACTGAGATTGGTACTAACAGCCCGAATAACATGTGGAGCATGTACAAGGCCAGCTCTGAGAGTTCCGAGAAGAACTCACACGGTCTGCACCAGCAGGGTGACAAGACCATCTGGGGTCCTGAGCGACCCGACGAGCCGGACATTTTCGAGGTCGAGGGCGAGGGAATCCCGCCGACCACCGTGGAGAAGGATCAGTACCAGTGGGGTGTGGGCGAAGACGCGGATCTGATCGTTTTCAATCCGCTGTATGACCCCGAAGGCACTACATGGCTGCTTCGCGACGATGTGACTGGATACAACCGTGAGAATGGGATGCCCCCGCGCCGCACGGCTATCATCACTGCTTCTCGTCTGTCCCGCAAGCTTCTGACTACCATGCACCGCGAGACCAGTCTCCGCCACCACAGCATGTTTTCGGAAATGTGGCCTGCCACGACGGCGCTGCACCATGGCTTCAAGGCCGTCTACGTTCCGCATGCCGTCTACGTCGACCGTCGCTGGCCGACCCGCTACCTGGAATCTGTGTTCAATGCCGGACGCAACGGCGCGTCTGGTGGTGCCCGCACATCCGTCTTTGGCGATCGCGAGCATAACTTCAAGGGAACGACCTGGTTCTACTCTGCCGGCTTCTCGCCTAATCTTTGGCGCCGCTGGCTCGGTCTTCGCGTCGACAATGACGGTGGTGAACAGCAGGAGCTGGCTGGCGAGGGTCGCTTGTGTCTGCCCCCCATGCTCCTACACCCTGTCAAGGACGTGCAGATGGTGATTGATGACGGAGCGCATGCGGAAGATCGATGAAGAGACGCAGCAGAAGCAGAGTCAAAAGCAGCTCTACCGATCTTGCCCAACTCTTACGATTGCACAAATGCAAAAGCGACAGAACAAATGCGCATGAATATACCCACCCCCTCCCCGTTTCCCATCCCCGATTCTTCCTATTGCATGGTATGGTTGGGACACTGCTTTATCTCTCGCATAGTTGCGCTTTGCATTACTTTTACCCCCTCCCCCCTTCTCCTGTATAAAATGTCTCCTCGCCACACCATCATATACTACCTCCTTCTATCCCCGTGCTATACGTTTGTCTTATTCTGTGGGCTGTTTCCCCCCTTTCAGCTTTTACGTGTAAAGAGAGGCGTTTTACTTGTTCCGGTGCAATGGCCTTGGAGCCGGCCATGGCTGTCATGATGCATTTCCCTTTTATCCTCTGATGTCCCAATGTGAATGTTTTTCCTTTGACTCGTTCTGTCTTTTGCCGGTCTCGTAATTAGAGGTTTTATAGATCCTGATATCCAAGTCCGTTGGCTGTTTTCCCTTTTACTTCTGGGTTGAGGTGGAGGGGATTGGGGTTGTCTAGGCGTATATACTATATTGTACCCTATCCTTGCTGTCTAAGTAATGGACTCGATTACATGGAAATCCGATATTGGATAATATTGATCTGTCTTTGAAGGTCGATGATTTGTATATCCTCCATACATGAACAGGAAGATACAATGCAGATACCGCTAGAACGCAACCAATCCCCAGATAAAAATCGCAAAACACCTCCCAATCTATGAGATATCTGGTATCTCCCATTTACTTCGGACAAACCAAAGGCGTCACCATCCCCTTCGCCCTCCCACCACCACCACCACCAACCAATCTCCTCGACACACTCACAATCTGCTCGTTACAACTCCTCTGCCCGACACGCCCACCCCAACCCCCACCGGCGCCCTCTCCCTCCCCCTAACTATAAGCTGCGCCGGCCGAAAACAGATACTACACTCATAAACCCCCTCCCCATCAGTCCCAAACCCCAAACAAGTCCGACAAACCCGGTGTCCGCATTTCGTCAGCAATACCTCCACACCACCAGACTGCCCGTCCACGACACAAGTATGGCAGAAGTGCGTGGGGAACGCGATAGAGGTGTTGTGCATGCGGCGCTCGATTTCGGAGGCGAGTTCTTTGCCCTTTTCGACGCGGGCGCGGAGCAGGTGTACTTTTGCTTGCAGGGAGTGGAGGGTTTTTCTGGTGATGGTGGTGGGTGGTTTGGTTAGGGTTGGGACTGGTTCGAGGAGGATTACTGGGCGGAAGCGGCGCGAGACGGGGAGGTCTTGCATGGCTTTTTGTTCGAGTTGGAAGCGTCGGTGGAGTTGGCGGTTGAGCAGGACGGTGAAGTAGATTTGGAGGGCTTGCCAGGCGCGGTATTCGGAGATCGGGTCGAGGTGTAGAAGGGGTGGTTGGGTTTTGGGGGTTTGGTTGGTTGGGGACATGGTGGTTGATTTATTGATTGGCTAAAGGATGAGATTGAGATTTGAGGATTGAGGATTGGATGTATAGTTCCTTTGAGAAGTGGTGTATATGGACCAGTATAGAGAGAAGATACGTTTCGTGTACTTCGTATACTTCTTCGTATTGGAACGTGAGAATTGAGAACCTGAATGACTTGAGGTGATCAACCGCACTTGAGACCTCTTAAATAGACACTTGATCAACCCAAGAATATCAAAAAAAACCCCTTGAAGAAACGAAGATTTTGTCGGAAGAGTTTCGGCCGACGAAGTCGAGCCTCGGCAGAGCTAAGCTTCCCCAGCCAAAAAAGGCAAATCTCTATCGAGTTCTGACCACCGAACAAGTGCAGACCAAGACACTCTCTCCTTCACTCATTATTCTCCCGGTAGCGAACGGAGCTCCCCGTGACGTCGACAATGTCTGGAACCAAACTCCTGTTTTTGCTTGCTCTCTTCGATACGATAGGCTGGCTCGGAATCTCCGACTAGTCAACCCTGGTTCACAGATCAATCGTCGGGAACCCGTCGCCGCCACCCGTGCTGTTCGGCCGACGGAGATATCCATGAAGATTGATTGAAGATGGGAGCTTTGCGTGCGACCGTTCAATTGTTTGAAAGGGCCCGGGGAGAAGTCTGAGTATGAAGGGGGGAATGAACTGCGAGGATGATAGTTATCTAAGCATTGATCAGCCTTTAGACCGAGGTTCATGATTAGAGATCTGATCATAATGTTATTGTCAGTTTCTAGGCCGAGGTTCTCAGTTGAAGTTAAAGTTCTAGATTGAAAATTGTGAAAACCGACCTTCCAGATGGAGTTTGGCCATGACCCGACATCCTGGAATCGAAGCCTTAGTACTATCATAGTCATAGTTCTATATCTCAATGTATAGTTTAGCTATCAGTTTCCCTTTTGGGAGAATTTGCCAAGCAATGTCTAAGAATTGGCATATTTCCAATGTCTCATCCTCTATTGGTTGTAGTCTGGCTCTCTATCTCTTGTAAACAGTTCGTCGGCGCAGTCTAGGTCGACTCTCGGCGTTGATTCTTTCCTTCATGTCATCATTGTCTTCTGGTCCATCACACTCCCACTGGATGATCGAGACCCCCTGGAAATGAAAGGTATATTTCACCTCAAGCGCATTTAGTCTCTCAGTCGGGTTTGCTGGAAGCCCCCTGGCATAGATCACATATCCCCCCATCTCTTGCTTGCGATAGAACGGTGTAAGATGTAACAAATAGGCCGATTGATGCGCCTCTTTGTCTCCATCTATGGTGACATCGTGTACTTCAATTCGAGTATTGAACTCGCCGGTACTTCCTCCCGACAGGCCAAAAACCGTCCTCCCAACTGACGCGGCTTGGTTTCCTGCGGGTGGTGCATCTCGGCGCGTCTCCATGACATATTCCCGGTCATATCTCGGATCTGATGGATATCTCGGAATGAACGCCACCGTGCCCGACTTTGTTCGTTGTCCAGTCTCCGAAAATCGAGCGAAGGTCCACTTCCCATGCAAAGCCCTAAATACGGCTAGCGATGCCACCGCTCGGGACATGGGGTGTTCTTGATGTGAGATAATTTGCAAGCTATCCAACGAACACCGTACCTCGCCATGGTCCTTTTCATGTGTATACCGAGCAGGTACAACCGGCCCAGCCGGACTCTCATCGTCAGAAAAAGCTATCCGCTCGATATTCAGATCCTTGGCAAACGTCTCCATTAATCCCACGTAGTCACCCATTGGAAACTGTGCACGGTGAACCTCCGCATCGGGTTGTCTTAGAATTCGAAGATTTTCTCTCTGATCCTTGGTATGGCTTTCCGCCTGAATGGCATAAGGGTGCTCTACGGCCCATACTTTGCCCAGGAATCTCGCTTGCATTTCCATGACGCCCCAGTAGGGACCGCGGTAGAATCCGACAAATCCCAGGTCTGGGATTTCTGAGCGTAGCGTGCCGCCTTTATCAAGGATGAGTGGTAAAAATGGATCGGAAGTGGTGTACTCCAAGGTAGATAGGACGTCTTCGGGCAAGAAAGATAGTGAATCAAATGGCGTGAATCCCGTAGCCATCACGATCGAGGTCACATCCTCCAGAACGCGGTAACCTTCATCGGTCTCGATCTCAATCGAGGCAATTCCAGTATCAGACTGCGAATGTATCGAACTGACTCGGCCCATTATGGGTTGTATCACTCCAGCTCGGACAAATTCTGGGTATTCATTTCCTATTGCTACCCATTCTGGCTGAGAATTTGCTTTCGCCGAGGGAAATTGTTTCTGCGAGTGTCCGTATCTTTCGTGCTCGGCGCCAAGTAGGGATCTGAAGTAACCGTTTGTTTTCGCAATCTGCTTTTCCGACAGAGGGCCTATGCCGTACTCTATCGGGCCTGGTGGCCGGCGACTCAGGTCATACATTACCAAATCCAGCGGCAAGAAAGAGACGGTAAGCTCGGAGGTCTCATAAGGGAGATAGGTGGGTAAAGTCCAGAACGGCCGGGAATGTATGTGGTAAACCTTGTGGTCGCTTTGCGCGCTATCAGAAGCAGGATCCGTCGAAAGGCGCAATGAAGATTCCCGCAGGGCGAGCGCAGATGCGGCTTCGACTCCTGACATACTCCCGCCTATCACGACAGTGTGTCCTCGTGGTGTAGTCTCTTTATTCGCAGTGGGAGAACTGCGGCCTTTTTCCAGTGCTGAGCTATGGATGACTTGACCCGTGAAATGCTCTAGTCCCGGAAGCGCTGGAACATACGGACGAGAAAAGTAGCCGGACGCAACAACAAGCAGGTCAAAATCTTCGGACTCAATCTTGTTGGTTTGTTGAGTTGTTTCTTGGCTGTCCTTCTGGGTACTAATCGAACAATGTCAGTCCTGAGCAAAATCCTTCCAATAATTCATGAGTATAGCACTAACCTCCCTCTAATCCAAGAGACTCTCCACCTACGAGAGGCATCCGCCCCTACCAAACGTTCCGTTCTAACAACCCGATATCCCAGCCTTAGCACATCCGCCGGGATATACCGGTTGGTATAGGCAGCCAGATATTGTCCAACCTGTCTCGCTTGTGGAAACATCGGAACATCCAACCGGCCCAAAGCAGATTCCCACGATAAATCAGAGAATGCCACCGTAAACCGACTAAGATTAGTCCTCATGCAGGGGTCTAGCGTCCCTGGTGAACCTGTGGGTTGTCGGGCGCTTCCCTCGGGCGATTGGTTGGGCCATAGGCCTCCGACTTCATGGCGGGCGTCAAATATGGTCGGTGAGTATGTACCCCGGGGCCAGTTATGTAGCAGCGTCTTTGCAGTGACAAGTCCTGAGGGCCCGGCTCCTAGATGTGGAAGACATATTAGCGGGATCGTTCAAGATTAGCGGAGGTGTAGGTCGGGTTCTGACCGATGATGGCGACTTTCTTCTCTCGCATGGTGAACACAGAGCCCCCTCTGACGCAGATTTATCATGCGTGGTAAGGATAGAGCGAGATGTGATGTTTGACAGGGCTGATATTGATGGTAGATACCTTCTGCCCAACTGGGTTAAGTCTTCCCCGCGGCGGGGCAGACTGGCAGACGGAGTATCCATGGAAAGTTCACGTCCATCTCATCAGCCATACTTGGAAAGGAAAATCAAGAAAGAAATAATACCTGGGCTATCTAGAAAGACGTTTCAAAAGACAAAGGGTTCTTTTGAAAACCCTCTAGTCGAAGCGTAGTAAGCCGGTCTTTTTTCATAGTCTGTAGTTTTAGACTTTTGAACTGCAACTGTACCCCGAACGTGAACAAGATGATAGAGCTATAACCTTGAGCGACCGTGACATAGCTACTTAGATCAAGTTCAAATACGGAAGATGAGACTGTCATGCAATAGGCGATTGACCTATTCGCTATCAGCCGCCACTCTTTGGCATCGACGACAATAAAGCGATGCGAAGCCAGACGAGACACTTGGCATCGGTACCCACCTACTTTCCATCATTCTCTGCTGCATGCTGCGATGCCAATAATCAAGTAGTTCACTTTTTATGAGTCTTCTCGAACACATCCTTGTTTTTCCGCGAGTGGTAGTTGGTAGGCCGACTCAGAAGTAGGATAGCCTGCTATCGATCAAACTTTGGAAGGATGAAATGTCCATGCTTTGTACGTAATGTACGAGGAAGCTAGAAATCAAGGGTAAATTTGAATTATTAATTATTAATTATTATTTCTATATCTGATGATGATCGCAATGAGACAACACTCAATGCCAGAAGCGATTGAGCCCAGGAAACAATCCCTGTGTCGTCGGTCTACTCCACTGATCAATTAGAATCAGACCAAAGAGGCGCGGGTGGTCTTGGGTTACCTTATGATTGCCAAGATCCCTGCTCATGCCTTGGCGTTTGTATGCGGCGCCGCAATACCGACGGCAGCAGGCCGTCTCGGCATGCATAACTGTTTTCCAATGCACCTTGCGCCATGACATGACTGCCAAGGCGTTGCCAAGCCAAGGGGGATACGAGACGATGATACCCTTCATTTGAAAGGGAGCCATGGAATACTGGCACATCCATGATGCCTTCATTGGACCACTGTATCTGAACTATCCCTCGGGGCGTCCTGCACAGACACAAAGTTTGCGTCTGGGTGGTGGACTTGGCGGACAGGAAGCGGGCGTGCGGGCTCACGCATCTCGAAGAGTCGAGAAAAAGCCTAGTCGAACTCTACTCGGACCAACAGCCGAGTTGGAGTTTCCTGCAAATGGCTCGATCAAGAAACATGTTGGAGCCATTCGACGACCTGGATTTCTGGAGTTCGCTGATTGGGTCGGCAGGCCTCGTTGCATTCTTGCTCCGTCACGAAGTTATCCACATTCCGATGCGTGAGGGGAATTTTATATTGATTCTTTTTGCGGAGGAGCTCTTTCTCGGCAAAGGCGGAGGGGGAGAGCTTGGAGAGAGTGTTGCGCAGACGTCGAATCCCGCCGTTGGGAAACGAGCGAGTGACTTGGGGTGGTCCGAATGGATTGTCGTTTCGCCACGGGACTTCAGAGGCAAGGGAACGAGAGTGTTTGTTGCGTGAGGAGCGAGGGCTGGCCATGGTGATGGAGGTTGTCCAATATGTAATAGGATGAACTGATAGGGAAGTCCTTGATCCTTTTGAGCACAACAGGAGACGGACTGGGGGAGATGGTCAGTTAAGTAGATGGGGTAGATGAGGGCAGATGGTGGGGGGGGGAGGGTCAGTGCTGAAAATATCTCCGCGGGCACGCGCGCGGGTCGCAGGCTGATTGGACTGTGGCATTCGAATCCAGTAGTTTAAGGTGTAGTAAGTGGGTTCTCGAGGCCCTCTCACGGCACACACATGCCGGACCGCGCTATGCGATAGGGCACCGGACCTGGCTGGCACTTCTCAAGGCGGATTCGAGGGTTGGCGTGTACCACATGTTCTAGAGTTTTGCCTGGGCAAGCCCGTGGGCCCATTTTGCGTCGGATTTCCCCTCATCCTGTATGAAGTAACCTTTGACAGTCAATGATTGTGTCCCCTCTGCGTTGATTGCTGTCAGTTACGTCATCTCGGAAGAGCGATGCCGATCCAGTAACTGCTGTGATTGGATGGAGCCTGGGGATCCATGCTTCCCCATATATGGATGGAGGAATCAGTATTCAGGCCAAGACGATGATCGCAGCGGTAAGACCTGTAAGACCAGGATGGTACCTGGCTGTGGAAGGCTTGGTTTGATACGATCTCCATGATGCCTGTTCAGTCTGTCGGTCAGCGACAAGTGCTGTACGAATAATGGGGCCCCGCGTCGTGTGTTGAGCGGCTGGCGCATCTGACAGTGGATCCGAAACGCCTTGAAGGCCCCGCTTGGAAAAGATGTTCAGATAGACGAGCGCCCTCAGCGATTGATTTGCCACAGATTAATGCACTCGCCGATTAATCCCGCAGTGAAATGCAGCAGATCACAGCGCCACAAATTTGCTATTTGTGAAGCAAGACGACATTCGGAATACTTGTCCGAGGCGTATTTCATCCCACTGGGATTTGATTGGTGTATGCACGCTCATCGGGTTCTGATGCCCAAGTGCATCCATAAGTAGTGCAGAGGCACACGAGGTTCAACCTTGTTGGCCAGGATTGATTCCGACTAGGACATGTGAGTGGCTCATCGATAAGCATTCTCGTATTCAACTGCCTCGTTGGGGATTTTCTTGCGGCTCTTCATCGTTTGACAGGTTGGCGCTTCCCCGCCACTTAGTCTCCCAAGTTTGTTCGGCGCTTCTACACCCTGGACACCCTGGACTCCTGCCCTGCGGCTTGTGCCTCCACACCGCTTGCTCGGTGCTTCTTCACCCTGAGCTAATTACCAGCGGCTTGTGCCTCCACACCGCTCGATTTGGATGGGGTCAGCGTCGTAGATCGTGAGTTGCATCCAAAAGAGCGTCAATTTTCCAAATGATGAGAAGAGCACATGCATGTCATTAAAGTTGCGTTGACCATCGAAGTGATCGTATTAAGCTCGGCTGGTGAAATGGGCGGAGCAGACTTGAGACTAGGTGCCCGTGGTAGATTATCTCAGAGCGCGCTGCAGAGGAGACGTCTGAGAGAGATCCTTCCCCACAGTGATCTTACTTGCTGACCTCATGTGGGAAAATGATGAGACCGGAGTTGATGTAGGCATGAAGCTACCAGCAGCTCGTTAATGTGCGGATCTGTTAAAAGCGTGTCAATATCGGCCTGTCAACCGAGCCCTTCACCTCGTAATAGATACGTCTCACAAGAGATGAAGCCTTTGAGGATCGAGGCGAGTCATATGTCCAGCTAGTGACGAGATGAAAGATAGAAGAAGATAGGATGGTATGAAGTAGGATGGTGATGATGAGATGATGTTGTGGTTGTGGGGAGGTGGAAAGAGGACGAAGTTTGGAGAGATGAGATGAGAGACAAGAACCGCGTCAGGTAAACAAGCTGGAGCGTAACCCCCCCCCCCCCAAGAGAAATGTCAAACAATCCCAAATCGGGCAATCACTGATCTCATTAATTCAAACTAACTTGACTATCATACTCTCCCTCCTGCCACAGCTAGTACGTGAATCTGAAACTCGGATGATCATCGCCCAGATTGCTCAGCTCCTCCTGAGACCACTCATACCGGTGATTTCTCTTCCCGGCATCTCTCAGACGATTCTCTCGCACAAGCCAAGCAAAGAAGAATGTACAGGCAAATCCACAGATCCAAACCATCCCCAGACTCACGCCAAACCCGGTGTGATACGTCGGGGCCTCCGAGTCAAAGAAGATGTTACTAGCCACCAAGCCACCACAATTTCCGAAACCGATCTGCATCGCCGAGGCAATCGATTGTTTATAGTGACCAGCCATGTTGTTACTGAGCCAGCCCATTAAGATTGGCTGTGTCATGTAGCCGCCTCCAGTAATCGCATACAGGGCGAAGTACCGGGCTCCGACGGGGACTGATTGCTGACAGATGAGGATCGCGTAGCCGACTGTTGCAATGAGACATCCGCATATCGTAAAGGCAAACCGGTGGCGGAGTCGATCGCTGACGAAGGCAGTGACCAGGGCAATGACGGTTGCCACGAGATAGATGGGAATACTCATGACCTGAGCGCGCATCGAAGTCCAGCCTAATTGCTTCAGGATGGTCGGAGTGAAGAAAGAAGTGGCATATCCAGTGTTTACAATGCCGAAATACATCAGCGGACTACGTAGGTTAGCAGTGATTCTCGCGATGAAAATTCCGAGGATGCACTAACCCAAGGTAGATCTTGATATCGCGGACAACTCGTCCCCTGGCTGCACGATCTAGTCGGTCCATACGGGCTTCTCCTCGATCTCCCTCGAGCCGAGTAAGCAGCAGTGCACGCTCTTGATCGGTCAAGAAACGTGATTTCTCGGGCCAGTCCACAATGAGGAATTTGGAGATGACGGCAGTGACCACAGTGACAAGGCCTTCAATGATGAAGATCCAGCGCCATCCGCTATATCCTGCGACTCCGTCCATCTTCGCAATGGCGTAAGCCAGGAACTGTCGTTCAGTATTTAGTTAGCATTCAGTCCCTGCGTCCCCGAAGAGGTTGCTAACATACTCCGCTAACTGCGCCAGCTAGAATGCTGGCACTGAAGAACACATTCAAGCGCCACTGCAGCTCATGGCGCTTATAGTACATCGCAATGATATAGATGCATCCTGAGGGGCGTCAGTATGATTGAAATAGAGGTTTCCTTTGATTAAACAATTACCCGGCATAAATCCAGCTTCGAAAACCCCCAGCAGGAACCGACACGCAACCAGTCCTCGAAAACTCTGAGTGAGTCCCTGGCAGATGGTAATGATACCTGTCATCCAAGAGATTTGTATCAGCATATATCATGCACAGTCACCCAGACAAAACATACCCCATACAAACATAATCCCGCTAATCCACCACGACGGCGCAATCTTCTTCAACAACAAGTTACTCGGAACCTCGAGGAGAATATACGGGATAAAGAAAATGAACAACGCAAGGTTATAGTCATGATTCTTCATGTTCAAGTCCTTCTCGAGACCCTGCAGTCGAGCATTGCCGATATTGATTCGGTCGAGGAAAGCGAGGAGAAAGAGGAACATAAGGATAGGAACGACATGGATATCGAGCTTCCAGAGGAGACGCTTCTCGGCGGAGCGATCGATTTCGGCGAGAGTATCTGACTTGACATGTTCGATCGTTTTGTGATCGCCTGCTTTTTCAAGTCCCTCCATTTGGACCAAAGAGATTGAAGACACGGAAATGGGTTCTTAGTCGTATAGATGTCCTAGTTTCTGCTTACAGGCTACTCAATAGGGACTGTTGGGGTCCCTAGGGGAAATGTAATGAAGCCTGGCCCAATTGCTGACAATAACTGTGCGGAGCAAGGCAGGAAAAGTGGCAAGCTGCGATTTAAATACGATCTGCACACGCTGGAACTTCCAGTCTCTGCGAGCAAGCTGACAGGGAGTGTTGGGCCGCGGTGATCCCCTTTCCCCCGCACGTTGCTGATAGCCTGCATTCCGCTGGATACATCCAAGACCCCCTTGATTCCGCTAACCAAGACGCCAAGGAAACTCGAGGCTTGGCTGGTAAGAGTATGTATTTGCTCTCCATTGTTTAGTTGTAGGTGAATGAGCATGAAATCATATGCACGAAAGTTGAATGTGGCATGGTTCAAATGCCACAGGACTGATGCAAGGTTGATGAGAATGGAACTGGGAGGACACTGACCGTTAAACCAGTTGAACAGACCGAGGGGATCCGTACCTAATCTGCAATGATTATGTTGAGGCGGAACCCCATTCCGCCATCCAGGGCTAGGCCGTGGGGCTAACACAGTTAATGAAGATAAAATCCATCTGTCTCATCGTCTCAGTCTCTCTCGAGGCCGGGAAATAGCCGTTCACTGGTGGGGGTCCAACCGTCCAAGAGACTCGGCATTCCCCCGGCCCCGGTTACCCCGCTTCCCCAGAGATCTACAGTTTCCCGTTCAAGTGGGCGGAGCTGCTTGATATCTATATTGTTGATAATACTTGGACATGTTGCCAGAAGAATGTAATCAGTTGTATTGGTAGTTCAGATCAAATTGCAAGCTCGAAGATGACGGGCAACACGGATTGCTAATATTCTAAGAGCCAATATTCTTTCGCAGCGCGGGTGCCAGCGGGAATACCTGTTCCTCCTCAGTCACATCTTTATAAACCGTATCCCAACGGTCCTGGAGCGGTTCAGGCGTGAGCCATGCATTCTCCGGGTCTCGAAGCCACAGGCGAAGCAGATGACGTCTAGTATAGTTAGCACTATCCGATAAAGAGTGACGGAAAGAGAAACGAACTCTTTGCCGGGTTGATCGTGAAACCCATTCCGCGCGTGGAAAATGCTTAGGTTATTGACGTATTGGACATCACCTTTCTGGAACCCCAAAGACGCGCGATGCTTTTCCGCCAGGAAGTGCAATGTGTCTAGAGCTTCGGCCTGGGCTTCGCTGATGGGAGGTATATTGGTGGATCGAGGCTGGGCGAGGAATCCGGTAAAGTATCGACGGGCGTATTGAATGAGCACACGCTCCGGGCTGGTTTCGGTCGCCGGCTGGTGGTATAGGAGAGGACGAAGAGTGTATGGCTTGTCCGGGTTACCAAACCTGGACGGTTAATTAGCTCTGAATATATTCCCAGGTTGGACCTCCATCACTGTGCATACCCATCAATCGGCCAGTCCTGAGAAAGGGTATGGATCAAATCAGGTCTTTCTCTGGCGAGAATATTGTACACATTCCAGCTGCTTGAAAGGTAGCTCTCGCCCCCTTCGGCCGAGGGGCTCAGGCAGAGAAGAGAGATGATATCTCCAGCATCGGTATGGAAGACCTGCTTATCAGCCGTATTGGAAGGTGCTCCGATCTTTTCTGCTTCCACAGTGTTTGTGATGTCTTTAATATGCGAGATCACCGGGGACTTTCCATTCTGCAGTCGAGTGTCCTGTTGGCGACCGCGAATATTTCCGATATGAGAAGATACGCCGGTATAGATGATAATGTTATCCTCTCGGGAGTAATCATCGATTCGCAGTCCACGGAGTACAAAGAAGCCTCGGCCATGATGGATTTCTTTCGAGAGATCCCTCAAGACTGGGCGGAGAGTTGGCAGTGGGAATGTTGACTCGTTAATGTATCCCAAGGGTTTATTCAGAGCTGCATGACTGACGATGAGGATTGTGTGCTTACTTTAGACCGACATCCAGGCTCTTACCTTTGAAGCTCTTCAGTCCTGCATCGATCTCATCCAGTTGTTCATCGCTCAGCTTGTAGATCCAGTCACTCCTGTTTTCAATGTCCTTCCCCTCCCAGACGAGTGGAGACGTTAACTTCTGAGGAAATCCTGCAGGTAGACTAGTTTGCAGTGACTCCGTCTCTTTACGAAGGCGTGTTCGAGCTTGATATTTCACATAGTCAGGATGATATTGAATGTCAGGCTGGACGGGTTGAGTGATGGTCACAGTAGCAGACATGATGACTTTGGATGATTGTTGAAGAGGGGTAAGATGATGTTCAGAAGATACGACACTTAAATATGTAGCGTTACATAGTCCTACCACTCACGTTATCAACCTTGTTACTCGCGCCATATTCGACTTCGGTGGAGTGTTGATCGATTCAAATGTCATCATTTGCTGTCTTTTGCGACATAGGCCCCACCCACGACGAGCTCATGCACATCCATACATTGTGATTGATAAGCAAGAATGGAGAGGCTAAATATATTTCACAATAATGGATATAAAGAAGAACAGGCTTGCGAAGTTCCGCCGGCCTAGCTTCGATGGATTTTCCACTACCGAACTATATCACACTGCATGGCACGATAATTCTGTAGTTTATCATAAATTTCAATCCATAAGTCTCATTTTTCATGTCAAGTTTGAGACAAAATTTCAACATTTCAACGAGCAATCGTGTTCATGCTCGATCTCACTTGTAGAGACAGTACTTCTCAACCTGGACCCGCCCGTATAGGACTCACCAGACCGTTGTTCAGCCTCAATTCTAGATTCCTACTCAGACTGCAATTACCGAATATCTTATTTTTTTTTCCAATCCCCGAATTATCCTGGAACTTCTCCACCGGGCTTGTCGCTATTTGATGCCTTCGAGCCCACGACTTCCTTGACAGTCGCGACTTCAAAGTCAAAGATGATCGCCCCCTGATCTGTCATAAGAAAGTTGTACCTGTTGAGGTCACCCTGAAGGACCCCGCATTCATAGAGAAGTCGAATGGTTTCCGGCATTCATCAAGATCTTCTTCGCCGGGCGTTCTTCCCAAGACGTCCTCCATCAAGAAACCCACTGTTCGATCCCTCGTTTCTTCATAAACGTATCCAAGCGCTTGAGGGGCTAGGGAAAAGCTACGGGATGCCAAAATTGCGTACGTTACAACTTCCTGTTGTAAGGCTGGAACCTCAGATTGAAACCGGACGATTTTCAAAACGCATGATTTATCATCCAGCACCACTCGGGAGACACGATCGCTAATCTGAGAGCAAGGTATGAGCTCTAGGATATTAACGAATGTTGCATCTTGGCCACCAATAACCGTGGTGTCGAAGGAGTGTGGCACAAATTCGTCAACGATGGTTTCAATTACACCCTCTGGGCCCATCCGAACGGTAAGAGTTGTCCAAGCTTCATTCCACCTTGGGGCGTTTTTCAGATCTGAGAGAATGAGGAAGCCATCTGTTTGTTCCCCAGAGGGAATTATGTTCTCGTGTAGCACTGAGACGTACAAATCCGAGATCCTTTTCGAATTGGATACAGAAAGTCATTGTCCTCTAGATCGAGTGACAGAACTTCCTCGTTCCCCGGCATTGTGAATATTCAAGGCACGGAGTGATTTCGGACTGTAGAAATCTGTCGAAAAGTTGTAGGTTTGATGATATCTGAAATATGATGCCAATTAGCTCGAGGCTAATATTATCTTCGGGGAGACAAATGTTGATCAGTCTCACTGGAGGATCGGATAAAGGTTGCACCCGAAGACTGTAACAGTTGGAAACAATGGTCAGCGGGTCATCTAGGTGCACAAATAGAAATAACAATAGGTCTGCCTTGCTATACGAACCTGTATACACGTCGGCCTCGGGAGGAGACTAGAATAACTAGATCGATTTGAAGAAGAATGAACGAGGCCAACGAAAAGGGCTTGGAAGGAGACGCTAAAACGACCACTCAAAAGACAGGAACCCACTAGAACCCATGATGAAGAGGGGTCTAGGTGCATGCCGCCCAATAAGAAGTCGTGAATAAGGTAGAATCAGATAAAAACACTATCTCAAATCGCGCTCAGCGCATGTATTAAAACTGGCAATCCCCTATATAAGCCCAGCAATAAATCATCTCCAATCATAATTTTCAAACAAGAAATAAAGCGGCGTCCAGCCACTCTCCATATGGTCGTACATGTCCATTACTTGCGCTCAACATTCTCAACAGTAACCGATCCAGGCTTCTCATTCACTTCGTGATGAGCCTCAACAGCCACAGCCTTCTGGTGAGCAAGAACCTCCTCGCCCTGTGCGACGTGGTTGGCACCACCGAAGAGAGTATCAATCTCCTCGAGGGTGACCTTCTTAGTCTCAGGGATGAAGAAGAAGACAAAGACAGACAGCAGGAAGTTGATACCCGCAAAGAAGTAGAAGGCGTAGAACCCATCGTGGTCAAGGAAGATGGGGAAGAACTGCTGGAAGATGGTGTTGGCGACGTTCTGGGTCTGCGAGGCCATACCGACGGCTTGGGCGCGAACGTTCATGGAGAAAATCTCGGACGTCCAGATCCAGACGGTTGCACCCCAAGATGGCTTGTCTGTGAGATTGTTAGGTTTGTGTTCTAGAGGCTATGAGGGATAAGGTACTCACAGAAGAAGATGAATAGGAATAGCAAGAACACAATCGCGATACCGACAGGTTCGGATTTAGCCCCGTTCGCCCCGGTCGGTGTCTCTGTTTCGACGGCAGAAACGATGATCATGCAAATTCCCATACCAATGCCACCGGCAATCAGAAGAACCTTTCGTCCAAAGCGATCGACAATCCACATGGCATTCAGGGTGAAGAGGATACCACAGGTAGCGTTGAGGGCATTGATAAGAGCAATCTGGCTGCTGCTAGTGAAAATCTTGGAGTAGATCTTGGTCGAGTAGGAGTTGAGCGAGCCCTGGCCAGTAATTTGCTGACCAGCATTGAGGATCAAGGCCAGGTACATGCGCTTGCGGAGAGACTTATCCTTCCAAAGGGCACTGTAGTTGCCGGAGATAGCTTCCTTCTCGTACTCGATGGCCTCGCGGATTTGCAAAATCTCGTCCTCAACCTCCTCTTCAGTATCACGCACTCGTCGAAGGGCGGCACGGGCCTTCTCAATGTTGTTACCATGCTTGATAAACCTTGGCACTGTCAGTAGTATTCGCAACGTGCTGTCTGAAATAGTGACTTACCAACGAGGGCTACCAGGGATGGTTGGGAGGGTCACGAGGATCAGAATGGGAACCAAAAGCTGGAAGATGACAACCAGCTTCCAATCCCACTCACCCAGGCTGGCCTTGTGCTTGGTGCATCCGTAGTTGATCCAGAAGCAGATGAAAGATCCAACCGAGTAGAACATCTGCCAGAAGGTCATGATCTGTCCACGGATCTCAGGAGGAGCCAGTTCGCCGATGTAAATAGGACCGGCCGCTGTTCGATGTCCGAGTCAGCATCCACTTCGCAGGCATGGACATGATCAATTAGTCTCGACTTACTCAAGGCAATACCCTGACCAATACCAATGAGGACACGACCAGCGATGAAGCACGCCAGGCTGTGATAAGGGGCGAAGGCCTGCAAGAACGTGGCAATGATAACCAGGACACAACCCGTCGCCATTCCGACCTTGCGGCCGAGGTAGTCGGCAATGGGACCACCGCAGAAGAAACCTCCAAAGATAGCACCAACAGTATAGGCGGTATTAATGGATCCGATCAGGTTGGCATTAGGGTTATCGAACCAAGCCACCCAATTCTTGGAGCCCTGAACGGAGTTGAATACGGACGCATCGTACCCGTACAACACCATGCAGGCTGCTGCGACCAAAGAAACGAACCTGAAGAATGGTTCTCAGAGGATGATTCCGAATGTTAAGATCTGAGTGGATTTGACATACCAGTTGTAGGCTCTCTTAGAGCTAACCCGAACAGTCATTTTGACGAACGTAGAATAAGCTCAATCCACTATACAGGCCGGGGGATGTTTAGAAAACAGCGTTGTCGACGCTGGACACCAGGTGACTGTGCCTAGTAGTTGGACGGGTGATAGGACAACCAAGGACTCCGCTCAATGGGAAGGGTCTTGGGGGAGGGAGTCGTTCGGGCGAGGAGAAACGATCAACAACCCACAAGTATTTTCCGGGGGAAGAGAGAATGAGCGGAGTCTGCCCCAGATATATAACTCTCCGGTACGCAATGATTCTGGGGCAAAGAGCTCTCCTCCTCAGCGCCCTAGCCAAAAAAACAGAGTCACCGCACCAATCAGCCCATGCCCGCGTTGGACGCCTCCAGACGACGCTAAGCACGCCGTGCATTTTGATAACGGTAGCCCTGTCACGTTGCGGATCGCTGAGTGGTGGGGTATTTCGAGACTTCCACACATGGCAAAGAGCAGTATGCACGGTATGGACAGCCTATTGGACTGTCGAGGGCTGGAACGCATGGAGCGGACCTGGGGTAGCCGTGATCTGGGGTTTGAGGATATTTTGTCCCGTGGGGCCTGGTGTCCTTTGCATTTCCACGAATCACTAGCGAGCTCATCCGGAGGCTGGGAGAAAGTCGACTCCACCAATCGCGGGGGATGGAAGAAACAGTCCAGCACCAGTTTTGCACCAGAAATGACCGGCTAAAGAGAGTTGTGGAGAAAGGCAGATCGGGTGAAGTGAAGCGGGAGTCCTTAATTGATGGGTGATCGAGAGGCAAAGAGTGGAGGAAGTAGAAAGATGTGGGGGTGGAGGAAATTGAAATCTCCAGATTTCTGGCAGATCAGATCAGGTGAGCGTGTTACGCAGTCCACCAACGCCTCAACGGTTGATGTCTCTCTTCTCCTCGCTGTTGCTCGTGAGCCTCTTGTTTACAAAGTCAGGTTCTCAACCGAGTCATTATTCTACCTTGGGGACGATCGAAACCCAGGCGACTCTTCCCGAGCAACTCGAGCATGTGTAACACCTTGGATAAGCACTTCATCGAACAGCCCGGTTAAATAAAGACTTGGCGCGCTATATCAAAGACCTTCCTGTGCTCACTCATCGTCTGCTCTGACTCAGATTCCTAGAAAAGCTTGACGCCGAAAAGCAAATTGCAAAGCAGGGCAGAGGTCGGGATTGTAAGACCGCTTTTCATGCACGTAATTCTCCATGGGCCCTGGCTTAGAGCAAGACCTTGAAGGAGTAAGAGGAATTGATGAACTACTACTATTCCCCAGCATTGATAGTACCTGACGATCCTTCCTTTTAAACAATAGAGATCTTACCAAATGGATTACACTGAAGATCTCCACCCACGTACTCCATAGGTTTTCTCATTTAGAACTCATCGAGAACATATTCTCACGATCTTGCCATTAATTATCTTCTACTCCACTTAGAGATTTCTCTTCCCTTCTACTTTCCCTCTTTATCTCCCTTCAGGTCCAAAAACCAGAGCTGATCCCAAACTGATCAAATCAACTTGAACCTCTCAGGCCACTATCAGTCACGTGCTCTCGCGCGCCTCCCACGCGGTCCCGCGCGACTCAAAGAAAAAAGGTCCAGCGGATCTGACTGACTTGGGAGATAATCAAATCCCTCCTTTCACACTGACATTTTCATCAAGCTTGCTATTCAAAACTTGACCATGATATACAAACAGACACCTGTAACGAACTAAGCCTCATCGCTGTTTCCAGAGCCGTTCGCTTCTCCTGAGGACGTCATCGCAATGCCCCGCAAATCAAATAAGAAGCAGACGCGGCTTGCTTTTGCGCCAACCGCCCCCGCCAGCAATGCAAACGAAGATGAAAATGATCGTTTCGCCAGACTCTCCTACGCCCATCCTAGCTTACCCACTGTGCGACCCGACATGTCCCCTCAAACCAAACCAGCATCTACGCCGGTAGATGCGACCTCTTCAACTACGACCACATCCCGCCAGAATACTTCGCCAGTGAAAGAAAGCAAACGAAAAAAGGAAAAGAAAGAAAAGGCGAAGAATAAAAGGGACAAGACGGAGAGGAAGGAGAAAAAGAAGAGCAAGCTGAGGGAACAAGAGAAAGAAGGTGAGCTTCTAGATTCATCTGCCACGGCACATGCTAACATTTGCAAAAGTACTACCGGTACAGCAGGAGCTTGAAGAATCTTCAGATGACGAGATCGTCGTTACAGGATCTACAGTACGACCGCGACGGGCCGCCAATGTCGAATTCGCGGCTATGAATCCGTTTAAACCTACCCAATCCCAATCCCAATCACCACGACTGCCGTCCGGTTCGCCTGAAAACGTCATAAATATCGAATCTTCTTCTGATGAAGGAGACATTGTCCAACCGCGTCGCAGACTAAAGCGCAAGGCTGATCGCTCTTCGGTTATATTGAGCGACTCGGATGATTCCGAGCCCGTGGTTTCTTCACCCGTCAAGAGGCGGCGCCGGGCCTCGCCTATGGAGACTCCTCGAACACCTTACTCCAGTACGGATCAGGATCAACAGGAGCTGGAAGATGATGTGAGGGACCTTCAGGACTCTGGTATAGTCAACGTCCCCGCTCAATAAGCGAACATAGTCTGGTCCAACTAACATACTTCAGTTGTCAAGAAAACCCGCACGCGCGGCCGGGTATATGAGTCGGCAAGAGATAAGAAACTGAAACTTCTGGAGACTCTCCGTCGCCGACGTGCGGGACTGAAAGAGGAAAGCGAGAAGGAGTCGGAAGAAGAAGGGTCTGACGAAGAGTCGGAAGAGGAACTGCCGTGGTCCAGTCCCACGCAGCAATTCTTCAACGCGCGATCGCGACAGATCCGTGATGATGACAGTGAGGTCGAATCGGCGATCGACGCTAACGAGGACCTGGACCGATACGAAGATGACTTCGTGTTGGAAGATAATGAACTCGGAGTTCCCACGGAGGAGATCCCATTCGAATTCACACGACATGCATACAAGCAGCCGAAGGAGTACTTCCGCGATGTCGTCTCATGGATGGTCCACAACCGCATAGATCCAGCCTTCCCCCGTGATGATGCCATGTACCAAATGGCATTCCAAAAGCTATCAGACGAGGTTAAAGCACGCGCCGGATCCTCGCTCATCTCCTCGGTCTGGACGCCCAAGTTCCGCCAGGTCCTTCTAGCGAGACCGCATCTCGAGATTACGGGGTTCCCGACCTCGTTTATGCACTCTTGCGATGCATGCAATCGAGCTGGGCATCCCGCATCTTCGGATTTGAAGTTTTACGGAAAGGCCTATTCCGAAGAGACTCTGGAACCTCTCACGGATAACAGCAGCGAAGACGAGTCCTCCGATAAATCCGACTCCAGTGATGAGGATAGCAAGGAAGCCAGCGAAGATGAGTCGGATGTAGAGCGCGACCGTGATGGGAACATCCTTCCCGACGAAAACACGCGCTTTTATCTGGGAAAGTACGTTGAAGCCGCATCCGCATGCTGCTCCCTTGTCAAACTAACACGGGTACAGAACCTGCAAGGCGAATGCCTATATGGCCCATCTCCTTACTCACTGGCGATACCAACTCAATGAGTGGGTGGTTGATTACCTCCGGCGCATGGGCCACATGGAAGATTCCGAGGTTCTACGACGCGAAAACCTCAGCCAGAAGCGCAAAACACGAAACGCGATTGATGCATGTAAAAAGATGGAGGCAGATGGTGAGATTGAGAGGCTCTATCGAGACTTCCATATCCACCTTAAGACTGCTCGTGAGAAGACAGTAAGTCTTTTTGGCGTTGCCAGATCATTTTTGTCTGCATCATGCTAACATATTTTATTTTTTTTATAGTCTACCATGGAGCTCTTGCAGAACATGGGGTGAAGAGATCTCGTTTTTCGCGAGGATTATATCTATCCTCGGCTGATGAAGCCTTAGTCTTAGCGTTGCATCATGATACCCAGGTCTTATATTTTACTATCCATAGTGTCTTTCAGATACGTAGCGATAGCCTTATGTAATTGAAGTTGTCCGTTGCGTGGCGCCTTCATTAGCTTTATTATCTGGCTTTCTGGTTTTCAGATTAAAGGGCAACTGGGCAGTCATGTACCTCGTATGCTGTCCGAGTAACTTACTCCACAAAGCACGAAATTTGGTCCAATCGAACATCCAAATTGCATCATCTCGGCATACAAATCACGAAGAGAAGAAAAGGAGAAAGAACAAAACGTATGTAGAGGACAGAGAGAGGAAAAAGGAAGATGATTGTGATTGTACAAATACATGCATGCATAAGCTGCCGGAGCCAAACTTTCTGGAGGAGAAAAAGACATATCAAGAAGCGAGGAAAAGAAAAGAGAAGAACCGGTCGAGAACCGAATGACTTCATCAGCAACGGCCCTGCAGCGGATCGCTCAACCACATCGGGTTGAAGGACGCTGGTGCAGGTTGAGGGAGTTTGTGGATTCTCGCATCAAAGCCTGAACTCCATCCGCCATCTTGTTGCCTGTCATGTCGACCTTCTATCAATTATATGATCGGCCATCAAATCATTCGGTTCTGTCGCTAGTTTGTCTCGTTTCCCGGGGCGAAATTATTTTACAGAGTGGGCTGGGCACCCTGCTGCTCGGCCTCAAGGCCGGGCGTGAGCATCTGGTGGGTGAGAACGTGGTCAGCAAATTCTCATTCTCCGATAGTTCTTCACGCCTGGAATAGCGGAACAGTGCCTGGTCGGATGGAAACCTTGCAACAAGAGTTTTCCACACCGACCTGAGGCAAAAAGTAACGCCGGCGCACGACGTGGCCCAAAGTTCAGACACACGCCATAATCCATCGCTCAAGCCAAAAGTACTACCCAAGGGAAATACGAATCATACCTCGTTAGCGCCCTTAATCATGCCCTGCTCCCGCTCCATCTGGATGTACTGCTCCTCCTCGGCGTAGGCCAGAGCCCATGGGACACCGATCAGGAAAGCACTAGTGCTGATGATCCAGAGGGCCTTGCCGCTGAAAGACAGGCTAGACTTGGTGATGGATGTGAGGGTGGAGACGGAGTTGCTGACGGTGCGGCGCGCGCCGGGGGGAATGATGTCTTTCAGGGCGGAGATACGCTCGTAGAGGGACTCCTCCTCAAGGTCGAGGTCCTCCTCCTCCTCGTTGGAGATCTCGGAATCTATTTTGATAAAAAATATATGTCAGATTTTATTCGATGGATTGGTTATGATGGTATTCAGGCGTAGAATTCCTGGAATGTCTTTGCGGAGACGTGGTTCTGGGCCGGTCGGGTGCAGGGGAACTGGTTTGGGGTATGTCGACTCGAATTGGATGTTTTCGAATATAGACTGATGCAAGAGTCCCAGTGCGATACAAAATGCGCACTCGGGACGGCTGAAAGGGCCGAAGAAATGGGATTTCGTCCAACACTTACCGGTGTCGGTGTAATCCTCCTCGTCATCGGACACCAGCAAAGCATCGTGCTTGCTGGGAATAGGCTTCTCCGTGAAGTGCTCATCCTCGACCTCGGTAAGCTTGACCATTTTGGCGGTTGTGAATTGGATAGAAGTGGAAAGGCTGAAAGACGATGTTTAAACTGGATAGAGATGAATTGATGGAAGAACGGAGCGTGACTTCGGGCGCTCCGACTTTTTTGCCGGGCAAAAGCGGCGAGGAAGCTTGGACCCGCCGGGAAGAACGCGACATCATCGGACGGAACTAACAGACTCGGGTATACTTGGGAGTCATCCTAGTGGTTTGCAAGAGTCGATAATGGTAAGATAATTTACAGAGTTGTGTTTACTAATTCTCTTCTATTATACAACAGATGCAACCGATGCATATGCGCCAATTCCTCGACTTGTCCGGCCATGCGACACTTTACCCGTAGTAGAAGCCCCGAACGTCCAGGCAGTCCACGAACGCTTTAATTTATTTATCGCCGACCAAGCTTCCAACGCGAGATACGCTCTTGAATCTCCTCCCACGGGAATGGTCGGAGCTTATATCCCTCCAGCTCGCCCTCCTGGATCACAACGGTGGGCTTACCGGTGCCCTGGCCATTGTTCTGGACATGGCCACCAAAGACCTGGCGAGCCACACGGCGCAGGTCCTCGACAGTGAGGGCATCAATCTGGTCGCACATCTCTCGCACGCCAACCTTGCGGCCGTGCACCTGCACCTGACGGCCGAGATCCTCGAGTTCGACCATGCGAGACTCGAGGTTCATGAGCAGCGATGACCGGAGCTGGTTCTTCGCACGGTTAACTTCCTGCGTCTGCAGAGCAGTGTAACCGGAGTCCAGGGTCAGGGACTGCAGCTCACGGCACATCACCTCAAGCATATCGGCCGTCCGGGTGGGGCTGCATGAGGCAGAGATTCCGAAGATACCGCTGTCGGTGTAGCTGTGGTTGAAGGCCACGCAGCTCTCAACCCAACCGTGCTGGTTGAGGACGTTGGTATAGAGGCGCGAGTACATGCCCTTCCCGGGACCACCGGCGGAGAAGGATCCACCACCACCAAGCAGGGTTTGGAGGGTAGCGAGGGCATAGATATCGGGGGAGGAGATGGGGAGTGCCTCAAAGGCAAGGTGGATGTGGCTCAGTCGCGGCAACATGGGGTTGGCTGGTGGCGGAATCGGGGGGAGAGCAATGAATCCACCGGTATAGTGAGCGGGTCGGCGGAGATCCAAGGCCGAAGGCTCAATCAAAGAGGGGTGTAAGGGCTCGACGGTAGACTTCTTGTTTGCGGAGGAGAGGTTCTTGAGGAAAGGAAGCTTCGACAGGAGCGAGGAGTGGGTTTGTTGCGAAGCGGCCGGGCTGCTCGTGGTCGATGAGGGGGTGAAATGAGGGACAGTAGGCACCTGGCCCTCGTTGGCGACAGAGGGAGAGTCTGATAGTGTGGTTTCAATGCCGGTGCCGGATAGAACTGGGCCCTTGCTTGAGTCTCTCGCCTTCATATCTCCAAAGTACTGCTCGGTGAGCTTGACGGCCTCGGCATGGGACACGCCGGCAAAAGCGACGACCATACGGTCTGGGTTGAAGAACACTTCCCGATATCGCTCAACCACCGCCTTGTTGATCTCACCCAACCGCTCACTGGGGCACAGCAGAGGGTTGCCGAGGGTGTTATCCTTGTAGGCAGTCATGTGGACCAGCTCCGGCAGGATCAACTCCGGCTTTGCCCAGATCTCACCAATTTCATACTCTGCCGTTGCGAGTTGTTGAAGCACCTCTTCCTCCGTGATGAGAGGATCCCGAATCGTCTCTGCCAAAAGGCCGAGGGTTGTGGGAACCGTCGAGTTGAAACTAGCAGACTGGTACATCAATGACTCGCGGGACGAAGCGCATTGGATGTTACCGCCCAGCGACTCAAGAACCTCCAACATCTCATCTGCCGTGCGTGTTTTGGTCGACTTGAAGGCAAGTCGGTCCATGATGTGGCTAACACCGCGGAGGCTAGTATCTTCATAACGAGACCCAGCGTCGACGTAAACTCCGACACCCGCAAAGGGACCAGGTAATGATTCTGTGGCGACTCGAATTCCATTCGGGAGGGTGGTGATCTGGTCAAGTTCCGCAGGGTCCTATTATTGGAGATCCGCTTGTTAGATAAAGGAGAAGACGACACCTCTGAGGAGTTCAGAAACCAAATACCTTGGCCGAGTCATTGAGAGTAGCAAAGCTTCTCGACACAGAGCGAGGAGCTCGTGTGAGAGGCTTCGCGGACTCGATTGCCCGCAATGCAGAGCGGCGCATGTTTCCTTTCAGTTTGAATACGCGTAATGTTCCCGGCGAATTCAAACAAGGTGTTCTGCTTTCCTTCGAGATCTGGTGTGATGCGGAAATGCGGCGCCGGCGAAGAATCGATCCCGGAGAACTGCGCCGGATGTGATTACCTAATGAGGTGTACGACGGGTCCGCCTAGAGCACCAGGGCTGATCAAGTCAGACTGTCCACGAAACAATTTACTTAACGAGCTTGGCCTTTCGGAGAACGGTTTTGTGATACCGTAAATTTTTGCTGCGCTTATGAAGCATAATATCATGCTCTAGCTAATTCAGGAGGAGTCAACTGAAATGGTCGATTATAGCTTGCTGACCAAATTTCGGCAGTCTAGAACTACGATGACACATTTTCACACCTCAGCCCATATCTTGGATTGCTCATCGCACATTATTACTAGAATTTTCTATCAAAATTATAGAAAGACAACATAATTAGGGGTTTTCTGAAGCCCAGTTGCGGTACCAATCAAGACAAGAAGCATTGGCCACACTAGCTCCAATCTTGATGTTAAGTCCGCACAAAATCTGCTTCACAGCGTTCTCAACCTTCTTGCCGTTTGACGTGACAGGAATCTCCGGGCAAGCATCGATAACGCCAGGCACATGGCGAGCACTCAGCTCCTTGCGAATGATGGCCTGGATTCGGGCGGAAAGGGCCTTGATATCAGAGGGAGATCCAGGTGCGAGTTTGACGAAAAGGACAACCGTCTCATCGGAGTCGATACCATCTCGTCTACGGCCAACGCAGAGAGAATCTTCGATATCATCGGCAAAATGTTTGAGTAGGACATTGTAAATCTCGGCACTGCCGAAGCGCACACCGGATGGCTTGAGCACTCCGTCGCTCCGGCCAAGCATGACAACACCGCCGGTTTGGGGGTTCAGCCGTACGAAGTCTCCGTGGTGCCAAATGGAAGAGCCGAACACGTCGAAGTAGCTCTTTCGGTACTTCTCCAGTCCAGTAGGGCCAGGAGGCCAGAACATGACTGGCTGGGCAGGGAAGGGCGTGGTGCAGACCAGGTCACCAGGTTCGCCAGAGGCACTGATATCTTTTCCGGCATAGTCGAAGACTGATACAGCCATACCGAGAGATCGGCATTGAATTTCGCCTTTGTAGACGGGCAGGATCGGGCATCCAGAGGCGAACAGAGACAGAATGTCTGTACCGCCGGTGATAGAGCCCAACATGATATCTGGATGGATGGAAGTGTAGATATACTCGAAGGTTGAAGGAGCCAGGGGTGATCCCGTGCTGAATATAGCCCTCAATGTTTTCAGAGCCACGGGTCGGTGGGCATGCTTTCGAGGATTAAGAGCCGCCTGCTCCAGCATGGAGAGGTATTTGGCTGAGGTACCGAAATGGGTGATCTGAAGCTCGTCGATGAGACGGGGCATAGCCATCTCTCCATTACCACCCTCGACATCAAACGGCCTAAATGGCGAGCCATCATAAAGGACTATAGTTGCACCACTAGCCAAACCAGAGACAAGCCAATGCCACATCATCCAAGTAGTCGTAGTGAAGTAGAAGAGCCGGTCGCCAGGGCGAATATCGCAGTGAAGGAGATGCTCCTTCTTGTGCTGAAGCAGTGTGCCCAATGAGCCGTGTACAATGGGCTTGGGTGCACCTGTGGTTCCAGAGGAATAGAGGATGTAGACAGGATGCTCGGGCTTCAGGCTTGCAAATTCGAGAGGGGCATTCTGGTCACGGACGGCGAGTTGGAACTCTCCCAATGTCAGGACCTTTCCATTTGCTGGACGGACACCCTCGAGATTGAAGTCTATGGACTTGGCAGTCTCGAACACTACCAGGAGCTCGAGATCGGGCAACTCAGAAACGATCTCGCGGACCTTGGCAAACGACCCATGCACCTTGCCATTGTAAAGCGAGGCATTGTCTGCAAAGAGGATCTTAGGCTCAATCTGCTTTAGGCGCTCGAGCACGGCGTGAACGCCCGTATCGGGAGAGACACCTGTCCAGAAAGCGCCGATTGATGCCGAGGCCAGCATCGCGACGACAGTGTTTGCATGGTTGCCGACGAAGCCTGCCACGCGATCACCCGTCTTCAAGCCCGCCTCTTTCAAGGCATTGGCGCATTGACGAACACGCTCACGAAGTTCCTTCCACGAGATAAACTCGCGGTCTGCCTCTGTGGCGCCAATAATGGCGATAGAATCCTCATTCGGCGCATTGAATGGGTAAAGGAGATTCTCGGCGAAATTGAGAGTGCTCCCCTCAAAGAATGCAGGACGAGGGAACATCACCCCCTTAGACTCGAGGACCTTTGCATACATTTAGTATACATCCCACAATCTCAATTGAGTATTTCAAAAGATGAAAGATGATACTCACCGTCTTGTATGGCTCATGGACCTTAATGTGCGTGTAGTGCCAGATTTCCTCCCAGAACTGGGCTGGCTCTGAGACACTCCATTTCCAGAGAACATTGTAATCGTTAAGGGATAAACCGTGCTTCTTGTTTACCTTGGTCATGAAGTCATAAATCTGTGTCTTTTCAGGGGATGAAGGCCGCCAAAGCTCCTTGGCCTCGGGCATGATAGCCTCATCGATGTGTGGCATCGTGATCAATGAACAGTATTATATCGCACAACAAAGAAGCCTGGCCACAATCTGGAAGTGAGAATGAAGAGAGTGGAAAATAGAAAAGTAAAAAGTGGACCCTCGAAGAAGGAATGTAAAAGCAATCTTCTTTTTGACACTTTCCTCGGAGGGGATGTCCGCCAGGGGGTAGGAGCAATATGCTTCACGGTAGGAGTGGCCACCCGATTGATATGCCGAGAAAAACTCTTTCCCCAACACTCTATTTCAGGTGCCTCTAAGCCTTAGAAGGACTGTGCAGGGGTGGGACTCGAATTGACACAGAATAGGTCAAGTCACAGACTGTAATTCCCCAACAAGGGATCGCGGGCGGCTTCAATCGGGTAATCGGTTACCGATGATCCCCGCGGCTTTGCGGGTAGAACAGCAGGGCACGTTTGTGGTCGTACTTTATAAGATCGTGATTGGAGATCTTGGATCTTCTGAAATCTTAGTGATGAACTGCACGTCTCTGTACAATCACACTTATCTTCTGTCGCCCAGAAGACCCTTTAATTCGAGAGCTTGACTGTAACACATGTCACTGAGGCGGGAATAACTGCGGAACTGCGGGAGAATTGAATGTGCCTCAGGCATATACAATCTATGTCTGGTCTCGACCGTTTTCGTCCTCCCAACGGCGAGTCTCAAACTGATTCGTCCGAGAAGAGGCAGGAACCGCGGCTCTTGAGGTTGCAGATTTGTGCTTCAGGGCCTGTGTGTGAAGCCCTTTTATCCTTGATCACACAGCCCCGTCTGGTATAGGGGTCATCACTCACCACCAAAATGGATCATCATCATTTGTGTCATGCCCGAACCTGGTTACAACTTCGGCGAAGAATATCATTACTACCCGATCTAAATATTTCGTCGTGAAATGGTGAGGACGGAAGCCATCGTGATAACGAACAACGTTATGCACTGACACTCCAGCCTTTTGTGCCACACCATACGCATTAACTACCATTAACTACGCACTGGGCATCAGAGGGAGCTACTAGCCCCCTTTTGCTATCGCGCCAGGGAGTGGCAGCCATATCGATCGTGATATTGAACGCCACCATATATCTGGTGCACGTCCTTGTCCTCTGGGCGAGCTGTGGGAACGATTGAACAGGCTACATTGCAATTACATACGATTTGGCTCGGATGTGTCAATGTCAGGGGTAAAAAGTTAGTATGCTCGGTGGATGGACAGCATGTAACACGACAGGGTTACTGGTGGGTTCAGGGTGGCATATGTACGAAAAAGACCAGAACTGATCAACCTGACCAGACAGCAAGGCTCTGGTTCGACTGGCCCTGATCCAACTCTCTCTCTCTCGTTCAGTAAAAAATGGAGCATTTTGAGTGGACCCGTCAGAGCCCAAAAGGACGAAAAAAGTCTGGCTGGTATGGTTTTGGTAATATTACAGAACCGCTTAGTCACTGCCCACAATCTGGTCTGCTTTACTGTGTGCCTCTCCTCGTAACGTTGTATCAGCCACGTATGCATTCAATACCAGGAGGTCCGCATCGACAGTGCATGATGATGGGACGCTGGTCGAGGACGTTATTTACACCTTCTCCTTCTTTCGCTTCCACCTTTTTCCCCTTCCGTTGCGCTTGATCTTCCAACTACGTGAATTCCTGGGCAACGAGAGTGACGGAATCGCCTGTTCACTGTTGGGCCCTCCCCCCCCCCTCTCTGTTTTTCTCCTTTCCCCCCTCCCTCCCATTCCACGTGCAAAAGCCACATTTTTTCATCCAAGCCTTGCCCGGAGGTCTTCGGATCCGCTAACCGCGACATCAACTTCGAGGTACGTCCCAGGGAAATCTTATGCGCTTTACTTCCCCTGTGTCTCTTTTTCGTGCAATCCCAATCTGCGCTTCCAATCCGCAATCCTTGGTCAACCATCAATCGTCATTGTCGGCTTCCATTGGTAGCTCCCGTTGACTAACGCCTCCTATCTTGCGCCTCCCAGATTACGTCGCTAGTTGTTGTCTCCCTCGAACTGAACGTTGAGGCTCCTCGAGGACTCCTCCAACACAAAAGTCTCATACTACTCCTGCCGTGGGTAGTCCCTGCCTCAATTTGTCGGACTGGACGCGTGAAGGGAACCTTCGCGCACCCTCCTACCCCCCTCAGCTCCGACAGTAAAAACCTGTCGATCATCCACCCCCGGAACTGCTTCGCTGCTTCCCTCTGCGATGCCTCGCCGGTTTAGCAGCAACTCCTCGAACGACACCTCTACCAACTCACCTTCCTCGGGAAAGGGCGGTATCACCATCAAGGCGCCCTCGGTCAAGTCCAATCGCCTGTCCCAGCTCTTCTCGTCCTCGCCCAAGAACAAGGCCGATTCCCAATCAACACTGGCGGCGTCTCAGTCTACTGGCGGGAACAACCCTAACAACTCTCCGCCGATTAGCTCGGCATCACTGTCCTTACCGACGATCTCCCTGTCGACTGCCACTGCGGACAACCCTGCTATGGACGAAATGCCGACTACACTCTTTCAGCCCCCGACGCCCGAGGAGGCCCGACGGCAGGCAAAGGCCCACGCCCAATTTGGCGTCATCGGTCACCCTAGCCATCGGTATTCTAGTCGGCACCCTGGCGGTGTCTTCCCGGAACCAGTGATGGACGAGCCTCCGTATTATTACCTTCTCACTACCTACATCAGCTATCTAATCCTAATTGCTTTCGGTCACGTCCGTGATTTCTTCGGCAAGCGTTTCCGCGAGGAGAATTACCGACACTTGAAACCTCGCAATGGCTACGGTGCCCTGAACAGCGATTTTGACAACTTCTACGTGCGTCGTCTGAAATTGCGCATTAACGACTGTTTCGAGCGCCCCGTCACTGGTGTCCCTGGCCGCACCATCACCCTGATCGACAGGGCCACTAATGATCACAACCACCACTTCTACCTGACCGGCACCACCACCGACACTCTGAACCTGAGCTCCTACAACTATCTTGGATTCGCCCAGTCAGAGGGCCCTTGTGCGGATATTGCGGAAGAAACAGTTCGGAAGTACGGAATCGCCACTCCCAGCACTCGCGCAGAGGCTGGTACCCAAGATCTTCACGTCGAGGTTGAGGACCTGATTGCTCGTTTTGTTGGCAAGGAGTCATCAATGGTTTTCTCCATGGGTTTCGGCACCAACGCCAATGTCTTTCCAGCCCTAGTTGGTAAAGGTGATCTCCTGATTTCTGATGAATTGAACCATGCCTCTATCCGCTTCGGCGCCCGTCTCTCTGGTGCCTCGATTGCGATGTTCAAGCACAATGACATGAAGGATTTGGAATTAAAGCTTCGTGAGGCTATTTCTCAAGGCCAACCCCGCACTCACCGGCCCTGGAAGAAGATTTTGGTGGTTGTGGAAGGTCTCTACTCTATGGAGGGATCTATGTGCAACCTTCCCGGTCTGGTTGCCCTGAAGCATCGCTACAAGTTCCATCTCTTCGTCGACGAAGCTCACTCCATTGGTGCTATCGGTCCAAAGGGCCGTGGCGTGTGTGACTACTTCGGCATTGATCCCGCCGAGGTTGATATTCTGATGGGCACTTTGACCAAGTCATTCGGTGCCAATGGTGGATACATCGCAGCAGACAAGGTCATGATTGACAAGCTCCGAGCCACCAACTCTGGTATCTTCTACGGTGAGGCTCCCGTACCCGCGGTCCTCATGCAGATCTCCTCCGCTCTTCGCATCATCAGCGGTGAGCTCGTCCCTGGCCAGGGTGAGGAGCGTCTGCAGCGATTGGCCTTCAACTCTCGATACCTCCGTCTCGGATTGAAGCGTCTTGGCTTTATCGTATACGGTCATGATGATTCCCCAATCATCCCCGTCCTTCTGTTCAATCCGGCTAAGATGCCCGCCTTCTCCCACGAGATGTTGCGCCGCAAGATCTCCGTTGTGGTTGTCGGGTACCCGGCTACTCCTCTGGTCTCTTCCCGTGCTCGTTTCTGTGTCTCTGCAGCTCATACCAAGGACGACCTCGACCGTGTCCTCACCGCCTGTGATGAAATTGGCAATGTCTTGCAATTGAAGTTCTCAACGGGTATTGCTGGTGGTGCATTGCCTCCCGCCGAGGAGATGTCTCCTCCACCAGAGATGGAGAAGGACTGGCACCGCAAGCGCAGTGCTAACATCACTCCTCCCCGCTGGCGGATCGAGGACGTCATCCGTCGCGGAGTTCAGGACGTCAAATCGCCATTGTACTAGTTATTTGGCCTCCCGTCCTCCATGTCATGTGATATTGCCTCGGAACGTGCATTGTTATTGGATTGAGCCTTTCGCTTGGACTTTATTCCACGAGCCCGGTTGGTGCTGGTCACGCCGTGTCGCGGTTTAGATATCCATATCGCCTCATTTGCTTTCCCGTTCACTTCGTTTTTCTGACTGCTAGGCATTTGCTTGATCGGACAAAGCAGTGATTGCTGTCTTGTTGATAGCCGGGAACTCAAACAGAATGCGACAGTGTTAGCCAAGGAAAGAAGAAAGACCCGCAAATCCGGTCATGAATTATTCGAACCAAGCAACGAATGAATATGCCCCCGTTTTCCACACGATCTTGCCTTGGTCCCCTTGGGGATGGTCCATCCCTGATCCCAAGTTTTATTGACCTCGCATGCAAATCCTCCTTTTCTAGTTCATCTACTATTTGGCCCTTTTCCTGTCACTTTTTTCATCTACTATAGAACCTTCCTAATATTGCTGCCATACCTGTCGCCCTTTGCTTGTGGTGCAGGTCGGCTCTCTGTTCTTCCTTCCCCCTTTTACATTATCGGGCCGGTATTGTCTCATGTCCATTGCATGTATTTTGACGGCAAGGGCATAGATCATTCCAGCTCGCCCCATTTTCCTGTTCTACCTTTCACTCTGCCGTTGTTCCCTCGAAGAACCGCAGGATGGCAGATGGCTTTCATAATGGCGCTTGCACAAATTACTCCTAGCTTCTCTCTCTTTGCTGGGGGAGGCCAGGCTGCATCATGGAGGGCTAATGTCTGCTACCTTCTTTGATATACTTGTTTTATAATTAGATGAGTGATTGAAATGTCAATATCCTGCGGGTTTAATCGTTAGTTCACTGAGGCGGACGAAGTACCCGCCCGAGACCACATTCGTTACTCCGAGTCCGTAGTGACTAACCTACTTGGCGTTCTACTTTCTAGCATATCTTGTAAGCATCTAAAAGGACGTACCGTGTGAAGTATCACCTTTGCGGACCCTACTCAGTGTGCACAGGAAGCAGCTCATATTCATCGGTTCATCGGTCTTTCAGGAAGATCGAGGCAGCAGATATAGAGAGTGTGTGGGAAGATTGGGTTATCGGTGTGGTTCAGGCTACTAGTGTGGTGCAACCACAGGACGGACTATGAAGCGTTTTGGGCACGGATATAGCACGAATACCTGGAGTCGATGTAGGTTGTCGCATAATACCTTGAATTCATGCATCGAGTCATGTTGTCCGACATGCGATGCACATGATGGATTACACAGCATCAAGCATGGTCCCCGGATCCTCTCCTGAGGATGTCCCCTCTACCATCTCTCCAGATATCTGTCCTAATATTCCTTGAAAGGGAGAAAAGTCAAATAAGGGGATAGGTCAAATCACTCTGAGAGAAGATCAGAGACTGCGATTCACGGATAGCGCGTCATCTAAAGATATTCATCTAACTGCTAATTCATTTGGAATCAGAGATCCCCTATAAGAAGACATACTCTGCCTTGTGTTCATACGCAGTGTGTAACTACCTGAGGGACGATGGATATTGCACGGTTTCTATATCGTGATATAATTGCCTAAAATATCTGAATGATTGTCCGATTCCGAACTGGAGGCGAAAGGCATCCTCCCCACAGTCAACTATCTCGGCAATGGGGTCTGCTTGATGTCTTGTAAGTTCTTGTCCATCTTTCCTCTATTCCTATCATTGATTTCCTCCTCGATTTCGAAGTGAGTTACTGATTGAGAACTCCGAGCGACCGATCCGTTTAATCTGAACGCTGTGCTGAATAGTACTGAAAGATATTCTTGGGTCAATCCTGAATGGAAGAACGAAACGGAGTGCATGATCCCTGGATCGGAGAAAACCTATCGGATTCCAAGTAACAGACCCCAGAGTGTTGGCTTTGTGCTACGTGAGATAGATCCTGTAATTATCTACATATGACTGACCAGGATTTCTTGATAATCTTCATTGCCTAAGAAATATCAGCCTGTACTTGTCATTTATACTCTATCTGCCTATAGACATGTGAAACTCATACCTCAATGATAGGAAACTGTGACCTACACACCATGAAACTTAGACTAATCACTATAGCATACCTCCTACTATTCTACACTATCTTATTTATCTAGATCTTGGGAGAAGGCGTTCTGTGTGTTATCAGACTCTCTAACTGCATACTGCAGTTACTATGATAGGTAGGTGATTTACATCATATGATATACCTGTGCTCTTCAGCTGACCTACACCGGAGTTGCCAAATACATTTTATATATGTTACGACACGCGCCCGGACCCGCTAATCGAACAGGCCAAATAGGAATAGTTTTGCCTCGCTCAGCCTCAACAAGATCAGGGCAAGATCTCTTAGTACCCTTCCTACCACCGACACCGTAGCTTTTGCCCTCGCCTGGCCGGAAGCCACACTCATCGAAGTTACATACCAGCCGTGCGGGTATACGCTCAAGCAGATTTTTAAAGAGGTCTAACAGTAGGCTCAGCGCTCATTAGTATTTGAAACATGGTACCTATTCCACCTATCCTTTTGTAAGTGGGAGGAGGTACTGTGTTTCAAATACTAATGAACGGCCACTCTAAGTGTTACATCACATGTTGTGATGACTGCTGCCGCAGGCATCCCTCATGTATTCAGATATCTTGTTCCCTTAGCACCTTCTTCCTTTCTTCCTCATGCTTGGTTTTTTTCGTTAATGGTACTATGTCTGGTTGATCTCTTCGTCGTGCCTAAGCAATCGCATCACTGCTACATGATACTCCTACTACGGTTCAGGCAACCACATACCTGAGCGTAACAGTAGACCTGTATCTCCTGCTAGGATACGCCTAGATTCCTTCGTAAGCTGCTTCACTAGACCTAACTCTAGGTCTGATGGCAGACGCTTGATAAAGCGATGCACCCATATCTTGCTGACCTGGTCGGGCTTGCCAGCGGGTGCAAGCGAGCGATTCGCCCACGCCTCGATTAGTCTAGGCTTAGGTGGCATATTCCAATGGTGCAGCTGGCCTATCCAACGCATTAACCCTTTCTCCTGGGCGCTATCGATGGTCTTATTAATCGGATTCTTCGAAGATCTCGCCTGTGTGCCCTTTTTCACACGGTCGTGTAAGGTCTCGCCAAGAACGTTAATTCACGCGCAATCTTAAAGAAATTCGGCCTTTTTCGAGTCTGGCGGTTTCGAAGTCCTCAGTTAGGCGATATTCAGCAGACTCGGCGGGTTTAGACATGGTTGGTAGAAGATATTGCTTCAAGAAGTGGAGTGGATGTTGTGGTCAAATTGACGATCACGGTGTTGCGCGCCCACGACGGCGTGGGTGGGCACTAAGGCATAGGTATAGGGCAGCGGGCGGTCAAGCGGCGGCTCGTCGTCCAAATTTATGGGTTGGAAAGACAGCCCGTTTCTGGCACCAGAGGTTGTCATTCTCGGCGTCGATTTCACAGGTCGCTATATTATTCTCATTGTAAAATATGTAACGATAGACAAAGGGAGTGATTGCTACTGTAGATCTTAATATGAGAACCAATTGAGAACTTTGCTCAGCGGGGCGGAGCGCACTCATTACTATGTTTGGATATAGTTTGGCACGATTTTGAAGCTAACCGGCCCCAGTCTTGAGTGTTATCCACATCGGTTATATACGCCTGAGTGATACACAGGCTGTGTATTATTATTTTACTGTACATCATTGTACGCGAGGTCCCTGGCCTGATATTCCTTGATTTTATCGTTGCCAAGGACGGTATTTCTGAGAGCCCGCATGCTAATGTACTACTAAAATGTTTGGAAGTGAACGACTGTGTATTGGCCCCCATACGGCTTTACTCAGCACAGCCAGGGGGGCTTTGCGACCGAATTGACTGTTAATTATGCCTTGCCCAGTCCCTTTTCGAGTTCTTCAAGCCCCAAGGATCCGCTTCTGGTGCCGTCACTTCCAGTTCTTCGTCCGCGATGTGGTAACGGCAGTCCATCGTCCACCATGACAACGCCCACTTCTGCCTCATCGGCAGCTATTCCGTTGACGACCGTGTTTACACCACCAGTCTCGTGTTCTAGCGTTAATTGGGTCTCGTCGGATTGCTTGAAAAGTACCTGCGAGGGTGTTTACAACATCGTACAAACAACCGACACAAACTGCTATCCCTCCGGATGGGCTACGACGGCCACCTGGTTCTCACCAGGCTTATATTGCCCGACAGGATATACCATCAATGATACCAATGTTGTCACCAGTGGCTTGGATATAACAGAGACTCAAGCGAGATGCTGTCCATCGTATGGCGCTGCTCCCAAATCCTGCCTTCAGTTTGCGATGGGAAGGACGATGCTAAACCGCTGCTTCATCTAGAGGATATGCCTTCGCGACCAAGGCCATGGAAGTTTGGTGGACCCCCGAGCCATGCACCAAGATAAGCACTACGACCACTGTCATCGATTACACTGTCCTCGGCGTAACCCCAACCACCACGACGGCAATCACCATTACACACCCGATCATCCATGCCTACCCCGTTGAACTAAGATGGCAATCCACCGACAGTGTGGATGCGGTCATGAAAAGTTCTGCTACCGTCATGTTAACATCCAGCACTTCAACCTGGACATCAACAACGACATCCTCCTCACAAAACGCATCCACATCATCTGGCCTCTCCACAGGAGCGAAGGCAGGGATCGGGGTCGGAGTTGCCGCAGCAGCCATCATCGTGATTGTCCTCGGCCTACTTTTCTGGTTCCGACGAAGGAAAAATCAAAAGTCTTTGACACAGTCATCGGGCGATTATGGCCAAGAGGGATCGATTCTTAAGAAGACACGTCAACAGGAGCCCGTGGAACTTCCTGCACACCCGGCTCTCTGGACGCCTGAATTACATGGAGACTTTTCACCGGCATCCGAGCTTGACAGTGATCGGGGCTTGAGTGAGCGTGGGCATAGTGAGCATGGACATAGCGAAGGGACGCATAGTGAGTTTGGGCAGATCGAGAGTCAGATGCAACGGAACCCGAGGGGGGTGATACGGACGGGCTCCTTGAAAGCATCTATTTTCTGTCTTTGCATTATTGGTTACTGCCGAGATGATTAACTGAGGCTCCCTTTTGCCCTAGATTAGAAGTATATAGTGTCGTGGGCATTGTCAATAGTGGATATAATGTATTACTATTCTGATAATTCGTTGGCTGGGAAATACGAAGCGAGCATGTTACACGACTAGATCAACAGAATTTAGAGTGAACATGGGATATAATCCCAGTATTGGTATTCCAGTCACTCTCCCCCTCATATGTCCTAGTGGTCTCCCGTCAGGGATTGACCTTTGGGTGTGCCCTGAAAAGGGCAAACATGTGATGGGAATAGGTACAGGCCGCCAGTGTCGAGTATAACCTCCACGGATGGTCGGGCACATCCCTAGGCGGGGAGAGTGGGCGGGTGGGCATGCGAAGTGGTGGCAGCACCTCCTCGCGGATAAAGACCTTTTGTATTTTTTATTTTTATATAAACTACCTTTCTTACATTAGAGAGCTATATATCTATTTTTATTCTTGGAGAATGTTTTCGAGGTATTAGAGGGTGTAGAAGGATGCTGGTTATTGGGCGTTGTGTCGGGGTTGACTCTTGGTGATGTACTCCGGCATTATGGGATGGCAATAAAGCATCGCTGTGAGGTATATAGGGAACCTGAAGTTTGAGGGTTCAATTCATAGAGGAGGAGGGTTTGTTTGATTTCGAAAAATATCAAGGGCACTATTTGATGTCTCGTCCAGGCATCATCAGACTCCGTGGATTGGTAAAAGTCATGAGCGACCTTTTGACAACCCACATCACCCCCGATCAAGCAGCAGCCGATGTTCCTATGTAAGTCAAAAATGGTAGATACACAAAGTGGGTGTGCTGAGAGACATAATAAAGGTTAATTCAGAACATAAGCTAGGCATCATACTCAAATGTTATGTTCATACTGCATTGGTAAATCCGCAGAAAGGCTTCAACCTCGTTAATGGCATAATCTGGAACATGCTCGGAAACGGATCGCTATGCAGAACCAGAACAATATTCAAGAATTTCAAGCACTCATTGAGTTGTCCACTATATGGCCTCCAATCTTGCCCCCTCAACCGCCCATAAAACTATCGTATTCGTCGTCGCTGTCCGGTTGCGTCTCGATTACTGTGACATACTGGATCGGATGCATTCTCTTCTCATCATTCAAGTCCTCCCCCGGCGGCGGGAAATTCGCCAATCCTTGCAAAGACCTTTCGTCTAGCACCATGCACATTCGATAAGCAGTTGAGCAGCCTCTCTTTTCCTGTGCCCGAGTCCAACTCTTGAAATGCGCTTGGATAGCGTCGGCCGATGCCCCGTTAAGCGCTGGGTCATCCATGATGACCGGATCATGGCGGGCCCAAATATCATGATATGGTGTTGTGTCCGTATGCCTTGAGTTGTTGTTTTGAGAGGAGGTGCACTCCGAGTATAGCCCGTGTTTGATATATGAGTTGAGTAGATCCACGACGCGGGGGAATGTAGCGTCCGATTCGGGAGTGTATGTTGTGCGATAAATTACGTATCCCCATGTTGTGTTGCTTTGCACGGCCGTATGAAGACGCCGAGTAGGCCAGGGGAGCCAACCAAGACTCATTGCGATGAGTCTTGAAAACAGGAGGGATATAGAGAGGAGACTGATAAACCTGAGTAGAGGGGAAACGACAACGTCAGTTGTATTTAATATTACAACGGTTTTCCAGCGTCCTGCTGTCCCCTCATGTCACTGAATTTCAATTACGACCAGGGCAAGGGTGGTTGGGATCCACCTCGAGCTTCGTCGCCACGGCTTGGGCTCCGCAACATTACTAGCGTGCTGTTTTGGCCCCAGGTATGCTGGCCTGATGTCGATAATCATATTAATCCACCCCGACTTCATGTGTGGAGCACTGGCGTCTGTGGACTGTGGACTGTGGACTGTGGACCGTCTGCAGGGGGAACCGAGCCATGTAAAAGGAAAAAAGGCACCAGAGTGATCGACTTAACCCAGCCTTGTCTCAAGGACTTGAGAGGGGCTCGAAATACGGCAATACATTGAAATACGCGAGAGTAGGTCTCTCAGTATTTTAAATCCAAGTTTGAAGGGTTCATTTTGTCAAGTCATATTGAGAGTATGTCCCAGATTGTGTGTTTGGTTAACTATCGGCCTAAAGGATTCGATGCAAACGCCGAAGTCTGCTTCATAGAGTCATGTATTGTAGTATTATGCATGTCATTACAATTGTTGAACGACCTTCGGCACAATTTCGGCCCCTCCTTGGCTGCTTGGCAAAAATTACATCTTGTATCATTGAGGCTGAAAATAGGATCAGCCAAACGCGATTCGCTTGGCGAACATCCAGTACCTGTTCCCGCGACTTCGAGGTGCAGAAAAATCACAGAACGTGCTTTATTTCCACCCTCAAATCTAATCACTATTAGAAATGAATGAAAATCAGAGAAAGTACAGAGAGTACTTCGTTTCAATCGGGCTTGAGCGGTATCAATATCCTTTCACCACGAAGGCCGTTCAGAGCAGAGCATCTTGTGGAGGAGGTAGGGAATGGAGCGTTTAGAACGTAACAGCAAGAAGTATGCATGAGATCTCTCCTCAGACTAATTAGCCGGTGCCTGTTCTCCAATGTCCCTTATGCGCTCGCATACTTCGGGCTGCTTATAGGCGACGGATCTGGCCCGTCGAAGATATTGACCAACACCTCTATCCCTTGAGACAGGAAAACATGGAGCGCTACGACCTATCCTAGATATCTTATAATTCAATGTCGGGTAGATTTCCATTCAATTTCGACCATCAATCGCGGTACTCCATTTGACTCTCGACGTGTTTTGAGCGACTATCACCCGGCCCCAAAGCGGGACATAAACTCATTTAGACATGTACACGAAGTCACCAAATCACAACTAAAGCTGATGCGCTTTTGCCCTAAGAACGATTTTATTCTGATGCTAGGGGTCGTCTTCCAGCATAAAATGTTAGATTGATTCTACCTCCATCTCTTGTGGAATAGTTCTACAACACCTGGCTTGCACATTACTTTGCAGCCAAAAGTCACCGAGCTAAACAGGATATTATAAAAAGTCCAGTGTATCATATTCAACCCTTCAACTCCAATAAAGCCCGGGTTTCAAGGCCACCTAGCAGATTACACGATGGGGCAATGATTTAAAGCCACATGAGATGGCCCCCACCAGCCCCAGGTATTCTTAGCATCTTGGCCCGTAATACCACAACAAAGGCTTCAGTTGGGGGTCATTCTTTGAGCTCTAAGGGATTCATGTTCATTTTAAACGTACGAGAGACATGCGAAAGATGTTGATGGACCCTGGATATTATGATCCTTTGTTTCAGAGAGCTTAGCCGCTCCCTCAACTTGAGTCCTTTGACTATACTAAATTTAGATACATGAACATGTAGTTCGGTTTGATGGGGCCTTGATGCTGTAAGGAGTCATATGACACTCATTTTCTCTATGCAACCCATCTTGGAGAATGTAAATTCCCACGAACAAGATAGGCGAAGTGCTCTTTGACAAATGTTGGTTGATCTGAAGTTCAGGACTGGGTGAGTGGGATGAGCTCAGCTCTCGGTTGCTGATTAGGGCATCCAGCACAGCCTACCGGATGAGACCAAGTGGCCCAAATCTTCTTTCTTTTTCAAGATATTATGCCCTACAACAAGCATGGACCCTTATTTTCTATTTTGGTCTGACCCCTAGTGCGGAAATTGCTAGGGTTCATGATGGGGGTTGCTTTGCAGTAATCATATAACCTACACGAAGTAGCTCTATCCTTGAGGCCGTGTATATACTCGCAATTTAGAAAGCTACTCGCCATGGTTACTTCTCGTGGGGAACTCTCCCGATCGCTGATTGCCTTTGTGGTTTCTTTTTCATTGTTGGCTGCAAGTGTCAACGGCTATCCGTTTACTGCCTCTGGTGCAAGGTAAGATACTCCCAATCCGGAACAAGGCTGACCATCCAGCTTACTTGCAAATAGTGACCTTTCGGAAAGAGACCACAAGCCCTTCGAACTGAAAGTATGGCCAGTGGGTGCCTCCATTACCTGGGGCCAGCACTCCCAGTCTGGTAATGGCTATCGCAAGCCTCTTCGTGACGAACTTGTGTCTGATGGCTGGGATGTGGACATGGTGGGCTCCAAGCACAATGGAAATATGACTGATGATGTGTGTTTACCTTCTCTGATATACCGTATACGTCGCATCAAAGACTGACATTCTCTGACCCATCCAGAATGTCGAGGGCTACCCTGGATATACCATCGCCAAGGTCGAAGCAGCAGCCATGGAAGCTCTCCCAAAGCTCCCCAACAAGCCCAACCTAGTCCTCATCAATGCTGGTACAAACGACTGCCATTTGAACCTCAACATTACCGGGGCAGGCGATCGTATGCAAAAGTTCATCGATACCATCTTGAAAGAAAAGGATATGGAAAAGGCGACGATTATCCTTTCAACACTCATCCCATCCAACGACAAAGAGGTCAAAGCCCATCGAGATGCTGTAAACGAGCAGTATCGCAAGCTGGTGACTGCGATGAGCAAGAAAGGTACCGCGATCCGGTTGGCGGAGATGGAGAAGGCGCTCTCCTGGCCTGCGGATTACACTGTCGATGGTAAAGCGGATGATACGCATCCAAGTGATGCTGGTTATGCAAAGATGGCTAAGGTCTGGTTTGAGGCTATCAAGGGCGCGTACAACGATGGTGTTATTAAAGCGACTGGTACAGTGGCATCCCCTGATACCGTAACGGAGGTTATTAGTGTGGAGTCGACTGTAGTCGTTGGGCCTAATGTGGAGGTTGAGGTTGAAGTGGTGACGGAGACTATCACCGTGTCCTAGTTGCGAGACAAAGTTGATGTTCATATTCGTTTTGGTGGTGACTGTGGTGAGGTGAATAGATATTGATACTTCTGCTTCAATTCTCAAGTACACTGATTCCTGGCTGTAGTATTGACAGACCTTGAATAGCCTCGATGAGGAACTTTCAGAAACACACTCGACACTTCAATTGCTATGGAAAATGTATAAACCTAGGAGCAGACAAGATCTAAGCTCCCGGTCCGAGGCCCAACACCAATGTCTAGTGGTACAACAACCATGTATCTATTCATCTCTCCCAAACCCAAACCATCACAGAGAACGCCAGGGTCGAGTATGACCCGATGAAATCCGGAATGCATGATCATGATATGAGTCAAACACAAGTGGGCGAGCATAAAACAATGCAGCAGTAACAAAGAAACAAGAAAGAAAGCCAGGAAGAATATCAAGAAAGAAAACGCAATGCAATGAAGGTTCAGATAGGTGTAATGAAATCGCAAAGTCGTCATATCGTGGTATATCATATTCTGTCTCACTCCCCGAGGGCAGAGAATCTCGGAAGAAAAAAAAGCAGCCAAATGCATCATGCATCCTCAGACAGTACCGTACCGCCCACGGTCCGAGCCCAGGAGAGCCTGACCTTCCTGCGGAAGAGATTCACGCTCACACTCGCTACGTGTGGGAGACGTTGAAGGAATCCAGCCGCGCATCCAGCCGTGCACACGCCTCCACCGGCTGCGGCCACGCTTAGAATCTTCATCATCTGCGCCAATCAAACTCTCGTCATCGGTATCACGAGGACCGTACATGAGGAACTGCACGCCCATGAATCCGTCTAAACCAAGCACACCAAATGCGCCAAGGAAGAAGGGAATTGCGCGCCCGATCCACTCCCACCGGTCGTTGCCGTGCTCATCTGCCCAACCACCGCCGCCATAGGGAGGGGAATCAGCCCAAGCATTTGGGTTAGTTAGGAGGGACGAAGAGTAGAAGAGATTTCCGCTGAATGCAGCCATGAATAGTAATGGGGAGAGACCCTCAGTGCTCTTGCGGCGGTAATTCTTGTAGAGCTGTGGGGGTCTCGAGCCGAGATAAAGAATTGTCGACATCCAGGAGAAGATGCGACCAACAACCTCAAGTATAGCCTCGCGAGGGGCATGAGAAATGGGTGGGTGGGGAGATGGTGATGGCGAAGGATGGGTAGGGCTGGCGTTGGCTAGCACGGCGCAGACCAGAGAGGCGATGAGCATAGTCCGGGGCAGTGCGAAGGGCGGGCTTGACGAAGTGCTGGTCACGCGCACTGAGCGGCGCGAGGAGCTGAATTTCTCTGTATTATATGGTGGGGTACGACCGAGATTCGAGTTGAGTGTTGAACCAGTCTGCACGCCCATATCCTGAACCTCTGACTTCTTGTGCGTCATATCGAGGGGTGCCGGCGGTTGGTGGGTCACATCGTCACCGGACAAAGCAACACCTTGCAGAACATCACCTCGAGAATGGTGGTCGTGCGAGTATGGCACCTCGCTGTACCCCGCATACCGGCGTGATTTATAATGTGTGTACCAGAAGAACTGGATCACCAGTGTGACATCGACCAAGACATAGTAGCTCGCGACCACGACCTGCCATCCAGCCTGGCGGGTGAACAGTGCCCCGAGGAGGTTACTCGCGTCTCCTGCACACCATATGACCAGGAAAAATATCGATAGACCCGAAGTCGACTGTAGTTGATAGTTCTTATAGATCTGCGGCAGTTGGGCAAACAGCCACGAGACGATGCTGAGGGTTCCGAGCACGGACGAGATCAGCGCGAGTGGGGTGGGTAGGCAGATGTGGAGGTGGGAGGAGATAGCGGTCAAGAAGGGCGAAGAGGGCTCGCAGTGCTCGGGTAGAGACCCCGATATGAGCGACTGGAATAGAGTCACCGTCATCATCTGGCGAGTTTGTGAGACGAGGACGCGGTTGACGACCGCGACCTGCGTTATCGGCGTGGATGAGAGGGCCGATCTGGGGAAGTGAGCGGGCGGTCCGGGGCCGCGGGAAACAAGTCGAGTCGGGTTGAGACGAATGAAAGAGAAAAGGAAGAGAGAGATCTCTAAGAGGATAGTCTAGAGAGAGTCTAAGATGAGAAGAAGAGAGAAGAGGAGAAGCCAAGAAAGGAAAAGCAAGAGGAGCGCGAGGACAAGTCACCCCTCGAGTATCACGAGAGCTGAACAGACGATCTTTCACCCGATCGGGGGGCTTATCAGAGACTTATCGCCAGATAAGCCCCGTGACTCACCAGATAAGCGAGGGTGAGCCTATTACGATTAAGATTATTAAGTCCCTGGAACGGCCTTCCGATTTAGTCCGGTCCAGTATGTATATGTATATGACTGTATACAACTTGGTCCACCACTAAGTTAGTACTACTAGGTTAGTAGTACTCTCGAAGAAGAACTCCATTCATCCTGAGTATATCTACTCGCAGCCTTTACTTATAATCTCGCGCTTATAGAAGACACATGTCCAAGGTATCAAGGAACGTCAGATCAATATTAGGTTTTAATACTAATTACAAGTCGAATAACAACAACAAAGATCCCTTTTGGGTAGTTGAGAAACAAAGCCACCTGACCTGCCAAGATGAAAAAGTCGGACCATGTAACGACACCATACTTCTGATACGGCTTCACAGCATCACCGCAACGGCCAGGATCGCTGCAGCACCCATGAGGCCAGTGGCGAGCACACCACTGGGAGCAGCGTTACCGTGGGGAGCACCGCCAGATCCCGACGAGCCAGAGGAGCCACCAGTCGCGACGGCGGCATTGGCGGTGGCATAGTGGCTGGTGAGCCAGGCCTTGACGCTGCCGGGGAGTTCCTGGTACCAGGAGGGGTAGTGGCCGTGTTGAATCTCGCTGACGATGGATGAGACGGCAGATGGGTTGGCGAACTGTGAGAGGTAGGAGGCCGGGATGGCGGTGGCAAGGACAGACTCGATGGAAGGAGGAGGCGTATCGACGGAAGCACCGGCGGGCACAGTGATGCTGGGAGCGGCAGTCACACCAGGCATGGTGTTGGATCCTGCATTGGAGCCGGAGCCGGAGCCGGAGCCAGAACCAGAACCAGAACCGGTGGCAGAGGGCAAGTAGGCAGTGGAATCGGTAAGGAGGTTGCTGTAGGCCGTGGGATAGTCCATGTAGTTGGTGTCAGTTGCCCTGGGAGAAGTGTGAGATAATAATATTCCGGATTGCTTCTGATGCTTGCGTAGCTCTCTAGTACTCACAGGCTGTTGAGCTCGCTCATCAGGCTATTATAGTAGTCATCTCCACTGCCAGAGTCACCATTCTGCCTCTCCTCAACAGCGGCGGCAGCTAGGGTAGAAAGGAAAAGAACGGTCAGAGTCTTCGAATGCATCGTGATCCACAAATAGTTAAAAATATTGTAAAGGAGGGTATATTGGAGGTCGAAAGCTGACGATAAAGGTGGTATATGAGAATGAGCGACACTTGAACGAAGGTCTGGCCGCCGTAGGACAGGGTCACCTTTATAAATGAGGCCGCACAAACCAGAAACACTGAATGAGCCCCAGTGGGCCCTGAATTTTCCGTGATGGGTCCTCTGTATTTTCAGCCTCTAGGACCCCCGTGTTGCTCGTATTGCCTCATTAAACTCAAATTGAGACGATGCAATCAAAGCCAAGGGAACATCAATTACTTTACGCTAAGGCAGACTTGCCTGTCAAGCGAAATCTTGGGTCTCCATCTCATCAAACCACAGCGAGCCCTGATCGACCGGAAAGGGTTCATCTGCGGATCTCTCCAAAAATAATCAACGACCCGAACTTCTGTCGTGATTTGATGCCAGAACTGGATTGGCGTGCTAGGTAATTCTTCGAGGAGGCTCGTATTCCTGGAGAACAGAGGGGTCTCGGATAGAGATGTAGCTTATATAGAAGGGTAGATTGTGCTGATCGTACACTGAATGAGGAAGTGTCTAAGTTCAGATAAAGTTTGGGGGTCCACTATGACCCTGGAAGCCAATATCGTGCTGGGCCGCACAAACTGCACGATCTCTCTCCAGATGCTGGAGGTAGTAAGTGAACATAACTTGTAAGACTCATATAACTAGGATTTTCAAGACTTGACTCACTTGAGTGGGCATCTGGAAATTCTTGAGTCCTGGATTAAGGGGTTCAGATCAGCAAGTGTGGGTCATAGGGAAACATATACGAGGTGGGCGTGATGTCCGCGGTTCAATGGCTGAATACGAGGGACGGCGGATTTTTTTCGACTTTCTGATACGTTCGAATGGGACTGCGCCAACTCATTCAGGGGCCTTGCAATAAATACCCTTCAACAAGAAGTCGTGGCTGAAGGCTTGTTTCTGAGCGGCTGTCTAACGATCTATACCCTGCATCTACTGCACATGAGGATGTTTCCTAAACGAGTTAACGTAACGAAATGAAAGCGCCAATTATTATTTCTCACATTAGGATATTCTTCAAAACTAGTATAACGCCTCGTTCGACACAGATTCAAGGACCTTGGGGAAAATATAACCTTGCCATTTCTTTCTCAAGAAAGCACATGCTTTTCAACGACCTAGTATGAGCATGCGATACAATACAGTATTGATTCTCAAACTTTGCGCTGCCTTCCCAATTGGACTACTTCTTTATCATGAGCCCAGTTCAGACTGACAATCCTCCTTCTGCAACTTTGCTTCCCCCTACAAAGCGTTTGTTTCCTCCCAACATGGTTTTGTGCCCTCAAAATAGGCGGACTTAGGAGCATGTACTATGATGTCTGGGGGATGATCAGAACATCACCATTATTCATCTTACCCTTCTAGACACAACAATTTCTAACATCAACAACTCTATCCCACGAGCCTGAACCGAAAGGTATTGGCAGTGTTCAGAAATGCCTTGTTATTGCAAATATTTACTCTGGCCGGCACCAAGGCCCCCTTACGTTTCAACCGCAAATTGATTTGATCATCAAGAGAATTCCCTGGGACTCGCTCATTTCTTTCGCATTCTGAAGCACTGCTCTTTTGGAGTTACATGTGAACTCTATTACTCTTCTCTAGAACGCTCAGTTGATACTTTTACTAGCTTTTAGTAGGATGAAACCATCGGCTCAACCTAGTAATCTTCAACTCAAGGAATAACCGCCGGCCTCTTCGAACTCCAAAAGGGCTCAATTGTATATGAATAGGCAGCATTTGAAACCACAGTATCGAGTTACTTACTCTATCGAAGTATGCATAGGTTACTGATATCGCCTCGCTGAGGCATACAATGCCCAAAGATCATGAAACGAGGCATGTATAATTCTCGAGAATTAGTCTCAAACAGGACAGCTGGGAGTACAAAGAGCCTCAAATTGCCTATCGTATATCTTGCTTCCCTCAAACCCTGTTAACCATCTCCATTTAATAATCATCCTCCTCATGATGCCGCGAGTGACTCCGACTCCGACTATGCTGATGATGATGGTGGTGATGATGATGATGCCCATTACCATGCTCATGATGATGCCCATTACCATGCTCATGGTGATGCCCATGTGAATGCTGACCACTATCCTTCAACTTATCCTCAAGGAAATTGCCAATAATAGCACCCCCGATTGCACCCAGCAGGCCGTGGTTCTTCTTATGTCCGAAATAATATCCCGCAGCCCCACCGGCAAGTGAGCTTCCGATTCCACGTTCGCCCTCGGCGTCGGCGTCTTGATCCGACGAACGTTTTTCGTCACTGCGATACCGGTGTTGGTCTGCATCAGATACATGGACGGGGGGTGGATGCGGACTGGCGGATGGAGTGTATCGCGGTTGGTCGGCGGGATAGCTGCTATGCATATCAGAAGACTGGACTTGATGCGCTTTCGTCGATCTCGCGAGCGGGTCAATCTTACTAGTAACTCAAATTTTCTGGGACTTTGCCTTCGTTGGCGGGCGGCATCCCTGCGGTCGTGACTGGACCCCGGTGATCTGGTTGCCCTACAGGCGTATGACTTCTGTCCGGCGCATTACCTTGATAGGGCTCCGGTGCGAGATGGTAGGGACTCGGACTTGGATTCGGCTGCGGAGCATATCCGTAGTTCGCATCTGGTTGTGGTGATGCGCTACCGTATGGTTGCTGGTATTGATAACCAGGCTGTTGGTGAAGGTGAGATTGCTCGTCTGGTGGATAGTAGCTGACCCCGCCCGGCGTTGGCGTTGAGTATGAAGAGTACGGGTTATAGGGATCGGCCATGATGATGGCAGGATCGGTGAAGAGGGATTTGACAGCGAAATTTCCGAAGTCTGAATCAAATACTCGGTCGCTCTCCTTATAAGAGAAGCGGGAGAAGGAGAGAATAGAATTATCAGCCCTGTGAATAGATATGAAGTCTGCTGACGGGAGGCGCTATACATCATGGTGCGGCTGACCTGCCCGCACGACCCTCTCTGGACTGCATGAATCTCGGCCCTGGAATGTGCTGACACCAATCACTATTGCCGAGGGATGCGGGCAAAGCATAATCGAGTCATCCCGGAATGGCCGTCATTATCATCTACAAGCGTGATATCTGGAGAACCTTCAAGTATTGGGATTGTGGTTTGTCATTTTTCCAAGATGACGGGACTATATAAAAAAAAAAACGAGTAGAGACGGACGACTCGGGGTATTCCGGCGAAAAAAAACAAAGATCCAAAAGAGAAAGAAAAAGAGAGCAGGCAAAAAGTATTTCAATGCAAGGTCGTGTTAACGGTTGATCAATTTAGGATCACGGGTCGCTGGCGCCTTGACGAAAGATTGAAACAGAGGGATAGAAGCAGATGCATCGACTGCGTTGGCGTAAATGCAACAGTGGCCTTAAACTGATGAAAGTTGAGATAAAGAATGAAAAGGAACCGGCCAAGTATGATGTGCGCAGCACACTGGAACTCCTATCGTGATTGATAGATCGTCAAGAAGATAAGAAAGAACCTCGGCTGCCCCAAATGAATATATCAACAGATGCACTGAGGAAAGAAAAGGATGTATAACAAAGCAATTAGGCGGTTGGGCTCTGTACGCTGCGCGTTGTGCTGGAGTGTCTCTGGCGTTGAGACATCCATTTGACGAGCATGTCGTCGAGTTGGTTGTTCAGCTCTTTGAGCCGCTTGCTCTCTTCCTTGAAGAGACGGCCAGTGACAGGGTGGTCAGGGCCGGCTGGAGGGATGTTTGATTTGTCGTGAACAATAATGAAAAGATCGCGAATGTCGGTTTCTTCGTCGAGGTATGATCGTAGACTGGCGTCACTCCAGGTCGGTGTGTCAACTGACAGTGTATCCAGTGAGATATGGGTACCTTCGCTGCCCTTGAGGTCGTTGACATCGACTTCGGGCGATGAGGGCGGAGAGCCTGGGGAGATAGATCGAGCTCTCAATACGGCTTCCTTGGTCAACCCGGGCGCGGCAATAGGAATATGAGACTCTTCAACTGGAGAGAAGTTGTCTGGAGACTGCGATCCCAGATCGCTGTGGCCAGTCACTATCTTCGGAGTGAATCTTTGCGGTGGGGATGTCACGGAAGGTTGAGCCCGCTCAGCTGTCTCAAATGGTCCTCTCCACTGAGCTTCGCTGGATGGCCGATCAACTGAAGAAGCCAACGGGTCTTGTGACTCGAGCGGAGTAGCGAAAGATTCCTTGGAGGGACTTTGCTGGCTAACCGGTGAAGACACAGCCCCTCGGCTGTCGTTGCGGCTGCTGTCGGTGTCTCGCGACGTAACTCGTCGAATGGACTGCCCAGTCTGATTCCCGATCACTATTTCTCTTTCCTTTGATGAATCTGTTGTTACAGAATCGGCCTGTCCGTCAGTCCGAGAAGTGGGAGACATGATGGATGGCGGTTGCTTGTGCAGCTTGTTGCTGGTCTGCCGCTGTGGTTTGGCAGACCGTTGTTCTGGCGACAAAGACTCCGAAGATGTCTTGGGTTGAGGTGAAGCTCGGGAAGCAGATTCAGCTAGAGATCGCTCAACCTCTTCGATATCGTCGTCGATTGATTTGTTCTTCTTATCCTTTCGCTTGAATAAACCACTGAGCATCCCGGGTTTCTTGTCTTTGCGCTTCTTGTCGTCTTTGCCCTTGTCATGCGAGACAATACCTTTGTCAATCGATTCAAAGCTTCCACGTCCAGCCTAGAGATCTTTCAGTCAGTAATAATCCGGCTTCCGAATTTCCTTGAGCGACTTACATCTTTCCAGTCATTGGTCAAAGTTGTGCTGCTCGATTCGTCACGCAGCAGGTTAGGCGTAAGAGAAATCTTCTTGGGTTCGGCGGTGTCGTCCTTGAAGAAAGAATCTGTGTTGCGTACAGTGCCGTTTCTGGATCTACTAACAGTAGGTTCTGTTGTATGGATGTCGGCATTAGATTGCGACGATCGCAGAGCAGAAGCATTGGTGAACTCTGCACTCTTACCTTCAGGATCAAAGAACTCCTCGCTCGACCGCCTTGGCTCATAGCTCGTGCGCTCTGGCTCTTGATGTTCAGGCGACTGTGTGCCCTCAGCCCGTTCTGCGAGCTTCTCCTTCTGAGACTTTGTGCGGAGAGGCTCCACAATGATGTCTTCGTGTTGTTCTTGAGCTTCGCCATCCTCCGATTCGACTGTTTCATCATCATTGAAGAAATCGCCGTGCTCGTCCTCTTCCTCCGTTGAATATTCAACGTCGGATGCTTCGATGTATGTCGGTGGGGCAAAGTTGACATTTTTAGCGTTTCGCCGTCGCATAGCCTTCTTCAAAGGATTTTTGGACTTTTCGGAATTATCCCCTAGCATGGTCGCCGAGAGATCGACGTTGCGGTGTTTGTTTAATCTAGCGAGACGCTCCGTGGGTGTTTCGATGTGTTCAGCAGGAAGGTAACCTATACTTCCGTCTTTGACGACTCGTACAAGCCACCAATAGCTGTTGCTATCGTCCAAGAGTACCATGGTGTCCCCCTTGGCAGCGTTTGCTTGCCCGTCAACGGTTGCGATGAAATTGTGAAGTGCATAGACGAATTCAAAATCGATGTCCTCTGTACGTTATTAGGTTTGGCCCCATATCAGGTCTGTCTTGGATCAACACACCGTCATCGATAGAAGGAGAACTGGATAGCTTGTCCATCATATCGTCGTCAAGAAGATCGTCGCTTTCGCCGTCAGCTAAGTCGCCATCTTCTTCATGATCGTATTCTCCATTTCGTCCTATGTCTTCATCTGTCTCTTCCGGTTCATCGTAGATATCACCACCGTCTCGGTGTTCATGATTGCCGTTTAAAGCGGGACCACTCGAGATCTCCGACTTTGAGTCTTGCTCAGCATGGCGAATGGAAAGTTCTTGATGGGGAGCAGGCCGGCCGCCCCCAAGAGGTTTAGGATGTTCGGGTTGCTTAGTGTGATCTTGAGCCGAGGGAGTATCGTGGTCTTGAAGATCCAAGGTATCTAAACCATTTCCAGTGTCAGCGCTGGTGAACCCTACTTCGGGGAGGCAGACAAGGTTCAAATGAGAAGAAAGGGGCTTCACGGAACGTACCGGCTCGAATCATTTGAGGTCTCGTCATGATGCAGGATGAAAGGAACGTGGGATTGGCGGGGAGTGGCCGGTCAGTGGACACAAAGGTGTCGACACAAGGAGCGATTGTTGTACCAGCACTATCGGTGTTGAATGAACAAGAGATGACCCCTCAGCTCTTGGCGGCAGGGTCTCCGGAAATCGACTCCCTAGGGAGACTCCAAAGGGTGAAGCAATGGCCCCAAAAAAGAACGACTGGGCCTTGACGGATGGGGGCTGGTGCTGCGCTTTCAATTGCAGCAGGGGCAACTGAAGACACAGGGGCACAAGGAGAAAGAAACTACTGCCAGAGCGACATTGAAAGGAAGAATGAAAGGGGAAGAGCGCGAAAAGGTCACCGTCGGGGTCGATTCATATCCCCAGACCTGAGCCAAAAGGAGGTTGCGTCCAAACAGGCGCCCCTTGCGCGCGGCTAATCAAGTAATCAGAGGACTTGGAGCCCCTGAAACCAAAGTGCCTAAAAGGGTAAGTAGGGTAAAGGGTTGGGAGATACCCCGTGATTCACGTGATGTGGTTGCTTTCTATGACCTCACTTGGTTTTGTTTGTCCTTGGTAGTGGCCTGAGGAGTGAAGTCACCTGAGTTCTCGTCAGGTGATCAAGAGCTATGCCCAATCGGGGCACCGCGCCTCCGTGCTCACCCGAATTCTCCCGGTCTCCAAATGCTCCAATGCGCTGCTGGAATTGGCCCTTGCTTGGCTCCAACCAATCTCTCCACTGACGAGACGATTTTCTGCTCTGACCTCACGTTGCTTTTTGGTGCTTCTTCTTACTTTCCATTTCTCCAAAAGCCCTCCAACCTGACCACATCCACAACTTCATTCCGCTCCTATACGCCTTCCCCTAACTATCTTCTCCTTCCACCTTCCTGCCAGCGATACTTAACTAGCGCCTCATCCCCGCTTCCCAAAACGCTTATCGCCCCACATCTCATCTACGCCCTCCCCAAAATCGTCAGATCAGAAAATACAACCATCATATTTCACGTGGCAGAGGGTTCATAGAACCCGACTGCAAGCCTTTCGCAGGCTCGCAACCAGAACGACGTCGTTCTCCGTGCTTTGGCTCTCGTCGGGGGAGCATGGCGCACCCGGAGAGGAACGCATTCGCAGGCTTGAGGATTGAGACTTCGTTCCACCAGCAGCGATCGGGATGGTCGCAGGAGAATGACGCAGGGAGGAGGAGATCGACAGCGGGTGGCGATGGTATCGAGAGCGACCGCACCAAGATAAATCATGACTACAACGCGCACCGCCGCGATGCTAATGAAGACAGCAGTGTGCTCAGAGAAATGCATTCAGCCACTCCTCCCATCTCAGTCCCTCGCTCCGATGGTCGTGCACAGGACGACCCCTCCTACCCCGACAGGCCAGATGACGTCCAAGGCTCCCCTCTAGACAACTATTTACAAACGCGTCGTTCCTCCATCACTTTCAACCCAAAAGTATCTCTTGAGTCGGGTGTGCAACGCCCACTGGAAGAGCCTCTGGCCAAGGGCGATGCAAGGAATCGACCCCCGCTGAAGTTCGAATCCCGGACCTCAGGCCTCCGAAACGCCCTCTCTCAAGACGATGACTCGGCCAACTCAAAATCAGCCCCGTGGGGTTATGACTCGAAGCGACCCCAAGAAGAGCGGGGTATCCCGACCGGAGCCTCCCGCCAACGACCCTTGGGGAGCCCAGAGAGCGATTCGATGCCTGGCACTGAGATAGACCAACCTACCTCCCTCACGTCGCTCTCTACCGCATCTCCCATTGCGGAAGAAGTACGAACGCCGCCTGGTAGCGTCAAAGACTCCTTATTATCGCCACTCTATATCACCTCGCCAACGCAATCATTCGCGTCTCCGGAAGATCGCAGCGCTTCATGGTCCGGGGGTTTGATCACTCCCTTTGGTAGCAAGTCTCGCAGGTCCACCTTGGATCGCAGCAGCAGTCTGCGAAGCTCCGCCACTCGGCATGTATCCCGACGGTCGACTACTTCCAGTGGAAAATCGCCCGCCAGTACGTTCCTGTCTATGTGGTCTGGCAAAGACGAGCCGGCCGCGTCTCCGGACGACGAAGGTCAAATGGTGGGCACAGACTACGTGCTTGGGAAGCAGATTGGCTTTGGAGGCTTCAGTGTGGTCAAAGAAGCCTACAAGGTCGAAGAGCACGGTTCCACGAAACGACTTGCCGTGAAGATTGTGAGAAAGAATGTCACTGATCGCAGCGAGAGGGAAAACGAGGAAGTTCAGGCTGAGTTTGACCATGAGGTTCGAGTTTGGCGGTATCTCAATCATTCTCACGTCTTGACCCTCGACGCCGTTTATGAGACAGACTATGCGACCTTCTGTTTCACCAAGCTCGCCATCGGCGGTACATTGTTCGATCTGGTCCGCCAGAATCGCCAGGGTCTTGACATTACGCTCGCGAAGAAATATTCCTACCAACTCGCCTGCGCAATTCGCTACCTGCATGAAGATGCACGGGTCGTTCACCGCGACATCAAGCTGGAAAATTGTCTTCTCGACCCCGTTGAGAATTTAGATGGCACGACATCCTCTACCCTGGTACTCTGCGACTTTGGAATGGCAGAGTGGATGGCCACCGACGATGGCGGTGAATCGCCTGACCCTTACGACGAGGTCGCTGATCGTCCTCCGCCCAAGCAAATGGGACCTGCCGACTCCAGCACCAGCGTTGCAGGCAGTCTAGAGTATGCCTCCCCAGAACTGCTTGAGTCTTCAAATGGAATTATCCACCCTTCGGTCGATATTTGGGCCTTTGGCGTGATTGTCTACACGGTCATTGTCGGGTCACGACCGTTCCAGGACTCCTTTCCTCCCCGCATCAAAACCAACATTCTGAGTGGCACTTGGAACCGCGAAGCCATGCTCAGTGGGATCGCGGACGACCTGCAGTCCAAGGACCGCCAGGATGCCCTAGACTTGGTCATAGGCTGCCTTGAGATGGACGTCAACAAGCGATGGACCATCCGCGACATCCTGGCCAGTCCCTGGCTTCGAGAGGTCGCTGAATCTGCCGAAGAAGGCTCACCGGACTCCCCGTGGAAGCTTTAGATGGTTCACTTGATCCCTGGCATTCCACAGCCATCTCTTTCATCTTGCCTTGCCACTGCTGAAACACTTCTTGAGAGCTAAATCTCTTCTGCTCTTATTTGCTTTTCAATCTGGCGCTTCTGTTGCGCGAGCGCTGGCGTTATGTTTTGCAACTTTTGATCACCCTGATGATACCCTTCGTTCCTATTCGTGAGATTGGCAACATATGTTACCTTTCGCCTCATGGCTTTTTCTTTCCTGTCTCTTATTATTGTTTTTGGGCTTTTCGGATTTTCTTTGGATATTCCCCTGGTTCTAGCGCATTTTTTTTTGGTTAAAAGGTACTAGGCTTTGGTATGACTGGATGGATAACGATACTCTACTCGCGATGGGCAAGCATGGCGTTTTCTTCTTTTCGGGGCATTTCATTAATTTTCAGCTTTTCTGGTCTCTTCTTTTCTACGAATTGCTTCTCCACTGCGGCACAAGCTATATCAACGGTTTTCGATCTTTTTGCTCTCATCTTGTTGTCTTCGATCTCGACTATTTACACTGTTCCTTTCTCTCAATTGAATGGCCGTTCTCTCGCCAGCCAGAGAAAAAAAAATGAACACTAAATTACTCCGATTCCATCGCTCGCCCTTAAATCTAGTTCAGCTTCCGAAAAGCTCCTAAATACATCTTCCAGCTGGACAACTCATAATCAAATGATGAGCTGAGATAAAAAAGAAAAAGTTTTTATGACTGAGGCATATTCAAGGCTAGATAGTATACATGTACATATAAAATGCGCAATCAAACACGCAAAGACCAACATCCAAACCTTCTACAAACAGTACAATCCCAATTTCCACAAGCAACCCCCCAATTACCAAAGTCTGTTCTCGGGCAGAACCTTCTCCTTCTTCGTACCAGCCGCGGACTTGCGCTCCTCCGGCGACCGGAAGAACAAACTAGGGCCCTCATTAGGCTTCAGCAAATGAGCCAGATAACCCCTATGCGCCGGATCACGGTAATACTCAATATCACGACGGCGCGTCGGATCCGGCAACCGATACTTCATGCCCAGGGCCTTCATCACGGTCGCCTCGGACAGATCCTCGGGGGCACCGTCCGCCTTGAGCAACTCCTTTGATCCGCTCTCGGGCGACCAGGCCATCGAGATGAAGGGGTGCGATTCCATACGCAGGATGTGGCGGATGGCGGCGGGGGTGTAGAAGCGCGTTGTCAGCGAGCCGCCGGCGGCTTCGACGGCTTCGATGGCGGAGCTGGAGGCCCGCGAGACGACGAGGTGGATGGGTTGTTTGAGGGCTGTGGCGGAGCCGCCGAGCACTTTGACGCCGTCTTTGGATTGGTGGACGCAGCGGGAATGGGTGAGTTCGCGGATGGTGATGGGTCGGGTTGGGTCGATGCGGCCCTGATCGATCCATTCTTGGATGCGCTCGAGGTTGACGGGGGCCATTTCGGCGGCGAAGCTGGAAGGGGCGCGTGATGTTAGTTTGACTGGTACTTTTCCACATTGTTCTTCTAGAGAATGATTTCAAGGTGTATCTAGGAATTGAGAAGTCGATTGAGAGTGTGACTTGAATGGGAGGGAAAACGTACAAGTTGTTCCATCCCCTCTCGCCGTGGACAACAATATCCGGCGTCTGACCACCATTGAAGCCTGCAGGAACTTTGCCGTGCTGCTTCTGACCCTTGTGACCACGTCCCGAAGTTTTACCCTTGCCGGAAGCTGGACCACGACCACGGCGGATGCGCTTGTTGTATGCTGTGGGATTATCAGAGAGCGAGGAGAGGATAGAGGCGTTGCGGGATTGTTGGAAAGTCGGGGTGAGGAATGCCAGCGGAGAGGCCTGAGTGATTGGCCGCGCAATAAACTGCGACAGCTGCGTAGGCAGCGCCATCAGTCGTGGTGGCATTGTGACGGTTTGGCTGGTTGACTTGTCTCGAGTTGGTTTGTTGGTCGGGAAGAGGACGGAGATCTTTGATGGGCGGAGAAACGTCGGGCCGGACTAGACACGGCATCGAATGAAAGAACCTCCCAACACACCTCGCTTTCAATTTTGCAAGAAAGGAAATCACGGCAAATTAAATCAAACTTGATTCAATCGATATGATTACCTCAACTATACAAGGCTAGTTCAATCATTTTACACAGGACAAATGGTATAAATAAATGTGGTTGCTTGATATGCTGCGAGGCACTGTAGCCTAGGATAAAAACGCCATAATATGCCAATGCACCTTAGCAATGACCCAATTATTCATGGGAACAAGCAAGCGAAGAAAAGAATCAAGAATAACGCCTGACATGCCATCCCCAAGATATCCAGTTTCCTTGGGGAGGCGAACACCATAGCCCCTTCTAGTTGGGGAACGCCGAGAAGAATGCAATCCGCGATCATGAAATGATAAGTGTACATGAAAGAGAGGGAACAAAGGGGTTGTTAAAAGATACACAGCGAAGGGTAGGGTGATTTGGTTTCTCATGAAATGGGTCATAGCACGGTCACGTCGTAAGCAAGGAGAATAGGGTGGGACAGGATGTTGGTCTAGCCAGAGAACTGAGTGGGAGGGAAGAGAGGCTGGAAGTGGGTTTGGTTCCAGGTCTCCGGGTGGATGTAGGGCAGCAGCCCCGTCTTGCGGTCAGCGGAGGTTTTACCCAGCGGCTGATAGTGCATGTGATCGAAGGGAACACTGCGCTGCTGTTGCATGGAGGCAGAAGGAGGCGGGATGAGCAAGGTGTGCACCGAGCGAACGGGCCGGTAAGGAGAGTTGCGGTTGGCAAGGAAGTAGGATGGAGAGAGGTGCTTTTGCGGAGTGTGAACGGAGTAGGCGGACACAGCTGGCGAGACAGTGGCAGAGGTGACGCCATATGGGCTCTGGTGACGGCCCAATTCCGGAAGAGCGGGCGTGTTGTAGATGCTAGATGCCATGGTTGTGGGAATGGTAACAGAGGGCATCTGCTGAGACCAGTTGGAGTTGCGGCTGTAGACGGAAGGCATCATTGCCGGCACCGGCAGCTGAGAGACCGCAGTGGAGGGGAGAGACTGAGGCATAGGGTTGGAGGATGGAGGGAGATTGGGAAGTGGGAGACGAGAAACATGCCCCGCCATCGGAGCATGAGCGACGGGCGCAGAGGTCGGGGTCAGGACTGGTGGAAGAGTAGGGATCACGGAGTTGATGTTTGACGATGGAATTGTCAAGGAAAGAGGAGCGTGGGCAGAGGTCATTACGGCACGCTTAGCGGGGTGAAGTTCGTCCTCGTCATCGCGACCTCGCTTGCGAGTTCCACCCACAGCAACCTCGCCGAGCTGCAAAGAGCCAGGGTAAGGCAGACCCGACATTGTTGGGAACCAACTGGTTTGAGGTTGTGATTGGGGTCTGTACGCATCCATCGGTGGTGATGGGAGCTTGGACAAGGGTGATTGAACCTGCACACGAGGTGGCGAGACTTGCAGCGCAAGGGTCTCTCCTTCAGCGGGAAGCTTCGAGGCTTGGTTGAAGTAGTCGCTAAAGAGGCCCAGCTTGGTGTGCCATTCAGACCACTTTTCCTCGGAGCAGAACAGGTCATAGCGAATGTTGCTGAGGAACTCAACCTCCATGATGTGGATCTCCTGCACTGCAATGCCAGAGACCTCGGCCCACGTCTTATTGGTGTAAGTGTTATCGTCGAGATCTGCTGCTGAGTCAGCAATGTTCTTATCGGCAGGTTATCTTGAAGGCGGTGAAATCGATAAACCAACTACTTACATTTATTGCCGAGCATCAGGGCAACGGTCATCAGCCGGAATTCACTGCCTTTCTTGCCCTTCACTCCAGAGTTAAACTTCTTGAGTCGGTAGACAAAGAGCAAGGCCAGTAGAATCACATTCTGGCTGACTTGTGTGGTCGACAGAATCGAGGCCACCCACTTTTGGAATCCGACTGTGGGGATAGCCTCTGGAACGAGAGAAGGCACAGGATGGCGGCGGTCTTCGATGGCTTGGAGTTTAGTGGTCTTCTCGAACCAGAACAGACAAGTCATCTGCAGAAAATGGAAGTTAGCTTGAGTGTTCTGTTGTATGGAGACTCCCATTTTATTTTTCGATGAGCTCTTACCTGAGCCGCAAACTCGGCCAAGCTGCCCTTGCTGTTGTTGATGGACGAAGGGATGCGCAGCGCTGAGCTTGCCGTTGTTCCATTCGACTTCTTCTGACCAGCTGGTTCCGTCGCGGGGGCCTCTTTCGCGGGTGCGGGGACGGAGTGAGTAGCCGAGTGGGAAGGCTTCATGGAAGCAACCATAGACGACGAAATCGCATCGAAATGGGGACGTGAGTGGGTGTATAGGTGAGATGGCATGCCATGCGCTTTCGCTCCATAGGCCGCGGATGGCATGGCATTGTAGGCTACACCGGTCATGTCGCTGGGAGGAGTGGGCAGACCGTCCCGGAAGGGAGCAGTCCAGCAGGATCCCGTCGTATCGAAGGCCGGCTTCGTTGATGAGTAGGCGTGGGATGTCAGGTCGACGGTTGGAGTGATGGGGCCAAGAATCGTGGAAGATCGAGAGCCCAGCGTTGCGGGAGACATAGGGACAGAGTGAAAAGAAGTTGGGAAGTAAGTCGAAGAAACATGTGGGAGAAGATCCGGCCGGGCGCTTTCACTCTCAAACAAGGAATTGGTGGGTTCAGGCAGAGTAGGCCGAGATGAGGTATTCAGACATCCATATCCAGGTAGCATCTATGGAAATACCGATTCGGGAAGTTAATACTTGTGGGGTTCGATGTTAGGGTTGGCGATACGTGGAGACTTTCCCCAATTGGGAGAGAAGGCAAGAAAAAGCGACGTGATAGTAAGGCAGGCGACGATGAGTGTGCTCGTGATCGAAGACTTGAGGGAAGGAACGAAGTGATATAAGAAAAGCGGCGTTGTTCACGTCCAGAGGGGCAACCCGAATGATGTATATGCAACTGGCCAAGAACTGGTCCATATAAGGAGTAAGCTAAACCCGTCTGGAGAAGACCAGAACCATTCAAGAGGAGTGGCACTCTCAGAAGTAAATTTCCAAAATTTGATAATTAATCAAATAATTCAGAAAAAAAGGTGGAATCGTCTCCAAAAGGAACGTTCACGGCTAGGCGGGACAGCGAGAGAAGGATAATCCTCCCCTCACCCAAATGAATAATTTCGAATTTAAAAAATTGAGGATTATCATTATTACAATGGAAGGCTGAAGTCAAGGCATCATCTCCAATTCTCCATCCTTTTTTTTCCCACCAAGTCCACTTACTTTCAAGGACTAAAAAAGGAGAGGACCCAGGGTCGATGGACCCATCCGGAGGAAGCCAGCGTAGCCATTCATGGGACAGAGTTTGACCCGGACGCAGGTCCAGAGAGGGTTGATCCTCCTTTTTTCGCTGGGCTCGTTTGGGTGCCGTTTTAGTCCATCGACCTGTGTAGATTGGATTTGTTTCTTAGCAACCACTGTCCACGGGCCAATAAGAGTGATGAATATGGAATATGTCCTTCTTTTTTTTTTTTTTTATTCTTCTGTTTCCCCCCACCCTCCTTCCCTTAGACACGGATACAGTAGAATTCTCGGACTGCGACGTACTCCCCGTTCATACTCTCGAAGACCAGTGAGTAATTCAGTAATTAAAATATAATTTAATTGCAAGGTGAAAGGGACAGATGAGAATACCGGTTGATGTCAGAGCCACCGGGGGGGTCACAAGTGGATGCGAGGTCTAGAAAGGGTAAGTCGCAGAGTAATGTTTACGGAGGTTACTGGTCCTGGCCCTTCAAAGCGCAGGGCGCAGAAAGGGCAGCGCAGCCCTAGGGCGGAGCTGGGCGGAGGCCTCAGTCTGGTGTTAGCGCAGGCTGGCAAGATGGAGCAAAAGGTCAAAGGTGGGAAGGGATGGGTCAGCGAGAACGAAGGGGAAGAAAAAAGAAATTGCGTAAAATAAAACGAACCGAAAAAGCGAAAAATGCGGCAATGTACCAAAAATCGAATAAATTCAAGTTGGAACAGGTTCAACAGTTCGGAGGACAGATCCAAGACCTTGCTGGGGTTCAAGGGAAGGACCCATATCAGATCCAATAATTAGTCGGGTTTAGCGTGGTTGCAACCGTCGGCCCAATGCCTCCTTCTCTCTTCCCGTAAATGACGGAGTACATTGGCTTTTACAGAGTACGAAGGGACCCGGAACATGATTATGTACTCATCTGAGGTCTGTGGACGGATGTCGTAATTCGCAAATCCGAAATACAAGACAAGGATACTCCGGACTCGATAATAAATTCTTGAATAACTGTAGAAATAAGATATGTATGAAAGAGATAGCCGTTGCCAGTACTTTGTCTTTTGACTAGCAAAAATAAGTCGGCATAGGATACGGAATAGATAGCTATAGATAGGAGTACTGTCGTCGTATACTCCGTAGTCGTCCTCTCGATATTTTACCGTCTGTAAACGGGGGTACTCCGGACTGCGTCAGTGGCCCAGGCGAGGGTGCGCAAGCATGTACGCCTCCGTGCTGCACCAGGCAGGGTAGAAAGAAACGAGCGGGCTAGAAGACCCAAGAAGACCCAAGACTCACGACCAAAGAACGCAGGGCTAATGGGAAGGGGCTGGTGGAAAGCGCCTGGGTTTGAGCATGGTGGCTGATCACTAGTCCGAGTCGTCACCAGGCGGAACGGAAAGGAATGGGGACGGTTCTGGTAAACGCCATACTCCATACAGGGAAAACAAAGCATGAAAGGGAGGCCACTGTCGGGATGTCCACCGTATCAGGTGGTTAAATTACCACCAAAGAGGGGATCGGCCAGTGGGATGTCCAGTTGCAGTCTGGTCGTGTCGAGAGAAGATCACTTTCCGGGTTAGGCAGCGGGGGCAAACCCACGGTGACGGTACATGGAAGGGGGATGAAATCGGGCGTCTCGGGTTTCCCATTGATCGGCAGCAAAGAATGAGTGGTGTGGACTGTATTGGGTGGGTAATCTGGTATGGGTATTGTCACATTCTCTGTCCTCTGAGTGGAGCATGCCGGGACATGTTGGCTGAGGTAAGCCAAACTCTTCTGACCACCTCTCTGCCTCTCCTCCAATCACAGTCTCTCTCTCTCATTGCCCTCGTCGCAGACCAATCGCATCCCTGCCAATCCGGCAACAATGACTGGTTCGGATCGTGTCCTTCCTGTCCTTCCTGGCCCTTTCTGCTCTCTCTCTCTCTCTCGGACCTCTCTGGTGGTCCTTTTTCTGCCGGAATTCCAGGATGTGAGGATCCACCACCTTTACACACGCTTCCGTGTATAATCCGAGCCACCCACCTTCGTCGTGACCTTCCCTCCTTCCGGCGCACCAGAAAAGGCCCATGACGGGCCATGACTAGTCCTCGGGGACCCAACACGCGCCAAACTGGCCCGTCATTTGTGCCTTTGCCCATTTGCCCCACGAGGCCTGGGGGCTTTTTTGGAGGCTTTCCCGACCAAAGCCTAGGTCGTCTGGTCCAAAGTGTGAGAGAGAGGCATATCCTGAGGGTGTATGTCAGCTGTCCGTGGACGACGGCCGAATCATGATCCCATGGTTAGCCCATTGCGCAGGCGTTCCAAGGCGATCGTCCGTTTCCCTTGTCTTCTTGTCTCGCCCGCTCACTAGAGGACCTGTCCTCCTCTTGTCTCGCCCGCTCACTTGTCCTCCGTAGTCACTGACTACCTCCCGTAGCCCACACCACCGCAATAGCCCAGGGACTTCTTCCATGATGCTGATGACTGCAATCATGACACGGTTACCCGGTGACTTGTCGCGTACTCCCCGACAGGTTGTTAGCCGCTCACTTCTCGCTGCTCATTGGTCTCATCCCCCATCTTTTCTCTTGGGCGTTGCCTCTTATTTTTCCTCCTTTTTCTTTTTTCATTTCTTCTTGGTCATTACCAGCTTTGGGCAATTTCCTTCCGACTGCGGTGTGAAGTCTGTTCTTCCGACCTTCTTTGATCGTCACCTTTTCCTTGTCTCGGTCATGGGGGTGGGTACATCACGACTAACTAGTAGTCCAAGGCGGGCTCCTCTTTTTTCGCCTCCTGATTTCACGTTGCCTAACTACTCGGACGACTTGCCTTTTCGTTGCTTTTTTTTTTACATCTTCCTGTCCGGGCCTGGTCCGGGAGGAGGCTATCACGTACTACAGTAAGATTTCAGGACAGGCTTCGATGAACCACAATCTGATAGTTTGGGCCATACCACGCATTAAAGAACACCAATGAAGAACGATCAAAAATGAAGCACTCCGTATAGAGTACATAATAGTAGTGATGTACATAACACACGTACGTACATATCCCCATTCGAGAGGGGGGGGCTTGGTAATACCGGGCAAAGCAGGCCTCTCATTCGCCCGACTATCATGCAACCTCTGCCCTCGCGGATGTTTTCCTCGTCTTTTTTACACCTCCCAAGCGCCGCATGTACATGTAAAACCGGAAACGAGCCTGTGCTGACCGTTGCCGTCTGGCCGCGTTTTAGCCCCATTCGGGGTCGTTTGACTTGACCTGGGTTCAATAATAAACCCTGCTCAACATCGTTGCACCTGTGATCCATTTCTGCCTGGGTCGGTGCTTCAAAACGAGGTCGAACTAGACCGACCTCCAATCGTCCAATAGACCGGCAAGTGTGCAAATTTAGCAGCGCTAACAGACTACCAGTCGGATTATCCATCCACTCTTGATCTAGAACGGGATGTCCTCCATATCAATGCTACAGCATAAACAAGGACAGAGTTTCTATAGTTACCTGTCTGTGCAGGAGCAACTATACTTCCCAGAATTTCTCCGCGGGTCGGATCTAGCCCCGATTTGGCAGTCTAATAGGTCGGATCTCGCCCCAAGTCCAACATTGGGAAGTACAGAGTACCCTCAACGCGGTCGCGTTTTGAGCACGCGCCTCAGATGATGGTGATGAAAGTGATAGACCGATGCAAAAATTCTCGGTACCATATCACGGACCACGAACCATTGTGCATTGTTAGTAGGAGGGGTGGATTTGATGCAGACGGCCAACTATTGACTCCAATAATTTGCTGTACATCCTGTACTGTACATATATAATTTACTTTTTTCTAGTTGACGCCTCAAGTTACTCCATCGACATGGCCCTTTGCCTTTTCCATGGTAAGGCACTTGGACTGTACAGGAGGCCAAGGGGTGGACAAAGCAGGCTGCAAGTGGTGGAAGCTCGGTTATCACGCCACGCTCGAGTTCAACCTGTCGACTGATAGATTGAACGGCAGCTAAGGATGTGAAACCTCGAGTAAGACGTTGGCTTCGTAGTTCATTGTCCTTTTCTTGCTTTGTTCCCGCCACACTGCTTCCTTGCGAGGGCGATCAAAGCCTCGACCTTTCTGACAGGGCTCGGTGTGAATCATGTTTCTTTCGTGGATGGTAGCTGAAAACTGGGTAGCTTAGTGGAGAGTGTACGGAGTACCGGCTGGATGATTGGAGCGCTGAGCACTAGATCAGCCAAGGATGTACTGGGATATTATTGAGACTGAGAGACCAAGCGGAGCTTACCTCCTCCATACTGTGAGTTGGTGGACACGCGTTGTTGCGCGGAGAAAGAGGCGACCAAAGTCTTGCCAGTCGACCCTCCACCAAGAGTCCACTTGGTCTCTGTTCCCTTCTTCATCTGGTCGGTCTCTGAGCCACCGCCACGATGAAGAGACGATAGTGGAGTTCTCTTTTTTTACTATTTCTTTTTTACGTTTTCATTTAATTCTTTCTGTATCATTTCCAGAACCCCAGATGGAGGAAGATGTGGAGTCTGGCACGTCGAGGGATCACGACAACGATGAGCACAAACTGTGTCACTGTCATGGGCCAAGGGTTTTGCTCCTCTCTTGAGTATCCTCCGTCCTCCGTGCGTCCTCGAGTTCCAGAGCCAATGGATTTTCTTTTCCACCCCCGATCTCGTCCTCTCATTCGTCCAGTGCTGGGAGCATGGAAAATGGATCAATTAATCTTGCGCCCCTCACGACCAGCGCCAACGCCAGGACCAGGGGACGACCGGAACCCAAGATCCTGGACTGGGCAAAGGATCGGAGTTAACGCGGTGCAAAAGCGCACCTTCGTCACAGTCATACTCCATATCTCAGACAGCCAGTCAGACCTGGACGCGAGCTGAGTCCAAGCCTCGCTTGGATCTGTTGCATGGGGCGGTTATGTACCAGTTGCTGTTGTGCTCTCGTACTTCCCCATCCCTCTTCATGACCAACATCTCCACCAGTCCACCCAACGACTAAAGGACACTCGACTCCTTGAGCAGTGCGATGCACTCGACCCCTGCCAGGCGACTGGGACTTGGCCCTTTAGCCTTTCAGATCTACACTCGCTGACCTCAACCTCTCTCGCAAGAGTCAAGACCACTAAACCTACCGCTCACCCTTCCTAGCTTAACTGACTCTGATCCTAACCTACCCACCCCAGTCATCACCCGTGGAGTGCGCCCCCCCCCCCCCCCCTCGCACCTCCCAGTGGGGGCAATCGAGCAAATGCTGGTGAATGACGATGACCGATGCAAATGAAGTCGAAATGAAAACGAGAACGCCAACAAGCCCGCGTTCCAAACTGGATCCATCCCACTTGCACGTTGCCACCATGCCACCGACGATGCGACGAGTCGTCCCGGTTGCGGCACGGTTGTTGCAAAAGGGCTCGCACTGAATGTCCACCGAAATTGACATTTTGACCCTAGGAGGAGCCATCGCCAAATACGATGGCTTTGGTCTTTTTTCTGACTCCCGTACTAATCCTACGCTACTATCAAGCGCATATGGAGTACATGGAAGGTCTCCGAGTACTGTACAAACTGTATCCCTGCCCCCTAGTCAAGTTACCCAGTCACCGCCAACGCACCACAAATTGATCCCAACCGCTTTTGCGCCCCCCGCTCCTCACCCTCGACCATCATCACTGTGCTCCACAAGGAGACAAGATGGTCGCAAAATGCATTTTATGGTTTACCGCCGAATCCTCCCCCTGTCGGCCTCTGACTAGGTCTCTCTCCGGTGCACGGAATGGAATATCCACATTTCACAGTTCATCAATTCACACTTCCACACTTTTCCACACCTCCTCCAGTACCGACCTAGATCATCCTCGCTTCCTAACCTTGCCGAATTTCTCCCGTACTCCGTAATCAATAAACCTTCCGTTCCTTTCCCATGCCGTTATAGCCAGAGCCGTGCAATGATTTTCCGTACACGGCCCTACCTGCAGATTACAGATGAAACCATCTGTCACAAGGACGGATCATGGATCTGGGCCTGCGAGGATGGATGATATTGCTCTTCCCAGTCTTATCCTTTTCTATTTCTATTTCTATTTTTTTTTCCTTTTTTTCGGTCTTCTGGTTTATGCTAGCTTTGCATTGCACACTAGTTAACTTAGCTATTGCAGAAGACAAACTAACGACTTACGACTCACGAGGTTTCGGTAGCTGGGAATTCTAAATTGGATTCCCGAGGTTGGATTTGATGATGAATTTCTGTAACTGGTCCATATTGATGATCCATTGTTATCATGGTTATATATATACTCCGTACTGTGTGAACATACCATCCTAATTTCCGGGATAGTACACCCGTGCCATCATGATAACAAGAATGATGATGACTCTCGTATTGTTACTCCAGCCAAACGATCATGATGATCATCATTTGATCGGAGCACTGTAATTCCAATTTTTTAATCGCCCAAAATGCCATCGATGATCACCTTGCCTGGGTTCACGACCAACTTTCAACTCTCGACTATTGGGGGCGCATGCAGGCTGACCGCGACCACCAGGGTCGTCTCTTTCTTTGGTTAAGTGAAAGTTTACCTCTGGTCTGCCGGAAGGGGGCCGTCATCGGCATCGGTAATAGGACACGCTACTTTCAACCAGGGATACTTCGTACTCGAAGAAAAAGGCTACACGGTTCATCGAACTATCCGTCTACGACGAAAATGTTGAAAAACGCCCCTCTTCTGCAACCACGCCCACGCCTCCTTCATCTGCACCCGGAATGGTCACCTATCGTGGAAGTCATCCGATTCCAAGTAACTAGTTAACTAGTTACTCCGTACTCCGTAGTCATTCCAATTTCGATATTGTTTCACTGTAGCGCCAGCGCCAGCGCCAGGTGGTACCTGGGCTTTTGAAAAGCCTTTATAGTCGTGGTCGGTGATTGGCCGGCGAGTATGGAAGCCGTAGAGTTTCTAGTGCTTGTCGGAGTCTGGAACGAGGATCTGGACGGAGGTCTGCCGTAAAGTACGGATTACTCTACTTGGATAAATCACTTTGTACCAAAGGTACACGAGACCGTTGGCATTGGCGTGGGCGTTGATTAGGGTAAAGCTGAAGCCGATCGTATTGAGCACGTCCACCTTGGAAACAGACGTACCCCGTGCACGGCGCACGCTAACCCAAGCTCTTCCTCTATTTAACTAATAATGATGATCAATTTGCTCATAGTACGGACTACGGAGTACTGTAGTACTAAGTTTTTGAAATGATTACTCTGATTATGAATACTCCCGTAGACTATTATTACCCTCCTTTTTTTTTATCAATTTCATAATAATTAATGATCCGTGAGCGATCCTGCCTTCCTCATTACACAACACTGTCTGGGCGGGGCCTCCGATCCCACTTATCACGGTACCATCAATCAAGCAATCCATTTCTCTACGAAGCATACTTTGAAGGCAACCTGTCTCATGCGTCAGCAGTTCATCAGTCCTGATCCTCCATTCTAAGTTCCCTGCCCTCCACAAACTTGTATGAGTCCTCCCAATTTCACGCATGCGGGTGTGGCCGCTTCGTCGTTCTTTTTTGCCTGCTGGGCTCCTTGCATCCAGTAGGTTGTTTGTTTTGTTTTTCTTTTCCAGTCGTCCTTGCGGCTGGCTGGACGCCCTGGCCACTCACAGTGCAGGGCAGGATTCCAGTATCGGCCGAGGCAGATTCAGGGTGTACTTTACACAAGTTACTGGAATGGCGTCGTGTGATGTACCCGTATATTCGAAATGGACAGACACGCAGGCACAGAGACGGTATCAGACTCTCATTCAGGTTCATCTACAGTATGTGGAGACAAGATGAGACGATATCACATCACTGCCGCTGCTTCCTCCACTACTGATATTCCGGGTCATCCGTACAGGAAGCATGATATTTTCTACTCACAGGGTTGGGACTTTATACGATCGCACAGCGATATGTAATCTCCGAGGCTGCACGGCGGTTTGATACGCCCCGAAGCTATGACTCGGTTGGGATGCGATTGTGCAGTGCATAGATTGGGGAAGCTCCTAGCGTTCTCCTGGTCATTCCTTCTCGAACCTCGATGGTCAGAAGGGAACCCGAGAAAGAAAAGCAAAGAAAGAATGAGCTGATAATATCCCTATCACCGACTTGGGCCTGGGTTCGTGCTGTGGCATAGACTCACACCTCGCCTCGCTGTGCAGCTCGCCCCCTCCTCCAGCAGGGGGTTCAGGGGGCTAGAGGGTGTCAAATGACAAGCCTCGAGGCGAGGAAGATCGCGAGGACGTATGCAAATCCCTTCTCCAGTTATCGTATCACCCCCGGCTACAAAGCCTCGGATGACTTTAGACAATGTCCAATGCAGTTCATGAACTTCATGGGAGATGCTGTAGCCTAGATTGGAAAAGTACCGACATGAGTTTTGGTCTAGCCCAAGACAAGTCACGGCTTCTAGATCGAGGTGTTTATCTTATGATTGTTACGCTTTCCGACCTATAGGAATTTTGAATGCACACCCTAGTTTGCTTCGAGTCACTGGGGTTGAGCCGGACTACAGGTTCGAGACAAGGACAAAGAGTTATTTACATATTGCGGGTCGCAAAAGGCAGCAAAGAGCTCGCCTCGAGAGTCAGGACATGGGGTTTACGGATGAATCATGTTCCATTCAAGAAGCTGCCTCCAGACTGCTTCAGCCTCGCAGGAGCCCTTAAGTGGTGCCGGTATCAATAATATGACAAGAATAAGTACTACTTTTGGAAGGAGGTATGTACTTTGTTATATCTATTTTGGCCCGTGCGTGACTGGTTTCGCCTCCACCAAGAATAATGAATTAGAAATGATCATTCCGTGTGATTCAGTATCATTAGCCAGCTCAACCGTACGTGGGGTAGACTGGACGGAGTTGGTTGTTTTGGAATTGCCATTCTGGATATCCAAGTACGGTCCAGTGGAATGTACTCCTCGTTTACTCCCCCATGCTCCATCCATTTCATAAATTTCATGCCATGCAGTCAGACATCGTCATTGCCCGGGTTCCGCAGAGAAGTGGAAAAAGAATTATTCCTCTAAGCTGTGCTTGCTCGCGCGCCGGTTTGACTTTGGGTCAAAGAATCTTTGACTTTCCGGTGCCCCGTAGAGGTTCCAGTCCTCTGTGATTCAAGTCCACATCCATCTTTCAATTTTCCCTGCCCCCACCCGCTGAAGTTGGAAATTGTGGCTCCTGGGGTGATCATTGAATTCTGTTGGGATGCTGGTATCATGTAGGTACAGCGGTATGTACCAAAGGATTTCATAAGAGCCAGTAGTGAATTAGTAATTTACTATCTCGCCGCGCAATAATATATGGACGGAGTACAGAGGAAGGACTGAGAGATACCGGGTATACT